TGTTGCATATCATCAAGAACCTGTTTGATGGGAAGTCGACATTAACCCTTCGCATTTCATGGCAGTACATAATAATCGTCGATTCCTAGATTCCTCGATTCCTCGATTCCATTGGTGCATTAAGCTTGTCTTCCATGTGGCTGCGGCAGAACAGGATACGCCGGTTGCTAAAAACAGAACTGACAAGGATGTGTATTTACCCTGACGGGAAGCGATCGTCCCTGTATCGTCTAGACTGGGGTTCCTGCGGGAGTTGGAGGGCGATCCTAGTTCTTCGCGTCACGAGTTATCGTTTAGTGTTTTCAAGTCTTTGGAATTCTTCGACTGGCAGCATTGATTTTTAATCATGTATGAAGTCGTACCGGTCGGACCCCGGTAATTTCGGTGCTAAAGGTTGCACAGCACTAGAATCTTCATTCGGTCTTTACCATTTCTATTTCGAGAATTCTGTACTTCATATCTCCAACATTTGTTTTCCTGTAATTGCCTTACATTATACTAACTCAGCCAATGAGATTAGTCCCCTCACCTTCCATGCAATGAATATCTTCTGGTCTATCTGTCCCAATGCATCCAATGCATTCCCGAGATCTTCCAGGGCGTCCTACTGCACCATCCATGCAATGCTGAAACGACCTCCTGCATCTGTTTCAGACCCTAATAAAGCCATGTGGCTATATATACAATGTAAGGGGACACTCCACCGAATGAAGCACATCGCATATGAGTGGCTTACCCGCATAAATTGGGAGATGAAATGATAATAACGAGTCATTCGAGATTAATTTCCCCAAGCCACTAAACAAAAGAATACAACATCCCTGGCCTCATTCCAGCCGTGTCTCGTGGCAAATTCCTGAATCTGACCGAAAACGTGGGACCAGACTCACTGTGCACTCTCCTTATTAGACTAGCGGGGATTGTGGTAAGCATTAAACTAATGACTCGTACCTACTATATGGGGAACTTAATTTAATGTACCTTGGAAATGCGGCGTAGCTAGACCCTCTAGACTTGGCATCAATGGTGTATGGGTTGGTAAGATTTTGGAACCTTGGAAGGATTCACACACCATCCGCTAATTCTGCGAAGCATATGGAGTACATGCACATTTATCGTTTTTTGCTCCCTGTAAGCAGCCGCATTCAACTGCTTCTTTCAGCGTGCAAATAACAGACCGAATTTTCTCACAACCTTAGTACGCTCAAGGTAAATGCTAACATTTCAAAAAGCGATCCTTTTCGTGTTGCTTGCACGCCAAAAGTACCTCACGGTACGGCACGAGCAGGGATATCCCTTACATGATATTTACTAGAGTTTCAAGAAATGAAATTTCTCCTCCTCATCCGTCCCTCACTCCAAGACACAACTTTGGTAGATGGTAAGGTCCTGTTAGGATCGCAAATAGTACTGTATGTAGTGGGACAGGTACGACCACCAAAAAACCAACCAATAGATCCATTTCTTAACCCCCTATTCTTCCCAAACTCCACTAGGGCCCCCGCCATTTGGCCCCAACCGAGATACCCCGGGACAGGAGTACAACACCAACCTTACGTTTGCGCCAATGGCAGCCCTCCATTTTGTTCAAGCTTTAGCCCAAAAAGTGGACAGGTCATAGTTATGCCGGTCGTCGATCTAGATTGTTCACTTGGACCATAAAAATGCTCTACTCACAATTGTCATACCTGACTAAACGGGTCAGTGATAAGTATTTCAACCCTCTGTATCGCCAAGAATAATGCAGCACGGAAACTTGAATCATTCAGCGAAATACGGTTAACGAGTCATTTGAATTGCCGTAGCAATGCCGTTCCCCCGTGCGATAGAGGCTTTTCCCCTGGCGCCATTTACCCTTTCTTTGTTGTCGATCGCTTGGCTTCGGCTCCTTTTGAGCGTCTAGCCGGTTTAGGACGTGATTGACGAATCCCATTCCTTATGTCTCAGTTCTACCTTACTTTGGTCTTTATGAGCCCTGGAACTTGGGCACCTAGCTTGAAGGAGAGGGGAAATAGGAGATAATCCCTGGGGTACAATACATACTACTAGGGCTCGGACTGCCAGTGGAGGTAGATCATTCCCGAGATCGGACTGTACTATTCAAGTTGTACCCATAATTTAGCTTTGTGACAAGTTATAAATTTCAAACCTGTCGGAAATGTATTTCCAGTCTATCTCTTTTCAGAATTTCAGTATTTCAGTATTATAGTTTTGCTAATCTACAGTATTTGTATCTGTTACTTCTTCACGGTTGGCTAGGACGGACCCGTTACTAGTACTGTTGCATGGGTCTAGGCAGTCTCTCAGGGGGAAGTGACAGCGCCCCATGAAGCATGGAGCCCCAACATCATCCGCCGTCTCCACCACGACAAATCTTCTCCGCGAAACAACACGGGGGTTGTGACCACGCGCACAATCTCAACCAATAGCGCTGCATTAACACATCGACAAATTTACCGCATTAAGCAGGGCAAAACTTCAAATCATTTGAATTGTGTGGGGCTTGTCGCCCATCTTCAAAATGGGAGATGTCAACCCTTTCCCAGGGCACGGAGTATACCTGACTCATGACGGAATATGCACGGATACATCCGTGACATCCTAGCAATATTGCCCGGGCAAAGATGAAGTGGCAGGCACTTTGTACAAATACTGTATTCGGACGCCGAGATCCAATTTCAGGTTCGAAGTGTCGATCCCCAAGAGCCTCGTAATCCTCCAATCAATACCCTGGTCTATGTTCGCACTGATCTCCAACAATTGGTAGTCACATAATTTAGTTCACAGGGGGCCAGGAGAAAAAAAGAAAAAGAAAAACCCAACCCCTGCATACTTGGTCGGGCGTTGTACACGTCAATGTGTGATGGTAAGTGGTGAATTTGAATGGCTCATTATTAACAAGGCGTACAGGGTTCATCCCTGTGTCGAACAAGGCGAACAGAAAAAGAATGATTGGTGAGAATTCTGGGCGGAATGCCGTGGATTACGGTCCGATCCTTGAGTCCACGGCAACCATGTGGCTCGGAAGACTGTTCTGGGCTCCATGTGGAGACGGGAGTTTCTTAGGATTGCAGGATGTAAGACTTGGAATCTAGTGTTGCACAATTCAATAGTATCGATATCCTTGTCCGAGAGTGTTCCTGTGATGAGGTTTACCCGGGGTAATTCGTGCCCAGGTGGATTGTGCTTGTTAGACTCGGCGTACGGAGATGATCGGTCGGCAATTAGATATTAATTAAATGGTGTAACCAATTACCGAAAAGTATATCATTTTGTTTTCTCCATGTAGATTGTGGTATTTGAATAGTCTTCAATTAAAGTACATATACGGTAGATCAAAGTGTCTCAACCATGGACCTGTTCATCGGTCCCACGGCTCAATGTGATGCAAATTACAACCTCAGAGTAACAAAGCTCGCATTTTACACTATACAAACACTCGGCTACATTCCCGAATCCTTCTGTATCCCCGTACCTACATATTCTGCATTCGCTCCCGATCTCCAACTTGCAAGGAATACAAGAATTTTGCTTCATCTCAGCGGTTACGGTCGGATTGAGAGCACCGTGCCCAGGTGCCTGGGCGTCACCCGGGTGCCAAAACAAACCCTAACCACCCACCAGGCAAGACACAGCCAATTAAAACCGTATGATTGTAGACTATTGATGCAAGATAAGGTTTGAAGGAGGGGAAAAAGGAGCCTGTTTACCTTTTCCAAGCGACGAGGATAAAGGATCTACACGTAAATCCTTGGCTCGAGCATGAGTCTCTTTCCTAAAGGAGTTCTCTACCTTGGCGTATTGTTGAGGCGTGAAGAAAGGATGATAGCGATTGTTGGCGCATGAACTAGTCCCAGATAAGTTGTTGAACAGCTTGTAATCTGTTATTGGATGACATCATGGGCTTGATCGACGAACGTGATCGGCCCCCGGGTTTGAGGGCTGTTCTGGTTATGCGTGGCTTGTTGGTTACAAGCGCTGTTACCTAGGTACCTATGGGCAAAGCTAGATATTTGTGACGGTTGCCTTATGCAAAATACCAATCGCCCAGGGGTGTAACATACGACCGAAGAAGGAATGTCGTGGGTATTGTCACACATCCGTGACACGAGTTCGCAAAGCATGAAATTTAATCGAGCGGTTCAAACACTGACAGCACATGCCCTGGCATCTGTACAAAATGCATATATGTCAATGTCAATGTCATGTATTATTTATTTATGCAGCTAGCGCTTTCCAATCACAAAAAATCCCATGTCCAAGCGCAAAGGGATTTTTCAAGGATATGCATGGATCCAGTGTGGCGCAAGTGCCCCGCGATACAGATGATAGTACATCACTGGAGGCAAAAACAAAACAAGATTGACATCGAGACGTGGCAGATCTACACTATTCTGCATAGTCAAATAAACTAGTGACATTTTTCAGCGTTGTCACATTGATCTACGATCCTTGGTAATGACATTGAACTGGATCTCCTAATTAAACATCGCGGGATCTCGGGAGTCAGATTGCATAAGCGCGGAAACGATCGACAAAGAGAAAACTTGTTAATGCAAGTCTTCTTTTTCTTTTCTCGCTTCAATTTTGGATCCATCATATCCCAAGGGTTTTTTTTCCTGCTCTTCACCGCAAGTCAAATCCGAATTGAATCCCGTGCAGAACGCATGCCACCAGTAATAGTCCTCGTTCCCGCGTGGATACACAGAAAAAGTTAATCATGGACAATAAATGAGATCCGGAGAAAGAGAAGAAAGAAAACGAAAAATAAACAGAAACTGGGGCTTTAACAGACCCACTCAAAGCTTTCAAGCTCCCCAACTCCCGGATTTATTTCCCGTTTGACACGAATTAGATCCCAAAATTCTGGAAACAGTGGTTCATTGCGGATATGCGGAGTCAACTCAATTCACTAGAACCACTGTAGATAATTCAATCTCTCCACCGATCATACGAACTTACTTCTACATTCAGACTTGGATGTCGGAAGTGAATACATAATGAATACCAGCACTGTGGCGCAGTCTCAAAAGAAGACAAAAGACGCCGACCATGTCTCTGTCTCCGTCCCCGTCCCTGTCCCCACCATAACTATCGTTACCACAGCCCAGTTTGACCTATGGGGGAGCCCTATCGCCGTCTCCGAGATGCCGTCAGATCGTTCCTCCGATCGAGTGACTTCGCCCCACCAAATGAGGCGGTGTCACAGATCCACACCGCGGTAATCTACTGTATCCTTTTCGCTTTTTTTTCCCACACTGATTCATTCCCCACCTATCTTCCAATTCAGGAACTGAGGGACAAGACGTCATTTCTTTTTCATACCGCGCGGAGGCGTATGACGGCATGCATTTACTGACTTTGTTTGTTTCTGTGGGTCTTTCGGACACCCCGGCACATTGGGCTTGAGAATATGAAATATGAAATGTGGAATGCGACCGGGCTCCTCGCTTACCGTCGCCGTGGAGCTAGGTCCCCGGGGACCAGGATGGAGGGTAGATAAATGGATGGTGAATGGTGAATGGTGAGTGGGTAGTTGGGTGGTGGGACAAGTTTTCCCTAAGTATACAGGACACAAACTCTAGTTTTATGTATAGTGCAATTAGCGAACGAATACAATTCCATTATGAGGGGGGGGATTAAAAAGGAAAAGAATCTGCGGTATGAATTGCTGGAATCTTATGGCTCATACACAGTAATCCAACGTATTTACGATTGACGTACATGTACAGTATCTAGTTTGAGTTCTATAGTGTCGGTGATCGCATGTGTTGTCTGCAGGTCAGTGTGTCAATCGCCCAGTACCAGTGATCGTTACCCTGTCCGGCCTTGAGAAATCCGGGCCACCCGGGTGATGATCATGTCAAACTCTGCCGCGCATCTCGTTTAAGGCTGTTGAGTCTTTTTTTCCCTTGTATTTTTCTCCGTTGGTTGTCGATCAATGTGCAGAAAGAGTTGAGGGTATTATTAAGTGCTTACCGTGGATATTCGGGGTTGAATATCTGCCTGTCTACACTGATGTCGCAATTGGGCATCCACCTGCAGCATGTCGTTGATGCAGTCAGAAGTTTTACCTAAGGTGAGAGCATGGAATGGCTTGTTTCATTTCATTCTACTGGCACGTCAGACATGGGAGTTTGTCTAGACTCGCTGTCTCAAGCGAATGTTCATGAGCCCGAGGTTTAATTGGCTACAGCTTGTCCAATCAATCGTGGACTACGAATGGGATGCCCAATGCAGAAAATGCTAGCGCTTAGTTGGCAACCTTGGAGTCAGTATAGGGTGCTGCACTTCGCACCTGAGAAACGAGCTACTCCTTGGTGGTAAACTTTGTTACTTGAGACATGTTAGCACTAGATGGTTCATGGGCAGAAGTATCTCGACATGCCTTGACAAAAGTCTCGTAAATACCCATACTAATAAAACCAAACTACTTCCGGCGCATACGACCCCAAATTATGAATATTTCCAATTCCGGCGACTCAAGTCTATGTACCTATGTGACTTAATTCCAATAAACATATTTCACGTGTATATTACATATACTTCAGGTTGACCAATTCCTTGCTCCGAAGGAGCACACAGATTCCCCACATCTTACAACAAAAAGTCTCGTGGACAAAATCTTCAACAAAACCAATATCAGTTCTGAGTTCAATTCAGTCACGGCCTAGGGATCAGACACGCTTTGGCCCTACTTCCAGGGGTAAGCGTAGTGTAACACTCTCAAGAGCTTTGTCCTGATCAATAATCATCACAAATCACTCAATAACAGAAACCCGCAATGCTACCATGAAAATATAAATGAACAAGGGAGGAAGGGAGGACACGGGCATTACCGAGCGGATCAAGATCAAGGTCTTGAATCCATGAAAGGGGAGAACAGAGTAATCTCTCCGCACTGCATACAAAGCTAAATCTTCAATTGTGCAGACTCAGGTCATAAATAAGCGGGCAAGCCAAACTTGAACTTGAACTCAATAATGAAATTCATGTTGAGACAAACTGAAACAGTAGATATAAACCATGAGAATTCCGACCTTTCAACCCCTCATGACCGAAATGAACCACTACGGAAGCTATACAAAGCACAGACGAACATAGTCAGTCCCCAATCACAATGAGCATCTAAAGAAGCCTGCAATAAGTTGAAACTTACAATCTACGTTTCTTACCCTCCTTCAGCCAGTTCCAATCTGATACGTGAAGCCAACCCACGTAGTTCTGTTTCTACGGTTCACCAAACACCCGAGCATAAAATGTTACGCGAACTCACCCACCTGGGCACCTCGTGTCCAACGTCGCACACCCAGAAACACACGATGAGATCCCGATCCACCGGCGAGCATAATTGAGTGGTACCCGATCATCACCGAAGAATACCCTGCATGCGTACGACGGGGATGCGAACCTGACGGGGCGGATGAAACAGATGGGACAAACGAGACACTGCATTGGAAGATTTACTTCTGTGTTATATTGTATTTTTTAATAGTCTTGTAAAACTTGAACCAGACCTGTGGATATGTTCTAGAAGGTTAAGTCGGACAATATAATATCATGATGACAAGGGTAAATGGATGAAATAGGCAAAAAGAAACGAATGCCAAATTAGGGTTAGGTAGGTCTTTCAAATCGGTGACAGTGCCGCAGTACATCATGCTGGATTATGAGATTGAATTGGATAAGATGCTATGATACTACTAGTAAACTATGTAGGCTGGGTTTGGAATTATGTTGTGTTACGGAATAGATGGGTTGTAAAGAGATAGAAACTTGAACTTTAAGGTATCATGGCAAGCCTGATTACTATTGAGCGCATGTATATTATAGCGAGTGAATGGGAGGTCATGTTTTGAATAGTACCTATTCTCCATATACATCTTTACTTTGCCCTTGACAGGTGGGCTCCTAAAGTAGAAACCTCTTTTCGTGCGGGTAGCAAGTCGTACAATGTACTGTCAGAGCAGTATAGCCAACCGGGGACTCCTTTACGCCTTTGCCTCATTGTGTTGCACGACATTGTGGCTGGTACGGAGTATGGTTGGTTGACCTGAACTGGGCTGGGCTGGGCGAATTCTGAAACGATGGAGTTTGGATGCTTGCGTCGCGTGATCTTGTGGTGGTACCTCGCGCCGAGAGACGTGGATGACCAGTTGGGAATGGAACAAAGCCGAATATGGGGAATTGATTAGGTTACGTAGGTTGGTGTCTTCGTGCGTTGAAAGAAATGTGCAGAAGTCAAGGCGCATGACATAGAAAAATAAATGATCTTAAAAGTTAAGGCAATAGTATCAACCTGAAAGTCCATGTTTTGCACGAAGAAAGTATCATTTGAATTGGGTATTCAAGTTCAAAAAGGCCCCGAGAGGTATGCAAGTATGTACATGAGTGAAAGAAAAACCTCAAGGCTGAGTAATTAAAACCAATTCGTGCTTTCAGTCATCATTTAGACGATAGCGGTTTGGTTGTAGTAAAGATCGCAAGCATGCGGATGTTGCAGGCAGTACTTAGGCTGCAATGCACTGGCCATAACGCCGTTCGCAACGAGGTACTCACGGAAGTTCAGGAGACGCTGGGTGAGCTCGGTAGTGCGCTTGCGGCCAGCAGAGTCACGGTTACCAGACCAGACGAGTTCACCCAAAGCTGCAGCACGGGGCCACATCTCGCTAGAGATGGTGACATCGTCGACTTGTTCAGACCAGAGAGGAGCCTCGGCACCTAGGATATGCTTGGCTTGGGTAGCGGTGAGGTTTGTAGTGAAGTCATAGTCATAGATACGTTGCCAGGTCTTGTACGGGGCGCACCAGGAGCCACCGTTACCGCCGTAGTTGAAGTTTACGCTGCCGTCGGGGTTGGACATGACATCGTAGCGAGGGTCGTTGCCGAGGAAGCCTCCACGACCGCAGTCAAGGTAAAAGAAGTCGGAGGACGAGACGATAACGTCGTAACCTCTGGCAGTGAGGTTCTGGATGTTGGTCAACCCGTTGTTCCAGGACTGCAGGACAATGTCCTTGGGAACATCGTGGGCGGCCTCAGTGGACAGAGCAATGTCCTCCCACATCATGATACGACGGTTCTCACCGGCATCACGGAAGATGGGCACGGCGTGGTCTACCCAGTACTGGGCCAAGTCATTGTAAGTACGCGATGGATCCTCGAGGAACCACTCAGTGACATGGGTGCTGAAGTTGTAACAACCAGGCTGCAGCTCATCGGCACCGGTGTGGAACCAGTTATCAGTGAAGATATCGGAGAGGTCGTTGTAGACATTGCGGACAACTTCATAGGTCCCGTTATAGATAATGTCCAGCTGGCCTGGGTTAGGCTCCACGGCGGTGTGATACTCATAGACATCGTTTGACCACCAGGAATTTGTGCAAGCGACAATGTTGGGGTCGACCTGTTGCCAGCCAGAGGCGGAGTGGCCAGGCATGTCAACCTCAGGGATGACACGAATGCCACGTGTGCGAGCGTAGGCAATCACCCCACGCATATCATCGGCAGAGTAAGTCTCACGGGGCGAGAACGCGTCCTTTGTCATTTGAGGGTAGGTTTTCATGTGCATGGGCCATGATTGAGCATCATCCAGGTGCCAGTGTAGAACATTGAGCTTAGAAAGAGCCATACCATCGATCTGTTCGAGGATCTTGGGGACGGTAATAAAGTTGCGGCCAGTGTCAATCATGATACCTCGGTAAGGGTAGAGAGGCGCATCTTGGATATGGACGGGTTGCTCAATCATAAGGCCACCCTTGCCGTCTGAGATAACGATTTGCTGCAGAGTGGTGAACGCGTGTATCGCACCCCAAATAGTCTGTGCATGGATTTTGACGCTTCCAGCAGTTGCCGTCACCTCCAGTGTGTATGACTCGTCGACACCATGTTGCAGATCGGCATTGGGATCGACCACGTTAAGCTGAACGGACCGAATGGCCTTGGCACCGCGCTTTGTCAAGCCTGCGCCAGTTGGGAAAGGGGGGTACGTTGCGATTGGGGCTTCGGTGGCGGCGGGAACCCATTGGAGAGTGGTGATGGTGCTCCAGGCGCGTTCCCAGGCGTCGATAAGCACGCCACGAGTGTGATCACTGCTCTCACTGGTGCGGAAGGAGAGTTCCTTCACTGCGATTGGGCCGGACGAACCCCAAGTAATATTGCGGGGCGCGGGAAGTGGGTTCACTTTGACGGCTGAGACGGTCGCAGCCAATGTGCCCAAGGTACCGAGGACCATGGAGAACTTCATAGTGATGAGGTGGGTGGAAAGGAGAAGAATCAACTGAGTGGGAAGAAGGAAATGGGGTTTATTTATGTTGAGGAAAAACATGCATGCCGATCACGCTGATCACTTCTCTCTGGTATGTGCATAAGCAAAGTGGGAATAATGAGAGGGTTCAACTGCGGAGCTTCGATAGCGGAGCTCGCCAACTAGAAGCGAAGCACTAGTATAGATCCAATAAACAAATCCCTTGATGTTTCAGCTTATAGATTTGAAGTAAGGTTACATCTCATTTGCAGCTCCACGCGATTAGACCCTCGGGAGTTCAACAGTCAAGTGCGACCTCCACATACTACATCTTCACACTACGACTCTACAGACACGCAACTAGTTATGGCAGTGATAAACAGTGATGGTATGAATTATTATGAATGAAATAGATAAACAAACAATATTCAAGTGATCACTTCCCACGAAAAGAGCTCGGTAACTCTCTCTGTTTATCACGCGTAAATGAATCTCCATGAATTTGGGGGCTGGGAAGACTAAGACTAAGAAGGCTGGAGCATGACTGGCTCATTTTCAAGAATGCCACTGTCACATCTAAAACACATATCTTTTAATACTTTATCTGGTGGCTTTAATTGACTTTTCAAGCTTTATCCCAGTACTTTAATGTCCACCGAACGAGATTGTGTGGGGTATTTGTATACGTCAACTGACCTGGGTAGTATATGGTGATGATAACGGGGTAAAGAGTGAAGAAAAGAGGAAAAATGTAATATGCAGAAAGTATCAAGAATGAAAGATACCATTATAATTTCCAAAAAAAGACTTATGTTTATGCCTTCTCAAATGATTTCTCAGTCTCCATACTCTCACGGAACTCTTCATGGATCGCGGCAATACTCTTCTCAGAAGGTACAACACATGGTCGTCGAGGAAGTCCTCCGTATCCATGATATGACTGTAAAGCACTCTTGACTGCGACAAACCCACCATGGATGGCACCCCAGTCAGCCCGCGCAACAATCGCCTGCAACTTCTGCGCCTCCGCAACCTTCCCGCTCTCATACAGCTCCATCAACCGCACACAAGACCGAGGAATGAGATTAGCCGTGCCACCAATGATACCGTCACCACCGGCAACCAAAGTCTGAAGTGTAAAGTCGGCCGATCCACCAAAAGTCAAGAATTCAGGCTTAGTGGAAGCCGCAACACGAGCCAACTTGCCCGTATTACCGCAGGTGAGTTTACATCCGATAATTTTGGGGTGCTTGGACAGCGAAAGGATATCGTCAGATGACAAGTCTAGTCCGGATGAGGCACCGGGGAAATTATAGATAAACAGTGGGATAGGTGAGGCATCAGCTACAGCCTGGAAGTGTGCGTGGAGGGCCTCATTACTGACGAGGGCCTTATAGTAGCTGGGGGGAAGGACCAGCACTGCATCTGCACCGGCTTCACCGGAGTCCTTGCAAAGCTGGATTGTCTCGCGTGTGGATGCAGCACCACAGCCAGCGATGACTGGCATTGTTGGGTATCCCGCGGCATCGACAGCACGACGTGTTGCGGCGGTGATGGCCTTGCGCTCCTCGCGATCCAGATGCACGGCTTCACCATTGCTACCCTGGGTGACTAGACCAGTCACTCCACTGCGGGCAAGGTATGCAGCATGCTTCTCTGTGGCCGCCAGATCAATCTCTTCGTCCGGCTTGAAGAATGCCACGGTAGGCACATATACTCCTCTAAGGAGAGGGTTCCGCTTGATTGTGCCGTTGGCTGTCATCGTGGATATGGATTTTAGGAACTATAGCGCGGAGAACCGTTAGTACCTAACATTAAGGCAGGAAGATGGGAGGAAATATGGAGAGAATCAACTAACATTTCACGGGTCAAAAAAGAGATTGAAATACGCAAAAGAAAAAGAGAAAGAAAGCATTATTGTCCGGGGGGCAATGGGGGGGGGGGGGAGGGATCAGTTAAATAAACCTTTTACGGAAGTCTTGATCGTCAACCCCCACGTCCCCCACTGCGTCTGATCGAATTAGCCGTTCAGGTTTCTCCGATTTCCATCCAGTACCACAATTTGCCCCGCGTGGGAGGTGGAGAGGGGAGGGGATATCCCATTGATTCTTCATTCTCTGATGTTCTCTCCTCCCCCACGTCTTATGCGGGGTTAACAGGTCGGATTGGACTCGACCAATTCAATCCAGGTTATATTCGGAGGAATTTCCGTGTATACATAGTGTGGTACGGATGTGCTGAGGAGGAGAGGACAACAACAGCGACAACCTTCTCTGGAAGAGAGATAAGTGGTTTTCAGGATTATTTGAAACCACTGCTTGCGAGTTTGGAAATATACTAATATAGCACTTTCCACAAAGCCTTACACTGCCAGTGGTTCAAGAGGTTCAAGTGGTGTTGGATAGTACATCCCCCACATTACGACGTGGGGGTGAGGGTCCATCGGGGATGAAATCCTAGAATCAACAAAGAATTGAACATTCTTGCTGAGAGATCCCGAGGCTATGACTCTCTGAACAATTTGGATTGGTAGCCTAAGATTCGATATCCATTTGAAATACTACCTAACCTGTGGGCTTCATTGTCTAGTAGTATGTCTTATTAGTTGAAGATACATATACTAGTATAGACAAACACAAAGTATTTGTTTCGAATTTAGGAGATGCAAAACTGAAAATCATTCAATCTAAAGGTATGAATTGATCTTAACAATACCTATACTTCTAAAATAGCATCAATGTAGAACGTTCTGCTTCATCCTATCGCCATTAATACGATCGTGGTTGTTACTGCCAAGAACCTCTCTACCTAGCATCAAACGCCCTCAACCACCGCGATCCCGACCCGTGGACTTCATTCCGGTGATCATTTTGCCGAACTCCCCAAATAGCAAGGACTGATAACTCATCTTCACCAATAGAACCCGACCTTCGACCACCGATCGGTACTATATACACACTATGACCGGCGACTGAAACCCTCTCCGCATTTGCCCCCTCTCCCATCGAGCAATGGCCCTCTTGTCGCGGCTGCCGTCGCTCCGCGCTCCTGTGCGACGGCCTGCCCAAGACCACACAAGGAACGATGGCCGGCCGCCGATGAAGAAACAGCGCACCCTGGAAGATTATGGCGTGCGCCGTCGCCGGAGTTCTCCAGATTGCTTGGGAACCACCGCCACCGCCACTACCACCACCACCACCACCCAGGAGATGCACCCGGTCGGCAACCCTCGACCCGTGAAGCCTCCCTTGAAGGCTGCGCACTCGCGGACCTCGACAAGACGCGCTCGTCGCAACTCCTCCTCATCCATCGACTCGTTGGCATCCAATGCTCAATTGAAAACTCCGAGTCAACTTCATATCAATGGTAATGGCTCTACTAGGAATATTCGTGTACCCGACCGTACCCCCTCCGCTGTACAAAATCTACGCGATGAATCTCCCGACCCATTGGACACGATCTCTCCAGTCGTAGCGGCCACTCCTACGCGACCGCAACCTACAACTTCCACCCACGCGCCCGAGCCCGAGAATAGTCTCCCAAATGTCTCTCCTATGACAACTCGGACAACCCGACAAAATGACTTCGAGCCCAACGCACAAGTGGCCGAAGTGGTCGAGAAGGACGAAACACAGCCAAAGCCGGAACAGCCGAGTATAGCGAGCCCGAACGCTGCGACAAGATCTCAGCAGAAGCGCAAGAGTGATATTCTCTCGAGAGAGCTTCTTGTGACCACCCCCGCAGCGGCCCCAGCAGCGACGGAGAGACGGTCGTTGCGGTCTGCAGATACTGGTGCTCGCTGCAAGAGCGAGCTGGCCCAGTATTTCTATAATTACGAGCAAATTATCAGCCTCGAGAGTCCTAAGCCTGGTAGGGTCCCACTCCACGCTTCTTTGTCTTTCGTGACAATCTTTGTGACTGACAACCATGTGCAGTAGTGGAAACACTCGCGGCCAATACCATTATCGCTCTGGTAGATGACCTCTCTGAGGCACTTCCCTTCACTTCCTCACCAGATCCTACACCATTTGGTAACCCGCTACAAAAACTTTACGATTGCGAGAGTATAACACTTCCTATGCCTATAAAACAGCCACCCGAGGACCCTCTCAACGAGGAATTTTTCTTTAAGTCCCATCGCCGATTTGAACGGCAGGAGAAGCAACTGCGAAATATCGAGCGCGACCGTGCACAACATGAAAAGCAGCAATTAGATCGGCTTCTCGAAGAGCTACGTAGCCAGGATTGGTTGCGGGTGATGGGATTACCTAGCGTTCACGAGAGCGAGAAGAAGCTCTATGAGCCAAAACGAGAGATCCTGATCCAAGAACTTGTTGCTCTGCTAAATAAGTTCCAAGTCTGGAAAGACGAGGAGAGGAAGCGCAAACTGATCAAAGAGAAATCCGTTCCACCTGCAGAAGCGGAAATCGAGTCTCGACGCTCACGAAAACGCTCGCGACCCGTCGAAGAAACCGAGGGGCAGGAAAGCTCACTTACCCCCGGGCCTGAAACACCAAGTACCCCCGACTCCAATGATGTAGACGCATTGGCTGCACGACAGCTTCACCAAGAAGCCCGTTCGGCTTCAGATTCAGCAGCCAAAAATCGCAAATCAACATCAAACTCACGTAAACCGAAGCCCAATTCTGCAGACGCAGATAGGGAGAAAACAAACAATACCGATAAAAAAGGCTCACAAAAACAACCTCAACCTCAAAGTCTCGACCCCTCTCCTTCCTCTCCTCCTCTAGCTCCTGTTCCATTCTTTCTCCCTCAACCCGATGACAAACCCTTCATCTCGTTCTTTTCCGACGACAAAGAGCGCGAAATCGCCTTATCTGCAATACCAGGGAACAGGGAGGAGCGGACTCATCACGTCCTTGCGTTTGGTCAACCAATCCCAGAGGTAGAGGAGCAAGAGTTTCAACCACCAGAAGATCTGATCACCGAAGAAGCTCTTCAGGCCTCACAGCGCCAGCGTCGTCTATTAAAGAGACGAAGCCATGGAAAAGCGGATTGAGAGTGACTTTGCTTACGTGCGGAGCGCAGTGTTATTTTCTATATTGTGTTTTTATCAAACTTCTGTTTTCTGTATGATCTTGTGTATGATAGCATAGAGGCGTTCTGGCATGGCATGTCTGATTTGAGGTGGGTTTTAATCGGCGTTGATATTGTGAGGAGTATTCTGTCTGTTTACTTCGTACAGCTAGTGAAATGGAAATTGGATGGATTCAGATCAAGCCATAGTGCAAATCTGATTTCCATCTTATCATAATATTCAGATTTTGCTTACGAGCGTAAAGCTGAGGATGATTTTCATCTTCTTTCTTGTCAGGCCATGGATGCCTCCGGATTCTAGGATATCGGGACCGCCCATAGCGACTCGGAGTTTCCATAACTGCTCTACTTTGCAGATTCGAGTATACGCATCATCTTTGAAGGATGGTTTCATTCTGGCGAAGTCTTTAAACTCCATTCCCGATATACTTCTCGCACCATCGGCCAACTCTTAACACCGTATCAACCCAATATTTCTGGTCCTCAAAGCTATGCCCCTGACCAGGGTAAATGACCAACTCAAAAGGCAAGCCATAACTCTGCAACGCCCGTCGCAATCCCCAAGCCTGCGAGACATGACATCGCGCATCTGCATCCCCATGCAAAATGAGCATGGGAGGAATCACAGGCATCCCTTCAACCTTAGCCCTAGCCATAGCATCCTTGAATCCCCAAAGAGCACTAGCAGATCGATTGCGAGTATCATTCAAATCCATATTCCACACCACACCACCACAAGATAACTCAGGCTCAAACGAGCTTCCAAAATCAGAAGTCAACGCCATGGAATCGATATCGCAGATACTGGCTCCTGATATCGCTGCCTTGAACCTCCATCCTCCGTTATGTGAGCCATTACGCACACTGCAGAGATTAGTTAGGAAGCCGCCTTGGCTCCAACCGCCCACTAGGAGCCGGTCTTTATCTGCGTATCCTTGATCTATTGCATACTGGGTAAGTGTGATGATGTCTGCGTAGTCGTGTATACCGAGTCCGCCGGTGGAATAAGAAGTGAACTGTTGTCCGCGCCCGCTACTTCCGCGGTAGTTTGGTAGTAGGATACCGAAGCCGAGAGAGAGGAGATATGGTGCGAGCATGTAGTAATATGTGTTGAAAGCATTTGTGAGACGGGTGTTTGGTCCGCCGTGAATTAGCACTGCGGTTGGCAGGGGCCGCTTGTTTGTATTTGTGGATGCAGATGATACTGGGGTGAGATATAAGGCATCCAACTCGACATCTCCATCTGATGATATCTGAGTTAAGAATGTGCAAGTGCCAAACTGACGATCGGCGAGAGACTTTCCATGATTTGAGAGTTGAGTCATGGGTCCATCTGAAGAAGTTGTAATGAAGACCTCGACAGGTTGAGTGATGTTTGAGGTTGCCACGGCGAGGACAAAGCTTCCATCAATATCGGTTCCTGCGTCGAAAGCTTCAAGTTCCTCCTTTTTACTATATACTACCGTTCCATCAAGGAGACACACACGAGACTCAAGTCGATGTTGTACCTTGATATAAAGAGTCCCATCTCTATCACACGTGATACCCATAGAATCATCCTCGATCCCATGCGATACATATTCATAAGAACTGGAATCTCCACCAAACCCAGCACGATAAACGCCAAATCCACCAAACATCTTACCCGCAGGGACACCAGCACAAAAGTAAAGATTGTCTCCAGCAGCCCATTCGAGATCAACAATCATTCCAGGGAAATGACATAGATCTTCCACCGAGACAAGATCAGCATCAACGACAGATATCCTCGTCCCAGTAAGATGACATTCCTCATTATCAGGCGTCAGACAACTCGAAAAGCCAATACGAGCTCCATCCAGGCTCCAGCAAAAGTCTCTAACGTCTCTCTGAAGCTTGAGACTTCGCACCTGCTTCGTAGATAAATTGACAATTCTCAATCGGGTAAACTGCCAGGCTTCGCCCCAGGCCCGCAATCCCCCACCATAATCCTCATCAGCGGAAAGGAACGCGATTTTCGTTCCATCAGGCGAGAACACAAGCGTTTTGATGAAACTTGCATTTTCAATTGGTGTGATTGGATATGCATCACCATTTTCTAGTGTCTGAACGTACAGAGCCCATTTAGTACCCGCCTCAGCGCGGTCTGAGACGAAGGCGATCGTCTTTCCATCCGGGCTCCATGCGGGGGCTTGATCGCGGAAAAGACCCTGGGTAAGTTTGGTGGAAGAATTTGCGCAGTGGGCTGTGGCGAGCCAAAGGGTTGATACTGCGGATTTGCCCTTTTTATGACACCATGTGAGTTCGCTTGAGTAAAGGACTTTTTTTCGATCGGGGGAAAGATGGATGGTTTTTGGAATTTCAAGGTCGCAGAGGGATTGTATTAGTTGTTCGTTGGAATTAGCCATTGTGACTGGGAGAGTTGAGTGGTGTTGAATAGTATTCAGATTTGGATGTTGGTCATCGAGCTTGGTTCAATACACAGTTTGGCTAAGGGCCACGTATTTAAACACTAGTAAATAGAAATTGTGAATTTGGAAGATGCCTATTTTCATAGCGCTTCTTAGCAGCTAGTCGGCTAGCGGGTAAAAAAATTGGATTTCAATCATTTGGCCCCCAAAAGCTTGTTGTATTGATTATGGGTATGTGATCATTTTTTAAATTCGCAAATTTGATCATGCACATTGAATCTAGTTCTAAAGTTCCTGTTGAGTCCCCTCGGCTATCATTAGTATCCAGGGCCTGGGCCCCGAGACTCAGGACTAGGACAATGCCAGCTCCCCACCAGAAATATGAGGCCGCAGCACAGCCAAAATCTCCTTCCAAACTTCCTTCTGAAAGGCTTTCCCTCGAGTACTCGTCACAGGCTCGCCCTTACTATAAAATTTTAGTGAATTATTGGGGTATAGGTTCAACCCGGCCCAGAGCTTACTTGAAGAACATATCGCCACTCCATAGCTGACCGTGTGCTTCTTCCCCTTGAAGAACTCCACTAACATAGCTTCTGGCACCCTGTTCAGCCGAGCGAGCAAAGACAGAATGAAACAGGGCCATCGGGGCTTTCATGAGAGCTGGAAAGTCTCGACCTAGTGTTGAGCGACATAGTCCAGGACAAACAGCGTTGATGATAACATCCGTAGCGCATTTATCTGGGTCTGACGGAGATAAAGCTTCTACTAAGCCTTGCATGACGTAGAACTCAAATAGCTTGGAAACACCGTACTGTTTCTGTGCCGTGAAAAAGGATGCTTGATTGGCTTGCTCCAATATCCCGATCTCATTCGAAAACTCATTGATGTTGACTCCACGCCCTGCAATGCTACCCACTATCTCGAGGTGAGTAGAGTTGCCAGCCAGACCGGCCGACCTTTTCAGTTGAGGGAGAAGTAGGATTCCCAGAAGCGCAGTCGAGAGAACGTTGACTTGTAAGGACATCTCATAACCTTCGGGGCTGAGATTCCACGACGGCGCAGCAATACCAGCATTGAGTATAGCAATGTCCACATCCTGTTTCTTCGAAATATTATTTGCGAATGACTTTACAGAAGCGAAAGTGCTCATGTCGAGGTCATAAAGCTTCACGTTCTCTGCACTGCAGCCTGTCTGTTGACATATCCGGGACCGAGCCTCTTCGCCTCGCTTGAGAGATCGCACAGCAAGTAAAAGACGCGAGGCACCTAGAGATGCAAACTTTAAAGCAGCTTCAAAGCCTAGACCGGTATTTGCTCCTGTGATTAACACCGTTTTCCCAGCGAAGGACACTGTTGGATTTGCTGGAGGGTGACGGACGCCCCACCAAATCATGGAAAATCCTTGATTATCAGGAGGGTTTGACGCCATATTGAGAGGCTATTGACTTGAATAAGTGGAAGGATTCCTGATCAAGGGGTTTCGACAGATGTATTGTTCTCTTTATAGCAAGGTTGTCAATACTCCGAATAACGTTCCGATAGTTCGGATGGTTGGTCATCGCCGATATCAGGTTCCATGATTGGGATTCTTGAGTAAAGACATAATTTCTTTAAGCGACCTGCAATGTCCACGAGGTTCATATAATGGTGGTTGTTCTGCTGCTTCCTCATCCAACATAAGGCGTAGCATCTGGATTGTTTTCGGGTTCCCCGAAGGAGCATCTATAGTACCTTCGTTGTCGGTGATACCAAATTTAGTCTCAATTTTGCAGATCATGTCCTCGCTGATTTGAACTAATATTTGTATTTGAAGGTCCACTCTACCTTCAAGCTTGAATCCTCCGAGATGCATACCCGGAAATATTTGTGGCGTTGTATTTTGGATGCCTGATAAACTAGGCATAGAATCTAAAAGACATGCAAAGATAGTTCGATAAATGCGAGTAAGGCTCACGTAGCATGACATAAGAGCTAATAAAGTAGGAGTGTCGCAGTTCATATTTGATGACTTTGTTCCCGGTATAGTCGGCAGGAGGTAGTTCAGAAGATCAAATAGAGTTGTTGAATGTTCTAATGTTTGCCCGACTAAGATGTTTTGAGGCGAGATAGAACTGAAGGATTCCATGGCTTCCGGACACTTGTCGGCTGTCTTGCATGCTTTGACTGTCTCAAGATCCATGAGAATGCTTGCCTGTAAACCAGCCAGCTTTTTGAGGTTATTTTGTCGTATATCTGCGTGTGAAGTAACTGGCGTGACTTCATCCATAAAATCGATGGGATCATATTGTTCAAGAATGGATGGCCAGTCAAGTTCTTCAAAATTGGATGGCTCTATGAACGGCCGGGGTGCCGAGCCATCCTCGTAGGATACGAGGTTGAGCGTGTCAAGAGGAGAAGCTCTTGAGACCTCTGGCATTGGATTTTCGAGGTCGGAGCTCGGTGTACTCTGAGATGGGATAGTAGACTGGTGTTGCTCTTGAGGACTATCTGGCTGTATAGGACGGCCAGATCTGAGCGCCGGACCTGTCGTGCATGCTGCGTTAGCTTTCTCGCATCGGTAACATGCTCGTGATGCTGTTCCACGTTGACACCGAAGTTTATGTCGACGGCAGCGGTCGCATGCTGAGCGTTTATTGCCTAGACTTTCTGGATGCATAAACAGGAATGTATGTTTTTTGATTTTGTATTTATTGTGGGTAAGAAAGGGGTATTGAAATGGAGATGCTGCGGCCAATTGGTGAGACTAGATTGATGCCTTGAAATTGAGGGGCGTCATGGGACAACATCAATTGATGAGATCCGATTATATTGGGCCTAGGGCTAATACTAGTCTAGTATTAGCTTAGTACTAGACAAATATTAGCTCCACAGTAGTTTCGGATTAGAGTAAAGCCGAAAGTATCAAACTGATGAGGGCAATAGTGGAGTTTATCCGAAAACAAAGCCTAGATGGTCCAGTGGTAAGACACCTGCTCCATATGGCCCTTGGCGCCCTTGGTATTTCTGGCATATTGGTAGAAAAATCCAAGGCAACTCCAGGTGGAATTGTAGGAGACGGGGGTTCAAATCCCCCTCTGGGCGTTTCTTTTTTTCTTTCTTTCCCCCTCCCCCCCCCCTCATGAGCAGAATAGATCAGATACTTAAGCAGGCCGAAAAGTAAGGACCCAGTCTACAGAATGGCGAGGTAGTATTGCATGAGTCTGAGCCGGGAATATCTTCGATTTCCGATTCTACTACGTAAATTGCCGGAGCATGAGGAGCCCGAGCAAACTTAGTTTGAATCTGAGAAATCTCACCTGGAAAAGGATAATTATTGATTTGACGAGATGATACCAAGAAAGTCGAGATCTATACCTAAGTGATTAATATGAAAAGGGATCTATGGATCGGTTCCAAAGTGAGAAGTGGTGATCTCTAGAGCCAACCAGAAGCTTCGGATATCAACGCTAGCCATGTGCAAAAGAACAAGCTGCTTGAATTGGACCCATAAAAATCCCATGTAGTGATTCAAACCATGCAGCCTTTTAGCGCGTGGATCCTTTAACTCGGTGACAAACCGATTTTGGCCACCGAGGCATCCGATCTTCCATAGGGGCAAATACTCAGATCCCTCAATGGATGTATAGCTGCTATAATCACCAGGAACAGTATAATTCAGCACCAATTCATATGTAGTGACTCGTGAGGCAAATAATGAATCTGGGTGGCTGAGCTATAATTTTCAAGTGGCTTCACCCTGCAGAAAGATCGACATACCTTAAAGACCCGCCATGTGGAAGAATTCTATCAAGTATTCCAGCGACCATAGTATAGAGCAACCCATGAAAAAAAAGCTATTTGGCCACGCCGGCATCGGCGCAGAACTTTTTTTTTGCTGTTTTCCCCAGTTTTTCCAGGACCTTCAGGCTCCAGTGCAGAGCCAATTTTGATGGTTTTCATTACGTCTCGGCGCCGTGATTCGTCTTGTCGGGCCGATGACCGGTTCAGACCCACTATTCAAGCCGCGCCGTTCTTGGACGGGCGAGAACTTTAGCAGAAGAACTTTTGACTCAGAAGATCTTTTCTCTTTTCTATTTATTGTTTTGTTTGAAGTTGCCTTTGCACTTATTTTACTCGGTTGTCGATACTAAAAGCTTGTTGCTTTGTGGTTTCCTTCGCTTTTGTTCTGTGCCGGATTTGCCAGAGCTATTCCTCGACTACTTCCGATTGAACATACAGCTTCGAATAAAGTTATTAGGAATGGGTGTATCGATGGAAACGCCAGCTGCAGCGGGGGAGTTGGATGTGCGAAATCAACCGAAGAATGACGAGCTCGATCAGATGAATTCGGAGGTCGATGAGAAGCAGGATTTCACTCCGGCATACCAGCAAGATGCCTTTGGCAATGAGGAGTTCGCGGAGGTAAAATATAAGGTGTTGAGATGGTGGCAATGTGGTCTGCTCATGGTAGCTGAGACTGTATCACTCGGTGTTCTTTCTCTTCCCGCAGCTATCGCAGCCATGGGTTTCGTTCCATCTGTCATTGTCCTCATCGGCCTCGGTATTATCACAACCTACACCGGATTCATCATGGGTCAGATGAAATTGCGATATCCTCAAATCACAACAATGGCCGATGCGGGTGAAGTTATCGCAGGAAAGTTTGGACGCGAATTTATCGGAGCTGCTTGGAGTATCTTTTTCGTCTTCATTATGGCTAGTCACTTGTTGACCTTCACTGTCGCCATGAACACCATCACAAACCACGGAACCTGCACCGTTGTGTTCGGAATTGTGGGAATGATCCTTTCGTTCATTTGTACCCTCCCCCGAACATTGGAGAAGATGTCATGGCTCTCTATCGTGTCCTTTGTCTCTATCCTGTCAGCTGTTCTGATCACCATGATCGCTCTGGGCATTGATAAGCCCGGAGCTGGCCTAATCGCTGTCGCCAACACCAACTTGTACCATGGCTTCACAGCTGTCACCAACATTGTATTCGCATTCTGCAGCCACGGCGCATTCTTCGGTTTGATGGCTGAGCTCCGCAACCCTCGTGACTTCACAAAGTCCCTTTGCCTGCTTCAGGGCATCGACATCTCGCTGTACTTGATTACAGCTGTCGTGATTTACCGCTACGCTGGAGATGGTGTTACTTCACCTGCTCTGGGATCTGCCTCGCCTCTTATCTCTAAGATTGCTTATGGTATTGCGCTTCCAACGGTATGTTTTAGGCTTCTCCGAACTGCTTCTTAGGAGCACAGTTAATTCTAACATGGATATAGATTGTTATTGCTGGTGTTATCAACGGTCACGTTGCAGTCAAATACATCTACGTCCGAATCTTCCGTGGTACAGACCGCATGCACAAGCGCGATGCTATTGCCATCGGTTCTTGGATCGGAATTGCCTTGACCATGTGGATCCTTGCTTGGATTATCGCCTCTGCGATTCCAGTTTTCAGCAACTTGCTGAGTTTGATTGTACGTTTAAAACCCCAGAAATTCAAAGTGCTTCGTTTCAAATTACTAACTTGAATTTAGACTGCTCTTTTCGCTAGCTGGTTCTCTTTTGGATTCCCTTCCATTCTCTGGATGCACATGAACAAGGGCGTGTACTTCTCATCACCTCGCAAGATCACCTTGACAGTGATCAACCTGATCATTATTGGAATTGCATTCGCGCTCTGTGGAATGGGTCTTTGGGTCTCTGGCAAAGCCATCCATGATGATCCCAGCAGCGCAAGCTTCTCATGCGCGAATAATGCTTAAGGGCCCAAAAATTGCATACTCTTCCGGGGAAAACGGCGTTCTGGCTTTTACAATGGGAAAATTGCATTTGCATTTCTTGTTCATAGACCATGTCATCTTTTCGACCAGCCTTGTTTAATTATGTTACTTGCATCCAGCATATTGTATATAATATTTTCATCAAAACGATGCTTTGCATATATGATCACATTACTGCTTTCTAATCCAACGTCCCATCGCTTCGTTGGAATCTCGTTAGCCAGCGCCGTTGGCGGAAGGATCCACTGTATCTCACATAATACTGGCGAGGCTTAAAGCCGAGCGGCCCCCAAATCTTACCCCGGCTATTAATTCTCCATTGTTGCCATTCAAGTTCATCTCACCTGTGCCATTAACCTCAACCCCTTTCATCCGCTTATCCCAATTCTCACCCGCAAAATGGCTTCGATAATGCCCCCAATTCCACGAGCATTCTTCCTCTACGGAGAGCCATGTCTAGTGTAGGCCCACCAACACAAACGCCCTAATATCTCCTCCCGCACAGCTAGAGAACATAGCTCTAATCTCCCAACAGCTTCTTCGGCGGTTTTCTCAACCCAGTCCTCAATCCAACCGCCATTACCTCCTTACTCCCACCCCACCTAGCCGGCCGAGGCACATCAGACCCCTACCCAACCCCAATGGAACACCTCCTAGGCCTCCAAACAGCCACAATGATGTTCATGACAGTCCTCCTCAACATCACGATAATGCTTTACGCCAAGAATCCGAAAGTAGTCCATGGGTTCGTCCTTAGCTCTGCTATAACTGATATCCCGCATTGGGGATCTTTGATCTACGTGCTAGGCTGGGAGGGACTATCGCAATGGCGAACATGGGATTCCTCGCTGTGGGCGCAGTTTGCTGTCCCGGCGTTTACTATGTGTTTCAAGCTTGGGTATTTGACTGGTGCATTTGGGCCTGATAGATTGGAGAGCGAGGATACTAGCAAGAAGCAAGGAAAGAAGTCGAATTGAGTTTGAACAATCGAGGTCTTTGTTTTGATGCTCTGTTGGCAGGACAATCAGCATTGTGTTTGTCAATGAAGTCTATCTTGGAGACATGCTTATAGTTTGCCTGGCCTTGCGTTGGACACGAGGGGTTTCTGGGGTTAGTTTTTTATGTCGGGATTTGTCGCTGTATAAAAATAGCGCGATGAGGTTGTGGTGCAGATCTCGCGACGCTCGGGATGGCGTGGGGATTGGTGGATGTGAGGGCGTGGAGTTCCACGGTAGGACGTGGGATCGTCTTGGCCTCGAGGGTCTCTGTATGTAGGTGATTGTCACTCTTGGCCCTTGCAGGAACCGGCTGAACTATTGGTGGGAACCAGAGTCGTTTACCCCTTGAGAGATTATTTTATTCTATTTCTTTTTCAATTTCTTTTTCGTAGACTGTTCACGTTTTTGATTAATTATTTGATTTAGAGGAGATCAGACATGCAGTGCTACATGCATTTCCTGGGCGTGGTAGACGCGGCCCTGTCGCTCCCTGACCGGATGAGAATAGCGTATGTCAGCGATGAGATTTCGCTACTGGAACAAATATGATGATAAGCAGACTTATTGCATTCCAATTAGTAACTCTACTTTATCCTCGGTGAATGAAGGATTGAATAGAAGGGCAATGATTTCCGGCAGGGTGCCATCATGCCGGGTATTCCGTCATAGTATCCACTCTGCATCTCCACCCCGGATATCGCGGAGGGCGAAGAGAAGCATTCAAGATAGATGTCATCATCGTGGGGTCGCAGTTGATTCTACCGGTAGATCTATACAGACTATAATTTACGACAGATGTAGTATCTACGGAGTTTAAGCAAGCCGTCTGAATCATAACGCACGCTGACTCAGAAGTGGCAGGAATGTTCACGATTGGAGCGATCGCCCGTTCCTTGCCAACCCGACCGGGTATCCGGGATCAAGTTTTTTTTGCTCTGACTTGAAGACAAGGAATATGGGACAAACTGAGCCCATTTGGTGTAGCACCTATGGTAAGCCGATAGGAACTAGATGTTCAGGGCACGGTGTTCAGGGCTGATGGTTGGCATCGAGTCATCTGCGGCTATCCCTTTGTAGATCACATGTACAGAGTGTGTCACCAATTAAGCATTGACCTACCAGCTTTGTGATCTGCTGCAAGGGCTAGACCAGATCATTGCGATAGCCCGGAATCTAGACCATCCCCAACCTCAATCGTGAATGTCATGATCTAGATCGATAATTGATGTTCAGCGCATAACGGCGCTACTGGGCTAGCGGATAAGCTTAATCGATAGTGCACGGGTCATCAAGCCTCAACCAGGAACGAGAACCGGGCTGTTTTTTTTTTTTTTTTTTTTTCAGAAGAATTTTATCTGGAAATAATGAGAAGTGGGGAGTCAAGGGTCATTGAACGGGATCTCCGCGGAAACCACTCTGCGTCATCGTTGTGGAGGAAGAGAAGGAGAATTGGACTTGAACATGTGGGCTCGATGCAACTGTGAAGGGGGTGACTAATCAATCACTGGGCCGCGGGAGATTCGGGTCAAACAAGATATAGTGAGAGAGCTAAAAGTAGTTTATTTGTGACTCATTACTTCAGAGAGAGAGGGAAATAGAGATAGACTTGATTGTTAGTGTCCGCAAACTATTTAGAGTAGCCGACTATAGAAACAGACGGAGTGGAGTCTGGACAGGGTCAAATTTGCCTTCTAATGATATCACCTGTACTGTCTGTACAGGACGATCCATGGAACTAAACTTGTTCAAGTAATTTACAGTGGGGCTAAACTGTCTACTTAACTATGTAGTTCTATGTAGAAAGTTAGGTACCAGCATTAACTTCGAGTCCGATCCAAATTCTTATGCCCACTCTTATTCTAGTGCCGATCCATTCGGAAGCATACGCAAGTACTCACGTCAGAGCTCCCCAATGCTTTCCCTTAAAAGCCCCGAACAGACCTCGTCGCTCCTTCCCTCCCTCGCTTCTCTTGACTCGAAAATATCCACGTCTGACCACCTGCAGCTGATCCCCCTCTAGCGATCCGCTCTGCAGCTTCTAGTGCCGCCCCACCCGATCTGTGCCTACTCATCCTATATAACTATACCCGCGTGATCCTTGAGCGCTGATCCCCCTCATCTCTCACTTAAATCCACAAAGATATCCCCTCCCTTCAACCCGTTCTGGACTCGAAAACCACACCAGAGACTACAAGCGCCCAGTGGGGATTTCATCAAATGGCCGCCGTGGACTGCATCTCCATGGCCTCGCGCCATCACCCCCACCATCCCTACAACCAACATACCAGTATGGCACGATCCGCCAGTACGGGCAGCAGCAATAACCCATACGCGAGATACATGTCCCCCACTTCATCTCTCCTCTCTCGACGATCATCCATATCCGAATACTCTTATTCACCTGCACCAGCCTGGTGGACCGGAAGACCAGAGCACCATCCACCTGAGCCAAAGCGACGTCGCGACAGCACCAGTCCCAACGCACACCCCAGACGCAGTCGCTCTCAGAAATATTCGCGCAACTCGCTCCTCGTCAACCCTGATATTATCGACGAGCTTGACGATGTCTCCTTCTACTCATACCACCACGAGGGTCCATATGATGCAGTCTGTCCTGAGCGAAACCGCCTGACTCAACATAGTCCGTTAGAGGCTGTACGAGAGTCCAACGAAGAGGCTCTGCGCGCAACACCACGACACAAAATTATCGATTCACTGAACAGCCACCGACCACTTGATGGAACTGCATTCTTCCCACCGGGAACAACTGATCGAAACGGACAGTCATATGACTACGAAGAGGGCTCAAATATGATGAATGAATTTGGAAACTTCATGCGACTTCCGGGAAAGGTAAGAAATTCCTCACGTGGATCTGTCAAAACTGTTTTTATCTGACTCTTTCATTCCAGAAATTCACCGATGAGGACTTCAAGAATGACCCCTTCTACAACCGACCACTTTCGAATCCATTCACATCACTACGGAAGAAGCTCAGTCTGCGACGTAACAAGAAGCGCCGAAGTACCGCGTGATTCAACATCTCGGAATGTTTTATGCGACACTTTTACTCATGACTTGACGACATGACGGTCTCGGATTTTTACGACTTGGGTTATTATTGACTATGGGACTCGAATGACCCTGCTTTGTATCAAATATTTTTTGTTCGTGGGATTGCGGCTTTTTTATCTTTGTACTCTGGGTTCAATGTTGTTTGGTCCTTTGGTGTTTTATAAGAACGGCATGGCGTTCTGTGGAAGGGACTACTTTGTATTTATGATTACCCTCTAATGAAATGACTTTCACTTTTCAATATTTGACTTAGCTGAATTGTAGATTTGGAAGCATTGCTGTAAGCTTCGTGTGAAGTATACCATCTCACATCCCGAGGTTATCATAGCATAGTATTCGTAATACTGTAGCGTTTTGTAGCTAAATAGCTGACAGTGGACGCCCTCTCGTTGCATGCTTCAATCCATGCTCCGAGCCCACCAAGTTCATGGTCGATTAAAGAACTAGAGTTCATGTATTCTGGGGTTGCTGTGAGTCATCGAGTTTTGTTAGCCAGATAAAGGGTCTCAATTTTCTACCAGGTCGTCGGGGCGCGCCGTGAGTGTAGAAGTTGAGCTCCGATTCATACTCGTCTTACATATTGACTTTTCCAATTCCTGCAGTTGCCTTCCAAGGTTAGTAGGTACCCAATTAAATCCCTCGGAAGAATGTGTTAAAGCGCATATCAGAGCGTATTGTTCCACCCCGGAATTCAGCTTCTCAGGTACCCTGAAAACGCACAAAATACAGTTTTCGTCTTACAATACATTTTCTTTAAGTGCCTAGGTAAAATTCAAAGGTCCCACCTTGTGCGACCGTTTTAATTCGTCCTCAAGTACTCTCTTTAACGGCAGAACCTCGGCCCAATGTTCTAGCTACCTGAATTAGTACGCTGACGACCCCGGATAATTATCCCATGTGTGAAATGCGGGGTTTATGTGGAGCTTCGGCATCTGATTCTCCGCATTATGAACAAGCTGCCGATATAATATAGCTAAATGCCGTTTGGAAAAGGGGAACTCGGATATGAAATCGGGATGTATTGATCTGCTTAAATATTTAGGATAGAAATAAAAGGAGATGATATGTCTTAAAATCATACGTGAGAAATCGCCAAGATCTTCAAGTTTGTCGCACAACCAAATCTTTCGAGTACAAACATCACCGGAAAAAGTTGAACAAGTCCAAATAGCATCATGTATCTGAACAAGCTACTTAAAAGCGTTTTGACCATTCTCCCACTATCAACCTTACAAGCTGTCCACGCAGCATCAACGCCCCCCACACCAGACCTAAGTTTCCTCTACACAGCATACGTCCTCTGTTCCCCAAGTATCTACGAAACACAAGGACCCTCTGGAATCCAAAAAGCCATCCCTATCATAGGCGGAAACTTCACTGGGCCCCGTCTCAGTGGGAAAATTCTAGATCTTGGCGCTGACTGGGGTAGCACGGATCCCCAGACTGGTATTTTCTCCGCAAACACGAGATACAATCTGCAAACGCACGATGGAGCCAATCTCTTTTTACAAACTTCTGGTCCGAAGCAGAAGGATGGAAACTTGCATTTGAAAATTGATATCATGACTGGGGATAAGCGATATTACTGGGTGAATAATATTGTTGGTGAGTTTTTTTGCTTTCATTTCTCTTTTGCTTATCTCAGATGGAGATAGACTGGCGAGGGGCTTTAAAATTTCTTGGCTTTTACTAATTGAGGTTTAGCTTTTGGGATATTGCATGGTGTTGGAGAGAGTGATGAGGGGATCTCGACTTTGCGGATTGATGCTTGGCATGTAAGTTGCTGCTCGAGTGGAGGTTATGTTTGTGATTTTCTTTACTGATGGAGGCAGATGACCTCTGAGTGGAATTCAACTACTTTTGTGAACGGATCAACTTATCATTAAGAGAAATGGCATGGAAATGACTGACGGGAGACCTAGTATTATTTACTAGAGAGTCTAAGAGAGAATGGAGAAAAGGGCTTAGAACTGTCTCCAGAGTGGCTAGGACAAACCATGTTTGATAGACAGAGAGGCGCTGCTCGGATTTGAACACCCGAAAAGCATCGATCGTGATAGAAGACCAAAGAAATGCACAACATTGAATATCTATTTGAACGTACAGAGTATAAACTTGACGCAAACCAAAGATAAGTCAACAAGGCAGACCCTGAAACCGCCCCTCAGCCACGCGTGTGATGAACCAAATAACCAGCGCAGAGAAACAGTGGGCCCAGGCTGTTATGCAATCATATATGCTTTCAAGCGGAATAAACTCATGACTAAAAATAACTTAACGCGCCAAAAGAAGTCGAGCAGGGAATGAAATGGCTTATCTCGAAATCGGGCTTCATGCAGACGATGTACGCCATGACAACAAGAAGGAAGAAAAAACATTGAGAGCATTAGCAGATTTTTCACATCGAACTTGAACTCGTGGCATGCACTCAATAGGGGCTCATACCTAGCCAAGAAAGGCCGAGCGACTGAATACGAGTTGAGGCTCTTCCGAGTGACGAGAGCGTTGAGCCCAAATGAAGAAAAGGGTCATTCTAGGCACCAAAGTGCCCTAAGCGCGGGTTTGAAGTTTGGTTCAGGGCTAGTTTGGGGTTTTTTGATGGGGCTATGATCGTATCGAGAGTGGGTTGACTCTGTCGATCGGTGTTGATCCCGTTCTGAGTTTGTGAGGCTGATCGGGTGAAGATCAAAAAGATAAAATAGCCGTCAAATATCTATGGCCCTTTGCTCTAGGCTCTCTAAAAAAGAGCCCAAATCGTCGTTCCAAAGCACTTCAGCGCTATATTCCTGTTAGATGAAAATTCTCGTCGACATTGACATGTGCGCCGCAAAGGGAACAGCCAAGCCACTAAGCATCTTAGATACGAGATGGGTCACTTTCGCGAAGCAGATGAGTTAGCTCCATTTTTAGCCTTGGCAATGGTGGCCTTTGATAGGTTGACAGGACATCTAAAAAGTCAAAGTTTAAATTAGTTCGTATTGACGATATTTTCAGGGTCCGATCATGATGGCAGTGCCTGCCCTGATCCAGTACTTTAAAATTCCTTATTTCCAGTAAAATGATATTGTGACAGCCAAGTTCTCTCTTTTTCAAATTCTCCCTGGCCACAAAAACGATCCCCGGACCCTCCACCACAATATTCATTTCGCAACGATGAAAGCTGGCCCAGTCCAATCGCGCCTCGGAAAGTGGTACCCGATCAGCTTTTTCATAGCCGCCATCGTCTTTTTCATCATCGGTGGTGCGCTCCTCGGTACATACTTTAGCTCTGGCTACTCTTCCTGCGGCAGTTACTATTATTATGGCGACTACTACGACAGTGGAACCTGTTTCGATGGCAATAATGGCGAGTTCTATGGTGGGATCGCCTGTCTTGTCATCGGTGGTGTGCTGAAGCTCACTGCCTGGATCCTTTTCATTATCTGGTGCGTCAAGCGCCAGCGCAACAACCAGACCAATATCACCTATGTCAACAACGCACCCATGGAACCATACCCACAGCAACAGCAAACATATGCTGCTCCCCAGCCTATGTACCCTATGCAACAAGGGGGTGGATTCGCACCTCGCTCTGCTGCTGCCTCCCCAGGCCCAATGTATGCTGAAGCTGGATCTCAGTCAGTTGTCGGTACGCCCCCTCCCAAGGAAGGTGTTGCGTCAGCCACAGCGTACAAATACTGTGGTCAGTGTGGAACAGCTGCAAATGGCCGATTCTGTGGTCAGTGTGGTGCTCCCTGCTGAGTGCACACTTGAGTATACTGGATAGTCGTGATACTTGCTTGAGAACACCCGCAATTTTGAGATTTCGTTTTGCATCTTGAATCGAAACTATTGCGCAAACCTGCGAGCTCGCTCGGCGGTGTTTTAAGTTGAATTAGAGAAATGCGTATTGAAGTTGATGCCGTTTGGCAAATTTTGTTCTATATATCATTTTAATGACCCATATTACTACTTTCGTTTCCGAATGCCCGTTATGACACAACATTCGAGCTTATTTCATAGAAAATATAAATGAGTTGAGCTAATGTTGCTCTTCTTAAACTTGAACTTGATACTTCTGTGTAATGCTACATTTTGATCTATATTTATATAGGCCTTCGTCCATTCTATTGCTTAGCGCAACGCGCGTGAAGCAAAGCCATATAGTGATAGTACAATCTGGACGTTTAAGTCACAGGTCGATCAAAACCTGTGAATATAGAAACCACGTAGGGGCGATTGGGGCTTGATTGAACATATTGGCCGAACTGCCCAGAGCGAGGATAGTAAAACCCGCGTATAAGATGATAGGAAAACTTTGTAAATAGAGCCAGAACAGGGAATTTTGAAGCAATGACCAGAGCATTTTTATATCCAATGCAATTTAAACTCAGTCAATGGTTTTTAAGCCTCATCAATGCTCTCCGCCCCGGTCCAGACTGAACGATTGTTGGTGTAATGTTAGGCAAGTTTAATTTTTTATTACACTTTGGCTATGAAGAGGGAACCACATAGCGGTAAATGCATATGTTTTGTATAGTTGGCAACGGATTATTCCTTCAAAATTAAAGTTTGAAGGTTGAAGCTACAGGAATTTAATCATTGTATCGTCCGTCTTGTGCATCTCTGATCCGAGTTGTAATTTGAACGTAGTAAAGCTGGTGATTTCCGGATGGTATTCCGGTCTTCTTCGAACGACCGAAGTACTACTAGTAGTTGCTTTCTCATTTCCTTAAGCCTTTGCTATAGCCTCATTTTGAGGTTCATTGGCTAAGATATAGACTTTATCGGGGTGTAGTGTGTATTCAGAGAATTCCGGAAACACAAAAGTAAGAAGCATTGAAAGTACTTGTTGCCTTGGAGTTCATATAATTTCGCCCCCATGCGAGTCAGGCTTCACTGTGCCCGACGCCGCTAGGAAATGATCATCAATCTACAGTTGACTAATAATCTGAAATAAGCAATGCTTGACTAGATATTGCGATTAATGGTGAATATATTAACCTGACCATGCCATTTATCTGATTTTTTTTTTTAAAAAAAAAACATTAAATAAATTTGGTATCTGGTTATGGGCAAAAAACTGAAATATGTCGTTGTTTTGGAGACAGCATCGTGGATTGACTGGGCCGGGGGGGGGGGGATTGAACGGGCGGGAAAAGCCGTTCCCCACCTGCTCGAACGTGATGTTGAGCTCGTGAATCAGCGAAGTATTAAATCAATTGTTGAAGCCGCATTCCAAAAAATTGTATGAAGTTCATCTTTCTAGGCGTGAAACGGGAGCAAGAAAGCCCCCCTGAAATTCAAAATGAATCATTGCACGAAATCCCCTTGGCCACGAAAGAACAAAGAGATCAACGCGAATGGGGATCTGGAATGAGCAGCTCAAACTCGAGATTAGACTAGACTGAATGTATCTTAGATAGCAGATCCTAAAACTTGGCACGAGGAACAAGGCATTTGAAAGTATGATCACCCCTGCAAGCTGCAGGGATGTGATTCACTAGTTGAGCGATTGGCAACCCAACGCTATCCGATTGGCCGTATCTAATACATTAATTTGAAATAGTGGGGATAGAAACAAAAAAAGAAGACAAAAAGTTCACCGAGCACAAGCCAGTAAGTGCCCAATAGCTCCATTTAGCTCCCGTGTCGGCGTTCGCATGTACCAATCCACTCGCCCCAAGCCAACACATCATTTGGTTTTAATTCCCGAAGTAACCAGTCCTTGGTCAGAGGCTTATTGCGTAGCCTTGTGACCAAATCCGCTTTCAATGCAATGACTTGAAAAAAGTATCGATGTTCGCCATGGGCTAAGATCGGTCGGGGTCCACTCCAAATGTTCTGGCCCCAGTTAATCCCGTACCGGAATCCGCCCGCTAGATGGGGGGTTTCACCGCAGCCTCGATGACCTTTTGGGATTCGTACCAAGGGGCGAAAGTCTTTCGCAACAAGTTTTGTTTTATGGGGTGAGATGCCGTAGTATAAGCCGAGAACAACAGGCTGAGGCCCTGGTGCGTCGGGATCTTCAATAATTATAACGTAGCTGGAAACCAGCGCCTCTAAGCCGTGAGGAAGCTTCCATGATATTGTTGGGAAGGTATTTTCGCCCAAGGGAGTGTGTTCTGGTGATATTGATGAGCCGGATGGGCCAAGGGAGGAGGTGACGAGGACAATTGATGGTTGACGAGAAACGGATTGTGATGCGCGCGTAAGAAGGAGTGAATCGCGGCCTCGTCTGTGGGCTAGGCAGCGGCCTAGTATAGCCTCAATCGAAGATGGTAGATGATCCATGGTGTTTCAATGCTGTTCAAAGTTTTGATGGAGGGGTATGAGCGCGCATCAAGTACTATAAGTAGCTCTACGTGTTATATGGCAACAGTGTGCCCAACACTCGCGAGATAACCCTTAAAAGAGATATCAATGCCCGCTAGAGTTTCCGGGATTTAGTGAGGGTTTAAATTTCAAATTGTAGTTAATCAGCCAATCGGAACATTCGCTACCCTGCTTGATTTATGATCTATCTCGCCCAAGAGATGACTACAAGGCTGTTGTGACAAATCATCTCGTCGGATAGAGCGAAAAATTCCAGGGCAATGATTTAACATACTTTAGATCAAAGAATTCGGCCCACTTGCAACCCGGCAGCCTGTGTACCAGGATCGCTAGCTTGCTTAGTTCCTTGCACTAATTGTGTAAAAGCAGTCAGTCCCCAGTTGAAATATCACGCGGTTGGAATGTCGGTTCATCCCGGACGAAAATGTCGACATATTATTGACTCGGACATGGGGTTATCCCGATTCTTGGGACAATTAATGCTTACTTTCTGTATTTCCTTTTTGTGCACAGAAAGAAATGCCAAGGGTTTAATCAAGCATGCCGTGTCAATAACTGAGTTGCATTGCATTATCCTTCCTTTGGTTTGAATATGTAGCCAATGCGAATTGAGGGTTAAGAGCACTATCCGCGAGCGGATATTTTGTGGCTTTTATGGCGATCACCTAGCTAATTAGGGAGTAGTCTCATATGCTAAAACTCGGAGTCTATCTGACCCTGCGATCTCCAGCCGGCCGTTATGCATTGGTATTAGACGGCGAAAGAACTCGTGCACGGGCTGCGTATTCCATTTTTCGTCAACGATCTCCCATAGGTGCATGTCCGTTTCGCGAACCTCTGTGAGCTTATAGTTCTGGCCATGGAACACTTTTTGTTTCGTTTGTGGGTCTAAAGCCCAACCGTTTGCGACGCGTGAGTAGAATCCAAACAAGAAGGGGAACTATGACATACCGGAGAAGGAGGATGAGCCTTGAGGTGTATCCTCCTTGTTCTGACCTCCACACTTACTCAAATCAGTGTGCCGGTGGAGTCGCTCGTCCACAAACCACAAGGTCCGTCCCGTCTCATCGTGAAGTACCGAGATCATATCAACGATGCCATTGGGTATAGGATCTATCCATCGAGTAGCAAATTTAATTGCAATATCATATCCTAGGAAACTCGATTGAATAGCAGATTTCTCAACAGGCTTCCGGTCCAGCAGTATCGAGTCTCCAGCATAATGATAAAACCAATCCATTCCAAGGACCGGGTCCAGCCCCACCAAATAAATCAGATCCTTGTCTGGTCGAAACGTGATATAATTTTCCACCTCACCTGTGTCGGTATAAGATGCAGTATGAGATACCCCCGATTGGCTTTCAAAATCTCCCCGGCCCGGTAGCGGCGAAGGCGATTCAGAATTCGATATCTGCGACCACCACTCATTTCTGCGGAAGTATCGCTCCATGGCTTGTCGAGACGCGGAGCAAGCCTGCCATAGCCCGCTATCTAAAAGATATGCCGAATTGTTGGGACCTCGTTGTGGATTCTCGCGAGGTATTGCCAATCCCCAATTCATTTCGCGTGGATGACCGATCGGTTGAAAATGTATGAAGTCCGCCTGGATTTTGTCTCTGCCATTAACCTGATCGAAATAATGATCGACAATGATAAATTCCTGCACGTGGTTATCGCCAGGGAGTGGACGGATGTTTAAATCCCAGATGTAATCCTGGATCTCAACTGGGAGAGCGAGAAACTGAGGGAATTCGTGAAGGCGGCTGAATTCTTGGATTAGGTTGGCCATGTCTAATATGAGATTGGCCTTGTAAAAGCTGTGTAGTTTATTGACGGTCTTTGACAGGTATATCGGCTTGTCGTTGGAGTTGAAGTTAGATAAAAGATGCGTGCATTGCTGTCAGCTGAGATCGGTGCCTGCATCCATCCCCACACCCGAGGGAGGACATAGCCGCCAGAGGGAAAAGACCTACTTTGCCTTACTTTAGACCAGCAGAAAACCGGCAGAAAACCAGAAAACCCCGACACCTGTAATACCTTAACACCCCTAAAGGCCCTGGATATCGCCAGGTTGGGCATCAAATCCACTATCTTAGCATATAATCTTTCTTTTTTTTGAAACATGATTATTAGTATCATTTTAATCTATAACATATAGTTCTCTATTTGTCTTTCCACTTGTTTTTCTAATCCCCCTGCCAATTTTTCACTTGCCCTTTCACTTGTATTATCTATGTATAGCGTACAGTACAGATAGCGGTGTACCAGGCGGTAGCCGTTAACCGGCCCCACAATTTTTCTTTCACAAAAATAATGAACCCTCGCTTACGAGGGTCCGCCACCCATATGGAACAGATCACCCATATGGAACATTTTTTCTAAATCTTACCACAACCACTATTATCATCTACCACACCACCAACAATGCCTAAAACCAATAAAGATATAGAGAACCAGATTCAGCTGGCAATAGAGTCTCTCTCTGAGCAATCTAAGCCTAATATTAGGAAGACTGCGCGAGAATTCGCGGTTCCTGAAGGCCGTCTTCGTCGGCGCTGGCAAGGTGGAAAATCGCTTTTCCAACGACAACCTAATGGCCGGAAGCTTAGTATTGCACAGGAGAAGGCTTTATGTGAATATATTGATTATTTTGATGCGGTCGGAGCATCAATAAATCGCCGTCAAATTGCTATTGCTGCCGATTCAATTCTGGAAGAAGATCATACCGACACCACCACAGATCCCCCACAAATTGGCGACCATTGGCTAAAGCGTTTTCTTAAACGGTATCCTGAGTACTATATACGACGTCGGCGAGCTCTTGATGTTGAAAGAGCTACTGCACTGGATAAATCCGTTATAGAGAGATGGTTTCAAGACTATCAACGTATAGTGGCTAAATATGGCATCTGTCAACAAGATATCTACAATTTTGACGAAACTGGCTTCCAAATTGGCGTCGGTCGCGATCAATTTATTATCACAAGACATCCAAAAAAGAAGCTATTTAATGGCTCAGTTACCAATCGCGAGTCTGTCACTGTTTTAGAGGCTGTTTCGGCTGATGGCTTTACATGCCCACCGCTGATTATTCTAAGCGCTAAACAAGCATTACTACGTTGGTTTGATAAAATTGAAGACGACGAGCATCTTGCTATAACTGATACTGGCTATATCAATGATACATTAGCATATCAATGGATTCAGCTGTTTCATAAATGGACAATTTCTCGTACCATTGGGAAAAAGAGGCTAGTTTTATGCGATCGTTTTGGATCACATTTAACGCGTCAATTTGTTGAATTTTGTGAGAAGAATGATATCATTCTATTCTTCTTACTCTCACATACTAGCCATATACTACAACCTCTCGATGTTGGAGTGTTTAGTGTATATAAACACTGGCATAGTGAGGCAGTTGAGGCGGCTACAATGACTGGATGCCGTAAATTTTCAAAGGATGAATTCCTACATTCAATCAGTGAAATCAGACGCAAAACCTTCCGGCCACATACAATCAAGCTTGGGTTTAGATTAACTGGCCTTTGGCCAATTAATTCTAAGCTTATTACCGATGAATTGGATTCGTACGATCCATATTATGATAATATATCCCGGGAAGATACACCATCAGTTAACTCACAAAATACTGAGTTTAGCACCCCAAAAACCGCTGAGAGAGTTCGAAGAATTAGCGATCGTATTAATCAATATGATCCTACTACTCAACGTTTTAAAGAAGGGCTAGCAAAGCTTGTAAAGGGTGCTGAGACTCAGGCAATGTTGGCTGTCCAACTGCAACGGGAATTCGATTCTACACAAGCTATTATGGGAGCACGTCACGCTAGATATGATGCTTCTCGCCGTTATACGCAAATCACTGGTATTATCAATTCAAGCCAGATCAAAGAAATGAAGCTAAAAGAATATAAATTGACTGAAAAAGCCGATCAAGAAAAGACGAAGCGGAAGTGGAAGAAGATATTGGTTGAAATTAGGAAGCATGGAAGAGCCAAAAAACGCCGGGGAAATTAACTTGATTTTGTATTCTAATATTAAAATGGCTGATTGATTTGTTTATTATTTTTAGTTAATTAATTAACTATATGGTGGTGTGGTAAATAGTAGTTGTAGTACGATTTAGCAAAAATGTTCCATATGGGTGATCTGTTCCATATGGGTGGCGGACCCTCGTAAGCGAGGGTTCATTATTTTTGTGAAAGAAAAATTGTGGGGCCGGTTAGTATCGGGCCAGGGGTTTTTTTTCCCGCTGGCCACTATATTCCCCCGTACATATCGCAGTGCCCCACCTAAGACAATCAATCAATCCCTACAACAATTCTACCAGATAGTCCATACTTATGATCTGTACACAAAACATAAAATGTTTGCATTTTATAGTCTGTCGTTTGTGGTTGTGAGTCTTTTGCATCTTTACCACTTACTTTCCCCCCTCTCTCTCTATCTCCCTCACACCTTCATCATCTCCATCATCTTCCCATCAACACCATCATCATCTTCTTGCCCTTCCTATGATCTTTACATCCTGCTTCCAATCCTTCATTTTTTCTATTCTGTTCAATTCTTTAGTTATTTTACCATGGATGGCTATCTTTCTCACGAAGTGGTGCTTTACATCGCTGACTTCATCTGGGATCCTGATACGTTGGCAGCACTCAGACTTGTCAACCGCTCTTGGTCACAGGCTGCAGCCAAAAGGATGGAAAACATGAAAGAAATTCTGTACATGGACTGGTGTGAGAAAACGCAGAAGACTCCCATGGAAATCCTCTCCCAATACCGAGCAATGGCCCCGGAATGTCGAGGTTTGGTTGTCAAAGCGCCTTATTGTGAATGTCACCACATGCAGGTATGTAAGAATTGCCCATTACCTATGATATGAAACAGACCCAGACACTCACCTCAAAAAAGGAATCTATACTGCTCAGGAGGAACTGCCAATTCTGTAACCACAACATATCGCCGTTGGTTCTTTTTCTTCCTAATTTTGTCAGTGAGATACCCCATCTGCGACATCTTGCCGTCCACTTTCGACCCATGAAAGAGGAATTCAGAACATCCGAGATTTCTCACCTCGAGAGGAAAGCAGGGGCTGACAAGGTGTTGGCGAGTATCAGGCAAACACTGCAGCAAGCTTCAAAACTGGAGCAACTGTCAATCCACAACGTGCCCATTTCCGCAAGGTTTGCATGGACACCTGGGCGTCCCTACAAAAGAACTCAGGATTTCAGTTGGCAGTGGTCTGGATTGGAATCACTAAAGATTGGGTATGTTGATGTGAATATCGGTACGCGTCCAAACCAGAATAAACGACTCGAGGCGAGCGAACAAAAAATACTTTTCGAAAAGCTCACGCCGCCCATTCCAACCCATGCTTTCAGCTTTTACTTGCGACATCTCTCAATTAGCTGTTGGGGTTTTTATGGCCGAAGGAGTTTGATGGATTTTCCACATTTTCGGTCATTGAAATCACTTGAGCTTCGCGGGGTTGCGTTTACCAGCGGCTTTGACCTCGATTGGATAGAAAGACATAGCTCCAATCTACGCTCACTGGTTCTGATCGACTGCGCCATAGTCTACCGCCTTGACCTTAAACGAAAAAGCATAGATGTGTTCCACCCTAAGGTCCATATTGTTCCGAACGGTCGAAAAGGAGTCCAGTACTACAAAGCGCGGTGGCATGACTGGTTCAAGGTTCTTAGAACAAATCTTGCCCTGGAAAACTTCCAGATAGGGAGTAACAGAGTCCGGGCCTCTGGCGAGATGGGCCCAGTCTTTGAATCTGAGACTAGGAAGGGCCCCGGATTTCAAGAAACGCCCCAATTCCTCTTTGGATTGTTTCCAGACCGTTATCTTATGATGAATGAGGGCAATTCCAGAACACCTTGGAAGCTTGAATGTCCTAACGCCCCCCAGAAACCTCCACCAAAGTGTGACTTGAAGGACCTGAGTGCTTTGAGTCAGTTGATGGACAAAATTGGCCAACTTGTGGAAGGAGATACAACATCCAGGCATGCGGGATATGTGAGGAAGTGGATGGGCCATGTCAGACCGAAGGAGTTACTCGAAGATGGGCGGTGCTTAAAGTAGATCTTCGGTGGAATAGCTCAAGCATGGCTAGAAAAGTCGGGGTTAACGGATTATGAAGCAATGAAACCAACTCACATTTGCTAGCTGGGAGCATCTACTGTAAGTTTATCTCGTACCAGGGGCAAAAGTAGCCATGGAAATTTAGATTCATCGCCCCACACGACGAATCAATTTATATGCATTTGCATATCCACCGGAACAACTACAGAATCCACTGTACAATATAGACATGCTGAAAGGTATATCCGAGAAATTATATTGTAACGCATCGTTTTATAAGCCATTTTATATCCAGGTGGCACGTCAACAGACAAATCTAACCAAAAGTTTATACAAGAATACAGGATCCCACCGTGGCAGGAAAAAAATCATTTTCATCGTTCATCGGCCTCCTAAGTGAGCCTGCCACTCCTTCGGGGGCGTTGAGGAGGAATTGCCATGTTCATCATCCAAATTCCAGGGCTCACTTTGGACAATAGTCTCTGAAACAACAGTAATTTCTTTTGAATCTGGTTGAGGATCGGCAGTCAAGTGCTCATCACTGCCCCAAGCAGAAACCTGCAAATGCGAAGGTGCTGCCGAGTTGGCTTTGCTTTTCTTTGTGTCCTTGTCCCCGCGGGAGGTAAGGTTCGTCAGTCCTCGACTGGACAGTGGGTATGTGTTTCCTGATTGTTTGTTGGAGGAGCTCATCATTCGTGACAGGCCGATCTTCTTGAAGCCTCTGCGGATAAACGGTTGGATGATGGGGAGGTTGGATACGATGATGGAGACGAATGTTTCGCGACAAGCCCAGCTAGAGCCAGCTAAAGCGCCGTCGGGGCCGGACTGTGGAGTGAATGTTAGATGGAATTGATTTTTCGGGGTTATTTATTGAAGCACATACCGCCATGATAATAACAGCTCGAACGATTCCTGCTGCTATGACGAATGCAGCACCGGAAAAGAGGGCCATAAGGGGAATCTTTCGTTTCAAGCTGATGTTGACGGTCCAGAGTAGCGGAAGAGGAATTAACAACAAATAAATATCCGTAAGCACGTTGAGCACGACGACGACGAGAACATAGACTGGAGAATTTGTCGGTTGACAGAATCCTGGAGAAATGTGGTTAGATGAAGATGTCCATTGCCTACTTATGGTGGCTATACTCACTTCCGGGATCAGGGCTAATCTGCCAAAAGCCATGGAAAGGCCGACATGAACACAGTATGGTCAATTGCGTTGCCGTCCAAGTCACGGCAAGAATAACATAGGCTAGTCGTACTCGGGTGGGGAGATTCTGGAGACCGGTTCTGCATTGCCATATTAGCACTCCGGTCACTTCCTGTTGAGGTTTTTATGAAAGACGCACGTTAAACGAGAATAGAAGATCGCGAGGCTAATTTTCACGAGCCAGAGAATAGCCACATATAGTGACCATCCAATGACCACAGCCTTGGACCCATCAACACGATAAGACCACTCGGCGGAGTTGGGATCAAGGGCCGCTCGCTCTTCGTCTGACATGTAGCTGTTGGTCAAGCCTTTGTATTTATCACTGACGAACCATGCTGCTATTGTCTCGAGGATGAAAACCACCTATGACGTTTCCCATATTAGCCTGGATCCATACATGGAGAATCTTGTGCGTAAACACTCACCCCTGCTAATGGCATCAGATAATCATCCAGCTGAAACTCGGCCGGTCCAACGAGCTTCCATCGTACAGCAACACGAGCAATGATAATGGCTAAGGCCAAGGATAGTAAGACCCAAGCCTCAACATTATTCGACATCTTGGCAAGTGCTTGGTTGTAGCGGGGAAGCAAACGACAAACCCATTACTCGCGGCCAAGGCTAGACTTAAAAGGAACAATGAACACCATGGTCGGAACAGGAAAACTTCTGTCTAGAACGCACATGCACAGGGGGTTTGAAGGATTCATTGCAACTACCCACATGCTCCACATGAAGCGGTAAGGCCAAATATTTGTCACATAACGACCGCTTTCCACGTATACTAATATTGAAGCTTATTCCTCTACGTTTTGCATAGAGTTCTTCGTGTCAATTACATGACATTGACATTTATCTGGCAGAATCTCCATGTGGGGCGCGTGGATAGTGACAAAAAGTCTTCCCAAATCCTGTAACCGACTATGGGATCATCGGCGTATTATCCACCCTATCCCGCCTGACGGAAACCGATCGGCGGCTTGTGACGCCCTGGGCGTTCTGGTTCGTCTTCTAGACTGCGAGCCCCCATAACAGAGCCGAGTTTACCCCCTCTTCAGCTCCTTGGCAGGCCACTAAGATCTGCAAGCACAACATACTGCCCCACAATATCAGGGGGCCGCTTGGATTGCGCCCGGGCCGCTCTGGGCCATCGTGCCAGTGTTGGACGATGGCGTTGTGGGGTTGTCCGTGTACTAACGTATGCTAAACCAGCTAATGCGTGTCTCGTCTGGAGGTTTTATCCAATGATCGTCTTTTGTGTACGGCGTACTTGCAGTTTTAGGGACAATAGTGATTGGGTGCTGACCGAAATCGGACTTTCTACGGCGAGGCTTCCAGCAATAAGAAAAGAAGCTTCATATAATTCCCCCACATCCTCGATCCTGGTACCCAGAAACCTTAGAACCATTCGAATGTCGTATTTGCGGGATATCGTTACATTTCGCGCGTACGAAAACGAAAATATCGCGTCCATGTCTACTTTTGACTTTATTATTGTCGGTAGTAAGTGATAGTCGCGGGTCAAAGTTTCCATGCTCCATTCTAAAATTCGGGCCGCCCGAATCCTTTGGGGCCAAAACATGCAAAACGAAAAGGGGGGGGAAAGCGGCTAAAAGCAATAGCCCATTCCGCAAAGTTAATGCATCTTTAGGTGGACCTGCTGGTAGGCGCACAATTTGCCAATTCCATTGCAAAGCCGCAAGTTCTTCAACTAGAGGCGGGCACTAGTAAGGAGGATCGTAATCTCCGAGTAGATGGTCAACGATGGTCTAAATTTCAGAACTAGTCTATGAATTGGGGATGCAATAATTCTCCTCAAAAGGACTGTAATGACCGAGAGATCGACTACAGCCGAGGTCATTGCAGGGGTGAATCGAGTGCTATCAACTTCGTTGTGTATAGCGTTGGAGCACGCGACGACTATGAAGAGTGGGCACGTATCGCTGGGGACGACGATTTCTCGTGGAAGAATATTCAAAAAAGACTGAAAGACCTGGAGACTTTTCATGGGGAACTTCCTGAGGGTATGGATGAGAAGTATGCCAATCCACACCTAGAGGATCATGACAATAAGGGCTCGTTGCATGTAGGCTTTGCTCGGGAGTGGGAGAGGGACTTTCCAAAGATGTTAGATATCTTCGAACATGCGGGGTTTCTATTTATCCTATTGGAATGTCTGTGCTGATCAACTCAGCATATAATGAACTTCGCTCGACGGCAGAGGACTTGGTCATTGGCAAGGAGAGAAAGAATTTAACAATCATCACCAATGCGCCGGTTCAGCGCGTGCTCCTGGAAGAAAAAAAGGCCATAGGAGTTGAGTCAAACGGCAAAAAGTGTAAGTTGTTTGAAACCTTAACTTTTGGGTCTGCACTTTAATACACTGACCATATTGATTCGCAGTCTTTGCCACAAAGGAGGTTATCCTCTCTGCTGGGTCACTCAACGATCCCTGAATTCTGATGCATTCAGGCGTTGGACCTGCAGCTCAATTGAAAAGGCATAAGATCGAAGTCGTTCATGACATCCCATCGGTCGGCGAGGGACTTCGCGATCACTGCTTTGTCCCGATGGTTAACACTCGCACAGACACTAGTACCGATCGAAAAGCTTCTCATGGCTCGCAGAAAGCCATGGATGTCGCACAGGAGCAATGGCAGAAAGATAGAACTGGGTCATGGGCAACGTTTCCTGCGAGCTAGACATCGGATGGTTCAAGCCAACTGAGAAGTTGAGGACCTGGCCAGAGTTCCTTGCCCTCCCAGAGTATGAGCAACGGTACCTTCTCCAAGGCACTGTCCCCCATTTCGAGATGATCATACATTCCCCCGTCCACTGGTTTATCCCAGACCTTTTTCAATGCACTGAACTATCATTGTTTCCTCGTTTTCTTGTTCAACGCCCAAACTCGTGGCCAGGTTATGCTGCAATCCTCAGATGCTGATGCTCCGCTCCTCTTCGATGCAAAGTTTCTTGCGCATCCATTTTATCGTCGCCTGGCAGTCGAAGCTCCCCGGGGCTCTTTCCGAGTGGATTAAACACGAATAGTATACCAAGGACAGCGTAGCTAATCTCGCGATGCCTCAAGACGCGTCGGATGAAGAATTACTCGGTTATTGGCTCGCAAACATCTCGTCCAGCTGGAATATGACAGGTACCGTCAAGATGGGCAAGAGTGGCGACTCTGACGCTATTGTGGACGCAGATTTCAAGGTAATTGGTATCGAGAACCTGCGTATTGCGGATATGGGCGTGGTGCCTGTTTTGGTGAATGCTCATATTCAAGTGGTAGCGTATGTCACGGGTGTAACTTGCGCCGAGAAGTTGCAAAGGGACTACCAATTCAACCAAAAAGTTCAAGGACGTAGTGCTCTTTAAATATCATAATTTCATTGTAGCCGTATGTTGAATCTCTAGACACAAGACTCAGAAAGGCTCTCGAATAATATGCTCAACATTCTCAGAGCTTTCCCTAGTTCTTCTCTTTCTTTTCATGCCACCTAAGTGAAATGTCGATCTCCCAGCGCCCACTCTGATAACAGGGGTTGCAAGGGCTCGGGGACCCCATAGGCCATTCTCTCTCCCTGCGAACAATCTCTTTGACGATACCGCAGCTGTTACATTCATCCTTTTCGATTGTTCGTATCGGCTCTTCGTCTTCGTGCCCGCAGACCCAGTGTCTCGTTATGACAAGTAGATAGCACATATTGTTTCTGAGGTGTTTCTGACGTGTCAGTAATAGTAGCATATATTGGTCCTTGTTTCAAACTTACCGAATGGAGATAAACGGTTGAATTCGTTCAAAATAAGCTAGATGGATGAAGTGATGATGATGTTCAAATTCTTGTTTGTTTGTTTTAAGAGCTCGGAGTAGACAGACGGAGGATGGGTGAATTTGAAGTCTACAAATATCGATCTAGCCTAAAGTCTCCTTGCTAATGCCCGATCCCCCATTGTTGCCTGTTTTCGCAGGTTGCAGTGTATTAGGCGGCAGAGATCACGGTTACATAGTATGGCCAAGGGGGCTTTTCAGATGATTCTACTATACTTCATTCGCTTCCACCAGATCACACTATAACTTAAATACTGATAGTACATATCGCTTAATTTTTTTATAAATTCTTTGCCTCTCTAAACATCCCTCCTTTTGCCAACCCCTCAAACTACCGCAGATATTACCTAAGTGAGGTCTCGAGTCTCATTTGACTTCTAATTAACCACTCACGGTGGACTTCATCAAGAGTACTTCCCCCGAATTCGATGCAAACACATATTGCTGTCGCTTACCTATTCAAGTTCGACATAGATACTGATGACCCAAGGTTCCGAGGGAAAGACATGGCCACACAGAGAGTGTTGGGCATTCTCTGGGCGGATAGATGCCATCAAATCTTCATCGCAGACTAGGCTTCCAGCTTGCTCACCGGAATTAGGACAATCAAGGCGACTCCATGGTATCTCTACTGGGCTTGGGATCTTAAAAACGGATAAACATGCAGCGAGTTGAGGCTGTAACTTCATTTTACATTTAGTTTAAAATAAAGTGAAAGAGCGTATACTCCGATATCTAGCCTTCTCGGCAGTTTCCGCACCTGGTGTCTTCATTCATTGGTTAGCGAGTGTGGGTCCGTAGCACTTGAGGGCTCGCTCCATAGGCTCGATCAGATTCACCGCATCCCTGGAGAACTGCGACTACAGAAATTCCTATTCCTGTTCTTTTTCTTGGCCTTGTTGTTTTTAAATTCTCAATAGTGAATAAGCGGTCTATCGTTTCACTAACATCTTGGGTAAGATATTACTCCTTGGGGGGGAGGGGGGGCAGGGTTTCCTTCCTCGTTGCCGAGATAAAATAAGCAGAACTAACTTCAGGGCTTAGTGTAGGCAATATCTTACCCTATTGCCATATCGCAACGGCGCCACGCCCCTCTTTCCGGCACAGGACCCTCTTCAGCCGCTCTTATTTAAAATCACGATGTTTTCAGCTGAGCCGAGAATAAATACACCAGAAGGACCCTTCCTCATAGGAGGGACTTTTGGTTTTTCTTTTTCTTTCTCCTCAAGAGACTACCCCCATTTCGCCAACCGAGTCACGGCTATCCGGTGTCTTATGATTTGACGTTTTAAGACTTTGAATATATTTTTCGTTTATAAAAATGTCCATCACTGAAATTGAGGACGATTATAATATCCAGGAGGCGTGGAATAGGGCATGTGGAGCGTTCGCGCAGACGGCCAAGGTCGATCTCACGACGTCTCCAAAATTCACGGTTGACGAAGTTCTGGATCAAATACGCACAAAGCAGGACGAAGATGATGAGAAACATAACAAATTCAGGGTCGCCAAAGATGTCATTGGCAAGACCCTGAAGTTTATCACTGTGCTGGGTGGCATTGCTGCCCAGGGTGCGAGCATGGTAAGCTCTCTTATTGAGAAACAATTTACCTCTATTGACATATTTCGTTAAGGTCTTTGCTCCTAGTAGTCTCTGCTTCAATGCAATTTCATATCTAATCTCTACCGGTGCCAAATACAAGCGCATCTTCAGCAGTCTAGCTGAGCTTTTCCGGCGCGTCTCCGATGTATTAGAGCGATGCAAAATCTATATGCGTTTGCCGCCTGACGCTGTCGATATATCGCTACGAAAGATTATCAATGAGGAGCTTGTTTGCTTCGTTGAAATCTGCGCGTTATCCATTAGGGTTCTGAAAGGGAACAAAATCCTTACCGCACTTAAGGTCTTTGCCTTCGACAGTGACGAGGGCGTCAATGGCCAATTGGGTCGTCTCGCTCTATTGGCTGAGCGTGAGTCCCAGATGCGAGCGACCTTGGGATTTGAGTCGCAGAAGATCAGCGAGAGGGCAGTTGCCGAGACGAGAGATGGAACGAAGAAGGTTACTGCATCAGTTGATAAACTTCTTACGTTCGAGAAGAAGCGAGATGCCGATAATGCGACGCAGCGACTATTGAACAGCATTGATGCAAATCTCGACATGCCTAGCGAAGCATACAAAGCGGTCCAAGCTGCCTATAAGCGTTACTTGAATGAACAGGTGCCCATGAGTGGAGAATGGCTCAAAGAAGATCCTACATATACTGCTTGGACGAGAACTGAGCAGCAAAGGTGTTCAATTTTGGGCATCTCTGGGGCCGAGGGCTACGGCAAATCATTCCTTTTTGCGGCCATGCTTAAACAACTGCAAGATATGTACTCTGAGAGCAAGGACGATCTTAAATATACTTCGATTTCCTACTTCATCTTTGACCAGGACAAGAAAGCTACATCCCTCATCAAGGCCCTGGAAGTTCTCGCATGGCAGATCGCTAAAGCAGACATGGTGTATCGCAGAGATCTGGGCACCATCAAGACTGCCGGTACAAACCAAATCGAGAGCCTTTGTGAACAATTATTTGGCAAATCTCACAAGAGCGACTCGACGTTCTTCTTGTTGCTTGACGGTATCGATCAGGTAGACAAGCAGCACTTGAAAGAATTCATACAAGTTCTTGGAGCGTGGCAAGCAGCAGCTCCAAGTTGGTCCCAATTTACTCTTCGAGTTTTTCTCGCTGGACGGACCGAAGCGATGAACAAGATCAATACCGAGCTTGGTGATGGTATCTCCGTGATTGATGTAGCATCGAAGAATAAGGATGACATGACCAAGTTCATCAAAAACCGTATAAACAAGATGGAAATTCTTAATGGGGCGTCTGAGCAAATATATGCTCTACGCAGTGAGATCTTGGAAACCCTCACGAAAGAAACAAATGGTGATTTTGTCAACGTTGGCCTACTCTTGGATGAAATCAGCGGTAAACAACGTCCAGGCGAAATTCGCGATATTCTGTCCCGCTCGGGAGAAGACCGATCTGATACTATTGTCAGAAAGATAGAGTACCTCAACGAAACTCTCAGCGATGAAGATATCTCTGATTTGAACGATCTCTTGACATGGGTCGTTCATGCCGCCCGCCCACTGACTCTTGAGGAGCTCGAGGCGGTGCTTTATCTGAAATCCCGGGAGTCATCTCTTCGGCCTTTGGCAGAAAAGATCAGGGATCAGTATTCGTCGCTTCTTCATATCGCCGCAGCACGAGTTTATCTGATTTCCGATTCGATAGCGACATTTTTGCGCGAAAAGTCAGATTCGGAGAACAACAATGATAGCGAAAGTCTTGATGATACCGGTGATATCAGTGAGGGTGAAGTGAGAATTGTACGGCGATTCTTGGAATCCGTCTGTGACCCCAAGTTGTTTAAGAAATTTGGATTTGAAGATTTCTTCGAACGAAAACTCAAGGGGAAGACCGCTCGTATTGGGATAGATAACGAAACGGCAAACTTTAAGATCGTATCGGCTTGCCTAGAGGTTATATGTTCAAAAGACTCTCCCGAGTCGGACAATTTACTCGAATATGCGGTCAGCTTTTTCAGTGAACATCTTAAGTTAGCAGATCCTTCTTTGACACACCCAGGCCTCAAGATGGTCTTGGGTCCACAATTGGTAAATACTTTTGCCGAAGACGAAATTATTGACAGATGGTGGAGTCTGGCTAGCGAATGGTTGCGGTCCGAATGGATTTACCAGGATGAAAATGCAGAAGTGACATTAAAATGGCTACAAGACTCCGCGGTCACTAAGAATATTTCTGAGACGCAGAGAAGATGGGTCAAGAGTTTGAGCTCCAAGTCGGAGTTGGATGCTGATATTCTTGAGCACGTTGGGAAGGCCCTTGCTCGAAGATGGCTTCAATCTGGGCTGTCGGGCGTTGCATTCATGTTTGATGCCGTGTACGGATACGTCACGAAGGTATGCTATGGCTCTTTTCTTAGTGAATATTCGAATATCTAACCATGATATAGATTGAAAATCGCAAAGACCCAAGCATTGAGCGTTCCACGCGCGATTCAGACATGGGTGAGATTCAAGCTGCTCAGATATTCCATGCTGCAGAATGGGCCCAGAAGCAGATCGAATTACAGACTTTAGGCTATGAAGAAAGTCGCAATTTGGCCCGTACTCTACGTGACTACGGCCAGTATGATGAAGCCATTGAACAATTCAAGCACACGGCCACTCTGTCGGCAAATAATTGGTTTTCACAATGGGGACTGGCAGACTGCCATGCTTCTAAGAAAGGGTTCACTGTGGCCATAGAGATTCTGGAAGCCGCAAAAAGAGGAATTGAAGCACGGGAGATTGGAAATCCTGACGAGCTTGAAGAGGAGTTGGTGGAAATGGAGCGCGACCTGGCTGAATGGAATAAGGAGATTGGCCAGAGTGAAAAGGCGCTTGGGATATACCACAAACTTTTACAAGACAAGCCCGAGGACTACGATACGGTCTTGGAGCTCCTGAAGCTACTGCATAAGCAAGGGCATCGCCAGGGTCTGCTTGAATTCTTTGAGTCTCTGAAACATTCCACAGATGCGTGGAGCGGCTTTAGTCGGCGAACCCAGAGCATCCACGCGCATTACTACCGTGATGAGTACCATGATGCCCTTTTTGCATCAGTAGCCAACGAAGAGGAGTTCCAAATTATTTTTGAAGGCTACGAAGAGGCCATCTCCGCTGCTAAAGTAACGCTCGCCAAGGGAAGAAAGGCTGGCAATGCTCAACAGGAGTGGGGTGCACAAATTTGCCAGATTGATCTCATGAATCGCTTGGCTCTTCTTTGCCAGGAAAATAGCGCTCAGAAGCCCGAGCGGACAGCTTACGCAATTGATCAATGGCTGCGTATTTTGGAAATCAATGGAACTGACGACGCCCTTATTGTGGAAAGACAGGCAATGGTCCGAACGAATCTCGCTCTTGTCTGTTTCGAAAACGCGAGCAAGAATCCAGACACCGCGACACATTATTTGAAGCATCTGGAGTCTATCGCTGCCTCAATACATGCGGATGATTTCGGAGAGTGGCTTCATAAAATGTATCCGACACGAATTCTTGCTCGGTACCACGCTCTACAAGGGGAGGATACGAAAGTTAAAGATTTGCTACGCGGTTCTATCAAAATGAATCTCGACTTGCTTTCGGATGATGATCCCTTGAATGATTGGCAAGGGTATCGTCTTCTGGCTATTAATCTTATGTTTGCTGGCCAGGAGGCCGATGCGCTCGCTGCGTGGTCCTTAATCGGCCCAAATGAAGATATCGATGATGAGGGAGCAAAGGACACAGGGAATTCAAATGAGTCCGGAACAGACAGAGCGGAACCTGAAGGGCCTCTCGCAGATTATTGCGACGGTCAATGTGGGACCCAATGGACGTACGCAAATAATTTCCACCTGTGCAGAAACTGTAATTACGTCTCGTTTGATTCCGCTTGTTTAGAGAGCCTGCGAAACCAAACCCTGAAGCCGAAAGTCTGTAACAAAGATCATGAAGTTTTGTTCATTCCAGCCTACGATCCAGTTGAACGCCAGAGGATTGGAGCAGGCAATGTGAAGGTTGGCGAAGAAGTTGTGTCAATCGCGGAGTGGCTCGGGGGCATCCGTAAGGATTGGGGGATTAAGGAACTCTAAACCCAATATGTAGGTTTTTTGTATATATCAATTGATACTATGCGTGTACCTAGTACACCAATGTGCACCACCGTCATTAATTTTGGGACCATATAATTACCTTCAAAGCCGTATCATTGTCTTTAAATCGATGTTATTGCTTTTTATGCCTCGTTATTGCCTCCTGCGTCTGACGTCCTTTGGTCCATGCCATTGCTCAGCTGGCTACTTAACACGTTTACTACCTATATACTGAAATGGCAGGGCTCTAGCGCCCTTTTTCATTGCGAAAGGGATACTGTCTTCGTCTTGGGTATTTCCCAGTCATTGTAGCAAGAGGCCCCGGTAGTTCTGGAATATTCCATGCATCATACCATTCCTCTATCGTACAGAGTACTTGATTTATTCACATCGGACATCCATGGTCCCTTCAAAATACTATCGACGCTGTACCTTAAGAGTATATCGGTCGCGTGTCGGTGGTAGTTAAACCACTGCATAGGAGATTCAAAACATCGAAGTATGTTTCTCAAGTCGAATGGCTTTCTTCATTTCTTTTCGGATCGGGAAACAGTGAAAGTTCATGTCTCAAAGGCTCCATGGCCACTTTTCTACATCATGACGTTAGCTTCTTCATCTAGACAGTAGGGAATGTTCATTCAAGCAGGCTTCTCACTTTGTCATTGTTACTGTCACTGTATGTTGGTGTTGGAGGCACATTCATCGTGTAGAATGATCGCATCTGCCTCCTTCTCCTAGAACGGAGAATGAAGACGAAGAAAAGAATAATCGCAATAATCGAGAGCATCCCTCCCCTGGACCACAGCATTGTTGACGTGGAGGGATGAATGTATAATTTGGAACTTGAAGGATGTGAAGCGCCCGAACGGGGTGAATTTATGAATTCGCCGTACTGAGAGACAGGCAGCGCACTATGATAATTGCCGTAGTCTTCAAAATGTTCTTCGCCATCATTTTTATTTGTGTGTGAGGACGTGCGATCTTTTTCCTTTTGCTCCTGTAGCCATCTTTGGTAATCGGTCTCTGGCTTATCATTGGCATCTTGGATATCTATCCCCATGACAATTTGTGGTATGAACATATTGACGGCGTTTCTTCGCATAGCTGGCCGAGATTCGATAAATGGGTATGTACCGCTGAGCAGTCCAGTCACGGCGATGACTTTCAGAGATGAATAGGTCGAAATGGAGGGTGTCAATGAGCAAAACAGTCACACAAAGTGATTTTCATCAAATTTTGGAGTATTTAATAAACAAGACTTCCAAGACCTGGCGGGGGTGGGCCTTTCCTAAGCTTATGAGATATTTGAGCGCGCCAAGGTCAGTGCACTGGTCCTCCTTACCTTTGGCTTGGTACATGATGTGGCTTCAACGGTGGATTCTCACTTTACGGGGCATCAGGTCATGACAAATGAACATGACAAATGAAGCAAAGGGATCGAAAATGCGAAGGGTTTAGTTGAGCGCACCAATCAAAAACTTCACATCACGACCTCCCCCGTAATGTCCGCCCCATCAATAAGGGTCCATACACGGTATAGTTCGATCATGATTGGCCTATGGAGCAGATCCTGCCAAGCTAACGATTCCTCGATGTTTTGGCGACTGTCTAGTCTGATATTTTTATTCTTTCGAATGCTCCATTTCGCATCATTCCAAGACGTTTGATCGGCACCCGCATGATTCAGACACGCAACCCCATCTGCAACGCGATCATGTTGAGGATTAAGTTGGTAAATGAGTGGACGAAACGCCAAGGTTAAAGTGTTACTAAACTGATCGGCACATCCGGAAATCCGAATTTCAGTCAAGCATGAGAAATTCCACCCGATCTTGATAAGCGCTCCGCTCTCCAATTTACGCACTGGGATTTGGCCCCGACGCTATACAGAAATAGGTGAAAAAAACAGCTCGTATCCAAAGGCTGGCTTCGAATTGTGACATCATGCTCGCGTCTCTTGACGTTCCGATGCTTTCTCGCCGATAGCCAGACCATCGCAGGACAGTCTAGATTCAGAGTTTTCGGGGTAGGCGGCGTAGCCTTGTTGCGCCTTGTTTTAATAATTAGAGGATTCCTCGATCCTTTGTCTTCTTATTTTCTTTACGTGACATATGGGTTTAGGCAACTCAATTTTACCCAAAATGAAACCTCGAGTGAGTCTGTGCCGCAGACCCTGTTTGCTTAGTATTGATTGGCTGGATTACCCACTTGACGTCTTATGACAACCGCAAAACAGGCTCGGCTGTGCTGTGCCGAGTTTGAAGAGCACAGAAATACGGGGAGTGGATCAAGTGGAACTACTGTGCACATATGTATTGTTTCTCTAGGTGGATTTGTACCCTCTTCCGATTGTAGATGAACGTCTAATGATGTTTAAATGTCCCTATTTTTATCGTATAACGCGTCAAAGGTATTTATTTCTAGACTTCAGGTTTCTTGGCGCAGACGTGTCTGGAGATCAAATTCAGATAAGATCATCTCTACCGATTGGGGATGTCTGCTAACTAGAGGATATATATGACTACTAGTATTTTCTACGGCCTTGTTTCTCATATATTTAAAACAGTATGGAGTCGCAACTCTAAGCGCAGGAGATTTTACTTGCGCACTACGTACTTTATTTCGCTCGGAATAAATTGCTACAACTTTGCGCCCGGCTTGCGCCGCACATCGTCCATGCATCTTTCTTCCTACATTTCACGACAATCCCAGTGATAACATTCTGACAATGGATTAAATCTAGCCTCGTCCGGAAGAACGGGGCTGTGTTAAAGGTTGGCGGAAAGAAAGACATCCGGGCAAATTATGAAGTATCAAAATCAGAAATCTTGCGAGGATGAATGGTATGATGAACCACGTATGCCAATAAAGGACAGAAATGATCATCAGGCAGCAATGAATCTATTGGTAAGCATGGGGGTGTCTTACGTGGACATCAAAACTCTGAAATGACAATCTTCTTGGCTGTAAAGAAAGACTTGGGTCAATATGAATTTGGCGGCAATCCAACACGAACATATTCGTCTGCTTCATGTTGGGAATCTTGCGGCAATGGCTTTGTTTTCAAAGCTATATTGCATCCTACTTATGATACTGACATCGAATCTGTCTCCTTGTTGGACCATACTCGCATGCTTTTTATTAGAAGCAATCATCCATTGGCTACTGATTTTGTGGCAAAGATCATGAGTTGAAACGTGTAGAAATTTGCTCTACAATAGTGCCCGGTAACTAGACTTTGTTTGTAAGATTTCCATCCATGGACAAGTCAGTATCTCTGGTGCTATTTAAAGTGAATAATTCCTGCTCCTGAATCTTCCGCTTTGGGCTCTTTTCTTACTTCTTTTGGATGCCGTTGACATTGAAAGAAGCAACCTTCCTCTAATATGATTTTCTCGGGATTGGTAGGCCGGGGAGCAAGGCTGCGTGATTGAATATTGTGCCCCTGCTTTTGTGGGAAATGACTAGGGAAGTCTGGCATCTATGGAAAACTTTGAAGGAAGTAGCTACGCGCTAACTCTTCAAAACGTAGTACCTCCATGAATCACTAAGATTCAATTACCACATGCCAAGTTTACTAGTCTCGCTTGAGATCTAGAGGTCCGCTTCCACGGGTTAGCAGCAGGTATTCCTATTCAAATCATCTTCAATAGCCATACTAGTTGGCCCCGGGGGCCGAAGCCCCGTAGGTAAGCCTACCAGGCTGATTATCAAGTTTTGCGACCGGCCATTATGTATCAGAAGATATAGTCGTCGTTGGGAAATAAAATCACATCGATATATTCCATAATACATGTTTCATTGCCCGGACCTCTATTTATATTGTCGGGATGTGTGCGGACTGGAGCGAGCCTTCAAGTTTATCAAGATGAAGCCAAGCGAATCATGATTATCATGATACTCCGCGGCCCGCATCCTTGCAGAGAAGGCGTCCCTCCGGGGCCGCCTTCTACGCTAAGTGAAAGATATGTTCATCTCAACCCAATCCCTTGAAGTATCTAGTCATATAATTGGTCAATGCACTCATAGCCGCTTCTAATAACATAAACCGACCCTCTGTAGGTATGGAGTCTGATGCAAAGATCATTCACAAACGGGAATACCCCATTTCTCTCCAAACCAAGGCTTGATCTCCCACGACTTTCGATCCCATGACAAACAATCATAATTATCACTCTTGAATACAAGTCCATGCTGAACGTATATATCGAGCTTTAGCTCCCAAAGATCATATACATTCGGCATTGCAAAGCACAAAGTGATAAGCCGGTCGCGTACCAGTGGCAACGGAACTAAATCCAGAGCAGGATGGTGTGGGATAAGCATTTGAGCCATGGTGGGCTGGAGATGAACTGGCGTTAATGGGTTCAGAACCGTTGCAATCAGGTCTTGAGGATTATCCGTTGGTGTGATACGGCGGAAGAATGGCGACAAAGTTCCCTTGCTGCAATTCATCAAACTATCGACATCGAAGCCCAGACATATTGCATTATTTAAGATGGCAAGGAGAGTCCGCGTTTGGGACGTTTGTAGCGTATTCAGCTTCAAGTCCGGCTGTGGAGTTGCTCTTTCCTCGATCTCACTGAATGGACTCGAGCCTGATATTCAATTTTATGTCAAAAAAAGCCTCATCATAGGATCAGCTAGCGAGTTCGATTGACTTACCCTGGCTGGATGATGATAACGGCTCGCATAAGAGATCAGGTGGGGCGAAATGTGGCGAGCCAAGATTGGATTTTATCGATTGGTTGCCAGATTCATCTAAGGGCTTCGCAGATGATATTGTATCCTTTGGCCTCGGGGTCTCCAGGTTCTCATGACGTCCATTCTGGGTGGCATCGAGTTCGATCGCCGAGATGAGAGATCTCGTACATACCGAGCTTGAACGTTCTGCGGTAGTGGCAGGCCTTCTAGTATCAGTATTTATTGTGTCGGCGGTCTCTCTTTGCCTTTGTCCTATAAGTGGTGCTTTAGTTGGAGGAATAAAAGAGGGTGTGGGTCATTTACTCCAGGCGCGTTGTGCAACTTTGTTTTGCTCTCGGCGAGCGGCCGTCACAACACGCTTCTTTGTTTCGCCATTTCGAACCTTGGCGTTTCCGGTTGAGCCTAGCATCTTCATGAATGTTTGTTGAGCCTCACAGCAAGTGGCTTATGGTTTATGGCTTATCCTCAACGGCATTTTGAAGATTGCGGTGTCAGAGATGTTTAACTCCGCTAATGTCCGACATAAGCCATGGCTTACGTTCGGCCAATCATAGTGGCCCCACACTATACCCCGGTCCCACATGGCAGTCAACATTGGAAGTATAAAGCAAGACGAGACAGCGATCAACTTATTACTTTCACTAATCAACCTTCGCTCAATCCAATTGTTACAGTCGGAAGTGATAATTCAAACATGGTCTCGACAAAGAAGACAATCGCCGTCGTCGGCGCCACCGGCACCCAAGGTTCATCAGTCGCCCGGACTTTTCTCTCTCAAACCGGGTGGCATGTTCGCTGCTTGACTCGTTCTACTTCATCCGACAAGGCTCAGTCTCTCGCCAGGGAAGGTGCAGAGCTCGTGGAGGCGAATCTCAGTGATCCTGAGTCATTGCGTCGTGCGTTTGCCGGTGTACATGCAATCTTCCTTAACACAGACTACTGGGAACCATACCGCCAGGCCGTCGTATCTGGCAAAGACGCTGAAACAAGTGGCAAAATCGGATATGACACAGAGACTAGTTTCGGAAAGAATGCAATCAACGCTGCATTGGAGGTCCCGACCTTGGAGCGCTTCGTCTATTCTGCGCTGGGTCCCATGAATGCTGCTTCTGGAGGCAAGTATCCATACTCGTATCACTGGGAGACCAAAGCCCATCTGGTCGACTACATACAAAGCACAGACCTCGGAGAAATAAGCTCCTACATCTATGTTGGTGCTTATCTCACCAATCAGTTTATTTATCCGAAAGCCAGCAAGAGTACTGGGGAATACGCTATCGTTCTTCCAGCAAGCAAGCAAACACGCTTCCCAATTATCGATACTGCTCGCTCAACGGGTCCATTTGTAAAGGCTTTGATCGAAGAAGAAGCCCCTGGAACAAAGCTTCTTGCATACGATGAATTTCTCAGTTTCGAGGAAATCATCAAGGCTTGGTCAAAGGTTACAATGAAGCAAGCTCGTTTTATTGAAATGAGCATGCAAGAGATGTTTGAGAAATATGGTGTCCCAATTGAGGTTCTAGGAGGACCTGCGTTTTTGAATGAGTTTGATTACTGCGCTGGAGTCTCAGGCGTAATTGAACCTGCTCAGTTGAAATCCCGGGTGAACGTCAAAACTTTTGAAGAGTCGCTGAGAGGTCTTAGTGCTGATATTTTACTGGGCACTACTGATTGGGCTTATTGAGGGTGGAAATTTTACCACTATGACTGTTCTGAGGGCAATATATGTAAATAATTTGCCTGGTCGGTGACAGCAGTTACTACCTAGTACCTGAGCAATAGAATATCTGAACCAACATAACCCCCATTCGCAAGTTCCCCTATAGCTGAAGATATCATATACTTAAAACTTGAATACACGTGAAAATCAAGAAGCATTTGAATTAATGTGCATGTATTTGGCCATTCTCTTCAGAGTTCGGGGATATCAAGACCAATTAATTTTCAAGTTCAAGGGCCATTGTTACAAATCCATATTCATAGACAATATTTAATCATAATATTTCGCAGAGACACCCCCAATGATTGGCTGGTTTCCAATTTCACTTCTTGCCAATCCTTTATCAACACCCTTGGCCACTCTAGCCTTGACCCATTCTCCAGCGGTGATGCCGACTGCAGAGTTATCGGTAACTTGATCATATCCTAGCCGACTCAACACTTCACTAGCGATTGGTCGCAGCTCGAGATCATCCTCAGGTCGAACGAAATACAACACACCCAGTCGATCAATATTTCGCTGATCTGGTGGGGGTGCCACGACCCGATGAATGCTGCTTTTGAGGAAGCCATTGGTAAGGAATTGAAGCGAGTCTGCAAGATTCACTGTGATGCTGCCAGGGTGTGGCTTCACCCATTTCCACTCGCCCTCTGGGGTGCGAACTTGTAAAGCAGCTACTGGTTGGCGGAATAAAAGAGTCAGACTTCCGAAGTCGGTGTGGCCTTTGGACCAAATACCAGCAGCCTTCTCATTTTCTTCATCCGAGCGTCGATGATACTTCATGTATCGCAGATGACAGTCGCTTTTCTTTTCGTAACGATGTACCTTTAGGAAGTAGTCCTCGGGGAGCTCCAGGATAATGGCTAGCAGCGTGAGAAGCTTGCGCACAACTTCATCATGAATATGACGCGCAAATCCTTCAATAATAGGCTTGTTATTGTTGACGATTTCCGGCTGAGGACCTTCAAAAGCTGGGATAAATTTTGGGATATTGTATATTTCGGTCTTGTCGAAAATACCCGGGCTTATCTCCTACGCTGCTGTTTTAGCGACCAACATCCAAGTCAAAAATCAATGAACTCAAACTTACACGAAGTCCCATTGGCTTATATCCATTATAACCACCTATCTCAAGTTCGGCACGGTATTTAAGCTTTTCCTCCAAAGGAAGCTCGAACAACTGCTTGCCGATAGAGAATTGCTGATCAACCTCTTGCTGCGAAAGTCCGAAATTAACAATGTAGAAGAATCCTAACAGAAGTCAGCATTGGAGAAATTACAACAAGTATCGTCTGTTGGCTACGAACCTATATTCTCAATTGCGTCGTGAAGTTGTTTGGCGAGGCTTTCTTTGCCACCGGGCTGATCAAACTGTGACAGGTCTAAAGTAGCGAGATTTGCCCAATCCACTATAGAAAACACCGACCATGTTAGCATTAACTCTTTTTCCGCGATGGATTGGAAGGAAAAGTGGCATGAGGCTACTTCGTAAACGACTTACAATCATGTGTAGTTTCTGGAACCTGATGGTACTCAGGTATATCCGAGCCCGTATTGGCAGCGGCTGGATTTTCGATCACATCTGCCATGTTGAAGTAAAAGATGATTATTCAGAAGATTTGATCTGGTATCAACTGTTGAGTTTGCGACAGGGCAAGACAATCTTGTATACAGTAGCGTGTTCCAAGATGCAGGGACACCCGAGGGATTGGGGATTTATCAAGCTTCTATGATCTTAGTTTTGAGGGTAGATTCGCCATAGACAAAGTATCACGTTCGAGAACCATTCCAATCGGCCAGTTTCCCCAAGATATATTCAAAATGCCCGAGCTTTGACATGCAGGGTCGTTTTGGAGGTTTGGTGAGTCTAGAAGGGACTCCGCTTCTTGCTTGCGTGGATCCCACACTTCATCATCTTATCCTCCGTTTGCGTGATCGACGCTCTCGAAGCTCGCCATCCGCCCCGCATAAACCCCCTTTCTGACTCTACGGAATAATAAACGTTCAATTGAAGATCAATTAAAAAGATTATAGATATTTGAGTAGCATTTGATTGACAATATCGGCTTTACCTAAAAGCTTCAAAGCCATTGGATAGCGTAGGATCTGTCGTTGAACATTATGTGGGGTTAATCTCACTTCATACTAGTGCTAGAGCCTATGTAAGGCGAGGTGTCTAATTTCCTGTCAATTATCAATTACCTATCTGTAAAAAGAAATATACATTTGCTCAAACGTTCAGAGACAAGGAAATTGATAAATTCAACAGACCACGAAGAACGTACTACGCCATATATTCGCAATACTTGTGGGCTATGATATGATGCTTATTATACGTTAAATCTTTATATCCTTGAGCGAAACTCGGAGGGTTTCCGAGCTAGCTAGACTAAGATAGAGAGCTCCATATCTAGCAACGTTTCCTACCACTTTTGGTTGAGACAGTGACTTTCTTCATTGTATCTGGTATTCACAGCTACACCACAAATATGACAGCTAAAAATGGCTCTTTGCCAGCATTGAAGGACTTAAATACGTCTACAGCTAGCGATATTGTTTCTGCGCACGAAGTGAGCGCGAACCATGAGTTTCATTTTGCCAAACGTGGCGAGGCTCTTGGAGAAGCATCATCGAGCCAGGAAAGCATCGAGGGTTATGATCCAAGTTTGATGAATGGAAGAGAGCTACTGACGGCCGAGGAAGAGAAAAAGCTGCTCCGAAAAATCGATTGGAGATTGATGGCTCTTTGCTCAATCATCTTCATGTTCAAGAACTTGGACAGCAACAATGTGAGTATAAATATTCATCTAGTACGTACCTAACATATGATGGTATTATAGCTCACACTGCAATATTTCAGTTATCAAACGCTCGAATTATGAATAAAGGAACAGATCAAAACATCATGACCCAGCTTGGGCTTTCGTCAAACCAATATAACCTTGTCACCGCCCTTTACTATGTATGTGGTTGACTGGATAACACCCATGCTGGACTTTGCTGATTTAGACTTGAAGATCCCGTATATCGTGCTGGAAGCTCCGTCAAACTTGCTCATAAAGAGATTCACTCCATCAAAATGGCAATCACGAATTATGGTCAGCTGGGGTATCATTTCGATGTGCGGAGCTGCCGTGAGCAACAAGGCTGGACTATACGCTGTTCGATTCATGCTGGGAGTGGTAAGTTTGCATGCCAATTATCGACGCTGAGAACGTCTTGGGTTCGTTTCAATGTCAAACTAATTATGCTATAGGCTGAGGCTGGTCAATTCCCCGGCGTCATTCTGCAAATGACTTATTGGTATCGTCCTGATGAGATGTCATTGCGACTTCTTTACTTTTGTAAGTTGCGAATCTGATTTATTTTCAACACATTAAGAAACTCTCACTTGTTGATGAAAACTAATTACTGAACTTTTATCAGATATTTGTGGAAATTGTGCGAGCATTTTCAGCGGTCTTCTTGCTTATGCATTTGATACCGTCTCTGGTGCAGGAGGTCTTTCTGGGTGGCAATGGTAATTCATTTTAAAACTTCTCTTCGCTTTTCAGCCGCTGATCAAATTCTAGGCTATTCCTCGTTGAAGGTATCGCGACAGTCATTTACGGCGTCGCCCTCTGGTTCTTGCTCCCGGATTGTGAGTCAATCCCACTACTCCCGAACAACAAACAATCCCGTTACTCCTCGGCAGCTAACCCGGCTTAATAACAACAGTTCCCGAGACGTCAACATGGTTAACAGAGAGGGAGAAGAAATTCATTCAGGCTCGTCTCCCAGCCAATGCTCCACGTGCCAGCGAGGACAACTTCAAGTTCCGCGAAGTCATCGAATCTCTGAAGGACATCAGACTGTGGCTCTTCATGCTCATCTGGGCTACGTTTACTGTGGGCACCAACGGTGTTACTTTCTATCAATCCACCGTAATTGCTGACCTCGGCTTCACGTACGTTCGCACAATCTTGATGCTAAGCATTAGACTAACCCTCCCAGGACGATCGCCGAGGCCCAACTTCTCAACATCCCCATCACAGTTTGTGGTCTTCTTTTCATTGCCATCACCGGAATGATGGCCGATCGCAGCCGAATTCCCCGACCGTTATATCCATTTACGTTTCTTCTCATCATCCTCATCTGTTACGGTGTGTTTGTCGCCTATCCGAGCATCGGTGCAGTATACGCCGTGACTTTGATCGGAAATGCTTTGACTGCAGGGTGGTATCCTGTTATGTGGTAAGTTCGCAATCGGACAGCATTAAACTTATAGCATATGAAACTAACACATCCCTAGGCCATGGCGAGTACAAACTACTTCGCGTGCCACGGGATCTGCCTTCTCAATCGGCTTTGTCAATAGCTACGGTCAAATCGGCGGTGCTATTGGTCCACAACTGTTCAGAAGCGCGTACTCCCCTCGCTATATTGTTCCTTTCTCTGTTGCCATGGGTCTCGTGGGACTTTGCGCGATATTGACGCTGGTAACTTGGTGGGTGACCTGGGATACGGAACGCGACACGAGACGTCTAAAGCTTGCGAAAATCGCCGCGGAAAAACGAGGTGAAACACTTTTGGAAGATGTCGTCGACAAAGACTTGAGAATCCATTGAGGAATGTATCCTTCATTCCGGGTTTCGAGTGCAAAATACCAAGCTGTAGAATTAGAAATCCGCGATTCGCATTGACCTTCTCAATAGGATTCCTCCTTCAACAATAAAATTGCAAGAAACATCCGATTCCCAACATCAACTTATCGTAGTGACTCTGATATCTAATCAGTCCGACCCATACAGAATCGACACTAAGTGTTCCAATGTTGAACTTTTTGACTTCAAAAAGATCCGAAGTAGCCAATCAAAATCTCGCGATCGCCCCACTTCTAAACAAAACCCTCCGACCCCATACAAGCTCTACGCAATTTGTGGAGCTTTTTATGTGATCATTTAGACTTTAGGTTCATCTATGATTTCTTGCAGAAGAACTCGGAATCGCAGAAAGAAACTCTCTTGAGCTTCGTCTTGGTACATACAATGAGCCATGAAACCAAGCCACCCGCCAGGGCGTCAAGCGACCCTTACTTTGACCTGGGAACATTCGGTCGGAAAGTGAGCACGAACTCAGAGGAAGCGCAGAAGTGGTTTGATAGAGCACTGGTTTGGACATACTGCTTTAATCACGATGAGGCGATCGCATGCTACGAGCAGGCAATTGCACATGATGATAATTGCGCGATGGCCTATTGGGGCATATCTTTCTGCGCCGGGTCCAATTACAACAAGACATGGGCTCTATTTGACGAAAACGATCGAATCAATGCTATCAAACGGTGCTATACATTTTCGCAAGAGGCTTTAAAGCGTGTGCACCATGCTTCGGATTGGGAACAGGCGATTATTATTGCGCACAGCAAGCGATATCCCAATGATGACCCGGATCGAGATGTTCTTGCATGTAGCAAAGCTTGGGCGAATGCGATGAGAGAGATTTATTTGACTCGACGTGAAGACTTCGACATTATTACTCTTTTCGCGGATGCATTGATGAACTGTGCTCCGCGCAAGTTGTATGATGCCTCTACTGGATTGCCGATTGCGTCTTCGCCTGTATTCGAGGTAAAAGAGCTTCTCGAGAGCTCTTTGAAAATGCCTGGTGTCGAAAAGCATCCCGGTCCCGCGCACATGTATATTCATCTGATGGAGATGTCGTTGACACCTGAAGCTGCATTGCCTGCAGCAGACATGATCCGCGAGATATTTCCAGATACGGGTCACACTTTTCACATGCCCGCTCATATCGATGTCCTTGTGGGCGACTATCGACGTGCAGTGGAATATAATTACAAAGCGACTGTCGCAGATGACAAATATTTTCAACAAAATGGCGGTTTGACATTCTACAGCTACTATCGCCTTCACGACTACCATTCACTTATCTATGCTGCCATGTTGGGTGGGAAATCAAAGGCTGCATTAGCTGCTACGGAGCGTATGGAAGCGACTATCACGGAAGAGATTCTTCGTGTAGACACACCTGCTTTAGCAAATTGGATGGAGTTCTTCAAGGCTGTTCGGGTTCATGTACTCATTCGCTTTGGGATGTGGGAAGAAATCAAAAGTCTGGATCCCCTTGAAGATAAAGAGCTTTATTGCGTCACCAATGTGATGCGACATTACGGGAAAGGCATCGCATACGCAGCGACAGCCCAGCTGGAAGAAGCCGATAAAGAGAGAGAGTTGTTTAAGGCTGCTTCCAAGCTTGTGCCTCCTACGAGGCTGGACTTTCCTAACAAGATCACTGATATCCTCAAAGTAGCATCCGCTATGCTGGATGGTGAAATTGAATATAGACGAGCAAACTACGAGACGGCTTTCGACAGATTACGAGATGCAATCAAGTTTGAAGATGCGCTCCCTTTTGCGGAGCCATGGGGTTGGATGCTTCCGGCACGGCATGCTTATGCAGCGTTATCGTTAGAGCAAGGCAAGGTCGAACAGGCTGCGTTAGCATATGCTGAAGACCTTGGACTTGTCACGACGCCTAATCGCTCGCACCAACACCCTAATAATGTTTGGGCTCTTCATGGATACCATGAATGTCTTCGTATTTTGGGACGAGACGCGGAGGCGGACATAATTAAGAAACAACTTTCCCTTGCGCTGGCGGAGGCAGATGTTGAGATTACATCTTCGTGCTTTTGCAGGCTTGGGGACCCATCCTGTACCCAGGCTCCAAAGGCCAGAGTAAATGGGCATATCAATGGAGTATCAAAGTGTTGCAGCTAATGTTAAAAGTCAAATTAATATGAAAAGAAAAAAATGATGCATTCGATCATACACAGTCTCTATAACCCATCCCAATGCTTCCGAGAGACCTTAAAACATGCTCATTTGGTAGAGTACAGTAAATTGCTAAATGTGGCATTTCATGTTAGACGATTGTATGTCTGCGTAGTATGAAACAATAAATGGTTCCTCAGACATTGCCATTCCGCAAGCTTCAAAAATAGAGCTTGAAAGAGCGCTGTTAATTGAGCGTATCCGCAACCTGTTGAATCATCTCCCGAACCTCATCAACAATCCGGAAACAGGGTATCAACTTCCGCGCCACAGGGTTATGTGGACAAACATCGAGAGGATCATGATCAATGCCGTACTCTCGCCTGCGACATCGGCCCTCAGCATCGGGACAAGTCGTATGCCCAACCATATGTCGGTGGCGTTGCCGTTCTGCAAACCTTTCTCCCATTCGCAACAGCCGTTGAACATCCATCTGCAGTCCATCCATAACAAGATCTCGAAGCTTCTCGCTGCTAATTTGCAAATTCAGTTCAGAGGGAAACCCAAGTCCAGAGTCCAGGTAGACAGTCTCAGTGTCGTTCCGCGAGTCATCTCCTGTGGCGTTCTTATCTAGCCAGTGTATATACTTTCGGTAGCCTGATGTAACTTCCAGCATAAGGTGACCGATCAGAAGAACATTTTGAACGGTCAGTCGAGGGGGTTTTGAGACGTCGTAGCAGATTGGACATGTCAATAACCTTTCTGACAATGTCACGCCTGTGCGAATTGTCAAGATAACATCGTGGCCCATATTCGCGCCATTCAAGCTTCGTACAATGTTCGAGACGTCTTCATCGCATTTACATGGTCGTGTCTGTGAGGGTGATACTGCGGACGTATACGGTTCAAGTGCCAGCTGCATATCTGGAGTATGCATGTCAAGTTCGGATTGTCTGGATGTCTGCCATAGCTCTAGTGGAAATGAACAAACATTGCTTGTTCCCATCATCTCCCGCGGTAGTGTATCAAATCCGCAATTCTCAGCGAGTCCGCTTGTAAGTGAGTCCGGCTCACTGTTTTCCACGAACATGTTGATAGCGTCTGGCGATATTAAAGCTGTGTCAGGTGCCATAGACGAAAAATGGGACGAGCTGGACGATGTTGTTCGCTCCCGCCTGGTCGTGTTGACACCGGGATACTCTTGTATTAACCGTTTTCTCGGTCTTCCGGGCGCTCCTTTATCTTTGAATTTACATGGCAGTGATAAAGACTTGCAACGAGAGCAACCGCTCTTATCCCCGGAGCATCTGAGCTTCCGTGCCCCTATTCACGATTAGTTGGTATGGGAGTCTGTATGGCTCGCACTAGGATCAGCGTACTGCATGTTTCGCACGACTTGCGCTCCTGTCTAATTTGGCTCATATCTATACTGGAGTGTGAATTGGATTTCCTCGAAGCTGAACGGGAATCGCTTTGGACCCGGGCGATTGGTCATCGTACGCTAACATGGCGTCAACTAGATCCCGAGCGGGGTTGTACAGTTAGCCGGTTCGGCCTTGTGGGCAAATCGTCATGGAAGCTTCCCAAGGTCGGTGATATGGGAGCTATATCAGAGTCCACGCGTTATTCGTACGCAATGATTTGGATACTTTCGAGGATCATAATCGTGGATGCCATGAGGCCCATGACTCCTACTTAAATAATATGTAGGCAACCTTCGAAACTATGTAGAGCCCCATCAAGAGCTCAAAAGGCAGCTACTATCCGATGAGGTTAATTAGTACCAGACTCGCAAAAAGAATTTTGCAAAAACAAAATAGAACAACCTGAAAGTAGTTATTGGAAGCCCTGGGGAATGGCTCAGTCTTGTGTAAATCTCTTGGTAATGGTGTGCTTTGCGGGTCCTCTTATCCACTATGTTTTCAAAAATAAGAAAACATCCGAGTGACTATAGCAGTAATGTACTCGAAATCAGATTAATTTATACTGTAGACTCTTGGATTTTCGCTCCTAATCCTTACAGTCTAGCTTGAAAGACGCCCTTCGGCAGATATATAATTCTTCCAAGAGATATAACTGTATTTTATGTATTTTACATAACGCGCCGAGACCGCCAATGGTGTAATTTACATGAATCTCCTTTACGTGCCAGTCGAGATGCTCCATGGGGTAAAGCGTTTGGTATTTGACATTTAGATCAACTCCAACGTATTTGCGTATGAAACGAAACACATGCGAAGATAAACACGGTTAATCACAGAGTCTTCAATACAGGAAAGCCTATTCCGAGGTTGAAGAATATCCTTGAGCTTGTTGGTAAAGGATACCAAATGGCTGCGCACCTCCGTGCCTTAAAGGGTGCCAACGAGGTGAGTACAAACATCTCAGAATCAGAGGCTAGATGTTTTGTTTGGCGTACTGACAGTTGTAGGATTTTGCCGACATCCCTACCGAAACCCTTGCACCTAGCTGTGGAAGTAGCTTGGCCGATACAATCACCGACCTCAACAAGCTCCTTACTAGCACCAAGAAAGCTTACACCTACGGCTTGCCTTGAGTAGAGTAATCAAGGTTTAACTATATGTTACCATAATGCCCATTTGTTTGAAGCCATAACGATACTATGGAATGAGGGACCTTGGAAGTCGGCAGTCTGATTTCAAAATTAAACACGTTAGTATAAGTTATAACATTGGAATAAATAATGAGATTTCTGCATATAACTCCTAATATTGGAATCTTTGGATCATTCTAAAGCAGTATGTCGTACAGATTATAGAAAGAGACATAATTTAAACCTCAGGACTTCCATTTGCACTTCTCCATTCCAAATTTTCCGATGTATCAAGGTGAACTAAGTAGTTTGGCATCAATCTCGGACTAGGGTAAATCCGAAAATAGTAAACAAATAAGGGGAAAAATTGAGTTTATCCGAAAATAAAGCCTAGATGGTCCATGTGACCTTGGTGCCCTTGGTATTTCTGGCATATTGGTAGAAAGTCCAAGGCAGCTCCGGGTGGAATTGTAGGAGACGGGGGTTTAATTCCCCCTCTGGGCGTTTTCTTTTTTTTTTCACAGAAAAAGTTAAGTTTCCCATATATCTCGATGTCGTCGGGATTTAAACGTTGCTTCAATATTCAATTTCAAGAAAATTACCGTATTGTGACAATGACGAATTTATCGTTACCAGGAGATACTAAGAAGTAACTCTAATTAGACTAGCGTGTTTTGAGCTTGTGTTCGGGAATGAAAGTCTGAGGTAAATCTGATTTCAAAAACTACTGTACAATGATAAAATATCCGAACGCATATAAATCCCCCCGAGAGTATCTTTACTTGCTCAAATAATTAAGAGAACTTCATCGAGCCCAAAAGGTCGCTGTCTACTACGAGATGGTCAAATCAATCACTGCACAAGAGCTACGCCGCCATTGGGTTCTCCGCAAGGAGATAGTCCTTCTCGACGTACGTGAAGAAGGACCATATGCCGAATCACATCCTCTATTTGCAATAAGTGTCCCAGTCTCGGAAATCGAGACAAAGCTGCCCGCACTTGTTCCCCGAATATCAGCACCAATTGTCGTCTATGATGGCGGCGAAAACTATGTTCAACGCGCAGCTGAACGGGTGTCAAAGCTAGGATATACCGACGTTTCCATCCTAGAAGGTGGAATTTCCAGCTATGCTCTGGTAGGCGAGGTCTACCGAGATGTCGGCGTACCTTCCAAAGCATTCGGTGAGCTAGTCGAGTCAATCAATCACACTCCCTCTTTGTCTGCACGGGAAGTCAAAAATGTGCTGGATAGTAATGATGATGTCGTTGTTCTGGATGCACGCCGATTTGAAGAATTCAATACAATGAGCATCCCTCGAGGTCGCAGCTGTCCAGGTGGAGAGTTGGTGTATCGCGTGTTAGAGGCTGCGCCTTCCCCTGAGACGACAGTTATCGTCAACTGTGCCGGTCGGACTCGAAGCATTATCGGGACACAGTCACTGGTCAACTCTCGGATTCCAAATAAAGTGCATGCGCTTCGGAATGGGACTATTGGATGGACACTGGAAGGTTTGCAGGTAGATACGAAGAAGTCGGAGCGTGCGCCACGGCCTTCGCCTGAGACATTAGAGCGAGCACGCAAATCTGCCGAGTCCTGGGCTGAATACGTTGGCGTCCCTTTGATTAACGGCGATCAGATTGTCGAGCTCGTATCCGGACATGAGAGTCGGACCATATATCTGCTAGATGTGAGAGACCCGGAGGAGTATGCTCTCGACCATCCGGCTGGATTCACCAATGCCCCTGGTGGTCAATTGGTACAGGCCACGGAAGAGTGGGTTGGTGTTCGAGGCGCTCAAATAGTTCTGTACGACACAGATGGCGTCAGGGCTCGGATGACAGCGACCTGGCTTTTGCAACTGGGATGGGAAGTCTATGTATTGCACGAACGAGCTACAATCTCACATGATTTGGCCCTTCCAGGACGCGTGACAAAGACGATATTACAGAGCGCGCAGAGCGGGGCTATCACTACTAACCAGCTTCGAGATCTTTCATCGGCGACTGTTGTGGATCTTGCCCGTAGCCCAACCTACAGCAAAGGCCATCTTCCTGGTGCATTGTTCGCGTCTGGGCCTGAACTTGCTCGGGACTTGAGTGCGCTCGACGGTGACGGGCCCATCGTGTTGACGTCTCCTGATGGTGATGTTGCCGCTGTGAATCTGGAATATGCTCGAGAATCAGTCACGCGACAGGTATTTTATCTGAAGGGAGGAACTGCAGCTTGGAAGGAAGCTGGAAATCCACTGGAGACTGAGCTCCATTGGCTTTCCGAGCCGATTGATGTGTACAAAAGGCCGTATGAGGGGACGAATAATGCTCAAAAGGACATGCAGGCCTATCTTGACTGGGAGTATGGGCTCGTTGCGCAGTTGGCTAATGATGGGATTTCCTGCTTTCATGTTGTACGTGATAAGCGTGATTCACCGACGTAAGCCACATGTGCACTGCCATCAGCACTTGAGGCCCAATGGCGTGAAGCCATCATACTGTCGTAAGCTCAGTCTGACTATGCATAATCAATCCGATAGCAAACTGTTTTTTGAGTGCCACTGCAGATAAAAGCTTGATGTTCCTTTTCTTTGAGTAAAACAGAAGCTCTAGTTATATAGGTCTTATGTTTGCAATGGAATTTAGATTTATTCGAATATTTTGTTGTACGATGAGTCAGCATCGTGCCTAAGTGATTGTCGAAGACAATAGAGCGTCGGCACATAATAAAGTTCGTTCTCATCAGCGAGACAAATAAATTTTATACCAACTTTGGAAGGACTGAGTATTGACACCTGAATGATAAGGCATCACATTTGACATGATGTGTCAGCCACATCTATCACGTGCGTGGGAATCCAGGGTTCAAGGGTTCACAGGGTTCACAGGGTCTAAGTACATCAGAGCACGGGGAACAAGGGGCTACCCCTAATGCGGCCGCTGAGGGTCCATCCGCCACTAGCTGCAATTGGTGAAGGCCTCACAGAGATGATCCTCACTTCATGCACATTAATATCTAAGCAACAGCCTCATTACGGGAATTTAAATTACTAGGGCCTATGCCATGCTCATCAATAGCCCAAAAGCCCCGAGTTAAAAGATCTGCTCCTGATGCAGGCAACAAAATAGTCCAATGGCCAAAGCGGGGATTCAGGATGCCACTCAAGAGATTGAGATTACATCAGACTACCCATAACGGGCGATGAGGCGTTCTTAGAGGCCAGAAGCGATGGGGATATGTGGGCATTTCTCTCCTGTTCATGTCAATCATTGATGCTGATTGCTTTGCCAAGACGCCAAGACTGGCTTGGGCCCATGGTACTGTTCCTGGTCCGCTTCGACGTCACCGGTGCATCCGGAGACTGTGTTAGTATCGAAGCGAAGGACGCGGTCAAAGAGTCTGGTCGTATCGTGAGGGAGTCGTGAACATTCAACGCAGATATTTGGACTGTCAATTTGAACTAGAAACCCAACACTTCCCCCTCATTTTGTTGACATTTGGATCTGCGAAACAGGTGCGGGACGCTAAGGAGGCAGTGCAAAGCCTTTGGGGTCTTGTAGGATGGGCAATATCGTGCTTCTGGTCCACCCTTGGTTGAAGTCAGTCAGGACTGTCAGATCATCTAGGCCGGGCTCCCGAGGCCTGCTGTATGGGAGAAACTGGGATGTGAGACAAAAAAAGACACGACTCTTGGCGCCCCCCGGACTATGAGCGTTTTCAGCGATTTTCAGCGACCGTAGGCGTGGAGTCCAGAAGGCCATCAAACGGGTTCCCCAACTAGACTAAATACTTTCTTTTGAGTGATCGAATTGAACTTCACTGAACCATGATGTGTAAAATGATCGGCATCGCCTGTTTCTTAAAATAAAACGATCCAACAGATGATCCAGCGCAAATTCATGAAAGCCAGCCGTGTGTGTGCCTAAGGCGGATACCACTTCATGTTCCAGATTGGCCCCCCGTGCTCCACTTTTGCAGGGTCCATCTTAATTTCTATGGACAAGCCAAGAACTCTCGCGTGAAGCCATGCTGTAACTGGGCGGCTGTAAGGACATGGGGCCGCCTTCTGTGGGCATGGGTTTTCTTCCTCCTTTGCCCCCTCTACACTACTTTCACCTCTAAAACACAAATCGCGCGCGGCTCCGCACCTTATATCGGCATTCTAATGATTGATATTCTCATCGGAGTGCCAAGCCTACAGATAATCAGGCAAGGAGTCTGATTTCTTCGCACATCGCCCGAATTCCCCCAGCGGTCACATTCCACATCTCACATTCCACTCGCGCGTGGTCCTTCTCAGCCATGCGCATAACCCAATTTACGCAGATAGCGACGGCTATCTTGCCAGGTCTGCTCTTTAGCGATTATGTTCAAGCTCTTACGATAGATCTCACGGACAAAGGTAAGATCCACAAGCAATCTTGCTGTTATTCTGGTCTTTTCACTGTATTAATATGTTGCAATGGATAGAAACTCTCGTAGCTGCCGCGAAGGTCAGCGTAGAAGGCGCGTTCGGTTACTATAACGGCAACAACTCTGGAGCAACACCAGGAGCATTCGATTTCAGTTGGTGGGAAGGTGCTGCACTTTGCAATGCGTTTCTCAACTATTGGCACTTCACAGGGGATGATAAATACAACTATGCGCTGAACATGGCGTTATCGCACCAGGCAGGTGATGCTGGTGACTACTTGAACGAAAACTACACCACATATGCCGTGAGTATTACATTCCACGGGAATCATGCTGAGCGCATAGGACTAACAGATTTTTGATGGCAGGGAAACGATGATCAAATGCAATGGGGCAACGCGGCCATGGCTGCAGCCGAATACAATTTATCAGACCCGATAGGAATCAAATACAGCTGGATCTCTCTCGTGCAGGGTGTCTACAACAACCAGAAAGACAACAACGAAGGATGGGATGATACAACATGTGGCGGTGGATTTCGGTGGCAGAAGCTACCCGTTCAGGGCACAGGATACCACATGAAGAACTCTGTGTCAAACGGTGGATTTTTCCAGTTGGCTGCTAGACTTGCACAATATCTACAGAAAGACGAGTATGCTGATTGGGCTGAGAAGACGTGGAACTGGTCCACGTCGGTGGGTTTGGTCAACACCAAGACCTGGGCAGTGGGTGATAGTGTCAGTACCGGTGACAGCTGCAAAACAGTTGATCCGACAAATTGGTCTTACAACTATGGTGTTTACCTGAATGGCTGTGCATACATGTATGCTTACGTGAGTTCTACTCCATCGTGCCCATTGCTGTTACGCGGCCATGCCGTATCTTCCATTTTCGATATTCTTCAGACTAACCTTTGAAAATTGAATAGACCAAAAAGCAGGTCTGGCTCGACAGACTAAACGGCTTGATCGGAAGTACATTTGACGTATTCTTCTTGCCAAAGTATGGCGGTACCATCTCTGAGAAGACATGTGAGGCAGTTGGCAACAACTGTGACCGAAACCAGAAGCTTTTCAAAGGTCTCACCTTGATGTGGATGGCAAACGTCGCACTCGTGGTACCAGCCACATACGACAAGATTCTAAAGGGAATCCAAGACTCAGCCACAGGCGCTGCCATATCCTGCTCGGGTCAAGGCAATAAGACATGCGGTGACAGGTGGTATAGTGGATATGATGGCAAGATTGGAATGGAGGAACAGATCACTGCTACGAATGCTTTCAGTGTGGCTTTGCTTCCTTTCGTTGATAGGAACACCAGTGCGCCATTGTCTACCTTGACAGGAGGAAACAGCACCAGTAACCCCAACGCCGGAACAACTTATGATAACGGTCTTCCCAAATTCGCACCTATCACAACGGCAGACCGAGCAGGTGCTGGCATCATGACCGCCGTGTTCGTCGGTGGTATGGTCGGAATGGCAGTATTCATGCTCATGGGCCCTTGAGCTCTGGATAAAGGATTACTTTTTAACTTCTTTGATTTAACGAGCGTGCTGAGTAGCCGGGCTATGTCATGCGTGTCTCATGATTTTCCCTTCCAAGTCTATGGGTCCTAACCACTCGGAGAGCCCAGTCCTTGGAAGATTGACGTGCGGTATAAATCGCTCCTGGATCAACTCAATCATTTTTGCCGTCATGTACACTATCAACCCAGAGTGCGGGCACATCATGTATCATAATTTTAGCCACTGCACATTTTTATCTTTTAATTGAATCATTCACAGCGTGACATTTTAGCATTATACTTGAAAACAAGATTAGAATAGAATATATCTCTCGCGGAGCTACAAACTATACCAGTTCGACTGGGTTGTACAAGAGGAATTGGATACTGCCGCTTTTCACGAGCTATGCAAAATCCCAGATACGAGTTTGATTAAAGTTCTTTTGGGGGGTAGAACAAGGCCATTTACAAGTCTTGGAAGATTCTTGGAACCAAGCTGCGGAGTATAATAATATCTTGGCATGGCCAATTAAGCTTATGGGGTCGTTGAAAACCGTTCGAAGTATAATAAAGACTCTGCCGGAACAGACTACACTTTTGTACGTGTGTTTCGTCTGCTTAGTCCCTGCCGACTCTCCATAGACAATAATTCCGACCAATGTCATGAGAAATCAGAAGTCATTTAATCGTCTCAATACCACTTACCAGAGCTTCCCACTGTTGGTGACTGGGAAAAGCTTGGAAATGCCCAGGATTTAGTTCTTCAAATAAACAGAAAGCTCAACCCATTGAATGATATTTCAGTACTGCTAGCCGCAACCTAACTAATATCTCACGCCATAACACTAGGCCATTGAGAGATAAGTTTTTTCCATGGTACGTTGCGATGGTAATAACCCGGCTTTCCTAGATGTTTCATATCTGAGCATGGGGAACTTGGGTGGAAAATAGATAGGGTATGACGTATAAAACAGCTAAAGTGAATTGAAGCGTTGGATGATGTAGGCCAATCTCCCAAAACCTGGAAGCAAGTATTATCTGGTGTTGAGTTGTTTTATGTTACGGAGTCCCACAACTTCTGCCACTGACGTCGATTGTTGCGGGTTCCATGTTTCCACCTGCTAATAAGCCGCCAATACCCTGTTCTACCTGGCTTGGCATCCCCTTGTTAATACCCCACCTTTCTCAGGGTCTGCGCCAAAAAAACCACAAGTATACTGTAGATTTGTATTTAAATATTCCTGTTCCTGGTTGCTATTAGTAGACCGCCAATCACTAAATATTTTCAAAAGCTTGTATCCACAGTATTTAACCATCCCCAGGTATATTACGGTACCTATGTCACTGGTTATTTGTGGGTCGCGCAAATGACCTAGCTGGCTGGCCGTCTATTTTGTACCCAATATATTGCTCTGTTGATATTAAAGACGTGCTGTGTGCCGATCGCACCTTGTTCCTCTCTTCGATTTCCATAAAAAAAAAATTTCAATCTCACTCTTCATTCCTCCACATTCCAAAGCAATATCTGATAGCAGTGATCCCAGCTATCACGCATCGATTGCAAGAATGAAGTCAAATATTGTTGCTGGACCTGTCACTTTACAGGCCTTACTTCTGTCGGCTGCCTTTGCTTCCCCAGCTCCAACTGCCTTTGCCAACGCCAATGATGTCGCCCCGAACGAACCAATAATCACAGCTACCCCCGTTCAAAACAATCCCTCCCAAGTCATTCAAAGAGACATTATCAGTGACGTTGAGTCAGGAGTTGACAGCGTTGTTTCTGGGCTCGGATCTGATATCCCAACATGGGTCGCATCCGGAGTTCCCAATTTCTTCCAAGGTTTCCCAACTGGAGATTCAGTTGTGAGCTCTCTAGGATTGAATAGCGCGGAGTTAAAAGCATTGCCAACCAATGTGCTGAATATCGACCCATATGCCAATTGGACCAACTCCGGCTGGAGTGTTCGCTTCCACGGAAATGTTTACAAGCAGCCTAACACATCTGTTCATGACTTGAATAAGCTGGCCGATGTTTTCCTTGTCAACACTAGTATTTCCGATCTCCCCGAGTCCCAGCAAGAACAGGCCCGAAACCTGACTGCCGAGATTTTCGTCGTTCAGCAGCCGAACGTTGCTGTCAACACAATCCACCTTGAGCCTGCAGAAAGTCAAGGTTCTAGTGGACAGCCAGGCGGTGGTGGCTCATCGAATACCACAGGTGGTACACAGGATATTACTTTGCCTTACAACACAACCGTCGAGGGTGATTTCGATACCTTTGTTCCAATCGATAGCAACGGGTTGGACGCAGGAAATGAGACCTCGAAAATCCAGAGACTCAACACATACGTCGAGGGTGCATCGATCGGTAACGGAACAGCCTATCTTGTACCCCCAACAGGTTTGACCATCATTTCCGATATCGATGATATTTTGCGGGTCACCAAGATCTACGAGCCAGAGCAAGGTCTTCTCAATTCTTTCGCCCGCCCCTTTACCGCTTGGGAGAACATGCCCGATATTTATCGCAACTGGTCCACAAGTCTTCCCAACATGCACTTCCATTACCTTGTAAGACATACTTTCATCTCACTCTGTTCTCTCATCATACTAATAACTATCCCAGACCACTACCCCAGAGCAAATCACCCGAAACTACATGCAATTCATCTACACCAACTACCCCGGCGGCTCCTTCGACACCCGCCCTCTCAACTTCAGCGACGTCTCCGCCACTCTATCGATCCGCAAGTTCCTCCTCCAGAAGGTCTTCGAAACATTCCCCGAACGCAAATTTATCCTTATCGCAGATACCAGCAACAGCGATGTCATGAAGGACTACCCCGAAATGGCTACCGATTTCCCTGGCCAAGTGCAATGTATCTTCCTTCGCAATACCTCTGCAACTGATTCTGGTGACAAGTTCCCGTACGATACATCTGGATTCAAAAACTTGAACCAGTCTTCATACATGTTCTTCGTGAATGCGGATGACCTGACAAATCTGGATATTGCCAATGGACAATGCTATAACCAGTCCATTCCCCAGAATTTGACATTTGGATACCAAGGTCTACCTGGAGCTAGCCCGACATCAGTGAATGGATCTGCAACACACACTGCATCTGCGAAAGGAGCTGCTACTGGGGCTTTGTTGAAGGAAGGAAGTTGGCTGTATACTCTTCTTCCTTTGGTTGCCACACTTCTTGCGGGTGTGTTCATGATGTTGTAGACTGTCATGTACTGTACCAGTCATGAAAAGTGAATGATGTGCGTCCTAGAAAATTGTGAATCTTTTCCTTTTCTCTTTGGAAATTGGGGATGGACCGATCAAGCTCGGACTTAATGATTATGTTTCATAGCTACAATAATGTTTTAAATACCCATTGTTGATGAATAAATGTTGGCTTAATTATCCTTTTCCATTTTGAATCTTAACAGTCTAGATCGTAAGCGAAAAGAAGAGAAAAGAAAAACATGATAAAAATAAGATTACAACCCGACTAAGACTGAAATACGAAGGAGTCATCGAACTTCGCGCCCATGGCTTCTCCACAAAAATGGCGATAAGCCCGCAATCCAGCAATGAAATAGAGAAATTCTCTATGCTTCCCAGGAATATTTGCACCCATATACCATGAGTCAGCCTGCGTAACAAGAGTTCTATCTGCAATCGCATGTATCTGAGCGGTCCAAGCCTGAGCAGCCTGAGGACTAGCATCAACAGACTGATGGCCTTCAGTTTCTGTCTTCTTCACCAAATTCCTAATGAATTCCGCCTGCATACGTATGCAGGTTGGGCCATTGCTAAACGCAGTTGGCGCATGAGCGCCAAATGGGAGAAACATGTTTGGAAATCCAGGGACCATCATTCCTAGAAAAGTCGTCACGCCATCCTTCCATCGCTCCCCGATATCCACGCCATTCACGTCTTTAATGCCCATTCGTGCCAAACTTCCGGTTGTAGCATTATACCCGGTAGCTACTGCAATGACATCCACTTCATGCAAGACATTATCATCGGTCATGATACCTGTAGGTGTCAATTCGACAACGGGATGCGCTCTGGTATTGATAAGGTGGACGTTGGACTTATCCATTTGTTCGTAGTAGTCTTGCTCAAGCGATGGACGCTTGACTCCGAGTGGGTGAAGCGGCTCTAGAGGTGCTAGCAGGTCACGCTTGACGGGGTCTTGAATACGCGAACGAGTCTTCATAGCCCAGAAGTCATAGGCCGCACGATTTCCTGTCGGCTCCACCAGTAAACCAGACCATCCGCCAGTCCAATACTTTAAACCTCCTTCGTCATACACACTACTGAGGATTGCCTCGACCTCCTCGGGAGAATAATCCGCAAATGGTTTAGTAGGGCTCTGCCAGGGGAATCCAGTCGCACTAGTCCTGCATATAGCAAAGAGGTTGGCTGTCTCGGCTTTCAATTCGTCCTGTGCCTTCTTATCCAATTTCTTTTGGCGCATAGGAAATGCTATATTTGGAGTTCGCTGGAAGACGAACGTCTCAGCTGCATCCTTTGCCCATTCTTGGATAATTTGAACGCCTGTTGGTCCGGTTCCAATGACTGCGACGCGTTTCCCTTTGACATCGACCTTTTCACGCGGCCAAAACCATGGACGGTAAATATCGCCCTTGAAAGTGTCGATACCTTTCCACTGCGGAGTGTATTCCCCAGCAAACCCGACCGCGGGAATGAGGTATTTGGCTCTGATTGCTTTTCCAGTATTGGTTATGATATTCCATCTTTCGCCATCGAAGCTTGCTCCAGTCACCTCTGTATTAAAAATGCAATCCTTTGAGATCGATAGGACTCGATCGGCGTGCGCGAAATAGGCCCCGAGCTCTTGTTGTGCGGGGTATTTTTCCGACCAGTCCCAGGTTTTCCAAACCTCCTCTATATCGAATCCATAAGTTGGTACAGGGGAGTCTACTCGCGCGCCGGGATAGTTGTTCCAATGCCAAGTTCCTCCTACGCTGGAGCCAGAATCAATTATCTTGACGTTCAAGTTTAACTGGTCACGTAAGTGGTGGAGCATTTGAATACCCGAGAAGCCAGCTCCGACGATAGCAGCGTCCAAATCAAGTTTGTCATTTTGGGGACCGGTCATACTAAAGGACAGTTTCGCTAATCTTTGATTTGCTATGGAAACTGTCGAAAGTTCTCTGCGGTTCATGTTGGACATGATTGTAGGTGTATGTTGGAACCTTGGAGATCTTTCCTAGGTGTGGGGTATATCAATATTGCCTCGGTTCGGCCCCCAAGCTCGTCGAGGACGGTCGTGTTTGTGGACCAATCACGTCTTAAAGGCCGGATTGCATGACTCGAAAGAAGAGGGATGTTTGATATATGAGAATCTGTAACAGCTCCACTCAGGCTGTGGATTTTGGATACAGGTGGCCGGGGAGGAGGCGAGGGATAGACAGAAGAAGGAAGTAGATGCAAACATGGCAGAACAATGATTCTGTCAAAAGTTTTGGGGCTGATTGATCGTTAACCTAGATATAATGCCTATATTTGCGAACAAGTTGGCATATTGGCTTATCCTTATAAAAAATAGTTATAGAGTATCAGTATCAACAAGCAGAGTCCAGCTTTATGCAGAAAGTCGGCAGAGATGATAATTCATGTTTTCTTACTATAGCATAATTGCTCGACGTGAGGCGTAAGGATTTTGTCTCATAGTGGCCCCACCAAGAACTTGAAGTCGTTACAAAGAAACTAGGTAAAACTACAATTGCACGACCAAAGCCACTTGGTGAACAATAAAAAGGGGTGGGAGCTAGAACAGAAATGGAAGCGAAGCTGAGACCTTGTAAATTAAAAAAAGAAGAATCTACTATGCGACTTTTGGCCTTTTCTTTTGGGTGACTCTTCGTGACTCACAAATCTTACTAACCATTCGTATTCAAGCTTTATGCCGCAATCTACTAAGATCCATTGCAACCTCACCATTATATTAAATTTGAGATTATAAATCATCTCGAGAATATCATAGACAAATTTCATGTATAAAATGTGACCTTTAGATTGTATGAAAGATCTCGAATCCAAGAAAATCTTCAAATCTTTCAACCATAACATAATAACACAACAAAATGGCGAGTTTAAACTTCGAGACATATCACAATGTACGTGGGATAACATCGGCTATTCAATTGCGCATACTGACTAGTCCAGGTGATTAATGGTGCATTGAAGAGCGCCAGCAAGCAATATTATGGCATCAACCCTTTTACAGAAGAGAGACTCTGGCCAGTACCAGTAGCTACTGAAGAGGACCTCGAAGAAGCGATTGAAGCAGCCAATATTGCTTTCAAAACATGGAAAAATACAACTTTGGAAGATCGTCTCAGTCGCTTCCAGGCATTTGCCAATGCATTGCTTGCTCAAAAAAGCGAATGGGCGGATCTTGTCTCAAAAGAAGCAGGCCAATCTGTATGCTCAATCTGATTGTTCATGTGATTGGCCTTTTTATTAACATTCATCTTTTTTTCAGATAGAATTTGCAACAGATGAAGTGGAAGTCAGTCAGGAATATTTGACTACTATCCGTACGTATCTCATAGCACTATATCGATTCTCTTCACTAACACCCAGTTAGCAAATATTGACTTGCCCGAATATGTCACTCATGACGATGAAGACGTCAAAGTCACAACAAAATACTATCCTCTAGGCGTTGTAGCTGGTATATGTCCGTGGAACTTCCCAGTTTTACTTGCCGCTGGAAAGATTGCAAGTGCGGTTTCGACAGGAAATACCATTATCATCAAGCCTTCGTGAGTTAATTCGCTGAATTACATTATGGTAAAAGAGGCCAGCGCAATTAACATTACCAGGCCATATACACCTTACAGTGAGCTGAAACTTGCCGAGTTGGCGCAACAATTCTTTCCCCCGGGTGTTATTCAAGCGCTTGGCGGAGATGATAATCTGGGGCCATGGATGACAAAACATCCTGGCATTGCGAAAATATCATTCACGGGCTCTACTGCAACGGGGAAAAAAATCATGGCGGCTGCTGCCTCGACTTTGAAGCGAGTTACTTTGGAGTTGTGGGTATATCCATTAGTATAAAGGAGATGAAATATGCTGACACTTGTTTGCAGAGGTGGTAATGACCCATCGATCGTCTGTCCGGACATTGATCTTGATGCAGTCATTCCAAAGATACTAGAAGATGGTAGGTATTTTAATTACACCATGATCTAGAATGAAAACATACTGATTTATTAAAACAGTCTTCACTCACAGTGGCCAGTCGTGCATAGATACCAAGCGTATTTACGTCCATAAATCTATCTACGACACGTTTCTCTCAAAGTTCACAGCTGCCTCCAAGAAACTGAAACTGGGCCATGGATACTTGAGTCCCCTTCAAAACAAAATGCAGTATGAAAAGGTGGCATCTCTACTGAAAGATTGCCAAGATCAAAAGTACGAGTTTGCTTTGGGTGAACCTCGGGAGAAGAGCCTAAGCTCTCCTGGATACTTTGTATCCCCTGCAATTGTGTCTCGACCTCCAGAGAATTCTCGTCTGGTACAAGAAGAGCCTTTTGGGCCCATAGTTCCCGTATTGGAATGGGACGATGAAGAAGATGTGATCCGGCGTGCAAATGATACTGACCAAGGACTTGGTGCTACGGTTTGGTGCCGGGACCCAGAACGGGCGGAGCGCATTGCCTCACGCTTGGAGGCAGGTAGTGTGTGGGTTAATCGGGGTGCTATCCCATTGCCTACTGCTCTGTTTGGTGGAATCAAGCAGAGTGGAATTGGAGGGGAATGGGGGCCATTGGGTCTGTTGAGTTATTGTGATGCAAGAACTTTTCATTTCTCTAAGAGGCCTTAGGGTTTAAATATTGTTACTATATATGCTAGGCTATAAAACTTCTTTTCACTTTCCAATTCTAAGATAAAATTTAATATTAGCGATTCAATGTTCATCAATACGACCCGGATAGGACCTAAACCCACATTGAAGGTTCTGTCATACCATATGGCGGACACTCCATGTTTTAGCTTCTATGCGCTATTTATAATATAGCTCGACTAGAAGACATCATAATTTATGTGTCCGGTTTCAGACCCTGTATCGATTTAATCATTCATAGCAAGGTAGTAGCAAGTACAAGTACTGGCCAGCACAAAGAGTCCCGCTTTCCTATTAAAACTGTCGTACAAGGACTGGCTGATTGTGAAACCAGACATATCTAAGGGGATAAACCCACGATCGGACTGAGATCCTCCCTAGCACGAATCTATTGATTATTGTCGCACGATAACATCACCTAACATCATCGGTTATTGTCTTTGTATAGTTTCAACCCCATCTGTTAACTCATTCAGGCTATTTATATACTCCAGTGCTAGGGATGGGGGTGGCTCCACCTGGGCCAATCAGCAATAAGCAATCAGACCACGTCTTGGCGTCGATCGGACCGATGATACAGAATTCCCGCCACTGCGTCAAAGGGCCAGATTGTCCTCATTTTCTAGAACTTGCTTATTTATTGACCGTGCTTGAACATTCCTGCCGGGTTATAAATCGCGTTCTTTAAAATTGTCCTCTCCATATACCCGACACATCCGCAACATATCCACCGGATATTCTGCTGTTTTTATCCGTTGCGCCACATTGCGTCTCCGAACTCTCCGCTTTGTTCAAGCTCTGCTTTTCTTCATACATTTTCAACCACGGTGATCATTGATGGTCGACAAGATGCGCTCCGCGGCGAAGCTGTTTTATACAGCTGTCTTCGCCTTTTTGAGTCTGACAGATGCTAGTCATGCCTCACAAGATCTGGACGCCACAAAATGCGCTGTAAGTAAATCTCAGACTCCAATTGGAGGAGGCCAATCTTACGGTCTGTTCCCACATTGCTAACACATTGGGTACGTGCTATAGTTTGCTCCCTCGGCGATGGTCTCAGATGCCTGTGTCTCGTACGGAACAATCAACAAACTCAACGACGAAGTCTACACCCTTCTCCAAAGTATCACTACCGAAACCGATTTCTTCTCATATTACCGATTGAACCTGTTTAACAAAGAATGTCCGTTTTGGAACGATGCCAATAGCATGTGCGGCAACATTGCATGCTCTGTGAATACTATCGAGTCCGAAGAAGATATCCCGCTGATCTGGCGCTCAGAAGAGCTGAGCAAGCTTGAGGGACCCAAAGCCAACCATCCGCCACGAAAAGTACAAGAAACACGTCCGAAGGAGCGACCACTCCAGGGTATGCTCGGCGAGGGCGTTGGCGAGAGTTGTGTACTTGAATACGATGACGAGTGCGACGATCGAGACTACTGTGTTCCCGAGGACGAGGGTTCCGCGGGCAAAGGCGACTACGTGAGTCTGGTGGACAACCCTGAGCGGTTCACAGGATACTCCGGAGAAAGCGCACATCAAGTATGGGACTCTATATACCGGGAAAATTGTTTCATGAAAACAATGGAAGAGGAGTTGCAGGAACAGTCTCTCGACATGCCACTAGGTGGACTCCAGGCTGTATCTGACTTCCGAAATGTGTTACAGAAAGAGTCCCAGCGTCTGGACGGCCTGCCGTTGGATAACGAGTGTTTGGAGAAGCGGGTCTTCCATCGTCTCATCAGTGGCATGCATGCCTCTATCTCCACCCATCTTTGCTGGGATTACTTGAACCAGACAACTGGAAAATGGCAACCGAACATGCAGTGCTACAAGGAGCGCTTGCATGACCACCCCGAGCGTGTTTCAAACATGTACTTCAACTATGCGCTGGTATCGCGTGCAGTGGCAAAACTCCGCAAGCACTTGCAGAGCTACACCTTCTGTACCAGCGATCCTGTCCAAGACTTCGACACTAAGCAGCGAATCAACCAGCTCGCCGATGTTCTGGCACGCCCTCCTCGTATCTTCGACGAAGAAGCCATGTTCCAAGATGCCAGCGCCCATGGCTTAAAGGAAGACTTCCGTAACCGATTCCGCAACGTTAGCCGACTAATGGATTGCGTGGGTTGTGACAAGTGCCGCCTGTGGGGAAAACTGCAGGTCAATGGTTATGGAACAGCATTGAAGGTTCTCTTCGAGTACGACGAGACCAAGAATGGCGAGAACCCACCTTTACGCCGGACAGAGCTCGTCGCCTTGATCAACACACTCGGTCGCATCTCTCACAGTCTGGCCGCCGCGCGCAGTTTCCACGAAGCCTATGAAGCTGGCCAAGAGCACGCGTACCCCCTTCACAACTACGCCCCCTATGTCGCTAAGCATGCAGAGGTCGAAGCGGATAAACAGAATCCCAGGCGGCTTTTCCATGACGGTGCTGGTAACTTATACTATGAAGACGGATCCGCTCCAGGTGATGAATGGTACCAGGGCAGCCAAGAATTTGAGGGCCGCAAGCCATGGGAATACCCTGCCCGGTCAGAAGATGCGACCACAATGGATGAAATAGCAACAGAATGGATGGTTATTCGCGACACAGCCCTGTTTATCCTCAAGAGTTGGATTGGCGCTCCTAAAACGCTGTACGTCTTTCTATCCCCCGCCCTTTTCCCTGTCAATATCTTTTCCAATCCACACTCAAGCAACATCCACTGACTCTATACCTTTTAGTTACTCGATTTGCAAGTTTGAGGCTACGCGCCTTTGGCATTTTTGGCTAGGTCTGCCTGTACCTCCTCGCCAGTGGGGATTAAAACCTCCTGGTGCCGATGATCGCATCGCGCAGTCTGTCCATAATCAAGAACTATGATTTCGTGTAGCATTCGCATCTGTACATAAGCGACTATTGTGTTTTGGCGTTGAGAGGGATTGATTCGATTTTCGGACTTATGAAAGGGAACTTGCATCAGTGATATTTCACTGCTTACTGTTTAACATTTACTGGTTGGGTATTTGATTATTTGTAAACGTTATATATACATGGTTCGGCTACAGTTTCTTGATTGGGATGGCATCCTTGACTTTCTCGCATGTAGCTCGGGTGTACTGCATACAAGGTGCATACATAAGACAATCAAATGAGTTCAGCTACAATTTCTTTACTCTTTACACTGGTATTCAAGTAATTAATAAGCACATACTCTCCTATCTAAGTATCCTTAGTGGCAGAGTTTCCCTCGGGAGACGCCCCGAGGTCCCTTGTACACAGTAGATAACAGTACAGTCAAGACCGCTCGTATTCGCCACCACTGAGATTTCACCGGTCTTTTCATTTACAGTAATAAGGATGACTTAATTGGCAGGTAAATCAAACTGAAGACAAAGTAAAAATTATCTGTCTTCACATTCTCCATCTTAGAATCTCAGAATCTCAGAATCCCTGATCTCTATAATAACATCGTGGTCAGCGTTAACTCGGTCAACGCCGACATCCTCGGCTTCTCCACTCCCGGCCACATGCGACCGGCAACTTTGACTTTTCCCACTTTCCTTCCCCGTCATCGCTCCACCCCCAGTTTCCCTCCCCCATCTTCCTGACCCGATGCGATAGATTTCGGATCAACTCATGGCGTCGGCGTCGCCACCAAAACCGTGGGAGAGAGCAGGTGCTACAGGTGGTAAGTTCTTCGCTTCGCTTCGTTCTATCCCCAACCCCCATGGACCCCAAGTCAAGTCAAAGCGGTGAATCACACGCCCATCGCGACGATCAAGAATAAGGGTCATCGTTACCATCTCAACTTCGAGGAAGTCTCCAAAACAAAATACTCATCGTGTCTATGTACAGGAAACGCGTTATCATCCGTGCCTACTGCTGGTAGTCCTCTTACATCGACTGCTATGACTACTACAACACCCTCTGCGGGCAACCCCGCAACCTCAACAACATCTGCCTCTGCGGCCCCCGACTTGCCCTCTCGCCCCAGCACACTCAACTCCGTCGTGAACAACAACGCCTCAGCCTACTCTCAATACGGTGGCTCGCGCTTTGGTGCTAGTCCCTATGGGGGATACGGTGGTATGGGTGGTATGAGTTCTTACTCTTCTCCATATTCTCGCTTTGGCAGCATGGGCGGAATGGGCTCTATGTACGGCGGCTATGGTGGCATGGGCGGGATGGGAGGCATGTACGGCGGCATGGGCGGTATGGGTGGCATGTATGGAGGAGGCATGCCTGGGCAGGACCCGAATGATCCCAACAGCTTGACCAACTCGTTCGGTCAAAGCACCCAAGCCACTTTCCAAATGATCGAGAGCATCGTTGGTGCATTTGGTGGTCTTGCCCAAATGCTGGAAAGCACATACATGGCCACTCACAGTTCATTCTTCGGTAAGCTCTTCATTCATTCTTATACTTCAAAGAATTGAGCAGCGCGTTCTAATAACCTATGCAGCTATGATTTCGGTCGCTGAGCAATTCGGCAACCTAAGAAACACCATCGGCTCGGCCCTTGGCATCTTCACATTAATTCGATGGTTCCGCACATTGATTGCCAAGCTCACTGGCCGTCCTCCCCCAGCGGATGCCACTTCTCTCACCCCCTCAGCTTTTGCTGCCTTTATGGGTGGTCGGTCTATGCCCGCCACTCTTCCCGATGGCTCTCCCGCTCCTCCCAAGCCATCAAAGAAGCCATTCTTTATGTTCCTCGTCGCCGTGTTCGGTCTTCCATATCTCATGGGCAAGCTCATCAAGGCTCTTGCCCGATCCCAGGAAGCAGAAGCGAAGCGTCGTCAACAACTTGTCGGCCCCAACGGCGAGCCACAGTCTGCATCTCTCGATCCGGCCAAGCTGGACTTCTGCCGTGTCCTGTATGACTACTCGCCAGAGACACAGGAAAGCAACGGCATCGACCTAGCCGTCAAGAAGGGTGACGTCGTTGCCGTTCTCAGCAAGTCCGATCCCATGGGCAACGCCTCGGAATGGTGGCGCTGCCGTGCCCGTGACGGCCGTGTCGGCTACCTCCCCGGTCCTTACCTGGAAACCATCCAGCGCCGACCTGCTCAGCAAGCTATCACCTCTGGTAGCGAACCGGCCTCTCGCACTGGCACCATGGATGGTGCTTCTGCAACCGACCGTACAAAGAGCCTTTCAGCAATCTCTAAGCCGGCCAACAACCAGCCACCCGAGCTTAAGAGCAAGATGGGCGATATCTCCCCAGAGAGCTTCCAGAAGAGCACATTCTATTCTTGAGAAACATAGATTTCGCCCTAGGACGGGCACGCTAGAAATTTCTTTATAACTCGTGACGACAAGCGGCTATTCTTTTTCTTGTCCTTTTCTTGCGGACTAGCCAAAAGCAACCATCCGCCCCATCTCAAACACATACCCCCTACTACATCTCCGCCCCCACCTCTACCTTTCACGAGCGAGCGATATATACCCTGGCATGCCTTGTTCGTTTCAAGTCAATAGTCCTCAGGATTCTGGCCTAATAAGCAGCTAATGGACATGCCTATTACCTACATATTCTCCCCGTGGTACATACATCTTTATCTACATCCACTTCTATCTTGATTCGAACCGGGATTGGGGTTTGATCTTTTCTTGTTTTAGCTTTGGTTTATTTCCCCTTTTCTATTCCAATTATTTCTTATTTTTTCTGGACTGGGACTGGTTTAGCGACGCTGCTTTTTTGGGGTCCTGTATTTTATTGGTCAAATGCATCACATGGGGATTGGTCCATGTTTCCTTTTTGCTCTGTTCTAGTGGTAAAACTGCGTCGTATTCGATACATTGTAGGTACCCGTGGACTCTTGGACCCTTCCTTGGAACAGTTGCCCCGGCTGTCCAAGTGCTCTAGTCTTTCGGTCTAAACATACTTAGCAGTATCCTGAGTCTGTGAATTCAGGGCTAATGAGTATGAAAGCAGAACCTTAGCAGGGACAGAGAGCCTCGCCTGGGCAGAGAGTGTTAGAGTTTATAATGGGATTGGGCATCATAGTATCAAATTCGCGGTACAATATCATTTGAACTTAAGAGACCAAAAAGCCAAGATAAACTTCCATGTAGATATGGCGCGAATGTTGGAATTGAGGCATGAAACACCTACCTAGTATAGTCCAAGTAAAAATGCTTGGGTAAGTACAGTAAGTTAACATTCAAGATTGAAGTCATAGCTGTGACAGTCGGAGTACCGTATGAAGGAGTACCACCAATGAATATCATAGAATACTATGTAGTATCCATTGATATAATTTGCATATACTGAAATTAGCTAGACCTGGAGTAATATCAACTTCTGATTAAGTGGACATTGGTCTGGCATATCATGATAGACCTGTGGAGCAGAGCACTCGAGGTGTCCCTCAGTCCGACCCGAGACCCCTGGGACAACTCATCCCCATGTAGCATAATGATTGGATGAAGAGAGACACTGGCTCGTGATAAAAAGTAACCATACAAGCAGGTATTTGTCATTCACGATGGCTGGCTGCCCCATTTCCCGATTTGCGACGCTGCATAACCCCAAAGGCAGCAGGCGCATTTCTTCCCAGGCCAATAAAAGCGCACGAGTGATGTGATCCACCGTCTTCAAAAATCACTATTCTTCGTATATTCGAAGATCCTTCGTATCATGATGCTGAAGGGATAAGTATTCCACTGGTACTCGATCATATACTCAAATGCAGGAGAAAATTTTCGGAGTACTAGCTGAGAAACAACAAGTGAACACATGTGAATTCAAGCTTGAATCTGCTGCAGGACCTCACTCAGGATACTAAATTTCTCTTAGCTGAAAAGTCGCCGACGAATGTATTTCAGGGGATAAAATGCTTTTCCGTCACTATAGATAAAACAGATAATAGGGGGCTAAGAATTCTGATCGGCAAATAATGGGCCGAATGTCGGCTGTTAGGAATAAAGGTACTTAGAAGCCCTAAAACCCCAACCCCTGATGGAGAACTTCATATGGGATATTGAAAATGCGCCAAAAAAGCAGTTCTATGAACCCAGAATATGATATTTGGTGTGATTCACAAACGTTACTATCCTCAAAAAATATGAGCAGACAATCATGAATTGACTAGTACAGGTAGCGCGCGGAGAAGTTATCTTATGACGTTTCAGGTGGACGACATGATTCGATGGTTCGATGGGCGCCTGCAGAAATCATGCAACTAATGCGAACAACCACATGATGAGCCAAGACCGTTTGCACTTTTGCGACAGTTGGATTCTTTTCCTTTTTCTCCTTCATCGCCGTGTCGCCTCTTTGAGTCGTTCACAATGAGGGTTCCAGATGCATCGGCTTCTTTTCATTCAAGGGAGTCGCTCGCTAGGCTCGCTGGACCGCGAAAGGAGAAGGGGTGAAAGTCAGAGCCATCAAGAACTCCAGGTACGCATTCTCTGAAAAAGACATGTCAGTTACTAACCTCACCACAGTGACTCCTTGCATCCAGTGGCAACATGAGATAGATCGATCTCGCATCCTCGCATCATGAGTTAGGGCTAGACTCACCTGGCTCGAGAAATCTATGCCCTACTCGCATTTCCCACTCCCTCTTGTCTTGCGACATCCTCTCCCGTATCTCATCTATACTCCACTCCCATCCATTTTCCATTCTCAAAAAATTCCAATAGAGACAAACATGTTTTGGCTTTTCTTGCGGAGTGACGACGCCCGTTTCTTCGATGAGCTCATGGATTCGATCCAAGAGTTCTATCTGTTTGGTCGTGGCATGCGCTGTGTTGGCGCCCTGGTTCGAAGATTTGACCATCTCGAGGTACTCTTCGGTATGAGGATCGACTATATTTTGGAGGAAATATTTATCAGTTTGATGTCATGAAGAGGAAGAGAAGAAAAGGTGAGGACAACTACGCACGCCATGGGGTTTCTCGGGTTGTGGGCGAACGAGTATTTTGCTCCTTCTCCATGGTGCCTAAGGGGCTATAAAGGCCGACAAAGCTTGGAGCCTGTTGAGCGTCGAACTTCGATATCCCCTGAGCTCCTGGAGGGAAGATGTTCTTCTAGTGCACATATGGTTGTCTGGGATTGACAGAATTTATACTGTCGGACCCCAGGGACCACAAGCGTGTATTTTTTTTCCCACTCAACCTTGGAAGCTTCAACGGAAATTTTGGGACTTCTGTCCAAAGCCCGGTAAGCAGGGGTACTACTGAGTTCCGGCTTGTCTCTTCTATCTTCCCCGGCGGGCCTGCATCGGTAAACTGCAAGCTAACGGTGGTTCCTGTCGAATGAAAGTTTGTCTGAATAACCCGATTTTCTTCAGGCTTCTTTGTTCCTGTCTCTTTGATTTTCAGTTTTGCAACACAAGGAACATTGTTCTTTTGCCCTTCTGTTCTTAGTGAACTTATCCGCCATTTCTCACGTTTTTGAGGGAAATCTGTCAACCTCGTTTTCTTTTTAGGGAGCTAATGCACTTGATCTATCACTTTTTGCATATGGTGAAGGGCATATGGTGAAGGGTCGAATAGTGCTGCACTGTGGGAGATAACTGCCAATCAGCATTAGGATCGGTAATTATTTGTGTCATCGGGACTTCGCGTTTAGGCAACGAGCTGGGTCTGGCCCCTTTAGCGCCATTGACATGATGCAAAAAAGGAAAATCATTTGAGCTTTACAAACAGGAGCTGACGCGGAGGAAATTTATACGTGTATTTGTTTTTCTCTCTGGGGCTTAGACTCGAACTTAAACAATTTGGCCCCAACATTCAACAATCAACAAACGCGAAAAAGCAAACATCAGAATGAGAGCACAGCTGAAACACAGAAAACCAGAGCAAAATCAACAGTGAATACAAACAGAAAATCAAAGCAAATCGCTAACTTTCGCTAACTTCTAGCTCCTGAGTCACTATATCATCGAATTTCCAATATGTCTTTGGTCCTAAGGGGCGAGGTAACTCGATCACCCTTTTCAGCTCCTGAATGATGCGACCTAAGCGCCCCAGATTATTCAATACATCTTTGAATACTCCCTTTTTAGCCATGAAAAATGCCATCTTAACCAAATCCAGCTCATTCAATTCAAACCAATCCCAGAACCTCTTGAGAATCTCGTCGTCTTCCCTTGGTAATGCTTTGCCAGCCAAGAATTTACGCTGGCGGTATAGGCAGAGCCAATCAAGGTCTTCTTTAATTGTATCTCTTGAGAACTTGAGGAAGCACACTTTCCAGGATTCGAATTCCATAGCAGGAAACATTTCTTCCATCCAGAGAATTGAGCTCATGATTATACGAATCTTCTCTTTATTGGAGCGCATATTGTACGGTGAATCTAGAGGCACCGGATTTCGGACCAGAAACTCTTGGTGAATCAGGAAAAGTACCTGGTTAGTATCGAGGCACCGGTATCGTTTTTCGTATTTCTTGTATGCAGTTTGTTCGCATGGCGTTAAAGGTATCTGAAACAAACCTGAGACCTTCAGGTATTGATCCAATGAGGCTTCAGTGTTCTTGCCGATCGATATAAGAAATTCGTGCAATACTTCTGGCAAGGAATTATTTGCTGGATTCTCACGACTTTGCTTGTATAGTTCGAGTCGTCCTTCAAAGTAACTCATTGCTTGGCTGGGGCTTCCAAATGGCTCATCCTGAGAATGAGATCTAGGTTGTGGAGTTGAGGTCATTTTTATTTCGGTATAATGTCGAAAACAGTCAACGTTGGAAGTAGAAGTGAAGGGCGGGATATATAGTAATAACAGAGCTTTCGAGGGAAGGATCTTCAAAGATAGAGAGTGGCTTTAATGTGTCTATATCAGAACAAAAGAATCTATATTACCCAGGAATTTGCGAGACATTTAAAGAATTTGCCTACGACAAGACTTAGAGCCCAATGTCGGGGAACCAAACTGATACGCCCATTTTTCTCGCAAGCAGACAGTCGGTATAACAAAGTAGTTGTCAAAGACAGGGATTATTCTGATTTTTCACTGATGGTGTGAAGAAAAACAAGGGTTATCAGATAAATCGGTCGACATTCCACGATCACCATTCGCTACTATGATCCTCACCCGGGTTATAGACATGCAAGCCAGAGAATGACATGCTTTGGGCCCCAAGAGCCAACCCCAAGTACAATCAGATTTTGGGAACCGGTTCATGGAAACATGAGGGGGCGTTGCATGTCTAGTGCTGACATTAAGAGTCCTGATTTGCTAATAGAGGCTGCACGGCGTCATTTACGTGCCCAGACCGGCTATTCCCGCTTTTCACTCCAGAGCCCTGTGGATAAGACTGAGGAGATGAGGTATTTTTGCGTAGATGTGATAGATCCATTTATATCTATATACCTTATTTAATAGCTTAATTTGAGGTTGTTTATCAATCAGTACTAGAATGAGTCAGAACATGGTTGAACTTCATCATTCCGAGGCGGGCCAGAAAGATAATGTACTTGAGACTCAAGATCATGGCCCCCTATAGGTAGATCCGATCTCGATCTGCGGAGTGATACTGAAACTTGGAATATGCCGAGCCCGGACCCATTGCGTGTGCCACGCGACTCGTTCTCGCATCGTTATGTCCAATGACTTCGTGCTTGCATGAGGCTAAGGGCTCATGGAGCCCTACAAGACCCTTGTATCTCGTTGGGCGGGCTTCTGGTACCCACGGACGTTTGTAAATGCCTTTTTGCGCCTGAGTGTTGCTTTATAGATGATTCTGATAGGTTGATCATCAGGGTTTGATTTACGGCACTTGCATTCATCTGGCAGCAAGGTGTGTCAAGATCAATCATGAGTGGCTCATGGCGAGATGAAAAATTTTCTCGTGCAGGATAACAAATGCACTATCTATACTATCCTTGGGGCTGGCCTATGAATAGGTACATCCCATGTGAGATGTTGAAATGTTTCATGCAGCTCTTGTCAAAGACAGTGATAATCGTTATGTTGCTCTAGAAGAGCCGCGTACACCGCCCTGTATCATTCTTGGAAAGAGATTGATGATATTTGCTCTTCATATATCATTGGTACATGTGGTCCCAATCACTGTATATTAAGGCTCTTATATCTGGATGGTTGTTGGGCCGCGTACACCGCTCTGTATCATTCTTGGAAAGAGATTGATGATGTTTTCCCTTCATATGTCATTGGTACATGTGGTCCCAATCGCTGTATATGGAGGCTCTTATATTTGGATGGTTGTTGGGCCTAGGTCGCTCCTCGGGCGTTTGGATCATAATCACTTGTTCTAGAAAGCATCGATGAAGATGACATACCTGTCTGGGCTATCTGGACATTCCCTTCTTTTCACCGCTAGATAAAGACATTACTAGAACACGCCTTCAAACCCATATATCTCTCATTCTCTGGAGCTGGCACATTGGGCCTTCATGGGAATTCTTCTCCCTTGCCCCCACCCCAATCAAACCGCACTACAAAAAATTTGAATGGTACTATTAACAGCGGTAACAGGATATGACCATCATTTGATCTGTTTTTATATTTAGATTGAAAGGTTGCTTGTGATCTGATGCCAAGTCATCAACTTGAATCTACTATGTACTATTAGGGTTACAGTTCTGCCCGAGGTGTTGGGCCATGGATCTTTGGTTGGCACTTCACACTACTAGTACTGCAATGATATATTCTAGTAAAACTTTTTATATTGACATCAGTGATGAATTGACGCGAAGGCTTAGGTAGTCTTTGTGATATTATACTCAATCTTAACACTTATAAACTACTACCATATCACATGCGCTGGTAGGTATTACCCGAGAGGAAGTGATATCATATATATTTAGCTTCAATCCTGGGGCTTACAAACCTAGACTGACACCACCTGAGTACTTTCATTGGAGATACTAAAGTAAGAATAAGAATCCTCTTATCCGGCAAGACATGATATTAATCCAATAAATCATCGTTCATTTAAAATGGATTTTCTTTTCTTTGAATTATGGTGCTGAAAGTTTGGTACAAACAAGCCGATGCATTCGGAGTAGTGAAGTAGGGCTACAATGCGGCTCAGCAATAGCCTTACATGATATGCCTAAGGTTCATGTCATCCGACCTTACAGTTTCATACATAATTATACAATTTATGTATGCATATTTTCCTGCCTTTTATCGTCTGTTTGCTCAAGGGATACGAAGTATATTATGTTGCATTCATAGGTAAGCGTACAAAAGTTCAATGAGTAATTTGACTTTTCTTGGCATCACGTTTGATTTCTATTTCAGGGACCGAGCTACGATTGTCTTCCAAATAGTAGCAAGTACATACAAAGAACAAAGTACAAGACAGAGTACACAGCCGAGGGTGATAGCATACTCCACAATAAACATTCGGTGCCCTATAAGAGTTCCCACATCAATGATCTTTCTCATGTAGTATCCATCTCCTCTTATTCCAAATCAGCTACGCCACCTCATACAGTGGCAAGGTGAGACAAAGCGAGGCAACCCAAAAGTACGAGAGTGGGGGGTCTGGTGGCGCAGGAATCTTGATTTCCAGTTCTCTGACCCGGTAACTTGGAGCGATGACAAAGAAACATTTATCAGTTGATAGTATCTGTACCTATCAGTACCAGCGTTAATGATTTGTACGTATCATGTTTGCAGCGGATATATGAGCAGATAGAAATCACGGTCGGTCGGGGGTGATAAGAATCTCATCCGACAGAAAAACGACTGTCATACAAGCCAAGATCACCAGATAGATACAAGTACAATGCTGCGGGTATACCGGTCAGTACGGAGGGCGATTCGTAGATGGAGTAGTATTGAGTAAATAGGCCCTGCCCTTGTATCGCACCGCAATCTGACATTCCGCAAAGGGACCTCTCCGTTTCCTTCATGATCTAGTTGGAGATGAGACAAACAATGAGAACCACCTGGACAGCAGGTACCATGCGGCCAGTAAGGATAAACGCCCGCTATGATATTTTCCTGAATCTCCCTTTGATGCGCATGGAGATGGAGCAAGGATAAAAAGAGACAAATAAATGGAAATGAACAATTTCACAGGAAACATACGCTCCAGATGATAAGAAGAGGATACGGGTCATGTACATAAGTGAAGAAGCAAGGTATGAATGAATGGAAGGGGAGGCATTTAGGAGATAAAGAAAAGGAAAAATCACAGGCCTAATCCTTCGTGATGGTTCATTTCTTGGTTGTTGGGATCTTGATCCCGGGCCCAAGGCGACATAGTCTGATGGAGGGTTTTCTGGAGTCCTTCTAGACGAGTTTGAAATGTGTCGAGGACATCCATACGGCCCCATTCGTCGTTTGGTGTGACGACTTCACCTGGAGCGTCGACGTCTTCTCGGTGAGTTTGAACTGGAGGGGCTGCTGGGGGCGAGTTCGTGACAGCTGGATGATATACAGGTGTGTGGATTGGGTGGATAGATGAGTGAGCAGATTGATGGAGCATAGGGAGAACGGTTGGGTGATGGATTGGATGAGAGAGTTCAGCAGGATGATAGACTGGGCGGACTTGTTGATTGGGATGCGGATGTGGATGCTGGTGCGGGTGCGGGTGCGAGTGCGAGCGTACGCTCATGGGATACTGCTCATCATCCATGACTAGATCAGGGATCGTCGCGATGTTGTTGGGATCTATCAAGATGGTTAGCTGTGTTCTGATGGACTCTCTGGTCTTCTTTGATAAGCCTGAGTTGGGTTGGGACGAGGATAATACCATAATTCAACGGATAGGGAGGAGTCTCCCTCGTCGGCGATTGAATGTCTTGTGGCGAGACAGGCGTTGCTGCTTCTTCCTCGGGCTCTGGTGTATAACACGACATATCTGACGGGGTCTCTATTGCTAGTTGCATGAGTAAGGATGGCTTATGGAGCATAGACGATGCCGTGGGCGCTTCTTTCAACGACCTACTTGGCTCGGGACTTTGCAGTTCAGCATCTTTATCTCGAGGAGTGGCCCAATCACCTGGATGGCGGCGTACAAAGCGAGTGATGCGTTTCTTGTCAACTACCTGACCAGCTCGTCGAAAAGCCGTCGCTTTGCCACGGGCGGCTCGCTTTTGCTTTTTGCGAAGCATGACTTGAATCTCCGCAGCTTTAATATTCTTGCGGACATTCCAGGAAGCCAGTCGATCTTTGTATTGTTTTTCTCTGGAGAGAGTTAGGCGAGTTTGCTTTTGGTTGTGTGGGTTATAGAAACAACAGAAAGCAAGAAAGCAACAACAACAACAACAACAAATTAACAGGAATTCGGGGTTAAAATTAAGGAAATAAGGTGTAATACGAGGCGAAAAATTTATATTCTTTCTCCATGACGTTTTTCACATCTCTCAATTTTAGCTGATCGCTGCGATACAGTTGTTCGATGACCTCGCGATACTGTTGCCAATCATCGGATCGGCGGGGTCGGAACAAGCCGGTCGATGATCCAGTCGAATTCGAGGGCGATTGAGACTGAGATTGAGGTTGGGTTTGGGGTGAAAGAGTCATTGCTGGAGTGGGATATTGTTCCATAACTAGATGAAGAGCGCACGGCTCATCCGAGGCCGTTATAAGAGGGGGAAAATGGAGATAAATAATAGAAGCCAAGGAAGGGAGGGACTATTCTCAAGGCGATGAGGGAGAATAGAACCGGATCTGTAGGTTTTATTATATAGAAAAGAGAAAAATGAAAAATGAAAAAGCAGAAAGAAAAATAAATAGATGAAACAAGCGACGAAAAAAAAAGGGCAGATATAGGAAAGGATAGGAAAGAGGGAAAAAAAGCGAATATCAGAAATATAAAATAAAATCGCATCAAAATGAAGAAGAATGCGATCACCAGGCAACTTCTCAGATCAGGGCCGGGGCCAAGGAATCTCTCGACTACTCTTTGCGGCGCGCCGCATCAGCGCGGACGCACGACCCCCTGCTTCCCCGGCCAAATCAGAATGGGCGCTGGTGCTCTGGCGTGGGGATCCATCCAGGTGCAGGCACTTGTCAGTGTCATGATCGCCAACGGCGACAGGTGCGTTAATCATACTGGTGGGCGATGATCTCCGAGGGTCGGGATTTGGAATGAAGACGGGGATGGAATATCATGGTCTAGATTTTTTAATAGAGGAAACTTTGAAGAAGATGACAGGGTTTAACATTGATAATCCAGTTATAGACCTCAATCATTGGGTGTAAATAATACTCCAAAAACAAGAATTAATTATAATCATAATAATAATAATAATAATAAACAACCGATTTGTCTCCAAGTGGAGCTGAGCATCGCGTACTTTTGCTCGGGGCTACTGTACAGCCTAACCGAACTATTACATGCAGCGCACTGGCCGCAAATTGGATGCATTTTCCGCTGCCTTTTTTACTTTTCTCGCTGGTGGGTTTTATCCATTCGTATGATTGTTATTATTATTCTCTTCTTTTTCTCTAGTTTCTAGCTGAAAAAGGCTCTGCGGCTTACTTTGCAGCCATCCGATTAGCTGTAACAAAAAAAAAAACTGGGGAACTTGCCAGATATACATACGCCATAAATCGACTCGATCATAGATTTTATTTTCTCTCTTATTTTCTTTCTTTCCTTGCTATTCATGCGGTTAGAATCTTATTAGATCGTGGCCACGTAGTAGTTATATCCACTGATTCATGCGGATCCTTCATTATCATCCCAGGTTGTCCCTTTAGTCCTCTAGTCCGTCCTCTAGTCCCTTAATTAGGGGGGGGGGGGGTCCAGCCCGTGCGACCCGGGAACGGGCCGAAACCTCTTTCTTCCCTGACAGCTCTTTCACTCTTTGTTCTGGTTCTGCTTCTTCCAAACACTAGGAGACCCAAGACTATGGTTCTGTAAAAAGCCACTAGAAGAAGGAGAAGAGGAGACAATAAGACGGTGAGGGGGATTGAAATTTTTCATTTTTTCATTTCTTACACCTTTATTCTATTTTTACAAAAGTTTTCTCTTCAAAAAGGCAGCCTGGGAGAAGAAGTTCAATTTTTGTTTCTATCCCTCGTGTGCGCGATGCAAGGGTGGAGAGATGGACCGTTAGAACATGCCTCGCCGTTGAGAGACAAGTGTCATCCCCAGAATGTCACTAAAAAAGAATTTAAAACTTTGAAAATAACTTTCGAACAAAGGGGGCATTTTCTTTTTGCATCTGCATTCGCCCCTGAATGGTATACTGCACCTCCATTATACATTCTACCGCTCTGGGATGCGAACCTAGACGCCATCCCATCACTATGGCATCTTACTAATAATTCTTTGTGTATACTCGATAAATTCTATATTTACCATGTAAATCCCTTTTTGGTTATTCAAACCGCATGCGCTTTGGTCTCTGTTTTTATTTGTGGACTTGGTACTTCTACGGGATACGTACCCAGCGACTAGGGAGCGACTGGGGAGCCCTTAGCCGGCCGAAACTCAGGCCTCTTTGCGGGTCAGCTGCGTATACGCAACATTACTTACGTCAAAGCTTGTAAAAACGCTGGAGAAGAAAGAAGAAGTGCGAAACGAGTACTGTAAAGGAGTTAGAAAAGAAAATAATTATGCAAAAAATTAAAAATTAAAAATTCCGATAAAAGTACTACGTGCGGAGCAAAACAATAATCATCATAGCCACATCACGATTTCATTAATCATAATAATTATTAAAATATTATAGCGATTGAAGTCCACGTAGGGGAAAGTCTAAAGAGCTATCCCGGTTCTGTAACGCCCGCGTGTATGGAGTACATAAGGTGATCCTCCGGGTGGTTCATCATACACCCCAAGCTCCACTTGGGTCGAGGTACTTTTCCTTACAAGGAGCAACATGCACTAGCCCGGATCCCAACGCTCCAGAACGCACGGGGCAAGGGAGAGATCAGTGTGTTAGGTGGCAAGGCATTGAAGCTTGCAGTGATCGACACGCTCGGGGGCTAGCATAGTGGTCCCCGATCACGACTCCGTAAGCAATAAAAGATAAGGTCCAAAGAGAGGGGGTACAATCCTCGTACTTTTCACCTTTTACACCTTTCCCCTTCTAGTGGCAAGAATGAGGCATAAGTACGAAGTACAACACAGGGGGGCTACTGAGATGATCGGGCACCCGTCCCTACTGCGTGCACGCTCCGGAGGCTAGTACTTGAAGCGGTATTGATCGGAGAGTCGGTGCTAAATTGCGGGGCCGCAGTCTTGGGGAATTTGAGTCTGTCCTTTTTTTTTTTCTCTTTTCCTTTTTTCTTTTTTGAGTTTCTGTCGGCTTGCCCTTTAAGGGACTGTACAATGACGCCCCCCTTGTGGAACGACCCTCCTGAGATATGGCAGAAAACGGCAAGAGAAGGGATGTCCCGCGTGGAGTTGGGTCCACATTACACACTGAATCAACTTGCGGAGATATCTACCGTGCTCGACGTTATAGGTCCACAGACCATCGTTCACCGGGTCGGATCGCCTGCAGGTACTAGGATGTAGCGCGTAGAACGGATAGCGAGTGAGTCTGTGGCGGCCAGAAGGACCATCCTCCTACAGAGCAGCGTATCGGAAACATGATCCTTCTTCCCCTTTCCTTTTTTCCTCCGGTGGTTCCAGTCCATATTGAAATGGAAGGGCTTCCGAATTCCACGAATCCAGGTAAGAGGGACGGGCTCAGGCTGCATCCATCCGGGGGGATAGCAGGTGAAAGGAGATTGGTGATTCCTGCCTCGTCGATCGAACTTGGCCCAATAGGATTCGGAAAAGGCTGCGTGAGATGGATGCTGCACAAGGGCGCTCAGCCCAAGCCAAGTTTATTGACAAAAGTACCGCGGTGGCCTCCGTAGTAGGGATCCGTGCATCACAGGGGGGAACATGAGAGCAAAACGGGACAAGGAAAAATGAAATAGAATAGAAGGAAGAAATCAAAATCAAAAGAAACAAAGAACCCCCAGTCGCTTAGCGCCAAGTGAGGCTGTGAGAAAATTTCTCGCTGCATGATCCCTGCGATCTAAAGTTCCAGACTCTAGTAGTTGTTCAGGGTTGATTTTTGGCGGGGGTCTGCCGAGCCTGATCAGCAGCTGCCACAGCTGCAGCTGCCACAGCAGAATTATTGGATCCTGCGCTGGCAACATTGCTTGCATGTGCCAACAAGAACTTGCAGCACGTCAGTGTATATTTGCAGGCACGAGTCCAGGTTTCATCATTCTGATTAAATCCAAGCTTGATACTGGCGTCACCAATACGATCTCGCTGGATTTCATAGGGCAGCCTTAGTCCTGGGGCTGTGGCCCCAGTCTGGCCCCGGCGAGGCGATGCGACTGGAGCAGGGGTTGATTCGACGAACTGCCCCAGCTGGCGCAGACACTCTAAGAACGCCACCATGCCCGAATCAAAGCGACGGTGCAGCCAGGGGAGATTGAGAGGTAGATCTCCAGACGAGAATAGGTCATACTGTTCAATCTTGGGCTGCGCTCGTTCAGTCGGAGCCTGCCTACCTGAATGAACGGGATACTCGATCTTGTCGATCCGAGAGGTGGACCCAAGAGGTTTCAGCCGATAACCCTGAAATTGAAACCCAAGGCGCTCTGCAATCGTAGCTAAGAGTAGACAGGTCTGACCCCAAGCCGCGTTGATTTCGGGCCACTCGACCGAAGGATTAGCTAGACGGCCTAGCCGCAAGCCGTTGATCGTCCCAAAATATCCATCATGGCCGATGCAAAACGCGTCATTGTAGACATTTGTCCGTTGCAGCCGTTCTAGCTGCTGCGAGTCGTGGTCGTAGCGCATATTCAATGCGTCTCGTTCGGTTTGAAATTCTGCTAATGTCAGAGTAAAGCCGTTACGAGCTCTCCAAAACGCTTGTTCTTCCTCGTCAAGTTGTTGTGATTCTTCTTCCAGACCAGCGATTTCTTTGTCTAGATCGGACTTTTCTCGCTCCAAGGCCTCTAGTTCTGCGAATGCCTCTTTTTCAGCTTCAAGGCTTTCTTTCAAACTTTTATCTGCTGCTTCTAGTTCCTCCGTTGTTGGGACTGTCGAATTCAGGCTTCTTAGGAAAGAGATATAGGCATCACGCTCCTTAGTAGCTCCTGCGAGCCGTTTCTGCATCGCTTCTACCAGCATATCCGTACATTCTACACAGATCGGGTGGTCGATATCCGAGCGTGCTGAAACGATTTCAAAAAGCCGAGTAGTTCGTTCGATTTGGCTGGAATATGACCCTTCATCCTGAGTATTCTCCTGACTCTGTCCGGTAATGTTTTGTTTGGGACGAGTCGGTAGGCTCTCCACGGGGGGAGGTACAAATTGCGATTCTGTAAGCATCACGAACGACATATTTCCGCTGTCGCCTCGAGGTAAGCCCGGTGGATGGCCATGGTTCCCCGATCGGGGGCCAGGAATCGACCTCCTATAAACCGGCGTTGTAGCATTCGTGGAGGCGCGATCGTAGAGTTCCCGGCGGTCCGAAGGGTAGGTTATTTTGGTTGCGGGCGATCCAGTGCCATGTCCAGGTAGTGTTCTGCCTGTGGAGTCTATTCGGAGCTTGGATTAGAATCAATATGTAACTTTGCGGGGGGAGGCGGAGCAAGCTTACTGGTGAGTAGCTCAAACGCCGCTGGGTTGAGCTGTTCGAGAGAATTGTCTAGCTTTAACGGTGTCCTGCATTTTTGGCAATACATCGTGTGTGGAGAGGACGATCAGTTCATTCTTGGTGTTGGAGATGGGATGTGGGGGAGGGTGAAGTTGGAGCTGCGGTTGCCGAACGTCATGTTCGTTTGTTTTTGAACTTTCGCGCTCCGCTGTTTGCGCGCTTACACACCAACATTCTCGCCCTCTAAATGACAGACAGCATCACCTTCTCATAAGGCTTGTAATGGGCTCTCCTATTCGCCCCGAGGTCTTCTACTATCCAGACATGCCATCCTAAGCTTGATCCTAAGCTTAAAGGCGTGCATCAAATCCGACCGCGTTGATCCGCGCGCGTTTCCCTCACGTCGGGAAATTCTACGATATCGCCAAAAATAAAGCCCCTTCTATGTACGACACTATGGAACGACCCTTGAAGCGCCCGCGTCTCTCCTTGACACCAGACCCTCTTGAACAAAATGAAGCGGAAGGAAAGCAGGGCGAGGAGGAGATACTGGAGGAGTGGGATCTACAGGCTGCGCGCACTCAAAATGACATGCGACTCAAATCAATATTCGAGGGAATTTTCTCAAAATACGGAAAGGACTTTACGGATATCGGCGATGAGATTGATCTACAAACTGGAAACATTGTGGTTGACAATGGCCACTTATCGGGCATGCGCAAAGAAGACGACGCCGGAGAGACAGCAGACGCATGGTTCCACGAAGCTGCCTTATCAGAGGGAGATACAGATCAGGAGAATGGGACACATGAAGGTCAAGAGACGATCATGAAGCGTGACATACCAGAATACTCATTGGGTCCGGCCACTGAGGATGAGGCAGCCAAGTCACCCTTGAACAACGCATTGGTGGATTATGGCCCTGATTTACAAAAGGACGTCGAAAAACCTGTTGTGAAGTCACAACCCGCTTCAGATCCATTTTACAAAGATACCGGGCCAGCGGACCCTGTTTGGCAAGCCCCTGAATTGCCAGCTATCTTCTCCACACCCACTGCTGAAACAAGACGGAAAGGAGTTTCCCCGAAGCTTCCCAATATCACACGGGAAGCATCTCCACCGGGTTCTGGATCGCTTTGGAGCCTGCCTCGAGTGAGGCGTCCGCGTACCGAAGGCAAAGCGAAAGCCACACCGAGTAAACGCCGGCCCCGGGCGAAGCGAAAGTATCATTCCAGCCCTATGCTGCACGACTGGTCATTTGCAGCCACACCAGATGGAGACGAATCAGACGACCCGCTACAAGAATTCGAACCTTCGCCTTCGCCTTCTTTGCTGAAACGAAAAGGAAGTGCAAAGGTTAAACATGGAAGGAGTATTCTGCCGCCCGCTTGTACAGACTCACCCCTATCTCGCCAACCATTTTTCGATACACAGCCACTCAAGGACCAATCGGCTCCCGAAGCTGAAGCTCATCCAGCAGAAACACAAGAACCGACCGCAGAGCGAGAAGAAACACGTCATTTGGAATTCGAAGACGACTCTAATTTATCTAATTTACACGAAAATGATTCATATGCAACTCCCAACACCCCGCTCATTATCGAATCATCGCCATCGGAAAAGTCACCCGTGAAATCACCTCGAGGCTTGACGCCCGACGAAGCCAAGCTCATAGTTTGCATGAGACACCTGCAAAAGAAAAAATGGCAGGAAATTCATGACCATATACCTACTCGGACTAGAGCGAGTATCTACCAGTGGAATACACACCATTGGGCCGACTGCCGCGAATGTCCACCTCCTCTTTCAGCTCCGTGGAGTCAGGCTGAGTCGGAGATTCTAGAACAGCTAAAAGACGGCACCGATCTTTCATGGCTTGATTTCCAAAAAGAATTCCCCGATCGCACTAAAGCCGAAATAGAGTTTGAATTGCTGCGACTCTGGGTTGGAGATGAGGTTTGGTTTGGCGAAGGGTACCGTGCACCCGAGCAGACCGCCCACCAAGAAGAAGAAGAAGAAGAAGAAGTCAAGAATGAGCCAGCGGCTGGGCCAGAGGATAGCGAGAAGGAAGAAGAGGCTGTATCAGAAGAGAGTGATGCGTCACCTGAACCAGTCCATCCTAAACTCCCCGAAGGAATCAGTACTCCCGTGGGAAGAAAACGTCTTCGAATATTTGAGGATCTCATGGATGATGATGACGATGATGAAGACCCTCTCGCTTCATCGCCCTCCAAGCTGTCTGCCATCTTTCTTGATAGTCCAAATATCAATCGACAGGGATCCAGGACGCCAAGGGGACCATCTCCAGCAAAACGTTTGAAATTCACAACATGATAGGCTCAAATAATAATGGCAACTTGAATCAAAACAACGTTGAACATTTCTCTACATATTGTCGTATAAGTAGCATTTTAAATAGGCTGGTATCGCTGTTATTGAAAATCCTCGTCGCGTGCGTTTAAGACATCGCTCAACTTGGTGTCAACGGCACCTCCAACATCCCCAGCCTTAGCCCAGAATCTAGATAGATGTCGTGACCCCGAGTCTGACAGCATCGTCACAATGCGATGACCAGGACCAAGCTTCTGCGCCGTTTTCACAGCCGCGAAGCAATTGACAGCGCTGCTACTGCCAGCGAAAATTCCATCTTTCTCAACGAGCCAGCGAGCCATCGCCAGTGCTTGAGCATCTGTTACACGGACCGCATCGTCGATAAGTTCTTTGCCAGCTTCAAAATTGGCAGTGACGCGATTGACGCCAATGCCTTCGACAATAGTATCCACCTGACGTCTACGGCGTGTACCCTCTCTCTCCTTCACATCAAACATAACACCGTATCGGACGCGGTTATATAGCCCGCTGCCCTGTGGATCCGCTAGAACGACCGTCAAGTCCGGCAATAAGGGCTTGAGATACCGCGCAACGCCTGAGATAGTTCCGCCTGTACCTGCGCCTGCCACGAATGCATCTATCTTGCCGTTGCATTGAGCGTAGATCTCTGGTCCACTGCCGTCATAGTGAGCACGCCAATTAGCTTCGTTTTCGAATTGGTCCGCGAAAAATCCGCGGCCTCGTGCCATGCGCTCTGATGGCTCGACCTCGCCATCCTCTGTTGCGACTGGAGTTGATCCTGTATGAGCAGCTGCTAGGGCACGAGCACGGTTTATAAAGTTTTCTTTCTCAACTATAGGTGCTGGAGGCACACGATCAACAATTGCGCCTAATTTCAGGAGAAGATTCGACTTCTCAATTGCCTGGTCCGAGGGCAAACAGCTAGTTTCGTTGTAAGTCGGTGTTCACTAATCCTGATAGGAGATTGATATCAGGACACTTACATGTGTGCCAAATATCCTTTTGCCCGCGCCAGGCTTGCTAATGAGATACCTGTTGATCCTGATGTACCTTCATAAATTGTATCGCCAGAATAGGGCGTTAAGATGCCTTCTTCCTCGGCCTATCAAATAATTAGCTTTAATGCCTCTTTATAAGGCACCATCGCATCGCTCAACATACGAGTTCAATCATGCTTAAAGCAACACGATCTTTGGAGCTTTGTCCAGCGCCATTCAGGAACTGTAGAATGCGTTAGTTGGATGGGATCCTTCCATTTCAAAATGGGGCGTAGGGACTCGTGCCTCTGCCTTAGCTAGGATCTCACATCCTGTCTCATCTGATAGAGATTTTATTCTAAAAAGATGCGTGTTTCCAATGCATCCCTCAATTCCCTCCACGATCTCCGGGGGTCCTGAATGAGCAACAAGCGCATCGGATTGTGGCTTTGGCTTCGCTGACTTTTCATTGCGCCGCGAATCCAATATATCTTTGTATGCTATGGTCAAACAGACCCCGGCAACGAATGCCGTGCCAACATAAATAGCCGATCGATCCGGCATCGTTGGCAATGGCCCCGTTGCACTCTCTATTCTGATATCGATGATGGTGGGTTCAACAAACTGGAGAAGCCGTGGAGGCGCTTGGGCCAACTTCTCAGGCAATTTGGGATATCAGAGTCAAGGACAACAATTTGACAGAGGAGGATTGTTCATGGAGTTAATAATCCACAGGTGTTGCGAAATATGAAATCTCATTAAATAATAAATATAGAGGCAGAATATAGACTCAGACCAATGATTGACCTCGTAATCAGTAACTGCATGTATCATGTCGAGCTCGGCACGTGCCTTGATGCCTGAGGCTGAATTACGATATCACCACATCGAACTTGAGCTTTCTCCGCGACATCTCGAGCTCCCCATATTACGCATCATGGACTCCCCTGTCCTCACCCAGCTTTTCCGCCAACTTTTTCGGCACCCAGCCTGTCAACCTATCCGCCGATCACCCACATTACCTCGTGCGCAAATTCGATCATTTCTTACGCGACGGACGCCCACCAAGCGCAAAGCACAAGATGATGGCATGCTCTGGACAAAACGGGGAGACATCTCGAAGAACATTGATGAAGAATACCTCTCATATCCAACAGTGACTGCGCGGGAACTGCGCAGTCGGCGTGAACGGCCTCGGCAGGTGAAAATGTTAACCCGCGAGTTCATTGATGGTAGGTTGCGAACCGCTCAAGCTTGATGGTCTTCATCCTCTAACTTTATGCCTCCAGATAGTTTGTACAACCCCCATTACGGCTACTTCTCGAAGCACGCAACTATTTTCACTCCCGGCGAGCCCTTCGACTTTAGTAGTATTGAGGACGGGCCGGCTTTCCACCGCATGTTAGGCGAACGATATGTTGAATTCGAAGACCGGCTCGACGAAATAAAACCCGACATTGCCCGTCAGCTTTGGCATACACCGACGGAATTATTCAAGCCGTACTATGGAGAGACTATTGCGCGATACCTTGTTTCGAACTACAAGCTCACCCTATACCCCTACCATGACCTGATTATCTACGAGATGGGCGCTGGTAATGGTACAATGATGTTGAACATCTTGGATTTCATCCGTGATACCGACTACGAGGTCTACCAGCGCACCAAGTTCAAAATCATTGAGATCTCGCCCGCTCTAGCAGATCTGCAGTACAAAAATCTCACAGACGCTCTCAACTCCCGAGGCCACCGGGACCGCGTCGAGATTATCAACCGATCAATCTTTGATTGGGACACATACGTTCATTCTCCATGCTTCTTCCTTGGTCTTGAGGTCTTCGACAACTTTGGTCATGACACTATTCGTTATGATAGCCAAACCGAGATGCCCCAGCAAGGTGGTGTTCTAATCGATGGCACTGGTGAATTCCACGAGTTCTACAATAACCAACTGGATCCCGTTGCTGCTCGATTCTTGCGTGTACGCCAGGCCGCTGCCCGTCGTCCCTTCCCCAGTCCCTTAGGCCCTCGATTCCTACGTGGTGTATGCCCTCCACCACCTTTCCGCAAGGCACATTCTCTACCTGAATATATCCCGACGCGACTTATGCAATTTTTCGATGTCCTAAACCAGTACTTCCCCGCGCATCGTCTTGTGGCGAGTGATTTCTCCTCGTTGCCCGATGCGGTACCTGGCTTGAATGCACCAGTCGTGCAGACACGGTACCAAAGGCAAACGGTACCGGTGTCTACACCCTTTGTAAGTACTTGATAGGTGGTTGTTCTTTATCTTTGACTCTTGCTAATCTATAACTCAAAAACAGGTTCACCAAGGCTACTTTGATATCTTCTTTCCCACTGACTTCAATGTCATTGAAGACGTTTATCGTGCCGTGACAGGGAAATTGACCCAGGTCATGAGCCATGAGGATTTTGTCAACCGCTGGGCTTATATCGAAGATACGGAGACAAGGAATGGCGAGAACCCGCTGTTGACCTGGTACAAGAATGCCAGCATGTTGATGACGGTGTAGATAGATACCTTTACAACTGATAATGTACAATATTTGCATAAGATGAACCAATTCCCCCAAAACCCCTCCTACTTAAAGTCTTAGCCATCACCGGTATCAAGTCATAATAACCTCGGAAGCTCAAAATATCTAATCCGGCATTGTTTACCCGTTTTAGTATCACACCCCCTCACTAGATAGCCAATGTCTGGCAACGCTTGGCGGCCTCTTTCCATTCTAGTACTCATCCTCTCGCCGCTTTTCACATTGGGCCCGAGTCCGTGCTGACAACTCCTCCTTAAGGCTGGGCCTGAGCGCCTTCATAAAAGCGGCGGCGGGCGAGACAGGAAGGCCCCACATGGATGCTATACCTATAGGCTATAGCACAGATCTTCGGATTGATAAGAGTGAGGGGAACCTTGAAGTTACATCCAAACTTCTATTGGCGCAGTTATGTTAAATGCCCATCTTGCCCCCGAACGATCTCCTTATCCACATTCAGATATCTCATCTCGACCGTATCCAAATACAATCTTCCAAAAAAACCTAACAATGACGTCTAGTACAGTTCCGCATTGGAAACCCGCCGTTCTAGAGAAAAGAGCAGCACAGCATGCTCTAATTCCGGTAGAATGGCGTCTTTCGGAATCATTTCTCTTGAATCCCCCTCTATCAAGTATTGATGCCATTCGCACTTGTGGAATTCTATCAGCCGACGAAGTAGCATGGACAGATATACCCGATATTCAATATCTAGTCACTCTCATTACCTCGCGCCAGGTGACAAGTCTACAGCTGACAACGGCCTTTTGCAAGCGCGCAGCGATTGCGCAGCAGCTTATTAACTGTCTAACGGAGACATGCTTTGATAAGGCTTTGAAGCGGGCCCAGGAGCTGGATGACCATCTTGCACGAACGGGAAAAACTATTGGACCTTTTCACGGGATTCCGGTTTCTATCAAAGATCGCTTTGATATCGAGGGTCTTGATACTACAGTTGGTATGGTTGCACTTTCACAGAATAACATTAAGTCTTATAGTGAATTCTTAGATCTAATATTTCTCATACTAGGTTGGATTGGTCTGATCAATAAGCCGGCAAAGTCCTCGAGTGAGATTGTACAACTGCTTGAGTCTATGGGAGCAATTCCCTATGTCAAGACGGCCGTTCCACAGGCTCTAATGGTATGATCTCTCAGTCCAAAGTTACTTGGTTACCTCTATAAGCTTCTTGTTAACTGGTTATTTCTTTCCATGTTAGATGGCCGATTCCTATAACAACGTCTTTGGACAGTCTTTCAATGCCTTCAACAACAAGCTCATCTCCGGTGGTAGTAGTGGAGGTGAAGGAGCCCTCGTCGGCTGTGGAGGAAGTGTTCTTGGGGTTGGCACAGACATCGGCGGCTCAATCCGGGTTCCCTCTGCATTGCAAGGCTTATATTCTATTTTCCCAACAACAGGGCGAGTTCCATGGGATTGCTCCTTGTAAGAAGACTACCTTTTTGATGAAAAGATAAGCACTGCATGAACATTTTGATTAACTCTCCTTCCAGTCTGCACCAACACTATCTCGTCCCACCTGTCGCTGGTCCCATGGCATCCTCTATAGCAACAACAGAATATTTCATGGAAAAGCTTCTAGCATCGAACCCATGGAATCTTGATCCATCTGCTATTCCTATTCCATGGAGAAAAGAACTCGCCACTCCGCCTACAGACCGAAAACTGACGCTTGGTGTTGTTTTCGACGATGGAGTTGTTAAACCGCAACCTCCTGTGGCGCGTGCATTGAATGAGACAGTTCGTGCATTGCGCACAGCTGGACACGAAGGTATGTGTTTGCGTATACTTGATCTATTTCTGGGTGGTCTAATAACTTGTTCAGTGGTCGAATGGGATACATCGCTCCATGTGCCGGCAACAGAGATGTGGAATAAGGCCGTGTTAGGCGAGGGAGGTGTCCATTGTCGGAAGCTGTGCGAGATAATCAATGAGCCTCTTATTGAGGGCATGCTCGTGGGAACAGAACAAGATATGCTAGGCTTCGAGGAACGAGAGAAGGTGAGCAAGTCCCCTTTCAGTAATTGTTAACAAGATACTGCATAAAGACGACCATGATGTCCATGACAAACAAACTAACTTTTTCATAGATCGAGGAAAAGAAATACGCCCTCTCAGCTGCCATGCTCAAGCAATGGCTTGATTCTGGCATAGATGCTCTCATCATGCCTGTTATCCCGTGGGTGGGCTATAGACCCAAAGAATGGGTTCAGAGTAATCAATGGGTCGGGTATACCGCGATGTGGAACTTATTCAATTACGCTTCCGCTACTGTGCCAGTTGCTAAAGCTGACCGGGCTCTTGATGGTATTGATGGTGGGAAGAATGACGAGTGGGAAAGTCATCAGGCTCGGAACAAATCCGATGCCTACAACCATTCGCAATGTGAGTATCAACGCAGTGATTTTGGACACCTGATATACTAATAAAGTGGTAACAGATGATATTGAGCTTGTGCATGGAATGCCCGTTTCATTGCAGATTGTTGGTGGGCGATTTGGCGAGGAGAAGGCGATCGCTGCTGCGAAGGTTGTGGATGGGTTGATGAACCCAACACCATTCCACCCGTTCAAATAGGTGCATGTTTTCCTACTAAAATCCCACAGTAAGAAAGTATAATGGTCTTAAATTGCCCATGAATTCTATTCGGGGAAGTTCGGCTTCTCATATAATAAACAAATGCAGCCAGGCCCCGCCGGCAAATAGTCTCTTTCCATTTCCTTTTCCAAAATAAACACAAGAATTCAAAAAGAATAGACATCAATTTTAAGAACATCATGTACCGGGGAATAAAACTATTAAAATTCAAATTCCTTGCGGAAAATGTTCACGTCCATGCCAGCAGTAACCTGGTCAGCCAGGTCACGTCGGCCCATCTGGCTGAAAACGCGACGGAGTGTGTCGTACAAGTTTGTGCTTTGGTTCTGGCTAATGTGTAGCATGCGCTCAAGACGTTCATCATCCAGTCCATCAGGGGCGTCACCACCACCGATAATCTCGCGGGCACGCTCGCGACCTTCTTGCTCGACCACGCGGTGCATAGACAAAGCGCCCAGAAGATGCTGTGCGGCTTCAGGGTAGCAACCGATGTTGATACAAGAGACACCGAGGTTGTAACGGGCACGAACGAAGTTAGGGTTGATGGTGAGAGCCTGCTCATAAGCTTCAATGGCCTCCTCGGAACGGCCAGAGTTGGCGAGAGTGGCACCGAGACGGTTCCAGAGTAGATGCAATTGTTCACGTTGGTTGGTAGTACCGGACTCGGTAGAAGCCAGGGCAGCGGAGAAACAGTCAACTGCCTTCTCGTACTCCTCGGCGCAATAAAACAATACACCCAAGCCGACTTGCACGTCGGGGTCCATCTGCGCACCTGACGGGGAGAGTTGTGCTGCTTGGATAAAAAGCTCTGTAACACGTTCATGCAAAAGCTGTCGATCTGTGAATCCGAGGTCTGCATCGCCAGAGATCTCCTGGGGGTCAATAATTGATGGGTATTTATTAGACAACCAGCGCTCCAGCGTCCGGTAGGCAGTAGAGTCGTAGCCTTCATTGGTGTATGAAACGGCCAGACCCATCAATGCGTCCAGGTTGCCGGGGTCGGTCTTGAGTGTCTGTTCTAGAGCCCGGATTGCAGGCAACTCCTTTTCATTTTGAGCTTGCGCTGAGCCTAACATTGTCCATGCTTGCACATGCTGCGGATCCTTCTGAACAGCAGCCTCAAAGGCAAGGGCCGCCAATGAGAGGTTACCTCCCTCTCGCATAATCTTGACACCCTCTTCGAACGGATTGGTCACTGACTGATACACATTATCTTCTTCAAACATGTAATCGCCCAGCGTGGGATCACGGAATCGTGTGTTCAGACTGTCAAAGCCTTCCCAGTCACCCCCGTCACCCACATGAATACTATCTGTCACCTCAAAATCGTCCGCCAGTTTTCTGCTCGCCGCAGTCTCAGCTTCTGCTCGCTGCCACACGGACTCAAAGGCATCATTGGAGGTGGGGACTGACCTGTCCAACTCATTCAACTCCGCCTCCATAGCTGCATTAGCTTCCTCGTCCGTCTGAGTTTCATTCCCAACCGTATCCATCTCAGCAAACTGTGCCTCCCAGTTCTCGTCATCCAACTCCACCATTCGGCCCTTGCCCTTGTCTTGTGTCGTACCTTCCATGGGCTGCTGCTGCTGCATCGGACCACCCATACCACCCATGGGCCGCATCATTCCCATTCCGCCCATTCCATTGTACATTCCTCCCATTCCCATCGGTTGCTGATACCCCGACATCATGGGTTGCTGCGCTGCGGTAGCGGGACTGGAAGTTTGCGGCATGCCCATGCGATTCTGCTGCTGGAAGCGGGCAAATTCCGCCTGCGAGAACCCAGACCCATTGTTCATTTGTGCACCGGGGAAGGCGGCCTCCATGCGGGCTTGTTCACCGGGGTCGAACTCCGCCGCCCAACCGGGGGAGCCCGTGCGGGGCGAGGCAGTCTGGAAATTCTCGAGCTCGCGGCGCATATGCTCCATGGCGAAGGGTTGTGGGGAAGGTCCATTTAATTGTTCTCCTGGTTGCTGCATAAATTCATTCATCATCTGAAGATCCCCGCAGGGGGGTACATGGTTAGTTGTCTTCGGGGGTTATGATCCCATTTCGGGAAACGGAAATCGACTGTTTCACACACGCACCTGGTCTTGTCCGCCCATCATACCATGAGATCGCATGCCTTCTTGCATTCCCGGTCCGCGGCCGACCAGCCGGTCTCGCTGTAAGGACTTGTCATCCTGGACATGTTTGGTAAACTGCGTGAGAGGGTTTCCCGCCGTGGAGCACTCCGCGCCACCGAGAAAGGACATGGTGATGTGGTGCGGGGTAGGTAGTAGAAGTAACGAGGGGGGGTATGAGAAAAATTAAGTAAAATATCACGAATAGGAAGTATATATTGCAACAATAATTGCAAGCACACGGATGCAATAAGAAAGGAGGGAATGGGGAAGACAATGCCCCAGATGTTGGCGTGGGGTTGATCGCTCACTAATTCAATGCGCTAACTCGCTTTCTCCGTCAGCCGAGGTTCCCCGGAGGTCACGTGGAGGGTGTCTCTATGCAAGTATATCACACTGAATCACCTTCGCATTAATTGGTTATACCCTTGAGAGTGTCAAAATAAGGTCAATATATCGTTTGGATATTTGTTTTCTTGCTGCTTCTTTTCGTTGCAAAGTTACGCCCAAATATGTCATTATTAATCAAGCCCGCTCCAGAACTGATACAGTATGTAGTAACCCCGCCCAAGATTCCTCGGGACTAGATAATTACCGACAGAGCCATGAAGCTAGCAATTCTAGATGAAGCTTATTGGAATACCGAAAGATATAAAAATTTGGTACTTTATACAGGCTGGCGTTTATGTACACACGTACATCACAGTGTTTAAACTTGAGGTCATTTTATTAGGATATCATGTGCTTCAAGTCATAACCAGCATCCGCAGACTTTAGTATTCAATAGTTCCAAGATCGCCAGCATAAGGCTTTCTTTTTACATGGCCAGTATAATTACTAGTAGGATGAGTGCATTCAAACATCCTTCTTAGCAAGCCGATGCATGAGAACAACAGTGACAGGCAAAATACAATCCCTCGCCTTCTCCCACTGCAGCCTCTCACACTCCGAAATATCATCTGGATGCATCAAATCAACATCAACAGTCTTCACCTTCAAAAGCCCATGTCGCTCATAAAATGGCACAGCTGATGGCGCTGCCTCAACCCAAATATCCAATCCCATCTCATCGGCCTTCTTGACACCCCATTCCATAAGTAGATTCCCAAGGCCCTTCCTCCGATACTGCGGTGCCGTGAACAAACTTCCAAGAGACATGTAGCCTTTAGTCCCCGGAAATTGGGCTCTAGCTTCTGCTTCTGCGGTTTTTAGGATGGTGAATGCCTGTTCCGCAAAGATACGGGCGCCTCCTTCCGGATGTCGACTTGCTAGAGATTCGATATCTTCTTCCATGGATTGCGATGTCGTTGTGGTTTCAAGTTCCACATGAAAGATCCATTCTGCGCCAGCGAGTATTTCCTCTTCTTGAAGTTTATTCTTTAGGTCCTCGCTAGTCTGTACGACTTTGAGCCATGTATTTTCGGTTGTAAGCTCTGCCTTGGCAGTTGTGGCTTGCTCGATATAGGCTTCTTGTATCTCTTTTGCTGTGTCTGATATGGCCTTTGCCCTGTTATTGTTTATGATGGGGCAGTAAAGGCGGAATATATTCTGAGGAGGGTTTTCGAAAGCATCCCGCTCTGCTGTGATTATTTTTAGGTATTCAGTCGGCTGCACTGTATCAAGTTTGAATGTCATGTTGAAGATTCAATGTTGTTTTGGAGCGTGATTATGATTCTCAAGGATTTAAATTGAACCTCATTCTGTTGAGGGGAAACTGGATTTATCCAGGCTTATCAAATGGATTATTTCCCCCGCTCATTCACTAATTTGTTGGCGGCAGGCGCGGTTGATGACGAGGATTTGGATCCGAACATCGATCGATCGGTCATGAGGCTGACATCTATTGGGTGCGGGTCTATTGCTTATTCAAACAAACCAGCTCAAGTGAACAGTGTAAGTCCGGAGAATTCCATAACCAATTTCAAAAATATTATACAGTCTATTATATGGTACATTGGGTATTGAGTATCACACTATACAGCCATGAAGGAGTCTGCCAATATGCTCCTCATCTTATTTCTCAAAAGCAAGTTGCCGCGATCTTAGCAGAAAGTCTTTTGTTAAGATCAGCCACCTTTTACCTATCAGCCAACTCTTTTTAATCCATCTCGCCATCCTCCGCTGGTCTCTCAGGGTGTCGTTCTGAATGTAACATGCCCACTTTCTTCAGGTTGGTAAATTCAACCACCATCTTTCGCCCATACGGCGACTTTCTTGCCAATATTTCCTTGCCTATCCGCGCAGCTTCAACGTCGAGGAACTCCACATGGGCAAAGCCGCGCAGCATGCCAGATCGCCTGTCGACGGGTACACGGATATCGAAAACGTTCGTTATGTCCGAGAAGAGGTCTTGTACGTCTCGGTCGGTCAATTCGTAGGGAATGCCCCCAAGGTAGACCGTGTTGGTAGCATCGTGTTCCTCTTGCAATGGCTTGATATTGTTGCGTGCGTATTGTAAGACAACTTGGCGGCCGCCAAGAACTTTCATATGTTGCTTTTCGACTGCTATTTTTGCTTCCTCGACACTTGAGAATTGGACGTATCCAAATCTAAACATGTAAGTCATTAGTATCGTAACGGTACGTAAGCGGAGTATATTCAATGCTGTTACGTACCCTTTACTTATTCCGCGATTGTCATGCACAATAGTCGTGCTGAGCACAGTTCCAAACTGCTCAAAATGGGCCCGTAAGTCCTCCGCAGCAAGATCGAAAAATAAATTCCCAACGTAGATGGTCTCATGAGGTACTTCGGTCCTGGGAGGCAGTAGCTTAGATGGTGTTGAAGGGGGTTTGGCGGAATTGGTCGCAGACTTAGAGTCCGTGGGTGGTGTAGTCGATTTCGACGATGGATCTCCGAAGTCTTTCGACTTTGATTTTAATTGTTCATCCAGAGCCCGAAGCCGTCCTGCCCTCTTGCCCACCGCACCTGACACATCTTTTTGTTGCTCTTCCTCTGCCGCTTTTGACCTTGCATACAGATCAAGGTAATCCACATCATCTTTTTCGGCTTCCGAGTGTATATTCTTATATGCTTCGATTTCCTCGGGCGTGAGCTCGTATTCTGGCTCAATGTACTTGTTGAACTGGGCTTTTGAGGGGATCGAGGAGTTGAAGTCTTGTTGTGGCGTTTTAGAGTGTTGATTCGTGGAGGATTTCCAACGGACGAGACGAGTGGGGATAAAGGGTGTTGGAGTAGAAAGAGTGGAAGCATGAAATCGAGGCGAGACAGTGCATTGTAATCGAGAGATTACAGTTGGATGTGACCCCGCTGACTTCAATAGCCGCGACGAGCTCCGGCGGAGGGAATGCCTGTGAATAAATTAGCTCCGCTGTCAGCGTTGCGATAGAGGATTGATTCCGCTCAACGCGTGGGTTGAACAGAAGTGAAACTACAACAAAGTCAGAGCGTTGTCATCTGTATCTAGCTTACATTTTGAGAATAAAACTTTTAAGCGGGAAGAGCCAGCCCAGCAAGCCCGATTTTCAACTGTATCTAAAGACAGAACCCGCGGAGTTGCGCGCATCGGAAAGTTCTAGGATACGATAAGGTCACGTGGCGATAACAGTACATATGGTAATACCAACTGGAAGCATATGCATGGACCCATGGCCAAAGCCTATATTGAATTACATTTATTTGTTTAGTTTTTACTTTCCTTCTTTTTTAAAAAAAGAAGGAAGTAAAGAGAGGAAGAGAGTTATTGAGGAGAGGAGTCCATTACTACTGAAATTTGATATATAGTACAGAGAATCAGCATTCCACCATTAAGATCTTCCCATGAAAACAGCCAATTGGCAACGAAGCTAGGGTACTTTTCTCAAAAAAAAAAGGCCTTCTGTCAAAGTCAAAAAATGCAAGTGGGGTAATAAGCAGAAAAAATCACCGATTCATTTTCAGGTCATCATAAAATCCGTGTGAGTAGAGAGACGCGATATTAGCAAAGGGCAAATCAGCAGAAACCCAGATCCAATCTCCAACGATCCGACGTAAACTTAAATTGATCCTTGATTTCGACCATTGCTGCTTGATTGTGACATTGGTGTGAATGCTGGCATGGAAGATCCGTTGCTCTCACTATTTGAAGATGGTGAGAACATACTTGGCATTTGCCCAGTACCGGCACCATTCGGCATTGGCGGTACTCCACTTGGTATCCTTGATGTGTCAAGTGGATTAGATGCTGAGGGCTGTGTCAGCCCATTAGGCTGGACAGTTTGACCAGTAGAGTCCATCATCGGCCAGAACTGATTTGAGGTGTCAAAGGTGGGGTTTTGAATGTATGTGTCCCAGGCATCCTAAAATGAGATTTATTAGCATCGAGGACTCTTTACGTATGCAAAACTTTTCTATAGAAGTCACTTACCCAATCAAGGTTAGCCTGCATGTCCGGCATCTGGCCGAACATGCTACTGAATGGCGAAAGAGGGCCGCTTGGCATTTCAGCCGGGGCCCCCGCGCCCATGCCCATACCCATGCCCATGCCCATCGCGCCGGCAGGCATCGGCGAGTCTGTCATCCTCATAGTAGGGTCTGAAAATGGGGATAGACCCGGGTTAATCGGGCTCATCCCGCTGCTCAGTAGACCTAATGTCATGGCAGCGCTCTGCTTCTCATCCTGGGGCTCAAACATGGCGTTCCCAGTGCCGGTTTCAAGGCCTGGAACGGTACTGCGCAATTTGGCAAGCATGACACCAAGAATGCTGGTAGCTTTCCACGCTTCCATGCTCTCGTCACGCATCTCATCCCAGATCTCTTTCGAGTGCTGGAGTGCTGCAGTCATCTCATCGCGACGCTCGCGACCCCAAGTATAGGCGTCATCAGATGGTCGGGACGCAGCTTGGTGCTGATATCCTTGGTACAAATCAAGAGATACGATTGTGGCCGCTAGCAGGAAGTCTGCGGAGCAGAGAGAGGTGACAAGGTTATGCCGGCCAGCAAGACGTCCATTCCGCGTTTCTGCGTGCATGTCCGATTGTGCTTTGAGCATATCCATAGCGGAGTCGATACATGTTCGTCGTGAATAAGTGAACCGTGGGTTCTCTCGTGCACGAACAAGGTATGGCCTATGGAGGACTATCTGCGCTTTGTGATAAACAGTGTAGGCAGAATGACGAGACATGATAAGTTGCACGGGGTCCAATTGACATTCTTCCATTGGGCGAACTCGCAAATGATCGGGGATTGACTCTCTAGCCTGTCGAAGCTCAGCATCAAGCTCCATTGTCTTGTCATATGAGCTATTCGAGGTTGACGAGGCGTGTTCATTGACTCGACCGAATACAAATACCAGGCGAGCTTTGGTAATCAAGTACGAGATCGGCGTTGGTTCGCTTAACTGGCGAGACTGTGGCAATTCCTTGCAATCTTCATCGAAGTCATCATCATAGAGGTTGTGTGGCAATTCCGTGTCAGTATCGGAAGCTCGAAGCATGCTCGGCATGCCGACCTGGAACGAAAACAACACATCTGACACTCGCACGAAAGACCATACACGGCGCCGCATTTCACCCTGAAAGGGGGTGATATTGGGAAAGACCTTCGAATCACGATGATATCCCATTCTCATGGCTAGACGGGCAATTACACCAGTCAAGACCCAAACAGATACGTCCGCTTCGCGGGTCTGTGAAAAGTCACCGTGTAAATGGAAAACAAGACATTCAATTAGATATGGATGTGGCTTTGTGTAGTCCGCTAGGCTGATACAATGCGCGACCGAGTTACGGAATGAACCAGCCATATCCATCGCCTTGCCCCTGAATTCAGGCGGCTCGTCTCGTTCTCGATGAAATGAAAGCATAGCCAATCTCATCATCGCAAATAGCATTGCAATCCAAACAAGCTCGGTTTGAGAGGGGTCCTCCCAATGCCTGTTGTATTGAGATTGGAACGTCGGTCCATGAAGAATATGTGTAGCTGGGTCGTAGCTGTTAAAGTATCGAGCGACCAGGAGATCAGTCGTGTATTTCGAGGGTAAAGAAGCCATGATCTCTGCGCGACTGAGAGGCTTCATCACTCCGAACAGCAAGGTAGACTCAGGAACATCAGTACGTGGGCGAGCTGCCCTTACCTTCTCTGCTTGTTCTTCGAGCTGCTTTTTATGTGTTGCGAAGAAATTCCGCACCTCTGAGATATCATTCAACACGGATGCCCAGTGGGCTTCACTGATGTAATAGGACTTATTATTGTCCACTTTCATCACACCAAAGGACTTTGTGACCTGTTCCGTATCACTCTCTTCCGCACCCTCAGGGATGTCCTCATCAAGATCAAGCTCGTTGGACAGTCCCGTTGAGCCCGCGCTACTCTCTCCAGATATCGCTGCCAAAGCGGCCGCCGGACCGGCAGCCTGGTTCCCATTTGTCATCAACGACAAAACCAGACCTTCTAATCGATCAATCCGATTTTGCATATCATCTGGGGATGTGGGCGTTGTCTGTTGTGGCAGGTTCTTCTTCCGAGCATTAGGTTGCGAATACGAACATGAGCTCGCATCTCCCCGTTTCACGCAGTTATCACATGGGTGTGTGCGATTACATTTCAATCTGAGTGATGGGCTTGCGATTAGCATCTATCATTTCTAAGGGGGTTTGTGAGCGGAGAGGGGTTGGGGGCCAGTATCTAGGCGGCTACTCACTTTCTATGGCGACAAGGAGCACATGATAGCGGAACTCGATTACGTTTGCGAATCACTCTGAATTCCGGCGAGTTCGCGCCTACGCTGGAGGAGGTGGATGGCGGTGTGGGCGTCATATTGTATTCACCAATGACACTGCTGCAAATTATGCCGGTGGAAATTTGGTATTTCGGGTGGGAATCCTTTGAGGCGCAAACAAGTAACCGAGCTGATGCACGGGTTCCCAGTGAGTATAGGGTCCTTTTGATTCTTCTAGGTGGCTTCTCTGCTCGGAAAGCGTCGAATTCTCCAGTATTCCTGAGGGCTTCACACCGGTTGCGTTTTCGAAAAGGAAAGGGAGAGATATAGGAGGAATACGCAGTGTTTCCCTTCACGTCTCGCGGCGAAAGACGGGGGGTCTGTAAGCGCCTTTTCTGTCTGCCTGGTCCCTGGTATTCACGATTCAATAGTCCCGCGCTATTTGTAGGGTGACTTTACTTTGATCGCACGGTGGAAGATGCGCAAAAACACCCAAAGCCCGATTGAGATATGCGCAGTTGGTTGACACGAAATTTGGCTGATCTGGGATGCTGAATGACACCGTCGATTGGGCGAAGTAGGCTAAAAAGGCTGTGGGCGAAGCTCCAGAGTGTCGCAAGAGGGGTTAAAGTGCGATGGATCCTAACTCGGTTTAGACTCTTTGGGTGTGGGGTCCAAAAAGGCTGATATGGCAGCAAAGGGTAGCGACGTCGTTAAATGATGAGATATGACTGTTGTGCCCTCTGAGGGTCTGCGAAAGAGCAGAAAGCAGAAACACGAGAAAGAGCTCTCAAGACCGTAGATTGGGGGGTTGGATGATTAATCGGCCGCTATCTCCGTTTTAGGCTCTTATCACCATGATGACCTCAGCGGGATGATGGGGATCATGCCTGCGGGTGTTAAAGCTTAGGAGGATTTTTGCGATACCTTCTCCTTTGACTGAGAGACCAACATTATGCCCAAATTCCTCCATTGCCCACAAATTAGATTTTTATTTTTTTCTCACCAACTTAAAACCAATCAAAGGAGCCTGATGGGGTTTCGCAGGATCGTGGACACGCAAATTAATCTGATCATTACGGGCATTTTCCTCTGCTAGGTAAGGTTAATATTCTGGATTACGCATTATGATTGGTGCAAGCCGCCATGCTACATATGGTCGTGAGTCATCGCGGCAGCCAGCCCCGTGTCTAGCCTTGGGCTAAACGAACTCCTACAGAACATTATGCACCTTTCACGATATATGTACACCGCATATTTGGCAATGTCTAAATGCTTAAACCGTGGACGACGAGACGGTAAATGCTGTTTAGAAATGGCCCCACAATGAACCATGCGCCTGGTAGGTCCGAATTGAAGATCTACCATGTAGAATAGTAGAAGGCCTTTACAATGAAGTCCGATGTAAGTGGCTCAATCAGAGCCTTACCCTCTATTCATGTATCTAGTATAAGAATGCTCGTTTCTAAAACGCCGTGTCTGTCGAATAAAGACTTGGGTCACTATTTAAACATGGCCATCATCACTGAAAAGGTTTATCCTAGTATATAGGGCAGAATGAAGCCATCGTTTTATGATTGTCATTAATCTTCTGAATCTCGCAGGCTCTTCATAGTACGCAGTAGGAATATATATACAATAATCGGTAAGATTAGAGCGTGGATTCAATTAGTCCATAATAATCTTAATCCGACATATCTGATATCTGGTTGTGATTGGATCTATAAGAAGGGTAGGTATGGCAATGTATACTGGTGCATTTGAATTCGCATTATTTCTTTCTGATATTGAAAACCATGAGAAAGTAGATTCGAGTACCTACTCTGAATATTCGGAAAAATACGCTATCCTCGAGTTGCGCGCTGCGCGCTGCTAATCTACATAGACCAACGTCCACCATATAGGTACTACATTCGTTGCCTCCCTAATGACACCTACTTCGACTGTAGTTACATATAGAACTCAAACTATAGACTTAGAATTATATCCATTAAATATGTCTCAAATTTTCGATTTACTTGCATGCACAAAAGAAGAGCAGCCTCACCTATGGAGTGCGACCATAGTTCTGTCACACGGTAGTACGACAGCACCTATCTTAGTTCAACTTGAAGTTCATTCTCATGGTGCACATAGATACATCTCCGATGTCACTTAGGCAGTCACTGCACAATCTTACTATCGTTGCCATAGAGAGGTAAATAGGTGCAAGTCGAAGTCTTACTGACCAACTTACTCTTCCAAGGTCGTCTCTTGTTTACCAGCAAGTTTCACAGTAAGCATGCATGATCTACAAACTTAGCATAGAGGCGGGTAATCAACAACATCTGTGTAGTATCTCAGACTCTATAAGTACAAATAAACCGTATCGATTTGACTTATTCCCATGACAACATAGTACAGACTTAGTGCCGATCAATATGGGGATGTCCAGCCCCAAGCTCCACTTTTCCGGCGGAAGCGTGATCCGTCCACTCACTCACCCCCTGAAGAGCAACCAAAAAGTCCTGGACCATCCCCAGAAACAAACAGCTCTAATCAAGATGTTTGCTACGATAAATCCAAAACACAGGTTTCTTTGCGTCTCCATAAATCAAAGAGAATTCCCATGGCAACTTTTCATTCGTGGAACGAGATGTTGGACAATCAAACTCAAAATCCCATACCTATGACGTTCCTGTGATTAGGTGTACCAAATGCCTAAGCGGGTATCAATAAGAAACCTGATTATACTGCGGGTGACTGAGCAATGAAGTCAACATACCCAACAAAAGCCCTCGGATCTGCTTACAAAGTATGCCCGGCTAATTCTCTTGAAAAGAATCATTCTGGTTCAGCAAAACTGAGTATCCCTAATTACTCCCATGGTGAATATCATACTTGGACAGAAAAGCAGACAACTCTAATGCTTCACTTCCATCAACCCAATGCAATTCAGGTCTATTTCGCTGATCATAACATTTCCGTTCCTGAGATCTCTGGGTCCCCTTCACCGTCTATCTACCGAGTCGATTAACGTTAATTGTTGAATTTGCCACGCAATAAAATGACAAGCCTATCCTCTCAATCATCCGATATCTCCGGCCTTTCTTCTTCCTCCACATCATCCTCAAACAAAACAAACGCTACAGGCCTCTCAGTAGCAGATCTACTACAATCACCAACTGAGAAACCGCCACCAAGAACCGTATCAAATGCCAAAGTCCAAATACCCCGACAACGAACAACTACCGCACCCCGACATAGCAGACGTGTTCCTCGGGCATGCGAATCATGCAGACTACGAAAAACAAAATGCAGCGGTGATACACCTGTGTGCAAGTTATGTCGGGATTCTAAAACATCATGTGTATACCCGTTAGCTATTCGGGAGAAAACAAATCGGTAAGTTGACCCTGCTTTTTTTATGGGACTCGAAGTACTACACGCACCTGGTGTTAACTTCTTTCTATGTTGATAGGAGAAATGGCTGAATATAATTGGAATAGAACGATATCTTGTCTTTCGAGGAGATTACACGAATACGAAGAATTATTACGGGAGGTAGAGATCTTTGTGCCTAAGCGGATGGCTAGAAGGATTCAGGCTCTGCTGGTGAGGCTATCGACTAGCGGTTGTTTGGTCGAAAAGTATTTGCTAATGTTATGGAATGTAGGCGCAGGATAAAGATTTCACATTAAACGACAGGTCTGGGTGTGAAGAACCGAGTCAACAAGATGTCACAAATGACTCCTGTATTGGCTCGTTGGAAATCATTGAAAAGATACACGACGACATCCGCGCAGCGGATATTTCCTGGGGTGATAGAGTTCGTCACCAAATGCTCAAATATAATTTGGATTCAACAACTATCGAAAAGAGCAAAGGAGTACAGCTATAACCCCAAGTCTCTTGATTTCCTGACCGCAAAAAAAACGTCTCTGAAAATTGAATCTGAGACTGCATTCGCGTCTTATTTCGGTATCAGATTGGATTATTATCAGGTGAAGTTCGAAGGAATATACACAACAACACCTTCGTTGATTCAGAGAAAGCGGGAACTTGAAAACGAGAATTAGCGAAAGGGAGAGAGAAAGGTTGCATTTTGACGAGTCGATCATGGTCATGGCGTTGATTTCCTTGGCGTTATATGCTAGTTTACAAATTGCTCAAGGTTACTTTTCGGGGTCATTTCATAACTAGCAGTTCCCTTAGCGAACGCTTGAACGTCGATTGAATAAGAGGAACTTGCTGGATTTACTGTATAATAGATAATAGCGGCACAGAAGCAAAATACAAAGGCTTATAGGTATCAGTGGAGAGTTGAGCAATCGAATTCAACACAGCGAAGGAAATTTCATTTAGCTTTACCTGATACAGTTTCATATGAATCAAACAGACAAAAAAAGGAATCGTGCGTCGGCTGATCATTTAGATGATCAACGAATTCAAAGGATTGTAGTAGTAGTCTTGTACAAATGGAAAGCAATAAAAAAGCAAGATAGACACAAAATAAGTGAAAATAAGGAAACACACGCCCGGCGCAAGACCTTTAAGAAGCAAAGAAGAAGTAAGAATGACAAAGAATGGGAAGGTGGATATCAAGGCCAGGACCCCCAACACCGACATCAAAACAATGAGCTGCTATCTTTCTCTCCCCAAGCCCATATGGAGTCAGTATACCGAGATACTAGGCAGCAGTAACTTGCAGTTTCCTCTGGCCATGATCTTCATTGTTGGTTTTCGCTGGGTATCGGTACACATTGCTCGTGATTAAAGTAGTCGGCCGTCCATTGTCATACAGCTCAATCAAATAAAAAACAAAGATAGGTGCTAGTCTCGAGCCAGAGACTGTTGATCAATAGACCATGGGACATGCTCTGCATACGACGATCTGTTTAATCGTCATTGCCATAAGACCAGGAAGGCTGGTTGTGACGGGCAGGGTTGTGTAAGGATGTCACTGTACGCTGAACAACAGGGGAATCTGGGTAGTTATCCCATGAAGACTGCAAGCCATTGATAGCCTTCTGGCGGTGCGAGATGAGAGGCTTAGTGTTCTCGGCTTGAACCTTAGACTGGGCAACTGATAGAGGTTGGTTGTTTTTGGTCTCCCGTTCACTGGGCATAGCTTCACCCTCATCGCCGAAAAGGCGGTTCTCGTATAAACCCTTGCCACGGTTCTGGTAAGAGCTGATAATGCGGCCATCATCCCCTTCGGCTTTGTCGGTCATTTCAAAGTGCACATCCGCGTCGCGGCGGGGCTTGACTACATGTTGGCGGGGAGGGGGAGTAGGTTCCTCTGCTGTCTCGCTATAGCCAAAGTTCTGCGCCTGTTCGCTGAGTGGGGCACGAGTGGGCTTCTGGGGGGTATTGAAGTCATCGGCTCCAATCTCGAAGTGGTTGAATCGCGTGGGGTTCGATTTGTATGCGGCACGACTTGGATCAAGAGTATCCTCACTGCCAAAGATACGGTTCTCGTGAGCCCTACCAGCACCGCCCTTGGGCGCAATGACCCTCTCGGACTTGGAGGGGGTACCAGGAGTCTCCTCGTCAATGAACAGGTCAGACAAGTCGCGGGTAGGGGGCTTCACGGAAGAAGCCGCGTATGGGCGAATAGGCGCATCATTCTGCTTGGAAGGTGACAACAGATCGGTCAAGGAGTCAGCGGCATATGGATCTTTTCTGTGTTTCTTGCCAGGGGAGGAAGGGCGCGGGACATTGTCTGTGTCGTTTGCGGCGGCAGCCTTGCTTGGTGAGAGGAGGTCGAACAGGGAGTCGGCCGCATAAGGATCCCTGATGTGTCGCTTTCCGGGGGAGCCAGGTCGTGCTGGAGCTTCTTTTAAGCCGTTCTGGGAGGGAGCTGGAGGAGGAGCGGATTTAGCATCCGCAGCGGATTTGAGGAAACGAGTCTGCTCTGCGCCGGCGCGAATAGGCCAGCCTCGACTGCGCGAGCCGATAATTTCGACTTCCTTCAAAAGAGAGCCTTGGTCCCAGTAGATGCGAACTTGGGAAATCTCGTGTTCAGCGTTCCAGTGGACGATGTGGAGCTGCAGGAGAGTTGCATTAGTGAGGCTGCAAGTCATGCGAATCTCGGGGAATATTTACCGTGGGGATGGTGACGACGCGATCGACCAGGAAATTATCGTCGAGGGAGGGGAGATAGGCCCCGCCGCCTTCGAGGAACTCCAGTGTAGTCTCAATATCCAACACCAACGAGTCGGAAGCCTCAATCGCATTGATCACGTTCTCCGACTTCTTCTTCACAATGCCCGGTTGGCGCGACAGGTGGGTAATGACCGAGTCGCTGCCCTCGAACTTGGTGGTAGACGCGACATAGAGTAATGAGACATTGTCGGCGACTTTGGCGGACCTAGGGTTCGCCAGGAACTTGCGATACTCAGTATGAAGGTAACTCATCGTGCTTCTTAACCAGTTGATCTCAGGTAGTAAGACAACGCAAGGGAAAGGTTACAGAAGAGTACAAGAAAACAGCGAAGAAAAGGTTATCAGGGGCGGGAAGTTAAGACCAGCCGAGGGAGGGGAGAAATGGGAGATTACAGGCTCGTTTGTCTCTGCGTCTTGATATCGTCGAGGCCGAGGACGAACTACTGTACTCTGCAAGGGAAATGACGATCCACCCGAGAAAATGAGACTGCTCATTGTTTCTGTGACTACTGCAACTACGCGTCTTCAGTTAAAACAACATCCTGGGAATTCAGGTACCAGGTACCATCCTACCCATAGGAATTGCTATGTAGAACTATGGTACTGGGTACCTGGGCGGAGCCAGATCGAAGTCTCGATGTCCCACGATTTATCCACATAAACAACATTTGAACTAAAACAAACCAAAACACGCGCACGGGGAACCAGTGAAAAACACGCCAGTGTTTCAGCTGTGTGGCCCTGTGTGGCCCTGCGTGGCCCCGCCGTCCAGAAGAAGAGAGCCCCAGTGCCACGGGTTCACCGTTTACACTGCAGAGAGCCGAGACTCCGTCTCTCCGGCAACTCAATGCCTCAAGATAAACTTCATGAAATTCCACATTGAGAGAGAACATTAGAAGGAGAGAAGGAGGCAATGTTGTCAATGGTGTAAATTCTTCAGTTATATTGTACATATCTCTGGAAACTAATAAGGCATTTGCAATCTAGCAATGCCAAGCACAAAGGCGTTCCAACCCTTTCCCTTGTTTGGTGGATCGCAGGACAATCCTGATGTCAATTCCATGAGTACTCACTATGATGTAAATAAGTAAGTACTCTGTCAAATTGGACGATAGGAAAGACCAATTCTAGCTCAATGTTCCAGCAAGCCTATGCAAATGCGCAGCTTTCAATCACCCATTGGGTGTCTTTTTTTACTTTGTTCTGTTTTACTCAAGTGCCAGCCTTTCTCTTTCCACTCGCAAGGCTCAAATCAAGACTGGAAACAGACTTGCATAATTCCGATGCACGTTAGTTCCCAGAAACGCCTAATCGCCATATGTTTTTTTTTCTTTCTTTTGTTCTGTGGGTGTACCATATGCGGCTGAATTGTCACTCCGTGGCAGCTGATGAAAGGTAAAGGGCGCCATTTCGAGTATGATCATGATGAAAAGAGGAAAAATGCTGGGTAAATTATGGGTATGTGATGTGGCTCATGTCTCATTACAGGGGTCTGTGAAAAAGATGAAAATATCAGTATTGAGATTGTCAAATGACAGTATGGATCGGTTTCACTTACCCAAGGTAATCCTCCTTGATGGTGCCAATGGCGTTGATCGCCGCCACATCTGGCTTGACACCAAGAATTTTGAGTCGCAAACTAGTGCCCTTCTCAATTACTTGGTCGGCGTGATCGGTATATTGGGGGGGCACTGTGTTGGGCTCCCATTTGATATCAGAGGGGATGTTCTAGGATGCTAAGTCAGTGTACACTCTTCGGGTAAATGACCTCTGGGTTCCTACTTTTCGCGCAATGAAGACAGACAGAGGTCCTGCCAAGGTAAAGATACCAGTAGGCTTCACGGACGTGACAATAGCGTCAACCTAGTAGCTTGGATGTCAGCAAGAGCTTCAACTCGCAGAACTAGACCCGTTTGATCCAGCTCCTAATGTCAAGTCGTAGCTTTGCACACATACTGTTTCACCGCGGAAAGGCTTCCAAATGATCGCGCGATATTTTATTGTGTATTCTGCATGTCCACTGGACGGCATGACTCGTCCTTCGCCAATATCCACCATATCCATCACACAGATCACGAAATGATCACCCGTGCATCGGCCTTCTTCCTCCTCATTCAGTCTGGTGATAAGATACTCGCGCATATTGGGTCCGAAATATGACGGATGTAAGGTGATGACCTTCGCCTCTTCTTTGAGGAAAAACATATTGACGGCTGTAGGTGAACTCCGGGTTCAATTGGCGGTAAAGAAAAGGTGTGATGTCGGGAGTGAGAGGGAGGCTGTACTGGCTGACAGTATGATCGGGCGACAGATATCCGTTTCCGGGGCTCTCTTGTAAAGATACGACGAAAGGTTGTAGGCGTGGTCGTAAAGCAGCGCGGTGCAGTCAATTGAGGTGAGAGGTTATCGACTGATTCTGCTAGCTCATGACCTGGCGATTGGGGTAAATTGGGTCAGTACAGCGCCGGAGAAAGTTGAAAATAGGGTTCTAAGCAGTCGCTAAATCTGCCGGTATGTTGAAATGGCAGGTCGCAATACTGCGGGCACACTGAAGCTGCTGACGATTCTGTCGAGGTTCATGGCGGGCAGGTCCAGGTAACTCAGCGTCTCAGGTGGTCATGTGACGTGGGTCAGGTCGCAAGACTAGATGTGGGTTGTTTGACAAGTTTCCAACTTTTGAATTCTATCTACTGTATACATATTGAAAATATCAATAAATGGGATTATCTCTGGTCCTACATGATTAAAGGGGTTTTCTCTATCTCAACTCTTACAATTACGAATAACCGAGACTATCCCGACTGCCAATATTCAAACCTTGGAATCTACCTAGGACATACGATTTACACTTCTATTAGCTTTAATTAAAGCCTCATAACATATAATAATGTTAAGTATATACCTCAGGACTTATTTATATTGTCACCTAGGCCTCCAGAATTTACCTTGGTAAAGGTATTACGACTCAGAGAGACTAGACCGACGTTTGTAAAAAATATTGGAAAGACGTTTAGTGTAATATGATGTTAAACGGGTATTCAAAACCCACCGCTTCTAGCAAGAGTATATATATATTTCACTACATAAAACATTTCAATGGAACACCGAATTTCTCGAAAGTGTACTACATTTACGCTTTGATCGCTCAGCTGATAGCCCCGACTGCGATCAACCACGATTTTTTGAGTCATACTGTTAGAAATCAGGCGCTTGTTTGCTTAGGTTGAAGAAAAGGATGTTCTGCCAACTCGCCTGCCGTTTTTCTCGCATCTGGATGCCAGGCGAGTATTCCCTTGGCAAGATCTAGAAACGCTTCCCTCTCTTGTCTTTGAAGGAATAAGACTGTGTCGTCTAATTTTCGATCGGGAATCAGGTTTTCGTAGAGAAATTGACTTAGAATATTTCGTGAGCCTTAGGAAGAATTCATTTAATATAAATGTAGTTATACTATTGTTGTTAAAGAATGGCCTACAGAGGTACTTCTCTATAGTCTCGCATATTTTGCTGTCTTCTTATTGAACAAATTCCGGCCACAAATACTTTTATATATATTAATACCTTTATATAACCACTAGAGGGGGGGCTAGTAGAGCTATTATTTTGGCGATATGGAGTTTAGTATTATAGTGACCTTTCTGATTATAAATATGCTGGAAAAGCTCTTTACCTGCGATTATATCGATAGCTGCTTAAGTATTAATAAGTGTAGTAACTTTAGAGAACAATAAGACGCACTAAAATACCTATATTCCAAATATCTGTAGACATTCACCATCCATTTCCTAGGATCACTTCTAGTACCTGATAGGATTCTGATTGAATGGGTTAGACCCCCTAGTTGTCGTCTTCCTTGAGTCTAGTTACTAAGCCAAAGTCGACAAGCTGTGTTATACTTCTTAGGCTTTTCAATGGCCTGAACTTATTATAAGTCTAATATACTAGTTGCCCTACTGGATTTAAAGCTTACCATCCATAAAATCAGTAAGTGAAGTTAAATCCTTAAATAAGACCATAATATTCTCAAGCTTTAAATCTAGGTAGTCGCTTGGCTTAGTATTACTAATGATAGTTGAGGCCGAAAGATATCTTACCTGTATAGACTGTTCTATATTATTTGTATAGGTAATTAAGTCCTAAAAGAAGAGTACGAAAATATATCTTAATGAGGGACAGGGGCATTTTTCTGTCCTTGAAGTGCCACTGATATATCGATAATAGTTCTTTTATAGGTAGGTATATAAGGTACAAATACATACTGACCTAATAAGCCTTTAACTCTAAAAGAGTCTAGGAATATTTGGATAAGTGAGCGGTCTAGATGTAAGGGATTTGCTATAGAAATGTGTTGTTCGACCTTGTGCTTATGACCAATAGAGCTTGCATTGGAATTGGCAATCTCCAGCTCCACAATGGTCTCTGGCTCTTCGATAAGCCTGAATGGATATTAGAGACAGAGAGATTTGAACTGAATATAGAGATAATTAACGGCTATCCTTGAAATTCACGCGTAGGCTATACAGTTGACGATATACCCCAGCAAACCTTGATTAGGGTTGAATAGTGGCCTGCGAAAACCTCTCTCGGATGCACTGGGTAGAAGTACTGGGGATCGTATACTAGCGAGAGTTCTTTATCAACAAATATCCTAGACGGTAAAGATGGACCAGGAGAAGACATAAGGAACGGTTTCCTGCAAAGCAATACAGAAAAATAAAGGATAGCCGATCTTATAGTGCTCATTACAGAATTATCCCCATAAGCCGGTGGGAGGATCTGATGCTTGAATTAATAATTGTCGAAGAAGAATACCAAGCAAGGCAGCATACCCCTGTGTATATTATCACGTGATGAGATTTCTGGGCCCTTGAGAAGAAAGAACGCTCAGAGATTCAAACTGCGTTTCGTGAAGCATATGGGTATGTGTTGCCGTTATAACTTTGGGGTGTATATCGTTAATACGAATCAATCAACTATTAGGAAGCTGATTACCATGGGATATATCGCCAGATTCACCGATGTGAAGAATTTGATCTGAGTCTCAACCAACACGCGTTTGCCTGCTTCTACCAAGTTATAATTTGCTACCGCCTGTGCGATATTAACATCGGGCAGATATTTCGTAGGTTTCCGCGATTGTGCTAAGCTAGACAAACCTTTACAATGGACACCTACTTTTTTCGTTTGTTATCGTCTTGCTATCCCATCCCCTGGATTTGATCTCGGATCATTCGACTAGGATGGCGATACCAGCGGCTGGCAGTGGTAAACTGGAATGACTCTGTGAAACTTTATTAGTATTTGCTAATAAATCTCACTGGTATATCCGGTTGCTCATATTGTGAACTACTATATATAAGGAAGCCTTTTGATATTACAAGATTGAATTGCCAGTACATAGTAGTATTTTCAAGTTGATTTGTACCAGTTTTGAAAATCGTATAAACTGTAAGTACTAGTAATACATATTAGGCCAATTCGCCCATGATGCAACATATCCGACTAGATAGTATTTACCCGAAAGGTTTAGGAAGACATGTAGAACAACCTTGGAACGGCAAACATGATTCATCTTTCGTTATGCAATTTTATTACCGAAATAAAAACTTAAGAAGAGCAGAGAATTCTAATTGAAACAAGTGTATTCGATAAAGAAATTCAATATGTCTGTTGGTTACCCGGAGTACATTATTTCCACATGAATTTGAGCTGGATACACTAGAAACGATTAAGGTTGAACTCTGCTGCGGCCCCCAAAACCTTGAAATAGCTAACAGTATGAGAAGGCGAAGATTTACCTACATTGATTTTTGCATATAAACTCACCTTTGAGTATACTATAAAATAGTAAACAAAGTCTCGAACTCTTTTGTTATTCAGCTAATAGGCGCCGCGCCCCATAGGCCGGCAATTCGTGTAGATTTTTTTTTTTAAAAAAAAATAAGACTTACGTGGCTGTGAAGAAATATTGAGATTGTCACAGCTCTATTAAAAACGGATATGGCGTCTTGATGTATAGGGTTGATTTAAATTGTGCTATTCCAAGACGACAGAAGGAAGTTACCATATTAGAATACCAGTATCCGAGGTCTCCGTCGACCCTTGGAAGCACATGACGGGCACAACAAAGTATGGCACCACCAAGCTAGTAAGGCGGCTAAGCTTGGTGCACGTGTGATGATATACGTACCCCATACAAAGCTTCCCCAACATTTCCTTTCAACCCTTCCCCACTTGAAAAAACTCCAGATAGCCAGAAAATGGCCCTTAATCTAGAAAGACAATTGCTTTTCGTGCGTTCATATGATCTTGGATTCTCATCGCCGCAGGACTAACCCATTCTCGCAGTATGGAGCTTATCACCATAATCCGGTATAACCCCTCATCAACTCGACTACAAAAATTGGTCGTCTTACAATGAGCTAGGTGAACATCGCAATCCACATCGTCTGTGTGCCGATATTACTGTTCACAGGTATTATCCTGGTAAGTGCAGTTCACTCTCCTCCATGAGAAACCTATCCCTACCACACAGAGACAGCGGACTAAGACAACCAACGCCTATCTCGCAACAGGCCTGCTGCGCATGGCACCCACTTTTTACAGTTCCTGATGCTCTGAGTGTCGAGTATCTTCCCGCGAATTTCGGCACGATCGGCGCATTCATCTACACGTTCGTCTACATCCTCTTAGAGCCGGTCGCCGGTTTCTCGTTTTCGCCCCTAGTGGTCGGCTCGGCAGTATGCGGCAACTATCTCCACGAACAATACGGGACAACCGTGGCCTACTATGCCGGAATCCTCCATGTTATTTCGTGGATCGCGCAGTTTGTGGGACATGGACATTTCGAGGGGCGAGCTCCGGCGTTACTGGATAATCTGGTTCAGGCGTTGTTGCTGGCACCGTTGTTTGTATGGATGAAGATTTTGTTCTTCTTTGGATATCGACCAGAATTGAAGCAGCGCATGGATGAGAAAGTGGAGATTGAAGTCAAGAAGTTTCGCAGCGAACGGGAGCTGAAGAAGAAGGGGAAAACCGCGGACTGATACTGGGGATGAGATGTCATTCATATGAAGGTTGTTCTAACTTGGAAAAGCGTTCAAGTTGGGGAAGTCGGGTGACTCTGGGGTTGATGGAAATTTGTCATTCAGAGGGGCCGCTAGTGTGAGATCTGTTGTGGAATTCATTGTTATTTATGTGCGTGCGAGCGAGCGACTGTTATACGATACTGAGAAGATTGATGTCATTCGGGAAAGGTCTCGGGAAAGAGGCTGAAAAGGAGATAATGATATTGCTAGATCAAGATACAGGTAGTAGTATTGTTGTGCCATGAGTCAATAACCTGAGAAGACAATGGGATTGATTTGGCAGAAAGAAAAACTGCTGTATATAATATTTGCTGTACAATGCACCCTCAAGCTTGCTGTTTATAGGAGATGATGCACCCCCATATTAAACCGGTTGCCGTGACGAAACGCATTACCTAAGCCAAAAACACCTGACCAGGGATTCCGGCGACCCGAAGAGAAAAAAACGGGAAGAAGTGCCCCGTCTTCGGAGCCGTCTCCCACAGTACCAAAGTGAACAATTTTGAAGGGAAAAATTAGAGTCATACGAAAGGGTATTCAGCGTAAAGTTTGATAGATGTAGATATAAAAATTTAAAGGGTGCTATAGATGTATTAGCACACCATCTGCAAAGGAGAGAACAGCGTGGAGGTACACTAGGGCCACATCGGAGGGACTAAGCCCCCTAAAACAGTTTAGCGCGAGACCTGAGAATCCAATCCTCCCGACAAAGCTCTCCCTTCCCACCCGTCCACAACCTTCTCTCTCCTCTCCGAACTCCTCTCCCCAATTACATCTCTCCCTCTCAGAGAATTTATCCTCCCATCCTCTGAACCCCCTTCATAATGTTCAGGAACGCTCTGCGGCAGTCCAGCCGCTCCGTTGCGGCCGTCCAGGCCACTGGCCGCATCGCCTCGGTGAGTTCCCTCCAACCTGGTCCAACGCCCTGTCCATCGCCTTTCCGACCCTTTTCATCTCGAATTCGAGCTCGATTGGTCCTCGGATCCCTGTCCTTCGCTGCGCCAACCCATTGAGCATGCTTCGATCACTACAACATACACCGAGCTTTTAGTTAACAAAGTTTTCGCCATAATAGGTCCGCGCGGCTGTCCCCGGCCCCATTGCCGGTGCCTCCAAGCAGGTCCGCTCTTATGCCTCTGAGGCTAAGGCTGCCCCTACTGAGGTCTCCTCCATCCTGGAGCAGCGCATCCGTGGTGTCCAGGAGGAGGCTGGCCTCGCCGAGACTGGTCGTGTTCTGTCGGTCGGGTATGTCAAATTCACCCCGGGCGGGTAAAGGGACGTGAGGGAAAAATTCGGTCACCGGATATGATTTCGCCAAACGCGCCCACGCCAACCACCAACACCATCAAAATCGACTCCCCAGAAGACTAATGAATCGAATAGTGACGGTATTGCCCGTGTCCACGGTATGACCAACGTCCAGGCTGAGGAGCTTGTTGAGTACGTGAACCCCTGCCACAGCCAAAAGTCTTGGCATTATCAAACCTCGGGAAACTAACAGTTGTCTAGGTTCGCTTCCGGTGTTAAGGGTATGTGCATGAACTTGGAGGCCGGCCAGGTCGGTGTCGTGCTTTTCGGTTCCGACCGTCTCGTCAAGGAGGGTGAGACTGTCAAGCGTACCGGTGAGATTGTAAGTTAAATTCACCTAACCCTCTTCCCCTATATTGCAAACCTTGAGATTGGTCTGCCCAACAACTCCTGGCTTCTTTGGACATTTTGCTTACAACAAATAGGTTGATGTTCCTGTTGGTCCTGAGCTGCTCGGCCGTGTCGTCGACGCTCTTGGTAACCCCATTGACGGCAAGGGTCCCATCAACGCCACTGAGAAGCGCCGTGCTCAGCTTAAGGCCCCTGGTATTCTGCCCCGTCAGTCCGTCAACCAGCCCGTCCAGACTGGTATGAAGTGTGTCGACTCCATGGTTCCCATTGGCCGTGGCCAGCGTGAGTTGATCATTGGTGACCGTCAGACCGGTAAGACCGCTGTCGCTCTTGACACCATGCTTAACCAGAAGCGTTGGAACGCTACTGGTAGCGAGGCTGAGAAGCTGTACTGTATCTACGTTGCTGTTGGTCAGAAGCGTTCTACTGTCGCTCAGCTCGTCAAGACCCTCGAGGAGAACGACGCCATGAAGTACTCCGTCGTTGTTGCTGCTACCGCCTCTGAGGCCGCCCCTCTGCAGTACATTGCTCCCTTCACTGGTTGTGCCATGGGTGAGTGGTTCCGTGACAACGGCCGCCACGCTGTCATTATCTACGACGATCTGTCCAAGCAGGCCGTTGCCTACCGTCAGATGTCCCTGCTTCTGCGTCGTCCCCCTGGACGTGAGGCCTACCCCGGTGACGTTTTCTACCTGCACTCCCGTCTTCTGGAGCGTGCCGCCAAGATGAACAAGACCCACGGTGCTGGTTCATTGACTGCCCTCCCCATCATTGAGACCCAGGGTGGTGATGTCTCCGCTTACATTCCTACCAACGTCATTTCCATTACTGATGGCCAGATCTTCTTGGAGGCTGAGCTGTTCTACAAGGGTATCCGTCCCGCCATTAACGTCGGTCTGTCCGTCTCCCGTGTCGGTTCCGCTGCCCAGATCAAGGCCATGAAGCAGGTCGCCGGTTCCCTGAAGCTTTTCCTTGCTCAGTACCGTGAGGTCGCCGCTTTCGCCCAGTTCGGTTCCGATCTGGATGCCTCCACCAAGCAGACCCTTGCCCGTGGTGAGCGTCTGACCGAGCTCCTCAAGCAGAAGCAGTACTCCCCCATGGCCGTTTCCGACATGGTTCCCCTCATCTTCGCCGGTGTCAACGGTTTCCTTGACCAGATCCCCGTTGCCAAGATTCTCCAGTGGGAGACTGACATCCTTTCTCACCTTAAGAGCTCTTTCCCCGAGATCCAGCAGACCATCGAGAAGGAGGGCCAGGTCTCCAAGGAGTCTGAGGCTAAGCTCAAGGAGGTCATCGGTAACTTCAACAAGTCTTTCAACGCATAGGTGAGCTAAGAAAACAACTTTGAGGGGTCCGTGGTGATCGTTCTGTTTTCCTGACTTTTTCTATGTGTATAGACAAGATAGCTTGTACAATTTTGAAGCATTTGTTTCGTTCTGTTCCTCTTGGGTCCCTTGACATTCTCCTCGGCGGATTTCGATCTCAAGCCCTGGATGTAGCGATGTAAGGCTGTCGTTTCTGATGTCTACTGGCTCTACTGGTCCGGGGTAGAGATTATGTTTCGTTGTTGAGTTTTCTGGGACTAAATTGGAGCTAGATGATCTCTGGGCTTCCAAAATGTGATTATATCCTGTACGTTTAGATTTTTTACGCGCACCGGGGGCGCGTGATGGGAGGAGAGGAGCAAAATCAACTTCCGTCTGGTCTCCATGTGTCTCTCCATGTTGGATCCGCAATTCATTTCATTTGTTCAAACTTCCAAATATTCAATATCAAAGTAATTATCCATAAAAAATACATAGTTATTGTAGACAGTCCATGGTCCTTCAAATGGTCCGGCCCGAATAATGGCATATAAAACGCCACAACGTAATTCCATATTCAGCCTCAAAAGTCCTGAACAAAGTCAACCTATCAATGACCTAAAATGTTTACTGTAATTACACCTGTCCGATCCACTATCTAGGTAACGGGGCAGCTTTTCTGGTAAAAACCTTCTCCGTAAATACACGTAGCCTTAGAAACCCGAAACCAGGCACAGCGATCTCGGCAGTCAGGACCGAATGCGGCACCCGATCTCTTATCGATAAGCGAACAATCTTTTCTCGAGTCAAGCCTTCCACCCCGCGTGAATTATAGAGTGTGATATACCCATTTTTTGTTATCCAGAATATCCATCGTCGTCATGTCGGCCCCTAAGGATGCAGCTCCCGCCTCTTGCAAGGTTATGCTGTCGAAGCATGTCGCCAATCGCCTGAGTCAAGAGGTCCAAGAAGGCGTCAAGACTCTTGAGAAGCCGCCGCACCTGGTCGGTTTCCTGGCAAACGATGACCCTGCAGCATTGATGTATGCGCAGATGACACAAAAGACTTGTGAAGAAAAGTATGTTTACCTATCTGGATTCCGCGGATCTCAATTGTGTATTCAGTGGTGTTGCTTTTCGTGGTGGTGGGATGCGGCTAGCGATGATTCATACTTGCCCCTCGCTATGCGACAAGGGCAACAACCATGATCACCAGCAAACAAATAGCCAAAAAGACCAAGACATTTGAGAAGCAAAACACAAACCAATTGAATCTGGTAATAGAAAATGCTAATACTTCCCCAGTGGTTTCAAGTACTCCCTCCGCTCAGTCGGCCGCGACGATATCGAAGAAGCCATCCTCTCCGCCAACACCGACTCCGAAGTCGACGGTATCATCGTCTACTACCCCATTTTCAATAACCGCCAGGACCAATACCTGCAACAGATCGTTGATGTTGGAAAGGATGTTGAGGGTCTGAGCCACCGCTACATCTTCAACATGTACCAGAACATCCGCTTCCTCGACCCAGAAACCAAGCGCCAGAAGTGTATTCTGCCCTGCACACCGCTGGCTAACATTAAGATTCTCGAGTACCTGAACATTTACAACACCGTTCTCCCACACGGAAACAGACTCTTCGGACACACCATTTGTGTTGTGAACCGCTCAGAGGTCGTCGGACGCCCACTTGCGGCACTTTTGGCTAATGATGGAGCCTGTGTGTACAGTGTTGATATCACTGGTATTCAAAAGTTCACTCGTGGTGAGGGTCTCAAAAAGCATAGACATGAGGTTGAGGTGTTGAAGGACGTGGAACTCAAGGATGTCGTGCCGCTGTGTGACGTTGTCATCTCTGGTGTGCCAGGTGACAAGTACAAGTTTGATACTAGCTTGCTTCGCGAGGGTGCAGTCTGTGTCAACTTCTCTAGTGAGAAGGTAGGATCCTGTTTCTTTTCTCTTATTTTGGACTTAAGGCCATTTGACTAACCTGGCTTTATTTAGAACTTCGGACCCGAGGTCAAGGAGAAGGCCTCTATCTTCGTTCCCTCTATTGGCAAGGTGACCATTGTCGTCCTGCTGCGCAACCTTCTGGTAAGATTATTACATCAAAGCCCATGCATTTCATTTACATCGAAATCATCATTCTAACTTTTGGTACAGAGACTCATTCAGAACCGCCGGGTGGATGACATCAAGCCTGCTGCTGCTACTGAGCGTCCTGGAACTCTGGAGGCCTCTTCCTAGGAAACCAGTCGCAATGCGCTCCTACTAAAATGATGGATGATTTGAGGATTGACGTTTAAAAAAACCTTTGGATATAGACCTGCTTTTAGCCATTTCAAATATGTTTTTCATATAGCTTTTCACTGCATACTTTTGATCTGTATCTTTTATATCGAAGCCCGAATGCTCCATAATATTTACATGTACCACCTGGGCAAGTCATGGAGGTGCCTACTTATCATCCTGTGAACTAGCCTTTTATAAATGGGATAATGTTTGGAGAAGTATCGATAATGTACGACACATAAATTCCAAGGACTATCTGATGCTAAATTTTAATTGATATATGGATAGTATGCAAGCCCAAAACATGCCCAATGCACTCCTCAAATCAGATCAAACCATCATTGCAGAGATAAGCACAACGATATAATCCCCTGTGTCTTCGTATGGTAGATTCCCACCTTAAAGCCCAATTGGACCAAATTACAGGTCGGCACCATCGCCATTCTTCTTTTTCCTCTCCACCGCCGCAAGTCTCAATACGTCAACTTGACTTGCCAACCAAGCACGATATGGCTTTGGGTGAAAGATACCATCAGCCGAAAACCATTGTGTAAAAGGTGCCTCGAGGCGCTTGTCTTGCAAAACTTTGCCGGCCGGGGACTTATAGACGACGTGGATTTTGTAAGGGACGGAGTTCTTTGTGACAGACGTAGAGATAGAGATCTGAACAATGTGTTAGTTTCTAAGATATATGTGAATGTCAAAGTAGGTCATAACCAAGCATGTATCACGTACCGTTTCGCCAGTTCCTCGGGTTCCGTAGAATACTTCCCCAGCTTCGACACCCCAGATCCAATATGTTAAGGCGCTGTTGAGAGTGAAGTATGTGACCACCGCTGTAATAATCCATGGTGAAGTGGTAGCCTCCCAGCCTAGATAACGGTCTGCATAGAATGTGAATGCCGCAATCACAACGGCACTGTAACCGAGTGCGAAGCGGACATTGCTTTTGGTGTAGTTTGGTGTGAAGGTGTATGGTGCAGGGAGGTTGGTCAAGTAGGGAAATAGGGCATCGTCACTCGTAGATTTTAAATCTGGTTAAAATACATGTTAGCTAGGCACTATGAATATCTGATAGCCTGAGGCTCCGCGATCAAGGGCACTATTATGGCGATTGGAGTAGATCTAGGGACACAAACCGTTGGTCGAGTAAACAGGCACTTTGGTGGTAGCCATGACTGCAAGTCCAAAGGGATGAAGCTGTAAACAGCAAATTATCCTAATTCTCCGAGCGAATTCGTTGTAAACAAAGTGCTTCGTGGTGCTGACGATCGGTGTTTATCGCAAGGACACAGTTGCGGGTTGGAGAAAGCTGGAGCTCGCGCCGGCCAATCGTGTCAGCCGCTGCGAACCTCAACCACTTCCGCCGAACGTCCCCTTGACCTCCCCCACACCAGCACCTGGGCAAAGCCACGCCACGCCACAGGATTTTCATTGGGAATCACAACCAGTCGACCATTCCTTTTGATTTCTACCCTGGCTTTGAATTTGTTCATCATGGCCTTCCAAGGCACTACTGAACAGACCATCCTTCGGGATCCGGCGCTTTTGTACGAGAGACCTTACCAATGGATGAATGGAGGACTTGGACTGACTTCTTTTTGGATAGCTATTGGATCTTGTTCCCAATTTCAGTGGTCATGGTATGTGTGCTATTTTCAACCATCTACTGCTTGTATCAAACACTAATCGCCAATGTGATAGATTCTTACTGGAATCCTGCGCCACTACGCAACAGTCCTGATGAACACCCCCCCCAAACCCCCCGGCACTCTCGCCGAGTCGCGCGAGCGCCATACTCTTCTCCGTGGTGTCAACCTCCGAAACCACGGAGTCGCCGTGCTGGATCGCGAATCCTTCGAGATGCGCAAGAACTACCTGATCACCGGTTTCCGGAACGGCTCTTTCCTGAAGGACCCCAATAACCGTGGCCAGCCTCCTGCGAACCCGATGACTGATCCTGCAGGCATGGAGCAAATGATGGGCATGTTGAAGGGAAACATGATGATGATGATTCCGCAGACACTGATTATGAGCTGGATCAATGCTTTCTTTTCTGGATTCGTGATTTGTAGGTATTCAGCAAGAAATACCCAATATTAGATGTGCACATACTAACGAAGCTTATCCAGTGAAACTTCCCTTCCCCTTGACTATTCGGTTTAAGTCAATGCTGCAGTCGGGTGTCATGACCCGCGACTTGGATGTAAAGTGGGTGTCCAGTTTGTCCTGGTACTTCCTCAACCTGATGGGTTTGCAATCTGTCTTTGGATTTATCTTGGGAAGTGATAATGGTATGTTCTTTCAAGTCTACTACGTGATAGTTGTATAGTCACTGACATGTTTTATAGCCGCCAACCAGATGGCTCAGCAGATGGGCATGGCCAACCCCGCAGCTATGATGAACCCAATGCAGCCCGGTCAGGACCCAGACAAGATGTTCTTGAGCGAGGCAGAGAATTTGGAAGTGATGGAGCATTTTTGCATCTTGGATGGAGTGGAAGAACGAGTTCTGCGGAACTTTGCCCCCGAAGTGAACTAGATCAATGTTAATTGTTTGGTGAGATCGAGTGTTCGCATGGCATATACATACAACAGAGCAGTTGGCTTTGAAATAGAACAAGTTCAAATATAATGACGTTCTACGCAGCATATGTACGGGGGACACTAGCGATCATCGGGAAAAACCCCTTAGCCATAGATAACACTTACCGCATATTGCACCGCTACCTATACTGTAAGCTCTAGAAAGATGGATAGAAAGACAAGTAGAGAAATGTCTTTTTTCCCGATAATTGCTATTTCCCCCCGTACATATGCTTGTTTTACTATTAAGAAGTTTGAGGTTTTATAAGATAAAGTATCTTAAATATATTGCCTAATCGAATAGCGAAATCATGAACCTAAATCATCTCATAACATCGTGACTGTATATTGTAATTAATGGTAGTTGATCACACTGTTCACCACCCATACCTCCCCATTAGCTACCTTCTCTGCAATGCTACCCACTTCTATGTTTCCGGGTTGTATCTAGATGGAAGTAATCAGCCAAAGGTCTTTTGATAGACGGGCAAAGCACAGCAAATACTTACGAGAATCTTATCACCCTCCTTCGTCCACTTGAGCTTCTCACCGCGCAACGTTTCAACCTCCTCGCCCTCTTTCCATGGACTAACAGGAATGACATGGGCTTCGACAAAGCGCTGCAGATTTCGCTTCGCCCGTTCCTGACCATCCTTTCCTTCGTATGCATTCACCTCACCAAACTGAGCGTAGTCTTCTGGGTCCTCCCAAGGCTTCCTGGGCAATGCCTGTACGGCACTGTTCTTCGGCGCTAGCACGGTAATATTCTTCGATGCATCATTCAAGCGGGAGGCGATCGGATCAAAATCACGAGTTAGCTGAGCGAAGATATTAATCCCCTTGGTCTTGGGCAAGACATCTGAGATGACAGGCGCATCTGTCTCTGGAGCAGCAGGCTGCTGTGGCTTGATGATTTCTGGAATAAACTTGTCCATGATGGGATGCTGATTATGAGATAAACCCAGTGACTTTTGGAGGAAATTATTGGGGATTGAAATGCCTAAAATTGCAGCAGTTGCAGAGCTGAAAAGGGTCCACAGTAGGAACAAAGATGCAATTCCAGTGGAGTCTCTCATCTTGTACAGCCTGGAAGTGGATGAGATGTACACGGGCTCCGTAACCAGTTCAGCCCATGACGCAAGGGTGCCCATACTTTCACGTGACTTTCTACGGGTCCTATATCAATATTTACCGCCTAATACACCGCTATCTGTACTGTAAGCTCCACATAGATAGAAAAACAAGTGGAAAGATAATTGGAGAGACGTTTGAAAAGACATTTCGAATATATAAATACAAAAACAAATAAAGAGGCATATCCCGGATATAATTTAGATTATACTAGTAGAGTTTTTCTCAACGAAAAAAAAAGATTATATCTTGAAGATATAATTTAAGGTAGTAGATTTGAAGCTTAACTCTAGGGCCTATACAGTAAGAGGGTTGCTATATTACAGGTTATGTAGTTTTCTGCCGGTTTAAAACAGGACGAATGGGATTTTCCCTTCCGGCCGCTATGGTCCCCCGTAGATATCCATGAAGATATGGCGAGCGTATCAGGTGATCGGGATTTGTTATCGATAAGGAAGAAAATGGATGTCGGCAGCGGGGAGATGGTATCTTGCCATTCCTATTTACCTTCTATATCTTTTACATTGTGCTTCTAGGCACGGCCACTCATTTTCCACATTATGTCGGCCTTGCAGACCTTCATGCTGGTCGTCGACCACGACAAAGATGAAGCTAAGCGCATTGCCGACTCTGTGGCCCAAGGTATATCCAAACCCGGCTCATGAACCCCCACCCCGCACTTGTATAGATAATATGATTCTAACCGTTGAGCAATGCAGATGTGGAAAGCAAGAAAAGCACCTTGATTGAAATCGTTCAGCAACTGGGTGAATACATTAACGACGAAGACCCAATTCTACGCGGCAAGGCGATTTCCTTCCTCACTGCGGTTATCAAGGCACTTTCGCCTCGTTTCCTTACACGGCAACAAATTCAAGTTTTGACGACCTTCTTTTCCGATCGAATCGAGGATGGGGGCGCGGTCGCGGGGCTGATGAACCTGCAAGCATTGGACCGGTTTACCAAGGATTTGGCGGTGGAGATTGCACAGGCGTGAGTTCCGTGACGCCGTTCGTGGGGATGTTGGTTTGAGTTGATATGCTGATACGGAGAATGTGATAGCTTGTTCGCCAATTTTCAAGACCTTCAATCTCGCTCTCAATCTCAACGATTCCAGGTTTACCAGTTATTGAACGAGCTGATGTCCAATCATCGAGCAGCTTTACGTGACATGGGCGATGATTCCCTTATGGGCACTGTTGATCTTATGACTGGAGAAAAGGACCCGCGGAATTTGATGGTAGTCTTTTCCATTCTGAAGGTTGTCATGATTGAATGGGAGGTCACAGAACATGCCGAGGTAAGGACGTTGCAGTCCAGCCGAAGTAACACAGCAGCTAATCCCGCTAGCTTCTTTTCGACTCTGTATACAACTATTTCCCTATCACGTTCCGCCCTCCTCCAAACGATCCATATGGCATTACCGCACAAGACTTGAAGGGACGTCTACAAGATTGCATTTCGGCGTCGAGACATTTTGCTCCCCATGCCATCCCTTCGCTGTTGGATAAGCTTGATTCAACATCCCCGAACGTCAAGGTATGAATGATTGTTTCTGAACATGCAGCTGTATCATGCAAAATCTGATTCCTATTTTAGAAAGACGCACTTAATTGCTTGATTGCTTGCATACACTCATACGACCCTGACACCGTTTCCAAATACTCCATTACCATCTGGGAGGTGTTAAAGTTTGAGATTCTCAATGCGCAAGAAGAGTTCTTATCCGAGTCGTCTTTGGAAGCTCTATCAGCCATTGCCCAGAGACTCTCGGAAGGTGTGACTCAGATTTCGCAAGATATACCACTCGCGCAGTACCTTCGTCCTATTACAAAGGAGTGTAACGAGCAGCTACAAGAGCCTCAACACAAACAAGCCAAGCCTGCCCAGCAAATTCTCAAATCGCTGTCTTCCGCTTCTGCTGCGACATTTAGCCTCATTGTTCAAACTGTTGTCGCGCCTATATTCACTATCTATCAAGAGGCGGACGGAATCGCTAAGCAACGAGCTCTCCTTGAGACGCTCGCTGTCTTGTTCCAATCTGCTGTCCATGTATTTGGTCAATGGACTACTCGTGGGAGTGAAGTTTCACAAGAGAATCCGTTACTCGAATTCAAGGACCAGTTCTCGGACATTTTAGGACAAGCGCTCATGGGGTCTGCAAAGGAAGAGATCTCTTTCCGTATTACCGCGTTGAGGGGATTTCTCGGACTTTCAACCCTCCGTGACTTCTTTCAAGACAACGAGGTTGGACTGTTTGTGCAGTACCTTGATGAAATCCTTCTTAAAGAAGAGTCTGTTGGCCGGAATGATTTGAAGAAAGAAGCAATTGCAGCTTTAGCTGAAATTTCCAAGCACAAGCCTCGACTGATCATGGACATTACCTTCCCTGCATTTGTGGCGACACTACCGGATGAAGATGATGGTACCAACTCTTCCTACTTGTCGACTTTGGATACTTTAGCTCAGATCAGCGTTGAGAGAGACATTTTCGAGACCCTGTTCCGTCGTCTTTTCAGTAAGCTATCTGTTTTGCTCCAAAAAGAGCAAGCTGGATCTGCAGCCTATCCCCGGGCGATTCTTATGACTCTTCTTTATGTCATGCAGCAGAGACAGATGGATGCTGATCCCAACATCGACTTATACTTTGATAAGGTTGTCGTGGGTCTTTGCAGAAGTGTTGCCGAGTCAGCTTCAGGGCAGGGCAAGAACCAGCTATTTAACGATCCCACTATCCTTGACACTCTTGGTCGTCTTTGCAACCTTCTGGTACGAGCAGCGTCGGCTCAAAAACAGGAGCAAGTTGCCCAGAATGTCTATAGTCTCTTCTCAACTGGAGGATTTGACCCAGTTCCCTTCTCCCAAGGTACTACTGTGGACCAAGAACGCACATTTGTCATCTCGACGTACCTGCTTGCTGGTATCTCAAAAGACTGCAGTAACCTCATTCCTCACGCAGTATCAGACATGTCAGGTTTGCTATCGGATCTTGTCAAGCGCTCTGTTTCAGATAGCGCGGAACCAGCAACTCATCTCGCATTACTGCGCCACCTAGCATTGCTTGTCAACAAATTCCTCTCTAAACAAGATTTGATCATTGCGGAGACTCTTTTTGATTCGCTTGTTACTCCAGAGGGCCAATCTTTCAGTCCTGCTATGATCCGAACTATCCTCTGGCTTTCGAAGGCCTTAGTCCTTCGTCTCGCTCCGTCAACGACGCATATCCTAACCGCCTTACTGGGTCTTCTGTCATCCGCAGATCGACAAACCAGTGAATCTACTGCTCGCGGATTCGCCATTCTACTTGGAGACGACGATGTTCTATCCGCAACAAATGGAGCCACAGTCCGTCTGCTCTCCAAGCAACGCGTTTTCAGCACCGTGATCCCTCTCATTTCTTCACGAATCCGCGAAGTCAACATAGGTTGCAACAATGACTCACCTCAATCATACGACCACATTAAACCAGCTCACCTAACCGCTCTCGCTGGTATCCTCTCCACAATATCCACAGCACTCGTCATGCCCGAACTTCCCACTCTTCTTCCTCTTCTCCTTCAATCCTTGGATCTCCAAACATCCGACTCTGTTGCCGTTCGAGCCGCAACCCTTGACACCCTCGGCGTAATCATTCGTGATAGCGGCGTAGTTGTCATTGATAAATGTGGCCACGTTCATAGCCTCGTCCAGAGACTACTCAAAACAACAGAATCTAAGCCCGCTTCCTCGGGAATAGTTAACACTCCTCGCCTCCGCGTCGACTCTCTCAGATGCTTGTATCTCCTCGCTACAAAGCAAGCTCCTACCGAGTCGGCCTCTAATGCTCGCATTCCGCCGGCTATCTCACCGCTCCTTCCTGAAAAGGCGCAAGTTTTGCGCTCGTTGCGCGGTGTGCTGGATGATCCTAAGCGTGATGTTCGCAAGGCTGCTGTTGATGCGAGAAGTGCCTGGCTCCGGGGTGTGGATGATGCGCCGGAAGATGAAGATTAAAGGTCTGGACCATGATATGATTTATTTGAAATGATCATTTAGAAAACCTGTTATGTCGTGTAATAGATATAGCCCTGGTTGCATTTACGTTATAGTGGAATAGAAAAAGTTCTGTTCAGTTCTTAAATCAATGATTTGAAGAATATTGAGCCATTCAAGTTATAGAGACGTTCCTTCATATTACTCTTGAATCGGTAGAAAGACAATCAGAAAGACAACTAAAATAATAATTAGATTTCAATGATCATATTAAAACGGAAAGAATACTGACTAGAAGAAACTAGCATTGGGAGCACAGAGTAGAGTAGACCCCTGGGGAAAAGGCCACTGATATCCTGAAACATTTGCTATCCGCTTGTTGTTATTGTGTGATTTATATTTCCTAACAATCTACCTGAAGAGCAAAAAGGTACAGAGCACGAACGCCTAAATTATAACCGAATGGCGGGAACACCATCCCTGTTAACCGACAGCCAAATTCCAGCTAAGAATACAGCTTAATTGCAAAGAACGTGAGCCCTGATATTAAATCATATTCCGGTATCCCTTCCCTTTCAGAAACCTCGTCACCAAATATCTCGCTTCCGACCAGATGGAGTGGGTACTTTCTTTTTCTTAGGCACAACAAACAGTTCACTCTCTGGTACAATATTTTCTTCATCACACTGCACATGAGTGGCACTGATTGCAGCAGCTGACACCACGGAGTCCTTTTCTAGACTCATGTTCTTGCTACCAACGGCATCAATACTTTTGACAATCGTTTCTGCTAAGCGTACAAGGTGACCAACGCCGCCGGATCCAACAGCAGAGGAGATCTGTGATGGATGAGATGAACTTAGATTGCTGGAGAGAATTGACGATGTCGAAGGTGTGAGCGGTATCGGGAGAAGATGTTTGGCGTCGTCGCCGAACATATCGGTTGGAACCCAGTCATTGGTTTTTTGACCTGGTTCAAGATTCTCGTTTGATTTGAGCACTGTATTGATGATAGGAGAAGTCAGGGCTGCGGTCCACCATTGCCGGTTTTCTTTGGCCATGTCAGATAACGGGCCGCAGTGTGCTTCAATGAATTCTTCATCCCTTTCATCCCTTTCATGTATTGAGATTATTAAATCTTGAGTTTCAACGATTCGAAGAAGAATGTCATGAGACTGGCCATCTTTGCCCTCGGAGTGAAGACATCTGTGTTCCGTGATCCTCTTCACGAGGATTTTGGCGATTCTGAGCTCCTTAGAGGTACGGGCTAAAAGGCGTACATGGGGTCGGTTGGGTTCCACCCAGAGATTATCCACAATCTTCAAAATTGCTTCGTCGAATCCTTGATGGGGATCCTTGAATCTGTCCAGATTCCCCTTGACCACGATTGCAGCATCCCAGATCCTAATAGGAAAGTTCAGATTGACAGTTCCAAGAAGATTCTCCGCTGTTTTCACATTGTGTTTCCCATGGTCGTCAACGACAATTATAAACTCAGATCCAGCACCTTGGCAGTGAAACTCGTACTCAAGCTTGAAAGAAAGTGGCTCTGTTTCAAACATAGAAGAACCACCAACTTGAATATTGACTATGTAGTCCACATCTGCTGGGGAGCTTGTTAGTCTGTTGAAAAAGCTCGATTCAGTAGGACCAAGTCCATTTCTTCGATCGTAAAAGTTTTGTAAATCTTGTAGCGACAAGCGTTGCGTCTTTGAACTGTCGATGACAGCAGAAAAGAGAAGCAATCCGAATTGGAGCTCCAACATTAGAGGGCCAGGGAAGTAAGTTGCAGGGCCGAGGCAGCGACGGAGAATTCTGAAAAGAGACTTTAATTGATCCACCTGCAAGGTCGCATTTCGCTCCTTTTTGAGTGCCGTTCTGGAAACTTCTTTCACGGTATGAGTAGAAAATCCCTTTCGCGCAACCTCTTCACTCGGTGGCTTTGATGTCGAAGCATACGACTTCTGACCCCAAGCACCTAAGAGGGCGGCTTTGCGTTTAACCTCAATAGCTGACTTAGATTCCGTGAACCCTTTCTTTTTGACCATAACTTTTTGAGTTTGCTGGTTCATCACAGAATGAAACTCTCTCAGCTCTGGATCGGCAATTTTGGACTGGGGTTGTTCCCCGTCAACCTTTTCAGTTTGTACTGGGTAAGCTGGTAACCCGAGGTTGGGTTGAAGCTGCGACATATATGACGAGGGGAGATGACTACCTAGCATGTTTTGCACAGGATAGTTATACAGGGGGTATGATGGGGGGATTCTGTCGAGCTGAGGCACCGCCATTGGTTTGGCTTGGCTGTGTCTAGCAATAGTATTTGTTGGTGGATATTGTCCTAACGAAGGATAGTTTCTGTATGGGGCGGAGAAACCAGGAATAATGGGGAGACCTGGCGGAATGGGTAGTCCTGGCGGAGCATAGATTGCACCTGGGGGAAGATATCCAGTAGGAATAGGCAGTCCAGGTGGAGTTATCAAAGTGAAAGACTGTCGATATCCAACATTCTGTTGTAGTCGCAAATCACCCGAGTCGAAAAGGTTCCCAGTTTGATCCTGGTTTAGAGCTTGGTCCTGGCCCATGAATGGATCATCGATATGGAAGGAAGAAGTCATTTGAGGTGATAAATCATGAGGCACAAAGGTAGGCAAGTCTGTCCTCAATCCTCCAGATGTGAGCGAAGGAAAACCCATGATTTCAGGCTCATCGAAGTCAATGAGATCATTTGGCGGTTGTTTCGGAGATTCTGGAGGAAGTGACATGAATTCCAGCGAAGGCGAACTTGACACAGAAGACTTTGACAAAGTAGTCGTATTGGCATTTGCTTTAGAGTTGACTCCGACGAGGCCTTTACCGAAAGCTACAGATTCGGTCTCCGTAACTAAGTTGGTATCCAGCAAGCTATCGGGCTGTAGCTCTGACTCGAGAATAAATGATGGTAATTCCTCTTTCTCCGATTCCCAGTCAAGATCAATGAGATCTTCATGGATAGATGGTCCAGGTATCTGGTTTCTGGAGCCTTCGGTGCTTTGAAGCTCGGTGTCATCCAACAGATCAACTAAAGCTTCGCATGATTCCACAATTTGTGAACCTGAAAATACGCCTGGTAACTCGGGAAAAGAGGATGTGGAAGAAGAGACATCGCGGGTTTTGTGAACGGCCGGTTTCGGTGCGGACTGTGTATGAAATCGTTCAGACGGGGGCTTTTTATTTTTTTCTTGGAAAGCCCGCAACATCTGAGCCGGAGTTCTCATTAGCCCTGAGGCTCTTGCCTGTATGGCCTGATCTGATCTCCCGGAACGGACGCTGAAACGAGTTGATGGCTCTGGCAGGTTACTGAGATGACCAGATTCAGATAAAGAAGCGACTGTAGAAGCTGCAACCCATCCAAATTCCTGCTTTGCTTTTGCGAGTAGACTTGCATTTTTCTGAATTGTTTCGCGGCCAGTTGTTTTGTAAGTAGGAGCATCACGCGGATCAAATACAGGGGTAGTACACGCGGAATACTGAGCGCCTTGTCCAATCCCATCGTAAATGAAGTCTCTCCAGGCCAGTGTGGTGTCTGGATAATTGTCCCAGGTGGAGTCAAGGTGCGGAGGGCTCAGAAGATGTTTTAGCATAGACCAAGCATTTTCGTCTTTGTCGTAATGGTAAGCCGTCGGTGCAATCATCGGGAGAACACGTGAAGCTGGAGTCACAAGTGGATCGAAAAGAACACGGCCGTTTCCGAGAGCGTTAATCGTTGCGTATTTTAATTTCCAGTAGGTCACCGTTTCACGCTCTGGGGCGATCGCAGTTGTGCCGAAAATTGGGTTGTTCATCAGATCCTGATGGCTCACTTAGTTACATGTCTCGGGATACTGTATAGGACTATATAAACTTACCATAGCTGACTCTAGAGCATTGATTCTGTCAATTGTCCGATGTACCTGCTCAATCGTAGGCCCTCGCAGCATCAGGGAGGTTTTAATGCTTTGGTTCTCATCGGCGATGTCCGTCTCTGTAGTCCGAGAAATGCGAGGAAGGAAGTTGTATCGATCATTTGCGAAGTATCTCAATTCACCGGTGGGAGGAGTCCATTCTCTGGTGATGGTTTTGGGAGGACGGCCATCATCTTTGATCAACGAATTCTCTGTGTTTCGTACCTGGGACTCGCGCGCAGGTGCGGCGTCTGAGTTCGGCATCTTCAGATCCTCGAGCTTTACGGTGGTGATTTGGCGAATTCGGGGTACCTGAGTTGTCAATTAGTCTTCCCTTGGGAACAAGGTTGCTGATTCAATCTCAAAATATTGAGTACATACGTCAGAGGGACTATTGGCCAACTGCTCTTCAAAGTAGTCTGTCACTAGGTTGGCGTATGCGCTGCTGCGTTCTGAGGAAATGGTGCCTTGAATGATAAGAAGCTGGGAAGGAGATTAGGCAGGGCAGTAAGAGAGAAGAAGATAAGGCAGGAACTTCCTACCTCATTAACAGAGTCATACTGTACTTGTACAGTAAGGTCAATCTCCCTGTTATATGTCTAGGTGTTGGTGAGGGATTCTTCAAACAGTCTAAAAAATAAATGAGGGGAATGAACTGACTCGATCTTTTGCTGAAGTTCTTTAACCCCCAGCTTCTCCAACCCCCAGATGGAGGCTATAACTAATTTCTCCGTAGACATGGCGAGACAACCATGGAGAGTGCATGCAATTACCCAAGAGCTAGAGTAACTCCAGAATAACAGGGGGGAGTAGTTGATGATGAGAGAAGAAGAGGAAGAAGATCGAAGAATGACAGTGAGAGAAGTTTATATAGTCTTGACAGGGAAGACCAGGGTCAACTGTCAACTTAAATTCTTCATCATAATTGGTATTCTTCAGTCTTCATTTCAAAGTATCAAGACAAGGATATCATGGATATCATGAATAAGTCCACGGCAGGACACCGTGATTATACTGAAGGGTTTTACTAAACTGCAGACACTTTTTGCGTTTTAGTAGGTCCACCAGTAACCTACCTGAAGCCTTGGAGCGCATTGTAGTAGCTTCCATATTGAAGGGTGGAATATGTTCTTTATTTGTTGACAGCCTTGAAATCTAGTACATAAATGCATCAAACCAGCCTAAAAGAAAGAAAACAATGAATAAACCTCATCATAGCGGTCATCATACATCAAGGCTCTAACAATATCTAGCGCAAACCAAATGCCATAGACTGGGTATATGCGCTGCCCGAAAACGCCATGCACCAGTGTCAAAATGAGAATAGACGATGCAGAAGAGGCCGCAATCAACCAAAAGAAAAGAAAAAGAAGATTTAGAAATGCCGAAGGGATCAAACAAGAAGGAGAAGGTGACAGTCGTCCACGAGGAAATACAGTAAAGATATGTAAAACAGCCGTATATGCAATATATCTAGATCAACGTTAGTAAAACAACCTGGGCACTCCCCAACAAGGGAAACAAACAAGGCTGGTAGTAGATCTTACCTCAACCATGAACTTGATTCTTGTTCAGTTGAATAGCCCACTTCATTTCCGCCTCGGTCTGCTTGATCGACTTGATAGCCGCATCAATCATATCATTATTCGCATGAGCCCGCTCAATCGTGCCCCGTAACTCCTCATCCTTGGTCTTCTTGTAATCCGTATGACTCGCAAGTAACTTCTCATGCGCATCCTTCAACCCCTCCACCTCCCGATTTTTCTGATCAGCAAGAACATCCAGCCGTTCCGCACAAACGCTCTGCGTCTTCTGCGCCTCCGACAGAACCTGCAACTCAGCCCACAGCGCCTTCACCCGGCGTCCGAGATCGGCCTTTTCGCGCTTCGTCGTAGAAGCCAACACCTCATACTGTGTCTCGTGGTATTTGGCAATCTCTTGTGTCCGGGCCTGCTCGCGGTGATGGTTCTCGCGCTCTTCACGCATCGTCTCGTTCGTTTTGCTCGCGTCGGCTTCGGCGTCCACTCGCTTATTTCGCTCGCCGGTTATTTCGGCGCGTAGCTCGTCGATTTTTCGATCTTTTCGCGATATGGAGTTTAGGTTTGTCTCGTTGACTTGTTCTAGGTTCCGGAGCCGCTCGTTCATGTTTTGGTTTTGGATTTTTAGCGCTTCATTTGAGCGTTGTGTTTCCTCCGCTCGGGATCGGTATAGGCTGCATTCGCGCGTGAGACGTGCGATCTCTTCTTGTAAATTGTGAATGACGCGTCCGGATTTTCCCGTGGCGGCGTGGCCGACGGCTGACCATTCGGTGGGGGCCTCGTCGTTGTTAAGGTTCGGGCTTGTCGATGTGTGGGAGGGTAAGGATGGAGAGGTATTGAAGTCTGTATCGACCAAGATGTCAGCTTCCTGCGGTTTGGGATTGATGTTTTTTTCTTCTTCTTCGTCTTGGAATTCGGATTCCCGGATTGAAGCAAATAAAGCGGCATAAAACAGCGTACCTGTGTAATCATTCTCGTGACCATTTTCAATTCCGTTTTCAATCCCATTGGCATCCACTCCATCAACGCCGGTCTCGTCGTAAAATCCAGTGATTTGGTGCATGTTCAGGTGCGTATCCACATGTGGGAGATTGACCTGGGGTGCTTCTGCAGTCATAGAGGAGGAAGAGTCAGTATCGATGACATCGAGCTTTCGAAATGAGTCTAGCCGCCTCATGACGCGCCCCAGGTGAGCCATACTGGGTGCCATCTGGGGGCGCAGAGGATTGGGGCCGGGACGAGCTGAGGCACCGTGTGCGCAGTCTGCATGGCAAATCCGATCTCATGCACGATGCGAGGGGGCGGAGGGAATATTCCGAAATGCGAGGGTCTGGGGGGGGATATTTTTAAAAGATTGGCCGAGTACGTACTAGTATTATTAAATCGTAGCTGAGCGAGATGTGTGGTGTTCTTATGTCGTCTGATCATGGCCGAGCGGTGTTGAACGGGATCATTCTCATGTGGGTCGTGGCTGGTGGAGACGGAAATCAATAGTTGCCAGAAGATCAAAGACAATTGATGGGATTCTGAGCAGAGACCAGCGGGATATATCCTAATATTGACAAAGAGGGAAAAGCAAGACAAAAAAAGGAAATGACAAAACAAAACATTCGATTTGAGGAGAAAATTAGGGGAAATCCATCCAATGACTGAGTTGCGCCAGGAACGCCATGCGCACTAGACCCGGGACACTAAGGTATTGGCGAACCATACAGCTTGAAAAGCGATCATGGTGAGATCATACGTTAATGGACAAGGCTGTAGCCCATAAAAAACAAATAAAAATGTAAGAATGTATGGAGATAAATTCAAAAAGTATTCCATTACTGCCCCAAACGCCCAACCCAACGCCACACCTATCAATTGTTATCAAGGGGGTATGGAGAGGTATATACATGATGTAGCCCCAGTCCAGATGTGCGAATAGTTGAAACGAGTGACACGGCATTTTCCAAGCGCCAGACAATTAGAGATCGACAGAACTACTAAGAAAATTAAAAGCCCAAATAAAAGAACAGGGCCATAGCGCCTGCTGCCAGACCGGCAGAGTACTGCGACACAGATGCAAGGCCAGTTTGGACACTGCCGGTCTCGGACGACTTCTTACCGTTCAAGACGGTGTCGGTAGCTTCAGCATTGATGGAGCTGGTGGTGGCGGCAGCGCTGCTGGATGGGGTAGCTGCTGCTGACGAACTGATCAAGGGCTTGCTGGAGGTTCCGGTCGTAGTGTTGGCGTTGGTAGCCTGGCTAGCAGTGCCGGTGCCGGTGCCGGTGGCAGTCGCAGTACCTGTGGACATAGTCGATGGGGCCGAAGTGACAGTGCCGGTCTCAGACGCGCTGGAAGCCGGGGGGTTGGCAGGGGCGCCGGCCTTCAGGAGGGCAGAGTAGTTCTTTTGACCACCCTGTGAAACCTGGAAAGCATAGGTTTCACCTTCCTTAATGTTCTCACCAGGGGTCCAGGTGAAAGTACCATCTTTGGCCTGGTCGGTGATGACCTCCACGTCGTCCAGATTTCCAGACGCGCCCTTTCGCAGGGTAAGGGTAACGGGCTAAAACGAGGTTAGGACATTTCTCAACTTGCCTAATGTCAATAAAGACCATCAACTAGAACCATACCTGATTAGTGACGGCACCGGCCCATGTTAGAGTAAGAGGCTTGCCGGCCTGGACATCCTGGGGCCAGCTGGTGAAGGAGAGAGGGTCGGCAAGAGCCAGAGTCAACAGGGTGGCCGAGGCAGCAAGAACTGTTGAGAAATGCATCTTGACTGGATTATAAAGAACGAATAAGGGATATTAATGAAAGTATTGTCGTATTAAAGTCGTATGTCGAAGTCGAAGAAGAACGATATAGAATTTCAACCACAGGATACCGGTGGCGCTCCACGGTTTTTTATCCTGCTGTAAAAAGACCCAGCCTCCACATATTGGCCCTGAGTTTTGACTTGTTGGCATTCGAGTATTGACACTCTTGGCTCTAGGCGCGTTGGCGTAAGAATGTCGCATTCTTACTTTAGTACCATCTTGATCTTGTCGCTGAAGCATGGCCCCCATTGGCTTAGGAATTCTCTGTGATGGATGTATGGAATTCCCCACCGAAGGTTCCAAATTGCTGGGAAATCTAGCTGCTTGATAGTCGGTGTTGTGTGTGAGCATACTCCGCGATGGGATGCATGAGTATTCATGTTTATTGAGTCACTAGTCACCTCCATCAGCTTGAATTATTGATAATGATTCCTGTCAGAATCACGAAACACGCCATATTTTTCTGAGATTATTGATTCCAGTGTAAACTTGAACAATGCATAGACGATGGGAATGGTGGTCAACCCACTGAGGAATGTTATCCCTGCCCGTACTGTTTATTCTCAGCCAAGACATAGGGCTGCGAATCCCCAATTCCTGTAGATATTCATGTCGAGAAAGGCATTTGATGAGCATTTCTCCCTGAGACCTGCTACTTGAATCCCATACCAAGGGGCAGTAAGAGTTTTAACTCAAGGCGATCTTTCGTGAGTGAAGCTGTGAAGTTGGTCTGGAGGTGACATGGCTGTCGATCATATAATCTGCAAGGGCGGCCGTCAACCTTTCGGAGCCCAGTGTAGAAAAAACGGGGATGTTTATCAATACTCGATCAAGGAATTTCACTCTACATGCAGGTTAACACTCAATTTGTACAATGATCGCGTGTTCAAAATATGTTCAACGTCTAAGGTATTTATTTTTTGGTTCATAGATGTTCGAACTGAGATATAGGGCATGATATCCACCTTTTTGGTCCATCCAACGCCAGCTCACGGCTATATGCTAAGGGGCAATCCATAATAAACAAAGAAACAAACGTTATTTTCACGAGAAATCCCACAGACCACGCATGAAGGCCGCAGGACCCGAGTCGACACCGCCGTCTTCCGCGAGTAAACGATCAGTGAAGATTCGCTTAGGAATCTGGTATTCAACAACCGGAACCTTCCTCATTGGCTTTTCTCCACTTCCAAGCTCTGCTTCCACCATGCCCTGGTATGTATGGTCCAAGAAATCCTCCAAGTTGTACTGTTGTTTGGTGAACTGCTCGGAGATGATGCGAGCGATCGCAGCGACGTTAGGGTGATAGTGTGACTGGAGGGTCTCAATCTCCCAAAGACTGCTCTCGATGGCACCTGTGCGAGTAGGATCCTTCTCAGTGGGGTCGAATGGGTCATCCATGCCCGCAGCTTCAATATCAGCCGCAAGATCCTTGTCGCGGATTTCGCGATGCATCATGAAGGTGCATGTGGGGTGGTTCTTAAAGATATTGTACATAAAAGGAACGATAACCACAATGGCAGAGGGAGGCGCATTGAGCGCGAGGCGGGCGAGTCTCTTCACAAAGCTAGCAATCAGTGCAGCAGGAAGATGGGTCGAGGCAAGGAAGGTATTCAGAAGTCGGAAGAATCGTGAGCGATGCTTAGAGTGTAGTAAATCTGCATCCAAAAGCGAGTATAACTTGTGGTAGAATTGCGGGTAGTCCAGGTTCTTCTCTTGAATAAGGTAAAAAAGTCCAGATAGGGCAAGGAGCGAAGTGGCACCGCCAACATTGTACGAGTCGGTAAGGAAGTCCATAAGCAGCTCGGGACGGCTGAACCAGGGCTCAATGTGATGCACCATGATACGCAGGAGGGACTTGCGCTGTGCTGGCGAGATATTATTGCGGAGGATGGCCAGCCAAGCTTCCTGTGCGCGCTTTTTGTGGGAACCGACGGAAGTGAGTCGCTTGTTCTTGCCTCCAGGGGTTGCAAAGAAGTCTTCAAACTCGTGGCCTTCGCTGGGGACATCGTCGCAGGCGGAAAGGATGGAGACGAGGGTATCGAAGACGTCGGAGCTTCGTCGGATGGCAGCGTACTCACTAATTAGAAGTTAGTCAAGCCATTCAAGAAAGAAGTAACCAGTAGCAAAATAAAGAATACATACGCTATTTCCCCAAAAGTGTGATACCTCACATCTTCAAATTCCTTCACAAATTTCTCGATGAACTCAGTTTGCAAATCCTGACCATCCTGAGCCTCAACCACGGCCTCCACGATATGCTTGAAGTTTGTAGACCAGACGGCGTTCTCGGCTCCGGGGATATGTGTGATGCGTTCTTTGATAATGCGCATGCTTAGAGTCAAAGCGGTAATCTGGAGATCCCTCATTAGTATGTCCTTCAAGCCGCTCTATAACCTGGGAGCACAAACCTGAGACGTAGTATCAGCCTCGCGCATAATCGCTAAAAGCGCCCGTTGGTACTCAAGGCATCGCTCCTTTAGCCATGCTGTAACGATTTTCTCGTTCTCGGCAGCTCGACTCGACTCCGCAAAATTTCCTGCGGCCATCAGTCGGCTGAACACTCGGCAAAGAGACACTGCAACAGCAAGTTCTGGCTTCTTTGCTGATTTCTCCACATCCAGCATCGAGATAAGGGTCGCAATATTGTTGTAGTGTTTGCGCGACTCGGCGATTTCATTTTCGAGCTTCTCAATTGTTGAAAGGGTCTCAGTGAAGTCGTCCTCTGCAACAGCACGGCGCTTGGAGGGTGCGCCTGCATTCTTGCTGCTCTTGCGCTTCTTGGAAGATTCGACCAGTGCCGGCATGATGTCGGTTCTATGCCGTAGATCGTATTAAATTATGAATCTATCGTCTATCACTGGCGTGATCTCGGATCAGCAAAAAAAAGTATGGCAGTTCGGACACGGGTTTTTCCGCGCACACCAAGCTAGTTCCCAAAGCGGTTAGCGTTTGCAAGCCCGTCCTACCCGTCCCGACCTCAAGTCTCCTCTCCGTTCACCCACCCTGTTAAGGATCTTTAAATCATCTGTAACAATGGCTTCGCGTCTCGCTAAGAGCGCCATTGGTATGTCTCATCCGAAACCCCGCCGTCTGATTTGATTGCCAGAGATATTGACTCGCTTCTTCCATCCAGGCGCCGCCCGGCTGCGGCCATCTGTCTCCATCCGCGCTCCTGTCGTCCCTACCATGACCTCTTTCCGCGCGGCCTCCAACGTTCCCGCCGAGGAGCCCAGCAAGAAGGCTCAGTCCATCCTGGACTCTGTTCCCGGTAACTCCCTCGTCTCCAAGACCGCCGTTCTCTCTGCCGCCGCCGGTCTGTCCGTTGCCGCTATCAGCAACGAGCTCTACGTGATGAACGAGGAGACCGTCGCCGCTTTCTGTCTGCTCTCCGTCTTCACCGCCGTTGCCAAGTACGGTGGCCCTGCTTACCGCGAGTGGGCCGAGGGTCAGGTTCAGAAGCACAAGGATATCCTGAACTCTGCCCGTGCCGACCACACCAGCGCCGTCCAGACCCGCATTGACAACGTCAAGGAGATGTCCGGTGTTGTCGACGTCACCAAGTCTCTCTTCGCTGTTTCCAAGGTGGGTTAAAATCTGCATATGCACAGCACTGAACATATGAAACAAATGATTCAGACATCTAACATCTTGTAGGAGACTGCCCAGCTTGAGGCTCAGGCTTACGAGCTCGACCAGCGCACTGCTCTGGCCACCGAGGCCAAGCAGGTTCTGGACTCCTGGGTCCGCTACGAGAATCAGGTTAAGCTGCGCCAACAGCGTGAGCTTGCCGACTCCATTATCGGCAAGATCCAGAAGGAGCTTGAGAGCCCCAAGGTTCTGCAGCAGATCCTGCAGCAGAGCGTTGCTGATGTCGAGCGTAAGTGATCTTGCTCCCTTTCTTGTCATCTCGGAATTTGTAACATCTACTAACACCTCTCAGGCATCATGTCTTCCAAGGCCCAGTAAATGGACGACGGTGGCTCCGCCGGCAGTTGCCATTGTGTATAAAACTTTAAGGGCTATTTGCATCTGCTGAGTTAGAATTGCAATACCATTTTGTCTGTCATCATGAAAACCTTCTGCATTCCCGTAATCTTCCAACCCCATGGGCTGGCCTTGAAGTGGTTCATGGTCCCCTTCTGAATCGCAACGTAGCTTCGGGACCAAGATCCGATAATCGGCGACCGACCTAAGATCTTTCAATTTTGTTTAATACATTATATATTGCGCGAGTAGAAACAAGACTATAGGCTAGGTAGTTCTTTGTAGTAGTTATTAGCCTATTCCCCTGTCATTCGAGCTTCAATCCTGGGTTCGTTGACCTTCCATCCCTGTGTTGACATCAGTCCCCGCTTAAACATGCAGGGACAAGTGCAGAAGCTTCACGTGGCCCCGGTTTCTATTATCTTGATCTATATATACTTGCCCTTCGATTTGATCATTCCATTCATTGATTCTCGCTGTTTTTTTCAGCCTGTAGTCATCTGATTTTGACAGGGTTGTTTCACTGCCCGCCAACCCCGTATATATTACCCTGTCGTTTGATTAGCCGCCCGCCAGACCCAATGGTCCCGGGGCCATGAGCTGCAGGCAACACAGCCACCAATGTTTCTATTCTTACCCGCTGAACTACATTTCAATTATTGTCAACCAAAGATGCGAAAATATTAAAAGCATATATACCTACTATCTTCCATTAGTTTTGCTTTCCAGCCTTGTGTCGAGTCATATGGAATACCCCGCAGCCTCCCCGCAAACTCCGCAAAGAAGTCGCATACCTAGTCAGCACAAGATAGGACACAATAGCACAATGCCTTCTCTTCGCAACATCCTCCGCAAAAAGGAGGATGTAACCGACAACTCACCACCAAGAGCTCCCCGCGCAGCCCCAATCCCAACATCTCCGCCGAATCCCGAGATCACCTTCCTCCGATCTGACACCTTTGGCCACGAGGTCATTACACCACCGTCCCACAAAGATGATCCTCCGCAGTCTCCGTCTTACTCGCCTACCCCCTCAAACTCGCTAGGCTCCCCACAGGCGAGCTCTAATACATCACGCCGAAGCTTCCAGATCTTCAACCGATCCTCTCGTTCAGAGTCCCTCTCCAGTCCTTCATCACCACGCCCACAACGCGAACACCGACTCTCAAACCTTCTGCATCGTGAGAATAAACGCAGCCGCAGTGACTCTCGGGACTCCTCGGCAAATATCCCGCTGGATTTACCACAAATTGCGGATGATGAAGGGGGCGATAAGCAAGAGAGAGAGGCGCTGTGGGAGAAGAGGGCTACCGTGCTTGCGACGCATAACCCGAAGTTTGGCCAGGGACTAGGGTCTCCATTGGCATCTGAGTTTGATCTATCAGGAGGTGGCTTTGGGCAAAGGAGTAGAGGTAATTCGAGAAGCTCGAGCCATAGTCGGATGGGGGATGCGCAAGATGATGTAGGTATTCTTAGTACATCTCGAGTCATTCGCAGTCACTAATCGGTAAATGTTGTTTGATAGGTCAATATCCAGGAGGCGATCCGGTTACATGAATCAGGTGGTGAGTTATGCATAAATCCATGATCTTTAAGGAATGTCAACTGACTAGCTGATCTACATATAGATTTGGAAAGATCTACACAGATGTTCGGCCAGCTGGCGAACCCACATGGCGCAAATAATCCACTCAGTCAAGTTTTATATGGACTTGCTCTTCGGTAATTACCAGTCCATTGTGAGGCTCAAATAGTTAAACCCCAAGCTAATATATTTTGCTCTAGACATGGTTGGGGTTGCAACAAAGATGAGGCACAAGCAGTAACTTATCTGTCTGCCGCAGCGTCTAACTCAGCTGCCGTTGAATCCGAGGCACTACGTGCGGGTATGAAAAAAGGCGGCGCTGCTAAAGGAGAACTTGTACTTGCAATTTTCGAATTGGCCAACTGCTTCCGTAACGGTTGGGGTGTTGGCAAAGACCCCGCTGCCGCGAGGCAATACTACGAGACGGCAGCGAACTTGGGTGATACTGATGCTATGAATGAGGTTGCTTGGTGTTACCTCGAAGGATTTGGTGGGAAAAAAGATAAGGTATGGTGTTTGCATATGATATTTGTAGCGAACAGTGCTAACTATCTCTTTAGTTCAAGGCCGCGAAATATTATCGACAGGCAGAGGAAAGCGGAGCCCCAGCTGTCGGGATGTCATGGTACGTGAAAAAGCTATTGTTTTATAGCTATACTTTTGCTTGTGCTAACCTTCTTTAAAGGATTTGGAAGGAGAAGTATAATCCCCACTGATAAGATCTCTGGGCCTTGTGCTATGTGCTGCAATGTTCTATACGATTTATGGATGGATGGATATACTGAACCATATTCTTGCATGTAATTTCTTTCGATGTACTTATTTCTTTTCTGTATATTATGAGTGGACGATTTACACGTTTTACACATATCTATCAATATATTGAGTGCAAATACATGGGAATGTAAAAGTCGACCGCGGACGAAAGGGAAATGCGCCATCTTGATCAGTCTCGTATAGAATGAAACCTAAAACCCTCTGACTTCACGAATTATCTCGCTTCGCATGAAATAAACCACCAAATGATTCTAATGTAAGGCGCAGGGGCGGATATAATTTTAACCCAACCGAGCTATGCATCTATTTCAAAGATGGCAGTGATCATCCCCGCCGGCCAAAAACGACGCATTATGATTGAATGGAGTAAATTGCTCCGAAGATCAGAGTCGAGCAAGCAACAAGCCTAACAAGCACTAAAAGCTTCTTCGGAGAAATGGAATACGCTTCGGCTTATTCATTTCGTGGCGTTTTCTCCGCATGTCATGTATATGGATTGGGTGTTGTAGACATTGGCAAATTAACCGCAAATTAGAAAGGGGAAGCAGTTTCACGATTGGCTACTTATCTAGCTAGGGGTACATTGCATATCTAAATTAAATTGTACAACCCCTTGAGTCAGAGTTACATGGAAATTGCTGGCTATGGCTCCATTGAGCAATTCGCGGGCAAAAATTCACTATTTCTATTTCTTAAGGAAAGGGCGAGAGGCAAGGAATACGTCGGATTTAAGGTAAAAAATATGAGTAGGATGCTTTTCATGATTAACAGAGGCCTTGGGCATTGGATCTAGATAATTTGCGACATAAAATTACTGGAAAGCCATTAGGTTTAATTGAAAACAATAACGAGAGTCAAGTGGACCACGAAATGTCAATTGCGGGGAACTTGATGCGCAAGCACAGGTCACCAGACGACATACCCTCAGAAGAGAACATAATTCACTCTAAAACGATAAATATTTCCTGCAAAGCTACGGAAGATTCCCCCGAAGTCCGTCATCCCCACATAATAAAAAAGCAGATGTGTGGGGACCGGCACAACATTTAACCCCCCCCCCCCCCAGAGCGAGCTTGAAACTCCGGGGTTACCCCGGATTAAATCAGGGGATACCCTGGGCCAAGTCCCTATAAGAAGCTTGAGATGTCTTGATCCTATTTTATTTTCAGCTACGAGCTCAATTGAAGATCATCATCCGCCCCGTATTTGGAATTGTACAGCAACCGACATGCATTCGTCTCTCTGGGCTCCCGCGGCTGCGATTGTCGCTGCGACAGTCGCATCGGCCACTTCACTTAGCAGCATTTGCACAGACTCCTACGCAAAGGAGGCGTTACCATTGGATGCCATTGATGGTATCACTATTGATGCGAGCTCAGTTTCGACAAGCTTGGTTACCAACTACACGGCTTCGTCGATCTTCTTCCCCACGGATACCTTCAACTACTGCAACTTAACGTTCGCATACTCGCACGATGGTATTGATGGCGATGTTGTTCATGTGCAATACTGGCTTCCTGAGCCATCCAAGTTTCAGAACCGATATGTCTCTACTGGTGGAGGTGGTTGGGCGATCAACTCGGGATCCTCATCGATTCCAACAGCTATTATTGCAGGAGGGTAGGCACAGTCTCATTCATTCTTATATTAAGCTGAGCATTGGCTAAATAAACTACTAGTGTCGGTGGCCTGACCGATGGAGGATTCGGTAACTTCAACACGCAATTCAGCTCTGCTGCTCTATTGGCCAATGGAACTGTCAATTGGCAAGCGACCTACATGTTTGGTAAGGAAAGAAAAAAAAATACACACAGCATTGGAATCACTTTTCTAATAAAATTCAATATAGGATACCAAGCACAAAACGAGCTCGCGATTCTCGGAAAGCAGTTGACCCGAAACCTCTACGATGTCTCTTCAAAGAAGAAGATTTACTCATACTATCAAGGTTGCTCGGAGGGAGGCCGCGAGGGATGGAGCCAGGTCCAGCGATTCCCCGAACAATTCGACGGCGTCGTAGCTGGAGCTCCTGCATTTCGATGGGCACAGCAGCAGACCAACCATCTGACTGGTAATGTCATGCAAAAGACTCTGGGCTATTATCCATCTAACTGTGAGCTCGAGAAGATCATGAACATGACAATTGAGAGCTGTGATCCTCTTGACGGAAAAACAGACGGCGTCGTTGCTCGCTCTGACCTCTGCTTGGCTAAACTTGACTGGACTAAGATTGAAGGGTCCTCCTACAGCTGTGCTGCTAGCTCTGGTTACGGATCTACTACACCCGCCGCTTCAGGAAAGGTCTCAGCCAAGGCTGTTGAGCTCATCAAGACCTACTGGAAGGGTCTCTATGACTCCGACGGAAACCAAGTCTACTTCAGCTACCAGCCTGGTGCAAGCTTTGATGACCTCGACACAGAATATAACTCTGCAACAGGCGAATACGAGCTTGACATCAGTGGCCTGGGTGGTATCTGGATTGCTCAGTTTATCGATTACATCAAGGACGCCCAGAACATTGATAGCCTCGATGGTGTCACTTACGATACTTTGAAGGAGTGGATGATCTTCTCACAGAAGAAGTACGGCGATATTCTCCAGACTACATACCCCGATCTTACCGATTTCCAAGCGGCAGGCGGCAAGGTCTTGCATGTGCATGGTGAACAGGACTTCTCCATTCCAACCGCCTCGTCAGTCCGATACTGGGACTCAGTGCGCTCAGTCATGTTCCCCAAGAAGTCATACCGTGAGGGTGCCGCGGCACTCGATGACTTCTATCGTCTGTTCCTTATTCCTGGTGTAGGCCACTGTGCTGCCAACTCATATGAGCCCAATGCGCCATGGCCACAATTTACCCTGCAAACAGTCATTGAATGGGTCGAGAAGGGCACTGCGCCAGCTACATTGAGTGGATCGACTGAAATCGAGGCTGAAATGTGTCGCTGGCCTCTTCGCCCGCTCTGGACTAACAGCGGAAAGAAGTTCCAGTGTGTCTATGACCAGGATTCGGTGAACAGCTTCACCTATGATCTCGATGCTTATAAGCTCCCTGTGTACTAGATTTGAGATGCAGGAGATTGCAGCTGACCGGAAACAATGTGGCATTCTGTATATAGTTGATCGTATACTTAATATCTATTTTATCTTGCAGATGTGGAGGTATTTATAATTAGGAATAACAACGTATCTAGTGCACTCAAAAAGGCGCCTATGACTGCCTCAGTAGAAAAAGGGTTTAATTGAAACTTGGCCGATTGGGAAGTCATGCCAAGTCGCGGAAAGACACTGATTTAGGTTAGTCGATCGTGTAGATTCCCGACTCAGCCACTATAACCAATGACGAACTTCTTTATCTACAGGGGCCTCCACTGAATCTAGAGCTTAAAGTGCTCCTTGAACCGCAGCAGGGCAAACAGGCGGCACCTAGCGCCCGGTTCCTCTTCCCATCCTATGGGGTTTATTTTCCGCGCATCCGTAATGACCAAACCAGGGACGAATACGAGATGAGGGGACTTGGCAGCAAGATATAGCGCCTGCGCATCAAATAGGAAGGAAAAATAAACACTTCAGTCGCACAGAAAAGTTCTAAAGCCGATTATGTACTATGCATGACTCGTTTCATAATATAGATCGAATTGACGACACGCCATACTCCAGCGACGCGGAACGCTCCATCTAAGTCACATTCAACCTTGGAAGATATACAGCAGCATAGCTTTCCTCAATTATGAGGGCTTCCCCGGTTGCTCTACTTATTGTATACTATATACCCATTGTTTCAGCCAATGCATATTGGGATGCATACGCGACTCGTATCGACAGCACACGCTCTAACCAAGGAGCCCTAACAACAACCTTCACACCACCTTCATCATGCTTCACACCCACAACACAAGCATACTATGGATACCCGTCAATGATCATAGGGTGCCCCGGTCCTGGCAGAAATAATTGCTGCCCACCAGACTGGAATTGGAACGTTTATTTCAGTCCCGGGGTGTGTCCATCCGGCTACAAAGCCTGTACACTACCAACTACGACCCAGCGAAAGGAGACCACAGAGATTTGTTGTCCAAGGTAAGACTCATAATTACCCGAGTAGCTCAGTATCTGATATAATGCAGTAACTATGCTTGCAGCGGCCAAGACTGGTGTGTCAGTTCTCTTGAGACTATCTCGACAATGACGTATACGGATAGTACGCTTTCAACCGAGTCTCCTGCTTACGCTATAACGGCAACACCTATACAAATTCGGTACAAGGCGGCTCAGTCCACGATTATTCCCATTGCAACCCCTTCTTTTGATTTGCCTATGCCAAAGCATGAGCTTGACACGCGGGAGAAGGTTGGAATTGGGATTGGGGTTCCTGTTGCAGTGGGACTTTTGGGAGCTGTGCTATTTTTCGGTTGGAGGCGCTGGCGAGAGAAGGGGACTAAGAAGGGGGTTATAGAAGGTCCTATGGGCATTGGGAGTGATTTGGAGAGGGAATGGGGAGGGGAGCACGAAAGAGCAAGACAAATAGAAAGGGAGAGAGAGATTGAGAGGGCAAAAGGGGTGGAAAGAGAAGTGGCTAGTGGAACTCAGAGAACAAATGATGTTGAAACGGCGAGTCAACGAGCGATGGAGATGGAGAGGGCGCAGAGGGAGTTGGATAATGAGAGAGATCCACCCCCGGCTTATAATAGATAGACTTGGAAGGCTTAGACAATTCCTGGGCACGTGAAAGCACTCTTCTCTGTCTCTCAGTTTCTTCAACTACCCCCACTGAAAGCACCGTAGGACAGTATAATATTATCGAAAACAGAATACTAGAAAAGGATCCCGATACTTAGTATCGATGAAGAACACATCTGCTACCCTTCTCTGTCTTCTTTTAAGTAAGGAGTGTCGACCTCCTCTCTAAGACCTATCAACTACGCCTAGCATCACAAGACAACATGACAAAACTCAAACACCGGAGGGATTCACATCTTCTACCAGGTCTTCTTTAAGTCAAGGGTTCCGAGAATCATCCACAGAGCCGCTCATCATAATCTCACCAAATTCGCAAAAAGTGCCATCAATATCCTAAAGAGGGCTTAGTGGACGATTCTGTTAAAATTACATATATCATTCTATGATTCCAATCTTGAAAAGAAGAGACTTCATGTATTTGAGAATTTCAAGTAGTCGGATCTGTCGAGTTGCGGACGTAACCTCATGTAAATATGTCGAGTTGAACCGCTAGGCCAAAAAGGTGCACACCTTATTTCCACAAACTGGAAGACGCGCGCATTGCACGCATCGGCCCTGAAACGAATGCCAGGGGAGGTAGGAATAGGAAGGGACAAGTAGTGTTGAATTGTTTGAGATGAAGCATAAACGCGAACAAATCCAAACGAGCCAATGACAAACGAGCCTTCTGATGACTAATACCCGCAATACAAGAGAGTTTAAAAGACGAGAGGATGGATATTTGATCTAGCTATACGTGATGAGCGTGGTATGTATGGGGGGTTGACCTTAGTCGGCCTGACCGTATGTGCCCATGACCTAAGAGCCAGAATACATATAAAATTCATAAGGTATATTTTCTATCTAACCACAACTGTATAGTCCCAATGAGCATCTTCATTCGCATAACTAGATATCCTTGGACAAGACAAACCACAGCCAAGGGTGGTATACTGTCTCATCATCGACCGGGTCCAAAATAGTTGGCAGGTATCTCGTATTCCATTCTTCATCCAAGTCTTCATCAAAATATTCCGGGTTTGGCCTGATGCGACGCGCCTTGCAATACTCCCAGTAAGCAGGATACCACCCTGCCTGGCCCCAATCAATGATGGCAGCTACTACTGGATTCGTCCCGGGCGATAAAAGGATATTTGGGGGCACAATGTCGTCATGCGTGAAGACCACGGGCACCTCCCCATCAATTTCGATATCGCAGCCATTCTGAAATTTCTGGACAGCGTCTGCACCGTGGAATGGGCCAGCCAAGTCCCGGTGACCGGAAAGAAATATGTCATTTAGAGGTTGATTATCTAGGCCACCTAAAGGGTACTTTAGTATAGTTCTACCTAGCTACGGCAATGAATATAAGTCACTTACCCACGTAAAGGGCTTAACCGGGCTGTTCTAATGATCTCCAGGCCTTAACTATACCGTTAAGCTCTTTACAGATAGCCTCTCTCTCCTTATCGTTCAAAGCACCCCATCTTTGCTCTAAGGGTTCGCCCCCTATTAAAGACATATAGATAAATACTTGGCCACTGTCTTTAGTCTACCCAAACACCTCAGGAACTGGTACTTTATCTTTCAACTGCTTATATACTATATTTTGGGTCTCTGCCTCTGTAACGGTTGTATCGGCTCCATATTTAACAATCAAGCCTAACAATAGAAACTTGACAGGCGGGGGTCGGTTAAACCTTGTACCATAACTTCTCGTTAATAGCTCTCACCTCAGCCGGGGTAGGGAGCGTAGACACCCGATACTCCCTGAAAAAGCTAGAGTCGGAAATGATCCTTATTGTGTTGTGGCTTGAATCGTGGAGGCCGGCCTCGACTTCAACCCCCTCGGGCGTCATCTTCGAGATAACACAGGTGAAGCAGGGGTCTCGGCGGTTATAGAAAGACCCAGTCTTCGAGAGTAGCGGAATCGAAGTAAACTGAGAGCCTATCGATTTCTAGGAAAAGGGAATTCTTGAAACGACAATAAGGTTCAGAGATAGAAACATGTTGCCGCCGGACATGCCAGGCAGCGAGGTGAAAATGTGGGTGGGGGACCTAGCCAGACCAATCAAAGCTTCTAGCGCTGGACGGGATAATATAAGCGCCGGCCCGCTGTATCCGCAATCCCAAGGGTAGAGTAGTTTCAACAACAGGACTTCTCGTCCAATACTTGCTTTCTTAACCGCTGGACCTTAGGGGATAATGAAAGTAGCATCGTTTTATGGCCAGGAGCGTGACCTTCAATATCGGACAGGCCTCCTCAGGAGACTATATAAATGGCCTCCCTTCTCCTGGATTATAGAAATGCATATCAATCAGTTCATTTTCCTTTTGCCTTTCATCAATACATTGTCAATTGTTGGCTTTCCGCAGGTCGGACTTGAGCGTATTTTACTTTACCTCTTTTTGAATACCATGGGTCTCTTCTCCTCCTCTAAGCCAGACAGGCTGAGGCCCGCCCACAGGCTCCCAGGCCTCCGGCAGTTGCCCCATCAGGACCTCCGGGTGCTTTCCTTGTCGAGTTGCTGATCTACAACGGTGCCCCTTTCAAAGACCATTGGTCGTACTGGTACGCTCTCACCAGGACCCGGACCTTGGTGTCCTCATACACGCCGCCGGTGACGTGAGGAACGGCTTTCGGTTTGAGATTAAGCGTGGTCATGACTTCCGAGCTACTGGTAACCTCCCAACAAAGAGGATACCGCTCCAGCATTTCAAGTACTGTGCCATTCATATTAACACTGGGACAGTTAGTTGATGCATTGATACAAGTGGAGAAAGGCTGGGAATTGCCGCTGGTAAGCATTTCGGGGTAGTGCGATATCGTACCAACCAAACAAATTATCATTCAGGTCTTCAAAACCGGAGTTTGATAGTCTGATCAGAATGTTTTCAATCCAAAACGGACGAAATCGGACCTCTTCCTTCAGCGCGCCATTATGCCCATACTCCACAGCGGACATAGTTCCCTCGTCGAGGTTGCTTTGATCAATCATGAGGCACCACCTTTGAAGACCGCCTGGCCGTATCTTGTCATGAGGATCTCGACAAAGTCTGCATTTTCTAAATAGGCCCATGATACCACATCCTCTTTGTTGTTTGGGGGTGTAGCTGATTGAGTATTGGCAGAGTCTCCGGCCAGGATAAGATGATGAGGCGGATCAGTGCCTACTAGAGTGTTTTTATAAACACCATCAAAGCGGTTTAAGGGAAGAAGCTGCTTGATCCATTGAATATGATTAGCAGGATTAGTTTGACCTACTTGTGGTAGGATAATAAGGCTACATATAGGTAGATTCCAGTAATCACTATTGTATATTAACTTGATAGGGTTCCCCGGAATAGACAACTGGATGCTTGTTTTATGTTTAGATGCGTGGTGATGATATAACTGAGATTATTGAGAGATATTACTAAAAAGAATTCAAATATTATGGGGCAGGATGAATATAGGGGCGTAGATATAATTCTGACTTGTCTCTAGTGAGAGGTAGTACAGTACAGAAAAAAATTACATCCCGAAAAGTCTGTTCGGCCTCCGCCCATCTGACAATCAGCTCGCGACGCTGGCGAAATTCATAGTCCGAGGGATCGCCGGTTATACCGGCTGCCTCGAGAGTGACCCAGTTTTCCTACTTATGTTATTAGCTTTGTCGACTCAAAATCAAAGGACAGACTTACAGAAAGAAAAAATATCCAGCCTTTAGTGTCCTCAATGAATTGCTCCGTGGGTATCTCCGACTCGGGTTGAAACCTCACAGAGGCGGGAATCCCACCAGGCCAATAATGACTCGGTTTAATTGGGAAAACATTCGTGTCCGGTGGGATGGTCATGTTGATTGAGAAGGTGGGGGTATCCTTATGCGTTGCGAAAATTCGGTAGTTAGCTCGAGATAAAGGTCTTACTTAACAATTCCCGCAGTGGGAGCAAGGATCTATCTTCAAACACGAGAGGTGGGGAGCAGCCGGAAGGTAGGATCTGCATTCAACCAGGGGCAAAGCGGGAACATGTGGACACAAGGACGCCAAGACGAACCCGTAGGAAAAATCCAGTACATACATCTACCCAAGTACAACCATCGCTGGATTCAAGAAAATAATATATTCAAAATCAAAGTAAGAACTTCCAACAATCCAATCTAACCAGGTATCAAAATAACTCGACACTATCATCATTTTGTAAACATGAGCAACAGCAATCATGCGGGGTATATCTTCTCTCACCCTCACCAGAACAGTTAAAGGAAAAGAAAATAAATAAAGAAAGAAATATCAAGATCAAGATTGTATCAAGCGACCTTGACAAGTCTAAAAACAACAAAGTCTAAGCCCACTTGCCCAGCAAGGCCATAATTCCCGCACCAAGAAGCATAGACAAAACCATGAAAAGAAGTCGGCGATCATCCTGGGTACGATGGGGATCGAACAAGAAGTCACGAGCAAGTAGCTCAACAAGACCAGTATAGATCAGGATACCAGCGGAAGTAGCATCAAGAACACCGGAGACGACATTGGCAACGTAAGAGCCGGAGTTGTATGTTGTGCGAACGCCGAGACCAATCGCAATCGAGATGGGGGTTGTGAGTCCGTACGCTCCACAGAGCAACCAGGGCAACCAGCTACCCTTTTTGAAAGGGATGGCAGACATCCGGGCACCGATACCGAGACCCTCGAAAGATTGATGGAATACAAGGACGGGATAGAGAGTCGCGAACTCATCACCAGTTACACCGAGGTTCAAACCAATAATAACAGAGTGAAAGATGACACCGAACTCTAGAATCAAAAATGCCGCAATCTGCTGCTTAAAGGAGCGCTCGATTTGCCCCTCATCTGTATCTGTATCGGACTGAGACTCCAGCTCCTTAAATTGTTTATCGGCTGACCTCTCCCGCTCAATAGAATGTCTGTGTCTATGCGTCGGTCCCTCACCAGCCGTAGGAGTCGTCATGACTGGTTCCGGATCTTCACGACATATGCCATACTTCTTTTCGACATAGCGCTCAGCACCGAAGTCAAGGAGAAAAACAAACATAAGCGATGTTAACACGATAGCGGGACACCAGGAGTAATCTGCCCAGTGGCCTGTCATGCCTACGCAGCTTGCGCTGCCGATTTCAGAATAGGCCGGATCGAGGAGGTGGATAAATGCTGTTGCGATAATTACGCCGGCACCGAAGTAGCGGGCAAAAAGGTACACGTAGAGCGGAATGTGGAGGCGTGGAACCCGTTTAGCGATGACGGGGAAGAATGTCACGACTGAGGAAACGAATCCAATTACGAAGATGGAGGAAATGCGAGCGCCGAGTTGACCGTTGTAGTCATTTGATGAGGCGTTTAGGTAGCAGATGATGTCTCTGGGATCGGCAGTGTCGAGGTCGACACTGGTAGGATTAGAGATCATTTTGGGCGATGTTGATTCAGAGAGGTTCAACTTATTAGGTTGTAGTAGGCGTAATAGGTAATCTGGTGAAGTTCGATTGATATAGAACTTCAAGCCAGCAGTTTATATCGAAGTATAAACCGACCCGGAAAGGAGGATGGATGTGTAGAAAGGGAGTGGAAAGAATGTACGGAATAACTGGAAAAGGTAGGATCATCCCTGCTATTTTATAAATGCCACGAGGGTGGGAGAAAATCCTGACATCGGCTTCTCCGTTGTGATGAGTACCTTGAGAGTTGTGGAGTACCTTGGGAGTTATGGATGTATGTCAACTTAGGTTGGCCCTCCTCCTTGGAGAGATCGGTAATATCGCGGCGAATTATGGGTTTAGCGTGATTTACTAATTTATATTTGCTTCTAGTAATCTCATTTAGCTTAATCTAAGTGGCTCTAAATCAATTGTGGTGGACTTGATGATCAAACGGCGGCCGGAAGTCGTAGAATACAGGTTATTAGGACCCCACTGAGCTCTTAATATAGGCCATGTGACTGAAAAGGTTAGAATGGTCCTCTGTAATTTTTGTATAGAGGGTGTTCTGTATAATTGTTAAGCTGCGGCAGTAAATGCTTATAATAACATTGAATTTAGGAACTAATTATCACAGGTCTGGACGGGTGGTCGGTTCCGGGCAGAATCCAATCTTATTTAACTTAGTAATAATTAGTTTCCGGTAGAACATAATATATTCATCTTTCTCGGGGTCATTTTCTGCAAAGATTGGATTTATCATTGATTCCAAGGCCTTTGAGAATACTTCTTTGGATTCCTACTGGTCTTAAAAGATTCCGAGGAGCAAGAGGGTGTACAGATAGCGGTGCCTTATCTTACAGTCTGGACACCAAACACGACTAGCCGCATTTGGTGTCCCGCCGCAGCGTAATAAATTTTTTCATTTTACATGTCTTTATTACTACAAGGTACTACTCCTTAACTAGGTATAGCCGATTCTATTGAAACTAAGGTATCCCATGTAAATAAGGCCGTTAAATACGCTCGGAGCAAAAAAAAGCCAAGTTTACGTGAGGTCGCGCGGCAATCCTGTGTCGAGGCGAGTAAATGTAGAATCTGCGTTATTTTCTAGGCCTACCGTTTTTAAAAGGAGGGCGGCAAACAGCGGCAGAATAAAAAAAGGAGGTTATAACCAACTTCAAGTTAAACACCCTTGTCCTTCGGGACATTTGTCAAATGAAAATATACAGAGAAGATTAGCATGGCCCCTGCACTAAGGATGACACGCTCAATCAAAGAGAAGCTACCCATTTTTTTTTTTCCCCTTGCCGGACCTTTGTTGAGATGTGACGGTATTCAAAGCATTTTCCAGAGTTGATTGAGTCTCCGTTCGAACCCGAGTGTCGGTATCTTTTTTTTTTTTTCTTCTTCTTCTATATTATGAACCCTATCTGTTAGGCGCTGCGTACAGGCCTATCGCCAAGTACCCTCACCACTAACTAAGTTACCATATCCAAAATTTATTTTATTTTTTCAAATCTTGGTTTTTGTCGTGGAGCTAGGTCCAAGCTTTGATTTCATGCCTCGTGGTGGGCCAAGGTTCGGGGATAATTGGGGAAAAGTGATTGGGCGTTGGTATGACTCCGTATGAGGCAACTTGCTCCCAAGGTCCTTCGGTTAAGTGAATCTGGATGGAACGCTGCGATTGACGGGTTGATTCGGAGAAATTCTGAAACCAAGGGATTTCCTAGACGCAAGTATCAGATCCCAGTATACAGATGGGAAGGTTCAAGTTTTATGGAATAAATTTTCAAAGGATTAGACGAGAAGAAACGAAGTATAGAGTAAAAGAAAGTGGTAGTATTTGATATCAGCTTCAAGTTCCAAGTTCAGGGACCAGATTAACCAGAAATCGGGCACAGCCGCGCCAGCCGATCAATTAGAAGCAAGAGAATATCATCCAGAATTATCATGTCGCGTTGTTCATAAAATCATTGTTCCAATTGCAAGTTTCGTATCGTATCGTTCATCAGTCGTCAAGGGCGTCGCCGCCAATCCAGGGTTTAGGTAACATGGAAACGTAACAAGAGGAGGAAGCCAAGCATCAACCTTGTGAGAAGGCAAGGCCCAAATGAGCAAAAGAAAGAAGAACAGAAGAAGTAGAGGAAACATTGACAAAGAAAATAATAATCCACACCAATAGAGAGAAAAAAGAAGAAGCCAAGAAGTAAGTGCATCCTCGTTCCAGCCCAAATGCTCAACCAAACCAAACCCATCTCCGAAATACCACGCTAGAAAACAGAACAAAACAAAACAAAACATCAAACAACAAATGCCCCATGTGGATCTTCGTAGCTCGTATCGCATGTCCAGTAATGAAAACCCCCCCCCCCCCCAAGTTCCAGGCCCGGTCTGTACACATGTCTCATGTTTCCCACCCATCCGTATGATATGATAAAAAGGATAAACCCACCCTTCCCACGCTAGATAACAGAACCAAAAACATAATTTCGCTCGTAAAAACCACAGTCGCTAACAAATAACAAGTCACAAAGGGAAAAAAGGCGAAACTAAAAACCAGTACAAAAGAGGAAATTGCGTGTGTCTATCAAGGTACGCACGCAGTGGAGTAAAGGACCGTTGCCGGCCCCATGACGTTCTGAGTAGCTCAGAAACAAAAGAAATTTTTGATTAAACAAAACACAAAAAAAGGGTCTGTCGAACGAAAATAAATCCTAGCTTAAAGCTAAAGAAGTATAGGCGATGAGAGTGGATCTCAAGGTTAGGCGGACTGGAAGCCCATCTCCTGTTTGACCGGAGCAGCACCATACTCATGAACCATGCGACGGAAGTCTTGAATCACTTTCTGAGGAACTCGCTCCCACATCAGTGACCTCGTATAAACATTGGAAGTGGCAGCATCGTGCATGCGTGAATGTTGCGCGGCGTTGTTCCGCATATTCTCCAATGCCTGTTGAAGGTTAGACGGTTGCTGAGGTTTAAAGCCAACACCATCCCCTTCAAAGGTAGTTAGGGAATTATACTGATCCACATTCATAGCGAAGGCCTGTGCACGTTCCTGTTCCTCGGTCGGCATGACCAACGTATCATGCAGCTCGTCTAGACTAGAAGGCCCACCCATAGTAGGACCCATCCGCGCCATGTCCATGCCAGTCATAGTGGCTTGGCTGGGACCAGCGTTAGCGACAGACACTGCATTGTTGGAGTGAGTTACATCTGTTGGAGAGGAGGCTAGCACCGCTTTCAGAACATTAGCCGACTCGGCACGGTACTCCTCGGACAGTTGTGGGAGGTTTCGGCCGGGAATGGCTCCGTTGTTGGAAGCGATGAAGGCACCGAATAGCAGACACATGTAGAAGGCATTCCAGCTGAAGGGGGACTCTGAGTTTGAGATGGGTTTCTCGGATCTCTCGTTCATGTGAGTCAATGCATGAGGTGGAGGAATTGGTGCAGAAGGTATATGATCTTGCATGGCGAGATTGTTTGCCATGGAGAATTCGTCCCATGGGTGTCCGTCCATAGCCATGTTGTCGAAGCCAGTGAACTGACTAGGGTGAGGCTCGACCATAGGAGGCTTGATACCTCTTTCGAGTTTCTCCACTGTCTCCATCAAGATATTGTTTTTCTTGCGCAGTTCGGCGGTTTCGAGGGTGTGAACACGGATCATCTCGTCTTTCTCGATGTGCATGTTTTGCAGATATTCGGTGACTTGCTGTTGTTGCTGAATCCATTCATTCTTCTCTCGCAACAGTTCTGCCTCACGCTTCTGGAAGCTATTGATGGCATCTTCAAGTTGAGAGATACTGTGAGTATAGTGCTTCTTTTCTTCTTCAAGCTTCTCTGTGTGGAGTTTCTTGCGTTGACGGGAGTCCAATCTGTATTGACAAAAGTGTGAGTGTTAGCAACGAGAACAGGAACAAAAAGAACAACACTGGATGGAATAGCCCAATCATCAATAACATCAACTTACGCTGCCTGACGGTTACGCAACAACCGTTTCTGCTGCTTCAACTCTTTGATCTCATCATCATTTGTCGACTGGTTGATCAGTTGGTCGATGTTACCCAACGTGCGTTCGGCAGGAATCTCAAAACGAGCGTTCTTCTTGCGAATTCCATCACGACGTATAGTCAAGGGTGACCCGTTTCGATAAGAGCTTTTTGATGGGTTGGCATCGGCCAAATCCATAGGCGCGGGCATCCACCCTTGACTCGACTGCGGGGACATGGCGATCCCACCCGGTGGCTGGAAACCCATAGCATTACGATATGAAACCGCACCCATGGGCATCGAGTTAACAGGGCCTACTGCGCCACCCACAAAGGAAGGAGCAGCAGAGGCACTCTCAGCTTCAGATTGATATTGATCATAAACGGTTGGCGTGCATGAACCTGATGCAGTTCGAGATAAAGACCAAGACTGCTGGGGGTAGTTTGATCCATCGACAGGCATGAACGGGACGCCCGTTGACTCCAGTACGGACTGATCCAAATGCGACGTTGGGCGAGACTGATCGGAGCTGGCAGAGTAGTTGGACCAGACGGAATTCCGATGTGAGTATGCCTCTGTATCGTATGATGTTCGCCGCGGATCAGAAAGACCGGGCGAGTTGGGGTCGAGAATCTTGTCATCCAAGACGTTCATTTCTTCCTCCTCTGATGGGGTAACATCTAATGTTGATGAATGTTGTTGGTAGAAGTCAAACTGGGAATACCGTGCCATCGCGAAGAGGCGGTGTGTGAGTGAGTGGGTGGGTGTGGACGGTTATAGTTTGTGTGGTGTGGAAAGAGGGAAAAAGAGGGGCCGAGAGGCGGGGCAGATTTGAATAGCGTCAAATAAGGGAGAAATGGAAAAGAAGATATAGACAAGAATGAAAAATAAGGGGGACCGGGGAATAGGAGGATAATAATAAAAAATAATCAAACCAGGGGAGAGATCTGATGATAATGAAGAATCGAAAGGGGATGGGGGGAGAAAGTGTATACAAAGTAAATCGGATGTTTACTGTAAAGAGGGGGAAAAGCGTATAAATCGTTAAGTCTGGCTTTTAATCGGAATCTGCACGAGTCACAGATACTTATCTTCAAAGTCTGCATCAAGTTGTGAGTCAAAGTATAGAGTACGATGAGCGGTCTGCGCGGGACTGGAGTGGTTGCCCAGTATCTGTCATTGGCTGCTTCGCTCTCTCTTGGGCAGACGTGCAGCACTGGAGGTTAAGTACTGGAAGGATCTACTTTTGGTTTCTTTTTTTAATATTTGACCTGATCGGGCATGATAAGATCGACAAGGAAGATCTTTTTTGGACTTTACTAAGTTTACTCGCAGAATCATCGTATATGCCATCTAGGTAGTGTAGGTACCTCTACATGGTGTAGTGTACATAGTGTACACTATGTGTGATCACATGGCTTATCGATAGACGATAGCCTATCGATCAACCTTGTCGGCCCGCTGAGACAACGCCATGGTCTGTGCTGCCCGAGACGATATTCATTCCTCTCCAATCATTCCCTCCTTCTTCCCAGATGTCGCAACGGTGATTTTCTGTTGTTGTTTGGACTCTACCTGGTGGATACAGACGGTATTCATTTTCGTGGTCCGGCCCGTGGGGGATCCACCGCTCATTCCATGGTTCTGAGCGTTTCCAAAATAATTACGGAAATAAACATCAGATACCTAGAGAAACAGAGAAATAGAGAAACAGAGAAACCTAACTTCCATGTGTGCTCATACGCGTACCGTGTGCAAGACCTCGGGAAAGCAGGGCGGATGCACAATGCACGGATGTCCTGCACTGATCACTCGTCCCCCCCAGATGACGCCCTTCAACTTCTCCCCACCAGTCCAATCTGACGGGCGCACCTTCTGGCCCAAACACATTTCACATCCTTGTCTCTCTTGGACCGGGGGGGTCACCACACCCCTACGCGGGACGGGAGGGGTAGAAAAGAACCGATAATGATGCCATCGTGATAAACCCCCCCCCCTTTTTTAAATTTTCAAGCCCCAATATTTGGGTACAGTACTCCATACAGGTTCTCGACAATCCAAAACACCCCCTGTCAATATCAACTGCAACGCAATGACTACCTGAATCCTTTCCGTTTCAGGCCTACGATTCTGCGAACCATTGAATGGGCCAACTGCTGCCCTTATTTTCTTTTTTTTTGGCCTTGTTTTTTTCTTTTTCTTCACTTTTTTTGTGGTCCTCCCGTATTAAATGATCGAATCTTCTTGCAGTTGTGGGCCCATCTCCATCACCACGAACTTTCTTCTCGCTCACAGCATAGGTTGGGGTCTTCGGTTCCTGTCCCCTGATGCACAATATACAACTTACGGGAATGTCGAGCCCGCTCGGGTGCAGCGGCCCCTGAGTCTGTTTGTTTCCAACATGCAGCATCACGACCAATCCACCGTCATAGATGCCCGGAGAAAGGCAACACGGCGACCCCGTGAGAAAGGACCCAGCCAAATAGACTCTGGCGGTGAAAGGACCATCTCCATCCAATCGTAGACCAGAAAGAGGTGACTTCCTCTGCCTTGTAATGGGATGACACCCTCCACCCTCCATTACAGTGACCTTGTACGCGACGGAAGCCTAGATCTTCCCCCCCTCTTTCAAAAGTGATGACTTCAACTCAAACTCTTATGATGCTTAGGAAATCCAGCCGCACGTCGCAAGCCGCAAGCCGCAAAGACCTGAGTACTAAAGATGACGCCTCGATCTGTACGTGAGATTTAAATCTTTCCCTGATTGACCCTGTCCATATCTACTCTACTGCTCAGCTGGTACTCTATGTATACTATTACTATATAACTATTACTTTGTACTCCTATACACTCATAAAGCGTAGCCTGGAATTTCTCGCCCTGTCTGGGTCCCCCGTAATTCGTACATCCAAATCTCAACTGGAATGACTCACTCGAAATAGAACCCATTATATGCCAGGAACATCTCAAATCTCCACTTAAATCCTATAAGGTCATCCATAATAATGGTCCCACTTACCCAGAATAGTAATTAAAGTCCACTTTATCATCCATAGCCAGCCACGGCGACTATCATCGTTGCCCAACGGCCCTGAACGGTATCTCCTCTCCGCCAAGCGAGTGTGAAAGGCTAACGCCGTATCCTTAGCCTCACTTTCCACGGTCCATGCCTGATCTTTGTTCTTTCCTGCAAGCTGAGCATTGGGCATATGTATGGAGTCCCGAGCTGAGATGAAGCACTGCATAGATTGGTAGGGGAGCACGGGTGCGTTCCTATTCGATGGGTATGTTTCCACCTGCGAGGCTAGTCCTGACTCTTGTGGTTCAAGTTTGTCTTGACATTAATATTGGTTTGTATTGGGCTATGGACCTACTAGGGTGTGTTTATTGTTTGTTTTCTATGAAGGATGGTGGGTAGGTATGAGATTTGTAATGTGTTGATAATTTTGGAATTCTGGGCCTGAAGGTAGAGAGTGAGTCATTGTTTCTGTTGAATTGTCTTTTGGTGGAAAATGCGGTCAAGATTGAATTCACTTGAGAGACATTGGCTATTGAAATTGTTCATGACTGGGGAAATCTATTAGAATGATCATAATATTCTGCGACTGAATAATGTCTAGTGTTTGTGTTCAAATGCTGTGATATGAGCATCTACTACCCATGAAGTAAAGTTAATTAGTTCCACGACAAGAGAGCTTTAATATACCAGAATCAAGAAATTCTACGTTGCAATGGTAGATACCTAGTCGGCAGAGCAAGTAATGAAACCAGATGTCAACGTGGTTGTTAATTATTCAAGCGTGACCAACGATACTGATCTAAGTACTATTGAGACTTGAGTGCATTAAAACGAATATCCTGAAAGTCATATGTACTTTTCATGACCCTGGAAAATATCCACGTATCCCACTCTGATGAATGTCCGGATCTTACAACTACAAACACGAGATATAATATACTAAGTACTGCAGTGAATGAGCCCAGTTAAGATTCTCAACCCTTGTAGAAGAACTTGAAGCTAACAAACCTCAATCTTTGTATAAAGCTCGGAGACCATTCATATAAAACCCCCAGGACTTCTATTTGACTAGCCAACTACCTGTCTTCCTTCGATATCTCAACATTGAAATCTGCGGTTTTTTACCAGATGGGGTCTGTATGGTGGGATTTTGGCAAGAAAGTTTCTCTTAAGGCTGGTAAGAAACTTCTAATGCTGCCTACTTATTTCAAAAGACAAATCCTTTGTGCTGTGTTCGAACTGCCCATGCAAATAATTCTTGCAGTCTTCAGTGATCGTTTTAGAAGTGGTTGGTAAATACCAACGAAAATTGGGTTGTTGTTTGTTCCTTATTCTGGAGCAGATAGAGGGAGAATGCAGCAAAGAAGCTGAATCGTGGTATTAGCAAATTTTTATGCTTGGGGCGTCGATATCTGAAAAAGAAAGGTGCTGACAGAGCCTTGGAAGATACAAAGTGATTCAATCAGGTATTAGTAGTGGAATTAAGAGATTTTTCATGATTTAAGTAGTTGTTGGTTCCATGGTTAGGTATTGAGGTTTATCTTATGGATCTACCATATTTAGAGGGTGACTTCGATAAAAACTTGAACTACTATGTATTTGCATTTATTGAGTAATGTACTAGGCATCTTCGATAAATACTAAAAGCAGTTCATTCTTTCTTTCTCTCAAATAGCTCAAAACTCGATATGCTCAGGGGTATCACTTGTTCTTCCAACTCAGGCAGAACCAAAAGAATGGGGAACGAAAGTAACAACGAAAAATGAAAAGGGGAACTGGGCTAGCTACAAGGACCAAATGGCCATGGACTTGAGAGTTCGGGAGGTCTAAAAACCAATAAAGTCTTGCTGCTGCGACATCTCGCCGTTATCCGTGCCTTCGATCAGCTCTTCGGGCATGTCATCGAGCTCATCTGAGTCGACATCATCTGAGTCAATCGCATCATACTCCTCCTCTTCACTGGACTGGTCAGATTCATCATCGCCGGCTTCGGCCTTATTTGCTGCCGCGGCAGCAGCTTTTCGAATTTGACCCGCGCGGTCAACATGGGGTAACTGGCATCGCTTCTTCGGGCAGACACCCGAGTTGGCATAGTCAGGACATTCGTGTACATGACGTTCGTCACACTCAGCACCTTTCTCGCAGTAACCTAGATTTGCAAAAGCACGACAGACGGGCGCACCTGGTGTCGTGCGAATATGAGCATAACGACAGTTATCATTGGAGCATCGGCCTTTCATGAAATGTAAACAAGCAGGGGATCGATGGGGCGATGGATCATGGGAAAGATCGCAGTTTTCACCTGCGCTGCAGTCGCCTGTCTGAAGGAAGCCCTTGCAGATAGCAACTTTGCTTGGGTCATGAGTGTACAGGCATGATGGGCCTTTGTAGCATGTACCTGGACGATTAAAAGGGGAGTGTTAGTTTCTGAACAGGAAGAGCATGTGGCGGAGCTGTGTGGTCCGTCGGAAAACGAAATACCGGTCGTTGTAAATCTCTTGCAGAGCTCGTCTCGCTTCTTAGCCGCACCGGGCTGCCTGTAGACATTGTTAGCAGACATTTGAATGTATATCATACGGGATCCACGCACTTCTTTGATGTGACGGCGCCCAGGCGATGCAGGTTGCCATGTTTACTGCGCACAAAGTTCACACCAGCAACAGTGACTCGCTTTGGCGTAGTATTGGCGGTGTTTGGATCATCTAAAACGGGTGAGCCAGTTCTGAATAGTTACTCGAGTTTGAAAAAGAAACATACCCGACATGCGCACCAATCTACTCCCTCCACGCGTGATCTTGAATGGGACATCATTGACAAGAATCTGTTGCGTAGCAGTAGACACAGATGCACTCACAGGACCCTGGGCATACCGAAGAACCTTGGATTGCTCACGCTCGGCACGCCGCCGTTCCTTGAATTTACGCGTCTCCTCCATAGCCTTAGCTCTAGCTTGCTTTTCTTTATCATAAACAGCGGAATTGATGAGCTGCATATGACGATCATTCTTCGCAACCCATCCATTGGACGTTGGCGTAGGACGCGACTCGCCATCGTTATCGCTCGCAGGACCAGGCGATGAAGTGGAGCTAGGCGTAGATCCTGATGCTCCGGTATTCAAAACCAGTGTGCGGTGTCGATGCGGAGCGGCAGGATGGCGGCCTCGACCACGGCCACCTCGACCTCGAGAATAGGGAGCCCATCCCTGGTGGGAAGGCACATGGCGAGAAACATATTGTGATTGATGGGATGGCTGAGGCGGCTGAGTTGGTTGGTTCTTGTGCCGATTAATTTGCCCTATCTCAGTTAGATCGCCACTTGAAGAAGTAATTATCAGGTGCCTTCCTTACCTGCAAGTTGACCAATTTTGGCCAGCAAGTCGTCGTTCTCAGTCATGGGAGCTATTTGGGGGTTGCTTTGATGTTAGAGAAAAGATGAGAGAGTTAGTCTTCGGGAATAGAAGATATTTGGATCTCTCCCGGTTACGAGAGATAGAGATAGTTTTGAGTTTGGGATAACAAAGAATGCAGAAAGTGAGGTGAATGACGAGTTGCGTTTGAGAGCTACCCGCTGGTGGCGCAAAACAGATCATGTGACTTGGAGATGTGATAGTCTTGGCGGCGCCTATACAGATCGACATCTAAACGCCGTGCCCACTCGTTCTAGACTAAGAGATTATACTAAATGACTCAATACTGACAATGTGAGAAGATCATTCGTTTGGTATTTTATTTCAATTACAGTAATGATTTTACTGGGATATGGGGCCTGATTGTTACATAGTATGTTTGACCCGTGGAGTATTTTTGACTAGTACTGTTTATAGTACAAGGTCATGAGCTTTTCAGGAAATAAATGGAAAGAAAAGAAAGAGGCTAGAATTGCATCTCGTCCTGGTCTGTCATCATTCCTGAGCCACTCGGGTCCTCATCAGAGATATCATCCATGTTGTCTGCTCCTGGCGCCAGCTCGGCTTTAGCATCGTCGTATGATTGCGCTGCATAATTAGCCTGTCGAGCTTCTGGCTTCAGCTCCCACGTCATAGCGAAGTCTCCGCTCTTGACTAGATGGGCTACCATCTCAAGAGTTTGCTTAAGGTAAGCTTCAGGTTGTAGTAACTTCGCCTTGAGCACCTTAAATGGATAATATTGGTACTCGCGGAAGAGGTGGAAAATCCGATCCAGCAGCTCATTTTGAGGCATACGCGTGAATTTGTTCTCTTGAGGTTTGGTTTTGAGGGATTTCTGGACATTCTGTGAAAATGTAAGTAGTTGAAAAAAAAACGGCAGAGTTAAGGGCTTGAAGCATACGGAATAGGTGCCAGAGTCTGTGGGAAGAGCATGATGCCGGAGTAGAATCTTGCGATCGATTTTTTCGACAAAGCGCGTCTCCTTCTTGGGTTTGAGCGCATCAAGAGCCCGTTTCTCAGATAGCGCTCGGAATTCCGCGTTTTCGACCGGTAGACAATTGAATTCTTCACTGACCCGCCCAATGAGACCGGTTTGTTCTGTAATGCGTTAAAGGGCGAGCCAATATCATCATAGAGATTTTTATTGAAACTTACTTGGCACAGTTTTTCGAACATAGGGCTCCCATTTTTTCCCCTGCTCCCTCCTTCGCATCTCACGCTTGTTATTTTCATACAGGGCCGAACGGGTCTCTCCGAATGCTGCCGCTCGAACATCGGCTCCTGGTACATCCTTTTCTGAGAATACATATGTGTTTTGAGTGATGTGTGAGGCCTTTTCGGATGTAACGGTTTGTTGTTGTAAAATATAGTCTTTGGGAATATTTTGGTTATCTGGTCGTTGGTGAAGTCGCAAGCTGACCTACACAATAATGTTTGTTAGACTCCACAAGCTACCTCCCAGTTGCGTACATTAATATGTTTCAAGCTAGACGTACGCGCTTCAGATCATTTGGCTCTCCTTCTATCCTGATTGTTCCGATCTCAATTTCTTCGTCGTCATCCAGCTGTGCCCAATTCTCCCAAAGCTCTCGAGGTAGGCGAGACATCCACACATGTTGGTTCGCTGCTGTAAAGTCCAGGTCCCCCGCATCTTCGTAAAGGTCTTCATCGTCCAGGTCATCGAGGATCATATCCTTGTTATCTGGGTCGGGTTTGATGTACATGGCATCAGGATCTTGTTTGATCTGCGCCATGATGAGCGATGGTGGGGGGTGACGATATGTCGAGAGTGAGACAGCTGGTACAGGTATGCGAATATGAGAACAAGCAGTTGAAAAAGAACAGAGGGAGGTGGTCGATGGAGATTGAATAACAAAGATCGGTTTCAGGACGCCACTACTAGGTAGCAGGCGGAGCTGATGGTCCAACTGCCAAGGGCGGTGAATATCTGAGCTGATGACTTCACTTTGCGAACGACTCCACTTCGTCGACCGGCGCAGCAACGAATTTGTATTTGTACTCGTTTCTTTTACTGACGGGGGACATCTGAGAGTCAATGTGCCTCTAAATTCATGGGTCACATCAATATGGCATCTTACCGAGTATCACATGGGCGCTTTTTCTAATCTAGTCCATATTTAGGAGCTGTCTAACTTTATTTGAATGACTCACTTCTGACCTGAACATATCTACTTTTCGGTTCTTACGGAATGCAATGAAATTACAAATGATCCCTTGAAAAATTCTATTCCACTCTCCTGCAAACAATTCAAGGGTTGACTTGCTCAATGTCGAAGATATCGGTCTTCCCTTTCCCCACTCGGGAGCTTGCCAACGAGCGAATAAAGCTTGTGCCATTCAACCCTGATCACCACGGAGGCACATTCTTTCGACATATAACCCCAGCTCTCTTTGAAAATATGAGCATTGGCCCATGGAAGTCCATCTCTGAGTTTAAATCAGCATTCCATAACGGCCCGGATAGACATATACTTTCTTTCGACAACCCCGAATCATTTGCATTTGCTATTATTGACAAGACACGGCCTCCGTCTTCAGATGACATCGATGGAGAGCTAGCAGGGGCGATAAGTTACATCAACACATCTGCCACCAATCTGTGCACCGAAATTGGCTTTGTGGTTGTTCTTCCGCCATACCAGAGAAGCCATGTGGCTATTAATGCAGCTGGACTTATGGTACAAAATGTGTTTGAGAGCCCAGATAATGGTGGCCTGGGTCTATGTCGGGCGCATTGGAAAGCAAGCACCGATAATCCAGCAAGCTCTCGATTAGCAGAAAAGGTGGGATTTGAGAAAATAGGCGTGACGAAATGGCACATGCGGTTTCCTAAGGGAGCGATCAAGGGAAAGATCGGGAATGGAAGGGGATTACCACCTGGAAGTGATCCTGAGGATGTATGGCGAGATTCTGTGGAGCTCACTCTTTCGTGGGAGGATTGGCAGAATGGTGCAGCAGAAAAGGCTAAAATCGCCATGGCCAGATAAAGCAAGTATCGCCTTTGGTTAAGGAAAGACACCCAGCCTGTTCCCATGATTTCGTGACTGCAGATCAATTTCAAACATTATTATTATTGTATTTATAACTCAACCTTCTAGTATCAAGCAGTAAGTTCAGCAGAATTTCATGATGTAAGTCTACGGCAGTTGATAATGGTCTCATCTCATCGTCGTCTCCGGCGTTTGTATCTGTCCTAACATCAAGGGGCAACCTGATAAACTCACTATTGTTCTTAAAGAGCTTTATAGCGGCAGCTTGGGAAATTAGAAATATTGGTAAAGCGCAAAATCTGTCTAGTAGCACATAGTTGAGGTGTTGATGGTAGTGTGATTTATTGCTCTTATCGATAAGAGATAAGCCCAGCCCAAGTCTTGATTCCCCGATTCCCCAACCTTACACCTCACGTCCACCTCCGCAACTGTTTCATCGCCAGATCTAGATGATTTAAGTGAGGAAACCAGTCCATTCTCCATATACAATTGCAGCTCTCTTTATACTGCCGCGATGGCATCACAAAAGGTCACAAGTGCTCTGGCAGCCATCGAATCCACACCCCACCAACCAACCAAGCTTCAAGAATACAACAGCCTCCTCAATGACATTGTCGCTAGCTCATCGGGTGACGAATTAGCTCAAGACGTAGTTTACTACCTTGACTCTATCCTTAACGAAGACATCAGTATTGTTGCCGCTCGACCCCTCCTCGACTCCTTCATCTCCGTCCTCCAAAAATTCGACCCCGAAGTCAAAATCAAAGTCGGTCAACACGCGGTCACGCTCCTCCAAACTCGCGCTACATCTGCCGAAGAGCAAGACTCACAGATTCGTGAGATATTAGCCGAAGCCTACGAGTCACAAGAGGAATACACTGCTGCGGCCCGGGCACTTCAAGGAATTAGCATCGATAGCTCGCAACGATTGGTTTCTGATGAAGCCAAAGCGAAGCTCTGGATCCGAATCGTGCGCTATTACCTTGAAGACGAAGACACCACCAGCGCAGAAACTTTCCTTAACCGCATCAAGAACTTACCCAGCAAAATTGAAGACCATGACTCAAAGCTATACTTCCAACTTTCGCAAGCTCGCATTCTCGATGCGCGTCGTCGATTTCTGGATGCGGCACAGGAATATTTCAACGTCAGCTTAGCTGCGGGTGTGGACGAGGGTGATCGGCTTGTAGCGTTGTCAGCTGCTATCCGGTGTGCGGTATTAGCGCCCGCTGGCCCACAGCGCTCGCGCACTCTTTCCCGTCTCTACAAGGATGATCGTGCTTCTTCTGTAGATGAGTTTTCTATACTCGAGAAGATGTTTCTTGATCGACTTCTTAACGCAGACGAGATTGCTGCCTTTGCTCAAAAACTTGCCCCCCATCAGCTTGCTGTCACTGCCGATGGCACGACTGTCCTTGACAAGGCGGTTATCGAACATAATCTCGTGGCAGCGAGTAAGCTTTATGAGAATATTAACGTCGATGCCTTGGGATCTATACTGGGTCTGAAATCTTCTGCTGATATGTCTGCGGGAGAAAAGGCCGAGGCCTATGCTGCGCGAATGGTTGAACAAGGACGTCTATACGGCCGGATTGACCAGATTGATGGAATAATTTCCTTTGACATTGGATCCACTGGTGGTTCCGCGTCTGGGGGAGGTCTACGACAATGGGATGTTGGGGTACAGGAGCTCGCAGAAGATGTGGAGCGAGTAGCGGGTAATATTTCAGAACAATTTCCGGTATGTTTCTCATTTCGATTCATAAAGAGTTATACTGAACCTCCATAGGAATTTCTTACGAGTCAAATGGTGAACTAATACCTAGAAATCTCTAGGTAGCCATTTAGCTATACTTTTTCAATGAAATCTTTACGAATTGATGCCAAATATGTGTTGTGACCATGCCCTATTCCGTTCATTCAGAACTTCTTTGCACGGGTCAACAACCCCATTGACGGAGTGAATAATATACCCGGAACCGCCAATGGTTTCTATCGCTCACTTTTAAATGGTCCTTCTCTCAATACAGACTCAATGCCAGCTCGTGAACGACGGGTATCTTTGTGCAGCCCAAACAAGGCACACCAGGCATCACTTTGACGATTTACAGATACTTGGATTCTCCTCAATGCTCTTTAGTTGGGGGCTTGCTAGAAACTACATGATTTAGGTGATTACAAGGCTGAAGCTTCCACATTGTCGTTCATTGCATCGCATAAATATCATATTCTCAATAATATCAGGGCTCTTGTATAAATGATTATAATAAACTAAGGACCGATATCAGCGCCACCTTTCATGGCAGCCCCCATAGCCTCATTTGTAGTCTGGTATCCCTTGAATTCCCTCGCTGGAACCCTATTGATGAACATCTCATCCAGCTCTCCATAAGTTCGACCTGCCGTCTCAGGTTGAAAAAACCATAGATATACCATACAAAGCACACACAGCCCACCAAAGACAAATGCCACTTTGGCGCCAAGATTCGCCTCATCTGGGTTGAATAGGTACGGCAAAACAAATGCCCACATAGTGTAGAGAGCGTTCTGTAGTGCCAATCCAATAGCGATCGTCTTGATTCGCAACCTAGAAGTTGACACCTCAGTGAGGATAGTATACCCTGCCGAGCCAATGGTCAAATTGTACCACCAACAAAAAACAAGAATGAGAGCGACAGTTCCCTTGATAGCACCGGGTGCATTTGGATTTCCAGTCTGAGATCCAACAACAGCAAGGCCACCTGTTAGCATAAGAATAACTGTTAACACGACCAAGCCATAAATCATCATATTACGGCGCCCAACGCGATCAATAATGAAATATGACATGACATTTCCAACAAGCGATACAATTTGCTGAGCTATCTGAAGCTTGAAGCTCATTGTCGTGCTGTATCCCGCTAGCTGCATGTAATAGGTCGAGTAGCCTGCAGTGAATATCACGCCCGATAATGCCTGGATTGTCAACGGCATGATGGAAATGATGGTACGGCGGAGATTTGATCGTCGGAAACACTCAATGTACGTGGCGCCCTCAGTCTCACCTCGCACTTCCTCGAGTGTAATTTTGATTAATGCAATTTTCTTTAGCTGCTCCCTCTCGTTATAACCCAGTCTGCGAAGCGATTTCTTTGCTTTTTCCTCCTGTGCCTTTGTGAGAAGCCACCAGGGAGACTCAGGCATAAACATAATAAAGGCGAGCGCGATGACAGCGAAGCCGTATTGTGCGACGAATACGGCGCGATATGCCCAGCGGGTTGTGAAGTTTCCAGTTGTGTTGGTTATGAGAGCGACGACAAGAGGACCGATCACATAGGCCAACGCTGTTACGCATGTAAGTGTACCACGAAGGGCGAGAGGGGCAATCTACATGAAAACGAATATCAGTATGGGGTGCAGAGTATGTAATGATGAAAGTATGGAACAAAGACATACCTCGCCAACATAGGTAACAGGAACAGAGGCCAGCGCGCCTAGTGCAAACCCATTCAAAAACTTTCCACCAAAGAACAACTGGTTAGTAGTCGCCACGAGCTCGACAGTAATACCCGCAGTGGATATTAACAGCGCAATGCCTATGGTTGTTCTTCGGCCAATACTATCAGCAATCTGGCCTGAACAAAGGGCACCAATAACTGCAGAAGCGACTGGGCCCCCACTGAAGGCTGATTGCCATTTGGCATTGAGAACATAATCCCCATCGTAATAAGAGCCGAAGTCTTTGCGGAACTCAGGAATACTAGTGACATTGCCAGAGGCTTGGTTTTCAAAGCTGACAAGCAAGATGCACCAGACGGCGTAGACGCACCAAGCAAAAATCAAGGGATATCTCTTGATGCATTGCCATTTGCCGAGTTCATGATCTTCGTGATTTGAAATATGTGCCAGTTGGTGAGAATCCACGCTTTCTACGAATTCTGAGGTTGCCTTCTCCATTTCGGGAAGACCTTGTGGCCTGGCGATAGGTGAACACACAGAGAAAGCGGGGAATGCTATTCACAGCGGGAAGAATGATCAGATAAATCTTGAAAGATATGCAATTACAGGAGCGGGCAGGGGATTTTATGCATCTCGGCTTGAGTCGGCGACGTATCCTGGCCAAACAAGAAATGATTCAAGTTGGCTAGAGAGTACATGGCAAGTGTACATTTTCAGGGAGGCAATTCGAACCGCTGGGACCAACTGAGAAATGCGGAGAGGCAAAGAATGATTCTGGACTGATCCGTACAAGGGCGAAAGCCAATTCATTGGATTCAACCACTTGCGGGAAAAGATCCTCCCCCGGGTGATATTACATCGGAGCCAAGTCTACATGTAGCTTTCATCCCGACGCCTCAACAGCCATGTAAATCATATCAATAAATAATTAGCTTGCTTTACTGCACAAGAAGACGAGATAGGTGGTTAAAATTTCCAATTTACCGGCAAAACCTCGGCAGGCCCAGCTTATACTTGGACTGAGCAAACTTAAGGAGCGCCCCGAACCCCGGATTACGCACCCCGCATTTGCTAGCACCGTGGAGACGACGATCGTCAATCGCTACTGAATTTGAGCTCGTTGAGTCATGCTGAACAGTGAGCCAAGAGTTTACTGATTTGAATTTGAAGGTTTTATTTAAGGTCTTCCATATCATGAGCAGAGTGTTGTCTTGATGATCTGGAATGCTTCCCACTGCGCGGAAGCCGAGATCGGAGGGCTTGGCCTACAATCGCGGGTTACAACGAGATCGCTGCCGAATAGTTACCGGCAGCAGTCGATTGCAGTGAGGTGATTGGTTTGTGTGACACCTCGCTAATGTCCCAGTTATAAATCTCCTTTGCGCTGAACATTCCCAATGGTGAATTAAAGACATCGGGATCTCCTGCGACTTCTGTCACTGACATGGCATGTGCTATGAACAATGAACAATGAAGGTATCGATCTAATACTGGAAGAGGAAATTTGTCGATAAGGACTCAGATATCACTGTTTTCAAGGGTCGTGGGTGGCCTTACAAATTTCTAAGCTCGACTTTCAAAGGGAGCTAATGACACTGCGCCTCAAGTCTCATTCGGTTAAGGACAATAAAGCGAAAGTGGGAAGAAAATAAGAGCCATCGGTATCGTCGACGGGAGTTGGGCATTTGTAGGCTATGGTGTCGAATAATCCAAGCAGCGTGTCCTACACTCTTTTTAGGCGTCCTATCTTTCTGGGCCCCGTGGATCCTTCAGTCTTGGCCTAGTAAGACTTACCAACTTTCCAAGCCAGATAGCATATTAATATTGCAACTTTGAATCATATTGCCAGGTTTTGGAAGTCAAAATGATCCACACGCGATCTTGAATACTAATTTTACGTTGGGGCGGAAAATATTGATCTGCCTGTGGTGGCCTTAATATCCAAGACATGCCAGTTTCATTTGAAGAACCCTATTTAATACACAGTATTAATAGACAGATATTCCTCGAGACTCTAAAGTATAATCTCAGCTCATTCTTTATTTGCAACCCACATAACAATACGCAGTATTGTAACTCTTAAGAACTCACCATTTGCTCAATTCAACTCTCACAACAAACAAGATGAAGGCCTCCGACACTCTATACTTTATCCTGGCAGTAACTGCATCTGCCAGCAGCTTCAAAGTCCAGGCTCGTTCTGACGAACCGGCTACTCTCGCTCTTTCCAACGACCTGACCAGAAGCTACGGAAGTGCTCGAGTCGCCAAGGACGGACTCCCGCATTCGATTGGGGTGCTATTTGCTTCAACCCCCATTAATGTGGGTGGTCAATTCAAGGCATCCTCTGCACAGCTGACAGCTGTTCCTTCCGGTGTCACCTGTGTGCTCGAAAACGACGGAGAACCCATCGCAACTCTGACCGAAGAGACTACCTATGCCGATCTCGATGGAAACCCCAACAAGGCTATCCCCATAGACTTGAGTGGTTCTAGAATCACCTGTACTGTTTAATTCTTTGGAAAGGTTGCCCTCGTGGTATATGCAAGATCTAAGTGCTCGGGTTGAATTGTGGATTTATGGCTGTACTTAACATTAGCTTTACATAATGTCATTTTCAAATTGTCGACAATATATACTGAGGCCTATAGATATAACAATGATATGGAAGCACTAGAGAAAGTGGTAGTCTCGATGAACTATATTGTGCTTTAATAAACAACTTTCATGCCGATCACGAGCGGTAGGTCGGTAGGAAGTAGAATGTCCGTCAAGTGCATTCGTTGATAAGTATCCGAGATCAAGTCAATCTCTTAGATCTAGCCGTAAACGCTCTTAGCTCACCATTTGATTAGACTAGCTCTGCAATAAAAGACTTCAAGTTCTCGAATCCGGGTAAACTTCGGCCTATGGCTATACTCTCGGTCATGCGGGGCTGGCGATGGCGGAGCTCGGTATCACTTATCCCGAATTAGTCCAGCTTGAGAAGAGGTATAACACTTCCAAGGCTGGTCATGATGTGTTTGAATCTATTTTGCTGAGACACGAAAGCCCATCTTTCGATCCCTATTCACCATTTTATCGCAATGTCTGCACAGCCATCAATTCAATCAGTAACTTTCGAACAACATGCCACAGGGTTTGGCATCGGCATCCCCAGACCCCGCATTTCCTGGAAGTTCGCATCAACCGAAGACACAATTCATAACTGGGAACAGACGGCATATGATATCGAAATTCGTCGTGGCAGCTATGCCTCGGAGCTCCATAATGTGAAAACAGCACACTCTGTTCTCGTACCCTGGCCGAGCCAATCTCTTCAGTCTCGCGAATCGGCTCAGGTCCGCGTGCGATCCTATGGTGGCCCGAATAATGAGTCGACAGAATGGTCTTCCTGGTCAAATGTGGAGAGTGGCTTGCTTGCATCCCAAGACTGGTCAGCGCGTGCAATTACAACTCCCATCAAGCCGTCCGGAGGTCCGCTACGCCCGATTCGCTTCCGAAAGACATTCAAAGTCTCTCCATCCAACTTAGAGTCAGCTCGCCTTTATATAACTAGCCTAGGGGTCTTTCAAGCATACATAAATGGGCATGCCGTTGGAGATCACTGTATGGCTCCGGGATGGACAAGCTACAATCACCGTCTGAATTACGAAGTCTTTGATGTATCGCCATTATTACAAACAGGTAAGGAGAACGTTATTGCTGTCGAGGTTGCCGAAGGGTGGTATGCTACAAGACTGGGCTTCTTGGGGGGTCAAAGGTTTATCTATGGCGATGAAATGGCACTGATAGCCCAACTGGAGATCAAATCTCGAGATGAGGATAAGCTGACGATCATAACTGATGCATCCTGGAAAAGTCACTTTTCTTCACTTATTACTAGCGAGATTTATGATGGAGAAGTTCTTGATGCCCGTGAAGAACAGGAAGGTTGGAATGAACAAATATTTCCTCACGAAGGATCTTGGGATGCTGCAAGGGAGACTACATTCCCCAGCGCAGATCTTGTGGCGCCTAACGCGCCCCCAGTGAGGGTGACTGAGATTGTCAAGCCGGTTGAGATCATCAAAACACCGTCTGGGAAGACAATCATCGACTTCGGCCAAAATCTCGTCGGTCGGGTCCGAATTCCATCCCTCACAGTTCGAGCGGGAGAAATTGTTACTCTCATCCACGCAGAAGTACTTGAGAACCAAGAGCTTGGCACTCGCCCACTTCGCGTTGCAAAATGTACTGATACGATCATCTTTGCCGGAAATGAGATCCGCGATTGGGCACCGCGCTTCACCTTTCATGGCTTCCGCTATGTCCAGATCGAGGGTTGGAATTGCATCACACTCAACAGTCTCGTTGCTGAGGTCATGCACACAGATCTCACCCGGACAGGATGGTTCAACTGTTCGCACGAAATGGTGAACAAGCTACACCAAAATGCAACCTGGAGCATGCGCGGAAACTTCCTCTCTATTCCCACCGACTGCCCACAGCGTGATGAGCGTCTTGGCTGGACTGGCGATATTCAAGTCTTCGGGCCCTCCGCCAGCTTTTTGTATAACACAGCTGGCATGTTAGGTGACTGGCTCAAAGATCTGTCTGCAGAGCAATTGGCACATGACCATGGTATTCCATTCTTCGTAACACCGAACGTCATCCCAGAGGCTCTCTGGCCAACACTCCCTCAAGCTGTCTGGGATGATGTCACCGTACTCTTACCATGGGCATTGTACCAAAACTATGGCGACGCAGATATCTTGCGAAGACAATACCCAAGCATGAAAGCATGGGTCGACACCGGCATCTTGCGTGGGCCAGATAATCTCTGGGATGACAACCTCTGGCAATTGGGTGATTGGCTCGATCCCACTGCTCCACCTGATCATCCTGGTAACTCCCGTACGGACGGGACTCTGGTCGCAGATGCATATCTTGTCCACGTCACGCGGACGATATCTTCCATTTCCCGAATCATCGATCAAAGCGCCGATGCAACACGTTATGAAGCAGATTACAAAGTTCTAAAGGCCCGCTTCCAGAAGAAGTATGTATCGCCGTCTGGGCTGATGGTCGGAGATACACAAACCGGTCTTGCACTGGCACTTCACTTCGATCTTATAGACGACCCGGCCCAGATTGCTGCCACGGGGGCTCGACTTGCACGATTGGTTCGGAAATCCAGCTTCCAGGTATCAACCGGGTTCGCTGGAACACCGATAATTACACATGCACTTACGAAAGCTGGGTATCCACAGCTCGCGTACCGCATGTTGCAGGAGAAGACTTGTCCCTCGTGGATGTACCCAATTACCATGGGTGCAACAACAATCTGGGAGCGATGGGATAGTATGCGTGCCGATGGAACTATCAATCCCGGAGAGATGACTAGTTTCAACCATTATGCTCTTGGTTCAATCATCAATTGGCTGCATCGGACAGTTGCTGGTGTGAGTCCTCTGGGGCCTGGTTGGCAATCTGTGCTTGTGAGGCCCATTCCTGGTGGTACGGCCACTTCTGCTGAGGCCGCTTACGACACTGCGTATGGAAGATTAGAGTGCCGTTGGACTCTTGGTGATGATCATCAGTTCAAACTCGATGTGGTTGTGCCGCCGAATTCAAAGGCGAAGATCGTGTTGCCCGGTGAAAGTGACGATGGGAAGGGGGACGACAGATGGATTGGATCCGGGAGCTATACATTTGAGACAAACTTTAATAGTCAGGTTGGATGGCCACCAAAGCCTTTGATTCCTCCTATGTGGGGTCCCGTGGACTCTTTTGTCTGATTTAGTACTTGACCGAAAAGAATCAAACAACTTTCTCTAAGTCTCTTCAAGAGTGCGGAAGGGCCATGATCTTGATATCAAGGTAACATTATTGCTCTCTCGTAATTCTAAACCTCAAACTATTTCGTAACGGCCGCTCCATCCACGGTAAGACATAATCTCCGACAACAGTCTCAACCAATTCAAAACCGCACTTCTTAAGTACCCCCGCTGAAGCCTTATTCTCAGTATCACAGTAAGCCTCTAGCACAGAGAACATCGGTCTCTCTTTCCAGAATATTTCCACAAACGCATTTAACGCCTCAGTCGCAAATCCATACCCCCACGCCAGCTGATGGAAAATGATCGCAACCTCTGGGACAGGATCCGAATTCCAAGTCCCCACAACTCCTAGCAGAAATCCAGGCTCGAAAAATGATTGGTTGAGATGCTTCTTCTTAGTTAGATTAGGTAGATGCTCGGCTGCTGCACCACTGCCATTGTCGTCTTTGTGACCGAGATTGGCACCGTTGATGCCCTCGCGGAGAAAAACGGCATAGTTCTCTCCCAGCGGATTCTTCTCTGGTAGTAACCCAGACATCCATTCCTCGGTTGCTGCATAATCCTTGCAGGGACCATGTGAGCTCCAGCGGGTCGCGATGGGGTCAGACCAAATTTCGTGGTAGCCGGATAAATGCTTCGGCGTTAATCGGACGAGATTAAGTCGCGGGGTTTCCATCGAGTGGGGTGTAGTTGCTGACCTCCTGGAATTTTGACGATACTCGAGTTTCGCAAAGGATTAAAATTTTATTTAGGCGGTACAGTCGGGTATTTGGATTCTTTTAGAGAGCTCTAAGTTCCTGATGAAAGTGAGCCTTGAAGTATCGGGGTCTTATTCGGAGTTAATGTGCCACGGGCGGAATGATCCGCTTCGTATTTGCGTTGTGGCTTTCTTGGCCGGAGATAGCCATGAAAGGTCTAGTATTGTGAGGCCAAGGAAAATAACAAGAAATCAAGAAATAATAAATATTTGTTTGAGAAATATGAATTTGTACAAGAGGGTTTGAGAGGGCTCGAAATTGACCACAACTCCTCATATATCGAACAAAATAAATAAACAAAGAATGTACAAGAATGGTAAAGTAGATGTGGGAAGTCATTTGCTTCGAGCGACGATCCATGGAGAGATGTCCTGGTCAAGACTCGTTTATTTTCTTTCATAATGAGTGCAGTGACCCCCAATAATGAATCAATGAAGAGTGTCGTTTCGTCGTATCGGCATAAAGTATGATTCAAACCCAGTAACTCAGTGATGACGATTCAACTGGGTTGTAGAATCATTATCGGGAGTAATAGCAATATCAGTCTGGACCTTGATATTCAACGGCAGTTCATCACCAAGATAGTTTCTTTTGCCTCCACTGTAGATCTCTGACTGCATTTTCATGTACTCTGGATCGGGCGAAAGCGGGCTATTCTTTGAGAGAATGTGCGTGTTGCTGATATCGGTATTAATATAGTATGGAGGATTGCTGCGGTTGGACCGATTCTTGAGACTAAACGCCGGGAACAACCCACGAACGATGGGAAGGCAAGAACATATCAATCCAACAGAGGGCTCAATGTGTGTCCAGAGTGTAGCTTGGTAAACGGTATATGTGGGATCAACAGGAGAGATCCAGAAGAGGACCACAATACGGTAAATACTGGCGAAGCAAACGAAAGCACCCAATGCGAAGACGCCGTTCAGAGCGAGTTTATCCTGCCATGCACGGTGCAGGCCCCAGATCATTGGGATGGGGAGGATGAGAATAACAAAGTCGATCAAAACGTTGAAGGCTTGGTTGACGATGAAGAACAAATTGGCGTTGAAGCAATGGCCTTCAACGCTTTGATCCCAGTATGCGCGTAGAGGGCGACATTGCCCGGCACAAGCAAAGAAGATGCCCGCTCCCCAAGCAGCGATGAGGCAGTTGAGACCGAATGTAAAGCTTTGGAATTTGGGCGTTGTAAATACTCGGCGGTAGAAGCAGATGATCGAGATTTTGATGGACGGGCACAAGACGAAGTAGGTGAATTGGTTGGCAAGGAAGATCTAGAATCGATTAGAACCCTTGAAACTGTCATGAGACACGAATAAACGCGTACCTTGTAGTAATTTTGAATCGTTGTATTATCTAGAGTCTTGACGTGGGCACCGTTACCTCCAATTGTACACCCTGGGTGATTTTGTCAGTTTATAGCCGATAGGAGGAAGGCCTGAATTGACTCACATAAAACCAACTCGACCAGCATAGCGAGCATAAGGAACATGGACAAGACACTAAGGTAGTCATCGACACCGAATCCCACTCTACGGCGTACACGAGCCGCGATACGTAACGCCACACAAATAACACACAGAGCGACCAAGACCGCAACGATCTCGATCATTTGCCAGCCTCTCGCACTAGGGGCCATGATGAGCAATAGTAAACATGTACACACAAAAAAACAAAGAAGGAGTGTGAGAGGTGAAAATGAATGAATGAATGAATGAATGAACTTCCGGGGAATCCCACATTCATGTGCCCTCCACTCTAGATAAATGGCCACGCCAACATCAATCAATCCGATAAGAAGAAAAAACCTGCCAACTCGCAAATCAGTGACCACATAGCGCCCCTCCGTGGGCGATCTTCAATTAGTTGATGTTAGCCATGAAAGCGGGATAGGCAATTACGACTTCGCATACTCCATAGAAGTGGGTATCATTGTCCCGACTTTCCGTGTTTGGGTCAATTAAGCTATGACTCGGCATAGAATTGAGAATCCTGTTTTTGGGTCGCCGTGACTAGCGCTGCCTATCATGGCCTAGAGAGGAAGGCTACAGCAGCGGTGACACAGAGGCAATTGAAGTGACACATGCTTTCTGTGATTGATTGCTAAAGTGGACCTTAGGGGTTAGCGAGACAGGCCTGGTGGGGCTGAAGTGGATTCTGCATAGTTGATCGGGAAGGATGGCGTGCAGATCACATCTGATATGCGAGTAATCCTGGGCCTTGGGCCACGATCAAGCTGAAAAATGTGATGGATGAGTTGAATGGAATAAAAAGCATGGCTGTGTTATGGCTAAATTATCAATCTTGATTACATCGTATGGGTATAGCTTTTATTGTAGTTGCCAGTATGGACTCGGAGTATCGGGGTCTCATGATTCTCAATACCCATTACAAGTATCCCTGGAAGCAGTTGTACATGCAAAATCTCATATATAAGGTTCTGAATTCGAGAGTATGCATACATAATTCTAATTCAAACCAAGTATATGTATGTTAGCTACTTTTGCAGATCCCCAATAGTTCAATACAACCCGCGTTCATCGAAAACTATTGGATGCCAAGCCAGATGCGCACGAGAGTATGACACGCCAATTTATGCACAGAAGATTCCAAGAATAAACCCAGATCTGTTGGCTGTGCGAACACGAGAATCAAATATAATAAATATATGACAGAAGGACCAAGCGACGCCAATTCGCCTGCCATGGTGGCTCGTTTCCTCACGCGACGAAGATCCAAGGTTCCATGTGGAGCCTCGGGCTTCAAATAAATGGAGTATGGATCCTGGAGTGTGGGGCACGCTATTGAATGTCAAAAACTTCTTCACACAATAAATGAGATCTTTGGACGATTGTTACTGTCATATAGTACCAAGCCAAATGCCCCCAGAGTTAATTCGAGCTATGCAACCTCGGTCACAACATTCCATAAATAGCAAGCCGTAGGCCAAACTCAATGACTACACAGCCACGTTGAATGCAACGGCGCGACTTGAAGTACGCGCAGCCATAGATTAATGCATTTAAGGGGCTTTAATTTTCGATCAATGTACAGGAGTATGTAGATCTTATTGGGCATAGGAAAACACTAGTGTGTGGAAACAAGCTTCATGTATGGAGGACATAGAAATGATCTACAATTTGATCATCTCAAAAGCGAGTAGAAAGCCAGGGTTGGTTGACCTTGTCCACCCCGATCGTCAACTACCATATTATATTATGGGTTTTAGCTTCGTTATACTGGGTAATAACTTCGAGGGTTTCCAGACACTCATGCCGACTACTTGACACATGGAGCTATCAAGGTCTCGACTAGTATGCGGACAGCGCGCCGTTGAAGTTTTCAAATTGTTTTATAAATCGACGTCATCTTGGAATAAATTTGGAGACTAAGATATAACATTTGAATGGAATGCACGTATGATAAAAGCTTGAGGGACAATGTCGATTATACAGTAGTGTGCTTTATTTAAAACCGGACCTCTTCACTAATTATCAACCCATTCGTAAATCACAGCCCTGCTTCATATTTCATCCGCAAGAGGTCATAGTTATCCTGAAATGGCCCGGATCAACTGATCTTTATCTGCATCGTCCTCGACCATTGCCCGGAAGACACCATTCTCAATCTTTATCAAGTCTCGCGGGTGCCCGAATTCCACTACCGTTCCACGATCCAAGACCAAGATTTGATCAAAGTCAGCAATCGTGCTCAGGCGGTGGGCAATAACCAGGAGGGTTGAAGAACCACGTCCAAATCTAGCCCGCAATGCCTGCTGGATCTGCTCATCCGTAGCATGATCGACCGCAGATGTGGCCTCGTCCAGCATTAAAATTTTTGGATTGGAAACAACCGCACGGGCGAGACAAAGAAGCTGACGCTGGCCTTGGGACAGATTCAACCCTCCTTCGGAAACGGGAGTTTCGAGTTCTGATGACGTGTTTTTAGTAGATCCTGTGTACTGCACCTCTGTTAGGGCAGAGAGAAGTTCACTGTCATCGTGCTCCTGGAATGGATCAAGATTGGATCGAACAGTTCCTGAGAATAAGACGGGATTCTGTGGAATTATGGCTAACCTGCTACGCAAATGAGGCAATTTAACCTTGGAAATGTCGATTCCATCAATGAGAATGCGGCCCTGGCTGGCTTCTAAGAATCGAAAGAGAGCCAGAGCCAGCGACGACTTGCCTGCCCCGGTCCGGCCAACGATGCCGACGCGTTGGCTCCCTTCAATGGATATGTTAAGACCATTGAGCACTGGCGGCAAGTCAGATGCGTACCTCACGGCCAGATCGGTTATCTCCAACTGGCCGTCTGTTGGCCACGCGGCGGGGGGATCAATTCCGTCGTACAGTTCCGGCTCCACGTCAGAGTATTCTGCTACGCGGTCGACAGCATTCAAATCCAGTTCTAACCCAGTATAGACCTGAACTAATTGAGTCATGGCGCCATTTAGCTGGATTGTAAACCCAATCGCAAATCCAGCCGCGGCTGCATCTGCTCCATTTCGAGTCGTAACCATAACGGCAACACATGTGGTGAAGATTGCCCCAATAATATTCATTCTCATTCCTAGCCAACGTGTTAACAGCCACTGGTGCCAGTATGCCCGAGCGTGACCATCCACAAGCTGTTGCATTTGCTCAATATAAATGTCCGGCTTTCCATACGCGCGGATCGTCCAGAGCCCGCTGAGCGAAGTGTTGAATTTCTCATATATGGGGCTGCGAGCGATGTTTTCCATGCGCTTTACCTCCCGCGCCGCAACAAGATATTTGCGGGTAAAATAGAGACACGCCGCCACCAGAGGAATGATTGCAATAATCAGCAGAGGGTTGACAAGGACTCCCGCGAGAATCACACTGCCGCATTCCAAGCCGGCGGCCAGTATGAAGACTAGATCAAGACAGATTCGAGAGTCGACCACGCTGAAATCAGCTGAGAAGCGATTCAGAATCTGACCCATAGGGACTGTGTCCAGCCACTGGAGAGGTGCGCTGAGTACGCCGCGTAGAGACGTTTGGAAGAGACGTTCCGATGCACTGAGCGCGGGAAGGAAGACGAGGACGTTTTCTAACGAGCCTACGAGCCATTGGCAGACGGCGAAAGCGATGTAGATACCCAAATAGAACTTCAAATCACTCCCTACCATGCTTGGTGCTTTGATGGCGGTCTCGGTATCATGATTGCTCCAGGTACGTAGCCACCAGCTCTGTTGCAGGTCAGTATACCAGGCGGCGTACTATTTTCGCGAGATGAAAAACAAAAATAAAGACTTACATTTCCAAGGATGAGTGACATATACGCCGCACTACCAATGACCACCAGGGCCCATAACCACCATTTGCCGCTTGCTCCTGCATATTGCATAAAAAGCTGCGAAGTGGACTTACTCGTCCTGCCTCGCTCCTTTCTCAAGAAGATTCGCGCTGCCTGGCCAAATTCTGGGACGCTCTGTGCAGTCACGGGTCGATCGGGCTCATCATGTTGCTCGAGGGGCCACGAAGGTACATCTTCCAACAGCACATCTTCGTTCCCACTGGGCTTCTCATGCGCCTTTGAAGAATTTAACATGTCATTCAGCAATCCGCTTTCATGTAGTTGAGCGGCCAGACCGGTGAAGCCAACCGTACCATTTTCCAGGTAGACAATATACTCAGTCTGGGGCAAGCAGATACCGACATGATGCGTGGTAAGAATTCTAGTTCGACCGGCAGCCAAGGGCCCGGTCAGTGCGTACTTGTACAAATGCTGCGCAGTATGGACATCAACCGCGCTAAAAATATCATCCAGCAACAAAATTCCCGCGCGAGAATACAATGCCCTCGCAAGAGAAACACGGGCTTTTTGTCCACCACTAAGGTTGACCCCGTCGGGGCCGACTTCGGTTCGCTCGCCATCGGGGAAAGTCTGCAAGTCCTTTTTTAAAGCACATGCATATATCACATCCTTATATCGCTTTTCATGGAAAGGAAGTCCAAAAAGAATGTTCTGCTTGATATTTCCCGCTTCAATCCACGGCATCTGAGCCACGTACGCCGTGGCAGACTCTAAGATCCAGTCTCCATTGGCTGTGTATGAGCTCCAGACACTCTCGGGATCTGGCTGAATAGGAGCCTTTACCTGGCCTGTAATGATATCACATTCACCTAGGATAGCGGCCAGTAAAAGGCTTTTGCCTGATCCTGTCCGTCCAGAAATCAAACTCAATTTGCCACGTGGAAGCTCTAAATCGAGACCCTTCAGGGCCCAGAGAGTTGTAGTAGATTCCAAGGCCCTTGGCCAGGCAATTGTGGCATTACTGAAGCCAATATTGTTGGATGGGGTAAGATTTTGCATCTTTTCAGGTGCACGAAAATAGTCATCCAGGCGGCGTGTGCTAATCAAAGCGTCCAACATGTTCGAGAGTAGATCAGGAATTACGCCCAGCGATATAGTAATTGACGCCATAATCGATGTTGCAGTGAAAGCGACCGAAGCCGTCAGCCCCTTGTGTAATGCGGCGTAGACGCCTAATGAAGCGACAGATAACGCGATCGGACCAAGTAGATAGAAGGACATGATGCCAGCATTCCAGCCAAAAATTCGGCGCTGAGCTGAAAGCTCTTCCTTTCTCGCGGTAATTATTCTATTTGCCCACTTGCCTTCCAGTCCAGAGAATTTGATCTGACGGATCCCGTGGAGTACCTCGGTGAGGATGGTCATCTTCTTGTCTCGCGACGCCATCAAGTCTCTACTCGAGAGTCCGTATCTTCGACTGCAAAGCATGACCATTGGCATTATAACAGTGATACATGCAAGGCCCGCCGCTAAGCTTTGCCAGCCAAGAAGGTTTGTCAACATGACCGAGGCAATGATCACCTTCAAGGGAGCAAGCACCAATTGATAAGAGTAGGTCGCAAACCGGGCGATTCGTTGGCCATCAACCGCAACCAAATTGATCGTATTCTGAGCACTGGAGTCCTTGTCATCGTCGGTATCATTTTCGCTTGTCTTAGGACTCTTGGACCCCGTTAAGCGCATTGCCTTGTGGAAAGCCATGATGGATATCTGCTCAATTATTCGTATTGAGACCTTGTTGAATGCAATCCAATTTACCCACTGCTCAAGTCCAGAGGAGCAAACAATTGCCAAGCCTAATAAGAATTCCCATGCCCCTAACTGCAAAGGACCTTCTGTTTGGCGAGAGTCAGATTCCAAGGCTTGGAGGATATTCAATAGCACCATGTGCGGCGTGAAAGAAAGCAGCGCCAGAAAGAAACAAAGAATTGCTGCCCACACAAGATGTGCACGATGAGAGCGCACCAAAACCTTCCACATCGGCGCAGGAGTTGTACAGCCGGCTAAGCTTTTGGTCGTCATTTCCATTGCCCCTTTGGCCTCCGCAAACGATTCTTGGAGGCTGCGTGCTCTGGTGTCATGGTCCAGCTCTGGAAGACTAGATGGTTCGAGCTCGTCCCCCTGATGGGTGAGGCGTAGAACCTTGCTTGCCCAACTGAATGTAACACGACTAAGAATCGAGGTGGAGAGTTCGCGGTCAACCATCATTTCATTGTGGTACACATCGGGGCGGCGAGGGAGCAGCAAGCAAAGGACCGCTGTGGCTAAATGACATCCAAATTCTGCACCCAACAGACTTCTTTGAGTTCTGTCCAAATGCGAGGGATATGATGGATATGATAGATAGATCTCGAATGCGAGGGAAATCAAGCCCAAAACGCAACCAATGCTCAATTGGAAGGCCAGAGAGTAGCGTAAGGTACAGAGTGGCTCCACCAGCAATACAATACATCCAGGAAGTAAGAGAAGCTGACCGAGTCAGAAAAGGCAAAGAAATCTCAAGAGGGCCGCGTCACTTACCGAGATGCCACAGTGCAGCCATTCCTCTCTTGTCGAAACGATGACCGCTCGTGATAAAGATACGGCACCTGCACTGGTGGTTAAGATGGCAATAATAAGGCGTTGCTTCCATCTCAAGGTGGCCTGCAATTCACCAAATTTACTCTCGCCATCGAGGTCACGATGGAAGTACTGGGCGAATTGGTCGGTAGTGCGAAACACGCGACGAATCCAGTTTGTTAGGCTCTGAAATGCGAAACGAGTCAACCAAGCTGTCAAAACCAAAATGGCAATTCTGACATCTAAAGTCTGGACCATAATACCCCAAATTTCTCTGGCCTGAGAGTTTGGATCTAGTTTGTACAAAAGGAAGCAATCGGCCACCGCTAAACATGGCTGGGCACGTGATTGGGATCTGCAAAGGTACCTGGCAATCAGACGTGTAAAATCAGTTCTTTTCGGCTCAATTTGAGATGTGGGTCATTGTATTTTTAATTTTCAGGGGCCAGCTGAAAGTAAATAATGACATATTTCCTTGCTCCACAATAGCGCACTCAGATATTTGAAATTCTACCCGGTGTCATACTAGGTTACTAGGTAGTATTTTCTGAGCCAATGCAGGTCTATATTTTTCGTTAAACAATAACACACGCCCAGGTGATAGCACCTCAGGCTGATCTTTTGATACTATTTACTCCATGGTACTGGACATTCAAGGTTCCCTTGTCTGACTTGTACATAGGCTTGCGTCTACTAGCATGTAGCCTTGGAATTCCAAGTCTTAAAGTGCCTTTGCTTTTATTCACAATATCTCCCAATAAGTTGATATAGCGGCCGTTCAACTCCGCAGCAGTCCCCCCAAGAATGTCTTCTTGATGGACTGTCGATCCTTCTGGGCGCCCATTATGATCAGTTCGTCCGCAATCTTGACTAAGCCATCCACTTGATCGGGCGTGGGCGTCCAGGTGATGGCCATATCCCAGTGTAAAAGATATAATCCCGAAAAGACCGCAGCTTGGAAAACCAGCTCGTCGGCTACTGGACCATATCCACTTGTAAATCCATGCACCATTGGCAGTGCAGCTTGGCAGCCTTCAAGGTGATACTGTATTAGATTTATCATTGCAAATACTCCAATGTCCTGCATGCGAAATCCAATGCGGCACGCTTCCCAGTCAATAACAGAAAGACGAGTATGTCCGCCATTTTCTGCTGTCTGGTAGAGAACACTGATTTTCTATAAGTATATTTTCAAGTTAGGATGAGGCAGGTGGCACACAAACGTACTTTTTCGTAGTTATATCTCCATAGATCACACCTCGTCCGGCTCCATCTTCACCAGTAAGCAACTCCTTGGTCAGTTCTGTGACGGCAGGGTCGTAGCCACGGGCACGAATCTGTTGGTCCATCCCCCGGTGGATGGCTTCTTGAACCGCGTGGTTTGGTTCGAGCGTTTTGAGCAGACCAGGATCATCCTGCTTACTGGCCCAGTCATGGAAACAACCCAACCACTTACCAAGTGCTTCGCCAATTTCAGTAGCAATGGAATGATCCATTTGTTTGGTCATATCGAAAAGCCTCTCGCTATTGGCGACATCCTCCATGATCTGTGTGGTGGTCTGAGGATTGAAATCATAGAAGCGTGGTGACCTCACGGAGATCCCACGGCAAAGTAAGGGCTGGAAACAAGCACTTTCCAGACGCCGAAGCATATCCTGCTCGACTACCTGCAACACTGCTGTGAGTGATGTCTCCCAAAAGGGCCAAATTTGAGACAAACTTACACAGCGACTGGTGGGAATGAATATGTCCGCGGCTTCAGAACCGTAATCTTCACCATGTTTGATGATAACCGTCTTACTTCCATCAAACAAAGCATCGACGAGCTGCCCTCGAAATGTAAAGTTCATCATTCCACCCGCCACTTGCTCCAATTTCGAGCAGGCATAAGGTGTCTGACTAAGGTTTTCGATCAATTCTTCCTTCAGCCCCATCTTACAGCCTTGATGAGACATGACTATTGCTTCTATGTTCAAGTTGGAGTCGATCCCGTCTGAGTAATATCAAGTTCAAGTTTGTATGGGTTTGTGACCCAACTGTTGAATCTGAATTTGTTTCCAAGATGGGAAAAGTAGCATGTGACCAACTTTTACGTAGAGGTGAGGGGGCAACCCATAATGTATGGCGATTTGAGGGATGTGGTGCATGATTGGACGACTCCTAGCGTTGATCCATCTCAATGAATAAATTCTACTCGCGTTACAGGACCACTGCAAGACTCACGCGGCAATTGATGAACAAACAAAGACGCATACATTAAAACACTTGTGGAGTCTACCCTGCTGGATAAAACTTGAAATTGCATTGTGGTTACGAAGTAATTTACACAAAAAAAAGAAAGAAGGAAGGGAAAGCAAAACTATCAGGGGGGTTTCAAGCCACTACACAGAAGGGCCTTCTCGGGGATTCGTACCGGTAGATGCTGAGGTAAATACGATCTTACATGACGAATAGGTATTATAAATTACTCTCATCCCGGTGTACATTTTGTATTTTATAAATATTTTGAGTGGCATGTAATGAGGCAATGGAAAAGAGATGAAAAAGATCGGCTCGAGTGAAACTGGGGCCGAAGGAGCGGTGAACATTTATTTTCCCCTTAAAAGCGTGTGAGGGCAAGTCCAAGTCCTCATTGCTTGTGCAGGTGTTCTTGGCTTATTTTATAATTACATGTACATGTCAGTATAGATACTCCATACCGTATTACGATTGAAACTGCACATGCGATCGTCGATCGAAACCTTGGAATTAATTCCATTTCGGATCGAAATCGGGATCGCCCCACCCACATCCCGAAGGAAAGGGGCCCACAGTTCAGCTGTAATCCTTCCGCTTCTGCATTCAACCAGGCTTCCGGTAAGAACCTGCATATACTGACTCATTTTAGTCCGCGCTTTTTGGGCCATCGTGTAAAATGTTTCCAGGAAAGTAGCAGACATCTTACTCGTCGTCCGCGCCCCATTTACGGGTGAGTAGGTATCGGATATACTCGGCTTCTCAACATGAACTCGGCAAGCAGACTCCGAGTCCATACGAATGCTACTTGCGGTAACCAGTTACTGCCTTGCGTAACATATTTTCAATGCACCCTCAAAGTCTTTTCCATCATTGATGTGAGCTCGACCAAAAGTTAATATTATGGCAAATACTTCAAGTCCTTCATTAGGTGTTGTATTCCGCACTTCTGGGGCTTAGTACTAGTACTAGTATATGCATCTTATAATTGCAAGTAGCTTGTGGTGATGTAAATCGTAGATTAAATACTAGTACGCGCAGGATCGTAGTTCTGACCTTCAAGTTCTTCAACTTGAAGTTATACTATTAAAGCCGGACAATTGGTGGGAATATAATTTTGCCCCGAGCGAATTGCTCCCGCTACCAGTTCATACTCCCGATATGTACTTTCCTGGCAGTCGTGATCCCACATCCATTCTGGTCGTCCCTCGGGCTCGTATTCGGGCTTCTCAAAGGAGTCCTCTTGTATTGACCTGCCTTCTTCTTGAACAGCAGTTGCTCGGGGATATCTGAATGAAAGGTTAGCATGAAACTTTGAGTTGCAATATGCCCCAAATGTAATTATTCATAACTTAGGGAAGACTTGGGGATATAGATGCGCACCTGATTTTCTCTGTTACCTCTAATGCTAGCGGCACGTCGTTTTTCCCAGCTAACTCCAAGGCAATTGCCACCACTGCGCCATCCTCAATTGCCTGGCTTCCAGACTGAGCGGACGCCGGGGGGGTAGGGTGCGCAGCGTCTCCAATGACCATCATCCGGCCAAGAGGAGATCGCCAGGTTTTCAAAGGCTGATACGAGCTGATTTGAGCCTGGATAAATCGACCATTATCGGCTTTGCGAAGGATAGGCTCAAGCTTCTCTCGGAGTGGCCATTCTCTAATCCACCCAATAGCTGTCTCGATGTTTGGCGATTGGCGAGCCATTTCTAGCTCAGATTTTGTCATCAATGCCTTATCCTGTAGTATAGCGCATTAGCAGTTTTTCACTATGCGCTGAAAGTTTTGTGATTGAAAGTTCTACCTTGTGAGCAGCATACCACACTGTGATATTACCTCGTTGTGCAGTAAAAATACTCAAATGCATGCCATGAGTCGTCCAGACTTTGTACACATCTCTTGTCGTTTCACTTTCACTTTCTACAGCCCATCGGGTTTCTGGGTCCTGTCGCAGAGCCTCTGTATCAAGAGTACCGCGGAAAGTAGAGAAAATTGGATCCAGTTGAGGTTCTTGGAAGTCAGATTTCGTGATGATGGATCTCCCCCGACTGTGAATACCTTCGGCGCAGATGACACAGTCCGCGACAACCTTCTCTCCATTCACAACCACGCCGGCTTCCTGACCTGTTTCCCAGTAATCTGTAACAGAGCTGTCATGCTGAATGTCGATTCCCAGGAATTTTGCATGCTCATACATCACCCGTATAAGACTGGCTCTATGAATCAGGTACCCCTTAACACCGGTAAAATCATCGAATGAAGTGGGATTGATATATTTCCCCGTGTGCGACCAGGTATGGACATGCTTGATGTCGCTTGCAAAGTCTTGTAGGTGCTTATTGACGACTCCATTGCCCCATTTTCTTATGATGCGCGCTGCATTCGGACTGATTCCGATCCCGTCACCATCTAAGTATTTATGTTAGTTAATGCACTTAGACTTTCGTGGGGCTTCATACTTGTTGGGACCTCTGAATGTCTTTCTAATAGAGTAACTGAATGACCTTTTCGGTGGCATTCAACGGCAGTCGCCAATCCCGCCAAACCAGTTCCAACCACAATGACCTTGATTTTAGACGAGTGGGGAGCTGCAGTGCCATTTGGACGAGAACCCTTAATGATGGACATTTTGGGATTAGTTGACTTTTCTGGATCGAGCGATCGCACTTCGCTGCGTTTACTTATATCGCAAGCCAAAATATTTGTGTTGTTAGGTGAGCCAACTCGAGAGCCGAAAGCACAGTCTCAACACGTCTGTATCCACTAAATATGGGGGCTTATTCCCATCCCACTCGAGAAATAGTTGGCATTCTCACGCTATGGCTGTATGGCCCGTACGACATCAAGATTGACAACTGACTACTCGAAGGCAAGTAATTAGACTTCACTAGTCGCAAGATCCCGCGGAGACCAGTTCTTTGAGCAAAGTGGAGCGTATTCAATACTGATCCACTCGAGCAGTGGCCCCTGCTGATCATTTGAGCATGTGTACAGTACACATTGTACTGTACTCCGTACTCAGCGGAGACAATCCGAGTTTTTGTTTGCTTTCCCCTTTTTTCTGTCCTTTCTTTCATCTTTACGGGCGAGTCAACCATTACGAATCTCATTCTCATTACCACATCGTTTATGCAATCGTGCGATCCTGTGCGCAAGGGAGAGCCCGGCCCACATTTCATGAAGCACGACAGCTTTCCAATTCTGGAAGTTCTCCGCCACCTCGGCCTGTAGGACTCGGAACGGGATGGAAAACTTGAATACTAGTACGTTCCAGATACTAACAGTATTTCACACACGGAATACATATTCATGTAACTAGTCACAGAATAAATATGCAATAATGCGGGCTTCAATTGAATTTTTCAAGGACACATTTGCTTCTGCATTGCGCAAGTCTCACACAAGATGATTTTATCAGAGGCTCCATGGACGACCAACCAGCCAGCCACAGTGATGTTTTTGCATTATGAACACAAAACTCAGCTGAAGCAGCGACATACTGCAGATTATTCAAATTTTGGTCTTGAATATATCACATTGCCTATTCTCCGGATTTCAATCCGATCGAACATGTAGTCATAGATAAAAGATTATAGTAATATCCAGAATATATCTAGATCTTGGAATTTATCACCGACGCAGCTACGAGAAGCTGTAACCGATGCATACTACTAGAGAATATGCCATTTAGTACTACTACTCAACGGTTGATTAATAGTATGCCTGCTAGAATGCAGGTTGTTACTATTCATCCTGGGGGTGGCCATATACGTTGTTAGATGTTGCTATTTGATACATCACGTTATTTGATGTTGTTTTTTTAGTAGTTTCTACCGTAATTTATTTAAAATTGGCAGAATTCTTCTGTTTTGGAAGGTGGGCCTCTTTGGTCTCATATGTAAAAGGGGGCCAGTATGTATGTCGATGAAGGATATCCCAGTGTGTCGGGACGAACTCCCAGGGGCAAATGACATCAAGGTAGTTTTCTTCGAAAACTCCACATAAGTCTACCTAAATACACATGCATTCAAGGTTTCACAAATCGAGAAAATATGGGGCATGATCATCCCGACTTTTTGTAGATTTCTCTTGAATCGGCAAAGGTGCATGGGATACTAGCTAGTACCTAGTCAAGACCATCTCAGTCTCGGTATGAAAATTACCGAGGTGGTCAATGAAATCAGCCTTTTGTTTTACTAGCTAGACAAGCTGCCACTGGGTCTGTGCCCATTAATGTTGACTTACCTAAATCCTGGATATAACTTGACTAACTACATAGGATTTATTAGGTTGTTTTCCCACTGCTCGATAAATTCAACCATCACCACATTTGTTACTTTTTTGTCTAATCATCTTCATCCATCCCTCTGAAAGTCATGCCTGGTAGCATCCATGAATCGCTGGAGAGTCTTCCACGCCCAGAAAGCCTGATCGCCGCCGTGACCAGTTCACAGGATCTTTCACCAAGTGTCAGCTTCTATGCAATTGACCAGTCCATTCCCAGCCCTCAATGTTTCCCCGAACTTCCCCACGACACGTATATTGGCGGTCCCAGCTCGAGCGCCGCCTCGGCATTGGACAGTAAAAAGCTGAGGAAAAAGCTCAACGGCAGTGCCAAGGCAATAGAACAACTTCTGGGTGTTCTGTCGAGCAATGAAAACGGGGCGAAGAAGATCAATTCGGGCTGCCAGGGTGTTTTTTTCTCTAAAACGCCAATTCCTGGCCCCGGTGGCTATATTGCCAGGATCTACGGCGGCCTTCCCACGGAGAGATCATGGGGAAGAATCTCGGAACAATACCTTTCGTATAAGGGAATTGATTTGAAATCAACACACCAGGTTGACTCAATTAGCATCAACACTGGCGTCTGCCTCTTTTCGCTACCTACGCTTGGGCCAATTTCTGAACACTTTCGCGTCGCCCAGGATACACCCTTGAATGTGCCAGATCTACCAATCAATGAAAGACCTACCTTGTACGAGCTGGAAGGTGTCAGTCGGTTGGCATCTGCCATTGCAGATATTGTCTGCCTCATTCAAGAAAGACCCTGTCCCGCGGATGTTGAGATCAATATTGATGTCCCTGATTTCCAGTACTACTGGTCTATCTATGATTTCTACCACGCTGGTCTTATCGACACTAATTTTGTCCGTCAGTGGATAGATCTAGTCGACGAAAGGCACAGTCAGATGGGATCCATTATGATCGCGGCGATAAAAGCCCTTATACGCAGCGAAATGCCTGGTTTGGACATCGATAAGCTGCGTATCAACATCACATCCGGGTCCGAGACAGCAAGCTCGCTGATAAAGAACTGCTTGGCATATGGTATTTCTCCGTCAGTAAACGAGGTCATCTTCTCGCTGAGGTCTTGCCCAACTCACGGCGAGTTGTGGCAGGAGTTCTTCGCAAACCTCGATCCTGATGAGGCGATGGAGACTGTGGCCGATATAAGCAGGCTGATATATGTCTTCAAAGCTGTTCTACCAGCCCTTAGGCGAAGACAAAGATCAGACAAAACACACATGATTCTTCAAGTGGATGATATCGGTGAGCATCGAATTTTTGATAGAGCGGAGGCATTCCTCAAGACCTACAATGGTGCTGGATCACCAAGCCCAGTTGATCAGCGCTCTGTTATCATCGGCCTTTTTCCGTTGCACAGAATTAGCATGGCCCATTTGGCACATGGCAAGGCTCTGTACGTCCATGCTCCGCTGGACAGACTTTTCATTGACAGAGCAACTGGGGAGTCTATGACGATCATGAGGATGATCAGCCTTACCTATGGTTCAAGGATTGCAAAAACGGTGCAGCAGGCCTTTGCCCAGAACTGTATGTATGCGGAATAAACTTTCAATATTTAATTTCGGGTCTCTGAAAAATAAAACTGAATTCACGTACATCGATACTTCTTCTCTCATAAAAATGACCTAGGTAGCATTCAGATTCAGATGCCTGTTCTCACGGGAACTCTTTTTCCTTCTTTATTTCCAAGGTTTTTCATTTCTTTTTTCCACTGGTATCAGAGATAGCAATTTATAATTATATGTATAGTGCACGTCTGCGAGATGGCTTTTACACAGGTTCTATAGTTCAGGATCGAGAGTTATATATGGCCTTGGAAATTCAAGGTTTCGGATAGCAATGTAAATATCCTTGCAGCAATAGTATAGCTCAAGCAAGAAACCTGAGCTTGCATGGTCTTCTTCCAATTTCTGGCTCGATTTCATTGGTGACAAGAAGCCACTTTCAAAACGGAAGCGAGATCGGCCAAACCTAGATCCTTTTTTCGAGTTTGACCTCCAATGGCTTCCCTCTAAAGTGGGGTGTTAGGTATTCGCTGATCTCAAAATCGTGAAGACTTGCAGAGGTTAGCATGTTTACTGATAGGTAAAATCCCCAGCTAGCTTACCACATTCTGTTCGCAATTACTTTGAAGCTACGGAAAACCATTGCGAAGATTGAGAACAACTCCATATATGACATGCTATATGGCCATTAGTGTTTCTCGAGCAAGAGAAATTCAGAAAGGACGGGAGAGAAAACAACTTACTAGCTAGCAGGACACATCCGGCGTCCCTTGGAGAATGGGACTAGGGAACGCTGCATCTGCTCTCTATCCGTACCAGCCCAACGCAATGGATCGAACTCGTCTGGGTTTGGAAAGACAGATGGGTCTAAATGAAGATAAACCGAAGAAGTGGCAACAACAGTCTGTCTAGATGTCAATGGTGGCGGGCATATAGGGAGCGAATATGACCTTTTACCTTTGGAGGAACATAATATCCGTCAATGTGAGCACCACTTGAGCCGACAAGACGTGGGGGTCCCACAATGACGCCGTATGTCAAACGTAAGCTTTCCTTGACCACGCCGTCAAGAAGGGGTAAGTGGCGCAAAGTATCATAGTCGGGCAAAGTTGTGCTGCTGTCAGGCCAAACTGACTTAAGTTCTTGAAAGATTTTCTCCTGTAATTCCTCGTTCTGTGAAACACAGAATGTCCCATATGGCAAGGCGTTGGCCATATCGAGAGTACCACCGAGCATGGTTGAGAGAGCCTCCTCGATGAGAATTGATTCAGGGAGAGCTGTGCCATCAGCCACGAAGCGCCCATCAAGGGACCTCGTTGCAAGACGATGAAGAAATGTTTCTTTTGGACCATTGGTAGAAATAGATTTGACATCGTTGCGTGTGATTTCCGTTAGAATCTATTTTATCTATTAGCATGGACCTCAGCACTAGCAAAAGAAAAATCTCGACACACTTCCATAAATTGCGGTGAAATTGCGCATGACCCGCTCAGGAGGGAGAATACTTTCCACGGGAGCATATACACAAGCATGGCTAACAATGGAAAGTTCCTGCCCAGCCAGATAAGCCATGTAGCCGAGTAGTGGGTGGTAAGCGTCAATGGATGGCAGAACGATTCGTCTTGGAGGGTATCCATATTTTCAGGTAAAGAAGCGAAGGTAAACTCATTTACAATTGCCAGAAGGACAGATCTGAAACCGAAAGATAATTGGCAAACCTCATCCTTTTCCGCTGTCTTGAATAAGAGATCTCGAAATCGTTGAACCTGCCATATATTAGCCATGTAAATCGAACATCTATTACAGCATCGGACCAGCTCTCACATGACTTTTTATCATAGGGTTTAGTGAATCAATGTGAGGTTTGGAGAACAGCGAAGCCACTGAGCGGAACCGATGCTTATGTTCGACGGGATCACTCATACCGAACAGTGATGAAGCGGACCCCAGGTGTGCGTAGTAATCCGGGTCCTTGATACCATCGAACTTGCTTGAGAAGATATCATGGTAGGCCTCTGGGCGTCGGAAGTGAAGCTATGTCGGTATGTCCAGTCAGTCAAATGACACGCACAATGGGGCTTTGTTGCATACCTCAGTCGGCGACGTGCGAACCACCGGCCCTTGTTACTAGATTAGTTTGATAGCCTTGATTTCATGAGTGGATTATACGATACCATAAATCTCATGTAGCTGGGTGCTGTGTTCGATCATCTTGCCGTCCTTCCATACTTGATAATAGGCGCGGTAGAGTGTTGTTGCCGCTGCAAGCTTTGGCCCTGGGAAATTCGCAAGAGGATGGAAATAAAGGCGTGTAATGATAATATACAAACGATAGAGAATAAAAGCCACCAGGACTCCGCCTGCTATCCGAGAGACTCCCATCATTCAGTCAACTTACGTCGTTGGTCTAATCTAAGCAGAGCAACTGGTTGAAGCTATCTATTTTCAATTGTTTAAGACTTGAGCCAAATCCACAAAGAACGTATATTGGAGTGGAAGCTTTTTCCACTTGTTGACCGTAGTTTACTAATTAGGAGGTGCTATGTGGGCCTGCAGAATCATCAACTCTGAGTCTCGGTCCACCCCGCCGTGCGGATTGCTTTACGTGTGTCAAACTTCGGCAAGGTTCCAAGGAGTACCGGTGTATCGTATGGTAACACTAGTAACTAAGCTAAATCAGCTCCACAACAATGAGATGTGTGGATTTTGTGGAGAACAGTAAGGAGTTGATGGGTACCTGCCAAGACCGAAAATTACCTACTAGTTGTACAAGAAGTAGGATGAAGAAACTTTGGAAACTGGTTTTGAATCGCGGGCCGAAAAATACCTTGGCTCAGCATCTGGAACAAGTCACTGATCCACTTAAAATGGGGAGCTGAAAGATCGACACGCAGAATTTTACCTCTTGATGACCCAAGGTCTCACAGATGTTGTCAATAGGCAATAAATAAATGTCAATAAATGATCTCCAAGGCGTATGAACTCAAATAGCACATCAGTTCTTTTTCTTTCTTCCATAAAAATTAGCACTAGTAATAGAAGTATAGTGACTTTGTTTATTAATAAATTCGAATAATTAAATTGCAGATGTTTATGATTATTTACAAATAATGAGACGTGTTCTTTCCCTGAGCACGCTACCACATGCTACATGTGGAATTCAGCTTTAATACTTGAAAATCTCGTACTGCACAGTATGTGCCATGTCCCACCCAGATTTACTTAGCGGCCCCACAAGCTGAAAGACCGATCGCCAAGATATTTGCCAGGACGGCCTGTTTCTATTACGCGAAATCAGGGACATCGGGATTCGAGGTGGTCCGAGTGGAGACAGTCATCAGATGTATTCAAACAGAGATATACAGTAATATACCAAAGCCATGAAAGTTGTAACTTTGAAAATTACATGGCTTCATAGGCATGTAGTGCGGGTTCCAGGTGAGAGCGTAGCACTGTGATCCACGAACCTAAGCTATCCCTCTTTTACTTGTTTCTCAGAACAGGAATCAAAGACCCCAAAAACACAACTGAATATCCAGAAGCCGTCCGAAAAGATGTCGACTCAACCCGAAAATGGGATCTCAGTCTTATCTGAATTTCCAGATCATGATCGGTTGTTGACATGGAATCAAACACCCGCCGAAGCAGTGAATGAATGTGTGCATTCACTCATTGCAAAACAATGGCATGGAAGGACAGGCGAGATTGCTGTTGATGCTTGGGATGGGAAATTCAGCTTCACTGAGTTGGACCACCTGAGCTCCATCTTGGCCGCCTATCTGTCCGGACTTGGTGTTGGCCCGGAAGTCATCATTCCAGTATGTTTTGAAAAATCTCGCTGGGTTTTAGTGGCTATTCTAGGAGTAATGAAGGCTGGTGGTGCCTTTGTTCTTTTAGATGAGTCTCAGCCATTGAAGAGAATGCAATATGTATGCAAAGAAGTCAATGCCCCAATGGTGGTTACTTCGCCAAAATTTGCAACCCAAGGGCAGGAGTTGGCGGAGAAAGTTGTTGTAGTCAACCATGACTGGCTTTTGTCGCTATCACCTAACCACAACTGGGTTCCGCCTTCTATTGCACCTCGAAATTCTGTCTATGTTATCTTTACCTCCGGATCTACCGGGCAGCCCAAGGGTGTCGTGGTAGAGCATGCCTCCCTTAGTACCTCTTCTATGTTCTTTAACCCGCGCATTATGATAAGCAAGGGTGCCCGTGTGTTTCAATTTTCTTCTTACACCTGGGATATATCTATTGTTGAGCTTCTATCTTCCCTCATTGCAGGCGCCTGTGTCTGCATCCCGTCTAATGACGACAGGATGTCCAATATCACCGGCGCATTGAATTCTCTCCGAGTAACCTATTTAATTCTCACGCCCACAGTCGCTCGCTCGCTGGTTCCAAATGATTTGCCGACACTGAAGACGATTTGCCTGGGTGGTGAAGCTATGGCAAGTGGCGATGTCGAGAAATGGGCTTCCAGAGTAAATCTGATTAATGGTTACGGACCGACTGAGTGTACGATGGTTTCAAACTGTCGACAAGTGTCTTTGGAAAGCTTCAATACACGAAATATTGGAAATGCCAGTGGCAGCTTGTCCTGGATCGTTCATCCTAATGATCATCACATATTGATGCCACTCGGTGCCATCGGTGAGCTGCTGATTGAAGGTCCTATTGTAGCGCGAGGGTATCTGAACCGGCCTGATCTTACGGCTGCTGCGTTTCCCAATTCCCCCACCTGGCGAAAGGCCTTCCCACTCGGCACAGGGCCCTCCCGATTCTACAAGACAGGAGATCTTTGCAAATATGCACCCGACGGATCAATCGAGTTCATGGGCCGCAGGGATACCCAAGTCAAGTTTCGCGGCCAACGCCTAGAGCTGGAGGAAATCGAGCAGCATGTCCAAAGATACTTTCCTGGATCTTCATGGGTCTGCGCAGTGTTAGTATCTCGGGATGCCGACTCAACCGGTCGGGGAGATAGCCTTGCCGTCTTTATTCAATACCCTGACGGAAAGGAAACTTTAGGGGCTCTCTTCCCTGAAAGCAACTTAAGCATACCAACTGACAGCTTTCGAAACCTTGTGACAATAGCCACCAAGGAATTACGCGAGGCAGTTCCCGGTTATATGGTACCAAGCGCATTTTTCCCCATCCACAAACCCCCGCTCATGGAGTCTGGAAAGGTTGACACAAAGAGCTTGAAAGCCCAGGTAGCCTCACTTTCAACAGATCAGTTGAGACACTATAGTGGTGTCCAAGTGGCCAAGCGAGTGCCTGATACCACTATCGAGCGTCAGCTCCAAGTGATCTGGGCTAATGTTCTGGGCGTTTCTCAAGATCAGATCGGTGCAGATGACGACTTTTTCATCATTGGAGGAAGGTCATTAGACGCCATGCAAGTGGTAATTCAAGCACGAAAGAACGGCCTGGAGACCCTAACTGTCTCAAAAATGTTCAAAACACCAATCCTATCAGCGCTTTCTAAAGAGATTATCAGTGCTGGCGCCATCAGCACATCCTGTCCTGTCCTCAATGAACACGGCTTGAGCGTCTCTGACTTGGATGCCGGTGCTCTTGGCTCCTTTCACCCCGACCAAGTTGTCTGTGTACTTCCTACAACTGACTTTCAGCGTATGCATGCTGTGCCTAGACTTAAAAGCTATAGTCTCTGGAATATCAAACAGTCAGTCGACAAGACCCGACTCTCTCAAGCTTTCCAGACGCTTGCCAATCGTCACAGCATCCTCCGCACGATATTCGCTCCACATGCGAAAGGCCTTGTGCAAGTTGTCCTCAAGGACGTCGCAATACAGATGGGCCAAGAAACAGTTAAGCCGGCAGATGTATCCTCATTCTGCCAGTCCTTCTCTGAAAAGGACAGTCAAGAAGCTCTCTCTCCAGATGAGCTATATTTCCAACCTACATTGGTATCCTCTAGCGATGATGAGCACACTTTGATTCTTCGTACAAACCACGCACAGTACGACATAGACGGCCTGACTCGGATCTTCAATGAATTGGTCGACATCTACCATGAGAGAGAACTAGCACCTATCACAGGAGACTTCACGCTTTACATGCAGCATCGCTTGGCACAGAAGAATGACAAATCTTGCGAGTTCTGGCGAACCTATCTAGAGGGAGCCTCCATGACCCCCATTAATGGACTGGCAGCAACAGATGCCAAGCGTGATATAGTGTTTGACTTCGGCGCAATTCCCAATCCTCAGCCTGTTCAAGGAATTACCGAGGCAACCCTATCCAAGGCTGCATGGGCGCTTACACTTGCCCGGCTGAACCAGAAGAATGATATTGTCTTTGGCCACACAGTCAATGGACGTGATCTTGGAGTTCCTGGAACTGAGCAAGTTGTTGGCTGTTGCCTCAACACCGCGCCTATTCGTGTTACCATCAACCCTAATTGGACAGCTAAACAGCTCCTGGAGCATGTTCAAAGTCAATACGCTCAGACCATGGAGTACGAGGCGGTCGAGCCATCTGAGATTGTAAAGGGATGTACCCCGTGGCCAAAGGGAACAGGGTTCGTCAGTACCATCACCCATGACCATGCGAGTACCTTGCCCGTTCCTGCACTGGAAGGCGGCTCAACTTTGTTGGAGCCAATGTACCCCCCAGAGAGTGAGGCTGCATTGGAACTTATGGATTGGCCCGTTCAAGTAGTGACACACTCCGAGGAGTCCGAGTTCACGATGGGCATTATGGCTTTCAATGATACCTTGTCTGAAGATCGTGCAAAATGGATACTCGGGAAGTTTGGGGAGGCGATAACAGCTCTGGCAAATGCTAGCCCAATGGCTACTCTCGATATATCTGCGTACGAGGACTAAGTGTCCTTTTTTATGTATAGAGTTATCAGACTTGTATCTTTCAAGGTTCTCAATTTCTCAATGACTCAAGTCACCACGTTGTAAACTGACACAACGATCTATCATCATCTCTTTCAATTTCAAGTTTAACATTTAGTAAACGTCTTGGGCAGATTAGAGGGTCAAAATCCTAGATTGATTTCCAGGGACATCGAAACCAATGTGTCATAAGATATTCATGAATTCAATGGAGAATTAAACCAATGATATACCTAAAAGTGACACTCATTCCACGACTTATAACTGACGACTTTCCTCAATAACCTTCCTCACATGCTCCCGGCTCAACATACGGTCCAACCAATCCTTCACAATTGGAAAATTATTCACATCATACCCATCTTCCTCTTTGATAATTTTGGTCACCGTGATCTGCCAAGTAGCCCAAGCCAAATCCGCATAGGAAATACGTCCCCCAACCAACCATGGACCCCCATCTCCAGTTCCCTGCTTACTCAAGAAATCATTCACTACACCCGAAACACGATTGATCTCATTGACATAGCGCTCAATTGCACTAGGTACTTGCTCGGAATGGAACCTCTTAAACCAGGCCGCCTGCCCATAGTACGGTCCTTGGCCAGAAGCTTGAAAGAAAAGCCACTGACGCGCTAGCTGGGCTTCCTTGGAGCCGGGTTCGAAACTGATTTTGCGAGATTTGTCGTACCGCTCTACCAGGTATTCCACGATTGCGCCGGATTCCCAGAGCGTGAGGTCGGTATTTGGGTCGTAGATTGCGGGTAGTCGACCGTTGGGGTTGATGGCGAGGTACTCTGGGGTTTTCACATCTGCTAGTGTGATGGGTTCAAATTCATGGGGGAGGCCTAGTTCTTCGAGAATGATGGCTACCCGGGGAGGATTGGGACCACCCTTTCCCCATACTTTGATCGGGAGGATATTGGATGCCATTTTTCGATATCTTGTTCAAGGACGGGTTTGTATTAGATGAGAGTGAAGTAGATTTGAATTGAAATTAAAAGCGATTGAAGATAAATGCTACGTTTTAAATAGGCTTGCTATATTGTTCCCCGATACTTAATTAACCTATACCATGTACAAAGTATACAAAAGTGACGCGACATTCCTTCATGACAAAGCATTAATAATGTAGTTGGAAAGGAGTCGTCGGTTTTTGGAGAGACCGAACGAGGCCGAGGAACGTAAGGAAGTCTTGGTATTTTGCTTATTTTGATAATAATATAATTTCATATTCAGATATCGTTCGAAAAACTTTTCAATCTCCGAATCCTTTTTTGGTTAGGGAACACGGATACTTGCTAGCCGCGATCTGATATCATATCGCGGGACCCGGGTAATGTAGATCAGAACGAATCAAATGTCAGCATATGAGGTGACAAGTCAGCTTTCCACCTTTTTATTATAATATCAATTGATAATCCATTTGCTAGAGCAAATACCGGCTTATAATCAGTGCTGTCTAGAGCATAGATGAGATAAAAGATATGTGGCTATAAAAATAAAACAAGTTAGACAAGCATAGGGCACGAAGCCCAAATTTTTGAGCATTTGATCTGGTATAATCAGTTATCTAATTGGGCCGGATATAGTAGGACGGGCCGAAATTTATATACTAAATACCAATCTCTCTAGCCAGATGGCCTATTGGACTTATTCACTGTGCCTTATATGCGTATCCTGGGAGCCTCCACTGGTTCTTGGGTATACTTCAAGCTTCTTGGACCTAATTATGTAGTGGTCCTATCTAGACCAAATCGGGCGCAACCTACTCTGCGGGCGGCAGTATCACGGTACTCCTTGTCATGTGATTCACTATAGAAAGAGCTGTAGGCGCCCACGCTCTCCCTTTATGTCTATCAGCAACAGCCCAGCTGAAATCCCTAAGAACAAAATCACTATACTCTCGTTTCATATCCTTTTTCTTACGACTCGATATCAATATAGATGCCAGAATGCGCTATGATGACTCTGTTCTCACGAGGATGGCCCTTTTCCGGTCTGGTGCGACAACTTCCGTCCCGGGAATGTCCTGGTGGACAGCGGTCTCAACGTCGAGGGGGTAATAGACTGGGATTTTTCATATTCCGGCCCGGTTGAATATTCCCATGCGCGCCTTGGTGGCTTCCAGTTAAAAAGCCCGAATTTTGGCCTAACGGTCTCGATGGCTGCTGTATGGAATATGAGAAACGCCTTGATGTATTCATCGGTGTTATGAGGAACTGCGAGGACGACATGGGGAACGAACGGCTCGGAAAACACCAAAGGTTAGCTTGTGCGATGGAGAAGAGCTGGAATAAGGGAGACTTTTGGATTATGTATGCTACGAGGAACAATTTCGCTTTCGACGCGATTTACTGGGCAAGAATTGACGAGCGGTTTTTTGGACGGGCGACTTGTGAGAATTTAGGCGATGTTTGGAAAGCAAGAATGCATCTTATACAGCCTGACGAGCAAGAGCTCATGGGATCGTATGTGGATCTGAAGATGAAAGAAATGGGAACCAGGGAACTGGCATGGGATCTGGATGAACGGACACTGGCATATATGCAAATTATAAAACCAGATAATTGAGTGTATTAATTGTGACATTTACAACATCATCTCATTACATGAACTTGACTCGGGAACTTGAAGCTTCGATCTTGCCATAATTATATAGGTAGAAATATTCTTTTGAATACATCGTTATACTTTGTCCATCCTCAAGGAAGACAGGATCTTTTGAATATAAAAAGGCATACAAATGAGCGAATGGGAAAATATAAGTGGGCCTGAAGAAAAATGAATTGGTTTAGTGGATGGACGAGACCCATATTATAGTGTGTCATTTGCCAATTCCCCCAGTTCATAGTATCCACAAGAACACCAATCCGGCTACTAATAGTGCAAATCAATCCCCGCAACGTAATAGAAATTCCCACCCTCAATATTATATTATAAATTATCATTGCTCATCAAGATATTCAAGTTGAAAAAAAAGGGATACACAGTGGGTCCTATCTACGCACGGCTCAACCACAGATAATCAACCACATCCGTCCGTCAGTTTGACTTGACAGCCTCCCGCAACCCCTCATCACCGTTTCGTTACACATAAACATAAACAATCAATCACCATCATGTCCACCTCCTCAGTCCCACTCATAATCAACGGCAAGGAGGAACACACACCTACCTCCTTCGACGTAATCAGTCCCTATACTAACCAAACATGCTGGACTGCTTCCGCAGCCAGACCAAACGATGCCATTCGAGCCGTTGAAGCTGCAGACGCTGCGTTCCCAGCATGGTCAGCGACAAAGCCTGCTAAAAGGCGGGACATCCTGCTTAAAGCGGCGGATTTGTTGGAGGAACGTTTAGATGTTAATGCGGGGTATATGAGGACTGAGATGGGCGCTGATGTTGGTGCCTCGCAAGGGTTTGTTGTTCCGCTTGCTGTGAGGATGTTGAGGGAGGTTGCTAGTCGGATTACTTCTATTTGTGGGAGTGTTCCTGTTGTTGAGGGGGAAGGTCAAAGTGCGATGGTTTTTAAGGAGGCTATGGGTGTTATTTTGGGAATTGTGCCTTGGTGAGTACTAGAGCACTGGGAAAGCATGAGCTTGAACTGGTGAGACTAGCCGTATGGATATAGCTAGTGCCATGTGTTGATCACCTCAGTCCCATTATGCAAGGCATTTAATGTGTTTCGATATTAATAACTTTCTAGGAACGCACCATACGTCTTTGGTATTCGCTCCGCTGCTTGCGCGCTTGCAGCAGGCAATACGACTATTCTCAAGTCTTCAGAGTTAACACCACGCTGTTATTGGGCTATTGGTCGGGCGTTTGAAGACGCGGGCCTCCCAGCTGGTTGTCTGAATGTTATCCATTGTCGCCCTCAAGATGCACCGGAGGTTGTTAACGCGATGATCGAGCATCCGGCTGTGCGCAAGATCAATTTCACCGGAAGCACGGCTGTTGGTCGAAAGATTGCGCGGTCATGCGGACAGAATCTAAAGCCCTGTCTTATGGAGTTGGGTGGGAAGAACAGCTCTATCGTGTGTGAAGATGCGGATATGCAGACTGCTGTTCAGGGTGTGCTTGCGGGTGCCTTTTTAAATGTAAGTTCTGTTCTATGGGGTGGATTCTGATCAAGATGCGAGGAAAAGTTCTTCGCCTTGATATCGTGAGGTTGTATACAGGGTAGTACTGATGTTTGTGTTTCAGTCTGGACAAATCTGTATGGCTACAGATCGTATTCTAGTCCACTCGACAATTGCACCTGCTTTCATTGAGGCATTACAGAAAGCGCTGGCCAGTGGTGCAGATGCTTCATCTCTCCCGCCTACACTTGTTAACACAGCCTCTAAGTCTCGCGTGGAGTCTCTGATTTCCAGTGCTGTGGCATCTGGCGCACACTTCATCTCCGGATCAGCAGAGACTAAAGTCCCCTCTGATTCTGGCGTGCGGATGGCCCCCTCTATCCTTGGTGGTGTGAAAGAGGATATGTCGCTTTGGCAAGAGGAGTCCTTTGCTTCTGTCGCGGCATGTATGATCTTTGATAGTGAGGATGAGGCGATTCGATTAGCCAACTCGAGTGGGTATGGGCTGTCGGCATCTGTGTTTACTGAGGATCTGCGGAAGGGCTTGGCGATGGCTAAGAGGATTCAATCGGGGTGAGTCTAATCTTGTGTTGTCTTGGTTCCCGAGCTCCCAGGTTCTCTCCGGGGCTTTCTATCGGCTAGCATGAGGTGACTAATTTGGTGATAGTGCTGTGCATATTAATAGTATGACTATTCATGATGAGCCGGTGTTGCCGCATGGTGGAGTGAAGAATAGTGGGTGGGGACGATTTAATGCGGCGGAGGGTTTGGATGAGTTTTTGGTGACGAAGAGTGTTACTTGGATGGACTAGATTCAACCTTGGAAAACGGTACTTGTCCAGTACATGTATATAGCTGGTGAATCCTGAATTGTCTGTATTCATTGCATGTTTCTATTTTTGAGCGCTATCTAGAACTCTAGATAATGTATTTAAATGGATCAACATCCTCTGATGTTTTGGCGAGTTGATCTCAGTTTAGTTCTCGGACGAGACACACCCGAAACAGCGAAGCCCTTTCGGGGTAATGATGACCCGAAATTCGGGTTTCCAGCCTCCGAAAAGCATCTCACGCATTCCACGACCGCAGTCATTTCACGCGAGGAGCAGACAATCGGGGGATCAATGTCCTTATATGCAAGAAAGAGCAATTCTCACCGGTATCAGCAATCGACAATCGAATTCCGTCGGCTATTGAAATGCAATTCTTTAGTCAGCAGGGTGATGTCATGGGGATCCACAAGTAGTAATTCCGAACCCCGGATTTGGTGGTTCCTCCACCAATCAGCAGGCGAGGAAAGTTCAGCGGTCGGCAATTGGAGTATTAGTATGATCAAGATACAAAGTATTAAATGTAGACATTTGTGAATTAGTAGTGTAACTGCGAGATCTATATAGCCTTTTTATTGTTTAATGTATCGGCGTTGTGGTACTAGCTTAGTGAGGGAGTCTATCCTCGGGCCAGATCTGTCGGTCTGCGTCATGGTCTTATTCCGAGGTCCATATCCGAGAGGCGGCAGGGCGGTTGGCTTCAGGCCGAGAGTCCCGCGGGAAAGAGATGGATATATGGATACTATGCGATTATGCGGATAGATGTGTTGGTCGGCTACTATTTTGTTGCTTTGGTCATGAAGATATCGGCATAAATTATCACATAACTCATAGAATTGAAGCATTCCAAGTGACTTCCACATGAGCTGGAGCTTGGATCCTGCAGAAGATCAGGAGACACATGACGCAGGCGCATGTGAAGATGGGAAATACTGGATTAGCTTACTAGTAGAATACTACTCTATTAACTCCCTGATACTTCCATATCTCTTGGTTATAGATCTTCATCTACATGTGATTCTCCCCAGGTTTTGTATGATCTGAATTACTCGGGAACAAACCAGCGTGTTGCAATTACTGTACCCGCCCACATCCCCAGGATCCACCTGGACCCATCCTGTGCTGCTCACTGTCTTCCCTCTCTCCCCCCACGCTTTGTGCCTCGGCCGATACACAGCTCGTCGGCTTCTGAGTTGCTGTTCCCCCGGTTTCTTGCTTTCTTTTAAACATTTTCTCTCCCCCAGATCCTCCTTTCGTCTTCTTTTTTTTCTTTCCTCCACTTGTCTTCATTCCCTTTTAATTCCTCCCTTGTTTCTTTTGCTTCCATTACTTCACAAAATGGCAGCCCCCCAAGTCATTGTGGTCGGCGGTGGTCGTAAGTGGTGTCCCCTTCCCTTTCCCCCGCATAATCATCATCCTGGCAATCGCTCTGAAAATGTGACTGACCCTTTTTTTTCTCTCCGCATTTAGTGTCTGGCCTTAGTGCTGCCCACACCGTATACTTGAACGGTGGCAATGTCGTCGTTCTCGACAAACAAGGTACGCATACAACGGCATTCTTTTAACCTGCGAAACTCGCGCTGACTGTACTTGTTATCAGCTTTCTTCGGTGGCAACTCTACCAAGGCTACATCCGGTATTAACGGTGCGCTTACCCGCACTCAGACCGACCTCGGCATTCAAGACAGTGTTAAGCAATTTTACGACGACACACTCAAGTCCGCCCGTGACAAGGCTCGTCCTGACCTAATCAAGGTCCTCACCTATAAGTCTGCTGCCGCTGTCGAGTGGCTGCAGGATGTCTTCAACCTCGATCTCACTCTCGTCTCTCGACTGGGTGGCCACACCCAGCCCCGTACTCACCGTGGCCATGATGCCAAGTTCCCTGGTATGGCTATCACATATGCTCTCATGCAACGCCTGGAGGAGCTCGCCGATTCCGAGCCTGGCCGTGTCCAGATCATTAAGAAGGCCCACGTTACCAAGGTTAACAAGTCTGGTAACCACGTGAGCGGTGTTACATACACTGTTAATGGTGAGCCCAAGACTGTTGACGGTATTGTCGTTCTGGCTACTGGTGGTTACGCTGCCGACTTCAGCGACTCTTCGCTGCTCAAGCAGCACCGCCCCGATACATTTGGTCTCTCCTCCACCAACGGTACTCACGCCACTGGTGATGGTCAGAAGATGCTGATGGAGATTGGTGCCAACGGTATCGATATGGATAAGGTCCAGGTTCACCCTACTGGTCTGGTTGACCCCAAGGATCCCCAGGCTAAGTTCAAGTTCCTGGCTGCTGAGGCTCTACGTGGTGAGGGTGGTCTGCTGCTGAACTCAGATGGTGATCGTTTCTCCGATGAGCTGGGTCACCGTGACTACGTCTCTGGTCAGATGTGGAAGGAGAAGGAGAAGGGCAAATGGCCCATCCGCCTGGTGCTGAACAGCAAGGCTTCTAAGGTTCTGGACTTCCACACTCGCCACTATTCTGGCCGTGGTCTTATGAAGAAGATGTCCGGTAAGGAGCTGGCTAAGGAGATTGGTTGCGGTGATGCTGCTCTGCAGAAGACCTTCGATGACTACAACCTCATTGCCGATGGCAAGAAGAAGGATCCCTGGAACAAGAAGTTCTTCCACAATCTGCCATTCAGCGTTGATGATGAGTTCCACGTTGCTGTGATGGAGCCCGTTCTCCACTTCACCATGGGTGGTATCGAGATCAACGAGCACGCTCAGGTCCTCAACGCCGAGAAGGAGCCTTTCGAGGGTCTCTACGCCTGTGGTGAATTGGCCGGTGGTGTCCACGGTGCTAACCGTCTGGGTGGTTCTTCCCTTCTGGGCTGTGTCGTCTACGGCCGTGTGGCCGGTGACTCTGCTTGCCAACACCTCTTCCAGAAACTCCTCAACGGTGGTTCCTCCGCTGCCCAGCAGCGTCTGGGTCAGATCTCCCTGCACATTGACCCCTCTACTCCTGGCAAGATCTCCGTTGAGTGGGCTGGTGCCGCTGCTGGCGGCAACCTGCCTACTATTGCTGCTGCTCCTGCTGCTGCTGCCGCTGCCCCTGAGGAGACCAAGGCTGCCAAGCCCGATCCTGCAAACTTCCAAATTCCAGAGAAGGAGTACTCTATGGAGGAGGTTGCTAAGCACAACACAAAGGAAGACCTTTGGATCGTTGTGAAGGGTGTCGTCCTTGATGTGACCAATTGGCTTGACGAGCACCCCGGCGGTGCTAACGCTCTGTTCAACTTCATGGGCCGTGATGCCACTGAGGGTGAGTCATTCTCTTTTACATACCCACACCCATTTTATTAGCATCAACATACTAACTATCACCTTCCTATTAGAATTTGCCATGCTCCACGACGACGAGGTCATCCCCAAGTACGCCGGTCACATCGTCATCGGTCGTGTTAAGGGACAGACTCCTAGCTTGGAGCTGTAAACCATACCATGACATGCCGACATACCTGATTCAAAATCCTGCCGATTGACGACCTCATCCTCCTTCATACCCCTTTCTCTTTGATTTGCGCGCGTTGCTATTATCCAATGCCATGCCTCATGATATACCGATCTAGGACGATTGGTTCTAGATCTCAAACTTCTGGTGTCGCTGAGTCGATGGTTTTTCTGTAACATACCATATTTAGTTTGAGAATTTACTCATTAGAACGATGTATAGCTGTCTTGGATTCTTTTGTAATGCTGTAACCGATAGATTAGCTGGTCCTGCTACTAAATTCATTAATGAAAAGCATTCATATCGCAGGACAGAAACCTACATGAAGCGCGAAAAATAAAGCCAGCTGATTCAGGGTTGGGGGGTAAGAGGTACACAATATCCCATAGATCCCTTCTACGTTTCAGCGACAGCCTCAATTCTCGTGAGTGTGGCATCCGCCATCACTTTTGGTGAGAGTAACTCTGGGCTTCAGGTAGGAAACAACTACAATTCCATCACAAATGAGTTCCATTCATCTTCAGGTAAGTGTTAAGTGAGTATATACAACGTGAACGATATTGATAATAACAGATCCCAAGGAGAAGCTACCCTTTGTGGATGGGGCTATATTCGACTCGAACATTAATTACCATGAAGAAAACGGCCTCCTAGGCACACGAGCCGATATCATCTGTGAAATTAAGGAGTGGGCCTTCACATCGCAAGGGAAATGTACTTTCTTATTGAGTGGGATGGCTGGGACCGGGAAATCAACCACCTCACGAACAGTGGCGGAGCACTTCAACGAAGCAAAGTCCCTAGGCGCAAATTTCTGTTTCAAAAGAGGCGAAGCAGATCGAGGCAATGCCCAGAGACCTTTTTCGCTTATTGTGAGACAACTCATTATCAGCGTTCCTCAGTTAATTCCCTATATCGAGTAAGTAATCCTTGATAGCCCAGACATCATGGGGAAGGGGATAAGGGATCAGTTTGATAAGCTGCCTCTTCAACTACTTCTTTGTCTAGGGCTATCTGAACTTCCGTTCCGGACTACTGTGATAGTGCTTGATGCATTGGATTAATATGAGGGGGCAACCGATATACAACTTATACTCCAACTTCTACACAACCCCAGAGGCTAGATACTTTACACATACAAATATTCTTTTAACTAGCAGACCTAAATTGCCAATTCAACTTAGCCTCCGAGAGATTGCAATCCCGGGCCAAGACCACAGAGACTTCATTTTATATGAAATCCCAGAATACGTGATTGAATATAATAAACAATCACTACTCTTGCATCAGCGCCTATCAAAAATAAGGGCTAACTCCTTTCTTCCTAATGACTGGTCTGGGAAGACAAACATGGAGAAACTAGTAGCTTTGTCTATTCCACTATTCATTTTCGCTGCTACAACTTAGAATTTGTCGTTTAACCGAGGACTACAACTAGGACCCAATACACAGTCTTATTAAGGTTCTTACCCACCAACATGATCGATCTTATATAGATACAGCCTATCTCTCTATGTTAGATCAGTTACTTATCGGACAGACCGAAGGACAGAAAATGCAGATTGTTCAAGAGTTCCAACAACTTGATATTGTTGGATCGATTAGCAGACAAAGAGCCCACTCTCAGTTATCCAGACCATTTGAACCTTCCAATATTGGTTCCAAAACATTATAACCTGTAATTTGCGGGTTGAAACAGAGCAGCCTCTAAACGATACTCAACTTTTACATAGTATGCTGGTGTCCTGGCAGTTGGGCCTAGAATCAAGATAAGAGTGTAAATCGATGAAGCTTCTTTTGCACTTCAGTATCGCGATCGAAATAACCATTGGACAACTTTGTACATATCGACAATTGCCGACTATATACCAGCATGGAAATGTATCTACAGCAACGCTATGCAAAACTAACACAAACCTCGCTTCCAATGCAATCCGCCTCAAATAAAACCCCTTGGACAAGCAAATGATCCCCACATCAAATCTTCATATGCTCCAATATCATCTTTAACCGCCTGACAGCCGGTCCTTCCCCATCATGTGCCGTCCCTTCTACATTCTCCTCAATCTCCACCTTAGCAGCCTCCAGCGCAGGACGTAAATACCCCCACACCTCATCGTGATATCTCTCATGGACACCAACCCAGTCTTCTGCGCCGGGAAGGTGTGCAAGGACATCATCGCGGAGCGAGATCGATTTACTAGTCCCATCTCTGCTAGTTTGAGAGTTGTATGCGGATGGATCATTTTGTTGTAGGAATGTGTCGATATCGGGTACCAGACTTAGTGAAGAAAGGTGTGCGGGTTGCGATTGTGTCTGTGTCTGTGGGAAGGTAATTCTGGAGTTCTCTTCAGACATCTGTCGTCGGAATGAATCGAGAAGTTTGATCTCCTCTGCTGTTAGGGGTGGAGGTGCAGCATCGGGGTCGAGTTCGTTTTCGGGCTCAGTAAAGCCGGCATCAAACGATGAAGAAGATAGAAGAGATACAACGGCTGCCCCATCTGTTTCGGTCTCAGTATAGTATGCTGTTCCTGCTGTGCTTTGCGCATTCGTATTCGCCCGATCCCACGCTGTAGTATATTCGCCCTGTATAGGATCGTGCGCACGCTGCTTCCCCTTCCAATTCCCATTGCTAGCCTGAAGACTCCCCTCACTGGAGCGAGGGGTACTCCAGTTACCATCCTCGAATGCATGTTCTCCGCGTTGAAACTCTTCCTCGCTTAATGCCGGGATGGAGAATCCGCCTTCCTGCACATCACTTTCACGAAATGCCTCGCTTGTCCCGCGCGCGGTTTGTTCAGTTCTACCACTTGGTAGGGAACTGTTGCTTGGCCTGTAAGCTTCCCTAGCTACTGTAGAGCTAATACCAGAGCTGGTGCTAGATCCTGTCTTCCCATTTGTTGCACCGGATAGGACCTGTGCGGCGCTGGGGTCTGCGAATGCACTGCGCGCGAGTCCGGTCGCGGAGTTTTGGATACGTTGCGCGAGGGAGGGGTGAGGGGTTGTATTGGAATTGGCATTGGTAGGTTGGGAAGTTTGTGTCCGGTCGGGCTGTGTTGTATTGTTTGTATTTGCGTTCGCATTGCCATCGCCGTTCTTGGCTAAAATGTCATTGGCGCGGGCGTTCGTATCGCGGGTTCCCCGCATGTTCTCTGGGTTGTCGGACATGGCGTTTGTATAGGTATAGGTATCGGTAGGAGGGACCGGTTCAAGTTACTTCAGACTTGGTATCAACTTGAATAAGTCGAATTGAGAATGATCTGAGGATATTGGTATCCATGAAGTCATGAGGGCAGATCGGGATTGCGGGTTCGGTTTGGGTTCGGAGCGAGTAGGAGGAGCATGTGAAGGGTTCCGGGTACATCATCGGATCTACGATTTTACCGTCTGGCGGCTATACCCCCGCACTGGCGGGACCCTTCTCCAACAGCCCTTAGTCCCTACAACAACGGCAGCAGAATATCCAAGGACTTCAAGTCCACAATGGCTTTCTCTAAATTCAAGCTGGACAAAACGAGTCAGCGCAGCACTCCGGTGCCTATATCTGCTGCTCTTCCTCGGTCAACATCAGCACAGGAATCGAATCACGCGGATGATTCATTGACCTCCACCGGAGACTGCCACAAAAGGTAATGAGCCAACTATTTGTTTAGTATAGCAATGTCTAATCTGAGACTGGAGCAGTAGGCGAGATCCTCAGATTCAAAATGATGCAACCTGTTCAAGTTCCCAATCTACATCTTCACAGAGTCATTTGCGAAGACTGTCGATCACACCAAAAGATAAACGACGTCGTTTGACAGTTGCTCCCTGGGAAGAAAAAGCAAATTATATGATTGATGAATACTTTTATACTAGCTCAGTGGAACGGATTTTTTATCACTATATTCGTCATTTAATGCCAACATGCCCCGTTGCCATATTTATACCCGGAACGACGGCAAAATTTGCGCGAAATACAAAACCGTTGCTATTCATGGCAATCATAAGTGTCGCCGCTGCTGGGGAATGCACTCCTGATCATCACAGGAAGTTCGCGCTCGAAGCCAGAAACTTTCTTGCGGGACTTGCCATCTTTGAAGGGGAGAAGTCGTTGCAGCTCATTCAGGCTCTGCTTGTTGTATCATTTTGGTATAGGGCACCTGAGAACTATGCACGAACGAATCAGAATCAACTTGCGTCTGTTACTTTGTCGATGGCTATTGATATTGGCTTGGATCGAATTGAAGAGTCGAATATCCCACAAAAGGTCGATGATCAATGGAACCGAGCAGAGGCACAACGAACTTGGTTGGGCTGTTTTCTCTTGTGTTCGAGGTATTTGGGATCCTTGGTTCTTTACCTTTGGTTATCTCACGACTGACAAGATTTTAGTCTTTCTTTAATAATGCGGCGTGCAAATCCCATGAAGTGGACTCCACAGCTCGGCAGATACCTTGATGATCTGAGACAGTCAAAGCTATCGTCTACCGATGAATTCTTCTGCGACCTTCTCACAACTGAGCACAGTTGCTATGTTGCGAATGAGGAATTTTTATTAAGTGACCCTAGCAATTCGGTATCTCTATGGGGGCCAGACACATTGAGCGTCATTCAACGTATAAAAGACCGAGCCAATGGAGTGAGCCTTCGTGCCTACAATTTCCTTCAAAAATGTATGTGTGTCAATCATTTCGCTTCTTTAAATATGCGATCTACATTACTGATCACAATTTTATAGCTCTTTTCGAATTTGGTAAGCTAGCCAGTTCGCTCTATGCCTACGAGATAGTTCTGCATGTCAATCACAACATCGATGAATTCAAAGCGCCCTTTTCCGCAAACTCTCTCAAATCACTTTCTTTTTTCGACAAGCAAAATCCACATAACACATATCTCTTGGTAATCCGAAAGATAATGCAGGATGCGCAAAGATTGCTAGATACCTTTATGCATTTATCTACTTCCGAAATACTTGCTCTGCCACCACATATCTACGCTGGTCGCGTAATATACGCGGTGATACTCTTGATGAAGTTGCACAAAGCAGCTTCAACATATGTGAATGGATTGAATGAAGAATTCTCTGTCGAAACGCTACGTCTAGAAGATTATATTGAGCGACTTACGCTCGTTTCAAAACCTCTAGGCGCGGAAGACCCGTACAATTCTTTGAGTAGGGCCTTCTTGATCATGCCCCAATTGAAGGAGTGGCTTCAGGATCATATGTCACAGTCGAAAATCGAGAAGGATGAGCATAATTTGCAGAAGGAGACACTCTCCGAAGACTCCATTGATCCGGTGCCTGCGAGTATCAACCGGCAAGAGTCTTCACAAAGTCTACCACGTGAGGCGGATGGGCGGATTTACACACTCACAGGCTCTTCTAATATTTTAGGCGCGCCTGAATCTCAATCTGAAAATCAGTTCACACAAAGTGAGGCTTCTGAAAACCCTGCTGGTATATTGGGCCGCGAGTTGGTTTCAGATTCATGGTTTTGGGAATTTTTCAATGTAGATATGCTCCACTAGTCTAGCTGCTTATGATCCTTTGAGTGACAGCTGAAGACTCCAACAAAAAGAACTTCACGAAGAACAATTTCTTTCTACATAAATAAACTAATTTACATTTCCATTCCATACACTGACTGGCAGATATTCCTCACGGATCACCCCAGCATGAATACAAATATTCCCATGATCCAAAATTACTCGCTTCCAGCTTGAACGCCCTGCTCAACACTGTCTCCCTTTGAAGGGCGCTTCACTGTTCGCCATTCAACGCCAATTGCACCCGGAATCGAAACACAAGCCAAGGTCAATGCGAGCACAAAAGTCTGGATGATGGCATCATTGTAAATCTCCAGAATCACAGCTAATACCCCCTCAGCATCGCTTATGCCAGATTGCCTCACTGTCTGTTGTAACTCCGTTGCTCCCGTCTGGAGAATAACCGATGGATCTATCTCCGGCACCCTGGCAGCCATACCAGAGACAATGCGGTTGCTGAAAATATTTTGTCCTACTGAGACAAATATGGCGCCCCCGAGAGAGCGGGCGAATACCACCAAGGATGTCCCGATGGAGACATCTTTCTCAGAGAGAACTGTCTGGACGGCGATGTTTGGGAGCTCAAGTCCAATACCAGCGCCCGCGCCGAAGACAATTTGGAATCCCAGCCTGGAAATTGTTAGTAAGAATGTGGCGATCTGTATCGCTTGAAAATACGTACCACATAGCGAGGGAGGTGTGTATTCTGAACAGGAGAAGTAAACCTGCACCGATAGCCATGATCACCGATCCTGCTATCATGAAGGGCGTGTAGTATCCCACGACAGTGACACTTATTCCACCCGCGATGGCAAATACCACTTTCGATTCTCATTAGTTATCCTGCGTTTCCAAAGATTGGATGCATTGTACATACCGACGCTAAGCACCGTTGGTAAACTATGAATTCCCGATTGATTTGCAGAGTCACTTTTGACTGCTTGGAACCTGTTTGATGTTCAATATTTAAACAAGTTGACTTCAGGAGGTGTGGGAATATTCGAACTCACCAGATTGGCAAATAATAAATCAGCAGAATAAATGATGCGCTTCCAAAAAAGATATAGAACGTTGAAAATGCAACGGAACGCTGTCGCAAAATTCGAAGTGGTACTGTGGCATTATCACCCATTCGCCATTGAGCTACAGCCCAAGCGATAATAAGTACTCCGAATACAGTCAACAAGGCAATCATGCGACCGTCGCTCCATGGGTATTCGCTCCCTCCCCATTGAAGCGCGATGAGAAGACAAATAATGCTTCCCACGAAGAGAATCGTGCCGATGGGATCGAATTGGCTTAATGTAGCCCATAAACCCTTTTGTGTCTGAGGGCGCTGTCCTTGTGAAGGAAGGAAAAGAATTATGAGCGGGATGGCTGCAGCGCCGACGGGGAGATTGACTGAGATGATGTTAATTCGAGAAGATATATCAGTGAGGAGATAGGAATGGAGATATCGTACCATAGAAGCACCAGCGCCAGGAGACATGAGCTAGAATAATTATCAGATGCAGTTCCGTACCATATGGCCTTTTGGGTTAAAAGAACTCACTTGTAAAAGCGCCTCCCAACAAGGGACCAACAACACTCGCTATACCCCAAACAGCCCCAATAACTCCTGTAAAAGCCGGTCTCTTCGCAAGAGGTACTGACTTGGCGATAATTATCAATGCTCCGGAGAATATGCCCGCGCCGCCAATACCGGCCACAGCTCGCCCGATGATCAGGGCGACGGAGTTAGGACTAGCACCGCAGATAGCAGATCCGATTTCAAAAGCTACAACTGCACCAACGTAGACCCATTTGATGGGCAATAGAGTATAAAGTTTTCCGAAAAAGAGTTGGAAGCTGCATGTAGTGAGGAGGAAAGCGCTGCCGTACCATCCAATATCTTCCACGCTGTGGAATTGGGAGGTGATGGTTGGGATGGCGGTGGCTATAATCGTTTGGTCCTGTTTAAATCGTTTTTTTAGTATATGCCTTGGGCCAAAAGTCATAAGGGGGTGTAGGGAGCCTTTTTATACGAACCAAGGCTACCAAGAAAACTGTCAAGCAGAGAGCCACGAAGATGAAAGCCAATTTTAGACCGGAGGGATAATCGAATGTTTCGGGTTCTTGTTTTTCTCCAAACTTGCCATTGTCGGGATTTCTAATGGCTTGATTGTTGTGGTCAACAGGAAAAGACTCGTCCATATCTTGTTCTTTTAGCGTATAGTGCGATTCCCGCTTTTCTGTCGTATTGTGATAGGTGAATTGTTAGGTGTGAAATGGAGTTTTGAAACAGCTACCCGCAAAGAGTCGAATGAATCCAGATCTTGACTAACAAAAGAAGAACATGTAGAATTGAAAGAATAATACGTGGATTTTATATCAACTTGAGAACTGTAAATGTAAAAAATGTAGATGCAGTTCCTTAGTGAGGATCAGACCTATGATTGGCTGGATGATAGCTCTTTTGGGAGTGGCCGATGAAATATCGCTTATCATTGGCTCAGAAATTACCCAATTTGGTAAAGGTGGATCCCCCACATGTGCGGCTGGCCTCAAGTGCTGCACATGTGGGCAGGTGCAGTGACAATGAGCCCTGTGCTGGAAGGTTTCTACCGCCCTTGCACTGAAGTTCCCGGTTCACAATTCACTATCCCGGACTCTCCCTTTCGCAAACAAGCCCACAGACAGGGCCCCAAGCCACAGAAGCGAACGAGGATTATTTCCCATTCGCTACGGTGCCCTGGAACCCCTACCACTCGTGGCATCCCAAGACGTGATTGCTGATTCCGACGATGGTAATTTCCCAAGGGCACTGCAATTTGAAGAAGCTGCGAATAAACAAGCCAAAAAGTACGATCCAGCCTCTGTTCGGGTGTCCCAGAGACGCCGAAGACTCTAGATATGAGTGCGACGCGGTGGCCGGTAATACCCGATCAAGGTGGCAGCGAACGCCGACGCATCGAAGAACAGCCAGCGCGCGATGAAAGGCCCGGTATAATCGCAGAGCAGGAATCAGTCTTGTCGCTAATTGATACGTATATCCAGCTATCTCTTAGCCTTCTTGCTCGACGCTTTCTGCCCAGCGCAGCGCCTTAACCTCCCAGCATACCCGCCACGCCAACATACCAGAGCGACCACCGGCGATCGTAATAAAAATGGCCCATTCTATATGTCTACTAGAGACTATATAAAGGCATAGACTTAAGGCTTATAAGTGTTCTGTGTGGCTTATCTATATAGTAAGATTGAAACGACTGACCATCTACACAAAGCACTACAATTTACTAAAACTGGAAGATACAGAGATTTATAGACAAAATCTATTTTTTTAGAATTTCAAGAATCTATATCCCGATTTTTTGGATTCTCCTAGTAACTTGTATCATTTTTCAATTATGTACCTGTAGGTAGTCGCCCAGGTTTAAACCTTCAAGTTGGAGATACTATAATGAATAGTACCTATACATCAACCAGGCAGGAAGTCTATGGATACTATGTAAGTTCTATTAAGCGAATATACAAGAAAAGCTCAATGGATTGCAGCTTCAGTTCCCAGTATACTCTATATAGTACGGAATCCCTTTTCACAAGCTCAGTCGTTCCTCTTGAGTAACTATGAGCGAACAAGCCCTCGAACCATGGTTGTTGCTTTGGCCCGAAAGGATGCCCGGATGACGACAGAGGCGGGTCAATAACCTGCAGCTTCTAGGATGGCCCCTCTTCAAAAGTATATTTGAGATATTGAAGAGAAAAAAGAATGAATAGAGTCTATAGTAACAGTAATCCAGTCTTTGGGTGATTTAAATAATTAATTGCAGATTTCCGTGTAGGTAGATCCCTGATGTCTACTGGGCTCAGGCTGCTTTGGGCAATGTTGCAGTCGCTAGATAAGTGTTGATGTCAGCATTGGGTTTATCCAAGTAAATCACATAAAAAAAGAATCTGACTTCTTTTCAAGATTAGGTTGGAGATTTTTTAGCGATCTCTTTTATTTAATCTATATATCCATGGGTTGTAGTATGTATAGATCTGAATTAGTCTCGTGATCAAACACACACACACACCGTATATCCCTTGTAGCGGTGGGAGAGAGAAGAGCAGCGTACAGTTTAGTTAGTAGTATGGTAGAGACTCTCCCCCCACTTAACCACGATCACCGCGATTCACACATCCTTTGTTAGACGATAGGGAGAGATGGGAATGATTGCAAAAACAAAAATCTGAGATGGTATAGACATATTGGATCTTTTCTTTTTAAGTAGTGATTTTTCCCTATTTTTATTTCGTGGTAAATACTCTCTTTTCTCTCATATTCAACTGCCTTCGTAGCCAAAAAAAGGTCTTCAATGATCCCCTCTCAAGCTCTTCGGCGGGCCCACTCATAACAAGCCGGGTCGTTTGCTCCCCTCCAAACCCATCCCAAACTCCTCCCCTCCTCCATCCCGCAACTCCCCCATCATCCTTCTTCTTTGGTGTCAACTTACCCTCGAGAAGATCCACGGCTCTTTCAGCCTGTAATCCTACCCGGCTGTTTCCACCCCTCTTTCCTCTCTACCTTTTCCCCTCGCGCCCTCTCGTCATCGGGCCCCTCGCACGCCTTCACCTCCGATCGAAGCGAAGACCCGATTATCTTCGCCCTATCTTGATTTGTCGCCCTGTCCGCTGTCATTATCTTTGTCCGACCGGTTCCGTTTTGCCGCTCAGATCATCTGGAATCGACTGATTGTTTTTTTCCCCTGCATCCACAATAGAGCTTTTGGGTCTTAATATTTTACCTGCTCTTTTTTTACAAAACCAACCCACCATCTCCCACCCCCGCCATCTTGCATCCGTCCCTTGCCCCGACTTGCGATCAAGGGCGATCCTAAAACGAAAAGATGGTAGACAGAGATCCAGGCTCACCCACCTGGAAGTTCACACAGTGAGTGCGCGTCGTGCGGGAGAATGAGGAATCCATCGGGCCAGACGCCCGGCTGGACCACTCATATTCTCTCCCCATATTCTAGAATCGGAGGACAATAGCTGACTTTTTTTTCAATAGATGCTTTGGGGATAAAGGTGATGTAGAAGACATCACAGAAGGTACACTTGTCTTGCAGGTTGAGTCACTTATTGAGCTCATTGGCTGATATCTGATATTTCTACTCCAGCCGATATCATCTCGACTGTCGAATTCGACCACACCGGAAACTATTTAGCTACAGGAGACAAGGGTGGACGAGTGGTTCTATTCGAGCGAAATGAGACGGTAGGTCTTTTCTCTCTCCCTTGCCCTCCCAATTCCCTTTCCTTGTCGATTTTTCTTTTTCCCAAAAAAAATCCACTCATACCACCAGAGCGGCATATCTGATACATATCTCTCTCCTTACAGAAAAAGACCTGCGAGTATAAGTTCCACACTGAATTTCAGTCACATGAACCGGAGTTCGACTACCTCAAGTCCTTAGAGATCGAAGAGAAGATCAACAAGATAAAATGGTGTCGGCGGCAAAATTCATCACACTTCCTTCTTTCCACCAACGACAAGACCATAAAGCTATGGAAAGTGTTCGACAAATCGTTGAAAGTGGTCGCCGAAAACAACTTATCAAATGAGATGACTCCTCCAGCCCCCTCGGGTGGCTTGCCTCGAGCGCCCCGGGGAACATTCAAGGATGCATCCGCATTGAAACTTCCCCGCCTGACACACCACGATACCGTCGTGGCGGCCGTCCCACGGAGGACATACGCTAACGCTCATGCGTATCATATAAATAGCATCTCCGTGAACAGCGATGGCGAGACCTTTATCAGTAGTGACGATCTCCGCGTTAACTTGTGGAACCTGAACATTCAGGACCAGAGTTTCAACATTGTGGATATCAAACCGGCAAATATGGAGGAGCTCACAGAAGTCATCACAGCTGCCGAATTTCACCCAGTGAGCTGTAACTGGTTTATGTACGCCAGTTCCAAAGGTACCATCAAACTGGCGGATATGCGCCAGCGGGCCCTCTGCGACGAACACTCGAAGCGTATGTTGTCCTTCAAGCAACGAGAATATTTTCTCCCCTATCGCCCCATCTCTTCACGTTAATCTGCACTGTTATACTGACTTTCTCTGTTTTTAATTAGTCTTCGAACAGGAAGAAGATGCCTCATCGCGCTCTTTCTTCTCCGAAATCATCTCTTCCATTTCCGACGTTCGATTTTCTCATGACGGCCGATACATTGTTTCCAGGGACTACTTGACAGTGAAGATCTGGGATGTAAACATGGAACGCCAACCGGTTAAGACTATTCCCATTCACGAACATCTGCGACCACGTCTGTGCGATACCTATGAAAACGATAGCATTTTCGATAAGTTCGAGGTGGTCTTCTCGGGTGACGCGGAGAATGTCATGACTGGCAGTTATAACAACAACTTCATGATTTACCCTACGGAGGAAGAAAAGGATACAGAGATTGTACTTCAAGCAGACAAGTCAGCCTTCAAGGCGAAGAAGGTTGGCGTACCTACCCCAATGAACAAGGGCAGTGGAAAGAAGGCTGGCTCTCGATCCGGAAGCCCGGCGGGTCCTGGCAGCCGAATGAAGAAGGAGACCGATGCAGACCAGATCGATTTCAACAAGAAGATTCTGCATATGAGCTGGCACCCATTCGAGGACAGCATCGCCATTGCGGCTACAAACAACGTAAGCATCCCCACACATCTTGCTGGCATATTTCTTGATATTTGTTCTAACTCACTGCTTAGCTTTTTGTCTTCTCTGCCCTGTGAGCACCTTCAGCAACAGGATCATGAACATCTTCCATGGACAGGCGCATGTTGGGAATAAGTTCGGGTGGCTGGTAGAAAGGTTGATGGCCCTGGCGAGGAGAACGAAAGAGAACGAGCGAGACAGAGAAAAAGGACACATCCAAAAAGATCAAAATAATGGCAATAGGCAGCAAGCCACAACGTTTCGTAATCCCAGGACTTTTCCGTCAGCTTTTCCATACTGGGGCTCAGGCGGACCCAGTATACCCAACTGCGACTTCATGTTTTTTGCGTTTTCTGTTGACCCGTTCCTTTTCCATGGCCTTTTCGGCTTGTATGCAGCTATTTCCTTTAGTTACCTTGAAGGTGTTGCACGGGGGCGCATCATGATAGAGAATGATAAGCCTATTTTTGGGGCATACTATTTAATCCATTTTGTATTACTACGTCAACTGAAGTCCTGTTCATATTGGTATGTAGTTTGCCTGGGGCTGTATCCACTGGCACGATATGTTTCTGGCATATCTACACACCTAGTAGGGATTGTGGAGAAGAGGAGCACAGCCAAGCTGAATTACCAATATCTTAATTCATAACATCTCTGTAGTACATAAATACCCTTTCATTCAACCTTCACAATCTAGGTATCCCTTCTGTGTGGCTCGAAAGCAAACATTTTCCTTTGACTACGTCTTCACTGATTACACTTTTTACTCCGGAATTTTCTGCCGGCGGTGAAAGGCGATGACGAAGGCGGAATGTATTGTTCCGCTCAGCCTGACAGTATGTTACCGCATGTTTCTCCGATTCCCTCAATAACCGCTGGACATCCCCCGGAGTTTTCGTACAAAACGGTATAAAATTCACGGAAGAACAAAGGCCCGAGGCCACAGAGTTCTTTCTGTATTGGGGTTAGCGGGAGTCGGTCAGGAAACCCTCCACTGGAGAGAGCCCGCGATCGGTCGCGCGCAATCCTATTCCTGTCCCTTATCCACGTTGTTACTCGTCATCTTTACGGATCACTCCAATCTTCTACTGCGATACTGCTTCAGATCGGTCATGCTGTAACATGCCCGCGATCTGAGTGTCGTGGATAACGTTTGCCCCCTACTGAAGAGACAGCAGAAAGAAACACTTCCCCAGCTGGAGCTCACCTTCCAGCCCCGGTTCTTCTTTACCTTACGCCCAACACCCTTGTCATTTCCTTCTCAAACCCTTTCCCACGACTTATATCCGAGTCTATGACCAGATCATGAACTCTGGGAACGATAGCTGGCACTCCCCAGCTGGTGGGCCTCCGTCGCACCCTGGGATGGATCAGATGAATCAACAGCCCCGACCCTTGGGGTCGTTTGGGTATGCAATAACTCTCTTTGCGATTCATTGTGATAAACATCGAGCTAACGAGATCTCACGACATAGTCAAAATCCTTCTCAGCAAGGTCCGGCTTCGCAGCCCTCCGGACCTGTCCTCCCTCCTCCAGCCGGTTAGCTTTTTTCTCTTCCTTAACACCCCCAGAACAGCCTCAGACTACCCATTGTTTGCCTTCGAGTAACGAAAATACTGGGATATACATGAACTGACTTTTCGCTTTTTGCGCGGCGCAATAAAGGTCCCTACCACCCCGCCAGTCAATCCGGTGGGCACTCCCTCCCCGGCCTCGCAGAGCTAAGTCAAACCCACGGCGCTCCGCATCAACCATCGGCATATGGACAGCATGGACAAGGTCCAGCACACGGATCGGGCCACTCTCTCCCCGGAATCGGTCAAGCTATGCATGCGTCTCCCCAATCTCTGAACCGCGAACGAGAGAGAGACTCCAGAGAGCGCGATATCATTGAGCGCCAACGCGAGGAGATGGCTCACCGAGAGCGCGAACAGCGCGAACGTGAACAGATGGAACGCCAGCAGATGGAACGTCAACGCGAGCATCACCCCGTCCAAAGCCACCCAGGCTCAATTCCCCTCCACCAGCCCGTTGCCTCGAAAGTCCAAAATTCCATCCATGGCCCCAATGGCCTCCTCTCAAATCTCGGTTCTAACCAGCCCAATGGACCCCAGGGTGGTGTGCAGTCTTCCGGCGGCCCGGCGAGCCTGTTCGGCCCACAGATGCCACATGGTGAAGGTACCCCTCGATCATACATGGGGCACCCCGGCGGCCCTCCGATGATGGGAGGGTACAACGGATCGGGACAACAGATCCCTGGAAATGTCGCGGCTCTCGCACAAGGCCAACAGCCCATTCTGAATGCAAGTTCCCCAGCGGGCTCCCAAGGATTCGAAAACATTTTTCTAACGCTGCCTTCGCACATACAGGATGCCCTCAGCTATCTGGATCAAGTAAAAGTTCGATTCGTTGATCAGCCTGATGTCTACAACAAATTTTTGGATATAATGAAAGATTTCAAGAGTCAAGCGTGAGTTTGCAAACTTTCGGACGATTTGTATGCCGGAAGCTGACATTTCCCGTTCTTTGATCATAGAATCGATACACCGGGCGTCATTCAGCGAGTTTCCACCCTTTTCAACGGCCACCCAGCTTTGATCCAAGGCTTCAACACATTCCTGCCCCCGGGATACCGTATTGAGTGCGGTACTGAAGATAACCCTGATGCTATTCGTGTGACAACGCCTTCTGGTACCAATACTCTGAGCATGCCCCGCGCAGGTCGCCCGTTGGAAGCCATCAATGATATAGGCCCCTCCAGTGGTCTGGGCCCACATGCTCGTCCTGACTATTACGAGCAATCTCGACCTGGCTGGCAACAGACTCAACAGCAGCAGAGTCAGCAGCAGCAGCAGCAGCAGCAGCAGCAGCAACAGCAACAACAGCAACAGGGCGTACCTGGATCATATTCTCCTGGATCTCGAATGATGGCGGGTCCCAATATATACCCACAAGAAAGTCAGGGCACCCCTCAGGACCATCATTATGGATACCAAGGCCAGGAGGCCCAGGGTGCTGCGGCATTGACTCACCAACAGGATCATCGTGGGGTTGCACAACTGCAGGGCGCGGCTTCTGCCGCTTCCGGGATGGGTCGGCCGTCGCTGATGCAGGTATCAGCCGCTAGTCAAAATGCCAGTCTTACTCAGCCTATGAACAGCTTGGCTGGCGTTGGAGGCATGCTTTCCGGCGGCCACGGCGATCTGACCAAGCGTGGACCTGTTGAATTCAACCACGCTATAAGCTACGTGAACAAGATTAAGAACCGCTTTTCGAACGCACCAGAGATATACAAGCAATTCCTGGAAATACTGCAGACATATCAGCGGGAGTCGAAGCCAATCCAGGATGTGTATGCTCAGGTTACTCAGCTGTTCAATACAGCTCCTGATCTGCTTGAAGACTTTAAGCAATTTTTGCCGGAATCTGCCGCCCATGCTAAGCAGCAAGCTCAGGCACGTCTCGCTGAAGAAGCCATTCCGGTTAGCAACATGCGAGGTGACCCCATGGGACTTCCTTCTCAGACTCCTAATCGTGACATGAAGAACATGCCTCCACTGGGCCAATTCAACGTCAAGGATTCTGGCAAGGAGAGCAAGAAACGTAGAGGTGCTTCTGGTGTCGCTGGGTCTTCTGTTTCGGGGCCCTCTGGTGTTGATAGTGCAAGGTTGCCTGAATCATCGGTCCGTGGCCAGCCAGCTCCGTTTGGCAATGGCAACAAGAGGCCCAAGCACTTCCATGGAAAGCCCTCGGGAGCTGATATTCCAAATGTCTCTCCTACGTTGATCCCCGCGTTGCCAGAGCCTATCCCACCCTCTGTGTTGACAACGCCAAGCCAAGAAGAGATTGCATTCTTTGATCGTGTCAAGAAGTTTATTTCGAATAAGCAGACATTTAGCGACTTCCTGAAGCTGTGCAACTTGTACACGAATGATTTGATTGATCGTTTCGTTTTGGTCAAACGTGCCGAGGGATTCATTGGTTCTAACGTTGAACTCATGAGCTGGTTCAAGCGTTTCATGAACGTCGAAGAGCCCGAAGATAAGACTATTGACCCTAAGCCTAAAACCGAGGCTGGTGTTGTTAACCTGGCTCACTGCCGATCCCTGGGACCCAGCTACCGTCTTCTGCCGAAGCGAGAGCGCCAAAAGGCGTGCAGCGGTCGTGATCAGCTCTGCTTTGAGGTATTGAATGACGAGTGGGCATCGCACCCGACTTGGGCGTCAGAAGATTCCGGATTCGTTGCACACAGAAAGAACCAGTATGAGGACGCTTTGCACCGAATTGAGGAGGATCGTCATGACTACGACCACCACATTGAGGCGTGCACTCGAACAATCCAGCTCATCGAGCCTATCTGTCAGCAGTTCTTGCACATGTCTGAGGCTGAACGTGCCAATTTCAAGTTGCCCCCTGGCCTCGGTGGGCAAAGTGAGGCCATCTATCAGCGCGTCATAAAGAAGGTGTACGATCGCCAGCGTGGTGAACGGATTATCCGCGATATGTTCGAGCGCCCCTGTCAAGTTTTGCCTATTGTCTTGTACCGCTTGAAGCAGAAGCTTGAAGAATGGAAGGCCTGCCAGCGTGAATGGGACAAGGTCTGGCGTGAGCAGATGCAAAGAGCATACTGGCGCAGTCTTGACCACCAGGCCATTGCCACTCGGCAAAGCGACAAGAAGCTCTTCGTTGCCAAGAATATTCAGCAGGACCTTCAGGGCAAGTTTGAAGAAACTCAAAGCCGTCGTAAGTGTGGTCAGAACCCACCTAACTACCAGGCCGAGTTCAAGCTTGACGATATTGATGTTCTTATGGACACTGCACACCTACTCTGCATGTACATTGACCGGAGTACATCTGGCTTTGGTACTGATCCACAGCGCTTGATCAATTTTGTCAAGGATTTCATTCCTATATTCTTTGGACTGGACCGTGAAACATTCCACGAATATATTGATGAATCTATGATTGGTGCCACACCTCCCGAGGAACTGGATGAGAACTTCCCTGCCGTTGAAGATGATGAGTCGAACACTAGTCGAAAGGCACCGAACACGCAGAAGCTGGATCTATTGCGTGAGGCGCTGAGCCGTCGGGGCGATAAGCCAAGCAACGAGCACAAAGAGAACGGCATTACTCCTGTCATTAATCAACAACCCACTCCTGAGATTGGCTTAGCTCCTTCTGCGACTGTCTCAGAGGCAGATGAGTCCTTCGATGTTGCTGAGCTCAAGTGGATGGAGCATCCCGGCCAAGGTAACTTCAATGTGGAGCGTGAGTACACGCTGAACGAGAAGTATAAGAAGGATGAGCACCATATGTACTCCAACCTTAATATCCTCTGCTTTTTGCGCACCTTTGAAATCCTCTACGCTCGTCTGCTGCGGATCAAGGAGCAGGAAGAAGAAGCCCACGAGCAAATCCGTCGTGGTCTCCTACCTAAACCTGCTCATGAGCTATGCCTTATTGATCGATTCCCTGGTGACTTCTTCTATGATGTCGAACCCAAGGCCAACCTGTACAAGCAAATTGTACGCATGTGTCAGGAGGTGATCCGGGGCGATATTGATCAGATTCATCTTGAGGAAACTCTCCGTCGCTTCTATATGCAAGGTGGATACCTTTTGTATAACCTTGAACGAATCTTTAGTTCTATTACTAAATTCGTTGGCTCTGTGTTCACTGGGGATTCTCGTGACAGGAGTTCAGACATTGCGAACTTGTTTTTCAAGGAACGCGAAAAGAGTGAGACAACTCATCACCAAGAGATCCAGTATCGCAAGCAGGTTGAGCGATTGGTCAAGGAAGGCGATGTTTACCGTCTTACTTATGTGAGTTACTCTCTCTCTCTCTCTCCCTCTCTCTCTCTCTCCCCCTCCCTATCCACATTTCCCACTGATCAATTCTAACTTTTCATTTTTTTCTTCTTCTTCTAGTTCCCCTCTGATCACCGCGTAACTGTACAAGTTATGACCACAGAGGATGCCACCCTTGAGAACGCGGATCTGAGCTCCGAGGCCCGCTGGTCCTACTACGTAACAGCATACTCGATGCGTGATCCAACCGAAGGAGTCCGCTACTCCGAAATGCGCATGCCATTCCTCAAACGCACCCTCCCAGGCAAACTAGACGAAGACGAAGAATACGACCGATTCTACCGCCGCCTGCAACACTACGATGGTCTTGTCATTCGTATTTGCGCAAACAACTACACGATTCTCTACCAACCCCCTACGCACGACTGGTTCTGGCGATCTACAATCCCACTTCCAGAGAGAGACGCAGACGAGGAGGCCATCAAGACCATGGAAGAGGATTATGCTAAAGAAAAGAGCGCTCTGACAGAAAAGCGTCATGATCGCTTCGTCGAGAAATTTGTTAATAACCCCAACTGGGCGCGCGGTCTGAGCAAAGACAAGGTCGACGAGTCGAACCAGCGTTTCCGATCCTGGTTAAATGGGACATTAGAGAATGGAACTGAGAAAGAAGGCGAGGATGTCAAGGAAGATGCCAATGGTAATGGTACCGAGAATGGCAGTGATAAGGAAAAGAGCGATGAAAAAGAACCTTCAGCGCCTACCGAACAACCCGTTCCTGCTCCTGCGTCTGAGGAAGAGAAGAAGCCCGAGGCTGAAGCTGAGGTTGACACTGAAGCTAATGCTAATGCTGAATCTGAAAAGCCCGAGCCTGTGGACTCAGAAATGGCCGACGCCGAGATGGCTGACGCGGAACCCACGGTGTAATGTACCATTGTCCCTGCTCTCTATTTTTTATTTTCTGTTTTCTACCTATTCTTTTCATTCTATTCTATCGATGGAGAGCGTGTCAGGCTGTAGGAATGAGTCCTGGTTGGAAGGATGAACATGCATTTTCTGCTTGAGAAGGAAACGGCGTCTATCATACGAGGAAATCGCGATGATGAGTTTATGGGTTTGTGGTTATTTTATTTTATTCTTTTCTTTCTTTCTTTCTTTCTTCCTTCTCTTCTCATTTTCAAATTCTCTGGTTTTTTTTAAAAGGTTCTTCTGATTTCCCGATGTGTCGCGATCAGTAATTGGGGTCGTGTATCCTTAGCGATCTATGTACCGGGTCTGTTCATTCATCGTTTTTCCCAATGCACAAACGTGGTGTTTTTTTTTATTGGTTTGATTTGATTGATTCCCTTTTCTCACTTAAACCAACCCAACCCAATCTGGACACCGATATTCATTGACTTGATTCATTCCTGGACCGAAAGACGGACCCAAAGGACAGGTTATCCGGCTCAACAGGATCCGCGAGATGATCTGATAACTTCAAGTTGGTGAATGTGGATCAAAATGGATATCCAGATGGATGAAATGATATATTCTTTTCTCTTTTTATTTCTCCTTTTCCTTTTTATTCATTGTTTTGTCTTATCAACATCCCCCTTTTGTATTGTATTAAGTACGCGATGCAAATCAATGGAAGCTATGTCTACCAGAACCAGTCGTAAATAGTACACATGTAGTAACTTGAAATGGATAACACCCAGCTCCAACAGAATCACTGGCACAACTTGGACCATAAAGATATTCTAGAATATCAATTATACTCAGTGATCAAACCACCCGGAAACAAAGAAAGGTAGATAAATGTAGATCCTCCTTAGACCAGATCTCCCGCGCGCTTAGGAACAATTATTCGATGCAGCGAGTTAACGGTTCATAAACGGGCTACGGTGTACAAGATGCAGGGCTGATCAGCTCCGTGTGGCCGAGCCAGGTTAACCGATACAGTCCGAGACGTGGACTGACGAGGGGGGTTTCGGGCCGGGCGGATCCTTTGTTCGCCGTGGTATCGCCGTGGTGAAGATCTTGATTTTGAGCTGGAGGATTGGATTCGTATTATTTTGAATATTTGTGCTTTTGTTAAGGGATTGTTGGATTTCAGAATTGAACATTAGAGTAAGTCATTTGTATTGACCGTAGTAAAATACTTAGCTGCAGGTCCGGAATATACATTAAGCACATGTGCAGGATGCATCCACTTAGTATGTGCTGATTACGATTTACTGCGCATAGCGAGGCAAATGCGAGCAAACACCGAGTCGGTCCGAATTAAAACCGCGGGGTGACCTCATGGTGATCTACTGGCACTAGTCCAGATCCGGATGTGTGTCATGGCAAGTTTGAGATGGCGATGTCAATAATTGTGATGAGAAAGGAGTCAAAAGTGTGAATTCAAAGGTTACAAATTAGAGGAATGGATTATTTGAGTCGAAATATATACATCTATCTACTCCAATCTCCATTTTAAAGCTCCATTGTGGGGGGACACGCACAAAATCTGGGGACGGAAGAGAATACATCCCGGATCTGGTAGTCCAGACTCGTTCCCTTCCCCCGGTCATTTGGTATCTTAAGTAACAATTAGCTTTAGCAGTGGAACCGAGCTCCTACTCCGGGATATTTCAACTCTTGCTCCCCCCCCCCCTCTTTGGCTCGATTTCTCTTTTTTCTTTCTTCCAATCTCACTCTTGACAGACCCTCTCCACTCATTCCTTTCCTTCTCGGTACCAATTGTCAGAATGGCTGCTTCTGCCCTTTTGAAGAGCCGTGTCCGACGGCCTTCCTACCTTAAAAAGCTAGCGAAGGCAGAGGATCTCATTGATTTATTTCCTCATGGCTCATACATCGGCTGGTCCGGTTTTACAGGTGTGGGATATCCAAAGTAGGTTCACTGTCTTTCCAAAATAGCCCCATTCGTTCCACTCAATAAATGCATCAAAGTGGCAATGGCAAGTAAAACACATCTGACATATTCACAGGATGATTCCCACCGCACTGGCAGATCACGTCGAGAAAAATAACCTTCAAGGTCAACTCAAGTACAACTTATTCGTCGGAGCCTCCTCTGGAGCCGAAACAGAGAATCGCTGGGCAAAATTAAATATGATCGAACGCCGCAGTCCACACCAGGTCGGAAAAGAAATCGCCAAGGGAATCAACAATGGCCAGATTAAGTTTTTCGATAAACATCTGAGCATGTTTCCCTCGGATTTGGTCTATGTAAGCTTTCCCACACACCAAATCACCCAATCCGGGGTGCAGATGTTTGCGTTCGGGATTTCCCGCCGCGGAGCACAACACCGACGATCCCGTCATTTGATCGACACGGCTAACGGGATCTGTTTCTTCTTTTCTTTTTAGGGCTACTATACACTTGACAAACCTTCGAATAAAATTGATGTCGCTGTCATTGAGGCATCTGCCATTACTGAGAATGGTGGAATTATCCCCGGTGCCTCAGTCGGTGCTTCGCCCGAGTTGGTCCAAATGGCGGACAAGGTCATTATCGAGGTTAACACCGCCAGTCCCTCATTCGAGGGTTTGCATGATATTGTCGGCTCTGATCTTCCTCCCGGTCGCAAGCCATACCTGATCATGGCACCGGAGGACCGTATCGGAACCACTTACATCCCCGTTGACCCTGAGAAGGTCGTCGCAATCGTCGAATCCAACTACCCAGATCAAACACAGCCCAACGCCCCTGAGGACGCAGACTCACAAGCCATCGCCACAAACCTAATTGAGTTCCTCAAACACGAAGTCAAACACGGCCGTCTCCCCCAGAACCTCCTCCCCATTCAATCGGGTATCGGCAACATCGCCAACGCCGTCGTCGGCGGTCTCAGCAAGGGCGGCGCAGACTTCACACACCTCAAAGTATGGACTGAAGTCCTTCAGGACTCCTTCCTCGACCTCTTCGATAGCGGAAATCTCGACTTCGCAACAGCTACCTCTATCCGCTTCTCACCAGAAGGCTTCAAGCGCTTCTACGATAACTGGGAGCGCTACGCTGGTAAACTTCTCTTGCGCTCACAACAAGTCTCCAACAGCCCCGAAATCATCCGTCGTCTCGGCTGCATCGGCATGAACACACCCGTCGAAGTTGACATCTACGCTCACGCAAACTCTACCTGCGTTATGGGCTCGCGTATGCTGAACGGTCTTGGTGGTTCTGCTGATTTCCTCCGTAACTCCAAGTACTCTATTATGCATACCCCGTCTACTCGACCTAGCAAGACTGATCCAACTGGATTGAGTTGTATTGTTCCCTTCGCTACCCATATCGATCAGACAGAGCATGATCTCGATGTTATTGTTACTGAGCGTGGTTTGGCTGATGTTCGAGGGTTGTCGCCGAGGGAGCGTGCTAGAGTTATTATCAAGCAGTGTGCTCATCCTGAATATGAGCCTATTCTTACGGATTATCTTGATCGGGCGGAGTTTGAGTGTTTGAGGAAGGGAATGGGTCATGAGCCTCATTTGCTTTTCCAGGCTTTCAAGATGCATCAGAACTTCCAGGAGAAGGGTACAATGAAGATTGATTCTTGGGAATAGATTACTCTTAAAAGTACCTTTCCACATGTCTCAAATTGGATATCATCTTCTTTCTCCAAAGGAATGTTTTGCCTCGCCGACCACCTGGGCACTTTGTCTACTTTCTACTATGGGTTAAAATCATGTTCGGATCCATGCAGTGTATATATCATCAGCGTTTCTTTTCATTTGTTAACTATGTTCGGAAAAAATAAGAATATTATTAAATTCAATCTCATATTCCAAACTTTTATTGCAAACAATACAAACCCTCTTCTACCCCAGTAGATCCCCAACTGTGGTGCCAAATACCTCCTAGGTGACTATCGAGCCATGACGTTGTTGAACAGCTACCTTATGAACGCTGTTTCATTATTCCTCCTTCCAAGGCCAATATGGATTCCAGCCTACAAATCCTGAAGGTTCGGAGGAATGAACTTCTCCATTTGACTAAATGTTACAAGAACATCCACGAGATCATTGATCACAGTCGGCGTGTAAAACGTCTCACAGTTAGTTATAAGGGGTTCAACACACAATATGGATCTTCAATGTACTTCATATCCTCAGATTTAAAGTCACAATATTAAAACCCTTCCAAATACAAGCTATTTTAACCCAGAATTGCCGTTAAATCAACTGAATGATCATATATTTGTATACCTCTTAACATATAACATGAACTTGAATAAATCACAAAGTATACAACAATTCAATGCCTAGCACCATAAACCCGAAAACTCCAAACATATTCGCAAAATTAATTCACAGATCCACGCTTGATCTTCGAAGTTAAACTTGAACCAGATCAATCCGTAGGCGGGCTGTAAGATCCACCGATGAATCTAGAGAATATTAGCTTCAACTACAACGAACTCCATGATACCATAGAGTAAAAGAGAGAGGAAGAATAATCTTACCGGCTTATGATTGATCCAAAAAAGCCTGTCTGTGCGTCCCCAGACTTTCGTCGCGCCCATCCTTGATCCACATTGTAGTGCTTCACGTCCTGCAGACCAGCGAAGAGGCCTCGGCCTGCTGTAGCGTGCTATTAGGTGTTAGTATTTACTGAATTTGATCTTGATATTTATGAGAAGGCCAAGATATACATACCCTATGTTCTTGTTGGGTTCGAACCCAATAATCAGCTCCGAAGTCGTTCTGAAGACGAGCCTGGGTTGACTTTGCTTTGTCCGGTGTGGTCATTTTGATTTGGCTTTAACCCGGTAGAGTAGAGTAAAATGTAGAGTAGAGAATAATGTAGAGTAGAGAATAATGTAGAGAGGAGATTATCTCAAATGATCTTGATGTATGAATGTACAGAATAAAGAAGATCCATCCACTCGAGTATTCGTCCCCTTTATAGACCACAATTTACTATAGAGGCCATCACCAAAGTCACTGCCACGCCGAACTATTGCCTGATACCCGCGACGGCCGAACCCGACCCAAACTCTTAGTATTGAATGTAAGGCATAATTCGGGACCCCCGAACGATCGGTTCCGAGTATCTCTATAGAACAGAATTTTGTATGTACGATGGAGCCAATTCGAAAGGCCCGATGATTGGTGTGGATAATACATTTCCACGTGTCTCTTTATCGCGAATATGTAGTATGACTATAGAAGATTATTAGTTTTTAGTGCGATGCGATTGGGTCAATGGTTCCATATCCGGGGCTGTGAAAGTCGTGACGTCGATGTGTGGTGTGGTACGGCCGAGCGAACCATGCGGGAGCAGAGATTCCGGGCTTCTAGTAGATGCGCTTTTCTTCTGGTATATTCCTATTGGAGGATTAAGTTTAGTTTGGTTTTATTATGTGGGATGACATTGGGGGTTCTTTGGAAGGATTGTATGGCGTGGTGGGTGTTTTCGGGTGTGGCATGATCGGGCGGAGGTGGTCATGTGCATATTGAGGAATTGAGACTGTGTTTTGATGGAGATTATTCTTCTAAATACTTTTCTTTTCTTTTTTTCTTTAAAAAAATCATTCGAGATATTTATTATGGGAGATCTTTGTTATTCGGGTTCTTGCAGAGGTTGCACGAGCTTAAATCGATTTATAAAATAATACTTACATGAGGTCAAAAGGGTTTTCATCTTGATGTGTTCGACTTTGCAAAGAATACGGTTGCTGCAGTGACTAATATTGGGAATGGTGTAGCAACTAGTTTGTCTATTGTGACTTCGAGGCTGTAATATGCTAGCAAAGACAGCCTGTAGACGCAACATGTCGGTATAGGTCCTCAATGTGAGACCCTCCACATTGGCTTTCCGCACAGTGCATTCTTTCTGCGACAGCACATCGCCGCATCAATGGCCCGACGGACAACAAGAGCCTGGCCGTTCGTACATGAGGGCGTTGGTCGCTACACTGCGGAGCATGGAACCTTCTGGTGATGGAAATCGGTAGCTAGGCTTCATCATGATGTATTAAAAAATCCCCATGAGAGCTGGCGTCAGCGATCAGTCTGGTGTTAAATCGAATGCGACTATTGCCTGTGGAGCACTTGGATTATCTTTACCTTCTTCTCTACTATTAGCCTTCGCATTTGACTCGACTTTGCGTGATCTTAGTATATATTCCTCAGCTGGGCAGTTTCAAACGTTGAATGCGTGTATTCGTCCAAATCGCCCCTGCACTGTTGGCAGGAAAATATATCTCAGACTACTGTTGTAGTTATATGTCGCACCTGGACAGACGACTACTAGTACATAGTACTAGTAGGTAGTAGGTAGGTACCCATTGTTGCTAGTACTAGTATGTACTGTAGTAACATCCAAGTTTTTGAATGATGCCTACTAGTATCTATTACTATATATCCATTCAATGTTGCGCCACTTTTAGCCACTAGGTGGTAAGTGCATTTGGCACCTAATTTAAATCAGATGCCCACAGGAGCCTGATTTCTCCCTTGTATACAGAAATAAATTGTGAATTCCAGCAGATCTTGAATATAAGTTGCTATCATCAATAGGACTGACCCATCATGTGTACATCCATCGATCGTGGCATCAATGGGACGAATGGGGATTAGTCAGCATACCAACCCAGTGCACATTCTCAGGCCACAAGGCAACAACTTGAATCGGTTAAGATGTGAATACAACAAGCAGACTAAAAGATTCCAAGAATGTTCGAATATCTCACATTCCTGACCAGGCTGATTGACCAAGACTGTCTCACTGACAGGAAATTCGATCTCAGTTACTTACTCCATGCCCAGCATTCCCCACATACTTTGGGCCAGGCCCATTGCCCAGAAAACAATTCGAAGCGGTAAATGAGAAATCCCACAGCCAAGTAAAACAACCACAAAAACAAACAAAGGAAAGACACTGCGCCCCACACGCCATCGCAGAAATTGCACGGTTACAATCCGAAATCACCATTTTTTATTAGTTATTAGCCACCGCCACATCTTTTTAAATTGCCGGTGGCAAAAAACTGTCAGGGTTCCAACGTTTCAGATGGTGAATAACCTCAGACAGGGTCTTGCCAAGCCTTCGACTTATCCAGCCATGACTCCATCTGTACAATGACCGGTGCCCAGATCGACTATCTTGCTTGGCGCCACATAGCGCCTCCAGATTTGTGTGAGCTGGCGGTCGAGACCAGGTTGTGTGTGGAGTCTATGCCCAAAAAAGGAAAATGTTCGAAGGAATTACTGTTTACACTCCGTACACGAATACTGTACACACCGATCAGATCTTGTTTACATACTATCGGTCGCTGTTGGGAATGTTGTCCCCCTTTTCTGATTGATCTTTTCTTTTCTATCATACTTATCGGATGGATACTCATACTGCATTGTCATGCATTTGGGCCTGGTCGCGTACGGAATACTGTATGGATCTTCCATGTCTTACCCAATTATGGGTCGTAGAGGGAAATGATCGTTCCGATATCCGAATGAAACTAGTCACGGCTCAGGGGGAGGTGGTTCTCCGCATGTAACATTTCAGATTACCCCGATGGTTCTGACTGGAAAAAGCCGCAATGGCAATTAAATCACCTGCGGGGATGGAGTACGCGTTCTTATACTCCATAGTGTGCTAGCTTGTCTTTATGAAGAACCGAGCACAGAATATACTACATGGCCTCCGTATTCCGGGTTTAGAAGAATTCAAGGCCTCAATTCCTCTGTGCACAATCTAGACTCTTTTTTTTGCATTGGGATCAGCAGCTGCCGAAGGCTTAGGGGGCCGCTTGCTGTCTTACTCTCCATGATCGCCGAGGCGGAACGTGCGGATGCCGCGTCCTCGGTATTTTTGCTGTGTACTTACCGTGAAGGAAAGTATAGACAGTATAAGAGGTAAGAGGAGACCGGAGACTACTAAGCTATGAAGAGAAGGTCCCCCGCGCACCTGATAGAAAGCGCATTGATGATGGGGTACGAGTACGATTGAGTTCTGGGTTTGGATTATTGGCGTATCTCGGAGCTGACGAGTCACGGCAAAGTCGGGGGGCGAAGCTAGGAAGCGGGAAGAGAGTCTCCTTTTCCTTCGGTGTTTTTGAGTTTGAATGTAGAGACCGGTTTCTTTCGTAGGGGACCTTTGTGTTGGACTGTATAGAGGGCATTCATGTAAGATTATGGAAGACCACGTCATGATAGTCTTGGGATTCCATGGTTCACGGTGGTTCTAATTTAACGGCATCATGTACTTTGTGAAGAACAAGTCCGCATTTGAATACTGTGTATAGGAACAGAATGCAACAGCTCAGATGATACATTTGTGTACTGTACGAGGCGTACATTAACGTCGAGGTACCTGCGTATGAGGATCGGCAGGGCGGGAAATTAGGGCCTCGGTAACAACCAATCATAACACTAGATAGATGATTATTCCCCACATTAATCTCCACAGTAAAGCTGCCACTTGACTGATTTCAGATTAGATCAGGAGCATGGAGACCCACTTGGGCACGCTAACGAGAGAATTTCCTGTTTTCCTGTTTCTCCTCGTTTTTTGCCCATGAAAGTTGAATTATGATCGGAGGCGTACTCCCTAAAACACATCTAGACTCCCTGGTCATTGTTCAGTCTTTTTATCTGTAACTTCATGGTCGAACTACATAGTTCTCCCCCATGAACTGGTATAGGTTCAATCTGTTTACCCGTTAAAACAAATCCCTGCAGTAGTTCGGCTGCACTTCCTGATCCCCACAGTAAGGGGCTGAGCGTACTCCCCAATTCTATAGCTCCGCCCCCAAGTGAGACATAACAGCTATTTTTGCTGATTCGGAGCAGCAACAGTACAGCCTTGAATATTTTTGTTCATTTATTGAATTATTAAATGATTATCCATACGGTCACAAAGAAGTGTACAGTATCACCCTCATAGTGTATTATAGACCCCACTCCCGCCCGACCCGTGCGGGCCAACCATCAGCGTCAATATTCTGGATTTGAACTGGGGATGCAAGATTCGACCAATAATCGGAGCCTGGTACCTGACTGTCTAGACTGCAGGTGAATGAACCAGGGGTAAATTTGGCGTAACTTGGATTCATGATCTTGTGGAGCCTGGTAATCCTCGGTATAGGACTAATGCCCACTAAACTCCCTATTTTTCTTATTTTTCTTATTTTTTCTCCTTTTTCTTTCTGATTCCCCCCCCCTAACCTCCACTTCTCCTTCTGTTCCCCCCCCCGTTAGAAACTTTAGCCCTCAGAACAAAAGGCCTTGCGTGCCCACTCTCTCTCCTTTCTCCTTCTTACCCACGTTCCTTGATACTATTCAACTGACCACCGCTTCACTCGTTCAGCGGGCATTCTTTCGTTCGGTACGCAAGACCCTCATTTCTTCTATCACAATGAAGGGCTCTGTTATCGCCGCCGCGGCTTTCGCCGGCTCTGTCCTCGCTGAGGGCAACCTGCACCGTCGCCATGAGGCTATCCACCAGAAGCGTGCTGTTGCCGCCTCTGGTTCCGCCTCTGCCTCTGCTTCTGCTTCTCCTACCTCCTCCGTGCCATTGAGCCCTCCTGATGAGACCTGCGGTTGCACCACCAAGGTCATCACCCTCTGGGGCTCCCCTACCCTGGTCCCTATTCCTCAGACCAGCACTGTGGAGTCCACCAGCACCTTGACCAGCACTGTCCACTCCACCAGCACCAAGACTGCTACCGTCACCGTGACTCCCTCCGTGGCTCCCACTTCCTCGGTGGCTCCCGCTTCCTCGGCTGCTCCTTCGACCTCCACCGTCATTGTTAGCCTGCCCACCAACGGCGTTACCAGCTACTCCACTACTGGTACCTACACCGTCCCGGCCACCACCATGACCGTCACCGACACCACCACTGTCTGCGGTGCTACCACCACCGCTGCTACCAGCGGTACTCACACCATTGGCGAAGTCACCACTGTTGTCTCCACCGAGACCACTGTGACTTGCCCTTACGCCACTGTCAAGCCCAGCGGTACCACCGTGACCAGCGTCATTGAGTACACCACCTACACTTGCCCCGCTGCTGGTACCTACACCGTCGTCCCCGGTACCACCACTGTCGTTCCCAGCGACACCACCATTGTGTACCCTACTCCCTCGACCATCGCCCCCGGTACCTACACCAAGCCTGAGACCACTCTGACCGTCACCGAGACCGACACCACCTACTACTGCCCCTTCGCCTCCAGCACTGGTCTTGCCAGCACCACCGCTGCTGCTCCTACCACTGTCGCTCCCGCCCCTGCCAGCACCACCGCTGCCGTTGTTGCTTCCAGCACCAGCTCTGCTGCCCAGTCTACCGGTACCTCCAGCTCCGGTCTGACCGGCTCCGGCAAGTATGGAATGACCTTCTCTCCTTACACCGACTCCGGTAACTGCATGACCCAGTCCGAGGTTACCAAGAACATCAAGATCATCTCCGAGAAGGGCTTCGACCTCGTCCGTGTCTACTCCACTGACTGCAACGGTCTCGAGTACATTGGCAACGCCTGCAAGGAGATGGGTATGAGCATGATCCTCGGTGTCTACATCGAGAGCACCGGTACCTCCGGTGCTCAGGAGCAGGTTGATGCCATCAACAAGTGGGCTCAGTGGGACATGGTTAAGTTGATCGTCGTCGGTAACGAGGCCGTTTCCAGCGGTTACGTCACCGCTGCCCAGCTCGCCAGCTTCATCAGCTCTTCCAAGTCCAGCTTCAAGTCCGCCGGCTACACTGGCCAGGTTACCACCACCGAGCCCATTGACATCTGGCAGCAGTATGGTTCTTCCACCCTGTGCTCCCCCGTTGACATTGTCGGTGCCAACATCCACCCCTTCTTCAACGCCGACACCACCGCCGCACAGGCTGGTGAGTTCGCCCTGAGCGAGTACAAGATCCTCGAGAAGATCTGCAACCTTGACGTCCTCAACCTGGAGACTGGTTGGCCCAACGCTGGTGACGCCAACGGCGCCGCCGTCCCTGGTGTCTCTGAGCAGGAGACTGCCATCAAGGGTATTGCCGAGGCTATCGGTAGCAAGTCCATCTTCTTCTCTTACGCTGATGATGCCTGGAAGGCCCCTGGTGAGTTCCAGGTTGAGAACCACTGGGGCTGCAAGTCCGTCTTCTAAGCGTCACGTCCCGTGATACGGTTTCAAAACTTGTACAGGAGGATTTAAAGGAGTTTTTATTATTGTTTCTCTTCAATATTACCTTTCTTGCGTTCAGCCTTGTTGCGCCCAGTCTCCCGGAGATATGATTGTGACAAGATGGACATCTTTTTTCGCTTTCTATTGTCTATTATCTTGGACGTTTACGTGGTAGATATACCTTTTTATTTGATGTTGTCTACTGACCTGGCTGCATCCACCTGATCTCTTTGTCTTCTCTCCTGCTATTTGCGTTGTCCCTGTATATGTTATTTATTACATGCATTTTACGAACGGTAGTCCTTTTGTAGGCCAATTGTGTATTCCTTGTAATTACTCCACTGCAATCAGTCTTGTTTCATATCTCGTCTCGACCAAAATGCCTGCAGTTCCCCTGAAATTATCTAAGCTAAACTCCTGTGTAGTAGCCGCCGAGTCTAATATGCCGAAGTCCCATGAAATGCTGTTGGGTTAAGGAATAAAATTATTCAATCAAATGCCTTCAATGCCCAATCAATCCAATTTCTCGATAACCTCACCCGTCGTGTTGTGCTGCAGCCTTAGAATCTTCTTGCAGGCTTCCAATACTCGACCATACACAGTCGCCTACATAGAATTATACCTATTAGAGTAGACATTTGAGTCATTGAAAGCAGCCTTAAGAATAGATCTATGACAAAGAGACGACAGTAATAATAACTAAGTAGAAAGTTGACTATGTAGCAGATATAGATCATATTGGTAGATGTTGAGGCTTATTTAAGGGCCATGAGAACCTCGGCCGCCACTCGTTCGCCAGAACTAATCGCACCATCCATATGCCCAGCCCATTCCAAAGAGGTTTCAGTCCCAGCAAAGTGAATTCCACCGACGGGCGCCTTAAGATGGGGGCCATACTCAGTAAGTACACCAGGCGGGGCAAACGCTACTGGCCCTCCACGTGAAAATTCCTCTGCATCCCATCGTTGATTGATGACCCGGGTTGGGTTAGCAGCCTGATCTCCAAACATCCCCACCAGACTCTGTATCACTTGAGCTCTTACTTTTTTCTCTCCTGAATCGTCCAGCTTCCGCATCTCATCAGCCTCTATAAAGCCCATGATAGCGCCGAATGAAGCTTCTTTCGGGCTGTTGTCATAGGTAACTCGGATCGATCCAGAGTCAGAAAGCCCTTGCACATTTAATCCAAGTTTACGCCACCACGGATATGGATAAATGGCAATTGCTTTGCCAATCGCACCCATTGCCATTCTTTGAGTAAGTTGATCGCGTCCAGCGGGAAGTAGTGGGTAATATGAAATACGGCCTGCCATCGGCGGGGACATAGCAACAATAACCTGTTGTGTTGAGATTTGCATTTTGTCTGAAGTCACTGTATATTGGTCATTTTCAAGCGTGATTTTTCGCACGGGGTTACTCAGATGGATATTCTTTGACCCAAGCCCGTCTGCAAGCTTGAGAGGGAGAAGTTGTGTTCCACCATCTATTCGGCTTTCCTGTGCACCATCTGCTACATTTATAAGTCGACCAATTGTGCCTGTGGTTTTTTTGTTTGCACCACCGGCTATATAGGCGAGCAGATAAAGTAGCGATGGCTCGTTTGGTTCTGTAGATAGGACACTAGTAATGTCATTTTCTAGCAGGAAGCGGGAATCGGAAAGAGTGATTTTAGAATCGAGATATGTGGCAACTGTCATATTATCCCAAATAGAGGCATTGGGATGATCCCAGGGCGCTTCGGTGCTGACCCCTGCAGCCATAGAGTTCAGATCGGATTGAAAAGATAGAAGTTCGAGTAGAACTTCGGTACTTAGCGGCGGAATGGAGGATGGTTGAAACGGATAGGTAGTCAACGTTCCATTTCGTAACATACTACAATTTCCTTCGCGGTATGTTGGATATGTTGTTAAACCAAGAGAATCTGCAAGTGCAAGTACTCGATCTTGTGTGGGGCCCACAAACTCTGCCCCGGCCTCTTCTGCCTGACCATCCAGGAGGTTCACGTTCAGTACACGTCCTCCAACGCGATCACGAGCTTCGAGAATGGCGAATGATTTGCCAGCTGCTGCAATATCCTTGGCAGCAGATAGCCCGGAAAGACCACCTCCTATTATGACAACATCAACATCGGTTTTTGCGCAGACTGCAGCTGAAAGGAGAATTCAAGGAAAGAATAGCATAGCGACGGAAGGCCGATTTGGAGAATCTCGGATAAATCACGCGAACTACTATCACCATTATATGTAGTCAAACTTAATGTTTAGTAGTACACAGCTAATCTGTGGTCATTCACTAGTAAAAGCATTGCACAAATGTCAGCCCTTCCAAATGATAAATGATACTCGTCTTTCAGATCCTTTACCTTCACTTCACCCCTGAATTCAGCGGAACAATGAGTCTTAAAGAGGCGGACCAGACTTGTTCTTCTGTCTAAGCAGCAACAAATATGTTGAAGAGTAAATTCAAATGATACGTAGCCTTTTAAATTCGCTGTGCACATGTGACTTCATATCTCCGGTTGTTCAGCTGCGGATACTAACATTGCATCACCTTCGGCTTTGGCATGTGTTTAATGGCAAAATCCAATGAAGTTCAAGAGCCTATGAACTCTGCAAGCCTACTACTTTATTTCTTAGATCATATTAGATAATGAATGATGGAGAGTAAGCTATCTGAATGATGGTTATGTTAAGAAATACTAAGCTGGTCAAGAGAATAGAAACAGATCCCCACCAAAATACCTCCACATTTTGCTTGGTAGTACATTTGTCACAGGAATCAAGATACTTGATTTTAATTGAGTTGATCAAATTTCCTTGGCATGCAAAATAAATACTGAAAAATATTTCCTGAAGGTCCGAATGTACAAAGACGTCACAGTAGGTACTATCCAAGGATCCCGAAGACAGTGCACCGATTTAATGAACCTTCTTTAATGCCCGCTGGGCAGCCATGCCATGTTTATAAAACAACCACTTGCCTCCTTTACAGTGCCCAAAATTAATTCGCTCATGAGAAAAGTCGAAGGCACGTTGAAAGCGAGGAATACTCAGCCTATCGTAAGAAGCAGCTACCGCATCTAGAGAGGCATTACAAAAAAGCTGCTCTGCCAAGTCCCAACCATCACCCAGCGCCAGATTCGCACCCAGCAGCTCAAATGAGTTGAGAATATGGTTGGCCTCACCAATGAAGAACACCCCTCGTAGGCGAGTATCATGCGGGAATGCAGGCTTCTCCTTAGCGGGGCGTATGAAGGCAGTACCGGGAATTGTAGCGTTAACGATTGATTTGAAGGGCTCTTGGAACATAGAGGCAGTCTCTAAAGCTTCTTGTTTCAATGCAGTAAGCTTCTCGGGACTGAAGCTTGTTTTAGATTTAAGCTCCGGCCCTACTGTGCTCAGCGCCCAGTCAATCCTCTTGCTATTAAGTGGGTGATAGATGCAACAAACTCCTTCGCCTGACGACATTTGAAGACTGAAGTCCTGATTGACGGGCTTTGGAACACCTTCTGGAAAAAATGAGATACCACCAATCTGCGTTGCGCCAGCGTATTGCGTTGTCATGTCATTAGGGCGAAAGCAGGCTCGAATACAACTGTTGGCGCCATCGGCCGCCACGAGAACATCGCAGTCCAGCATGGAAGTGTTCATGCCTTCATGACTTTCACATCCAGAGACAGAGACTCGGATCTGACCGTTCGACAGATGTTCAGCTGATGTACATGCTGAGTTCCACTTTATGACAGTCTTCGTTTGTTCAATTTTCTCCACCAGTATGCGTTTGAGATCCTCACGGGCGACGCGCATGGTTGCAGCTGGTAGGTTCCCATACGCGCTCGGATTAATCGACGATAGCCACTTCCAATTTTCTGACCATACGCGAATATCTCCATCATTGAGAGTTGAATGTTTGCGGACCTCATCCAATAGGCCTAGTTGTTGAATGACCGCGAGTCCATCATCAGAGCTGGCTCCGTTGATGCAGAGCGTATAAGGATACTTGTGAATAGACTTGTCACGATTATCCTCTTCCAGCAGCAGCACTTCTGGACGGTTGAGGGTTGATTTTGCCCAGAGCTGGTCGAAAGCAAGTACAAAAGACAGGCCTGCGAATCCTGCGCCGGCCACGACTATTCTTTTTGCTGCCAGTGATTGGCCCAGTTGGTTGTTCATGTTGGAATCAAAATTGTCTGCGATACTATACAATCGTGCCAGTAACAGGGTTTAATAAAAGCGGCCATTTTATTGCGACTCGGGATTTGGGTATGAATTGCGTGGTCGACGTCGTCCATCGTTGTCGATCCTTCTTGCTCTCAAGAATCTCTGCTTTCACCTCGGAGTTTTTATTTCTTCGGAGTTTCTATTTCTTATCGCCGTCCCGGTAGTAGCATTGGAATGGTGGAGTAGGCTGTGACCCTAATATTTGTATATGAGATAAAAAATTAGCGTCTATTGAGGCGATTTGTAATAATGATATTGTTCGTTTGTAATCAACAATTTTCATCACGCGGTTTCAATTCTACCAGAATACAGGAGCTGCCAGTATACCCACGATAGAATATAAGCTAAGCATGGCGCCCCGTGGGACTGCTTCAAGTTGATTACTGGAGCGGGGCGATCTTAAAATATAGGAGAACTCCCAGTATCCCATAAAGCGATTCATAAAGCAAATAGTAGCAGATAAATGAATATTAGTAACAGATAAAATTAAATTGCTGTAGAAGTTTCCGTAGGACCTCTTTACCTCGTGTATTAAGCATTCCATTGTCCCATACACTAATACACAGACAGACACTTGTTGTCTACATCATGATGTGTGACGTCGCGCTATTGATCTTATCTTGAGGCAGTGCCGTCGCGCTTGCACAGTTCTGTATTATAGAAATTTACCGGAGAAACAAAAATTGTATACATGCTCATGTGGAGCTCCTAGGGAAAAAGGCAGCCCTCATTCCATAGATTCGGCGTTCCTGTCCCCACACTATGAATAAATAGTTCTGCAGTTTTAGAGAGGCATGAGCGTGGAAGAAGGTCCAAATAGCTCTGCTCTGGGTTATTAATGCTCTTCAGCCCCCCAAACACATGGAAAAGCTCCTGCAACCGCGGCTGGAAATCCTCGTTATGAATTTCGCTATATAGAAATTCGGCACACATAAATAAGGGAATCGGTGTTAACGGATGAACCTACAACGAACGTGTTAGAATTGGGCTGTTGGGATTATGTATCTCAAGACATACCCTGGATACTGGCAGTTCCTGTAAAATGGAAGCGAGACTAATTATGTTGGTGGATGCCTCTAGAGCGCGATATTGATACTGGATGAACTCGGGACTGTTCTCTCTCAAAGAACCATCATCGGCGCTGGTATCACTTATTGTTTTGCAGAAGTAAATCACTGTTGCTTGACCGAGTATGTTAGCGAAAAGAAGAAGGGGGTCGTTGGATTCCGTGGGTGCTGGGTAGTTTTGAGACAAGACTTGAAGTCGGTTTTTAAGGATACTGTCTAGCCACCTGCGTTGCTCTGACCAGTCCGTGTTCCCATCACCGTACGCTTTTGATATGTGATACTGCTGGCTTTGCAGGAGACTACGGCCACAGATAGTGGCCAGGATAAGACACTCGTTGAATGACGACTGGACTTGGAGAGTGGGCTCCATCATAGCTTCGGACAAGAGCGGTCCTAACTCATGACCCCCGTTCTGAAATTTGTCATCTGGTGCTGGAAGCCGGGTACATATCTTGTTTGGTTAGGAAGAAGATGGCGTTAGCAACCGTTTTTTTTTAACTTTCTGAGGGGTGCATCGTAGGCTTTAATGACCTATGTACTTACCACGTGTTCATTCAAGGTAATCGGCCAGTCATCGCGTATACTGATGATATGATCCAAGAAATAGCTCATCCAAAACACCCTACGTCTTTCCTCAACCTCAATCAAGTCCCCAAATTGCGGAGAGGACGGTCCTCGCTTATCAACAGGGTTATCGATCTCATGATATCGCATGGCCTGGACTAAGCGAAACGCGCGACCGGCACTCATCCACGCTTGGCGGTGATACCCTCGCGTGTATTCAAATATGATAATCAATACCCATGCCTGGGCTAGTGCGGTGCTGTTCCCGATTTCATTGTCGGCATCGATGCTCAGATTCTCCAGCACCTGCTTAGTTTGCCTGTAGAGCGGCTCAGCCAATTCCCTGGAATGAACGGACAACAGTGACGCCAGTGTCCACATCGCATACTGCAGACATTGCTGGGATGCAGTCTTGCTTGACTTTGACCATGAAAAGTATCGTCTTTGGTGTAGAATCGGGACTGATTGATGTACACGATCCATATATAGCTGGTCCCTGAAGAAAGTAAAGCTTATCAGCCATTTTGTAATTCACCAGTGTTACGGATAGATTCAGGGAGACAGCGTACAATTCAGCCCGTATCGGAGTAGAAAGGTGAGGGCTAGACGCGGGCGCTATGAAAGACGCTAATTCCACCTCTTTGCTACTTTGCAGAGCTGACTGATTTGAGGTAGGCTGTGGCTCGTAGCTATTTGAGGTAAGCGCCTCCTCATGTTCTGATCCTGAGGAGGCAGCTCCATAGTTGCCATCATCGCTGTTTCTGGAATCGCTTAACCACTCCGACTGCGGATGTGGCTGGTCGTCTGGCAATCGAGTCTCGAGCATAGACTCCAAATGTAGAATACGGTTTTTTAGCACCTTGAGGTGGCCCTTTTTAGGACCCCGGACAGCACGCTTGGTAACTTCGCAAACGACGTTAGTTTCTCGACACACGCCGCACTGGGGCTGGAGGCCATCGCAGCGTAATTTTCGCCGTCGGCACTCATCGCACGCTGCCCCGGGGCGCTGGCGCCCGTGTGCCCCGGTAGAGGGATTCGATTCTGTTCTCGGGGGTGGCATGTGTTAAGTGAGACTCGGAGCTATGCCAGTACTGCCGGAGAATCTAAAGACATTCTTTCCGGTAGGTCAGGAAGCTGCCTGTAAATCTGGGGGCCAAAAATTGGGGAAGGCTCCCTTTAACCAATCGACGAGGTCCTACGGAAAAATCCTACAGCAATGTAATTTTCTTTGCGACTGCCAGTGATATTCACTCATCTGCTACTATTTGCCTTGTGAAATAATTCTATAATGTTTTAAGATCGGCTCGTTCCAGTAATCAAGCGGACGAGGGGTACGCTTAGATTACTGCACATTCTGTCGCGACTATATCATTATTGACAACTCTTATATTCTGGCAAAATTGAAACGTATGATGTAAAAATAGTTGATTTAAAGGGAACAATATCGGTATTACGAATCGCCTCAATGGTCGCTCATTTTTGATTTCTCATTCAGAAATTGGAGTCACAGCCTACTTCACCATCCCAATGCTGTTTGGCTGCGGTCGGAGATACAGTCGGCTCGGAATAATATATGGAGAAATAGTCGGAGAAAAGTTTCAATTCACTCTCAAGGGCCTCCAAACAGCGCCACAAACTGAAATTTAACTTTCTTCTACCCACAGAAGATGGTAGTCGTCGTATCGCTTTTTTCCAGCTGGATTGTGCACTCGGCTCTTCATCTTATTTCCGAGTCAGATGCTGAATCGTTGAACTGACTATGACTTATTATAAGAAGCGAGATCTCCTTCAGAGTTGAGGTACATCGACCAGCTTGATCCATAATTCAAAAGTGTATTGCAAATCTTTAGAAAGACCAATTATTCCATTGCCACCTTAATTCAACGAAAATGGATCTCTTATCCCGCGGAAACGACGTTCTGAGTGTCAACCCTGTCGTGGGGGTCGATGAGGCCCTAGCTGTACATGGTTCCGACTGGCTCTGGGCAGTAACAGCAATTTTCTCGATCTCTTTGGTAGGAATTTTTTGCCTCAATTATCCCCGTCAGTAACTAACACCCAACTGCCAGATTGGCTGTCTCATTTTGTCATTTGCTGCAAAAGAAAGCGAGCGAGTTTTCCACTACTTATTTACTTTTGTACTTTTGGTTGGCGCCGTTACGTATTTCGCCCAAGCTTCGGATCTAGGTTGGAGTTCTGTAAAGCAGATTGATGATCTAGGCAACGGAACTATCAGGCAGATGTTTTGGGTCAAATATGTGAACTGGCTGATTGCCTTCCCTTCGCTCGCCCTTGGACTGGGTTTGATTTCGGGTGTATCATGGACCACTATGATCTGCAATATCGCTCTCTCATTATTCTGGGTTGTGAGTTACCTCGCAGGAGCGTACGTCGCTAGCTCTTACAAGTGGGGGTTCTTTGCCTTTGGAACTTTCGCCTGGCTCATCCTCGCTATGAGCACCATCAACGAGAGCCGGGAAGCTGCGCAGCTTCTTGGAGTTGATAAGGACTATATCGTTCTATCAGGCTGGACCAACCTTCTATGGATCATCTACCCTATCGCCTGGGGACTAACCGATGGCGGAAACAAAATTGGGATAACAGGAACATCGGTCCTCTTCGGTGTACTGGACGTTCTCTTGATCCCAGTATTGAGCTTTGCCGTGTTGATCTTGGCTCAAAAATGGGACTATCGTAGATTGAGCATAGCTTTCAGCGACAGTCGTCCAAGCCGAGAGACTGAAAATGCTTCGGTGTTGAAGGCAGATTCTCCTCATCCGATTGAATAGACCGACTTCTTGCGTCGTCGTACTGGGTGGTCTTCAGATGAAAGATATGTGGGAGTTATATTCGCATCATTCTATGTGTACCGTGACGTTTATCTGATGCAAGGGCATATGTAAGAGAGCTTGGTAGCTCCACGCGGAAGTGTTATGGAGCTTGGGATATCACTTCAAGTTTCACTACCGTGACTCGGATGGCAATACCCAGTGTCTGTCATTGATTTTATTAGCATTTACGGCGATCGGACGATAACAGCGTATCGAATCTTATTTATTTTTTTGGGTTATGCACAATGAAATAATTAAATACAAGTGAAAAATCATCTGAGTCCATCCCTACCTTAGTGTGTGGCAGATCTGCGAGTCGCCAAAAACGAGCATATAGACCCCCTTGCATGAATAAAACACATCTTGCATCACAGTCTTTGTTCGGGCTTTCAGACTCTAGCCAATAACGAAACAACATTAGGAGCATTAAATATCATTCTGCTTGATGCAAGTCTGGAAAAAAATTAATCAGCAAAAACATCGTTCAAAACGGCGGTCAAAAAGCATGTCTACTCACTCCCATTGTGCTGTTGGACTTGAAGCCACCCCACGGCTCACAGACCATGTTGCCAATGCAGCATTGGTGAGGACTGGAGTGGGGGGCGTGGACCTCGCAGGTGGCAAATTCCTATGCGTATGGTTTAGCTCGCTTGAATAGAACGACCGATTATTCAATTCTATCGGAATTGGCGTACATTCAGACATTGGGTCTCGGTGTTAGGTGCCGGCATGGCAGTGATCAAGGTGGCGAAGAGAGTGCCGACGAACAGAGAGAGCTGCATTTTGGATATGTGTGGGATCTTGTAGAATTTGAAGAATAGGTTTGTTTCTAAATTGGGATAATTAGTCGATGACTCGGATGCGCAATTAAAATATATGGACGAGTATAGCTCAATCATGAAAATTGCAGATTTGGACTTATTTGTCAAGGTTTTGTGCTTCCAACTTGATGTGATTGCTCAAAAACTCGAACGAAAATATTGAACATGAGTATTTAGGAGTGCTAGTGCGCCACATACCTATGCAAAATGAGATGGCCGATATATTATATAGGCTGCGAAATATGGTGTTGCGACCTTCGGAATGTCAGGTCACTGGGGAAGCTTTTATAACATTCCATTCATGTTGGCCACGCAAAAGATGGGGCTGTTATACAGTGGAGACAGTGCTGATCAATCCTCGAGTGAGACAGAGCCAAGGGATCTACAGGGGTGCTGGGGCGATCTATGGAGGTGGTTGGAAAATTCTATTGGTTGATGGCTGGGGATTTCACACATGCATTCCTTTGAGTTCAAGTGTAAGCGATTAAACCTATTCAACGTCCGCAGTTTGAAGATCGAATAGACTGCATGTGATGTTCTACGAGGAGTACAAAACATCACGAGGAGTACTTAACTGTAGTACTTGTACTGCGGTCTGTTTATATGATGATATCTGTACCCCGCCTATGTGTAATGCTTTATGACTTGCTGCTGCCATAGTCCGAAAAAGGGGGATGTATAGTCATCATCATTATTTCAATTGCAATGTTACTTCAATGCTATTTTTGTTCTCGGCGTGGGGTTTTATGGGGTTTCATGGCGAACTACTTTCTAAGCGAGTGCTTGAGATCATCATTGTGGGGTCTTGAGGTGGGAATGTCAAAAGGGGTAGACTCCCGGGTGATTGTTCCGACTTGAAAAACAGGGAAAAACAATCTTTAGCAGCTAGCTGTGGGTAAGACTGTGCTGGTGGTGCTTGGCGTCACTTGGTTCTTCTGCTAGGGGTACTGTAATATGCCGTTAACAGTGGGTATAATGCAACGCGGCTGGGGCTTGGCAGCAAAACATCGTTGTTTTAGAGTTGCCTTGTGCGGTAGGGATCTGTGATTTGGTTTTGTGGATCGAGTGTCTGCTGTCCACGTAGGATAAATAATGAAGAGTCGAAGTGTAGAAGAAGCAATTGTCTTCAAATTGATGAAGGCGATGCATCAATATGAGTTTAAAAGATTCTCAAATCTCAAAGGTTCAAATCGACGGAGACAAGGAATTGCCCAGATTACTACTAAAACCAGTCGCAGCTTGGCCCTATCACTATTATTGACTCTTTTCCATCATAACTTGCCGTTTCTCCTGCGATGGCAAGCTCCAGCTTATACTCGATGAAATGCTCATTCTTCATGTTGAAAGTCGTGAATGTTGGATCTAGACTCAGCTCCGTCGAGGCGGCCCGAGGCGCGTGAATCCCGAGTGCAGCTCCTAGATACAGAGGAGGATATTCATTGTTTATGGGTACAACCAACATGTTATAATCTGAAGAAAAATTCTCTAGAGGTTTGCCTGGTGCCTTGAAAGTGTCGTGGTCTTTGAAAACAGCTTGTGACCTGTAGTCCACCAGAACGTGCGTCGATTGATGATTTTTATCCCTTGAGGTCCTCAACCGTCGGGAAAGATAGCTTGTTTTCGTCTTTAATTTCAGACCTAATCTTTTAACGAGAACCATCTGCGGGACGCCTTGAACCGTCCCACTCGTATCATTCCAATGTGGCTCCACCCATAACCGGAGAGGAATAGTATTTGGATTCTCAATCTGCAGTACGTTGGCGAGCTCAAGTTGCAGTGTAAAAGAGTAATGAGGGACTTTCGATGATGTAAGAGCTTTCTGCAGCTTTTGGCCCACAGAAAGTTTAGTGATGCCTGGAAGTAGGCACTGTGAAGCGATTGTCCGCTGAAGTGCCGACAGATGCTTTGTATCAAAGTCCTTGATAGGGATCGGCGGAGTCATGAGCTGCACATTAAGTGGTTGGGAGGCATGGCAGATTTTATTTCCATTTTTCTTGCTGCTTCCAAGCAACCCAGCTTCCAAGCAACCCAGTTTCCAAGTAATACTCAACATGCCCTTTTATGGCCCTACCCCAGTCGTAACTTTTCCATATACAACTTGGTGGTAACTGCTGGGAAGAAGCCTCACTAAGCGGCAAATATGTTATTGCCTTTTTATGAACCTTCCCGAAGGCTCCTTGTCTAGGATTCTTGGGCAGCACAATAGAAAAGGGCCATTCAAGCCAACCCGGTTTTCTACACATCTACCTCGCCTGGGTTGATGCTTGGCTTCTTTATTCAGTTGAACAAGACAAAATTTCCTACGATCCGAGCTTTAATCTCGACGAAGTTGCCAATTTGTTCACAGACGAGAACATCCACAAGCTTTTGAGCCATGATCGGCTTATGCAGGCCGTTCATTCTTTCAAATGTCAAGTCGCTGACGGGAAAGTCACATACGGCGGGCTAAAGCCCCCTTGATGTGGCGAGACAGATCTTATGTCGGAGAGTTACAATCCTCAGACAGATTGCAAGTGCGACAAAGATCAATATTCCAAGCAGTCGCAACACTTGTGTGGCGCCCACCAGGGCATGTTAGATGCAATGTACAGAGTTTCCGATCGCCAAAACGATTGGAACAGTACAGATCTTTTTACTGCAAAAAGGCTCACGGAGGCTGTGAATGAATTAATACTTGCAAACACGGAAATGGAATATATCACATATACCTGTCAAGGATCCAGAACTGTCCAAATGATTCCAGAAATCCAAGCGCCCGACCGACGCCCGAATCCTGGAATTGACGGCAATAAGATCATTTCAAATCAGCTGTATACCACCCCCGAACAGATCAAGATCTGAACCGACGCAAAATATTATGGGGTGTGCTTGCATGTGGAGCAGGCCTCTGTGATGAGGGTTTGGCACGGGCAATCGCAGACTCATGCAACGACATATTGATCGGCGATTACTGCGAAGCGGCAGATGCGAAGGGATTAAAATTATTGCAACAAACTGGTGCTGCAGCAATATCGTTCTTGAAGCTGTGTAATTTGGCTGGTCATATATCGGATTGGCAGTTTGAGAACCTGGCTGCATATATGATTCAGTGCCGAGTCCTTGGATTTTTCAGAGATCATTCGCGCCCTCATCTACCGGATGGAATCTACGGAAGTGGTATGAATGGTCTTGGAGTCCACCGTCATATTGATGTCGCGGCATTTCATGGAGTCATGACTGCTTCAATAGCGACCGGTCAACAGCTCACCGAGCAAGAATTCATGAAAACTGTTCAAGCTTGCGTTTACATCAACGACTTTGTTGATTTTCGCGGTGACATCTTACGCAAGCAGCGGGAGAAACCTTTTCTTCGCGGAATGAGAGGAAATCTATGCCATTATATCGATCGGATGATTGGGAAATGCCTTGACACCGCGATCGAAGTGATCAAATCGTCGGAGGTTGGCGCGTTAGTGGTCATGGGATACTGCAATTGGGCAATCCTTGGATCTCATCATAAAGTTTACGAGTTGCTTCACTGGGTGAAACATGTCCAGAAGTACTCTATGTGCGAATATGAATCTGAGATCAATACTTCAAGATATGATCGATTGGTGCAGGCTTTGCAGTCGTATGGCACCCTGGGCCAGGATGGACCGCGAGTGACGAAGAAGCGAGTTGAGATGGACAAATTGTACAGCATGTGTCGCCCCCAACCAGAAACAAATCTCGCGTGGCTCGCAGATGCTACGAGAAGTTTGCTAAATCCTACTGTATTGAGGCAAATTGTGGATGTGGTACACTTTGAGTGGCGAGGAGATATTGGAGCCGTTGATTACTGTCCTTAGTTTGTACATAAAGAATTTAGATACTTGAGAATGGCGAAAACAATCGATTGTTCTGAATATTTCGTTTTACTTTTTTAGAAAAGAAAAAGAAAAAGAAAAGGAATGTTGATGAACTTTGGTAGAATAAATCTAGCATCCATGGATCACTGCTTGATTTCCGTGACTAAGTAGGTTTTTCCTCTTAGTGAATTTTACTCCACCCAAACCGTTTCTTCCCTCTTCCTTACCCCAGATTCTACAATAACAATGGACAGCGACATGATGGATGAGCCAGTTGCCCCAATATTACCCGAAAGCAGAATTCCCGAACCATACAATGGGACAAATTCACTTTTTGAAGAAGAGGCGTTCTTATCACCGGGGACTTTCTCTAGTGCGGATGAGTACGCTGCCAATCCGCGCTTCCTCGAGTTACAAGAAGAACTACGATGTGTACTTTTCAGCGCAGTAGCAAGCCTCGAGCCAAGCAGCTACACATCCCCTGTTGCATCAGAACCATTAGAAGGCCCTGCGTCAAGGGCATCTCGTCAGAGCCTAGATTTCACACGGGTCTCAATCCCCAAAATTCGTCTAATTTTTTATCTTAAAAACTGGATAACTGAATGTGCTCCTTACCTTGACAAATTTGACGAGTCGCGACATTTTGGAGTTCACATTCCAATTCTCGCGCAACGGTCGCCAACTCTCTTTTATGCTATTCTGGCCTTTTCCGCCCGGCAGACAGAGCGGAAAGCATGTCTCGACAAGGCCTACGACAGTTTAGAACTCTATCAGGAGTCCATCCGCCTTCTTGGACCGGGTCTTCAAGCGAAAGATCCCAATATCTTGGTCACAGTGTGTATTCTCGCCGTCATGGAACTTATGTCCGTCAGTCCGCGCGACTGGCGCCGCCATGTTGAAGGCTGTGCGGCGCTTTTCGAGTCTTTCAACGTGAATGGATTGTCTGGCGGCCATCTGCAAGCTGTGTTCTGGTGCTATGCGCGAATGGAATTGTGTGGTGCGATCATCTCCAATGGAGCTGAGAGTACGGTGCTCCCACTTGAAAAATGGGTGCCGGCCATGCCTGAGAATGCCAGCCCCAAGGAACGGGAAAGGATGATCAAGGACTTGTTCTGTGAGAAGGGCTCAGTTTTACCTGACATGCATGCAAACTGGGCGGTATATTTATGCGCAAAGACCTGCGATCTAGCTTGTCGGCGGACAAGATACCTTGAACTAGGCGAGATGGTCGATGATTCGAGGCCATTTGTCGAGAAATGGACTACGTTATGGGATGAATTACAGTATTGGCTTGATCAGCGACCCCCTGCCATGCTACCAATTAAGACCACAGGGATAGGCGGGGGTCAGATTTTTCCGGAAATTCTATTCGCACATTGGGCTGCTATCTCAGGGAACCAATTATACCATGCTTCATGTGTCATGATGCTGGATATGAAGCCCCCTGAGAAGGTTTTCTCTTTACTGAAACCGCAATATTCCTCTATCTGGCACGCTCGCAGGGTTTGTGGCATTTCGCTTACGAACCCCCACAGTGGCAATTTGATCAATGCAATTCAGCCACTTTACATTGCGGGGAAACTTCTGAGTCATCATAGTGAGCATATTGAAGTGGCCAAGCTGTTTAAGATTGTGGAGGAGACGACTGGTTGGGGCGCTCTTTGGCGACTAAAGGATTTAGAACGAGCCTGGGGATACGAGCCGGGTGAAATATTGTCGGCCATTTGATTTAAGACTAGATTATGAGTGTTTACAAGATGTTTCTTGGAATATAAATTATATGTACTATATGCATCTAATATATACAAAATCATGTGTGAATGCAGTACTAGTATATACTATTGCCAATACTCGAAAGGCAAGAAAAAAACGTCCGAGTCATAGTATGGAGATATATACCTGAAATGAGGACAAAGAATAAGTTCAGAGAAAGCCAAGTCAGGCACTGTCTATTGAAGATCAGCGCAAGACTTGGGGTACTGCAGAGCGTGCTTAATACGCTGCTTCAGTTTGTCCGCGTCAACCTGGAAGACAAAGTTGACTGGGCGAATACCACAAGGGGCAAGAGCCTTTTGGTAAACGTGGACGTTGCCGTAGTTGGGGCTGCCATAAGAGGTGTCGACATCAAGGTAAACTTAAAATTTTCAAATATTAGATCATATGCCTTTATCATACAAGGAAGTAACAAAAACTCACCTGAAGTCTGGTTGGTAGCAAGGGAAGGGTCAACCATCAGAGCAGCAGCAGTCTCATCCCAGAAAGGGAAGGAGAGATCATAGTAGTCATGGAAAAGCTTGCTGTAAGGGTTGGAGACAGAGAGAACCTCATCGGCAAACTCCTGACTTGGGAAAACCTGATTGGCAACGTTACCAGCAATAGTGATGTTGGGGAAGTCAGCAGTCAGGGCGATCTTGGAGGCTTCAGGGTCAATCATCAAGTTGATCTGCGATTGAAGGTTAGCAAAAAGATCGACAGACAGATCGAGTGGGGCGAACTCACGTCGGACTGAAGATCAGCGAGCAGAATGCTGCCAGTGGCCTGAAGCATGTTGAGATCGACGTATCCGCCCATAATGATAAGATCCCTAGCAAGGGAGGCGAATTGGGGATCCATGCGAACAGCCAGAGCGACGTTGGTCAGAGCACCAGCAGAGTAGATGGAGACCTGGCCGGGGTACTTGTGCACCATCTCGACCATGAAGTTCGCAGCAGAGGTAGAGTTGTTTGGCTTGCCCTTGGGGAAACCTTCCTTGAAGGCCGCCTTCACAATGCGGTTGGGGTTACCGGAGGTAGGATCGTTGCCCTCAGCCTCAAGGGTCTTGTTCTCCGGGGCAAAGGCACCCTCCCAAGGCAGCTTTCCGTGAACAGTCTCCCAGGCTTGGAAGCGCTCAGGTGTGTTGATGAGTGGCCAAGTCGCCCCGGGATAAACTGGGATACAGCTCAGGTTGCCAGCTTCCAATGTTGCCACGGCATGTAGAGCAACTTGTGGCTGCCATGTATTTGCAGTGTCTGTGATCTCGGTATTAGTACCAGCATTTGATCGCTTGAAATCAATCACAACTTACCCGAGGCCAGACCCAGCACCTCAACACCTCCGTCGAGGGCGACTAGGTAAGGCACGAAGCCCGCAGTATACCAATCATTGTCCATGATGGCATAGTGCTTGTCAGCACGAGAGGTCTTTGGTAGAGCAAGACCTCCAGTAACAAACGGCAGCAAAGAGCCGCAAAGCAGCGGTAATGAAACGGGCAAATGCATTATAACGGGTATATACAGCGAACAGTAGCAGCTAAACTCAAGTTCAAACACAAAGCCACCTTCGAAAGTCCCATCGACCCATTTTATACGAATTGATCGTCGCGATAAAAGAATGTTGTCGCCTGGCAACAATCTGCGCGATCGACGATTCTCCGATACACTGCAGACATTTTACGTCAACCCTTCCAATTTAGGGATTTCCCAAGTCCATCTGATGTCCACATGGTATCCACGCGATTTCCACTAATTCCCCGCATCTACTTAGCCAAAAGAGAGGTCCCTTGGCTCTGCTCACCCAATTCGGAATGTCGAGTCCGACCCCTCCACCTAGCGCATTTAACTGGCCGTTAGCGTATCCACTAGAGCTAGGGCTGCAGAAAAACCCTGCTTCGCGGGCATCCTCCGCGGGAATCGGTCGGGTCGAAGTTCCCATTTCTCTTTTGAGGGTAACATTTTTTACCGAGTGGATCCACCCGATTCCGACATTCTTGCTCAAAATGGCCATCATAGCCTACGCTCTGCTGAACAGAGCTTAGTGGATGTCCCTCCACACTTTTGCCTCCGCGTTTCTTCGTCTTCCGGGGTGTGCACGAGACTCGGGAGACCGAGACTGGGGTAGAATATTTAACTTTTTTTGGGTTAGATGGATCTAAATACACGGGACAGAAAGCCTCAAGGATGGAGGCGTAAAAGTGTATATATGGCCTGATGTCCATCTTTCTTCTCGTGGAGTTTTTCCAATTTCACTGAGTCTTTTCTTTCTTTACTCTTCTTCGCGAAGGGACTTTTGTCTTTCTTCTTCTTCTATTTGTCTGTACTGTGTGCGGACATAGCTGGTTGCTTAATTGTATCAACTAAGCTCCCACCCCACTTCGACGTTACAGCGTACAACCCCATTCTGTTTTTTCATCATGACTGACCGATCGTCCATTGATGTGGAGGTTGCTCCACGCACTCTGATTGCGAAGAAATCTATGTGGCAGTCGATCTTCGAGAACCCCAAAGTTCTCTTCATCGCATTCTTTGCTTCGTAAGTTTTGAATTCCTAGCATGTGGTTAACATAACTCAATCTAATGTTTGCTTCAGCTTCGGTGGTTTCGAATATGGCTACCAGCAGGGCGTCCTTGGCCAATCGCTTGTCATGACCCGATTCACCGAAAACTTCCCAACCGTCGTCGCATCATCTACAGCAACAGGATGGTTAACCTCAGTTCTCCAATTGGGTGGTATTGTCGGTTCCCTGGCTGCCGGTATCCTTGGCGAGATCTTCTCTCGCAAATACACTATGTTCTTCGCCTGCTGCTGGGTCATCCTCGGAAGTTACCTCTACGTCGGAGCTACGGCTGGCAACCCATCCCTCCTGTATGCAGGACGTTTCTTTACCGGTCTTGGTGTCGGACTTTTTAGTGGCGTCGGCCCGCTCTACAATGCGGAACTTGCTGCTCCTGAAATGCGCGGCTTGCTGGTCTCTTTCTACCAGTTTGCCACTATCCTGGGTATCATGATTTCTTTCTGGGTCGGATATGGAAGTAACAATATCGGGGGCACTGGTTCGACACAGAGTGATCTAGCCTGGCGTCTTCCCTCAATTATCCAGGGCATTCCTGCCGTATTCCTTGCTTGTGGAATTTGGTTTATGCCATTCTCCCCTCGCTGGCTTGTCAAGAAGGGTCGCGATGAGGAGGCACAAGCTACTCTGGCCTGGATGAGAAAGTGTCCTGTTGAACATGAGCTGGTTCAGGTTGAGTACCTTGAGATTAAAGCTGAGGCGGTTTTCGAAGAACGTGCATTCGCCAAGGCGTTCCCCAAATTGGCAGAGCGTGAGCGCAAGAGTGTCTTCATGAACCAGATTGCCCAATACGCCAACTGCTTCCGGTCTATGGATAACTTCAAGCGCGTGACTACGGCCTGGTTGATCATGTTTTTCCAGCAATGGAGTGGTATCGATGCTAGTAAGTTTCACCCTTGTTCTCCTCCAATTTTCAATCTTATACTAATCGATACTGTGCAGTTATTTACTACGCGTCTAATGTATTCGTCAGCCTTGGCTTGACTGGCGGAACCATTGCTCTTCTCGCAACCGGTGTTACCGGCGTTGTCTTCATCATCAGCACAATCCCTGGAATGGTACGTTCAAGTGACTTAGTTTTCTTTTTCTTATCAAATTAACAGTTTCCCAGCTGGTCATTGACAAAATTGGTCGCAAGCCCATGCTTCTTGGTGGATCCCTTGTGATGTTCGTCAGTATGGTGATTGTCGGAGTCATCGTGGCGAAATTCCAGCACGACTGGCCAAACCATGTGGCGGCTGGTTGGACCGCAGTCGGTAAGTGGCGCTTAAACTGCATGTACCTTCCAAAAAGAAAACATTACTAACGACCTTATTCTAGCTCTCATCTGGCTCTATATTGCTGGCTTCGGTGCCACCTGGGGGCCTGTCTCATGGACCCTTGTTTCGGAAATTTTCCCACTCTCCATTCGTGCTAAGGGTGCCTCAATCGGAGCCTCAAGCAATTGGATTAATAACTTTGCGATCGCATTCTTTGTTCCCCCGATGCTACAGGCTTGGGAGTGGGGCACATATATTTTCTTCGCTGTGTTCCTGGCTGTTGGCATTGTCTGGGTTTGGTTTTTCCTGCCCGAGACGAAGAATGCATCCCTTGAAGAGATGGATCGCGTTTTCGGCAGCAACACTGGCGAACGTGATGCCGAGCTTATGCGTGAGGCCCAGCGCGATGTTGGCTTGACCGCGTTTATTGAGCGCATGGGTGCTGCTACAGGTCGGGACTTGGAGAAGAAGGAGGGTGCTCAATACATTGAGACCCTGTAAATTGATCAATGGCCTCAAGCCCTATGATATTAATCTCGACCGGATACGAGAAGAATTAATTTCAACGTATATAATTAAGTTTTAACAAAATGATGTTTTTGATATTATAACATAAACGTGCCCCATACTTTGTGCTATAGATCCACATAGAATCGTGTTTTGTCTCCACATCTCTGTCAAGAACGTGGCAGTTGTAGATCCACAAACCAAGATATAAACGCTTAAAAATTAAGAAAAATGACAGAAAAGGGTAAGCCACCACGATCAAGATATCTTAAGCCCATCGATCGTGTCGGGTGGCGTCCGAATGTCTCCATGACCACATCAAATTATGGGACTCGCGGTTGAACCCGCACTTCTCATTCTGCTGCCCTCTTCGGGAATTTGCCCCACACGAGGGGGCCCGTCGGGCATTTCGGCTTCGGCGGCCTCCGGAGAACACATTTTGGGGCCATGGAGGCTCCGCTGGATCTCTTTTTGGCCTCTTTCAACATTCTGGGGTCATGATCTTCTAACCATGCCGCGCAAGCCTACACCCGCGGGCAAGCAGAGGGTTAGGACGGGCTGTTTGACGTGTCGCAAGCGGAGAAGGAAATGTAAAGCTCTTGAATTTCAAGAATTGGAGACCTTTCGCTAATATTAAACAGGCGATGAGCAGAAGCCGCGATGTGCTAACTGTGAAGTCAAAGGATTCACTTGCAAATATGGATCTGACTTGGCTTTTGTACCACCGAGATCTGGGCAGATGACAGCTGGGGCTGCGAGGCAGGTGTACAGCTCCATTACTGTTCGTGATACGCTGTTATTCCTGAAGTCCTTTTCATCGCGTTAACATTTGATATAGTTTGTTGACGACTCACCAGTAGCGCATGCATCTGGCGACAAAGACAAGTCAGGACAACAAGAATCTTTGCAAAGCCAGGGGCTCATACACCCTTCCCCGGTTCAACCGAATGAAGCGCGATTTGAGAATCCTGTGGGGATAGACAACATCCTTGGCTCTAACGACTCTATACATTATACAGAGCCATCGACCTTGCAAAGTAGCTCAGACTTGGTGTTAGGTGGCGAAGATCACAGAGCCCCTGTCCCATATCATGGCTCTCTCGGCTTTGCTGCAAGTTACCAGAGACTAGTATACAGGCCTACAACTGCAAGCGCGAGTTATGAGACGGACCTATTGCGCCACTTTCGCTATCATGTTGGCCCCTGGATGGATACCGGCGATTCGAACTGTGCACTTGGTGTTCAAGTTCTGCTTCTTTCTCGATCGAATCGAATTTTACAATCTGCTGTCTGCGCATTATCTGCAGGCCAGAGGTCGCTGATATCACTCAATTATAGCGAAGATATTGCCAATATTTTGCGATTTAGAAAAGAAGCAGAAGATACAAATAGTCTTCACCCTGACCTTGAAACTCACGCGGGGAAAGCGTTGCTTCTGCTTCAGGAACTCTTGCCAGCTGGTTTGCAACAGTGGAGGAATTTGATGTCGCCTCACACTGATTATGGAGCTGGACTTCTGTCGCCGACCGACCTTACGCTTGACCTTGGGGGATCGCTATTCTGGCTCTACTTTCGACTCGGTACGTCATTCCCTCAAATAGTCTATTTTGAGAGCTTGAATGAAGGCGATTTAGCTACTGACACTTTTTGAATAGATCTTGCAGCTTCAATATCGGCCTATAAGTCACCAATTCTTCCATTCCGTACATTTCTTCAACGAGACGGCTCTCCTATACACCCTTCATCATCCACTATACCACGAAGCAATGTCACCAGGTTTCATCAACATGCATTATGTCTGCTAGGCCACTGCCTTGCTTTAATATATGGAGACTCGGATGTCCCCTCTCCACCAACCGCCGGCTCCCCAGATTTAACAGCCTTCCCATCTCTTCGACAATCTCATTTCCTCTCGCAATGGACCTTTCTCTGGACAGACTGTCAAAAATGGTATAACGAGCGTCCAGTTGATGCTCAACAGATTGTGGAAGTGCGAGGGGGCGAAGCAGATCAAATTGATCCACATCACGACTCGTCATTCCCTATTTTGGTATACACTACACCCATGGCGCTGGTCGCTAATGCGGTTTATCATATTACCTCCCTCTTGCTTCTTACCCATAAGCCACGGCTTTTGAAATCCCTTCCTGGTCCGCGCTGCTTTACTTCCCATATCTGGCATGCGCAGTCAATCGCTGGAATTGCAGCTAGCAATGACTCACCGGAGCAATGGGATCCGATTCTTGTGGCAAGTATGTTACTAATTGCGAGGGAAATGACGCACGAGTCTCAGCAGGCTGTTTTGTTGGACTTATTCAAGAGAATCACGGCTACTACCGGGATTAATCTTGAGCGCGAAACCGAATCGCTGAAAGCCGCTTGGAGAATTGCACGATACGATGAAGATCCAGAAGAGAATGACCTATGATGTCCATATTTTTGTTTGAGATGCCATGACGCTAGTTCTTTTATTCTATATACCATGTTTATCAATTTATATTACTGATTCATTCTGTTTGCCCATCACTCCATATCGTAAGAGAAGGGAATGCTTTGCATCGCGCCACGGCGCTGTACACACTTAGCCGCAGCAGCATTAGCCTTCTCCACAGCGCCTTGAATCTCGCTGTCAAACGCCTCCAGAACAGCACCCGTAGCCAAAAACCGTGCCAAGGCTGTAGAGAAGTATCCTACAAATGTATCTCCCGCAGCAGTTGTATCCACAACCTTAGGAACACGAACTCCATTCACAACACCCTGACGCCCACTCTTAGTCGAGAAATAAACTCCATTTGCGCCCAGCGTAATTAACACCACTTGAACGCCTGCCACATCGTGGAATCGTGGTGCCAACTCGTCAGGCTGCAAACTCTCTAATTTCGCAGCATCTGCAACTGATAATCCAGCAATGCAGCTCGACATTTGAACAGCCTCCGTTTCATTCATAATCAAAACAGCCGTGTTCCGCAATGACTCAAGCGAGATACCCTCCGGGAAAACGGGCGCTGGATTAAAAACAACACAGCCACGATCATCTGCAACACCACCATTGAAGTATTCCAATAAACCCAGTGTTGTCTTCCGTGGAATCTCACCCTGTAACACAATAACAGAAGGAGCAACCTCCTGCGCCTTAACAGCACCCACGATCTGCGCCACGTCGCTCATAATCCCACCATGGTTCGCACCAGGGACAACAAGAATGCGGTTCTCGCCGCCAGCAGCTTCTTCAACAATGATGCTTGCCGATCCTGTCTGGAAATCCGTTGATTCTTCAATATATTGTGTGCTCACACCTGACTTCTCGAGGCATGGCTTGAGCAGTGTGCTGTAGTATGGGTCTTCGGCGCCGACAGCCCCAATCATGCTCACGGATACATCTTGGCAAGTTGGTGTAAGGAATGAAGCGCGCCCGGCTGCAACGGCTTGGTTTCCGCCTTTGCCTCCGGCTGTTACATTTAGAGCGGTGGCTGTGAGTGTTTCGCCTGGACCTGGGCAGCGGGGAGTCGAGGTGACGAAGTCAATGTTGAGAGAGCCGATTATGCAGATGTGTGGGTTTGAGAGGGGAGGTGTTGGAGTGGTTTTGATGCCCATTTTGTTGTTTGGGATTTGCCGCTGGATTGAGGTATGTGCGGGCGGGCGTAGAGACGATGGTATACTGGTGTTGTGTTGACAGAATGAGCAGGACCGGTGATATTTGAGTTTTTCTGTAGGTGAATTGAGTGGGGTTGAATCTTTTTGATCAGAATCTGTTCAGGATACGCTTTCATATACCTTTTTTCCATGGCCATATTTTTCTTAATCTGCCTCTATCGAAGCTCATCATCACCAGCACCTGATCCGGGGCGCGTAGCCTATGGACGCACAAATCGGGTTAGATCTAGCCGCTCGGTCGCTCAATACGGTTAGTGTTGCCGTCCATGATACGCTAGTCCTAAAATGGTGACGGCTAAGTATGGCAAAATGTGTCTGGGGAAAGGTCGTGGAGTTCTGGATATACTTGTCGCAAATTATAAAATATCAAATAAGTCCAATCTTAAAGTACAGAGCTTAGTATTCAGCGTGGATGCATGTTCGTGGCGATCATTCGCAGGGCCAACACCTGGGTGGAATCATTACTACAATGTGTTCCACTTTGAAACGCCTTGTGGATCAATCTGGTTCAAAAATTCCCTAATCTACGTCCACATTCTCTTGGAGAGTTCTTCTGGAAAGGTTTCATAAAAGCCTGCCTTGATTCGTCCGTCGTTGATAGACGTGGAAGGTTCTTTAGAAAATATATTAATGTACATGTGATGATTGGATCCCCTGGTTGATAGCTTGTCGAACTTTAAGTATAAGAGTAGCCTTCATATATATCAAGGTGATTTAGTCTCTTTCCAAGAGAGCAAGGGCATCAAAACTGTTAGCTATACCGGCCTGATTCCAATTACGCGTGCAAAGGGCGGGCTATTAGACTCCTTGTTAGCGACCCTGGCTAACGAAGGTGCTTCAGCTGCGCCACCCCGGATAAACCCCCAGCGAACATTTGAAGTTCTTCGTGTCCCAAAAAATCACCGCCATTTGGATTGTGCCATCTCGGATCTTCTTGCGTTACTATTCCCTACCATTTATGTTCTCCCTGACCTTTGTGTTCGTGTTTCGTAGGTCAGAGGATACGACGAAAAACGGCACTTTGCCCGCCGATCTGAGGTGTTTTTTGCATACCGCTGATCGGCATTCCATGGCAACCTGCCAGGCAAGCGAGATCATCCTTATTTCAGCTGAACTGTTCTTCGATCGGCGTTTTCTTGGCGTTTTCTCCATTTAGCTGAATCGCTCTGATAAGAATGTTAGATCAATCGACAGCTTTCTGTCCCGCGTGCAGCGGGGTAATCTAGCCAGACAGTCAATATGATGCTATTCCAAGACCAGAGATACATCCTAAGTATATACAGATAGAATTCAATAATATTTATTACAGTAGAACTAGAAGACTTATTGTGGTACTACACCAAGCAATGACAAGCTTATACGTCAGAACCTAATCCTCTTATTATATCTAAATTCGTCAATATATAGAAGATGATACGATTTGAATTCGGACAGATTATGAAGATAAACTTCTTATAAGTTGGTATTCTGCTCTTAAGCCTTCCATTGGGTAGTCTTCTTAGACTATCCTTTAAATATAAGAGCTCAGGTAGTTACCAGTATTTAGAATTTATCCTACAGAAAAAGAATTATCTCCTCAAGATACAGGTTCGGCTTTCCCAGTAGATAACTATAGAGCACTTCTAGCATCAGTAGTACTATACTATGTCAACAGCCGACACAAGTTAGTAGGGTATAGATATATCCGAATAGTCGTAAGTTCCTGCAGATATTTTTGATTGTCTGTTGGCTACATTCTACTACCTCAGCTATTTAAGAATAGTAACTGGCTTTTGATCATATCAGTAATAAAAATCAAATTTAAGTGATTGAGTCTTAGTGCCATATTGTATAGAGTATTTATACAGTCCCCGGGTAGATATACAAAGAAAAATATCGTCGCATTGAGGGGTACAGTAGGAAGGTGCAAGTATACAGCACGATTTCGTGTGAAATACGGAATAATACGTACAGCATATATCCCAAGGTCGAGACCACGCTATTTATAGCGACTCTGATTTTACACCGTTACTTGATATGGATTAGTATGGTTTCGGTTACAGCCCGAGAGACAAAGTGATAGTATTTAAGGGATAACCTGTTTTCGAACTCTACTGTAATTGATTGAAATGAAGAATTTTGCAAAGTAAATGCTCAACGCAAAGCCAGGCACCTATTGAATCCGCAAACTCCAGTGCAACTTGTTCAAAATGGAAAAGAACTCCAACCGCAATACCATGCCATAACTTCAAAATGTAAATCAACCCATATCAACCGAAAACGACACTGACCGCATCCATCAACATGTTCAGGCCCACTACTAATGCATCCGAACATAAAAGAGATATCTCTGCCGAATCTGCGCGACGTCGTAAACGATATATTCGTTATATTGTAAGCCAGCATTGTTATTTTGTGCCTGGCCAAGAGTGATGTCCGGCATCTTAACACCATCCAACGCCGAGTTAAGCACGCTGGCATTTTTCCACCCCCCGGGAACGGCGCAGCCCTTCCCCAATGTGGCGATTTTACCTTGGGCTTTGGCATTCTCTCCAGCCTGGTAGTCGCTGTTGGTAAGCTCGAGCATGGGATCGCCGAGCTCGGCGTCGCAGAGTAGCAGGAGTCCCATGCCTGCACTGTTGTATGGGCAACAGTAGTTTGCAGACTTGGTGGAGGTATCGGCGAGGTAGACCCCCTTGCCGAACATGTATCCGTTTACTGGTGCTTCGGGGGGAGCGATTCGGAGACCTTGGCTGAGGATACCACCGAAGTTTGTGCTTCGGGAACCATGCCAGAGGAGACGGCGGTCGCTGTTTTGTATTTTTGCGTATGGAGAGGACTGGAAGCGAGCTTCTTCCCCTTCACGTTCCACGCGGAAGATGTCTATTACCGTGTAGTTGATGTGATGGGTTGCGCCACGGGAGCTGTTGAGGTAGTTTGCTAACTCAAGGAACTCTGTCGAGCTTTGTTCCACTGGAGAAAATCAGTACAACGACTCAGAAGGAGAAGGAGGAGGTGGTGATGGTGGTGGTGTATCAACTTACGTCTGGTCATCTCCTTCATACCGAGACTCTGGAACTGTCGATCTAGCTGGTGAATCTCGGCCAGCTTAGACTCCTTCATGATCTCGTTCGCAACATCCATATCCGTCAGTGCTTCCAGGAGATCGATTTCTTTTTTGATGAGAGCATCGGTGTTCAGAATGGGAGGCCGATTCCGTCCAAAGACATGCGGGATGATGGTAAAGTATTGATTGCTCAGCGTATCGACTGAGGTCTTCCAGTCAGAATCATGGACAGTGCTCGTGATCAATGCGGCAAGCTCCTTTAGAGTTGTAAATCCCATCTTCAAAGTCCTCTCACTCAACTTGCCCAGCGGCAGTTTCTTAGCATCATACGACATGGACGCCATCGCAGACTGGAAGTGGTCGAAATTGAAGATGAACGACATCAGGTTCTGTAATGGCTTTGTCAATTCACTTTCGACCTCAGCATCGGGCTCGTCTTTCTCCTTCTTGGTAACTGGCTGCTCGTCTTCAGTGTCATCCGCTTCGTAATCTCGCTCGATGAACATGTATTTGCCTGCCTTGGGAGGGTCGAGTCGATTCTCCCACTTCAGTCCGGACTTGTCTTTGAATTTCCGCTCGAAGAACTTCTTAGCTTCATCGAGTGTGCCATTACCCAGAGCGGCGGATTGTCCGAATTCACCGACGCGGCCCCATCGGGTCCAGGTCACGTACTCCGATTCATCGTTTGATACGATGACCTGCACGCGGTAGAACTTGTTGTTGTTTTTGTGAGAGTCGGTCTGATTCAATGTCGCATCCCATATCATACCATTATCTTCAATGAATACCTTGGGTGCTGTATATAGATTTCCAAGTCAGTATCAGATCATGTTACTAAATGATAGATTTTCACTTACCCCCTGATCGGAAAATAGTTGGGTGGTTGAACACCTCGTCAACAGGAACGTTCAGAGTGCCATTTGGACTGGCCTTTTTAGCGTCCTTTTGCTTCTTAGTCGGTTGGCTATCTTCTTCTTCGGATTCATCTTTAATGGCGCGCTTGTTTCCTGTAGCAGGGCTTGCATCTTTGGCTGGCTTTTGTTTCTTCTGGCTGTCGTCTTTCGCCATTGCGCTGATCAAATAACTCTTCTCTGGAACCACCTTACTGGCGTTATTGCATTCGACGAGCCAATCGACGGTCACAATCTTGCAACCTTTGATTTTTGTAGCGGATTGATCTGGTCGGTATCCGTCAGCAATGAACTTAAAAGAAAGGTCAATTGGCAATGTTAACTTAGCACATACATTTGACGCTGTTCTTTTCGGTATCTTTCTGTGTGGTGATCAAGTGCGTACAATCATCATTGACCGCTGTGATGAAGGTTCCACCTTGGCCCTCTACCAAAGCTTTCACATCAGCTGTAGCATGACTTGTTAGTTTCAGCCTCGGCGGGGTCCACAGAGGGGAGCTAGTAGACCAGGGGCTATTTACCCTGCTTGTACCCGGGAATTGTACCACTGACGGCAATGGCAAACTTTTTGAACGATCTCGGTGCCATGTTGGAGTTTTCGAAAGGATTGTAGACGATTTGAGATTGAAGTGGAAAGGGCAGACGGTGGAGAAATAAAGGATGAGAGTTGCGACAAAGAAGAATAAGGAAACCGAAAACCTCACGGGGAATGGATATGAGGTCGAGGAAGAACGCTAGAAACGCCACGCATTAGGGGGAACACGATTGGGATTTACAGCGACGATTAATTGAGACTATTCGAAGAGAAGAAAGAATTGAAATCGTGAGGGGAAAATTGAATCTATAAAAAGGAGACTCTGGTTTTATAAGCCTGATTTGTAAGGCCTCAACGGGGCTGCTGCCTGGTTAGTGCAGGCAACACACGCTCTAGTGAACTAAGTGGGGATCATCTCAGGCTGCAGCTGCCGTTTGGTGAACAGCTGGACAAAGGTGGATTTTGGAGGGCTTGGTCTTAGGAAATGTGTGTATGTTAGAGATGTACTAATTTATCATAACCCAGCTCTGTGAAACATCATCGGATCGATCCACCACGAACTAAGCAATGAATCGTCTATCACGTCTCTTAAAAGCTCCCTTCCGTCTACGCCTTTCACCACAAGAATTTCCACCCGGCCCCCTCATCAACTCAACCACCAAGCTTGAAGAAGAAAGATTACCATGGTATTCCGAAAATAATTTCTTCCCCGTCAGAGCGACGTATACAGTTCTAGGTATCAGGTAGTCGGGAAACTTGGCTACGGTGGATACTCAACTGTATGGTTATGCAGAGACTTGAAGTATGCTTTTCCTTGTCCATTTTATTCGTATAAAAAGTCATACTATTAAAATATTAGAAAACATTCATTCATTACACTAAAACTGTTTGAACCCGACTCAAACCACGCGAGAAGAGAAATAGAAGCTTATGAGCATCTCAGGTGCCTCAAATCAAAAGACAAAGGTGCACTTCTCGTACGAAGCATATTGGATGAATTCCAACTTTCCTCTCTCGACAACTCGCATTCAGATCAATGTCTCATTCACCCACCATTAGCAATGAGTCTCTCCGAGCTTCGAAAACGAACACATGAAAATTCCCTCCCGGAGGACCTCCTAAAACTAACTCTGGTTCATATCCTCCTTGCCCTGGATTTCTTACATAGCGAGGCACATATGGTCCACACAGGCTAGACAGTACCAGGAATCATTCCCAATATAACTTGAAAACATTATACTAACTCCTCACCTACCTAAACAAAGATATCCAAGAAAAAAAAATCATGCTAAATATCGAAGAAGAGTCAATTCTACTCGATTTCGAAAATGTAGAGATTTCAGATCCAAGTCCAGAAAAACAAGCCGCAGATAGAACAATATACCTTTCTCGGAGACTGGGTGTTCCAAGAAAACATGGCCGTCCTGTTCTAGCTAACTTCAGTAAAGCTCGTTTTGGTTCAGAATCGGGAATGTATAAAGGTAATGTTCAGCCTTTTATCTACAGGGCTCCGGAGGTAATGCTTCATTTACCGTGGAATGAAAAAATTGATATTTGGAACGTTGCAGTTTTAGTATATACTACCCGCATACTTTGGCGAGAATCCTTTTTAATAGCTAACACGACACAGGTGTGGGGTCTCTTTGAAAAACGACAGCTTTTCACGGCCCGTGATGGAAAGAATGAACGATCAGACAGTCAGCATCTTGTTGAGATGATTGCTTATATGGGACTTCCTCCGCGTGCGATGATTAGAAGAAGTGATCATGTGAAGAAACTCTTTGATGCGAGCAGTAAGCACCCTTGTTATGCCCCTTTCTAACGAGAATAGGTAAATGGAGAGGCTCTTTTGAAGTTCCTTCTACACCCTTAGAGGAGCTGGAATGTACGCTTGATGGTGAGAATCGAGTAGATTTTCTACGCTTCATGCGCTGGATGCTTAGATGGGAGGCGAGAGAAAGGCTCTCAGCGAAGGAGTTGCTGTCGGATCCTTGGTTGAGATCTTAGATATGGAGCTTGTTGCACATCCTTGTCAATATTTAAACGGTTTGAGCAGTTCAAGTTCCCCGAGCTGCTAATGTCTACATTAATCTTTGAATGTTAAATCATCGATTATTTTGATGAGATAGATGCTCTCTTTTTACGGTTATCAGACATGAAACTGGCAATTTCAGGCTGAAAGAATCCGCCATGGAATAATGTAATAGAATTATGTCGGAGAACGACAGCAAAAACAACGAAACCGATACCCCCTAAACACTGGGTGGTACGTGTACACCCACAGAACAGAAAGACTCAGCCTCGGAAGCCAGCATGCAGAACGAATCATCACATAAAAAGGTGGGAATAAGAAGAGAATTCGGGACAAGAACAAGGACATGAGAAAGAGCAAGAACAAGGGTGAAAATACCGAGAACTAGTAGCCGCCTCAGACGCATGCAACGAAATGCTTAATGACGCAATGAACTTGATGCAGAAACGAAGAGAATGAGAATGGGAATGAAACAGTATGGAACGAGAACGCAGAAGAAGTGCATCAAACAACCTTGGAAGTCATGAAGAAGGAATGGAGAGCTGATGCTATACAGGACCAGTTTGCGGGTGAAAATGAAAGGCGGAAAAAATGTTAAGGTGCAGTTGTCATATTTTCAATGCATGTATTTATTAATGCGATATGTGAAGAGTGAAGGGATGCGAGTTAGTGAGAATGAGAATGGATGAGTGGCGCCGCGAGTCGGTCAGGTATATTGCATGGAATGGATATCATGGCGAGGTCGTCAAATGAGGGAGAAAATGAGATGTGCATGGGTCGCGATGTAAATGCTTTCAGTGGGGTTTAGTTGAGGGATGTCAATGTGCTTGGTGGGTTTTAATTAGAAAATGGCAAATCGCTTTTGCTTTTGCTTAGTGGGATCTAGGGTAGATAATATTAGCACTGTTATGTCTTCATGGAAGTCTTCACAGTTGCTCGTGAAACAAAACAAAACATCTCGGAACTGACCTTGGGGATGACTCTTCTTCTCTTTGCGAGGGCGGGCTCCATTGCGACCATGAAAGGCAGGGTTGGCACCCTCCGCAGCAGCTCTAATCGCAGCGAGGCGCGCTCTGGCTCGCTCATCGCCTTGATCAGCGGCCTTGACGTACCATACATTTGCTTCGAGAGGATCACGTCGGCAACCAAGTCCCATTTCCGTAAAATATCCAGCTGCATATTGAGCCTTTACCAAACCTGAATGAACAAAGTGGTTAGGAATACTCTTGAACATAGGGATAAAAACTTCTTACCAAGATTAGCGGCACGCAGAGCCCATTCATAGGCCTCGTTTTCATCTTTCTCAAGGACAGGTACTGCTCCCACCATATACCATGCACACAAAGCCATCATAGCGAGGGGGTGCTGCGCCTGTGCCGCCGAGGTATAGAAATGTATACTCAGCGCCGGATCACGAGGACAGTTCAATTTGCCGTGCTCATATGCATCTCCCATTCTGTAAGCAGCCTCAACATGGCCCAATTCAGCAGACTTAGTGAAAAGCTGCGCTGCGTAAGATGCATCGGCGAAAACATCATCCCCGAAGCCTGTTTCGTGCAGCACGCCCAATTCGTACGGACCAGAGTTATACTGCGTATCCGCAGACTCGGTCGCACGCTTCATCCATTTTATGCCCTCGCGGTACCGCTTCCCTAATCCCATATCACCGGCTATGCAGGCCTTGGCCATACGCATCATTGCACCGGGGTGGTTCTTCGATGCAGCTTGTCGATAGAACTGAACTGCACGCCCACCATCTGCTCTTGTTCCCCAGCCGAATTCGTAGCATAAAGCGGCACGGTAACAAGCCTCCACATGGCCGTGTTTGCTAGCAGCGACGAAGAGCGAGAATGCGCGGTCATAGTCTTCCTTGCCCTTGTTGAATAATCCGGAGGCATACCCGTCGCCGAGGTAATATTGTGCAAATGGGTAGCTGCGATCAGCTAGTCGCTGGAGAATAGATTTTGATTCACGAAGAAGTCGAGCTCGAGTGATGGACATTGTGTCCTCGAGGTCCACATTGGGCATTTCGTGCATGGAGTTAATCATGAATACGGCAAACTCGTACTGCACGGCCGGTGCATCAGTCTTCTTCACGTTTTGAAGGTACATTTCAAAAGTTTGCTTATGGCTTAACAGCGAAGCGTTGTTGCCGACGGCGGATTGAAGGTGCGAGTTGTCGAACTGGGAAACACTTGGACCAGGTTGCGGGTATGATGTATTAAGCAGGTCCAGGAAGGAAGTCGATCGGTTATCCGGGGATGCAGTTGAATTCCTCGATGAGGATCTGCCATGCATGTATGGAGATGCAGACAGATTGCGACGGTGGCCAGCCATGCCGACCTCAGAACCAGACGAATAGGTAGAGAGGGGACGAGAAATTCTCGTACGCCGCGCGAGTAAGTTCCCAGTTGATCCAGAGGGGTTCTCAGCCAAATCCATACCCAATGTTGCGCGCTTAGATGCCTGCGTCTGAGATTGCGCATTCTGTTGCTGTTGGTGATGGTACGTCAAAGGTTCGTAATTCTCTTCGGCAACCGCGTCGCTCTCCAGACTTCCACGAGAGGAGTTCTGGTTACTCATGTTTGCACGATCAATTGAGATGTTCTTCTTTGTGAGATCCGTCGCCTCGTCTTTCAACTGCGACTCTGTCACCGACCACGATCCGCTGCTAGCTGGGGTATGGCCGTATGGGCGCGATTGTGAATACGGCGCTGCTGGTAAGGAGTCGCGTCGCAGAGGATGTGAAGGGTTCCACGATTGTTGTGGGGGTGTAGGGTCATTGAGGGACACCTGAGCAAACTCTGGTAGCTGCAACTGCGGTGTTGCTGGAATATTGGTGACATTTTCGATTTGTACACTGGATGGGCGGGGAACTGGAGCTCCGCTATCGATTCTAACCGGGGAGCGTGGGGAGTTTTGAACCACGGAGAAATGCTCAGACTCGGTTTGTATGGAGATTTGTTTTCCGATGAGAGTGATATCACTGGGACGAGTTGGAATTGTTCGAGGCACGGTGATGTTGGAATCGCGCAAAGATAGCGGTGGGGGTGAATCGCGGAGATAAGCTGGCGGAGGAGATGGTAGCGCGTGGCCATTTGCCACTGAAGAAGCCATTTTTGGGGAATGGAATGAAAGGAACTCTAGACACAGAGTGAATCTTATTGCCTATTGTCGAGAAGAGGACCGATGGTAAAAACGAGTGTAAATGCTATGTCTAGCGGGGGAGAGTTGGTATGCGATTATTCTGACATGAAGCTGTCCCGTGTGGAAATCGAATAGACTAGTGTTCCAATGAGAGGTCGAAGATGCAAGATGCCGTGGAGACAAGGGTCGGGTAGCCCCAGTTTGTTAGTGGATCGGAGGTGTGTCGGGGTGTGTGTCAATGGGGGTAGTAGCAACGGTGGGAAAATGCTTGAGGAGGAATGAAAAAATGAGTCGATGGGAAAGTAAGACTTAAAACACACCAGAGCCAGATGATCGACCGAGGTCACATTGGAGGGAGGAGAAAATGGTGAAATTGAAGATGAAGTTTTTTTTTATGAAGCGAGGGGAGGGGGAGACGCCGAGCATGTTTCAGCCAACGGCGATAAAGAACACAAGTAAAAGGGTCACCTCCACTCAGGCTCCCCACTCGACCATCGCTAGTTTACTCCTTGAAGGGATTTTTATTTTTTCCTGTTATTTGGCTTTGCCGTGGATTACGAGTTTTGATCTGATTTAAATTAAGATCTGTTTGTTTGTTCTGAATTTGAATTGGTTTAATTCTGCTGTAGAGTCAACCTCAGTCAATCTCCAGGGCTTGGAACACTAGTAAGCTGGGCTGATTCAACTGCAGAACACGAAGAGCTCTTCCATCATTATGATGTTACTTTAGCATATTCTTTGTCGGTATGGCTGAGATCTAGTCTCGTATAAATAGCAAACTAGAGAGGGCGCTTACAGTCTTGGAATATGCCCATCGTCATAACCTTGGAATGCAGTCCGATGCTGTACAACGATCGATCCACCTATCCACCTGCTCCACATAGATAGACAGAAAGAGAAAGGAAGCAGAGAGAGTAAAAAAAAAAATCAGTAGCCTCATGCTGTTCACTCAAGACTGAAAGAACATTTGAAGCATTTGTGCAAGTTATAGATCCCATTAAATAGTACTCCGCACATACTATTGTAGTATATCATCCCGCTGGGCACAGAAGTCTAAACACGAGGATCACGATCGATACGAGAGATCAAGTTTCTCCAGGATGAATTAAAATTTTAATTCCCTTTTCTCTCCCTCAGCCTCTAACCTTCCATTCCATCTTACCCTCCTACCCGCATGCCCAGCAGAACCGAACTATCCCCATAGGATTCGCAGTGGACCCCTCGGATGATCGCACCCTAATATTGGTGGGGACCAGACGCGGGGGCACAGGAGCGGCATAACTAGTACCAAATTCAAGGTTACTAGACGGTACCTAGCTTAGTGACTTACTTCAAAGTTACTAGTGTTGTCTATAGTCACGGGGAATTCACCGCATCTATCCTCAATGCCAAACCCTCCAAGACTCTTAGGCTTATTTTACCCCTCTTCCTCTTCTAGTGGCCGGCATCTCCGGGCCCCCAGTCTTACCAAGCTTAGCGCTGTGCGTGGAAGCAACAACTGAGTCACGGTGTCGCCAATCTGGAACCCGGACAATCACAGCTCGAGAAAGGGTTCAAGATTAGTGTCTTTATTGAGTTCTTCCGATACTAAGCAAATGTTACTATATTTATACCGTGGTCACTGGACTGCAATTATTTAGGCATCGGTATTTGGGCTCAACCATGATCCTTTCCTTTTACTAGTAGTAGTAGTGGTATTGTTTATTCCGTTTTTCTTTCCTTTATGATTTTTCTATGTACAAAATCCTCTCAATTGACTTTATCACGCTTAACCCTCGCACGGCCCGGTCGGACCTCCTAATAATGGATTCGTGAGAGTGCTCCTTGCGGGACTACATGAATAACCACGACGATGTTTAGTTTAGTTTTGTTCTCTTACAGCCAAAATCTTATTTTGCGCTACATGATAATCATTATTGCAAAATAAATATAGAATATGACGACATTCTTAATTTACATCTCGATCAAAAGCTGAAAACCGGAGTTGCCAATGGTTCAGATTTTGTCCTCCCAGTTACTAACTACTCGTGGCGCATACCGGCGCCAAACTCCGTCTGGACAAGGTATGTGCTCAGTTGAAGTATCACTCCAGAGGTCTACATGGAGATCTACTATTCCAGTATTACTACATCGGTACACAGTCGCATACCGATCTGATCTCTGTCATATGCACAGGCTGCATTCCAGTTCGAACGGGGAAGTGAGCATGGCTCCCATGCGCTGCTGCGATGCAGTACCCTTGCACAGGGATAGTCGGGTTGGATCCGCGAGTTTTTAGGAATGCGGCGAAATGGCCTCGAACAGAGGGTTTTCATTTTGAATTTTGTGTGTTGGTAGGATTCAAAAATCTGATATGGTTATTATACTGTGTACTAGTACTTTGGACTGTCATTGTTCTACCGGGCGCAGGGTCATGGTGCAGCTTATGGTAAACAGTATGCTTACAGCCCTGGAGGCTTTTGGGCTTATATGTAGGCCTATACTCGGCGTCGATCACATCATGCTTTGGCACACTGGACACTGGGTTTTGGACCCCTGATCCCGGACAGGGATTCCCGGTCGCGATTAGGGAGCTTTCGGATCATGACTCGGAGTCCTGGGAAAGTAGATGATGACGACGACATAGTTTATAGCGTAGTTTATGGTATATGTTCCGCTGCACCCTTATTTTAGGTATATGAATTCATATAAATACAAATGGTAATTCGGCAAGGTTTTTGGCAATAAATGCCCCCTCGAGCCTCGCACCACTATTGATAACTGATAATAGATAAATAATTCGATTTTTAAGATATGGATCTTATAAGCGGTGGCGATGGAATGTGATAGCGCACAAGTAGAAAAGCAGAGGGGCAGCTATGAGCAGGTGTTTACGAGACCTGCTTGACCTTGGATATGTAATCCGCATGAATATCAAGTTCAGTATTCAAGTAGACCGCCAGTAGGTCTGCCGTTAGGGGTGAATTGGATATTGTCATGTAATCCGGCCTAAGAGTCGATCGGTGGGTCTGGGAGAAGACTAATTGAAAAGACAGCAGTGGGAGGCTCCAGTATAGTACATACAATATGTACAACCCGAACCTAGTGCTCCTGAATAGATCAGTCAGACTCGGGAAAAATGACCGTGCGACCCCTAGAATAATGCTGGTACACAATTATGCATGAATGCTATGCTGTCCGAAAATAGAACTCGAAGGCAAAAGAGAAAGCAGAAAGAGAGAGAAAAAACTTGATGACCCCGTGATTAGAATTATAATTAGTGGTATTGTTAGTTAATGTTAGTTAATGTTAGTCCAGCCATGCTCGGCTGTAGTTCCCCTCTGGTCTCAGTCAAAGCGAGCAAAGAGTGGAAAAACACTAATCAAAACACGGATTAAATAGTAAACAGATCCAGTTTATTCGCTGGTCAAAGAGAGCAAAAAGGTTCCGTTCAACCAGAATGAGTTTGGCGTGGTCCAGTCCCTGGAGTGTTAACCAATAATGGTAGATGCAGTGGGGATACGCCGTGGTTGCATTGCCCCTAGCGACAAGATTACCCTGGTCCCATGTGTACGGCACTCTAGATGAAGAGAAATGACAGGCAAAAATGAATGCAGAGAAGGCCAAATAAATATTAAAAATGTATAGATGAAACGAGAACGAGGATTCCAAGCGAGGGGAAAAACCCAGTAGTAACATCTCCTTTATCTTAACTTGGTCTAGTCCAAAAAGTCACTGGACTGGAGCTAAGTCAGCGTCAAATTGGTGGTCACGGTCACGGTGGTACTTCAGTTACGTTAGGAATAAAATCAAATGTCTTGAAACTCCCCTACGAGAAATACATCTCTCCTGAATTTAAGATTCCAGCTTGAAAATCATTCTCCCCTTCGCACTCGTTTTTCCAATTTTCGACGCTTGGACGTTCTGACGTTCTCGACCCGGACAGCCTCGGTGGACCTTTGTTTATTTCTCCACCCCCGACCCTCGTTGCACCGGCCGACCGCAGCGATCGCTACACCTGTGACGCTCCTCAGGACCACTTAGATCGAATCCTAGCTCCTCCAAAAGAGCAAGAAGAGGATACAACAGAGATCCAGACCGTGACCTTGGCTTTGTTACTGATCCGACATTCTTTCCACGTTCCAAAGTACCGGCGCTAAACTCGCATTGCGGCGGGGATTCAGAGACGGCGGGCCCTCACTGATCACCGATTAATGAGCTAGAGTGACCAGGTTGAATTTGCAACTTGAGTCAAAGAAAAGAAGCAGACGAATAGCGAAAAATTGACCACATCACCCAAAACTCTAACCCTGGTCAATTTCCATCACCTACATTACTGTGAATGATCGGGGGATTCTAGGAGTGAGTGCGGCCACCCTTTGCGACACTGTTTCCCAGATCGAGAGAGAAAAAAAAAGCCAAAAGAAAGACAAAGACAAAAACTAACAACCTTCCCATAGAACCATGTCGTTGCCGCAGAGGCCAGGCAAGGCCTCGCCTCGGCGTGAAGAAGTTCGAGCCTTCCGAGAACCCTCACGGCGCCATCGCAGAGATACCGACACGGGAGGCTACAGCGACAGCCCGTCCTCACCTACCACTCACCGCCACCGTCGCCGACGTTCACATAGCCACCGACAAGCGCCCGAGACAGACGAAGATCGCATGGAACGAGGCGGAGATGGGAGGCGTAAGAAAGGCCTAGTGAAACCGGAGCGTCATCGAATCGAACCAGACCACCCCAATTACCACTATCGCCAACGTTCGCATCATATGAACACACACCCCTCCGCGACAGGCCATGACCCATTACTCGATCGCGATGGTGATGTGGAGACAAACAGCTCCAAGAGCGCGGATATGAAGTCAAAGGAAGTTTATGGACAGCGGGGAAATGTAAATAAGCATATGGAACGAGCGCCAAGTCGACATCGTTCGAAAGGTTCGAAAAAGAAGAGGAGATCTTCCCGTCGCATTTCGAAAACGATGACCATCGAGGAGAAGAAACGACAGAAGGCGATGGAGGTGCGGCCGCCAGATCTATGGACTACATATTGTGCTTTGGTGAGCTGTCTGGTGCCAGATATTGTGCTCAAGTGCTTTGGTATGCCGCAGAAGGAACAGCGGACGGCGTGGCGCGAGAAAATCGGCCTGATCAGTCTTATTCTGATGGTTGCGGCGTTTGTTGGTTTCTTGACTTTCGGTTTCACGGCTACCGTCTGTGGGAATCCGCCCACGCGATTAAAGATCAATGAGGTTGGAAGTGGTTACATGATCTTTCATGGTCAGGCATATAACCTAGAACATTCGAAGCACCCGGGAGTTGAAGGTATTCCATCAGATGACAATGTCCTCTATGATTTACCTCACAAATACGGCGGTCAGGATGGGAGCTTTATGTTTCAGGAAGTCAATGGAGCTTGCAAGGGGCTCATTACGGCTGTTGATGGAGGTGGTGTCCCGACCGACTCTGATGGGAACTTGGGATGGTATTTCCCTTGCAATGCGTTCAATCAGGATGGCTCTACCGATCCAAATATGACGGAGCCATACTACGAAGGATGGGCCTGCCACACCAGTTCGGCTGCACGGAAACCTTTCTGGAAGCTTAATCCGTCGGGAGATGTGTACTTCACATGGGACGACACGAAGAACAAGAGCCGTAACTTGGCGGTTTACTCTGGTAGTGTCCTTGACCTTGATCTTCTGCGTTGGTTCAACACGAGCCAGGTCTCATATCCTGCTAAGTTCGACCAGCTACGCGAGAACCCAGATGTTCGCGGAGTGGACCTCACGTATTACCTGCAAGGTGGAGATGCAAAGAAGATGGGACAGTGTCTCGCCCAAATTATTAAAGTGGGCAGCATCGACACAGAAACTGTCGGATGTATTGCGTCCAAAGTGGTGCTCTACGTATCTCTAATTTTCATCCTGTCCATTGTTGTGGTCAAGTTTGCTTTTGCGGTGCTGTTCCAATGGTTCCTGGCGAAGAAATTTGCAGCAGAGAGAACCAGTATGAGCTCCGATACTAGGACACGAAACCAACAAATCGAAGACTGGTCCAACGATATCTACCGACCTGCACCTCGAATGATGGATCCGCCTATCCCTGATCGAGTCAGTAAACGCTCTAGCTTCCTACCGACCACATCTCGCTTCTCAAGTCCATATGTTATGGGTGGATCTAGCGGTGGTGGTGGCAGTGGAAGCAAGCAGCGTGCAAACAATGTGACAATGGCCAGTCAAAACTCAACATCCAGACTCATGCCAGCCTCAACTACTACGGGTACCATGTATAAAATGAGCCACAACAGCAGTGGTGGTACCCTGAGTGCCGATAACTCTCGAAACCCAACCGCTAGTCGAACCAGTTTGATCGCCCCCGGTGCCCAAGAATCCCATTATCCAACAATGGTACCTGAGAATGAGGGTCCTGGTCCTGCTGGGTTTATCCATGAAGCTGTTGTTCCGCAACCCCCACCTGAATGGCAACCCTTTGGGTTCCCCTTGGCCCATGCTCTTTGCCTGGTCACTTGTTACTCAGAAGGTGAAGAGGGAATTCGGACTACTCTGGACTCTATCGCCATGACCGATTACCCCAACAGCCACAAGACAATTCTCGTGATTTGCGACGGTGTGATCAAGGGTAAAGGAGAAGAGTTCTCGACGCCAGAAATCGTGGTCGGCATGATGAAGGACCATGTAATTCCTCCAGATGAGGTGCAGCCTTTCTCATATGTCGCTGTAGCTACAGGTTCAAAGAGACATAATATGTCTAAGGTCTACACTGGATTCTATGACTACGGTGAAACCTCAATTATTCCCCCGGAGAAGCAGCAGCGTGTCCCAATGATGGTTATTGTGAAATGCGGTACCCCTGCTGAGTCTACTCAATCCAAACCTGGTAACCGTGGCAAGCGAGACAGTCAGATTATTCTCATGTCTTTCCTGCAGAAAGTCATGTTTGATGAAAGAATGACAGAGCTTGAATTTGAGATTTTCAACGGCATGTGGAATGTCACTGGACTTCCTCCAGATTTCTACGAAGTGGTTTTGATGGTAGATGCCGATACCAAAGTATTCCCCGACAGCTTGACGCACATGATATCCGCTATGGTCAAGGATCCTGAGATCATGGGTCTCTGCGGTGAGACAAAGATTGCCAACAAGACCGACAGCTGGGTCACCATGATTCAAGTCTTCGAGTTTGTGTCCCTCCCCCCAATTCAAGCCCATGTTACACATAAACTAACCAAAGTCACTCTAGATACTTCATCTCTCACCATCAAGCTAAATCTTTCGAGTCTGTATTCGGTGGTGTCACATGTCTACCAGGATGTTTCTCCATGTATCGAATCAAGGCCCCCAAGGGCGGCCAGAACTACTGGGTTCCTATCCTCGCTAACCCCGATGTCGTGGAGCACTACTCCGAAAACGTGGTTGATACCTTACACAAGAAGAATCTTCTCCTCCTCGGTGAAGACCGATACCTAACGACTCTAATGCTGAAGACCTTCCCGAAGCGCAAACAAATCTTCGTCCCACAAGCCGTCTGTAAAACAGTTGTCCCGGATAAATTCATGGTTTTACTCTCCCAACGTCGTCGCTGGATCAACAGTACAGTACACAATCTGTTTGAGCTAGTTCTCGTCCGCGACCTCTGCGGTACATTCTGCTTCAGCATGCAATTCGTCATTTTTATCGAGCTGGTAGGAACCCTCGTCTTGCCAGCCGCTATTTCATTCACCATCTACGTCGTCATTTCATCAATTGTCAGAAGGCCAGTCCAGGTTATTCCCTTGGTACTTCTTGCTTTGATCCTCGGTCTACCCGGTGTCTTGATTGTCGTGACCGCGCACCGCCTCGTCTACGTTCTCTGGATGCTTATCTATCTCGTTTCTCTACCAATCTGGAACTTTGTCCTTCCCACCTACGCGTTCTGGAAATTCGACGATTTCAGCTGGGGTGACACTCGGAAGACAGCCGGAGAGAAGGATAAGGGCCACGGCGCTGAGGAGGGTGAATTCGACAGTACGAAGATCACAATGAAGCGATGGCGAGATTTCGAAAAAGGTATACATACCCCTCCATATCACCCTACACACTGATCGTTATCCATGCTAACAAACTATAAAAGAACGACGTCTACGAAACAGTACTTGGCCACAACAAGAAAGGCCAACGAACGGATACCCATATGAGACATACTCGGATTATTGACCAACCTTTGTTTGTTTCGTTGTTCTAAAACCTTATTTTGTTTTGTCCTTCCAGTTTTCTTTCAGCGAATTGGCCTCTGTGATTTAATCTTTTCGTTTTACATATTTCTCGGAATGGCGTTCAAGTTGGTCCTTTAATTACTATGGACTGTCGGACTCGGATCTGGTTATAATTTACGGTTTCGCACGACTTACGAGCTATATCTCACGTGTGCTATGTTTGAATTATTATCTGTACAAATGAATGATCGAATAAACTACCATTGGGCTACTATATGAATTGCTGTATATAGACTCTATTCTCTCCCACTTGAAGAAAGTGGGACTTAAACTCAAAGATTGAATCATACGATTGTCCGAGTCACTATCCCTATGTATTAATTATAATATTCATTGTCAGCATCACTTGCCTCCACGTGTCAATTTCAGCGTTGAGGTGTGCGCATGGATCGCTCTTTCTGCCCAACTGGATCAATGCGCTGGTCATGGGCTTCCGGGTAATCTGCAGTGCGCCCTGCATGTAATAATGATGGCAGTGCTGACGAGTTGGATTATCATGATTATTCGAAGGTTATTCTACTAATATTTAGACTCTAGCTTACATCTCTGTATGATTATCGCAGTCTTATCTCATTCTTTTTATGTGTTTTTCTTTTCTTACTCCCAAAACCTTGAAATGTAATATGTCATTTTAGGGGTTTCATTGATTCATCACTTTCTGTTCCTTGTTTTTCTACTTACAATCATCCGTGCCTGGCTTTTTATCTGAAATGGATATTCCCTTTCCTGTTTCCTGGGTAAGTGATTGGTATAAAGTATGTATCATATACTATAGTATAAGTAAATTCTCCAGCTACATGGTATTCATATAGTGTAAGTGCGGCACCTGCATTAATATCTAAATAGTATGGATTTCATTTCTGTTGCATAGTTTCTGTTATTCATACTAGCCCCTTAATCTGATATCAATTAAAATCGAATTCTTATATATCTACTACATAGACGAGGGAAACATTTCCGTGGCCTCAAATGTTCAATGTTGGAGACAGTCACTGCTGACTAAATCTCCCCTCAGCACAACCAACACAACCAGCTTGACCACATTGACCACATTGGAAGACCCGAGGGTAATTCCCGGGCCAAGTGACATTTCTCTCTCTAAAATCTAATTTGCTGAAATCCCTACTCATTAACAACTTTATTCGTGCTCCTGCAGTAAAGCTGGCGCTATATCCCCACCCCCGTTGGGTGCAGTGCACATTGACGGTCTAATTTCCCCACCTTCCACTCCTCCTTTCGTCATCCTACATCCCGCTATCAGCCTCGTTTTTTATCCTGGGACCAGATCATCCCGCCTCATTCCCGACACCGACACGTTCCAGTATCCCGGACTATTTTGGGGCCATTTCCCCTGGCGAGTTTCTCCCAAGTTGCGGTGTTCAATTCCATTCCGTTTCATCCGGTTTTACCCACCAGAATCTCCTCTCTCGGAGATTCATCCCTAAGGTATCAATTATCTCGATAAGACGCTAGCCGGAACAAGAAACCCAGACAGCGCTCAGTGCTCGCATCCGCGCTCAGGTCCCTATCCACACCCCGTTGAAATAAACGGTTGAACCTACACACCCCTCCTTCTCCGACCGAGGAGAATCATTTCGCACTGCACTGCACTCTGTCTCTGTCTCCGCCACCCTCGTGCGATCTGACTACGTCCACGTCCAAGACTCCACGTCTGCATCGTTACCATCTTGTCCGCATACTGTACACTCGGCGGCTGGGGCCGAGTTGATTCGATACGCCACGCAGAGTGGATACATCAACGCAGTCACCTGCAAAGCACTGGCGACCGATCACTTAAAAGACAAGGATCCTGATCACGAATCCTAGACTAAAGATACAGAGATCATCTTTATTACTTCAGCTCGTGTAACCCCCTCCCCCGCAACCTGTATCATTTCTGACAGCCTGCGTGGGAGCTTTTTTGGTCGACGGCCGTAGGATTTCTCCACCGATATTTCTTTTGTGCCTTCTCGTTGCCTCACGCACTTCGCTGATCGGTCATTCCGGAGTGGTTGCGATTTCGGGACTTTTTTTATTCCCTGTTCCTCTTTTCTTTTTTTAATTTTCTAAATCTTTTTTTTTTCTCTCGTACTTTTTTTTTTCTACTGGAACTCAAAAATCCCCCGCTTACAACCGAATCGACGCAATATCCTCGCTTTCTGACGGCCGATGCTTGGTGACAGCAATTTTGCATCCATTCGGCCGTCATCCGACCTTTTGCATTCAGGTTACAATCCGAATATACCTCGCCATGGGTCATGTGATGCGACTGAAGTACCAGCCCAACATCGACTCATGAATAACGCTCCGTCAGATTTAAGCGACAGGCCCGCCGGATTTCGGGATGATGGCGGCGTGCCTTTAAATATGGATGTTTCGCATGCATCGAGCTCTTCCCATACCAATACGCAGTGGACTGGTATGGCGTCACAGGATGATCAGCGGTTGCGCGATGTGGGGGTTGCGGCGTTGGCGGCTGTGTCGCAATATCCGCACCCTGTCAACGGGGAGAGCGGGTCTTTCCTAGTATCTCAAGTTGTTGGTGCGGTCTCAGGGAATAGCAGACCTCGTTTCGAACACGCGGATCCAACGGTATTCGGCACTGAGGCGGAGAGCTCGGGAACAGATCAGCAGCGACAGCATTTGGGTGCCTTTGACACGGAAAGCAGTATGATATCAGAGTCAGAGTCGTCTTCAAGGTCCCCTGTTCACAATGGAGATGTGGATATGGAAAGCGTCGTACAGGAACTCATCGAGCGGACTGTTAGCTGGCATAATACCGCGACTATTGCCAGTGCTCATGATTACGGCGACCAGCAGAAGGATCTGGTAATGGATTATGAACCGACGTTCGAGGATTATTCATCGTCATCACCTTCTTCAGGACCTGATGATGATATCGAGGATTTGATCAAATTTTATCCAGGCGAAGAGAAACATCTACGCCAATACCATTCCTCGCACGTTGCTGAGGCTCCAGCACATGACGTGAATCTGGACGAGTTCTATACTCCAGTAGATTACGACCCATTTGATGCGAATGCGCAATCCGAGATGTCTACACAACATAGTGAGATGATGTCTCTTCCCGAGGAATCTCTTCCAATAGAGCCGCCAGTTCCAGTAGAGGACTACCCAATTGCGCAAACAGAACGTTTCATGCCGGATGAGGACTACCCAATTGCGCCAGCAGAACATTTCGTGCCGCCTCTTATTCACACAACCAGTAAGTTTGCCACTGAATTTACATGGTTCCTACCGCACGATCTAATGAAATAGCTTTTGAACGCAATTATACGATTGACGAGTTCATTCATCGCTGGATGGTACAGTCCTTGTTGCCTGCCGGGTTTCGTCCGGATGGCAGAATGCCACGACAATTCCGCCCAATATCTCAAATGATAGGCTGGGAACCACCTCTACATATTCATCGACCATCCAAATCGAAACGCGATACCTATGATCTGCAACAGATTCCATGGGCAGAAACACTAAAAGTGAAACGAGCGGACGCGCGCACACTCCGCGATGCTTGGTACACATCCTACCATAATATCAGCAATTCGCATATCAGTCATGCGGGACGATTGCCCTCCGACGAGGCATACTTTCGTGCCAAGTCGATGCATACCGAACATAAAGCTTCGATCGAACATTTCCAGCTTCGAAATTTGATGTCCGTTCCGGCGTACAACACTGTCCACTTCGCTAGTCGATCAAAAATCTACTCTTGGACCCCCGCCTACGACGATTTCCACCCACTGATTGATCTGAGTCAAGCGGATCTGGATGTGGGAATCCAACGCCCCGTAAAAATCTCTACTATGAAGACTCAACACGGCCTTACCGTTGCAGGCGGATTTTGTGGCGAGTATGGCCTACATTCCTCGAATGGAGAGGGTGCCGGTGCGCGTGGACTATTAACGCCTGACTTCAATGACGGCATCACAAACCACGTGGATATTATTCGCAATCGGACTGGCCGATCGCCGATCTGCGTGTTTGCATCGAATGATCGACACCTGCGGATCTTGGACACCGAGACCAACATTTTTCTTTCCGATCAGGCACTATCGCGACCAATCAATTGTACCGCAACATCTCCCGATAGTCGTCTCCGCGTGGTGATCGGCGATTCCCCAGATGCATGGATCATCGAAGCAGACACCGGCCGCCCGGTCCATCCTCTCCGCGGCCACCGTGATTTCGGATTCGCCTGTGCCTGGTCCCCAGACATGCGCCACATCGCCACAAGCAACCAAGACAAAACGGTAAATATCTGGGATGCCCGAACGTGGCGCGTCCTCGCAACGATCGACTCCGATGTCGCGGGTTACCGATCTCTCCGCTTCTCACCCATAGGTGGTGGTCCACGTACTTTACTTTGTTGTGAACCTGCAGACCGGATTTCAATAATCGACGCCCAACTGTACAAATCTCGACAGGTCCACGACTTCTTCGGCGAAGTTGGTGGCGCAGACTACTCGCCCGATGGCAGTGTTGTATGGGTCGCAAATACGGACCCCCACTTTGGCGGATTCATGCAGTACGATCGTCGCCAATGGGGAGCCGGGTACTCTGTGGCTGGTTTACCGAATGAGTGGCTGAGCGAAGCAGATCTAGAGGATGATGATCGGTGTGCGCTGAATGCCCGAGAGAGAAAATTACGATTTCTGCGCAATTTATCAGATCGCGAGCATGACAAATTCCTGCCATAGTTTGATTCTGCGTTAGTCTGTGTTCTTTTTTCCTTTCTCTCTTTTATTATTATCCCTTCCTATTTCTTGCCTATATTTCTGCCCCCCTCTACTCTTGTCCATCTCTTCGCCCTTTTCTTTTCTTCTGCATCTTATACCCTGGGTTTTTACGGTGTTGTTGGATGTCTGCACTATTTCCAAATAGATGATACCACATAGCGAATTCGACCTGTCACATACATCGGTCGTTTCATTTGTTGATCGATTTTTCTCGTAGATAGCTGTATCCACTTCTGCAGCCAGTAAGACTAGCGGTACGTAGCATCAACACCTGCACCTGCACCTGTACCAAATCACTTGCACTGAGCCTGCGCGCATGTAAATCGAGCATACAAATCCCCAGATACTGACTAGATCCTCATGGAAGCCCATAAAATAAATAAGTAGAACAGTATTATTTCTCCCCAAGCACGAAAAATCCTCTTCCGTACGACTTCAACTCAAAATCCAGTAGCTCAGCTCAACAAGCTACAAGGTTCACCAAAAAACCCAATCCAATAGATCTCCCAGATCGACTCCACAGCCCCACATCATAATAACCAAACAACCAAACAACCCCTCCCCCTCCATCTCACCTACTCTACCTTCCTCACCACCCAACTTCCCTCCCTTCTCTTATTCACATCCAAATATACATCCCCTTCATATCATATTTCATCCAACTCCCCAAAATGGCCTCCGGAAACTACTACGACCAAAACCAATCCTTCGATGGCCCCAACCGAGGCGACCGAGGTGAATACAACGACACCCGCTACAACGGTCCCCCCTCCTACAGCGGCGGCGACGACTTCTCCTCCGCAGCCTCCCATGCCCGCGAACACCATGACCAGGGCTCCTCTAACGGATCCTTCTTCGACAATGCCCTCGGCTTCCTAAACGAGCACAAGGACTCCCTATCCAACCACCAGAACTACGACATAGACGAGCAGCACGTACTGCAGTCTCACCAGAAGCTGTACGGAGGCGGTGATCCCAGCCAGGAGAGTCATGATGCTGGATCCGTTGGTTCGGGTGCTGCGCTACAGGCTATGAAGTCTTTCACTTCTGGTGGCTCTAGCGATGGGGGCTTTGATAAGAATAAGCTTGTTGGTATGGCTATGGCTCAGGCTTCGAAGCTGTGGGATGAGAAGCAGGGTGGTGGTGCTAGCATGGTGAGAAAATACCCCGACCCTTGAAGTCTTTTTACTTGGATTTGGATCTGTGTGTTAGATGGATGGATGGATGGATTTACTAATTGTTTCTTTTTTTTGTCTAGTCCGGCGACAAGCAGTCTGCTGTTAACAATGCTGCTGAGATGGCTATGAAGATGTACATGAAGAGCCAAGGTGGTGGCTCCGGTGGCTCCGGCGGTCTTGGTGGTCTTGCTGGCCTTGTCAGTGGAAACTCTAGTGGTCTGATGGGCTTGGCTAGTAAGTTCCTGTAAGGGTTCTTCTTGCTTCTGGCTTCTGGCTTTTCCTGGGTTTCATGTTGATATTGCTATTATGGGTCCTTGTGAACTGATTGAATGATTCTATTTGATATATTTCTACAATTTGAAGGGATGTACTTAGGGTTTTCCCTGCATTGACTGGATTTATACACTGAAACGTAAATGCAAGGGGACCATAGCTGCCACCATGAAAGAACCCACTAGCCCAATATTAATATTGAGCATCTAGAACACTATCCTCTGTACTGTAAGCTCTATATAGATGAAAAAAAAAACAAATGAAAAGATAATTGGAAAGACGAATCGAAACACAGATAGGCAGACGGAGTTTATACTGTCTTTGAGATACACTGATCGAGTTAAACATGCGCCTAATAATTCCCGGTGTATTGAACCTATACGTAGAGTATTAATAATAATCTAGAAGGATTCTCAGCAAACTGTGCTAATATCAAAGTTACTGACTACCTGGCTGGATTACTTCGTCACGAGTGGGGAGCGTGGGGAACCCCCGCAAAACGTTGTTGTTGGAGTATCTAGCCACTTCCATAGTCAACACCTTTTTTTGTCTGCAAGATTAAAATATTCCTCAAGGCAGAACCTCGGTAATATTTCCTATGCATACTAGATACAAATTTCGTGTCTCTCGGCAAATAACTTCTGCAAGGCGCCCGCAAAGCCATGCGATTGATGGAATTATCTCCACACGCCAATAATTCCAGATGCAATGACCTGACGAGTCCAAAATAAGGACAACTCCGGCGGGATGAGCTCAATTACAATTTACAGTAAATTTCACTTCAAACCAAGGTATATCATACCCAACATCTATAAAAGCCATGCTGTAGAATCTCAGTATAACCTACAAACAATATTAAAACAATTAAAAATAAAACCACCAACTCCTGTCCTGCATTGGAGCCCGGAGATCAACGTCCCAAAATGAAATTCACATACAGCCTCAGTCTAGCTTTGTTCTCAGCAACAGCGATTGCAACACCAGTCCAACACTCATCACCTTCCCCATCCCCTCTATCTGCGACTATCTTCACCCCACCATCAACATACAACATCCCCCGAACCCTCTACGCCCGCACAGCTGAGCTTCCAAACGGCGACCTCCTCTCAACATGGGAAAATTACTCTCCCGAACCACCACTCGTTTACTTCCCAATCTACCGTTCAAAAGATTACGGTAAAACCTGGTCCGCCTATTCAAACGTCACCGACCAGGTAAACGGCTTTGGGCTCCGCTACCAACCATTCCTATACTATCTCCCCGAACGCATAGGTTCCTTTCCAGCGGGAACGATCTTGCTAGCGGGAAATAGTATTCCAGAGGACCTCTCATCGACACAGATTGATCTATATGCTTCCTTTGATCAGGGATTGAAATGGGAGTTTGTGAGTCACATTGCTGCTGGTGGGGAGGCGGTGCCGGATAATGGATTGACGCCTGTTTGGGAGCCCTTCCTGATGGCTTAGTGAGTTTCTTCATTTGTTTTTCGTGACGCTGGCTAATGAGTTTAGTAATGGGAAATTGATCTGTTATTATTCTGATCAACGGGCCAATACGACAAATGGCCAGAAATTGGTTCATCAGGTCTCGCATGATCTTCGAAGCTGGGGTCCCGTTGTAGATGATGTGTAAGTTGACTCCCAATGAATATTTTTGGATACAACTAACTCCATCATAGTGTCTACCCTACATACACTGATCGACCGGGAATGACAACCGTCACGAAGGTAAGTAGTCTGGTTGATTTGGAACCCGAAAGAGCTATGGCTAATTATCTCAGTTACCCAATGGGAAATATATTCTTATGCACGAATACGGCTCTTTCTTCAACACGTCCGATTACTCGTTCCCAGTCTACTACCGCCTTGCAGAGAATCCGGAAGATTTCAACTCCGCAGAAGGAATTCAACTCATTGCCTCGGGTGGTACGGAGCCGCTCTCTGCACCGTATGTGACATGGACACCATATGGTGGTAAGCATGGAACCATTGTTGCAAGCGCAGAATCATCGAGTAGTCTATTCATCAATCAGGCTCTTGGAGAGGGCGAATGGACGGAGATTGAGTGTGCTGAAAGCGCGAGCTATTCACGCTCGGTGAGGGTGCTTGAGCAGGGTACTGGTAACTGGTTGCTTGTGTCCGGGGGTGGAGTACTTGGAGGCGACGACAATAGTGTCACTGTCACTGTGATGAATTTGAAGAGCTCATTGTAAATTATGGTATGGATCAAGTGGTCGTTAAGGGCCCAAACCCATTTTCAATTGATATCAGAAATGACCTGCCATTTGTTAATTCTAGTATACTTCAATGAAAGACTTAACATATGTATACCCATGAGGCAGTGAAATTGGATCAAGGAATGGCGGAGCATCACCAACTTGAAGGCTGTCCTTTGATGGTGTACTGCTCAAAGAGTTGGTATCTTCTTCAGTGTGACCATGGACATATGGTCTTTTTGGCTCAATCCAGCCAAGAAAAGGCTTAAGTTGGCCATGGCAAGCTGTCATGAAGCTTAAGCACATAACTAGGCCTTGTATCAATGTAACGAAACAGTAATTATATGTGGGATCTGTTCAGAGTTCCGGGTATCTGGGGTATCGTCGTCAACGGCTGCGCAATCACCTATAGTATTGCAGTCTTCTTGATCAGTTGTTGGCCATATGACAGATATAATGATATAACGAGATAAATTATTCTCCTGTCGCCTGTTTCGGAATGGTTTTTCTTGTCATAGTTTACTATTTCTTACATGCACGACACGTCTACAAAGGGCCTATTGTGGAGACAGACATCAATAACAACTGAAGACTATCAAGTAAGTAACTTCATTTGGTTACCAATCGTTCAACTCACTCGCTCTTTGGTTATCTGTATCCAAGCTGATTCTCCGAAGCTACTCTGCGAATTATATCGATATATTGTGCCTTGTATAGGCATCTGCGGATTTTTAATTTGCTTAATGTAGGTGATCGTGGTTACCAAATGATTATATCGGTATAATGATGCACGGTGAATGGTGGATTTGTTTGGTAAAGCTTGGGCCGTTTGGAAGATATGCCCGTGGATAGATAGTTTGTTCAAAGCATAGAGAAAGAAAGTCCCAGAGTTGGATCTGGAAGTTACATATCGAACATTTGCAACATCTATCCAAAATTGGTGTAGAATCAGCTGAAAATTACCATCTGCAATGTCTTTCAAAGGCCTAGGTGATCTACTTTGTGTTACAGTCTATGAAGGCGTTTCGGACTATAGATCTATCACGCGTTCCGGACTCTGTCCTGGCATCATCATCATAGTAATGCCGTGGTCTTAATAGGTAACAAGCCACTGGGCGCTCTAATGTGAGATTTTAGCGTCCTGAATATACCCCATGAACAACTGTCAATGCGGTCTGCACATGAAATGTCGAATTGACTCAATTGAAGAAAGTAATAACGAGAAATTGTCGGTTTTACTCTTGGTATACTATGAGAGACAACATGGAATTGCCCCAGGACAATATATGTTGATTGTCGAAACAACAGGTCATTATAAATGAATTTCTTACACGGTAGCCATTAGAAATATCCGCCTGGGGTCGGAAAGATTAATTCTTTTAAATTCAAGACTAACTTATTTGTAAGTCACTTAAAACTGGAAGTATGGTATTTTTTAGCCTTACTGTAAAGCTTTACTAGTATTTACTCATCGCCCGCTCGCCTGGCCCATAATAACGTGAGGGAGGCTTTTAGTACCCCTTCGTACCCGTGAACATAGCAATTGATATAACTTCGACTAGCACTATTTTCAAGGCGTAAGGCTAGCATATGGCAGCCCGCACTACCTAACGAATTCAACGATCTTGAAATATAACGTACGAGGCTTGCCCCCAGAGCTGAACGGTTGATCCGGATGTGGGGTTATCTAGCGGCCGTACGGTGGAAGCTATAAAAGCACCCCACCTTGCTTCATAAGTTCAAGTTGTCCACTCAGTCCATTAAATTCAGAACAGACTACAATACCTCCTCTTCAATACATACTTCACAATGGAAGTTCACGTTGTCTCTAAGCAGGACATCAGTCAGCATGCTAGTTTCTCTCTCCCCGCCAGTGCAACGCTAGGAGAACTAGGTCCCTCCTCTGTCCGCATTCGACCTCAGATTGTTAGTTTGGGGGCAAACAATCTATCTTATGCCATGCTAGGGACTGCATTAAAGTGGTAAGGTTCTTCTTATTCGAGCTAAAATTCACAGAATCTGACTTGAATGTGTTAGGTGGGACTTGTACCCCGTACAAGAGAACTATCCAGCACCATACAACGATAATTCCAAGTGGGGAATCGCCCCAGCTTGGGGTTTCTCAACTGTTGTAGAGAGCACAATTCCAGAAATTGCACCAGAAACTCTTCTGTACGGAATTTGGCCGACCACCGCAGTCCTCACGGACATGCAGCTCGAGAAGACCACGCCACAGGGACACTGGATTGAAACCAGTCCACATCGCCAAACGCTCATGAGCCTTTATAACCATTATGTAGAGTCTCCACGGTCTAACCCCGTTTGCTCTTTGAGCAGTCTGAGCAATTATCCATCTGCTGTATCGCCAGAAGAAGCACTGAGCCAATTAGCGTGGTCGTCAGTGTTCCGCACGTTATGGACATGCGGATATTATCTAAGTGAACATGTTTTCCAAGTTCACCCAGACATAAAAACACCCGTTCATCCTCTTGGAAATCAATTCCAACTCCCTTGGTCCGAGTCCGATGCTGACTTGTCTTCTGCTGTTGTCGTCAGCCTCGGTGGATCCACTAAGACCGCTCGTACCTTTGCTTACTTCCTTGAGCGGAAGGAGAAGACAGTGGCACCTCTCGGGTTTTTACAAGTGACTTCTGCATCTGTAGCTCTTTCGGAGGCTACTAAGGCGGCTAATCCCTCTTTTCCTTCGAAGGCGATTGAGTACGCAGATATTGAGTCGGACGAAACTGTCGAATGGCTCAGACAGCTCAATCCTTCTAAGATCATCGTCCTCGAAATTGGCGTCCGCGGAGATGGCCTCGATAGATTGCTCGACTCGATTAAACAGAATACGGCACTGCAGTTCGCGAATGTTGTCATCATAAAGATTGGTAGCCCAACGAAGGTAATAAATGATCCCTATTATTCTTGAGCAACTGAGGATGTTTTCATAATGATAATTTTATAGGCATTGTCTGCGGAAGAACTCATTGCTGCCGGTCAAGAGATTGAACAGCTCGGAAAAGTCCGATGTAATACCTCTGGTATGCAAGATACGGCCATTGAAGCCATGGGTGCTGAGACTTTCTTCAACTCCATGGATGTGAAATGGGAAAAGCTGTATCATGATCGTAAGCTGTGGGCTCCTGATCTTAAAATTCGATGGAGTCATGGAATCTCTGGCAGCGATGGGATTGAGTCTGGTTGGACTAAAATCTGTCACGGTGAAGTCCTTGCTAATGAGGCTTCGGTATACCAGCTGCAGGAGACACCTCCATACGCATGATTCACATAGTTTGCTTATGTGATAGGGTTCAGGATAGAACGCCGAGTTCAAACAAGTTATTCAATCAGAAAAAGAGTGTCATTTAGAATGTAGCGGAGCCATTACTGTGAAGCGGCTCAGAGTATCAACCATCAAACTCCTTCGTAACTAGAAACCAGTACACCAAATCAAAACAATTGACAAGAATAAATCATCACATCGTGAAATAAATAGTAGAGCGAAAGAAAAGATTCCTCATTGCCTCCCCATTGCTCGTAGTCGTTCCTGTATCATTTCCATCTCCTTATCAACATCCATACCGGCGACAGACTTCTGCTTGTCGCTATCCTTGAGCACCACTGAGCAATACTCCCCATCGCCATCAGGCGCTCCAACGGTGACCCAAACAAATTTAGTTCCTTGGCTTGTTGTTGGAGACCGCTCCTGGGTACCCTGCCAGAACATCTCCGGGGGAACAGAGTTGTCACCAACAGTACGCTTTGCGGTTGAACGACCACCAAGACGCCCATGTTTGATCCAGACTTTGAGAACATCTGCTATGAAGCTGATTTTCTGCAAGAAAGAGTTTGCGTCCAAGATCTCCCGAAGACGAGCTTCAGCAGAGTTAACAGATTCCCCATAGACAATGCTCAAGAAAGTCGTTGCTTCATCTGACGCAACGGCACGAGTGTCGAAGCCGGACGGGTGCATTCTCCCTTTAGCGGAAAAATAGCGGGCAGCAGAAGGGGAGAGGTGGTAGAAGTCTATCCACGGGGAAGAGCTTCGAGTGCGCCCGGGCGCGATGACAAGTTTAGTGTGATCAGGGAAGTTAAACTGAAAAGCTCCATCGCCAAATCCCCAAATTCCGACATTGCCTAGACGTTGGTAGAATTTGATAAACTGGCCACTGCTACGACTAGACACCTCGTCTGTCATTCCCTCGTCACCATGGCGACCCAATGATCCGATCATATACTTTCCGAACTGATCAACCAGCTTGACTCGCTTAACCTTCTCCATGTCTGCTTTTTCAGGCTCCGATTGGGCATTCAGACGCAATCTCATCACCTTCGATGTCTGAGGATCGAACAAAGATGGAGATACGAATCCGCGTCGAATACCACGGCAGCCCAACAGATCATCATCGCGGTTCTCGTAGAATTCAACGGCGCTGCCATTGCGAGGAATCAGACAGTCGGCTTCAGGATATGGAATGCCCTTCTCTTGGCCATTATCAAGACTACGGGCTTTTCGACGAATGTGTCTTTCACCATCTCGCACGATTACACTGGAGGCCGGCTGACCATTCTCACCCTTGAAGACACACCCCACGCTTCCATCGTCCAAAACGTAACCAATACCGTAGCGGTTGGTGTAGTCAACCCATTTTATAACATAAGCATGTGGTTGTCTGCGAGGACCACTCCGACGACGGGCAGGAGCATGGTTTAGAAGATTCGATAGCATGAGGCGCAGGTCATTGTTGACTTCACTTAGAGAAGTGCCCGGTAACAGTTCACAGAGATCCTCCTGGTGGAAAAGAGGACTCAATCCAAGACTTGAGCGAGCCCTGCCTGAGGAAGTTTCCTTACTGTTGGATCGACTGATTCCTTGAGAAGCTGTCAAGGGTTTTGGCTGCATGCGATGGGCAAATCCTTCTTCTGTGGGGCTGATGATCTTCGGTCGCTCTACTCTGTTGGGTGCAGTTTTGAGATCAGGTCGAGATACTGATCGCAAAGACGCCTGCCGACTAGCTGCGCGGCGATCATCTGGCCTCGGCGCCAGTTTCGGCTCAAGAGGGACGATTGATGGTCCTTGATTGGCTGCCTCAAGTCTACGAGACTGAGATCGAGTCTTTCCGATCGTGAGCCCGGATGGCATACTAGTCGACTTGGCTAGTTGGGGTCTCTCTACTTCACGCAGAGTCGGAGCCTGGGAAGCAGATGCAAGTCGTCGAGTTCTTATGGGGCGTTCTGCGAGCCCACCTGGAGCGGGAGCATCGTTGACTGGGAGGAGTACGGGCTCGGGGATTTTGGCATCTCGATGTGGCCGGGGAGGCTCTTGAGGCTCACTCATGGGCGGTAATTTACGTGCAGGGCTAGGGGGTGGTCTAGCCTGCTGTCGAAGTGTCGCCGCGTGGCTTTGAGGCTCGATTCGACGTTGATGAGCTGCTGCCAAGGCCGCGTTTGTTCTGGAGGAAGCCACCGTGTTGGGACGAATAGAGAGATTGCGTCGGGACATGGTACTGCTGTCGAGCGCAGAATCATCGGTCCGGGGCGCTTTTCGCGCCGCTTCCATAAGGCACCAGTCACCTTCAATATCATGAGGCCACTGATACAAAAAGTCTGTTGGTAAAGGGACTAGTGGACGAAGGCCCCTAGCATCCTCGGCCTCACACTCAGAGTAGGCAGATTTGGAGCAGTTTCGCCCGACGGACTTGCGAGCAGTTCCATCCGGTTTTCTACCAACGCCACATAGTGAAAAGAATGCGGCTTTGCAAGAATGGTAGCGTTGGCTAGGGTCATCTACCTGATAAACATATGCACGCAACTTCTCGTCCGAATCTAAACTATATCCGCCAACAACAACATCGCCACGTGGTGCTTGTTCTTTCAGCCAAAGAGGCTTATTGAAGCGACAGGCGGGATCCAGTTGGCGAGGAATGCAACCATCATACATGTTGAAAAATGGGTGCTCCACAATATCATCGGGATCCGGACGTTCTTCATCGACAAGATTTAAACATGCGCTGACCAGGTCTTTGGCCTCTTCGGGAATATGATTGTTGTTCTCAGAGTCCTTGGGCCATACGTAATGTAAGTTCCGCACTTTTTTGTAAATTTCTTCCTGTGTTTTTGACTGAAATGGAGGGTAACCAGTCAACATGGCAAAGCAAATAACACCAAGCGACCATATATCGACCTTCTGTGTATGGCCACCCTTGCTCTTATCCAAAACCTCAGGCGCAATGTAGTTTGGCGTTCCGCAAAGTGTGTTTCGCCTTTTCGCATCCTTGTCCGATAAAATCATGGCAGCCAGGCCAAAATCTCCAACTTTGATGTTCATGTTGTGGTCGAGAAACAAGTTACCCATTTTCAAATCGCGATGGGCCACAAATCGCTTGTGTAGATACTTTACTGCAGCGCAAAGTTGAATCATAAATCGTCTAACCTCCGGCAATGAGAGATACCGTCTCTTTCGAACCATGTCCATTACCGATCCGTTCGGGCATAACTCCAGCACCACGTAGGTGCTTTGTTCGAATGCAAAAGCGCGGTAAAATTGAACGATATAAGGATGGCGCATCTTCGAATGAATTTGTAACTCTGTTCGGAACTGTCACATATACGTTAACGGAAACCATTCCCCGCCGGCCACATTAGAAGGTTATCTCTACCTTTTCTTCCATTTTCTTTTGAGGCATCTGAGACTTCACGACTTTCATGGCATACACGCGACCATTGCGGGCGAGCGTTCCTTCGTAGCAGACTGCGAATCCTCCTTTTCCCAGAAACTGGCCTATTGAATATCTCTCCCCGCCCTCTTCTGGCTCCGGAACTAAGGGTGGTGGTGGGTCTGCATGGTTTTTAGAGGAGGAAGCCTTCTGACCAGCAGCGGCAGCATTCTTATCGGCGATTTTTCGATCCATTATAGGCTTGGGCTTGATCATCTGGTTTGTCGATCGTGGCGAGAGAGCCTCCATTGCGAATATGTATGGGTACGGTGTTCTTCAGTCGATTGCGCCGCAGGTGTCAATATTATGATTGTTAGTCGCAATGACTTTTGGACTGCAAGAGAATACTTCTGAAACAAAAAGCATGCGTAAAGGTCATCAGAATATCGAATATTAGAATTTATGGCGAACGAGGGTATCAGGTTGTAGCAAGATTGGTATCCCTGCAGCAATCCGAAGGTCAGCATCGAGAGTGTTTAATTAGCTCCACCCGGTCGGCAAACCGAGTGAATTGGGGGAACCGGGGGAACCGGGGGGAGAGTAAGTGGTTGAGGGATCATACCAGAATTCAAAGCGCTAAAGAAGAAAAAACTGTACAAAGCTTCCACAAAACAGCAGAGCAGAACCCAACCGCGCGTTTGAAGGAAAAAGCTTGAAGCCAAAGTGAAGAAGTTGGGCCATAATAGTTTTCCCGATTAGGAAACCGATAAACAGTACGGTTGATGAGGTAATCGTCACGTGTCACCATCTCAACAGAGCCATCCCCGCTGGTTGTCAGGGCTCTTCAGATAGATTATGTGGATGGTAGTAACATACTTTTGGTCATATTTGTGATTGTTTTAGTATTTACATTTATTAAAGTTTGAAGACCACTTTCCATCCCATTTAATGGACTGCATTTTCATCAATGGCCAGGTGTTGAGTTCATATTTTCTTCCTGGCTGGCAGCCTGAGACCGTTACTAGTATATATCAGTTCCCGCAGTGGGTCTGTGAACCATTTCAAACCATGACTCGTAATTGCTACAAATTAAAAATGTTGGGTTATGGAGATATCTACACTATTGAGAACTTGAAATCCATGCTCAGGCCCCTGCGTAAACAGATTGTTTGAGGGCCCATAGGTACCTATTAGCTGCACGCATTCTGTTCTTGGATGCGCTTAAAGTATGTACATACTCCAAAATCAGTACTGGAGACACGCATGGGCACATCAATCTCTTTTTGACATTACTTTACACTTAAAAATAGGAGTTCCCTTCTTAATTTCCTGTTGCTAATTTCTGCTTTCCTACATCCTGATCTATATATATATATCCACAAAATGCCTTGTCCCGAGTTATCATTGGCCTTCAATGAAATGTTGGTGCCACATGTGACTAATCATACACTAACCCGTTTAAGCCACACCAGGGCAGTGGGGCTAAGTACCTGAACATCGTCACGCCGTGAGTCAAGCTGTCGAAGCCAGGCAGCTTCATCTTAATCATACTTGTACAATATGTCGCTCACCCTCAAACTATCCTCCTTGGCAATACGAACGCTATCCAAACCCATCGCCGTATGTTCCCTCTGAATGACCCAAAAAAACCCGAATTGGTGTCTACAACAGGCTGACATCTGCCCAGAATCAAATCAAAGCACAAGCTCGCGAACATGATCGCTTCCGCCACGTTTGCGTATCAATGGCACAGGCTCTCCATCGATTCGATATGCGCCTGCGATTAGGCTCTATCCGCGACAATACCGCCTCCCAACGTCAGGCCGCCGCTGAAGCTGAAGCAAAAAAGCACATCCCCTCATCCCCGACAGCCAAGACCGAGACCGAGTCAAAAGCAGAAGAACATGCACAGGCCAAAGCCAAAGAGGCGGCGGAAGAAGCTGCCAAACCCCATAAATACCGAATTCGTCCGTTGACCGAGTCTAAGGCTATTGAATCCGGCGCAAATTTCATTAGTGAGACCTTTCTTTTCATGGTCGCTGGTGGCTTGATTGTGTTTGAGTCCTGGCGATCACGTCGGAAGGAGAGCACTCGTCGGGAAGGTGTTGAGGATCGCTTGATTGAGTTGGAGCAATCAGAGAAGACGGTGCGGGAGGCCTTGGTTGCCTTAGAGAAGGAACTGCTGGCTCTCCAAGCTAAGAATGGAGAAAAGCCTAAAGCGACGCATCGGATTCTTCCGAAGGCTGTGTGGGGAGAGGAGTCGGAGGTGAAGGAACCAGAGGCTCCGGAGACTTGGTGGTCGACGGTCACATCGTACTTCTCCCTTAGCCAGGGGACACCCAAGACCTCTGAATCGACTGCTCAGCCGACATCCACATCGCAAGAGCCCAGGCCTGCCTCCATTCCAGCTACCGAGCAGCCCGCTGCAACTGGGCAAAAGCAGATGCCTGAGTCCAAGGCTTCGCCATAGATCTATGCTTTTACACCTCCTTTGCATATAGAACGTTTGACATTGTTGTTTCAGCCTGGATACCTGTCGATATGACCTTTGAATCATTTGTTGTCGGAGTGCGGCTTGAGATTTCGCTGTGTTGGATTCATATACCCTCCTCTCTTTCTACCTCTACTCATTTTTATAGAACTGTATACATATATTATTCCAATCATCACCTTGCTGATAGACATTAAATGATGGCTATACCCTGCGTGTAAGTGAGATATCATGACTTTATTCTGTCAAGAATCATTTCTAGGTTACATGAAGTACACACAGAATGCCTATCATGAAAATAAGATTTATTAAGTCGATGAAGATAGAGTCTTAGCTTTTCCATTTGAAACCCCTCTATGGCTTCTAAGACATAGTGCGAGTCCGTTATCGGACCAAACCGAAGACGATCTAGCAGCAAGCCAGGCGCCAACTATGATGAAGGAGGCGGGTTGAGAGGCAAGAGAAAACTCTGCTACCTTGCATAAGAGCAAGCAAATCTTGAGCCTTGACAAGCCTTGGGCGCTTACGAACCCGAACGGGCGCATTGGGTATGCCTAATGACGTCGGTGCTTCTATTTATGACCCGCACGAGCCACACCAGTTGACCTCATGGGGAAGGCCCATCTGTATACAAAGTGTACACATGGAAGATGTATCCATAGAAGTGTATTCCGCGTACTTGAAAAGAAAATAAAAAAGAATATGCATAACCAATCACACAATACTAAAATGACTATAAAATTAATCATCACTCATTAACCAATAAAAATTCTCCACTGTAAATATTTGGCCCCCTGAGGCAGCAGTTGAACCAGACCCTTTTAATCATGTGTGGCGCAGCTTGTTTGATTGGGTTTGTCTGTTGTACGTAAGTCCGCCCTTCTCCCTTGAGGTCCATGAGAACACTCAACGGTTTTCCTTGTGAAGCATACTTTCGTTTTTGCTCTTTTTCTTTCCTGACTCTCCAATTGTCACCTGGGCGCAACATTTCCCAGCTTGACAAATTATGGTAAGCTCAATTCGAGAGGCACCTTTCCCCCCTCTCTCCCAACTCCCCTCCCGGTTGACACACCGCAGTCGGTCCCCGGTACTGACCCCGCGGTTGCGCTTTCTTAGGGTCACTCACGACGCCCACAAGGCGGCGAAAAGAAGAGTCGCTTCGGTCGCAATAAAGGAGCGGCTGACATCGGCGACGGTCGTTCCTCTGGAAAGCCGCAAGTTAAGAAGGCCACCTTTGAGCCCACCAAGAAGAAGGAGATCGGCGTGTCAGACTTGACACTTCTCAGTAAGATCTCCAACGAGGCGATCAACGATAACTTGAAACTACGATTCGAACATGGCGAAATTTATGTAAGAGAATTGCGATCATAGGTGGCAACTGCTTGCCGCGCGCAGAGCACGAGGCTAATAGCTGTTGTTGAACAGACGTACATCGGCCATGTGTTGGTCTCAGTCAATCCGTTCCAAGATCGTAAGTGATTGATTGAGACGATTCGATCAAGCAAACTCGAGAAAACAGCATACTGACAACCCCGACCCCTTCCAGTGGGTATTTACACCGACAACGTACTCGATTCATACCGCGGCAAGAACCGTCTCGAAGTCCCCCCTCACGTCTTCGGAGTCGCGGAATCCGCATATTACAACATGAAATCTTATAAAGACAACCAGTGTGTTATTATTTCAGGAGAGTCTGGCGCCGGAAAGACCGAAGCCGCCAAGCGGATCATGCAGTATATTGCTAGTGTGTCTGGAGGGAGTAATTCATCGATTCAGCAGACCAAGGACATGGTGTTAGCTACCAACCCTCTGCTGGAGTCGTTTGGTAATGCGAAAACATTGCGCAACAACAACTCGTCTCGATTCGGTAAATACCTCGAACTCGAGTTTAACGTGAACGGCGAACCGGTCGGAGCCAACATTACAAACTACCTGCTGGAGAAAACACGAGTCGTCGGCCAGATTGCCAACGAGCGAAATTTCCATATATTCTATCAGTTCACCAAGGGCGCACCACAAAAGTACCGAGACAACTTCGGTGTGCAGCAGCCGCAGTCTTACCTCTACACGAGCCGATCGAAATGTTTCGATGTCCCGGGAATCGACGACGTGGCTGAATTCAAGGATACATTGGACGCGATGCAGAGAATTGGTATGAGTGAGGCAGAGCAGGACAATGTTTTCCGCATGTTGGCTGCTATTCTCTGGATTGGTAATGTTCAATTCGTTGAGGATGACTCTGGGAATGCATCTATTTCAGATCAATCAGTGGTAGACTTTGTTGCGTATCTGATGGAAGTTGATGGGGCGCAAGTCAACAAGGCTTTGACAATTCGCCTGATGGAGACCGCCCGTGGAGGCCGTAGAGGCTCCGTCTATGAAGTTCCGCTGAATACTACACAGGCGGTGGCTGTTCGGGACGCATTGGCTAAGGCGATTTACTTCAACCTTTTTGATTGGATTGTGGAACGTGTAAACCAATCCTTGACTGCTCGCGAGGCTATCTCTAACTCCATTGGTATTCTGGATATTTATGGATTTGAAATTTTCGAGAAGAATTCTTTCGAGCAGCTCTGCATTAACTACGTGAACGAAAAGCTGCAGCAGATCTTCATTCAGCTGACCTTGAAGGCCGAGCAGGATGAGTATGCCCGCGAGCAGATCCAGTGGACCCCCATCAAGTACTTTGACAACAAGGTGGTGTGCTCATTGATTGAGGATAAGCGTCCTCCTGGTGTTTTTGCTGCCTTGAACGATGCCTGTGCCACAGCGCACGCCGATTCTGGAGCGGCCGACAACACATTTGTTGGTCGTCTCAACTTCCTCGCTCAGAACCCCAACTTCGAAGGACGCCAAGGCCAGTTCATAATTAAGCACTACGCTGGTGATGTGAGCTACGCCATCGAGGGTATGACCGATAAGAACAAGGATCAGTTGCTGAAGGACCTCCTGAATCTGGCTGGATCCAGTAGCAATCAGTTTGTCCACACTATTTTCCCCAACCAGGTGAACCAGGATGATAAGCGTCGCCCACCCACCGCAGGCGACAAGATCAAGGCATCTGCCAATGACCTAGTTGCCACATTGATGAAGGCACAGCCCTCCTATATTCGAACCATTAAGCCTAACGACAACAAGGCTCCTAAGGAATACAACGTTGGAAATGTGTTGCACCAGATTAAATACCTTGGTCTGCAAGAGAACGTGCGTATTCGCCGCGCTGGTTTTGCTTACCGTCAAACTTTTGACAAGTTTGTTGAGCGGTTCTACCTCCTGTCTCCCAAAACCTCGTATGCTGGCGATTACACATGGACGGGGGATGCGGAATCAGGTGCCAAGCAAATCTTGAGGGATACCAGTATCCCCGCAGAGGAATATCAAATGGGTATTTCTAAGGTTTTTGTTAAGACTCCCGAGACCCTTTTCGCTCTAGAGGCCATGCGCGACCGCTACTGGCACAACATGGCTATCCGTATCCAACGCGCTTGGAGGAACTATCTTCGTTATCGTATTGAGTGTGCTATTCGCATTCAACGATTCTGGCGTCGCATGACAGGAGGCTTGGAGTTCATCAAGGTGCGTGACCAGGGACATCAGATCCTTCAAGGCCGCAAAGAGCGCCGAAGAATGAGTCTTTTAGGTTCACGTCGCTTCCTTGGTGACTACCTCGGGGTGGGCAATAATGGTGGTCCAGGCGAGATGATCCGCAATGGTGCCAACATCAACAGCTCCGAAGAGGTTCTGTTCTCCTGCCGTGGCGAGGTCCTTATATCCAAGTTCGGTCGATCAAGCAAGCCGACACCTCGGATCCTCGTGTTATCCAACCGTCATGTGTATATTGTCGCCCAAGGTATTGTGAACAACCAACTCGTTATTTCCTCCGAGCGCACCGTTCCAATTGGGGCTATCAAAGCTGTTAGCACTTCCAACCTGAAGGACGACTGGTTTTCCTTGGTGATCGGAGCTCAAGAACCAGACCCATTGTTGAACTGCGTTTTCAAGACCGAATTCTTTACTCACCTGCGTACCGCTTTGCGTGGGTCATTGAACCTCAAGGTTGGAGAGAGCATTGAGTACAACAAGAAACCCGGAAAATTGGCTTTTGTTAAGACCGTTAAGGATCCCGGCTCTAGCAATGTTGACAGCTACAAGAGTAGTACCATTCACACCACTGGGGGTGAACCTGCCTCTTCCGTCTCAAAGCCAACTCCTCGACCAAAACAAATTGCTGCTAGACCAGTAACCAAGGGCAAGCTATTGCGCCCGGGTGGCCCAGGTGGTGGCCCATCGAAGCTTTCCTCAGCTGCTCGCAGCCGACCTACACCTGCTGCACAGCCCCTACCTCAAGCGATACCTAAGCCCGCTCCAGTCCCTCAGCCGGCTGTGCAGTCACGGATTGTTCCTCAGCCTGTTGCTGCTACCCAAGTTTCACACTCACACACTTCTTCTACGAGCTCTGTAAGAGCTCCGCCTCCACCTCCACCACCTGGACCCCCGGCCGCGAAGAAGTCTACACCTACCGCCAAGGTCTTATACGACTTCAACAGTGACCGGGCAAATGAGCTGTCTATCAAGACTGGCGAGATCGTGCAGATTGTGTCGAAGGAAGGCAATGGTATGTATTTGAAACTTGTTCTTCTTTTCTTGAGTTACAGAAACTGACAATTCTATAGGATGGTGGCTGTGTATGAACACCACTACCTCTTCCCAGGGCTGGACCCCCGAAGCTTACCTTGAGGAGCAAGTGGCTGCAACTCCTAAACCTGCACCTCCTCCACCTCCCCCTGCCGCACGAGCAACTCCTAGCCCTATCCCCAACGGAGGTGGCGCAGCCGCCGTCGCAGCCGCGAAGACAAAGCCTGCTCCACCGGCACCCCCAGCCAAGCGACCTAACATGGCTGGTCGGAAACCCGCTCCCCCACCAGCCCCTCGTGACAGCACCGCAAGCATGGCTTCCGGCGATTCATCTGGGGCCAGCGGTCGCGGTACACCGAACAGCACATCCAATGCTAGCTTGGCGGGCGGCCTGGCAGAGGCTCTGCGTGCTCGCCAAAGTGCTATGCAGGGGAAGCACGATGATGATGACGACTGGTAGATCTTTTGAAGCAACATTAGTCTAATCGGGTCGCACTGTCCCTTTTTATTGCGCTTAGCGTTGGGATCCCCCCTTTTGTTTTTATTATCTTCTGTCCGATTGATTACATTTTTTCCTCCTCTTGTTGAAAAGAACCCGTCGCATATGCATTCATTCAGGTTTCGGTATGATGGACAGGTCATTCTACTGTGTGTTGAGCATGGGTTGGCGGGGTTTATCTTTTCTTTGTCTATTTTCTTCTCTATCCTTGTTATCCTTGTTCTGACCATTCCTCAAACTATGGTTATCTGGTAGTCCCCAATGTAGAAAGTTTTGAAGTTCAATACATACCATACAGTCCATGCAAGATTATCCAATCAAATTCTATTTTAAAAGTCAAGTTTTTGAACATATGCACTCAATGAGATTACAACCACTCGCAAGCCTGAGGCTAATCAGTTAGCCACTTGCGAGCGACCAATGCAAGTAACCCTTATTAATTAAAATTAATTTACAAAAAAACTTAATTTTAAATGTGAAGAAAAGAACACGCAAACATGCATCTCTATTTGTTTGATATAATCGACCAAACCCCACTACAGACCGGGGGGTAGTATGTAATACTTCTCCACCTCCCCGACATCAACCCATGCAGCCCCTCGGATTTCTGTCCTCCGACCTACATCTCTTAATTCTGCAGAACCGGGGAGAAAATGCTTATTTGACGGTTAATGCTGCACTTTATTTTAATTATATCACATGTCCTATTTTCTCCGATCATATGATTTCCTCTGATCAGCCTTCAATCCCCCGTGGATGATCTGACTATAAAAGCATCCGCCTCAACGACATACCATTATAACACTCTCAATTCTTGCAAGATGCAAAATCTATCATGCCTGCTATATGGCCCCGAGGACGCTCGCTTCGAAGATTGTCCACTCCCTATTATCGAAGACCCTAAGGATGTGATAGTCCGTATCGCGTACGTGGGTGTCAGTGAAAGCGACGTAAGTACGCCCCACCTGTCATCTGTCATCCCAACATTGATCTCATGCACGACATATCCCCTCTCCCAAGACCCCAAGATTTCAAAAAAAGCAAAATAAAGCGCCAAAAAAGATGACGATATAAAATTATTGTCGAAAAAGAACTAGCTAAATTATTTTCTAGCTTCATTTCTGGCTATATGGTGGTGTCAAAAAGTTCGTTTCAGAAGAATACCCACTAGTAATGGGCCATGAAGCCTCTGGCATTGTTCATGCTGTTGGACCAGGCGTATTAAACCTCCAACCAGGAGATCCGGTTGCTATCGAACCAGGCGTCCCATGTCGACTATGCAGCAGATGCAAATCTGGAAAATACAATCTCTGTCCCGATATGCAATTCGCAGCTTCACCACCCTTCCACGGGACTTTAACAAAATACTTCAAAATACCCGCAGACAACTGTTATAAGATCCCGAATAGCGTTTCTGAATCCTTCGGTCTCGCCGAAGCAGCTCTAATCGAGCCTTTAGCTGTTGCTATTCATTCTATTCGCCAGGTAGGCGTTCAGCCCGGCGATAAGGTTGTTGTTTTCGGTGCTGGAACGGTTGGATTACTTTCTGCTGCTGTTGCGAGGGAATTTGGCGCTTCGACTATCATATCTGTTGATGTTAGTCGGGAGAATTTGGATTATGCAAATTCGTATATTCCGAACGGGAGATTGTCGTTTACGCCGGCTATTCTGAATCATACGCTTTCGTCTGAAGAGAATGCGATGTGCTTGCGTGGGAAGCATCGTAGTTCGCAATTCCAAGTTACTGAGTCTGATGTACCGGGGTTTGATGTTGCGGTTGAGACTACGGGGGCGGAGTCTTGTATTCAGATGGCTATTCATGCGCTTAGGGTTGGGGGGTCTTTTGTGCAGACTGGGCTTGGGCAGAGGGATGTGAATTTTCCGATTTCTACTGTTGTAGAGAATGAGATTAATGTTAGGGGTTGTTTTAGGTATGGGGCGGGGGATTTCAAGATGGCGCTTGAGTTGGCTTTTACGGGGAAGATTGAGTTAAAGCCGCTTATTACTCAGGTCTTTGAATTTGAGGATGCTGTTGAGGCGTGGGAGAATATGAGAATGGGGAATGGAATTAAGACGTTGATTCGTGGTGTTGGATATACGGATGTTTCTGAGTCGGAGAGGAGCGGAGAGTCTAGATATGGACCAGAGTGTCTTTGAGTGGAGTAAGATTTTTCTTCCGTTCAAATTAGGTATTAAATGTTAGATTCGATCGTCATCAGTCATAACCGACCCTTTCCATGTACAATGGCTATCAATTTACCAAGCCAAAGGTGTGTTCTGGGGTTTTTCCTACGCATTAGCCTCAATTTCTTTCTCAGCAGTAGCCTCGACATCCCTTTCGCTTTCACTATCGTCTTTCTGACCATTTCCATCCCGAAGACCCTGCGCGGTCGATTGGTCTTGATTCAAATCATAAGCTTCAGTCAACAGACTGAACAACAAGGCGACACCTGAAATCGCACAGCAAACAGCCCATACAATCCGTAGGCTGTCAGTATATGCCTCCTTAAGATTTGACTTATCCACACCGTCGGCCATCTGCTTGATGATTTGAACCAAGCCTGCTGAATCCTGGCTGTAAGCACTGGCTAACGGTGCAAGTGCAGGATACTTCAAGAGGTTCGAGTACATGCGGTTCTGGAAGACGACACCACCAATTGCAACGCCGATGGCCTGTCCCAACGCACGGAAAAAGCTAAACATAGCGACAGCAATGGAAAGGTTGTCTGGATCTGCGGAGGCCTGTACTGCGTATCCAAGAGATGGGAACAGAATGCCTAGACCCAGACCAGGAACGACATTCAAAAGAATCCATCCGTAGGTACTGGTTTGCACTTTAATAAGGCACATGATACCAAGTCCAATTGTGGAAACAGTCCATCCAAGCCAGATAGCCCAGCGATAATGACCGGTGATTGTAATCAGGATACCGACGACCATTGCGCTAGGCGCGACGGTGAAAGTTTCAGGGAAAATCGCCACACCAGTGAGAATGGGACTGAACCCTTTCACCGCCTCATAGTACAAAGGTAGGTAGTACAATGTACACCAGAGGATAAGGCCTTGAAGTGTACTTCCAATAAAAGAGACAGTTGCTGTGCGGTTCAGGAAAATAGCAGGTGGGATAATTGGGTCCGTGGCGAAGCGGTACTCGTAGAATGCGAAGAATAATAATCCCACCGCGCCAATGACGAGAGGAACGAGAGTATGCCATGAGTCCCAAGCGTAAGATATTCCACCCCAAGTCATGGGAATCAAAAATGAAGAAAGACTCCCGACAAAAAGAATCGTTCCAATGTAGTCGATTTGCCGGATTTTCTCGAGTAGAGAGCCCGGGAGAACCTTCAGATTCAGGAAGGCCACAACGAACACGGTCCCAATACCGATGAAGGGGAAATTAATGTAAAAGATCCAGCGCTAAGATAAAAGAAAAGTGTATAAGTTAGCCAAGACTGTGCATATCGCTTCGACACAGATTGTTATTCGTTACCCAAGTGACGCTTTGCGCGAACCCTCCTCCTAGAATAGGCCCTGTAACCGACCCAAGACTCCACATGGCACTCATTATACCAAAGTATTTGCCTCTGTAGCGTAACGGAACCAAATCCGTGATCACAATTTCGGTCAATGCCAGGACACCGCCGCCGCCGACACCTTGGATAGATCTCCCTACCAGCATGTAGGTGAAATCCTTAGCGATGGCGGCGATGATAGCACCTATACAGAAGAACAAAATACTGATAAGAATCATTGGTCGACGGCCGAAGATGTTAGACAGTGACGCGAAACTGGGTTGGAATACTATAGCTGTTATTAGCAATGTATTTGGAACACAGGCAGACTTAAGTGTCTCTTCATTACCAGTTGAACATAGCAAGAATGAAGTTCCGCTCCAAAATGCCTCAATGGCCGTTCCATTCAAGTCTTTCGAGATTTTCTGTGCGCACATATGAGTATCGATCCATTACCATATAGGGGAGGTGGGAAACTTACCGGAAGGGCGACAGAAAGAGATGTGCCATCTAATGCAGCCATCAAGGTGAGGATGGACAGAGTGAAAAACACCAGCTGACCTCGTAGGCCGATGGAGAACCTTTCGTCCGTAGTCTTTTTTGGTGGACTGTCGTCAGATGACATAGTGGAGGCTGGTATGTTGTTGTTGCCAGATACGGGCTTCTCTGACGCCAAAGCCAAAGTGTTGGTTGCCATAGTGTGTAAGGCAAGAGAGGAGTTGGTAAGAGAAAGGAAAGAGCTGGAGGGCTTAGGAAGAGAAGAGGGAAGAGAGGAAGGAAGGAAAAGAGACCAAAGGTGAGAGAAGAGGTCTGTCACTCAGAAGAGGATCGGTTGACGCAATTTCAGCGCACTCTCAATGTTTAGTAGGTTGTTTAGTAGATCTTATTGTTCGTAGGTGCAAACGGATATCAAAACAAAAGCGTCAATGCAGACTCCAGGGCTATATAGATACAATGGACGGAGTTAAGCTGAAAACCTATTCCCATTGAGTGGAGCCTGATATTCTTTATGACTACAAGAGCGAGAAAGTCGGAGAGAATCCTTTCCATTATACCATCTACCAGGATAAGCCGAACACGCCCTAATCAGATTACCTCCTTCTCCGACAAGAGATCGTGGTGAGAACAAGTCAAACAAGTCATTATGATTAGTGGATGCCAAGACTCGGCCTAATTAACCGCCGATCGGCCATCGGTACAATCTCCCTTGCGTCTCACGCCCCGCGGGGTCCGCGGCTCAATCCGCGGGGGCTATTTGGGATTCAATTAGGCCGATTTGATTTTAGCCTAGCGTTTCTGTTTGAGGATTTTTGACCATTGGATTATGATCGGGATCCTTGCTGTGAATCTTCCCGATTTCCGCCCTAGAGCTCCCAGTGATGGATGGGCGATTGTGTCATAGCTGTTTGGTGGATTTGCTTACTCTGTAGTGGGGGCGCAGTCGCTCTGGGCCATAATACGAATGTAAAAGAGGTTATTCCCTGCGACGATATCGTGTCGACGGGTCATTGCAATCTCTTCGGATTCCTATTTGTATTGAAAAGCTTAACCAACGCTACTGGGGTCTTCTCGAAACTAACAGGGTTCTCATATGCAATAGTCGGGGGACTTGAGAATCAGCGAAAATATTTATATAGAAGGCCACACCGCACTTTTTTAAATGAAAGAAACTACCCCCGCAAGGCCGGTGGCCAATGCAGGTATCGAGACTAATCGTCAGTATCCCGTTACGTCAAACTGATCGAAAAAATGGAAACCACCATCGGAGGGGGCTTGCCCGCCTTCAATTTGAGACAGAAGACATCCCAGGACTTATTTTTGTAGTCGATGCCACTCGCTCTGAAGAATTTCCGGCAATTCGCCTACAAGACTTGGACAGGAAGGCTTCCAACCTAGAAGCTCGCGCGCACGCTGAGCCCGACCACGAGAATTCAATCCCCAGCTCACAGCCTCAAAGCCAGCATATTTCTTCGCTGCCTCCAAGTCAATTGGCTCAGCTTTAGCTTCGGGGAGGTACCCCAGTGTTGTGGCTGCCTCAGCCGTCGATCTAGACAGCTCCCCCCAGATATGCTCTCCATTCTCAGTAAGATAGTAAGCCCGTGCACCCCAGAGCCCATCATCAGTCCGGCCTGCAATCGCCGAATCCACAAGCAACGCATAGACATCACTGAGATCATAAACATGAACATGGTTCCAGATTGACTGGCCCGAACCAATAATAGGAGCCTTTTTCACCTGCAGCGTCATCTTCGCCAGCTCATAAACCTGCCGACCGCGTTGCGAACAGGGTCCACGGCCTCGACCTAAAAAAAAAAGCAAAACAATGAATAAATAAGTCGCTGTTTCAAACATCTCATGGATTGTGTCAGGGATTACCGTAGATAGTCGGTGGGCAAACCAGCGCGGTTTTAAGCACATCCGCATATTTCGCTCCAGCCTCTAGCACAAGTTGGTCCACATTACGATGGAATGCATGATCAGGAAGTGTGAGCAGCTCATCTACCCCTTCCCAATCATCGTAGACTTTGTCGCTCTTGTTTCCGTATACCCCGCTGTCGCTGTCTGCGAATGTCAGAATACCCGTGCCGCCGGTATGTAGCCAATATCCGGGGTTCTCTTTTGTGTGCCCCGCCACTATGCCCTTGATGATTGCCTTCGCAGCGCCCACATGGTCTGAGGCATCTGCAGCGTCTGGAATTTGAATGCGGGTTAGTCTGATTTGGGACTTGTTGGTATCGCTTATACTCACGTAGGACGATGTCTGCTGCGGCACTCTCTTTTTCTAGCAGGGCGGAATCATCGAGATCGCCTAGTACAATGCGGATGTTCGGATATGCTGCTTTGACTTGGTCTGCCTTTTCTGTGCTGCGGACTAACGCGGAGTAAGAGAAGTCTGGATGCTGCGCATATAACGTGGCTAAGGCGTCGCCGGCGATGTAGCCGGTCACTCCGGTGCTTTGACAAGATTAGAAGGCTTTTCTCTCTTCTTTCGAGGCTCTGTCTATGCACTAAAAAAATAACACTTACATGAATATCTTGGTCATTGTGTGTTGTGTCGGATTATAATCTGGTCGGCTGTGAGGTAAGTGGGTGATGAGCCGTGACGTCAGGACTCAAGATTGTGAGACTTTTCAAGACTGGTTGGTATATAGTTTGCCCAAAAAACTTGAATGCAACTAGTGATCCTTCAAACAGGAAGTTAACCTGTTCAATTCTAATACCCTCGAGTTGAATTGTTGTGTGTCGAATTCTTGACATCGATCAATTTGCACAATGTTGACCCCTCATTCATTTGTAATCACTGTGGGGGTTGACGTCGGGGAGAAGCATGAACAGATCAATGAAAGGGTTGCTTCTTTGAACTTGAAGCGGAGCCTATGCCCTTCTCGTCAATCAATGCATGAGAATATATTGAAAATAGAGCCTCAACCTGACTCGGCGATAAGTGGCTGCTCTTATTGCCATGGATATTTTGGGGTCGATGTCTCAAGCATTGTATACGTCGAAACCACGTATCTCGCGGATGGCGGATTTCCAAGGTTTTATAGACAAACGTTTCAATTAAATAAGGCAAGTAAATAAGCACCAAACTATTGTACACTGGGGGGTCTGGGTGTATGTACATGCAGGTAGAGGGGCTAAAACTTCCTAACCAGTCAGATCATTCTGATTCTGCAAGCTTAGAGCCTTGAAAGCATCGTATATCACTCTTTAAGCTTCTTGAGTACCAGTTGATATGTTCATCAGATTTTGCATGTGTGATCTACAGATATTATTTGTAGGAATAAACGTTTGAAATGCAAGGCACATCTCGCGAAAAGGGGTCTTTGATTCCAAGTCTTAAAAAAAAACGATCAAATTAATTGCTCGCCAGATTCAGCTCGCCACATGTATGCCGATCTTCTTTTCAGGATTCTAAGCACTAAGCGATCTCAGGCTGTTAGCGTGCCCACAGTCCAATCATCAACGCGAAGAATCAACCTTGCAACAAGCCAACAAAGCTCATGGAAAGCCGGCAAATATTCCACCCCTTTTGTGGTGAACGAGAAATGGGGAACGTGCTTTCAGGGGGAGAAGCCCCACTCGAATTGGCTCTTCCACATAAACAAAAGTATCTACGACTCAAGAATGAGACCTTCATCGAGGGAAATTTCTTTCAGTCTCGGCCTGATAAATCACACTACAATGGAGTTGGTAATCTGGATCGCTGCAGACACGAACTACAAATGCACTTTGATTCCACCTACGCATTGATCCTTCCTGGGGAACGCACAACCAAAATGAGTGGATAATCGGCTCTTGTTGCATAATCTCCTTGGTGTGTGTGGACCTGCCATCCCGTGTACAGTAGCTCCACTTGCACGGTCCACCCGCTCAATCTCGGGGCTTCTGCAGAGTGCCAATCTCAATAATCCCCCGACTGGACCCTGTGGGCTACTCTGCAGGACATGACAGCTCGGGGATGCATATTCGCGCTATCATTTTTCAAAATTGTGAGGCTATTCGCAGCAAAAGACATAGACAACACAATCAATATGTTATTCCTAATGGCAATGCGAATAACAGCAGGGATGCCGTGGGATCGATCGAAATCTTATTCGAGGCCCGCGATCTTGATCCTAGACTATGATTCCTCCATGTGTTGAAAACCAACCCCACCGTTCTTTACTCTTCGCGCGATTGCGCCGTGTAGATCTGCACCTATTTCGACGCCACCACCGTGCCACCAAAGTCTACAAATACATTTTCAGGGTGAACACAACCCAGCTGGCCCACCTACAAAGTTCAGTCCGCGTGCGCGGGTCGTGCCTCGCTGCCGTCTGCTCTGGCTCCCGGCCTGTCATAATCGAGATCCAGCTCCCTGTATCCATCATTCTATCATACCCTGCAGCTTGTGTCCCTCGTCTTTCCCGTTTCCAGTATGAAACACGTCTATCATTCTTCTTTCCCTGCTTTGTTGCATGCTTAGTCTCCGGTCTAGCCGCGACTGTAGTCTGCACAGGCACGAGAGGGCAGTGTCATATGCTTCTCTATTAGTTTCTCGTAAGATGAAAAATGTGACGTCCTGATTAGTGGGCTTGGCTCTTGTCTGTGAAGCTACAAATGGAGACTGTTTCCCCTCCCGCGTTCTTCTGGATGTTTTGACGCGCTACGATCCATATTGCCTTCGCGTCCTCCAGGCTATCATATATACTTCGCTATGGCCCAGCCAGGTAAAGACAAGAACCTTTTACGCCGAGTCATCGAGGCAGCTCTAGATCGTCACGAAACCTCCTACCCACCCATGGCAGCCCACGCTACAGCCTCAGCGGCACGGAAAAATGGGACTTGGGGCCCCAATGGCGCTGATGTGGAAAGCCAACCATGGAACTCCGGGTCAAGTAATCCAGAAACCCTCATTCCACCCAACGACAAACTCCTCATATTCCGCGCCTTGACTGGTATCGACAGCGTTCCCGCCCTCACACAGGGTGGTCATCTTCTTCGCAGCGCGCCAAATGTTGGTATTTATACCCGTGTCGTGCGCAACGAGACCAAAGCCGCGCGCGGATACAAGATTTTCAATACTATGATCAACACTTGTCTCAGTATACAAATTGTGGTCGCCGCAGCCTTGACAGCTCTTGGCGCAGCTAGTGGTCCACACTCCGCCGTGACAGCATTCGGCGCGATCAACACCATAATGGCTGGTATTTTGACATACCTGCGCGGATCCGGTCTTCCCGATCGACTGAAGAGCTACCAAAACAAATGGAAACATATACGAGAATATATTGAACAGCGAGAGCGAGAGTTTTGCCTAGTCGGTTGTGACCTTGACGTGCAAGAAGAGGTCTTTATCGTGGAAAGCATGTACCAGAGCTTGAAGTCTGAAATGGAAACAGCTCGAAGTACCGGTGACACCAAGACTCAACAGCCTGATGATCCAAGAATTAGACGCTCGCTTCTTCCGACTCACAATGAGCTTAGTGGTCAGCGGCCGTCTGTGACACCTGCTAAGCGTTCTACGGTGTTACATTCCCAGCACCCGGAGGAAGATGAACCCGTTAGCCCGATTACGGTTCCTGAACCGGCATTGGAAAAGTCTTTTGAGAAGACATAGGTCGATTTCTCGATTGATGTGCTTTTTTTCATGCCATGGCTCTTTGAAGGGTCTTTCAATAGCCGGAAAGTTGTGGCGTATCTTGAATACCTTCTCTCCCGTTTGGCACTAAATTTCATATTCTGAGAATTTTTATTTCCTATCGTTTCAATGATGCGAAAGATGGCGTTTGCGAAAAATATCGGAGGACAATATATACCCTTGGACAGTAATGTTGGGGCGTCGATCTATGCCGGTGCAGGGATACCTTTGGCTATGGCCCATCAACTTGAATGTATAATGTGTATAATTTATATGAGTTTTGTTAAACTTTCTTCTTAAAAAGCTCCTCGAACCATATCCCCCAGCTGAACTTGAATGTCACCAAAGACTCAGATTCAGCATATTCATGTCTTCATCTCCCCGCAATCCGGGTCAGCCCCTCTGGACTTGGACTCTAGCTTAAGTCGCGGACACTTGTAGGTATTGACCAAGGCCAGAAAAGGAAATATGTCTTAGACACACACCAGCGCCTCGAATTTCACCAACCGAGATCTCATTTTTCCTCTAAAAATTCGACATCATCAATCACCCCTAAAATTCGAGCACGTTCAACACAAACTTTGACCGCGACCCACGCAAACCCAAATCCGGCACCACACATCACCACGATAATTCCAAGATCACCCCACCCAACCTCCAAACCACAACTTGAAGGGGAGTCCAACCCCACGACAGAACTGAGAATCACAAACCCCTCTCCTGAAAGAACCAAACAATATAAAATAGAGATTATGGCTTTTGAAATCCACGAAGCTACATCGTGCGACGCGAAAGATCTCGCAGAGGTATTCTTCTCGGCATTCTCGGACCCCTTTTGCAGAGCAATATTGCCGCCAACACCAGAGGTCCGCGACTGGGTGGCAGTACACCTCGCCAATGGAAACAACAAGGCGTCAGAACATGAAGTCTTTCTCAAATTGTCAGATGAATCTGGCGCGGTAGTCGCGTTCGCAAAATGGGTACGCCCCTACCACGCGGTTGCAGATCGAGATCGGCGCAATGAGGAGGTTCACGCGTGGCCCGTGGGCGGTGATAAGGCGCTCTGTGAGAGGTTTTTTGGATCAATGGCTGAACAACACCGTCGGATAATGGGCGAAAAGCCTCATTATTGTATGTGATTTACTTCTTCCCTTATCTTCTCTCCTCTTCTCTTCTCTGCTGTTGAGTTGAGATTTTTTTTTTCAACTTTCGCTGACGTCACGGGCAGTTTTGGACCTTTTGTGTGTGCATTCTTCGTTTCAAGGGCGTGGACTTGGTTCTAAATTGTTAAAATGGGGTTTGGCGAGAGCGGATGAGGAGAGTGTTGAGGTTTATCTCTGTAGCTCTCCTGATGGAAAACCGCTATATTTGAAGAATGGATTTCAGTCACTAGACATACCATCACCGCTCCCTGAGTATGAACAAACACATATGATTCGACCGGCGGTGCATTAGAATGGGTGTTGATTGAGGAATTTTTGTTATTTTATATGGAGTGAAATCAATGAATAGCGTTTGGGATCTATTAACCTTGAGACATGATCGTCATTACCAGTGGTATTTGGCCATTGCTTTGTCTGAGTGACAACTTGAGGTCCTCGGCCGTACATCTGTAGAGAACTTTAACCACATCTTCATGGGAGAAAGAGACGATGTAGTAAGCGAGGGTTGCCTACATTTTGGTCATTTGAGACCCAAGTGTCCAGGTGATGCGTTTGTCACGGTTACTTCAATTCTAAATATAACTTTGGAAAAGAAAGAAAGAGAAAAAACCGTTCAGCAGATTTGGCCGAGGCTGTTAGACTACGACATCCTGCATAGCTTAACCAACAAGCATTTACTGCAATCTTGAATCTGAATGCGCCCACAAATTAATATCCCCTATTTGTGGCCCCGATAAGCAGAAAATAAAACTGTTTCATGAGTAACTAGCCCCATTTGCCTTTGATGTCATCTTTCTAACAAATGGTGAATATTAGGTGGGGGCCTTCTCACCCCGCTCTACCTTTAATAACCGCCGAGCCAGATCAGCATTTCAAAATCAACAATTCAAGATTGACACATCGTACCTTTTGGTTCAAAGCCGACTAATACTCAAGCCTCATAGCCAGTTATAAGCTATTGATACGACAATTCGACATGGGCGAGGCACCACCACCACAGGAGCATGTGCTTATTGCTATCCAGCAGGAAATGCCTGAGCCAGTCGAGCTATGGGTTCGTGGGAAATTTGCAGATGCAGAAGTAACAATTCATAATTCTTCCAAGGGGAAGGTTCCATCTGGTAAGTTCGGAGCTCAAGACAGAGAGACATATCAATCGTTGATGAATATGTAGAGTTATTCCGCAGAGCAACAATCCTGGTGACATTTGTTGATGTCCCTGAAATAGAGGATTCACACAAGTAAGTCGCATCAAATATTCAGATTTCAAAATTAAAGTCTCTGATTGCCAATCAAGTCTCAAATTGATACATACCCTGTCTGCGGGTCTGGATCATCTCGTCAACAACCCAGTCCTTAAAGAGACCAAAATCCCACTCACCACCAGTTCCGGGATTCATGGCCCCCCAATTTCAGAATGGGTCATTCTGAACTGGCTTGTTGCCTCCCGGAACTATGCTATCATCCACGAAGCCCAGAAGGCTCACAAGTGGGAGCGAGATTTCCCATGGATGCAGAAAAGCTTCGACCAGGTCGGCAAAAAAGTCGGCATTCTTGGCTACGGAAGCATCGGAAGACAAAGTATGTATATATTCTTCATTTTACCAGTTCATAACAAACACATACTGATCATATCTAGTTGCACGCGTCTCCCAGGCTATGGGCATGACTGTCCACGCCTATACGGCTTCGCCCCGCCCAACACCCGAATCTCGACACGATGATACATACATCGTCCCGGGCACTGGAGACCCAGAGGGCCTTATCCCCGTATCATGGCACCACGGTACAGGCAAAGAAGCAGTTCACGAATTTCTTTCGTTGGGTCTAGATCACCTTGTTGTCTCTGTTCCGTTGACACCGTCAACAACGCATCTTCTCGGCGCCGAAGAGTTTGCCATTCTATCGAAAAATAGCAAGAATCCATTTCAAAGGCCCTACGTGACTAATATCGCCAGGGGCAAGGTCTTGAAACAGGATGCATTGATTGAAGCCTTGAACTCAGGTGTGTTGAGTGGTGCCGCGCTTGATGTTACGGATCCGGAACCTTTGCCGTCTGATCATCCGCTTTGGGATGTGCCGAACGTGCAGATTAGTCCGCACATTAGTGGAGCTGGAAAGGATTATCTTCCGCGGTCTTTTGATATTTTGCATGTCAATTTAGATCGGATTAAGAGGGGGTTACCTTTGATTAATGCTTATAAGCGGGGCAATGCATAAATTGCCGTACTTGGAGTTTTTCTGGAACTACAAGATAACTGAGCGTGGACCTATTTTTTATCTTAACATTTCGATAAAGAATGTTTTAAAAAAAAGAAGCAACGTGGAAACTATGAAATGACTTTTGTGCCAACATAGTAAGGCTTTTTAACTAAACCGCGGGTTCGAGCATCTTTGATGTCTGCCCAGGCGTTGAGAATGCCTTTTTCCTTACCTAGATTTTGAAAAAAAATTTGCCCTTGATTATACCATCGCCATTGTGATTGTTCGCCAGTGCGAGCCCTTCTGTAGATTAAAATAAAGTAGACCAAGGTTTTAGCAATAATGCTTCAAATTTAATCCAGTCACACTTATAAACTCGGCGTAGCAGACAGCGAGCAATGTGTAGACTATATCAGATGTAAACAGGTTTCAAGGTTAAAGAAAACTTGAACTCAGCCCCAATCTTGAAATTTATAAATGTCGGAGCTGAACAAAATTGATTTCATTTCTGATAATTGGGAATGTATCAAGCCTGAACTAGGCTACGTACTCGTCAACCTCGGTGATACTTTGTTAGAGCCGGTGATTGCATAGTTGATGTTCAATATCACAGCACCTTAAAACCCTGGTATTTATAGGAAATGGGAGAAGCGACTGGGATGACCAAAATAGAGTCGCTGCACTTGAACCTTCTGATGGCCAGGACTCATCCGTATAAGCACTAAAGTAAAAATTACATCGAGGGCAGTTTGCCGCTCTATTCAGGCCTTTTCAGGGCAGTCCGGGTAGATATTCTGGAGCTAGAAATTCAATATTGTTATAGATTAATTATACTATGTGATATAATGAGGGAGAAACCTGCTATTACGAATTTTCTTCAGTGAGTATTAATGGTAAGTAGTACTAATATACAATCATGAGGTTTCAAAGCAGCTGACTACACATTTGGCTTGAAGAATCTCGTCTCGTCAATCCTTTCCAGCTCCTCCGGCTCCTCCGACCAAACCCGTACATAGCCACCGGCAAAAACCTTTGAAAAGGATATAGTGGATAGACGAATGAGATATCTCCAGTAGCGAGAGAGCATAAAAGTAAGGGAGCTGAACAAGAATCCAGCAAGAAACAGAGACATGAGTATTCCCTTCTCATATCGTACTGATTGGGCGCTGTTCTCTGTAGTCAGAAGTTTAGGGTTATCAGGTTGTGGAAGTAGTGCCAATGCGTCCCAGTACTCCGGAAGTTTAGTTCTCAAATCGGGAGTTACACCGAGAGGCTCCATATCAGTATCTAGTGCCTCAACAGAAACCCAGTCCATGTATCCACGGGCGATGAACGAGGTCTCAAATCCCTTCTTGGAGATCGTCCCGATCTCATATTTCTCTCCTGTTGGGCTATTCCGAGCGTAGAATCTCCAATGCTTGATATCTGTTGCGCCATTCCAGCTGACATGGAACATAGTTGACAGTTCGGATCCGTTTACGCCCTGTGCCTCAGAGATCAAAGCAGGAGGATATAAAGGACGGCCGACCCATGGAAACTTATAAGCTCGGTATGTATCGTGTCGATCAGAGGCAAATTTAGCCTCCATAAGCAACTTTCCACTGCGGGAATACTCGCTCATATAACCATCCCAAGCCCAGCAGATAAGGACGTTTCCATTTTCAAGGGTTTGCATATTTCCTCGGCGGTCGGTGATGCCCTTGTCAGGACGTATATAGCGCTGTAATAAAGTCGCCTTCATTGCAACTAGGTCAAGCATGACATACATGGCAGATGAGGTGAGTTCTCGAGCATCAGCATCGATAGCACCATTGTTGAATAAGGAAATCTCCATATGGGTTGAATTCACGGACATGAAACGGCTATCGTGTTGACCGTAGAAATCGAAATCTTTTTCAAAATCATTCTTTTTTCCACCCAGTCGCCAAATTATATGACCATCTTTGCCTGAAATCAGGTAGATTGTGCTGGTATGTCGGGCGGAAAGTAAATAGTCGCCATTTTTATTTTTGTCGATAGCGTTCGCATGCATATAGTCGTCGCGAGGATGAGCGTCCTCTGCTAATGTAATGTAGCTTTCATTGAGCTTCACTTTGTTGTTACTCCTCCACTCGAATGTCTTTTCGCCGGTAATGAGATTCGTCTCCGTAAACCCGTTGTTTGTGATCACTTGCTCTGCTTCAGGGCGACCAAGTTCATCTAATCTGATGTATTCTCCTCGGCTCTGGATTTGTAAAACATTAGGCGGGTATCTCACGTTGAAATCGTGAGTGTCAATCTCGTTCGCTGGGACGCGGAGCATTTTCCGAGGTTGGTAGTTGTTATTGTAGACTGCCGCTCCACCATCTGTCTCCATCGCATACGGCTTATGCCATTTCATCCACGCTAAGTGTGGCTGAAGTTGACCTGTTCCATCAGGGAGATCGATTCTGCGAAAGTCGTATACGTTCAAGTTACTGAACTCAACCGAGCCGGACCATACGAGTTCCTTAGAGTTGGTAAGCATGCTGTGCATCAATATTGAGGGCGATGTATACGAACCCCGTCCTGATCGAAGATATGAGGCCCAACCTGATACGGAATCCACTGATTCGTATCTTTGTCTCCTCCGTGTTGCCAGTAGGGGGCTGTGAACCAGTAGCCGGACGATAGAGATGATTGATCATAGTTTGTAATATTCCACCTAGTTATTAGATGATTCGGAAGCTAGACGTTTTGTCAGTTCAAAGCTCTCCAAAAAATTCAACGCCGGACTCACAGTGCGATATGAAATATAGTCATCAGATTCAAATTGAAACAAGCTCTGTGCAGAAGTCCCTAGAGACCAAACCATCAGAAACAGCAGGTGAGCCATTATTTGATCGCTAGCATTCAAGGCATAAACAAATGGGTGTCTAACCGCCTGAGTAGTCACTAGGATTGGGGAAGGCGAATGGATGGAATGAGAGGAAGCGAAAATCCGGCAGAGGTCAACGAGAGACGAAACAGTTGGATGTGGAAAATGATGGCCCGGGCTACATCATGTCAAATCAGATGCCTCTCATATTTAAAAGGTTCAGGAGTTTATCTAGCCCATCCGAAATGAGGCTTACTTCTTCAATTCAGGGTAGAATAAGCGATTTCAACTTCCCAGAGGGGTTTAGGCTACTTTCCTTCCACGAGGCAGGCCACGAAATATTAAGCGTGGTCGCCACGATCGGGCGCGGCTTTGACCAACTATTAATCAGCGAATCACATCCATGCGATCGGTTGCTAATCTTGCCGGGTGCTAAATGAAAAGTTCTCGCTTCGGAGGATACATGGAGGCTTGTGGTGGGGACTCGAACTCACGGATACGGTTGCCGAGGTGCAACGAAGGCTGTGATTCGTCTACGGGTGCGATCAGGGACTATGAATCCCTCTAGGTGGAGCCTCTTTTGTCTCTCTATCTAAATCATCTGACAGACCAGAGGTCAGATAACCAAGAACGAGACGGGTAAGCCGATATTCGGGATTTGACTCCACGAGGAAAGATTTGAGAATTAGGAGCTTTATATTCTCTTAATCTCTGCCCCCGTTGACAGCCTGAGATCATGATGGGTTGACATAAAACCATACTATGAATTTCGGAGTTGCCGATCTATATCAAGTCGTGGAAAATGATGGAAACAATGAACCGCTGATGGAAATTAAGGCGATCAACTCAATATCTGCAAATCAAAAAAAAAAAACCCTTTTTTAATTTTTCTCTTGCTGACTGACTGCGTAGTTTCGCAAATTGTGATATTTCGGGTCTAGCGCGACTCCCGTAATACGCATAATGCCGGGCGATCTATAGATTCTTCGATATAACCAAATGATCAATAAACCTAGCGCGAGAGCTTTTTAGAATCTCTATTATGTCAATGCGTGGAACTACGGGAACCTCGAAACAGTCCTGACCACTTTCGTCGATGAAGGCTTGGACTATCCAGATTACGGTGCGTTTTTCGGGGAGTCTTCTGGCTCCATAGATGACCGATCAATGTTTTACGAGCTGTCGAAAGTTAACTATTGAGCCATAGGTGTTATGCTCATGCATAAGGACAAGCCCGCCCTGCGAACCAAATTTGATGAGTTTTCCAAGACATTTCGCGATATGAGAACTGAGATACTTTCGATTCATATTCATTTCCTAATTCCTCCCTATCTGCCATTAATGTGCTATCCATATAAAAAGATTCACGTCGAGGATGACGCCCGTGTACGAAGGCGCTGTCTCGAGAACAACAACAAGGCATACAGTCAGTGCTGCGTCCCATTCTTGCTAAAATAATTACACTTGAAGAATCTTGTAAATGCTAGGTATCATTCAATCCAAGGCTTCCTGGAAGGGAACCTGGAGGGCAATGAAAATTGAGGGAGTATATTCCTGGTAGGTCAATTTTGACAACTACGATCATTTCGAAGCTAATTCATGTGAGGAAGTTCCATGAGTCCCCAGGTTTAGCTGTCGGATGGCGATGGCAGATCCCGGCTCTCCTTGACTTGAAATTTCATGTCATTGCATTGGATTGCCTTGGATACGGAGGTACAGTTTATTCTTCCTTGAAATTTTTACTTAATTTATTTGACTACTAACTCCAGGTTGTCTTGGAGGACTCACCGGGTGATATAGAGTCATATAGTTATAAGAATCTAGCAACAGACGTGAAAGATCTGGCCGGAAGGTTGGATGTCAAGAGTTTTGTTGCCTGCGGTCATGTCGTGTAAGTTGGCTATCGAGGACTCGAGCATATCTTATGCTAATTCGCACTTTTATGTTCAGGGGAGCCAACCCTGCATATCATCTCGCTTTGTGGTACCCGTCTATCGTTTCTCATGTAATAACTCTATGTGTTCCGTATTTTCCGACTAAAGGAAGTTTTATCCCACTGGGTGATTTTACAAAGAATCTTATACAGAGTTTTCGATATTAAGACCAGTCTCAAAGTGGGCGGATTGAAAGAGTATTCCAGGCAGAGAGTGAAATTCGTTCGTTCCTCGTTGCAATTTATACAGGGCAAGACGAGGACGGAGATGTAGCTTGGGATGCGTTTACTGGTCTAAGCATTGATCGAGTTTCTGGGTTGAAACCATCACAGCTACTCAGCGACGAGGTATGATATACAAAACTGGGCACTTCCCTGAAAACTAGGGCGATGAGTGAAAACGAAGCTAACATTTGAATATTTTCTAGGAATTGAGCTACTACACAGATATTTTCGCGCGTCGAGGCCTTGCGGCGCCTTGTAAGCTATCTACTATAGGATTATTTTCTACTTCCTGAGTGATTCTCGTACCATTTTCTAGTGATTTACTACCGAACTCGCGAAATCAACTATCGGGACGAAATTCATGGCCTCGAACATCCGAATATTAGTGTCCCTGTTCTTTTTATTCAGACTCTTCAAGACCAGGCCCTCCATCCTCACCTTTTGCGGAGGGAATGAGTTCATTCGTACCGCAATTAACTATCCAACCAGTAGAGGGAATACACTGGGTTATGTTAGAAAAGCCAGACGAAGTGAATGGGGTTCTATGTGCATGGCTGGAATCTCATTTTCCCATGACAGAGATACGGTGGTAGATGATTTTCATATATATACCAAATTGAACTTAGAGGTGTGTCATGACACAAGAAACAATGGGATTACATAGGTTGCCCCTATATCAAATGTGAAGGTACATGGTCCCGATGTGGAGCGGCAAGTGGACGCTGCGGGGCTCGATTGAACTCTAGAGCAGGCGCCTTACCATGGTCAATATTAGACTAGAATCATCTTGTAACTGAAAATCATTCAATCTACAAAATTCATTAAATCAGGGATGTTAGTGAATCCCTGTCAATGACATGTTTGTGAGGTTTGTTTCCCCTCTCCAGGACCTCCTCTTCTACCCTCAACCTCCACCTCGCCCCACTTAAGCTGCATCTGCGTCTCCAAGCTCTCCAAGCTCTCCAACCCCAGACTTACTGGCAAGATCTCAATATACATTTGTTCTCTCGCGAGGTACCCCACATATACAAATCTACCACCTTCAAACGTCTATCTAATAAGCTCCACAGAAATCGCAGCAAGGCTTGGAGTGCCCCGCACCTCTCGCGCCTGCAATGCCAATCTACTTCGCGACTTCGATCTCTCACCACGCACCATTCTCCCCCCTCGTAACAATGCCTCCCGTCATTATTTCCATGCATTACAACGAGATGATGCTCCCTCCATTCGTCGGCATGGCCCCCTTCCTCATCAGAGACACACGTCCCCGCCCACCAAGCACAGACACAAACCCCGGCCCCGTGAAAGGGCTCTTAATGACCACACGCGAAATCTGCATAAACCTCTATGAGATCGCGGTTCTTCTGAAAGACATCATTGTTTTATCCGGGGAGATCATAATTAAGGCCGGTGAGGTGATCGTAGCAGCGATAGACCTTTGCGAAGTGATTTTGGGTCCTGATCCACCTGGTCCGAGGCGTGATAATGTTCCAACACGACGACGGGATCCTCCTCCTCGTCCTATTTTGCGAGGACGGAGGAATTCGTCTCATATTGAGCAGGTTCAGACAGTTCAGACAACTACTACTACGGCTGTTGTGGATGTTGATGATGATCGAATTAGACGGGGGAGGATCTTTCATGTTGATTCTGATGAGAGAGTTTAGCTGGTCTATCTCTGAGCCGTGGATGATTGTATGGCGAGGCCAAGTCAATCTCACGAAAAGAATATCGCGACTCTTATGAAGCGCTCGAAGGTATCGTATTTCGTACCGATATCTACAGATCATCTGTCAATAATATTTCACGAGTATGAATGGTTTTCATGATAGGTCGTGAGCATTGGAGCAGCATCATGCTTTTAATTAACCCCAACAGTATTTTCAACTCCGATATCATATCTCACCTCTGTGATTGGCTGAAAATCTCATCTCATCCCGCTCTCAGCTCTCACTCTTGTCCCTGTGCTACCTTACCGCTGCAGGGCAGTCCGCTATACTCGTGAAGAGTGGGAAAGCATTGCCAACCTGAGCACCCGAGTTGGTGTGGACTGCTGTTTACGAACAGGCCCAGGACAAGTTCAAGGACAAGTTCAAGGACAAGTTCATGTTCAAGGATACATCGACTTGATGATGTCCCTCAAGTCACAGACAGACTCTATTGCTGCCTAGCACGGCCGAAAAAAAAGCCGCGCAATCGTTTACATTCCACCTGTGATTGTTGCGGGCATACGTCGACACGGGTGAGAATTTATGATTTAGGCCCCGTCCTAATTGCGAGGACCTTCTGGTGGACCTGGCATTTTGACAGGTGCAGAGGGTCTTGCGAAGCATCCTGATTCGTAAAGCATGTCATGGACATGAAAGAAATCTCTTTGTTAGCAGCCCAGGAATCAGTGGTTAGAGCTCCTAATTTTGGGCTGTTGGACTGCGGAAACCAAGGATATTCGGTTATTGGGAGGGTATAGCCTCCTGTATCTGTATACTCCTACCTAACAAAGACTACTGGAATCCCATCTTTAATCCTATCACACGGATTGAGAGCCACTTCACAATAATATTAATTATGGATAACAAAGTGCCAAGACTCGACGTAGAGATTTATCATCAAATGGGACCTGTATACGTAGTATCCTATCTAGTGCGGTGTATACGTATACGTGGCTAGGATGGATACTGTATACCCAATGCCGGGAATATACTATGATGCTTTAGGCAGACAGAATGAACATGATTTCCCATCTGGCCGAATGGCGGAATTAAATTATTCCAGTTTGCTTGTTGCTTGTTGCTTGTTGCTTACGGTATACTAGTCAGGCATTATAATCAGGCATCAACTGGGGACATTCATGGTGCAGGTCAGCAAGCCAGGTGCCAACAAAGAGTGTGTTGTCATCATCGTGTTTGCCAGCTCAATTAAGTTGAAAGAAAGAGTGAAATTATGCTGGTGCCTGTGTAAATATACAAGTACAGAATACGAGGACTCCATATACATGGCTGTGCTACTAGAAGATCACGGAGGATTCCGTAGGCCGAGTGGATCTGCTGAGCCTTCCCGCTTGAAAATGACGCGGCAATGACAGAACAAGAACATCGTGGAGAATGTAGAGAATAGATTGAATGGGGAACAATAGTTTGGGAACTATACTCGATTATTTGATAACAGACCTACTGCTTAGTAGGTAGTACGTAGGACATCTGGAGATAATTCAGGGGATTGTACATGTGTGACCGTGACCGTGACCGTGACCGTGACCGTGACCGTAAGGGCTGAGTCATGTGTATAATAGAGCACGCACAGTAGAACACAGTATAGCAGCACAGCACATTGGATGTACATTCTACTTTCTGTATAATTGGGAGACAAGAAAAAAAAACAAAAAAAAGAAAAAAATGATTAAAATCTCTGCAATTGATTTCTCTAGTTCGGGGCTTACCCGAAGCTGAGATGTATAAGGCAAAAAGGGCAAAAGAGAGAATATTTCATTCGCCCACTGGCACGTTGGACTGATCGGATCCCATGGATGCCTGTGCATTCAGGGACCAAGATGATCTGATTGGTCCACTGTCTTTCCCAGTTGCCACCGCACAAAGAACCTGTCGTTCCTGAACCTTGCAGCGTGTAGATTGGGATTGACACATGGCAATTGATCCGAGGGTCCAGCAACTGTGGTTCAGTTCATTATTGGATACTATTTACTCCCCTCAAGATGATTATTAAATCGAGTCAATTAGAATTAGAAGTAGGGTAAAATAAAAATAAAATAAAATAAGTTACTTCTAGATATTCTGACTTCACACGGTAAATATCAACAGTGAAACCGATGTGTTACGAGAATCCAGGCCATGGCTTCATGGCCTCACTTGGAGGGCCGCCTTGCCATCCGATAAGCCCGTCGAGGCGCTCAAGTCTCCAGTATGGAGCACTCCATATCCCGTAAATGACGAGTGATACTCCTGTAAAGGGCATCCACATCTTCAATCCCCCATTATAACTGGTCCATACTAGCTCCACTGTCCCAGTCTGGCGGAGTTCCGATCTGCCCATCTCCACTAAAACTCAGTTCCTGGCGCCCAAATCAAACACAGAGAAACCGTTGGCTTTGATCCTTCTCCCCCTTTTTCGCACTATTTCCCAGCGAGATCCAATCATAATTCGAATCCCGTGGATTGTGCATCGCGGGAACTCAGGAACAAAATGGGGCCTGAATGGCTCGGAAAGGGGGGAAGACGTGGGCTGTAGGCGTCTAGACTATCGAACATGGGGCTTTGGGGCGTGTTGGAAGTGTTAATTCTGTTTTATGACTGGTCGATTACTTGTTGTACCTGGCTCGATGCTTATGTGTTTCAAGTTTTTTTTTATTCCATTTTTGTTTTTCTTTCACAGTGAATCTTCGGGCGAGACTGTTTCCCCACCTGGAACATAAAGAGCTGACGACTTCTGCCTGCTTTTCCCTTTTCTCTTTTTTTTTTTTTTCCCTCTTCAACTATCTCGATCATTCCCGGTCCCTTCACTCTTTACAATTTTGAAATTGAGGCTGAGCCTCCTTTCAATAGCCAATCATTCAATATCGCTAGTCTGTAGAACAGATTTAGCCTGACCGGTTGTTTTTCGTCACTCTCTCGACTCTATCCCTGTCGATCTTGCTCCATCAGATCAATTCCCATCTCGTCTAAACAATTCCACCAATTTCAACCTCAATTCCCAAAATGCGCGTTATCGCTGCTCTTGGCCTCGCGGCTTTGACCTCTATGGTCTCTGCCCGTCCTCACGCCCACGGTCACCACCACGCCCACCAGGAGCGTGATGTCCAGGAACGTGACGTTGTTGTCGACTGGGTCACCAAGGTCGAATGGGTTACCGTTACCGATGAGGTTTCCCCTCCTCCTGCTCCTACCACCTCTGCTGAGCCAACCACCACCACCACCAGCGCTGAGGTGACCCCCACCAGTCTGGCAATCCAGCAGGCCGAAATCCAAATCCCCTCCAGCTCTTCCAGCTCTTCCAGCTCTACCAGCTCCTCCAGCTCAGTCGCAACCGTCCAGCCAACCCCCATCGTCACCCCAACCTGGACTACCTCCTCTTCTGTGGTCCCCAGCTCCACCTCCGACGTGATCGAAACCGCCACCGCTACCGGCGGCTCCGGCGTCAAGATCGAAAACAACCTCGGCCAAACCATCTACATGTGGGCTACCTCCAACCTGGCCGGAGAGATGGACACCATTGCCGACGGTGAATCTTACACTGAGACCTGGCAGATTAACCCCGATGGAGGCGGTATCTCCATCAAGCTTGGAACTACCTCTGAAGAACTCTCTGTGCTCCAGTTCGAGTATACTAAGGAAGATGAGACTATCTGGTGGGATATGTCTTCTATTAACCTTGACAAGACTTCCTTGTTCGTTCAAAAGGGTTTCTCCGTTACTTCTAACGATGCTTCTTGTTCCACTGTTACCTGTGATGCTGGCAATGAGGATTGTTCCGAGTCTTATCAGCATCCTAATGATGTTGATACTCGCTCTTGCACTTCCACTGCCGCTTTCACTCTTAAGCTGGGTGTTTAAGTTTGAGTTTCAATCTGAATCCGATTTTAAAATCAGTTTGAGTGCTCGGGTGTTTTGATCCCTGTGGTTGTTCCATATCATATGTTGTATGTGTCATTATGTCACATTTTGTCTCACCATATGTTTATGTTTCTTTCTATGTGATTTACTTGAAGAACATTTTTTTCTACTGAAACCGTTTGTTCCCGAAAGTAAAAAGCTTTCTTTTTTTTTCTTTCCAGCTGGAGTTTATAGACAAGATACGAATAGACATGATTTACGCATTGATCCAACTCAACTCTCATCATTCTATTCAGGATCTGTATATATGCTGTAGCTGTATGTAGTTCAAGTTGAAGAGTATGTAAGATGATTTAAGCTCTTCACAAGCATTTGCTAGTTACTTGGCGACATTCTTGGGCGGTTGATCTCCGTACATTCTTGGGCTTGGTATGACTCCACTGCCATGTGTTACTTTGTAGGGGCTCTCTGTGAACGTTGCATTTCAAAGTTATAGTTAGTATATTCTATTAAGTCAGAGTGTTATATTGATATTTCGCGGCAGTTTGATATGTGGTTCCTCGTATCATAAGTTCATAACATTGGAGTGTCCGTGGTGAGTTTACCCCTGACTCCCCGGATTGACCCCTGAAAACCCGATCGCCCAATTAATGGGTGCTTACGCGTTTTTTACAGTCGATCATTACTACCCATAGCTTAATAGTATAATAAATAACAAAATCGATAGTTACTGTTAGTCTACCGGTAAAACGCATCTTTGTAACGGTGAACGCGAGTTGGTAGGGGCGCGTTCAGGCTGTACGTATAGCAATAGGAGGTTTTGATAATGAAGTTAAAAATCCCTTCTCATTCGAGCATTGTAGACTAGCAGTCTAATCTTGAACACTCGGTCCATTGTTAAGTTAAATCAAGTATATACATCAAATAAATGAATGACATTCGACTCAGCTGTCTCCAATACCGCGTGCTTCAGCTTCCAGATGTACTGTATTGTACTGTACATCTAGTAAACAGGCACCTTGAAAGCAGGGAACTCATAAGTCCAGCTCTCATACGAAGCCTTGTCAAAGACACAGTCAAAGGTAGCGTTGTTCTTCCACAAAGGACGAGAAGGCCACTGACACAACATCTGAGTCTCACCCTCATACTGACCAGAAGAGACAGTAGAGTTAAGACGAGTAGGCTGAACACCGTTCTCAACCCAGTTAATCATAATCTCCATGTTATCCTCGGGGTAAGGTCCAGGCTGCAAGGTGTTAGTGCCGCAGTGAGCAGCGCCAGGAATCAGGTAGAGCTGGTACCACTCCTTTAGATCGGAGACGGCCTTGGAGGTAGAGACGCCGGGGTACATGATCGACTTGACGGATTGCCAGTAGTGAATTGATGAAGCGGTGGGGACACTGGGGTCTTGTTCACCGTGGTAGTGGATTAATTTACCACCTGATTGCTGGAAGGTGGTAAGGTCTGGAAGGGTAGTTTGGAGAGAATCCATGTATCGGACCATAGCGGTGTTCATCCATTCGACCATTGTGTCGTAGGTGACTCCTTCGAGGGTAGAGAGGTTATCAAGGTCCACAAGTTCAACGAACTTGGTAACAAATTCTCCACCGAGAGAGGTGATATCCAGCTCCCACTCCTTGGTGTTGTTGTTCCATTGTGTCGCGGCGTCGCTGAACTCAGCACCAATTTGCCAGGATAGATATCCGCGCTCACCCTTTGAGTTGTGGAGACCGTCCACGATAGCCTGGGCAACGGCTACATCCTTCGCAGAGACGGAGCCAGATTGTTCGGGCTCGTAGCTGGATGTGCTTCCTTCGGCGCGCTTGCTGAAGCCAAAGCCGAGGGACGTGGCGGTCTCAGCGGCACAGTAGTACTTCTCACCAATGATAGAGGACATGTTGAAGTTAAGCTTGCACAGGTCGGAACGGGCGATGACGCCGTCTGTACGGCCGTCGAGGGGATCGCAGGCGGCGATTGTGGCGTTGACGATCTTAGCCAGAGCACAGGGGGGAGGGAAGTAGCCTTGTGTGTGCTCGACGAGATTGGGGTAGAGGTGGTTCACCTGCTGTTGGCCGTAGCGGAAAGCAGGGGCACCGGTAATAGCACCGTCGTATTCGTCGCCGTAGCGCTGGATCTGGGACATACCCTCACGACCACCGTCGGAGCATCCCTCGTAGTAGGTGTAGAGCTTTGAGCTGGTGGAGTCGCCGTAGAATCCCTTGGTGAAGTATTTGCCTAGCTTGGTCATCTCACCGAGAGCCTGGTAGCTGAACATGTATGTAGCGTCCCAGTTGATAGACCCGTTGCCCTTCAAGTTAACCTCGTCATAGGTGATACCGTCTAGAGCATCGTAGCCAGCGGAAGTAGCACCTGCAACAGCACCGTACTCGAGACCACCGGTTGTATCGGTGTTGAGGGTGTAACCACCACCACCGGCGACGTAGAAACGCTTCTTGTAGTCGGATGGCTCGGGGAGAGCATAGTTGACGACAACAGTGTCATCCTTGCCGGGGTGGGTGTAGGTCACAGTGACATTGCAGTAGTTGTATGTCTCGCTAGAGCTAGAAGTGGTACCCATTGCAGAGCTGCCGCTAGCATTGTAGACAGTGTTGGCGGTTGAGAGGGAGGGAATCACATTAATACCCAGGATAGTGCCATTAGCAGGCAAAGCAGACTTGACATTGGCAACAGTGCACACATCAGTAAGAGAGGTGGCAGAGGCAGCGGTAGCCAGGGCCAAAGTAGAAGCGCCCTTTTGGAGACGCATCTTGAGTCGAGGAATGAATGTGGTTCGGAAAGAAGGAAAGAAAGAAAGTGGATTGGAGGAATAAAGCGATGGTATTCAGCGAAGATCTCTATCTTTATAATTCTGAGCCTTGGGAGCGTTACGTTTCAACTGCTCCTAGGGCAGTGCCAAGCAGCGGCCACAATACCTGTTTGGGAACAAATAACTCAACCTACTTTGCTGATCTCCCGGATAGATTGAATCCATATCATGAAACCCAGACGCTAACTATGGGGCGGCCAGGTATGCCAAAGCTTCCTGTCGTCGTCATCTCATGGGACACGGCCCAGATCAGGGTCCATATGTTCCTGCAAAACAGGAAATCGGTTAACAGCAGAGAAAATCCACGTGTAGAACCGTCTACCAGTCTCTGGTGTCTGGTACCGCCGCGCCATTATTGCCATCGAAGGAATAAGGTTCTCACAACATGGTATAAAATTGGGTACATGTATGATGACCCTGGTGTGAAGAATGCGCCCACACTGGAGGGCATGCAAAGACGGTGGGGTCGTCAATTTTAGATCATATTATTTCAACATTAACAAGGCGTTCACACTCAGATTGAAAATCATAGGAATGTGCTATCGTAGATACCCAGAGGTTAAGGTCCGGGTAAGTCTAAGCCCGGCTTAGCTAGGGATCTGCAGAGGCTAATAGCGCGGAAGTTATCACAAAATTGGAGAGTCCGCGTCACCCGGTAATATTAAGCATATTCAGTGGACATGGGCAGACCACATGCCAGGGTTCTCGTAGGGACAGGGCAGACTTTGAATCGGCATATTCCAAGGTATTTCCTTAATTTGAGTCGGAAATTTAGAAGAAAAAAGTGGGCGCGAACAATTGGAGACCCACTCATCGACCATGCCAAGTCTCGCTTGGATCGATTTGCAGCAGTTCTCGAACAACGGCGTTGATCAGTTCCGGATCATATGCCTTTTCTAGTGATGCATTGATGAAGATAAATGAATGTAGATATTTTTTAATATATTATGATACCTCCTGGTGTGCAGAGGGAGCAGAGTATCCTTTCATTGCGGTTTTTTATTTGGCCGGAAGGGCTGCGTAGGCGTATCTAGAGTCCCTAGATCCGGGATCATTTCGGAGATGCCGCGCGGTGCTGTCATCGCATCCACCCCCAATTCGTCACGGCATTTGTATTTTAAAGTTGCATGGGGCTGGATAGAGTCCTCCACTTATCCGAGTGGGAGACCAATGTTATATTAAATGCCGATTTCAGTATCTAAGGATCGGTGAATTTTGGCTCTGAAAGGAGCTGCCTGGCAGCCAGCCTTGCGTAAGACATTAAATGTCATCGGGATCAATTGATATTTGGAAGTACGTGCTGCTAATTTGAATTATACATTGCATAAGTCTCTTGCCAGGACCTCGGAATGCTCACAATATGTATTTCTAGTTCAAAAGCGTATATATTAATGACATCATTGGCCAATGGAGCGATTAATGCACAGGAGGGATATCAAATTCCGAACAAGGAAAATAAGGTACAGAGATATTTTTGTGTCGTGAAAAATGTAAAACAAAAGAAAGTCATCAAGAGCGAAAAGAATATATAGAGAAAAACCCCGAAAACACAATGCCTTCTTGATATTATCACTCCTCGTCAAATTGATCGGCCCAAGTGCCAGTAACTGGTGACATAGTAGCCTCGAGGGTTTCCATTGAAGGAACGGGCTTGACAGCTGGTTTGGGCTGTTCAAGGGTCTCTGACTTCTCCGGCGCCTTTCCAGCAGGTAAAGAGGGGAACTCAGACTCATCCTTCACGGCAGGTGTCTGTGTCTTTGAATTTGTTTGCTCGGACGGGCCCTTTGAAGATGAACGGTCTCCGCGTGGACCTCGAGAAGGACCACGACTCCGGCCACCACGTCCACCACGGCCGCGACCGCGACCAGGGCTACCTTGACCTAGATTACCGGAATCATCTGATCGACCTTCATCGAAATCCCGTCGTGCAACACCAGATACACCGCCGTGCATTCCTCGACGGAACTGGCTGCCACCACCTCGCGGGTTGTAGTCCTCCTCTTGTTTCTCCAAATCCCACTCGCGGCCCGTCTGAGATTTCAGTTTACGCTGTCGATTCTGCTCGCGCTCGTTGTCCATTACCTTCCGGTGAGCAAGTTCTTCGCGTCGTTTCTTAGCTGCGACCTGCTCACGCTCCATGAATGAAGCTTGGTCTGCTTCTGCTCGGGCGTGGGCCGCGGCTTTCTTAGCGGCATTTTCTTTGGCTGCGGTGATACGTTTTGAGAGCTCTTCTTCGGTGAGTTTAGGCTAGAGTTCATAATTAGAATAATCATGTCTTGTGCAAGAAGATCAGTATGCTCACCTTTCTAATTCCTCCTGTCGCACTGCGATCACCACGAACGGCTGGAACACGTTGCGCCTCGGCACCGTTCCCTGTCTCACTCTTGCTATCGTCATCTTGAACAGCTTGTGTCTTCTCGCTCTCCAGCGGTTTTTCCGGTGTATCATTTGTGGCGTCTTGGCTTATTTCAGGCTCCGCCGGTGCTACGGGCGCTTTGCTCGGAGGTGTAGCTTTGCTCGGAGGTGTGACCTTGCTCGATGGTGTAGCTTTGCTTGGGGGTGTAGCTTTGCTTGGAGGTGTACTCTCCGCTGGCTTAGAATCAGCCCATCTCGAGTTCTCGAGACCACGCGGTGTGCCGCCTCCGCCCTTCCCTCGATTACCACGTCCCCGACCACGACCTCGGTCACTCCCACGACCCCGTTGCGAAGGCTCCCCACGCGGAGAAGACTGTTTCTCAGCCTGTGACTTTTCTTGCGTTGGCGAAGGCTCCGGCTCCGGTTCCGGAATCACAATCACCTCCGTCTGCACTTGCTGCTCCTCCGCAGAAACAGGTATGATTTCATCGTCGAACAGGTCATCTGCACCGCGAGTTTGTGCAAATTCGTCCATATCGGCCATCGCTGCAGTCACGGGGGAATTTATCTGGTACGAAATCGACAATTGAGTAAGTAGGAGAGAATCTGTGGAGAGCGCGATTCCGGGGCTTTGTTGCGGCTTTGTTGCGACAGCCTCCGAGGGGTAGCTTCTTTTGGGGGCCGAGAATGAATGATCCGTGCGGAGACTAGGGGCAAAACTGGGTCTTGGTACTATTAGTGTTTGTGGGTCGTGAGTCGTGAAAATATTGAGTATTGAAGCAGGAGGTTTCCTTAGCAGTAAGGAATTGTCATATGTGATTATGTAGGTGCAATGACCTGGTTGCTGTTACTCAATGGAGCGCAGGCCCCGAGCGGTGAGTGCTATCAACGGGTTTTTTGCCGATCAATGTTTCTCCGCCTCCGTGACGTTTGTGGAGATTGAGGATTCCACTTGCCTCTTTTGACCCTGTAAAGATGCAAGGGTAAGAAGGCATTACAACTTGAAGAACTCATTAGTAGTCTGGATGGAGTGTTGGAAATCCCATCTCTCTGCACTTTCTGTCTCGCTGTCCAGCACCCACGATACAAGCTGAGCAAGAATTCTGTCAAATGCACCTTCCGAATTGTCTGACAGAAAAGGTGCACCTTTTATATAGGTAGTTGATGACGATCCCGTCATAGCAATGATGATGACAATGCATATATAAATAAATCCCGTGGGGACATCTGGAGCATTCATCACCTGGGCAGCCCCTTCAACTTGAATCGGTTCTCGCCATAAGGCAAAGGGAAGAGGAAGCCCCCCTTTGCAAGTTGAACAAACTTGGAAGATTGTTTGAAGACCTAATCATTAATGTTGTAGTCAATTTCAAAACCGTTGCCATGTGACCCACAAATATCATGTGTATTATGTGATGTACCTATGGCCCCTAACAGCCCCTGGATAGCCCCCAATCGTCTACGGGGTGTCGATTGAAGATGCAGCCTTCGCTCAGCAAACCACCTGCTTCCTTCTAAACAAGGCCATGCCATCTTCGTGTTTAGGTGATCTCCCTGTCGAATTATTGCAAGCGATTGCATCTCGGTTGGCGACAGAAGATCTGTGCTCGCTTAGGTCATCCAGTAAAAGGATCTATGAGAGCACTCAGCACAATTTTCGCTGTTCCTTCTTCCAAAAACTGCAGATAAACCTGTCAATAAACAGTCTTGAAAGACTGAGAGACATAGCAAATGATTCAGAGCTAGCACCGCATGTCCACACTCTTGTCGTGAAATTTGTCGACGAACCAGAGGACAAACTTGGAGAGGGGTTGTCATGGAATCGACATCCCTCCGGTTATCTGCTACCAGAGGCAGGTGTTCAGCAATGGACCGATGTTCTGCGCTGCCTAGTGAATTGCACGTCATTTCACCTGATTCGGGTGGGCTGGTCTGATGAAGACACATGTCTCAACTACTTCACGTCCACAGACATCATAACGGTTATTCTGAATGGTATCATCAAGGCTCGCATCTCGGTTCGAGAATTCTTCGTGGATTTCATACCTGAAGACAGACAGGGTGCCAATGCACTCGATGAGAGACGCCTCAATGTGCCTGATCTTTACAGACCAGAGTTCATCGCTGTTTGGGCCAACTTGCAAGCTCTTGTTTTGAATTTCTCGATGGAACAAATCGAGATAACCGACTGGATCGACCCAATGTTTCGGCATGCAACTGATCTCCGTAAATTGACAATTAAATTTGATAGAGGAGATGCACAACACGCAATTATCGAGCGCCTCTCCTCTATCGAAACGCCTTCCCAACTGGAAGACCTCACACTGGAAACTGTGACTATCCCGAAAATAAGTGAAGCGAGCTTCAGCAAGCTGCTGTGCCAATATCGCGACAGTCTTCATGTCCTCAACATGCGACAAGTAACCTTGGATGATCCGAGTTGGAAATCTGTCTTTCGAAAGGTAATCGACTTTCCTTTACTCCAAAGCTTCTCATTCAATTTTCTCAGAGAAGACGGTAAATTTGTCCATTTTCCTATTGCATCTACGATCCCGGTGACAGGACAGGTCACAGAGTTTACGTTTCGTTCAAAGGTTAGAGGACGAAGAACTATTAATACGTGTGTCAGGTGTCGGGGACCGAGTGCGAAAGCCACTTTTCAGAAACTTGTTGAGTCGATGGAGGTAGATAGGCCATCATATCGGGCGACCAGAGCAACCGGTGAATAGCGCTTGATCTAGTATCTAAGGGACTTATTTTCAACAGTTAAGATTCTAGCACTTATAGTGACACTACGAAATGAAATTTGAACCAATTTTGGGTCTGGAATATACTAGTAGTAACGATAAATTTCAAATTTCAACTGCTCCAAGTTATAAAATGAAGTGCCAAGCTATATGTATTGCATTCGTGGAAAAGAGGAAACAAAGTCTATTATTAGTCTATTTATCTATTGAACAAACTATATGTTCTAACTTTTAGAAAGGCTTGCTATACAAGCCATCAAAGGATTTCTTTAATGCCTCAAGGTCTCCAAAATGGACAGCAATCTGGGCATCGCGCTGCCGACAAAGCTCCAAACCTCCAGTCACCACTCTGTCTTCTCCCATCTTTCGAGCACCTTTCACAAGGGTCGAGGTACGCGGTTGTCGAATCCCTGCAAACTCTTCGAAAATCTTTGACAGGACTGCGTAGTCATCAAATTTTGCATCATTTTTCACTTGAGGGAGAAGACAGCTAAGGTGATAACAATCTTCTAGAGCCTGGTTCGCACCCTGTCCTAAATGGGGACTTGTAGGATGCGCCGCATCACCAACCAGCACACAGCGCTTTGAGAACCAATCCTCCTTGTCTAACGTGACACGATCGAACAGGCCAAAGGATATAATTCGCTCTACATCCTTCACCAACTCCAACACGACTGGCTCGAACCCTTTCAATTTAGCCTCCAGCATCCTTTGTCGATCTGCGAGTTCCTCCCCACTGGCTAGCTCCCATGTTTCAGGCTGCTCACTTGCTTGCGGTAAAGTGACTGCCCACGAGGTATGTGTTGTTGAAATTGGATAGGCGACAACATGTACACCGGCTCCGTACCAGTTATACAATGTTCCAGGGTTCTTGGCAAGTGTTTTTGGGGTTTTCGAGATTCCACCGGTTTGAGTCAAACCAGTGAAAGTTGGTGGTCCTTCATCTTTCCCGGCTTTCTTGAGGAAAATGCGTCGTGATGCTGCCTTGATACCATCACAACCAATAAGAAATGCACCTGTCGCAGATTCTCCATTGCTAAAATGCGCAGTAACAGAGTCGGAACCTTCTTCGATGTTGATAAGCTCGTATCCTTCGTGGAGCTCGCTACCTCCGTCTAGAAGCATCTTCTTCAACCGGAGATTGATAGTCGTTCGTTTGATACCCACTGAAGGCTGGCTGTATTTGCCTACAAACTCTGCTCCGAGGCTATTGTGAGCCAGTGTCTCGCCTGTATCTGTTCCATGCCAGAAGTCGGATATTGGGAGTGTCGCGGTTCCTTCTAACAGATCATCGATTCTTCGGACCATGTTCAAGACTTTCATTCTGTTTGGTTTATGTTAGTAATGGGTGCATTGATTGAGTGAGGCTACAGCATACCCATTTGGATTCAGCATCAGTGATCCGCCAGCTTCTGCCAGTACCTTGACCTTCTCATATACGACTGGTTGGTAACCTTTATCTCTGAGAAGTATTGATAGAACTGGGCCAGCAACGCCGCAGCCAATAATAAGGACTTTCGGCGGACGAGACATAATTATGAATACAATAGTCTCAAGTAGAGATGGATTGAGAACTGAAAAGATCGGATTGGAAAATAAATCGAGACGAACATATAAATCGTGTTTTCTTTATAGATTCATTGCGGGCTGTGTAGATGGGAAAGTCTTGGACCGGAGGTTGTGTTTGAGTGGAACCGGAGTATCCGCGGAGTGTCCGGTGCTTCTCTACGGCGGCCATCGAGACACATTCCGATTTTGGAAGGTGAGAACCCTGCATCTGTGCTTGACTTATAATTTTGACACATTGGATGCATTTGTAGATTATAGTTTAATTTGTCGGTCCCAACCAAATGCTGATATCAGCTTAGCAAATCACTAAGGGCTTCAAACCCCTGCAAAGACAAGCACTAAACGACCCAAACGGGCATGTGTTTCGGTGGGCGCTTGAAAGCCGCGCAACCTTCAGAGATAAATTGAACCTACATTTAAGCCTCTATTTGGCGAGGGGCGATTAGAGCTTATTTTATAAAATTGGTTCAATTCTTAACTAATATTGTGCTATCGGCATGTTACCGCGACTCTATTTTCAAAACTTATTCTTGTTATCCTGCGCCCATTCCCGGAAACTGACTGGGTCCCTCTTCGTGTACTTTTTGACGTTATCAATGGACTGTTGATACCAAGGGAGAGGGTAGAAGCTCCCCGCATTCTCTGTCTCATCAGTGACAATCCACTGGGCTACTGGTTCCGGGATACCAAGCTTCACCATTTCAGCCTTCACCTCCGGAATAGGAGTAAGAGTTGTCTTGATCTTCTTATCCAGAACTTCTCCGAGAATATTGAAGGCCTCAGTGAAGTCAATTTTCTCCGGACCAGCAAGGTAAACGGCGTGTTCTTGACATCCATTCGCCAAGATGACACCAGACACACGCCCAATGTCATCAGTCGAGATATAATCGAACACACATTCGGGGTTGGGATGCTTGACTTCTCCGGCCAAGATACCGGGGTAAAACCAGAAGACATTGCTAGAGAAGAATGCGGGGCGAATAGTCACGAAGTTCTCGATCCCGAAAACTTCTTCAAGCGAGATTTCCACTTGACCGTGCACGTAAGAAACATAGTTATCCGGGGAAATCAACCTTGGGTCTTTGTGCACAGTGTAGCTGCTTAGGAACACGATGAAGGTGATTCCTGCTTCTTTCAGTGCGGTGAGACTGCCAACCATGCGGTCTGGTTGATCGAAGACGGCATAAATATAAGCAGCCGTGGTGCCGGTTTGACGGACAGCAGCTGTAAGTGTTTCAGGTTTGGTGAGATCTGCTTGAACCTTCTCAATGGGGAGGCCATCGAGAATAGGGATGGGCTTTGTGGTATCCCGAACAGCAATGGAGACCTGGGCACCTTCTTGATGGGCTTGAAGAGCGGTGACGGAGCCAATTGCGCCCGTTGCGCCGAAAACAATTACTTTGCGAGGGGAAGACATCGTGTGCGATTTTACTAAAGGATTAAAGACAGGTGTGACAGGAAGTGGGAGACATGCCGCTTCAGAGCGAACTGTGCGGGATATTTATTCATTAATCGAGGTCTGTGTTCCGTTCCAGGGCTCCGGTTCTTCACAATTATTCTCGCCTCGCTTTGACCTTGGAGCATAGTGATTTCCCCACCGGGCTTGGTGGGGTAGTTCGTGTGGTCAAATCGCCGATCCTCTTTGGCAGGCTGGCAGTCTTGCAAGCGAGCTCGAGTGGATAATGTTTCCCGGCTCGCTTATTGGCGGATGATCGGATTTGTGGGTCCGGATAATGTGATTGTTGATGCAAGGGTGCAGCACAGAACCACCTTAAATGGATTTAAGTCATGAATCACATCTGGTGAGATGGCACTAATATCTATTCCGCCCAGGTTATTTGTACCCATGTCAATGCCCCAATATGTAGTATATCTGAAATGACCCATTCCACACTGAACATTAACGCTGAGCCCTCTCGATCCAGGAAAAGGCAAGCTCCACACCGGGCTTCATACGCCAACTTGAAGGCTAAAATAATCTAAGAAGACATCGACCCACCATAATTTCTGACTATATCCATGGTACCCACCCCTCAATTTACGAGAAGGCGAACGAGAGATGGATCTGGATGTCGTAAAGCTATCAAGTGCGGCGTTTCTCTATTTGACGTCGCTTGTATTTATCTCTGTTCCTTGGTCAGTAAACAGTTACTAGCTGGAAAAGTGCCGTATTAGGATGCCGAAACTGGTTGTTCCGGTATAGCTGCGTACCTATCTGGCCTTGGATATTTTTCCATAAAGGAGTTTGCCTTCGACATGCACACGTGGCAAAGAAAGCCCCGTTCCGCCTGGCCAAATCTATAGAGGGCCGTATTATTTCTTTGGTGTTGCTTATGTGTCTATGATATGCAGTCTTTTGGATAAGACATCCAAGAATAACTTGAAATTCGAGTTCCTCCCTGGATTATGAAAGTATTCCGATCGGAGAGGTATATTTCCATAATTATCAACCACGTGTACAAATGTCTGCCTCGTGCTCAATAAGTAATCTGACAATAGCTTCATTCCCAATTTCCGAAGCTAGTGCAAGAGGCGTATATCCGAAATCATTTCTTTTATGAATGTCTGCCCCGTGTTCAATCAGCAATCTAGCAATAGCTTCATTCCCAAATTCCGAAGCTAGTGCGAGAGGCGTATATCCGAAATCATTGCTTTTATGAATGTCTGCCCCGTGTTCAATCAGCAATCTGCCAATAGCTTCATTTCCAAATCGCGAAGCTAGTGCGAGAGGCGTATATCCGAAATCATTGCTTTTATGAATGTCTGCCCCGTGTTCAATCAGCAATCTAGCAATAGCTTCATTCCCAAATTCCGAAGCTAGTGCAAGAGGCGTATCTCCGGAATCGTTGCTTTTATGAATGTCTGCCCCGTGTTCAATCAGCAATCTGCCAATAGCTTCATTTCCAAATCGCGAAGCTAGTGCGAGAGGCGTATATCCGAAATCATTGCTTTTATGAATGTCTGCCCCGTGTTCAATCAGCAATCTAGCAATAGCTTCATTCCCAAATTCCGAAGCTAGTGCAAGAGGCGTATCTCCGGAATCGTTGCTTTTATGAATGTCTGCCCCGTGTTCAATCAGCAATCTGCCAATAGCTTCATTTCCAAATCGCGAAGCTAGTGCGAGAGGCGTATATCCGAAATCATTGCTTTTATGAATGTCTGCCCCGTGTTCAATCAGCAATCTAGCAATAGCTTCATTCCCAATTGCCGAAGCTAGTGCGAGAGGCGTATGTCCGGAACCGTTGCTTTTATGAATGTCTGCCCCGTGTTCAATTAGCAATCTGGCAATAGCTCCATTTCCAAATCGCGAAGCTAGTGCGAGAGGCGTATCTCCGGAATCGTTGCTTTTATGAATGTCTGCCCCGTGTTCAATCAGCAATCTGGCAATAGCATCTTTCCCAAATTCCGAAGCTAGTGCGAGAGGCGTATCTCCGGAATCGTTGCTCTTATGAATGTCTGCCCCGTGTTCAATCAGCAATCTAGCAATAGCTTCATTCCCAATTGCCGAAGCTAGTGCGAGAGGCGTATGTCCGGAACCGTTGCTTTTATGAATGTCTGCCCCGTGTTCGATGAGAAACTTCACAAATTCCTTGGTTCCATAACGGGAGGCAACCAGAAGGGGCGAATCTCCATCTCTGCTGCATTTGTCTATGAATGCCCCTTTTTCGATAAGGAACCTAGCAGCGTCCTCCTGCCTTTGATATAAAGCGTAAAGAAGCGGTGTGTATGAGGTTTTTGTGCTGCATACTTGGTTTACGTCTGCTCCTCCTTCGACAAGCATAATAACAAGAGATTTCACGTTATTCTTGCTATCCAAAGCGTGGCATATTGGTGTCAGTCCATATTCAGTAGCTGCATTCACATCTGCCCCTTTTTTTATGAGGAGTTGAGCCATAACTTCATCGCCCATGTTTAAAGCGAGCGAAAGTGGCGTATCACATCGAGAGTGCTGAATGCCATTGACGGGGTGGGCTCTCAACAGAAGAAGTTTGAAAATCCCAAGTCTCCTATGTAATATAGCCCAGCACAGAGGTGTTTGGTCTTTGATCGATCCGAGATCATTCCTGTTGTTTAGACCCTCGGTGATATCAACCCCTTCCCAAATGGTCGAAGGAATATCTAAAAGAGCAGCAACACTGGCTTTATCACCGTGCGACAGAGCAGCAAATATCGGATATTTATATCTCTCACCATGGATATTGATATCAGAGTTGTCTTTCAGTTTCGCACGGATAAGCTCCGGATGCCCTCGGTCCGCAAAAATGTAAAGAAGACTTGCCTTGGGGCTATACTCGCGCATCTTTGATTTCAAGCTCTTCTCAAATAAGTTATGAATGATAATCCACTTAGATGAGAATGAAGAAATAAAATCATCCTGCGGTACAACTTTGGCTGCGGCATTGGAATGGTGAAGAATGCTTTGACATGCGTACTCTAAGAATGGGTACTTGCAGGAGGCTACTTCCTGGTTCTCATCCTTTGTGCACAGAGTCAAATTGTCGGTAAATCCACCCACAACCTTGTGGGTGATATAAAAATTGCAACAAATTTTGAGTTTCTCGTGGCCTAGGCTCTCCCAATCGAGACCAAATTCAGGCCACATCTCATAAAGACCCCTATCCTTGATGAGAAAGTCACTAACAGACTCGTGGATGAATTGAACAACTGGCTTGTCGGATTTTGTAACTTCAGCGAGTCCCTTAGAGCAGCTTATCACATATCTATAGGATCTAGGTAGACCCTGATTTGTATCCGTGATTGATGCATCTGGGATTGTGTCGTCCACTAAACCCTTTAGTGACAATCCGGACCAAGTAGCATGATAGAACTCCTCGGGTTGCAAAGGACGATTTGCACAAAGGATCCAAAGAAAGCAAAGCAGAAGCTGCTCCATGTCTTCATTATCACGTTTCAAAATATCTTTGAAAAGGTCACTCAAATCACTTGGTGTTTCTTCAAGCCTTCGGTGAACAGACATAGCACCCCGAGCATACTCTTTATTCAGTATCTCAACAACCAAAACCACCCACATGAAAACGCCAGCAGCTTTTTCAAGTAGCTTTTGAATTACAACTGCATCCTGGGCTCTGAGCTGGCTCTTTACAAACACCTCTAAGTCTTCAGTATGACCTGGCTGATGCTCCAAAACCAGGCGGGTACCATACCGAATGATGATAAAAGGATAATGTCGACTTGAAAAGCAAACTCGGAAAAGCAGCTGATTTGCTAAAGAGTAGCAAGCTAGGTCTTCAAAATACTGGACCATGTCAAGCACTTGTTGTTCGTCGCATTCATCAAGGGCGTCAATGAAGCATGTGAATGTGCGATGGCCTAGTCGAGAAACCGCCTTGAAAATAATCTTCTTCAGAATATCCAAGGACGAAACAGCCTTTTGAAAATTGGCGATGATAAGATCAGGATCATCTAAAACTGTCTGCAGGTCGGGAAATCCTTCAAGTAGTTGAAGCAACAGAGAACGATACATTCCCAATACTGATTTTTCCAAATAAGTTCCACGAGCATTGAAAAAGAACGAAGCTTTCAAAGCAACTTGGCGGCGTTGCTTCATGTTTGAGTAGATGAATTTCATAATCGTCGATTTTCCAGAGCCGGGTTTGCCGCTCACCCAGAACAAACCATAATGCTGTACTAGTTTCTTTGGATCTAACCATGCCTTATAGTCAGGGTGGGTGAGAAACCATTGGCATGTTTTAGCATGTTCTTTTTTGACGGTCAATCTACGACTATCAATTTGTGTAAATCGAAGAGAGTCAAGTAGCTGCTTTCGGCGGTCCTGCAAAAGAACAATTTCTATATTGAAAATGCCAAAGTTAGCAAAGATAACTCTCATCCTCATCAAGTCTGGATTAAATGTTTACCAGAGGGGCCCGGGGGTGATTTATGCTGAGACTCTTGTATTTGTGATGCAGGTATGGGTATCTCTTCGAGCAGCTCTCTTGCGTATGCGGCCGCAGCGCCCGCGGCATACCTCTGCCATTCTTTGCTCTTGTGCGAGTCAGAATAGTCGCAGATACCTCGAACTGGGAGACAGGGGAGAATGTCCATGAGACCCGCGGCCTCCATTTCAAAGCAAATGACATTCAGCTGACGGGCTACCTCGTCCCGAAAGACGCTGTTTTTAATCACTTGACTCCCTGAAGCAACTGCGCCATAATGAACCATGGGCTCTTTCGACAACCGTTCACTTCGCAAAGCCAACTTTGATTTATCACAATCGTCGCAACTGGCATTTTCTGGTGGATGGTGATATGGTGCCTGAAATAGATGGTCTGGCATATTTGGGTGGCCATATCCATACTTTTCAAGATGATGCTGGAGAATAGATGGAATGCGACAGAGCCCTATTTCGTGCTTCGCGCGGAGGGAAGATACGGCTGTCCCAAGTGATTGATGAGGTACTCTAGCGATCGCAGTTCGCTCTAGTTGCCCCTCTCCTACGATCTTTCCAAGATCAATTTGCATGACTCTGGTTCCGACAACGACATCTCCCAGTCGGATATCAACTTTGCTGGGCACGCCACCGCCAATGCCGACCATCAATCCCACTCGGATCGAGGTAAACGTTCTTTTCAGGTTCGTCACAACATTTGCCGCATTGACTATTCCGTACTGATTTGTTGGCAGACATGCGATAACTATGTTATGCTCGTTGATATTTCCCAGAACATACGTATTGTCGTCGTCCGGCAGTGTTGGTAGGGGATCGTGGGTATCATCTAGCACGGCCCGGGCCGCAGCCATCTCGATGGGAAGCGCACATATCCAAGCGATCGTGTACGCCTGTCGTGCGGAGTCATCGTCGTGGTAGGTTTTTCTTCGTTTATGTGATGGTTCCGAATCAGAAATCTCCATCTCGTTGCTAATTGATGACTGAATCGAACCTTTATGCGGATGTGTCAATATGGAAGTTCGGTAAATTCAAGATGAAGTGTGACCGCGGTAGGGATCAAGTGAAGTAGTGAGAGAGGTGGGTTAAATAGCGTCGCAGCAACTGAGCTTGATTTTGACAAAATGAGCAAAACAAAAGGCTTCGAGAGAGAAGCTGACGGCAAGGTAAGTGCATTCAAGGCAGTCTCGAGGCTGAGAGGGGTCGGCGCTAGTGTCTTTTCGGCCCCCACATTGGGCGCTAAATAATGGCATGCCGATAGCTTGATGTTAATTTATATCAAGATAATAACCATGCCAGTTTTTTTTTTAGAGAATGAGGGACGATCTTTGTCGGCTGATTTATCTAGAAAGATATAGTTGTAAAAAAGGAGAAACTCGCACCAAAGAGTCAAAATCATGCCAATGCTGTGAATTTGGGGATTCAATAATTGGAAAGGTTACTCATACTATATGTCTCAACACGATGATATGTACAAACACCGTGACTTCGAAAATAACATATCAAATAACGCGATCAAACACACTCCCATGAGTTCTCGTCTGTATAGTTTCCAGGGCCCTTGAAAACATTATGCTTGGGCCATTTACAATGTTTACGCCAATATTCCACAGGAGTACCTGACCCATCCTCGAACTTCGCACCACGAACATGTTCAGGGGCGACTCCTTCCTCGACCCACTTGACCATAGCCATGAGAACGTTGCTATCAGGCTCACTGCTGGCATATGTATCAACACCTTGGCCAATACCGTAGGCTCCGTTTCCATCACCACAATGCGCCATACCACTGATGGTGAAAAAACGATAGAACTCGTCCAGGTCCTGGGGCGGGAGATTCATTGTCTCGGCAACATGGGAGTAGTACTCTTTGGAGTCTTCGGAACTAATAAGTTGATCCATCATGCCGTGGTAATGAAGCACCTTGCCACCAGTTTGCTGGAAAGGGGTGAGATCGCCATCCCATGTCTGGATGTTGTATGGGTTCTGAGCTAAGGCAGCTGCGGCGTCTTTAACAGTGAAATTGCCGCTCCAAGATGGGTCATTATAGACAACGTAGCGGAACCAATCCAGACTGTACTCGAAGGGCTGACCGGTGTACATGATAGGGGCAGCTAAAACCTCGGATCCAGGCTGCATTCTTCGGTAAAGCAATTCGCCGTTCACGCCGTATAGCGGGGATAGAACCTGGTCGGCTGCGCGGACCTGGGCACCGCTAAGGCACTTGCTGGACTTTGTTGCGTTGCGAGGGCAAATCAAGGTGTCAAGGATAGGATTGCAGAGATCTGGATCCTCGATGATGTTGTCCTTGGCTCCATCGATTGTATCGCACTGTCGCAGGATCTCGTCATGAACGATCTGCCAGTCTGCAGTGGTAAGGAATGTTTCGGAGGACGGAGATCCAGTGATGGGATAAAAGTGAGCACTCCAGGAAAGCAGGTTAACAAAGTTGATAGCTGGAGATCCAGCAACGACACCATCAAAGTCATTGGGGTATTTCTGGACCGACTTCCATCCTTGCCTTCCGCCAGTGGAGCATCCTAAGTAGTAGCTTTTGTTGAAACCTTCGTCGTAGAACATTTTGGTAAGCTCTTTGCCGATCACAACACCCGTGTGAATAGATCTGTAGGCGAAGTCCTTGATCACTTCTGGATGGTGGTAGAAAGGTTTTCCTGATGTTCCATTGTGCCCATTGTTGGCTCCGACCGTGGCAAAACCGAATTGTGCAGCGTAGGCAAGATCATAGTATTGGATGCCTAGGAAAATGTTAGGATGGAGCAAGGATAAAATATTCAGAACAATACATACAGCCAGATAGACCTCCGTTTCCGGTACTCAAGAAACGACCCTTGTACTCGCGCGGGAACCAAGCCTCCAGGGTAATTTGACTGCTATTGGATGTATCGACAGCCATTGCGACGCGACAAAGATCCACAGAGACTTCTTGGCTCGACGCGTCACAGCTAGGAGCATTGTCCGGAAGGGACAAATTGGTTCCCCCTGGAATATATTCGGCGAAGTTCACCTTCACATGAGGTAGATTAATCTTATCTTGAAATTGAGAGCATTTTGTTTGAAAATCGTCTTGACTGGCAAGGGCCACAGAGCTCAATGCCAGTACGGAAAGCACAGAGGACCGAATCATAGTGCAGAATTGCTTGGACTCCGGCTGATATCAGTTGAAATAAGCAATCTGCTTCTTCATCAACCACGGATGTGGCTGAGCTATATAGCTTGCAGTCAGCCATATTGACCTCATCGATCGGTAGATGGGATCTTCGTCATCGGCAAGTAAATGCCAAGAATTTACCGGTCATAAACGGAGAATGGTATCAGCAAAGGGCCGAAGTTGTCCCGCAGGCTGGTAGGGACTTGGAAATTCCGAGAAGTGGCATGAGATTGGATAATAGAGGGAAAAAGTGGATCAACCGAGGCTTTCCCTGGGGTATTGTTTGGTATTTGAAGCAAAAAAGGTGGGGAAGACACGGGTGATCTGGGAAATCCGAATGTGAAGCGGATAAGTCGAGCTAAGCAGTACGAATCGGAAATGCGGGGTCTCCACAAATGTGGGGGTTCGTTTAACCCCTGAGAGCGCGTTGGCTAATGGAATCGGCATATCCATCAGCGCCCGTGCTGAGACGAATTCAAGTTTCTGATAAGAGATGACATTATTAAAATTGTAAGCTTCATGTAAATTGCAACCATTCAATTCTTTCACCGAGTCTTCAAAGTTGACCTAGCAGGAGAGACCCACAGTCTAAGCTTGAATGAGAATTCCCGAATACATAATTCCTAATGAATAATATGTTCTGCTCTAACTTGAAGCAGCATTCCACTCTCGGTGCCATCGTTCCGCGACTCTAAGAAGGTGCCCGCTTGAAAGTGGACTTGAGCAGTGGGCTAGCGTGTCACTATGAAGCTGAGCCTCCAAGGTGTCGAAATGAATATTCTGTTCCACTCTGTTGGTTCCGGAGGCCCAACGACGCTTCCAAAAGCCTAGAAGCTTCATACTAGGATTTATTTGCGGATCTGGGTCACTCTTTTCGAGCTGGGCAAGCCATTCACTCACGGGTGATATATCGAATGTGAATCCTGCCTGGCGAAGAGCGGGCAGGAAGTCATCTGTCCAAGAGAAGGTTCGTGGACTAAGCACGTTGAAGAACTGAGCTCCTCGTGTAGTGTCACTCTCTGTGACGGAAGAAGTTTGAAGAAATTCACAAATAGTTTGTGCGCACTCATCGACTGGAAGCCATCGGCATTGTTCTTCTTTCTGATCCGGGAGGATTTGAATTGCATTTACGGATCGCACCATGAGTGGAATCGCCTCGTTAGAATTCCAAATGTGGGCCTTTGTGTCTGCAACAATTTGACCAATTCGTGCAACTATTGTGTCAGCTCCGGCTTCCATGGCTGCATTGTTGAGAATATATTCGGCACAGAGCTTTGATTGTGCATACCCAGTTGATTGCGCATATTGCATCTGACCTATCAGAGACTCTGGGATAGTTGCCGGTGCTGGAGTGGAAAGAGCGGTTGATATGGATGAGCAGAAGAGCATTCTTGCTGGGGCTTGACAGACTTCCAAGGAGAGATTGACAAGTTCTTGGAGCGATGATAGCTGAGGGATGAAGCTCTCCAGCGTCCAGTTGAAATCCACAGGCCATGCCGCGTGAATGATTGTTGTAACTGATTGCAACACCTCTTTATGTTTATGCAGTGTTTCACCAAAGTTTGCATGGCCCAGATCACCCGGAATAGCGGTTATCTTTGAAAGTTCGTCTGGTCCAATATCAATCTCTCTCTGGCGAAGTGATTCCAAAATGCGATCTCTTGCAACCTTCGAATCAACATTATTACCAGTATTTCCAACGCGAACTATGCAAATAACCTTCTTGGTTGATACAGAATCAAGGAGAGTCTTCAAAACATGACAGCCTAGTGAACCTGTGACACCAGTCAGAAGAACTATACTGCTCTCCGGCCGAGAAGGGCTTCGCGGTAACGAGGCTAAAGGCGCTGAGCTGAAGGTGGAATACTTCTGGATCAGTTCTCTCATCAATTCAAGGTCGGTAGGATCGTCCACATCCTCGCAATTTTTGATATATCTGGCAAGCCTTGATATGGTAGCATTGCGGTATATTGTGTCAGCACCAAGCCCCTTGCGCTTCTCCTCTGATTCTATGTAGAATCGCTTTCGAATCGTGTTTGACAGACGAGCAGCTTTCAAGCTGTCCATGCCCGCATTGAACAAATCATCATCAACTTTCTCAATGTCTAGACTCAAATCTTCACTGCAGATGACGAGAAGCTCGTTCTGCAAGTTTGGTAGATCCGGCGTTTCAACTCCACATGTGGCCTGCTGGACCCTCTCATACATGTCGTTAATACCCTTCTCAAAAGCCATGTATATTTTGGCGCGAATGATTGTCCCTTTATCGGTCTGCGGGTAAGGAATTCCACTTCCGATAACAATAATCGATTGCTTGCTAATTTGGGAAAATCCCTCGGCTCGTGAATTTGCATCTTCCACGGCGGGCCAGATGTGGTCGAGAAAGTCGCCATCTGTCATATTTTTGGCTTGGGGATTCTTGAAAACTAACAGACCAGGAAAATCCCGCTGGATTCCAAAAACAACAGCTTCGGTGACCAGCGGATCGTCTCTGATTCGACCCTCAATAGGAAGAGGAAGGACCTTTTCTCCGTTTACGAGCGTGATTCGATCATCCATGCGACCGACATATTTCCAAGCATCGGGAATCTCAGGATGCGGAGTGAACAAATCGCGTGAATGGAAAGAATTCGGTGGATCGTGTGAGTTGGATACGACTTTCGACCTGAGGCCATCAAGGATTACTAGCTCGCTGAGTTGATCAGCCGTGGGCTTCATGTAAACGTAGGGCTTTACGTTGGGATAGAACCGTAGGTAATTCCAACTAGTGTCATCCTTAGAACGCCTCGACGTCGCCACTTGGCCACACTCGGTCGCTCCAAATGCGACAATCAGATGAACGCCGTTCGAGACCAATCTATCTCCCAGTTCATCAGGGCATGAGCTTCCGGCTACATTCACACTGCCACATCGCGCTAACGCATCAATACCATCTTGCGTCTCTGCCAGGAGCTTCAATGCGTAGGGCACGCCAAAGAAACTCTCCGGACGAACATTGTCTAATGCTTCCAGAAGGTGATTTGACGCTAAAGGCAGATTATGGTCGTACATGTAAAGAATGCCACCTTTTGAGATTGTGCGAAAGACCGTAGCGAAACCAAAGGTATGATAGAATGGTGCAGTTAGAAAAGAGCGTAAATTGTTGCCGTTTTCAAAGTTTTCTAGACAGGATCGATGCGTTTGGAATATTGGTTTGGGCATGCCCGTTGAACCAGAGCTATGCATGATGAAGGCTGTACGGTCGGCAGCACCAGTATCTTGCCCGCTCCGCCAATCGATTCCAGTGGTCAAGCCAGTGTCGAAAACATCTCTTTCTGGAGTCTGAATGACCTTCAGGGTACGGTGCTTTTGGATGCGCTCTGCAACTGCTTCATATTCTCGCATGTACACCAGAGTACTGCACTTGGTGCAGTCTAGCAGGGAGACAGCTGCCTCGGTCGCGAGACGTGGGGACAATAAAAGAACAGCATAGCCTAATCTACACAATCCCAGTAAAGAAGCAAAGTATTCAAGTGTTGATTTCCCGAGGATAGCAATTACGCCAACTTCCTTCCGATCGCGCCACTATATCGATTCTCAGCTACACAAGGACACCAAGATGGGGAAACAAGCACAGGTGCAACTAACCACTGGCTGCAGCTGGGACTGCACATAAACAGCGGCCACTCCCTCTGCCAGTCTGTCAAGGTCTTTCGCTCTAAAGAATTCGTATTTCTCATTCGATCTGATATGACCGGGGGTGGGGAACGCGAGAATGGGGGGTGCATCTTGGCTTTCCTCATCAGCAAGCTTTCTGATCAAATCATCGACGGTATTTAAGCGACCGGATTGGCCATCGAGCGAGCCCATTTTGAGCTTTTCTTTTCTCTTTCTGAATTTCCTTTTGGTTGGATCGATAGTAATAAAAATGATTTCCTTAAAAAATAATCTCGGCTTTGGAAAATTGACCAAATTACCTGGGTTATTAACAAAATCGCTCAAGTCGGGAGAGGCGCCAACTACAACTTGGCAAAGCTTAGATACATTGTGCCAAGGTCCGCTTGTTCCGTTCAAGCCTTGCAGGATTCCAAGGGACTGAAGTGGAGTTGGTGAACGGGGTCAATGCGACTTGGAGAAATTGTATTGTGGGTGCAGCTAAGTTATGGTTGGCGAAGGGAAGGAGGAGGTGGAGAAGGCACATATGCCATATGGGGGAGGGGAATACGGAGAACAATCTCAACACCCTGAGGAGAGTTGTAATTCATACTGAGTGGAACTGGAACAAAACATTGTAAATGGCCTCTCTGTTGCGAGAGAAGGGCGTTCTGATGGGTACGCGTGGCTTGCAGGGATCTACATTACTAGTGTTGACGAACCCATCCGAGTCAATCGTATCGCACCGCGTAGTGGCGAGCTGGGACTGCATCTCTTCGCATGGGGCCAAAAGAGTAAAGGGATAGAGCAAGTTGGAAGATCTTCATCCTTCGAAAGTTAATTTTAGCCGGGCTTTGCCGATGGTGTATTGTTCCAAGGCGCAATATAGATGTACATGTATGTACTACTTCCCACGAAGTACTGGTACTTCAATAAGGAATAAGGAATCAGGAGTCAAGGCATATCGTAAACATTATTTTAGAATAGTGAAATGTAAATCCCTCGCGCCTATTATATCTAATAAAAAAAACTATACAGTATCCACCGGTTTATTTCAACTGCTCCACATTACCAAGATCTCTGAGTTCGATCTGTTGGTGGACTTCGGTGACAACGCCGATCGCATTGTGAGATGTATCGTTTCGCTCGTCGGTGGGGAGATACGTTTCTTCGCCATACGCGACAGCCGTTTGAACTATTCTCTCCTGCGACTGACTCCCTACTGGCCATTTCCCGCTAGCGAACACATCGAACCGATCCGCCTCATCATCTGTGAATCTGCCTCCACCCGTGGACCGCGTAGAACGTAACCCTTTACTGCTAGTCGCGTATGGATTCGACTGTCTCGAATACTGTGCGTAGCCAACAGATCTTCCTCTCAATCGATGCCAAATGGGCATCAGACTTGGTAGACATGCAACAATCACGCCCACACTTCCTTCGATCGACGTCCATATTCCAGCATATGTGTTGGAATAAGTTATGTCGTTATTATCAATGAGTGGTAGGGTGGTAATGCGATAGAGCGCGATCGCACAGACGAATCCGCCAAGGAGGAATACCGCCGAGATGGAAACCTTTTTGCTTCGAGAGATTTGTAGTCGCCATACGAGTGGCATTGGCAGGAAGAGAATGACGAGATCCGTAAATGTGTTTGTTGTTGCAAGGGCGATGTAGAAATTGACACTATCTACACAATGCCCGCCTGGAAGGCTCCGTTCCCAGAAGAACTTCACGGGCGTACATTGGAAAATAGCGGTTATTTGGAAGGCTAGGTACCAAGCGCCAAGCAATACAAATAAAGCATTGCATGTTTGCTTCATTCGAGCGGTCGGGAAAATTCGTTTGTAAAAAAGTAGGATTGAGACCTGGACCGGGCAACAAATCCATCAGCAAGGGATAGATGATAGAGGGGGGTGGGGGCTTTGCCAGCTTTCTCTCACCTTGATCATGGGCAATGTGGTATTCCAAAACATTTGGAGCACATAAAGAACCTTCAATATCATCAACAAGTGAATAGTAAGGTGACAGGGATCATGGGGACTTACCAGCATATATCTCAGTGCCTTCTTCTCTCCTACTTCTTCTGCATGTCTTCCCAGTCCGAAGTAGACCCCGACATATTCACAAACACAGTTTCCGTATGACAATATCTAATCCGCAGAAAGTCTTGGTTATGCGAGGCTTTGCATAATATTTGAAAAGGACCAGACTCACCAACGACACCACGATACAGATATCATCCAAATGTATACGCCCTCCAGTGGTATACCTGGCGTACAGCCTGAGCCCCACAGCGAGAGTCGAAAGTGCAATCAGGACACTCGTCACAATAACAATGGACCACTGCCGTGAATTATACGGCGTGCCCCCGATGTAATAGTATGCCATGATAGTCGTGAGCCGGCACGGTGACTGCCAGAAGGCAAGAAAATGACATCCAGGGAGATTTATAGAATATGTAAAGCCCTCTTCATCTGATGCAGTTTGATGGGGCAGCTGAAGGATGAAGACGCTAAAATAAATACAAATAAATACAAATCGAGTCATTTCAGTAAGTGGCTGGCACAATGCAACTTGGGACCACATGGGGCCGGCCGATCAACGTACCTTTGGACCCAACAATCAAGTTCGACCACCACTGCCCCGGCATCATGCATTAGTTTTACATTAGTTGAACCCTGTTGTATTATCAAACCTTCCCTACCGTAATGTTCATTTCTAGGTTGTAACTTTGAAAAGATTCCAGTGGATTTACTTGGCCAGTTTAATCGGACCAGTCCGACCACAGGAGCTAGTGCTGCTACGTTTCGTTGAGAAGGATCCGATCATCATCTGCATATAAATCCTGTTCATTTCACCCCTGCAGCTGAAATCATTCCATTAGTATTCCATTGAGAAAAATCCCCGGCCCATTCCTTCGGCAAGTTTGCGGGGATTTTGCTTTTTCCTTCTGCATTTTGTTTGTCCGTTGATTGCGATTCACCACCGCCATGTCCAAGGAACAGTTAGAGTCAGACGTTTTGGATGGGAAATTACCTGGGAGCTTTGAGTATGATTTAAAACATAGAAACAGTATTGTTCTTGTTCCTCAACCTTCAGATGATCCCAATGATCCGTTGGTGAGTCCCTGCATATCCACGTGTTTAGCATTCCACAAACTCCGCCTTTCCCCCCCACTGACATATATACAAGAACTGGCCACAACATAAAAAATATACTATTCTCGCGATTTTATCTGTGACGGCATTCTCAGGACTTGCTTCTTCGTTGGCAAATCAATTGGGTCTTGAAGCTCAAGCGGAGCTTTATGGGAAATCACTCACTGAACTCTCTTATACGGTCGGTCTCTCCCCCTTGCTTGTCCCAGTGATTCAAGTTGTAGCTTGCTCATTCCAATGATGGTAAATGCTACCCTCAAATCGGTGATATAACTGACACTCTCTGCATAGGTATCTGCGGCTGTCGCAGGCATCGCTGCCGGGCCTCTCTTTATTGTTCCTTTAGCGCATGTATTCGGCCGTGCCTCTGTCATCTTTTGGACTTTGCTAGGATGCATCGCCTGCGGGATCTGGTCTGCCGAAATGACAGGCCCAGATCAATATATTGGATTTGTGCTGTCGCGTCTTTTCGGTGGGATTTTTGGATCTGTGCCTTCCATCCTGGGTGCACAAATGCTCATGGACCTTTTTTTCCTGCATGAACGAGGTAGAGCTTTCACGACATTCCACATGTGTTTCCTCATGGGTACTGTTGCTGGTCCAACTTTTGGTGGCTTTGTCGTTCAGCATGTCGCGTGGCAATTTGAATTCTGGTGGACAGTTGCTTTACAGGGTGCTGTTGCTCTCATGGGTATTTATCATGTCACAGACAATGTGCGATTTCAAGTTGTCCTCGGCTGATGAAACTTTTTAGTGCTATTCTTCCTGCCTGAAACTGGCTACAATCGAGATGGAGGCAAGGTTTATCCAAAACAGCCGGAGGAATTTCTTGCAAATCGAGTTGCTACGTTTCTTCCCGGTACCAAGGTCGCTCATCGTGATGGCCTTCGAGAAGCCGTGAGTATAGATAAAGTTATCATGAAATCCATTATTCCCCTATCTAACTCCTCCCTAGCCTCGATCGGCAGTCGCACAATTTCTTATTGGCTTTTCTCCCGTTGGTCTTCTAGTGGGGATCTACGCCTTTGGATTCTTCGGTTGGTTCGTCAGCGTCAACACGTTGCTTACCGTCTTCCTTCAAGAGCCAGAGATAGCTGGCGGGTATGGATTTGAACCACAGCAAAATGCTGCATGTAAGAAATATTCCCCTTAAACGCGCCAAAAGAACCAAGCTCATCATATTACTATCAACAGTCTCCTTCGCCCTTTGGATTGGTGTGATCTGTGCTCAGATCTGGGGATCCATATTCAACGATCGCATTCCCTTGAAGCTTGCCAAAAAGGCTGGTGGACTATGGAAGCCCGAGTACCGTCTCCACTCCTTATGGATTCCTTCAATATTCTTCATGCCTATCGGTCTAGGCATCTTCGGCGCTGCCCTCGAATACCATCTGCATTATATGGTCCTCGCCTTGGGCAGCTTTCTCATCACCTTTGCCGCATTCTGCAGTATCCCGGTCGGAATCAACTATTTGATCGAGTGCTACATCGATCATTCAACAGAGGTTGCATGTATTATGGGTACATATCGACTCACCCTTGGACTTATCGTGCCATTCTTTAAAGATCAGTGGATCGATAGCGTAGGGGTTGGGTGGGTATTTGGGATGATGGCATTTTTCTCTCTTTTTGCGTTTTCTTTGGTAGTCGTCTTGATGTTCTACGGTCATTCTCTTCGTCAGATTCGCTTTGGGATTTTGTCGAAAGATGAAGAGGGGGTGAAGGTGACAGATCAAGATCAAGAAAGTTCAAGTTGATCCTTTTTTCTTCGAGACGTGGGATATGTGGGAGTCGGAAAAGCCAGTTGTAAAGAGTTATGAAGCCTGTACAGCAGTATGTAATAACCAATCTAGACATGTTAATACTTCCGATTGTCATAGAACACGTTCAATCCCATCATGTTAGCCTCTATTAAGCCTCATCCTCACAGATTCTCTAACACCCTATAGAACGATCATGGCCGCTAACATACTATATCGCCGACGACCCGGTATACGCTAAAGATAATCGCCTTCTTCTCTCATTCAAGTTGCTAGGAAAGGGAAGGGTAGATATATGTGGGAAAAAAAATACTTTTTGCCTAATACTTAAATTTGCTATATGGTATAATCAAACTTTATTCTTACAAAACCGTGTTGAAGCTCTTGTATCGATGCTATACCTCTGTTTCCCTGAACCATACTGCTTATGCTTATGCATTATTAGGCTTAGATCTGTATTCACCAAAACTGTGTCGTGAACAAATTTGTTGTGACCCACATAGTACCGATCTAGGTGGGGTCTTGAATGGAGGGGTATTTTCCTCTGACCCCTCGAGTGCGCGTCTTCCCCTATATATTTCTTCTCACTTCCCCCATTGAAACCAATCCCATTCTAAGATAAACGACTCCTTAGTCACCTCATCCCTATCGACAATGAGCAACGTGGCAGGCTTGAAGGAAGTGGATGGCAAGCTTGTTGCTATAGCCAAAGATGTTTGTTCACTACCGTTCTGACCACAATTCTCAGTTGACTGACAAGAAGTACTGAATGATACAGATTGAGCCACCGATGGATTGGACCAACGATTTTGAAACACTGGGTGGTGAGCTGGTGTGGGGAAGTGGTGGCGAAATCCAGGATTTGCTTCAAAACTTCGGCCTCGATGCCACCGAAGTAACGCCCCTCTACGCAATGGAGTTTCACACTGGTGAAGCTTTGGTGATGTTTGAAGCGGACTCAACCTTCTACCTTTTCAACCGTATTGAAGGCTCTCTATATCAAATCATCCAACCGAATGACTTGACTACGATTGTGGAGTTGATCGACGACAAGAATAAAGGATTGAGAAGCCTCGAGATTGAGCAACTATAATAGATACTACGCCAACATTCTTTGGGGGGATATGTGCTGCTTCCCGATTCTCCATTATTGATTGGGACTGGGGAGCGAATTAAGTATAACTTCAAATTCCTGGTAGCCATTGTATAGATTAGGCACTTCTTTTGGATTCTTTTTCCTAGCAATGAGAGTTGAAGGACTCGGAGGGGATAGTCCTAAGGACATGCCATAAGCCAGAACATACATTTACTGTAATTATAGTGATATAGTAGAAGAAGTTTACCAAGCAATGATAGTGAAGGCCTTAACGCGCTGAATCCAGTCTAGCGCGATCTGAGTCGGAAGCTAGGGAAGAAAGCCTGTGTGTGCAGGTGGTGAAACTGATTTCTATCCTCCCAGTACTAATTTTGTGACATTGAAGTAGGATGTAGACTAGCTTAAAGGCCGAGAAAATTAAATTAGGACCTCTGTGGACTTCGGGGTCTACATGTGGCCTTTTACTCCAAACTGAATGATGGTGTAACGTTTGGGTTGGTGCATGTTCCAGTCCAAGTCCAGATATCCATGGATGTAGAATGCGGTCTAAGTTGGCCGAGATTGCGTGTGCCGTATATACGCTTATGCATGTTAGAGATCTATCCAATGTTATTCTCATTTTGAGCGGAGTAATAGTTTTGCCAAGTCATAACGACGCATACGGGTGCCAATTATAACATTTCTGAGAGTGGAGCAACTATAACTCAATAATGGGTCGATCAACTCCTTCCCATAGCTGCATAAAGTTGAACTTAGACAAGCAGGTTTAGAAGCCTTGGAAGGCTGTTCTTGAATACATATACTGTTGTATTCTTGAGTCTATTCTACAGGCACTTTTCAGATTAGCAAGTATCACAAAGTTATATCAGGAACAAGCTTTTCAAGCCACCTTTGACTGGGTTGATTAGAACTCCAACAAAGAACGAAGTATGAGAGTGCTTTATGGCAATGGATGCAATCTTGGTTCAAGTTCAAGCCGGGAAACGGAAGAGGGGCAGACATGAAATAAAGTACCTGGGCCAATCTGGGTATATTTACTAAATGCATGACGTGGTGGCTACAGTCTGACCTGGCCCGGGATGTAGAGACAACAAAAGCGGGGTTATGGACTAAGACATGGGCTGTTACCCAAGTGGCCCCGTATAGGCCTCAAGATGAAACATTGTATGTTTTCTACGAAGAAATAATCTACGAGAAATTACGTAGAGAAGAAAAGTGAAGCAGAAGAAGAAGAAAGAATAATTACTAAATTTCCCATATTAAAAACAACTAAACTCCAGAATAACCGATACAAAGGGGCAGCTCCGACGGAAATCACGATCAGGAGCAGGGCTATTCGAATACCCCCTGCGCAGTGGATACAAGGCCAACTATTTTCTTGCCTCAGTGATATCCACAAAGACATGTCCCAGGGGGCCCTCCCTGGGACTCCATCCCCCACACTCGACTCTATATTTGCTACTACTGTCCAACATCTCGACTAAGTTGACGTATTCTCCTCCACGATTCTCCCAGTGGAGTTCACAGATCTTAGATTTACCGTGGAATAGATCCAGACGGCCTTCGCTGCCTCGGCGGCTTGCGGCAGTGACCTCGCCGATACCATTGGTTGGAATCTTGATTTCGTCGATCTCATCTTCGGTGAGTGACTTGCGTCGATCTTCAGGGTTGAAGAATTCGCCGCTACTGGCGCATTAGTAGATACTATGAATACTGGGATGGCATTCTATAGATACCCCTCGATGACGGTGTGCTGGATAAGCACCTCGCCGTCCTTGAGATGGTCTCGGATGTGGAAGGAGACCCAATTGGAGTTGTACTTGTCCATGGTGGTAACAATTGAGAACAGTTGGAACGATGGATGTGAAAAAGTTGCGGAGTGTAGATAAAAAAGTTGGGATTGAAATTGTATAGAAGAAGGAAAAAAGAGTGCATGGGCTGGGAGTAAATGGTGGGTTTATATAGAATGTCAGAATGCGGGGGAACTGCCTCAGCTGGTCGTGTGATGACTCGTCGATGCAATGCACCATTCCATCGTAAAAGGGGATGATCGCATGACACGATTGGCTGATTCCGGGTTACCGAGCCATGGCACCATCCTAGTTTGACCTTCGTCCTTTGGAAAGTTTGCGGGGTTCTGCGTCTCGCTTTGTTGTTATTAATTTAGTTTGGACGATCTACAAGACTTGCTGTGTTGTTAGTGTTATTTGTGGTCGAAACTACATCAGTTTCTCCGTCATCTTGCATCTCGGTAACCTGGGGAGGGAAGGTATGGTGGGTCCCTCTTTCCCCAGAGTGGAGTGCGGTAGACCCGGTTAGCGTTATGCCTTAAAGCAGCGACACCGGGGTTAGTCTATGTTGGTTCCCGGGAAGGTACAAGGTACCGCGAGTTCTTAGTAATCTCCATGTTGAAGTATTTATCCCCACAAAAATTAGGAATTGTCGGAATGTTACATATTTAGTATGGACTCCAGTGCGTGCTTTATTGGTGCGGATCCCGCCCTGGTTACACTTATTGATACTTTTAAGCCGATAGGCCACCCGAGACCATTTTCATATTCACTACTTCGAACGCGACTAGGCTGCTGAGATACTGTTGAATAAACCAAATTCTTATGCTATTCTAAACCTAAGGTATGTGCCTTCAGCTAACATGAAATGCACAAAGAAAAACGGGGAATTTGACAATCTCGAACTCAGTAAAACCACATCAAGAAACCTCATAGCCCCATCAATTTCCTCGAATTAAGTCTGCCGCTCTCTCTGCAACCGCGTATACAGTGGAAATCGGGTTTGCGTGAGGAATGATGGGAAAGATACTCGCATCCACCACTCGAAGGTTTTGCGTCCCGTAGACTGTGAGATTTTGGTCCACTACACCACCGTCTTCTTGTGGAAGCATAGCAGTCGTACCGCATACATGATGAGCCGCGGATCCAGTAGCCCTTATTTGGTCCTTAATCGTCTCAAGATCATGATGCTCCCCATTATTCTGCAAAAATGAGTTCAACGGCTCCGAGGTTGTCATCTTAAAGAGATTGCGAGAGTGTCGAGCTAAAATTTCAATATCGAATGCATCGTGCCCAATGCCAGCATCAACGGCAGGGAGCTGAGACGGATCGTCGGAGGAAATATGGACGCTACCCCGAGAGAACGGGAAGCTTCCTAGTACTGCGATAACGGCCATATTGCCGGGCAAAACTCCTAGAATATAGAAGGCTGATGAATCGTCGGGACTTTCGAAAAGTGATTTAAGAACTTTCCCTGAAGCGTGTTTGTCTTTGTCGCCGTCATAGATTGAAAGGAGTTCGGCTCGCTCCTCTGAATTAAGCCGTGGAAAGGCAACCGCCATCATTGCAGGCCTCATTGCTTGAGAGTCGCGCTTGAGAGAGAAAGGGAAGGTGACCATTGGATGCGATTGATAATTCTCGCCAACGCCCGGTAAATCAATTATCACCGGGATGTTAAATTCATCCAACTTATCTTGGCTGCCAATTCCTGAGAGCTCCAGAATCTTAGGTGTATGGTATCCACCTGCTGCCATAATGATTTCTTTTGTCGCATGTACCACATGAAGCTCATTATTATGAACTATTTCAGCACCTGTAGCAACCTGACCTTGGGCGTATGATTCAAAAAGGATGCGCTGGACCGTGGCTTCCGTGACAATGGTGACATTTGGGCGGGCGGCGGCTACTGTTCCGTATTCACTAGCTGCACCACTTCGGAGGCCAGAAACTGGATCGACGGTGCCTGCATAGTCGCGAGTGCCGATGACTTTACGCCCGAAACTCATTTCAGTCTGATAATCGTACCCCTTGGACTTGAATGTGTCGTGCCATGCTTGAATCAAAGGAAGCCCTGATTTGTTTTCAAGAGCTGGGTATGTCACCTTGATAGTGCCAGATGTGGTCTCCGGCGTGGTTGTAATATGTGTCGCGTGCTCTGGCGGAGTTACGGCAATTGTCTTCTCCCAATATGGTTGTAATGACTCCCAAGTCCACTCAGAATTTCCAAGTTTTGCCCATGCATCAATTCCATTAGGGGATGGAGGAATATACAGCAAACCGTTGACAGAGGAAGATCCGCCTATGGCTTTCCCGGAGACATGCGTGATGTCTCTGTTATCCCAGCCAGGCTATAACCCTCGATTCTTAGCAATTTGCGGCCATGAAATCATGTTTATCAACGTACCTGTGGGGTTACTTGAACTTTCCAGTCCAGCTCCGAGCCGCTCAAACCATGCCACAAGGCTGGATTTTGTACACGTGGGTCTTCCGTGGCATCAGGACCACTTTCCAAAACCACAACATGAACATCTGGATTCTCAGACAGTCGAGCTGCAACTACCAGACCAGCTGTTCCTCCGCCGACGATGATGTAGTCTGCTGTGGAAGGAAGCTGTTGAGATACCATGTTGGAAATGAAATTAGGTTGAATAAACGCAAAGGAAAATGAGGGGAAACACGAGGCTTAAAATAGTGAAAATAGTCGGGTCCGATTAACGCGCCACATTCCATATCTCTCCACCCCGGTGATCCGTATTTCATTCTATCCGATTCCCTTCTTGCTTAGGAATACCTAGGAAAATCACTACCTGCACAAATCCCTTGGAGCGTGTTCTATTGTCATTTTACCAAGTGTTAATCGCGTGGTGCCCCTCATATTCCCTCGGATGCCGGTTTGGGGGCCAATTTGTCCTGTCGGTGTGGGATCCTTATGGGTCTTTTGCTGCGCTCCAAAAGTCGAGGAGAATTTGAATATTTGATTAACTGAGTAACTCTTGGGCGAAAATACTAGATATTGCTTTAATCCACCGAAAATTGATGAACATACAGTAGGCTGACGACAATGAAGTCATTAATAACGCTTCTCAATCGTATTGTTGTCCTCGTTGAGCATGGGGCAGAAAGCCTTGAAGTGGGTCATTTGGCCCCCAAATATTGTAGCTATTTGAAGTTTACGCCCCACGTCTGACTCCCTTCAATTGGATTATGCCAATGGAAGCGGAAAGACATAACTTAATGCTGTTTCGGGATCTCGGATGTTTCAAAGAGCGATTAAATTCATAAACCTATTTTTCTGCCTTGCACATTTAATCTCTAAAAGGATCTAGCGTATATTCTCAGGAATGCACTGGGGGAAAGCCCTTTTCTGGTATTTCCCGGCATTTTTCACCTCACTTTCAGTTAGATTCCCTTGCAGCAGCTTTGCGTGCAGAGTTTCAAAGCCCATACCGTCCACAATATCGAGCGGGTCAACAACATTGCCCATGGACTTGGACATTTTTCGAGCCTCGCTGTCGCGGATCAAGCCGTGGCAGAAGACCTCAGTAAAGGGTACTTTTCCAGTCAATTTGAGAGAAAACATGATCATACGGCTAACCCAGAAAGGTATAATATCCCAGCCTGTCTCCAAAGTAGTGGTAGGAAAGTATTTTTCAAAGTCTACCGTTTTTTCTGGCCACCCGAGGGCGCTAAATAGTCAAATTCCAGAGCTGAACCAGGCATCTAGAACATCTTCGTCACGCCTAAGCACAATTTCTTGCCAGGAAATTTTTGTTCTGCCTGTTGCCGAGCTTCGGCTTCTGTCCGGTCACATACCTTGTAAGTGTCATCGAACAATGGTGTAAGATCTTAATCTTTGGGGTTGCAACTTGTTCGTTCAAAGGCAAGGACAGATCCCAATATCTACCGATTTGGATCTACAGGACTACGACTTGAGCACTCTCGCTGGAGGCTTGAAAGAAAAGAACCAGATAGAGCTCTGTGGCAGTATTCGAAAATTCAAAGAGAAAAAGAAGGGCAAAGGTGGTAAATAACACGAGGAATGGGCTAGGCATCGAGGGATTTCGAGTATCTAGATCTAGTGACAAGGCTCGGAGATGAACAGCTACTAGTGCTAATAGTGACAAGGGGAGTCTCTCCTGACAGAATTCTTTGTACTACTAGGCGTATTAGTAGACTAGCATATTACTACGGCTTTTCCGCCTTATTTGTGAACTTGATATCAAGATTTTCCCGCAGGCTCAAATTTATGAGTGCCTGTCTCATTTCGGATTCCCAGTAACCGAAGTCGTCCTCTTTTATTATAAAATGAAATCCCCGTAAAAAAGGTGTCGTCTCTGTACGCTCGTGAAACTATCTCTCTAAATACTCCAATATATCGGTATCCTCCCACTCCTATTCATCTTGGAAGCGCAAGTTATCTGTGATAGTAAGCCATTGAATATTTCTTGGAAGTGCGTCTTCGAGACGTCCTTTGCCCAGATCGAAGGGAGAATATCCTCCCAGGAATGGCAGGGGAACTTGTATATTTTCTAGCTTGTGGAGATACTGCAAAGCTTCGAATGGTTTGGTAAGGCCGAGCTCTGGGAGCTCAGGGTTTGCTCTATTAGCTATATCTGTGAATATTTTGAGATCGATCAATGTCTCTCAAAATGCGACAAAGCTTTAGATATCTTCCCAAAGTTAAGTGTGCCTGTGATATATTTGTCCTCGAGGTCTTTGCGGTAGAACTAGTTCTATTCAAGCTTTTTCAGGTTCTTTGTCACTGACAAAATTTGAGCAAGAGGTTCTTCCCTTAGCTTATGTAACTTGAGAGATGTAAGGCTAGTTGGGCTGGGAGGGCTCTCACTAGGCTATTTAAAACTCTGTGGGTTGTCCAAAGAGACCCTAAGCTTTCTTATTGATTGTAGATAGAAAAGATAGAGAGCGTCGCAGGTATTCCTCGTATCGGTGTGGTGGCGTGTGTTGATCTCTGTCATATGATATAGTATAGTGACCTCCTCTAGACGCTCAAAGGAATGCAAGTTGCTCGCTTACGAGGTATCCAGCAATGCTAAACGGAAAGCCGTACCGATTAAGCTGGAGTTTTGAGTGTAGTTACTATCGAAGTAAAGAGTTCTTAAGCTTGGAGCTAGGCATAGCAGGAAAGCGACAAATGCGTCCATAGTTCCGGTGCGAAGCTCATGGATCCACTGCTTTGAGTATGGACCGCCGAATTGCTCAGTCTACTCAACCATCCCTTCCAAGACAACATTGTTATCGATTGTAGAATGTGGCTTCTTGTTGTTCTCCGCGCGATAAACCCCTCTGCGCTGTCCAAAGCCATCGTCACCCTCTAAAGGGATTGTTTCGATGCACTCAGCTAAATCGGGCCGGCGTATCAAGGTTCGCAAAAACTGAGCGATCGAAGGGCTTTGCGATTTGTTGTATGCCCATTGTATGTGGGAGTAAAGCAATGACTGAGCTTCGGCCTGTAGCCTCTTATTGACAAAGCAGACTTTCCGAAGATCTGCAAAGTCCAGCTTCTTGGCGATCATGAGCAGAATTTCTTCTGGGCAGGAGAGAAAGGTTGTCGGGGCCATCTGGTCGAAAGGCCGCACTCGAGCCGACAGAGGCGGGTGCGGAAAAAAAATTAACGAAGATAATGCGTTCAGGTCAAGTTCGATGAAATAGAATCGCGTGTGAGAGGATCGTCTTATTTATGCACAAGAGGCAAGCTTAGCGCCACATTGCTGTTTTGGCCCCGATCCCATCCCACCTGATGGCCCTCACCTGGAGAGTTGAAGCTAGCAACAGGGAGCGGCTGTCAGTACAATACATGAAATGAGCCTTCGTGTTGTACTGAAAGTAGTGGACCCTCGTGGAGTCGTGGGTCCCAGCAGAGGCCTCAGTTATAAGGCTTCAACGCTCAGCCACAAATTTCTAGTAGTATTACAACACACCAAGAAAGATGAGAACACAGCTCTAGAAAATCTATATCTGACACATAATGTAGTCTAATTATCAATAGCGCTCGTGCTTTTGATATATAGAACGACCGTCAAAATCAGAACAACTCGAAAGACACGCGAGCCGAGTGTCATAGAGAGCCCCATACCTACCTAGGGAGCTGGGCATGGGCATATTGTGAAGGTACTGCTGAATAATGGGGCTAATTTCGAGGCAGAGGACAGAAATGGCAGGACAATGGCAACATCAATATCCCAAAGTCGCTAAGAACCCAAAGCCATGCCGATATAAGGACATCGGATCATGTGCATGAAGATGGTGACGTGCGTTCTCCGACCCTTTCTTACTCTCCCCCGTCTGTCCCTTGACTTGATGCCTACCACACGATGTCTATCAATCTAGACGATCGTCACTCGATTATTAAATACAGCCGGCTCAGTTCTGAGTGTCAACTTATCGGAGGCTCGATATTCGGCAACCAGGTCATCAAGCTACCAGCCTACAACTTGGTAGTCAAATTTGGCCAGTATGTCTCCCACCACGAAGCAGAGAACCAACAAGAAGCATACAGCTTAATCGACCGAGCCATTTTCATAATTCCTAGAGTCTATGAATTTTTTGTGGACAATGAAGGTTGTGGTTATACAGTATGAGATTTCATTCCGGGCAAAATTTTCGACCCTCTCCCGGAATCTCACATTCAAAAACTCGCCGATGTCATTCGTTATTTCCATTCTATTACCTCCGATGGCGCCGGAAGTCTATTTGGCGGTTCATCAACTGGTTTGGTTTGGCCGGATACAAACGATCTGACTATTAGCAATGTTCAACAGGTCAAGAACTGGTTCAACAGCCGGCTTTTTCCTGGAGACGGCAAGGTTCATTTTGGTCTTAGTTCATCAATATTTTCACATTTAGATATAGCCCCCCGAAGTCTTTTATGGCTAGACGATGGCCACATCTGTCTGCTAGATTAGGCATCTGCAGGGGTTTATCCAAGGGCGTTGGGATTTGCCAGTCTATTCTTTCAAGAGTATCATTTCAGCGTAAGACTTCTGAATGCCGTTGGCTTTGGCTTTGGCTCCGAAAATGACAAAGGAGAACAACAAAGGATCTGCCAGGCATTATATAACAATGAAAGATATTCTTTGTGAGTCCGGTCCCCCAAATCAATCGCCAACAATTCCGATCTAAAAACTAGTCGCTCGCAGGACATTCGAAATGGATCTTCACCGCACCCAATAAATGATTCCACATTCCCACTTCCGCCAATTCCTGAGCCTCGGGAGCTTACGAGTTGATAAAAGATCAATGGTACAACTCGAAATTCATTATCATCATGCATCAAGCTTGTATGCGCGTTCGCGAGGCTTCTTAGTGACCCTTACGTCCCCGTCATAGTTTACAAAGTACTCTTATTCCTTTAACACTTAGCCATGATAAACAAACTCAGTCGTGTTGAAAAATTATCACAAAACTTTCACATTTGGCGCGATAGTTGCGATAGATCATCTAAAATATGTAATATTTTAATAGCCCATAAGAATGCTCAGCGAATGTAGGGATCAGGGATAATAAATCATTGAAGTGAGTGTCTTTGATTAATATTTTTTCGTTCCCCATTTCCTCCAGAAAACCATCGAAATCATGACCAACAATAACGGGCCGGCCGAGCTCCCCGAGACAATCACCTTTCGGCCCAATCATGAATTATGAATTTACCAAACTCCTAATCACTTGATCTAGGCAAGAATGAGGAATCCCAAATCGTGCCGGTACCACCCTCCATTCCGCACTCCGAAGCAAGCGTCGGCTATTCTCTAGCGAATGACCAATTTCCCCGGCACACGGTTCTCCACTTTGCTGCTTAACCCGCGAAGTCTAAATGGCTAACACAGAGCCACAGAGCTTAGCTCTACTTCGGCATGTGTGGACACAATTGCGCAATTATCATTTGCTAAAAACCAAACATGATAGCCACACAGAGCATTCAAATTAGAGCACGGTGGTAGTCCCACTTCTTTGAACGAGATTTAGCGTTGACCACATTTGTTCTAGTGTGCGCTAGATCTATTCAAGGACGCAAGCGTTGCCAACACACCATTTATGTTGCAGATAACACCATTTGTTTCATTGGTAGATTTTTCTTTGCGGTTGATCTCGGCTAAGTTTCGAATTAGCCATGCATAGTGTTACAATTTTGCAGTATATGACTTGCGTGAGGTTATTTATGATGAGCCTTTTCCCTTCCTTTTTTGCGCTTTGTTGGCCCACTTACTCCGCACTTGCATTGATTTTTTCCTATCTTGACAGCGATGGCCGGCGAAATTGAAGAACCTCTCAGTCGGCAGATTCTTGTGGATGTTGAATCTAAGGATAAGAATGGAACAGTTACGGAAAAGTCTATCGATTCTGGTGATAATACTCTTGAGACAACGATTATCGCTGCGAATGACCAGGGTTTCCAAGGAGACGATAAAGAAGAATACGTGAAGGGACACCCCGTTATTCGAAATGGTAAAATAACTCCAACCTCAGAGATGATGTCTTAATACTAAACTGAAAAGGTCTGGACGTTTCAAAGTTCCTCATATCTACTAGGGACGACGGTGACCCATCATTTACCTTTCGATCTATCGTATTGGGAACAATATTCACTGCACTTTCCAGCGTTATTACCATGCTCTATACATTTAAGCCGGTTCAAGTTCAAGTTTCTGCAACTTTCCTGCAACGTAGGTCTGCCTTACAGCTGCGCTCTACTCATTTCTAACGCTTAGATAGTATTGGTATTTGTTTTTGGAGAGGGCTGGGCTTATCTTACCCCTACCCCCGACCGTTTCAAGGTAAACTGGGTACGCAAAACACTCAAGTTCATGAACTTTGGCCAGAGCTTCGGTATCAAAGAACATGTTGTCGCATCTTTGATCGCTTCGTCTGGAAATAATGGCCTTGCGGGTGTGGAGGTATACGCCATTGAACGACTGTACTACGACCGGAGCATATCCGCTTCAACGGCCGTTCTGGCTACATTTTCAATCTCACTCTGTGGATTCGTATTAGCAGGCGTGCTGAAGTCACTAATTGTATATCCTGCTGAGATGGTATATTGGTCGACATTACCACAGGTTGTCCTTTTCCAGAACCTTCACTTCGATCGGAAAGCCAATAAAAAGCGGCTGGAGAAATTTGGCTGGGCGCTGGGCTTTGCTGCTGTTTGGGAACTATTTCCTGCATACATTGTTCCATGGGCCGGTGGTTTATCGATTTTCTGCCTTGCTTCGATGGGAGCGCCCGCAAAGACCCGATCTATATTTGGTAAGGTTTTTGGAGGTGCTTCATCGAATGAAGGGATGGGTATTCTCAATTTTTCTCTTGATTGGCAGTACATCCAGAGCGCGTATCTGTCATTTCCGTTGAAGCAACAGATCAATACTTGGATTGGCTATGTCATTTGGTATCCAGCTATGCTGGGCTTATACTACAGCAATATGTGGAATGCTAAAGACTTCCCTTTCATGTCTACGTCGCTTTTTGCCGCCAATGGGAGCACTTTCTCCACCACCTCGATTCTTAACGAGCATGGTATTATCAACGAAACCAAACTTGAGCAAGTGGGACTACCGTACATGACTTCAAGCACTGTTTGGGGCTACTTTACACAAAATCTGGCCTTGGGGGCACTAATAGCTCATGTTCTGTTGTTTTACGCAAAGGACAGTATTATTGCGTGGAAGCAAGCACGCTCTCAGAAGCTGCCTGATCCGCACTACCAGGCTATGCTTAAATATAAGGAGGTTCCGATGTGGTGGTACATTGTCTCCTTTATCTTGGCTTTTGTTGCTGGAATCATCGTGACAGCGAAAGGTGAAACAACACTTCCTGTGTGGGGTTATATTATCTCACTTCTTCTTGGTGCATTTGTCGCCCCATTCTCTTGTATTCTATACGGTCTCTACGGCACAGGTGTCAACACTGAACAGATATCCAAAATGGTTGCTGGTGCTGTCCACCCCGGTCGACCGTTGGCGGGTCTCTATTTCACTACTTGGTCTCATCAGGTCATTTTACTCGCAGTCAACTTATCAAATTGGCTCAAGGTTGGACAATATACTAAAGTTCCTCATCGGGTTATGTTCGGCACACAAGTTTATGCTTCATTGCTCGGTGCTGCCTTGAACTATGTCATTATGAACGTGATTGTTACAAACCAGAGAGAGATTCTTTTGGACCCCGTTGGTAACGCTGTTTGGAGTGGTTCAACACTTCAAAGCATGAACTCCCAAGCGATTACCTGGGCCATGGCGAAAAAGATGTACAGCTTGGATGGACATTATTACATTGTTCCAATCGGGCTTTTGATTGGTACTGTCTTTCCAATCATTCACTGGGGATTGAACAGAGTGTTCCCTCGATTGAAGAAGCTGCCTATCAATACTGCTATCATTGCTACCTATGCTGGAGTAAACTACTATGGCAATACCTCGTGGGTTTGGTCATCTATTGCGGTGGGAATTTTCTCACAGGTTTATCTTCGTCGTCGATTGCCAGGGGTCTATAATAAGTATAACTATCTCATTGGAGCTGCTTTGGATGGTGGATCTCAAATCATCATTTTCATTCTATCTTTTGCTGCCCTGGGCGCAAGTGGAAAATCGCATCCTTTTCCAACGTGGTGGGGGAATCCGGCAGGAAACGCAGATCATTGTACATAGAAGGACGAGATGTCACAGTTGGTTTCAGCATATATTTCACTATAAATGTGAATCCTCTAAGCTTCATTTCCTAGCCTACGGTTTCTGCTTAATCCTAGTCTCTATTGGGACTAGTCGAGCCATATGCCAACAAGGCCCGAGGAACAGCTGTTTCTTGGTCTTTCTTAAAGGCCAGAGCGAGATCTAAATCCCGAAGCAAACTACATACTCTAGCTCTCAAGAATTATGAATTAAACGGCCTTATTCCTCCAACCCTATGGCCCATGACCCTTGACCGGTTCATATGTGTTCAGGTAGCAGGGGTGGTAAAATCACTTCTTGTGGAACGGACGACATAACGAAGTTAGAGTCATTATTGCCCAAAGGCCTACCGGCGCCAGTAAGAGTGATGGACCGGCCAGTATCTGGATCGATGAGCACCTCATCATTAGCATACCCCATAGATATGAAGCCGGCCAGACGATCAGTCTGCAGAAAAATGGCATTCGCTTTCACTGCAGCATCGTAACTGGCTACAGTTATACTTTCGTAGTGCTTCCAGGTCTGCTCCGATACGTTGAGCCTCCCTCCCCGTCAGCACGATCAAACAAGACGATACAATGCTCAATGCCATTTATGAAAGGGAGGGAAACTGTTTCTTGTGCAGTAAGCGAGACCACGAAGGTTCCGTCAAAAATGGTAACGAGAGAACTCTTCCATAGCTTTCTGTACCCATTCGCCTCCATTTGACAAAGCCACTTGTCACCACGAGCGCCACCATACACGTCCGAGCTGAGAATCAAATGCGTGCAGCCCAATCCAATCTTTGTAGTGATCCAGTGATCTACGCTGATATATATACTCGAGGAACGTGTAAAAGCCACCTATCGCCGAATTGTACCACAGAGGGCTGAAGTAGTCAAATCCTTCAATAATTAGCACTGAGGGGCTTTTCCTGTGCTGTGTTAAAAGAGATAATTCGCTCTCAAACGTTTGTTCAGAATTCTGGATCTGTCGCTTGGTCTGTCAAGCGAAGGATCTGGAACATCGTATCGGTTTGGCCAAGTCCTAGGTTGGAGCCAAAATTTGTGGTCGCAACTCTCATCTCCATCATCGGGGTCCTCACCTGAGCCCGAAGAGCTGTATTAAAATATCAGTACCAATAACCCATAAGAAAATCCGCCAGTGAACCTTACTCCTTATCAAGTCTGACATCCATTTTCTCCTGGCAAATATTGGGCATCATATCGCTTGTCTTTGCAGATGCATGATTCATGCTGGAGGACATAATGCTGTTTATGATGAGCCGGTATATTGCAAAGCAACAGATTCTTTGCGGTCAATTGAGGTTGAGTTCCAATGAGTATGAGATTATTTACTCTCGCTAGGAATGTTTTTGAGACTGATGGGCCAAGAAGAGGAGCGGTCAACTGCCCCTTTCAGTAGCACTTGATTGAATCCTTCTCCATGGGACTTCCTTGGTATCTTAAAAAATGCCGATCGTGCACCGCAGATCGAATGTGGATGTACGAATCAGCTGAAATGACGTCGATATTGACTTGTTCTATGAAGGAACTAGGGCCGATCTCGATTCTTAGGCTCTTAGTCTTCCATCAATCAAGAATGACTGGCTTTAGTGCGTTTTTGGGACCACACATCTCCTAAGTCGTTGAGCGGCGAGGAGCTTGGTGACGTGGCTTGCATTATGCTTCTGTAGGTTCAAGATCAAAACTGTACTTTTGGCATTCTGATGTCTAATTGATACCTGCCGCCAGCGAACATCTATAATCGTTTTGCCTATCGAACACTCTCCCGGGATGAAGTGACAATCTTGCGATATGTAAGCTGAAATTGATATTATATATGACATTTAAAAAAACTTTAATAAAAAGTATCGCAAAGCAGTCAATCAAGCCAATCATCTTACTATACTTAATGAGAAGCAGAAAGGTAAGCCCATCTCAGCAACTAAAGATACTAGATAATGACCGTGCTGGCTTTTCACCAAGGAAAGTTAATGTAAGTTGTCTCCCTTATTTAACTCTCGCAGTATGAGCCTGTATGTCTGGAAGATTGAGCAGAGCTATGTAGATTTTTAGTATTTTCTCTAGATTGTTGAGGCACACTGCCATGGTTACTCCAATTTCCCCACCCGCCGCTCATTCTTCTCCACACGGGCTTGGCCGCGGAATTCTAGCTCCGCTGAGCTCTTCCCCCCTTCACTCAGCTGGCCCACGTCAATCACGACCTTGGAAACTAAAGAGGACTCCGATCCAACGGCAGACGAAGGCCTGATTATATTCACCATGTCTACCGATGAGAATGGAAACACAATAGCCCGCGCGACGGAGCAGACGCCCCTTCTCCAGGATCCTAACCCCGCCACCTCCGGCTCGACAGAGGAGCAGGATTCCGCGGCCGACGGAGAGCCCAGCACCAAGGAATTGATTATAGTTCTGAGTAGTATTTGGCTTGGAGTATTCCTTGCAGCGCTAGGTGTGTATATATATAGTCGAAATAAACAAACCGTCTGCGTCGGTACAAGGCTAATAAACCGCTCCTTGCCAGATTCAACCATTGTTGCGACACTCTCTGCCCCCATCTCCTCCTCGTTCAACTCATTCTCGCTATTGTCGTGGCTTGCAACCTCTTATCTCATCTCGAATGCTGCCTGCCAACCTCTCAGCGGTCGATTGACTGACATTTACTCGCGGCGATGGGGATTGGTCTTCTCGAATGTCTTCTTCGCTCTTGGAAACCTAATTTGTGGTCTGGCTCAGTCGGAGGTGACCATCATTATTGGACGTGTGGTCGCAGGTATTGGTGGTGGTGGTCTCACGGCTATCTCAACATTCGTGACTTCAGATCTTGTGCCCCTTCGAAAGCGAGGTGTCTGGCAGGGCGTGGGGAACATTTGCTATGGTGCTGGAAGTGGGCTCGGTGGCGTATTTGGCGGCTGGATCAATGATACCCTTGGATGGCGCTGGGCCTTTTTGATCCAGGTCCCATTTCTAGTGGTCTCCTGCGTGATGGTTGCAGTCAAGGTGAAGATTCCAGTTAAAGAGAGCGATGAAGCCCGGATCAAGCGTGTCGATTTTCTTGGCTCTATCACTCTGGTTTTGACCCTTGTGACATTGCTGTTGGGTCTAAATACTGGTGGTAACCAAGTCCCATGGACACATCCACTTGTTCTTACCTCTTTGCCGCTGTCTGCTGTTTTCATGGGTCTGTTCATTTACGTGGAGGCTCGAGTTGCCGCTGAGCCTATTATTCCTGTGAAACTCCTTCTAGACCGCACGGTTGCAGCTGCTTGTTTGACAAACTGGCTCACCACAATGACGGTCTTCGGTCTGTTGTTTTATCTCCCCATTTATTTCCAGGTTCAAGGACTGTCGGCTACAGCTGCTGGCGCTCGCTTGATCCCTAACGCAGTTGGTATCTCTATCGGATCTTTGGGCTGTGGGTTCATCATGAGATCCAGTGGTCGGTATAGACTACTCAATGCCATTATGATGGCTATGCAAGTTGCAGCGGCCGCGCTCATCTGCACCTTAGACTTGTCTACCCCTGCATGGTTACCATTTGTCTACTTTTTCTTCTTGGGAATGGCGTATGGCAGCATGCTTACCATTACCCTGGTTGCTCTGATCTCTGCTGTTGATCATAAGTATCATGCAGTGGTGACATCTGCGTCTTATGCCTGCCGTAGCACTGGTAGTACCATTGGTATTACTATTGCAGGAGCTGTCTTCCAGAATACTCTGGTAACGGGGCTATGGTCTCGATTTGAGGGTCGAAAGCATGCGGCTGAATATATTTCTCGACTTCGGGACAATCTTGCTGAAATTTCAAACTTACCTAAGGACTGGATTCCTGGTGCGTTGGATGCATATATGAATTCATTGCGGGCGGTGTTTATCACCTTGTTGGGGTTGAGTGTACTTGGGGCTTTAGCTAGTCTTGCCATGCGTGAACACAAGCTACACAACAATCTGTCTCGTCGTTGAGATGGTAGTAATGTGCAGTGGTAAGTATAGACAAGAAGATTCATTATAGAATAAATAAAAAGATATCCATAAATTAACTTTGAAATGCTTCGTTCTCCACTTATTTAGTACTTTCATTCTTCGTTAGTCATAGAATCGTTGACCGCCTACTCTATTGCTGCGTCCAATCACGCAGATGCATCAATGCACAACTGCCCGCCTGTAGCCGGCGCTTGAATTCAAACACTGAAATTCTTTCATTCTACTGCTTGTCATTGGTGGAAATTTCCCTTTTCCCTGCAGGATACGATATCAACTCAAGGGTTTGGTCTGGTGGTTGCTGAAACATCTGCAGCTCGAGTATAGCTGAAGCCGATTGCTTCCCCTTTGAGATCTTGGAAGTGGCGAGACGTGGCGATGCACGCGGGGAATAGATACTTGTACTCCAAGTCACTCTGATCTCAAGACCCAGAACAACGCAGGCAGCTACACCGCTTGCACGCTCCAACAAAAGAGACGAATAATAAATCAAACCGATCTGCAAGTTACACTACCTAACTGTACCATACTGCATTGGGCTCCTCCTGTTACTATTGCCTGATCTCCATCCCGAACCACAAAACCCACCGGATAAGCGTTTTACTTTTCTTTCCTAGATCAAGTCAATTGCCACTTTGACCGTCCCCAAGATTGGTCTCGACTCCAGCTTTTTCCTCGAACCTTATCCTGCCGATCTCCCTTCATACCTTCCACTCGAGCGATAATCGGTTCATAACATCCTGCGCGTACATAATTTGCTCATATCGCCCGCTACCCACAGTCCACCCTGGCATGGCAGTTAGTTTTCGACCAGACCCAGCGATCGCCGGAATTCGCAGAAACAACGTTCAAAGGGGGGAGCAGTCCAGTGCAATGGAGGTTGATGGTGAAGGCGAGGAGACAGTGGTTGGGGGTAAAGATGGTTACCGAATCTGCTCCGACTCGTCGATACGCGATGCAGCTACATCAGGCCCACGACGTCGCCGACTGCTCTTATCAACGGACAGCGCCTTCGCCGATACATTGCTCCCTTCACTCGTTCATAATCCCCACATCGAGTTGCGCTTGATTACCGACGAACCCTCCGCACTGCTCGCAGGCACGAACAAGATTCCTCACTACATGGATACGGTCGATAGTACAACATTCGATAAGAAAACTGGTGCTAGGAAATGGCTCAAGGCCAAAACAGCTGATCTGTGCGAGTGGGCTGATATGTTACTGGTTGCTCCGATTGATGCTGGCGCTCTCGGTTCGATGTTGGCGGGGTTGACCAATACTTTGACTTTGGGACTTTTGCGCGGCTGGGTATCGACAAAGCCTGTTGTTCTTATTCCCGGAATGACTGTTTCGGAATGGGATAATCCGTTGACGACTCGCCAACTTGAGGAGATTCGTCGGTTTTGGAAGTGGATTCGCATAGTGAGGCCAGTTTTGTGGAAATCCAATGGGCCTGAGGATCTGACCCCCTTGCCGTGGCATGGACTGAAAGATTTACATGAGACACTTGAAAAGACTTTGGGCTTGCCTTCGTGGGATGCTTCGCTATCTGCTGCGTCCACGGGAAACGGCAAATCGACCGCGACGCAGTCATCCTCAAAAGCGTCACTTACAACTACTGCTTCGGGGAGTAACACTGTATCAGCCTTGCGACAGCTCCAAACCCACTGGCCGAACCCAGAAATGAAAGTACGATCTCTGCCTCTTGAAATGTGGCTCAATATCTTCGAAGACCAGTTAGGAGATTGGGAAACTGCCAAGGCTGTAGGAATCCCAAACAACCTCCACGTTCCTCAAGAATGGCAGAGCCATTTGCTGAAGATGTCCACCCCTGCTTCTCTTGAATACACCATTCTTCGCGGCTCTTTTGCAGCTATCAAGAAACGAATTGACGCCCTTCCACGATGGAAGCCTCTATCCGACCTAGCTTGCCATCTCATTGTGAAATTCTCTCGAACCGACATTCTTTCCTACCTCACCGAGAACCATCTCGACCTCCTGTGGACAACATCTCGTTTAACAAATATCCCGTATCGTGCCTCTGCAATCTATGGCAATCCAACAGTCTTGACCTGGTGGCGTGATGCGCCTGCGCTCCCTAACAAAGAATACATGGCCGATGCCATGGACGGAGCATCGCGAGCTGGATTTCTCCACGTACTAGACTGGTGGCTTTCTTCCGGCCTCTCACTCAAGTATAGTGAACGTGCTCTCGAATCAGCAAGTGCCGAGGGCCGTGTCGCTGTACTTGATTGGTGGAGAGCAGCTTCAGCCAAGGCTCCACGCAACAAGCCCCTCCCTATGAAGGTCGGCAAGTCGGTTCTCCTTGCGGCACAATCCGGTCGCACTGCATCGATAGCATGGTGGGATGCATCAGGTATTCCATACAGTCATGCTGAAAATGTCGCCCGCATCGCCAGTACCCACGGCCATGTACATGTCCTTGACTTTTGGTACAGACTCAAGGGTCCAAAGATGATCTTCGACAATCAAGTTCTAGTCGGACCAACGAAGAACGGCCACGACCACGTTCTGCAGTGGTGGAAAGACTGTGGGCTTCGTGTTGAATTCAAAACTTGCGATATTGAGGAGGCTCTTGAAGATGCTGTTTCTGGTGCTGATGAGCGCGTTCGAAGCTGGTGGGAACGAAATGGTCTCAATTTAGGCGTTGGGACAAGAGAATGGATGAAGCCTAAGGTGCTTTAATTTGCATTTTTGCTTGAGGTTGAGCTTGGTCTGGGGTTTGGGTTGGGGTTCTGGAATGCATTTCTGGTGATCAAAATACTTATTCACCACTTTTTTTCAAATTTGTTGTGGGCGTTTCTGCTTCTGCTTCTCCCTTGGTCGATTGCTGATCCTTTTTACACTCATGACACCGATGATGATGACCTATAAATACCCATTTGAATATTTCCATCAATGTTGTCAATTCCATTCGCTCGGCCGTCCATTTGGGATCCGAATACATATTCTTTTTTGCAAGGTTGCATTTTACTTTCATTCTCTGTACCTATTTACTTGACGTGCGTGGTATCAAACGAATTCTCGGTTTATTCACAGTGCATAAATTCAACTTGAACTATGAATGGAGACCATACCCACTATCTTTGGCTTGAAGTATACTAAATCACTCCCACTTCTCTATACGCACATGCTTAATCTCAGCCCCCTTCAACGAATCCTTGATTTTACCAAACTGTTTAAATCCCTCCGTCTCTGCAAACGCATAATGATCTTCGGGCTTATTCCATCCACTAAATAATACAAACTCCTCATCGTCGTCTTCCTTGTCGATTCTCCACCCACCAGCATACGAGAAAGGGGCCGTCTGAGCACCTAAATAAGGTGCTCCATTCTTAAACGCAGCATCGAAGTCGGCCTTCTTCGAAGACTCTACAAAATACCTACTTACTGCGATGACAGGTGCATCTAGTGGCATGGTAGGGGTACTTGGCTAGGATTCAAAAGTTAGCATGTGAAAACTTGAACTCGTGAGGATGACCTGCTCTCAAAAATCTACATAACCATAAATGGGTATAGCCGTGATCACATGGTATACTTACATCAATATCCAAATGAAACATCCACTCAATATCAACCTCGTCTTTCAGTTGGCCCAGATACTTCTGGTTCGTCTCCGATGTAATCCATTCGCCTGTATGGGTGACGATGGATTCCCATCCTCCAAGAACATAGATGAATGATGAATCTTCTGTTTGGCGAAAGAATCTAGCCGGATACTTTGAATAGTCGCTTTGTGCTTGTCCGGCCTGTTGGAAACTCGTCTTTACATCTTGGCATGGGGTCTCGGTCTTCAGACGGAGGAGGGCGAGTTCGGTAACGGGCATTGTGAGATAATTGCGACGAAAGATATAAATAAGATGATTGGAATCTTGAATCTGGATAGTTTGAGGTTTCTTGAAATCAATAATGACATTTACTATTCTTGTTCCCTGCCTGTGGTTTTATACCTGGACCCTCGGATTTAGCGTCGTCGGGGGCCGAGAGTATTGTGGGGCGAGGCAGCAAGAGTTGCGCCTCGGATCAAATGTTTCATGGGCATTTTCCTAAAAGGATTTTAATGGATGCATTTCGTGATTTATTGAATTGAGCTAGTTGTTTTGGGGGTTAGCTGCATATTGAAGCTGTTGTCACGTTGGAAGCCTGGGTGTTTTCAAGTTCGTAGTACGTGGTAGGGGATCCATTGGACTACGAGTGCAGACGCATTCCATGTGCCTTTGTGGTCATTAAAAGCTATGCATTGGTTCACCTGGTGCTAAAATACAACAATCAACCGGGTTACCAAGAAATATGCCTTTCCTTCGCCAAGCTACGGAGTTCCATCTCGAAAAAATCATCAATGCGTCAGTGTTTACGCCTATACTTCTTTCCTGTGACAGAGTTAGTGATTGGTTCAACGAGACCCAGTGGACGGATATTCGCGCAAAACATAACATACCAAGTATAACCAGCTTTCTCAACCCTGGGGGTCTTGATTGCATTGCGATCCCCAAATGGATTGTCCTCGTCATCCTCTTCTGATTCCTCGCTTTCGCTCTCAAGGTCCTGCGCCGATGAGGAAGCAGCTGGACGGGATGGCTTAGGCGGGTTAACACTCAATCCGTTGAAATCCTGATTCATTTCATTTTCCAGTTCGGATTTGGAACGCCAGTTGCCAGACAATGTATCGTCGTCGCTGTCACTATCATAGTCGACACTCTTATCGAGCACCTCAAAGGCCATCAAAGCCGTGACGAGCTCTTCATTGGCGTGGATCAACCCACCAAGAAACTCCTCGCTTTCAATGTACTGAATATACCGCAAAATCTGATGTCGAAGCTTTTTACATTTCTCGAATCGATTAATGCACTCTGCATCCTCGCTCACTCGTGTGGTTTCACGGTTAACGAGCTTTAACGCATTCAACAAGTTCGTACTTGCAACTGAAGACGATGCTAGTGTCTGTACAATCTCCGGACGCTCTCGCTCCAAATTGAAGCTCCGTCCCGCACTAACAGAGAGCTTCTTATCGCGTTTATCCTTCTTGGGCTTGCTCTTCGGCTTCGGAGCACTGAGTGGTGTAGATGGCCCATTACCTGCTGAAATGGACACCGTGTGGCCCATCGGCGGGTCGTTCCGATTTCGCTCCGCACCTTCACGGAGCACCTTTGCCTTTGCCTGCGTCGCGGGCTGTTTCCTCTTCGGAAGCTGCTTATACAACGCGGTGATCCCGCTCATCCCCGCGGTATCTTTGTACGTTACGGCCCATTGTCCAAAAAGTACTTTGCACTTCTGCTTGACTAGTGGGTCGGATACGGAGTCTGTTCCTGCGATACGGAGTCGTTCGAGAAGAGGCTCATCGGCAAATTCACGGAGGAACCGGTCTCCCGCGTTTTGGATCAGGAAGTCGAGAATGACGAGGGCTCGGAGTTGTCGGTGGAGATTGCCATATTTTCTGTCAAGCAGCGCATTAGCCCCGCCCTGGACAGTATCTTTTTTGGCTGAAGTGAAAGGGGGTAGGCTTACAGCTTCTTGCGCAAAGCGCGACTCGCTTCCGTTGGTCCGCTCGCCTGGATGCGGACCACCTCTAATAGTTCAACAATACCGGAGGAATCTTCGACTTCGTATGTTTCGCTGGTGAGGACTTCAATTTGGACGGTCACCGCCGAGTAGGGTTTCTGTGGCATCATCGAGTTAGCCTGTGTTGTCTGGTCGCATGACAGTCTTATCGCGTGCTTCAAGATCGCGACATGGAAGCCTTACGTGAGATTGGAACATGATTTATATGGATTCAGGTTGATCTATTGAACAGCCAAAGCGTTAGAACTCCGAACCATTCTTGCTAGGATGAAGCATTATTGTAGAGAGTTTCCCCTGGCCCTGACTCACCCTGCTATGCAACCCCGCGGGTATCGGTCCTCTCTCTCCAGTTGAACCCCGCACTGTTCGGAAGGAACGTAGAATTGTGGGAATTAGGGATATCAAGAAGGTAAAAATAAGAATTTGAGGATAAACCGGACCGGCGGCCTTCTAGGCGTGGGTTTGTTTGTTTCGGAATGAAAGAATAGCACACGGTGTAAGGTGATAAGGAGGCAGTGACGTCGGAGGGGGGTGTCTTGGCACTAAATCAGTCGGGAGGCCGATCAACGTCTCGGGCATGGGAGATGGTGGAGGCGGGTGGATTACACTGAACCAGTTAAAACACCCAGGGAAGAAGTCCGAAAAAGAAAGATTTGTATCCCGTTAATTGAGCTAGCCAAGGAGCTAAACTTTGGTGTTGGAAATCCCTCCAAATACGAAATTTCAGCCAGGAATACGAGGAAAAAGCCGTATACATCTATAATTGACACGGAAGAACACAATTCTCCTGTCAATTATCGCCCCAACCCTGACCCTCTTATGATCCTCGCCACATCATCGTCCCGTTCTTATTTGGCGCGCGTCCTGTCCCGCTTTCTGCTCTTCTCCACCCTCATCCTGGCGCTCAGCGTGGCTCTCAAGACCCGCTCCCGTCTCTCTCTTCTGTTCCCCTCCTTCGCCCCTCCTTCCTCCTTCTACCACACAACCACCATGTCTTACACACAAGAACGCTACATCGCCGAGCTGGCCGTCCAGCGCGCCTGTCTCCTTACCCAGAAGGTCTTCTTTGAGAAGGCAAAGGGTACCGTCTCCAAGGATGACAAGTCCCCCGTAACAATTGGCGACTTCGGCGCCCAGGCCCTCATCATCCAGGCTATCCGCAAGAACTTCCCCAACGACGAGATTGTCGCCGAGGAGGAGGCTAGCTCCCTGCGCGAGGACAAGGACCTCAGCGCTGAGATCTGGCGCCTCGTTAAGGACATCAAGCTGGACGACGCTGAGAGCGATAACATTCTGGGTGGTGCTCTTACTAGCGAGGAGAGCATGCTGGACATCATCGACGAGGGCAAGAGCGCCGGTGGAGCTAAGGGCCGTATCTGGGCTCTTGACCCCATCGACGGTACTAAGGGTTTCCTCCGTGGGGGCCAGTACGCCGTTTGCCTGGGTTTGATCGTTGATGGAGATGTCAAGGTTGGTGCCATTGGTACTCCTAACCTGCCCGTCGATGATGCCGCCACCATCGATGCCAGCACCGGCGCCCAGCAGGCTAACTCCTCCGCCAATGGTGTGCTTTTCTCCGCTATCCAGGGCGAGGGTGCTACCAGCCGCCCTCTGGCAAGCGGCGCTCTTGCTACCGCCAAGTCTATCTCTATGCGTCCTGTCTCCGATATTGCCCAGGCTGTCTTCTGTGAGGGTGTTGAGGCTGCTCACTCTGCTCAGGGTGACAACGCTGCTGTCGCTGAGCTATTGGGTATCACTGCCCCAAGTGTGCGCTTGGACTCGCAGGCTAAGTACTGCTCCATCGCTCGTGGTGCTGGTGACATCTACCTTCGCTTGCCTGTGAAGAAGGATTACCAGGAGAAGATCTGGGATCACGCTGCTGGTGATATAATTGTTCGCGAAGCTGGTGGTCAAGTCACTGACATCTACGGCAACCGCTTGGACTTCAGCAAGGGCAGGACCTTGGCTGCTAACAAGGGTGTTGTTGCGGCCCCCAAGGCCAGTCAGGACCAAGTTATTGGTGCCGTCAAGACTGTCTTGAAGCTGTAAGCTTGAATGATTTGGATTACTTGGATTATTTCAAAGACATGTTCTACGGGTGATTTCATGTTTGCTACGAATACGCTTGATGTGTCTGAATGTGTTTCATTATGATACCACCTTACGAAAACAAAATTTGGAGGAGAGGAAGTTGTGCTCAAAAAGTACATATTCTGTGATATAAGAACAGGTGATAGATATACAAATACAAGGGGACCAAAGATGCCATGTCCCACACAACCAAAATGTAAAAAGATATCCAACAAAAATGCAACGCTCGAGTAGATAGATCATTTGATCTTCTTCGCCTTAAGCTTAATTGTCTCCCCGTTGACAAAGATACCCTTGCCCTTGTACGGCTCAGGCCGTCTCCACTCACGAATCTGTGCCGCGAACTGCGTAACCTTTTGTTTTTCGACACTCTCCAAGAGAATACGTGTTGGCTGTGGAGTACTAGCCTCGATGCCCTCGGGAATACCCAGTTCAATAGGGTGAGAGAATCCAACCTTCAAGGAAACAAATTTCTGGCCAGGGTAGGTGGGAGCGACGGTAGTAGCGGAGGACTCGATAGTAGCACGGTAACCAACACCAACCATGGAGAGAATACAGATATGTCCTTCTGAGACACCGATGATGTGGTTTTGGAGGTGGGCGCGAATGGTACCTATTACTTGATTGTCAGTTATCCGCGCAGCCTCAAGTTTGCGACTTTGCTTTGCCCGGTGATGAAGACATACCCCACATAGCACGCTGGTGGGCATCCTCAGGATCTGAAATAGAGAGTGTAGTCTTTTGTGTAGTACTATCGTGTTCCACGTTGAGGAATGATGGGATGTTAAGCATCAATTCACCTGTAACGCAACCGGTTAACATTAGCTATTCACTCGGTAACCTGAGACCATTGAGTGGGCATGCGTACCCTTAGGGCCCTTGATTTGAGCGATAAGCTTGATGATTTCCTTTCCGCGGCTTTGGGTGACATCTTTGGGCGCATCAATGAGGTTCAATGATACCTCCGGGGGCACGGAGATGGCGGCACCTCCGACACGCGAGTGCGCCGGGGAGGTAGACGAGAAGCATTGGACGCGGGAGGGAGAGAAGGCGGGGGTGAGAAAGAGAGGTAATGAGCGGCGCTGAAAGGGCTCACGGAGGAGCTGCCGAGCGCAGCGTTGAGGCAAAAACGACATGGTGATTAGGTTGTTGATTTCCGAGTCGCTGCGGACTTGATAATTTTGCCGTAGTAAATTATGGCGGCGGTGCACGTGATGCAGGCATATCTTACCAGTTAGTTTCCTACTTTGTTGATGCCTTAGAGTTAAGGTTCTATAACCACAATTATTTTCGGGTTCCAACATCATCATTGAATGTTACCTCTCATATGACCCAGGGTTTAAAATTATGAATAAAGGCTTACTTTATTCCATACTATTTTTGTTCTCAAGATCCAGTCTTGGAACATGGGTGTGTGGATTCTGAGTCTGTGTTATAGGTTTTGAAGTGACTGTGGGCCAGCAGGCCACTTGAGTTTATTTTGAGGAAAAGCCTTGGGCAAATGCAATCCCAGTTGAGTATTCGAGACATACCAGTCCAGACTAACCGTAGGAGCGGAACAGAAATAAAGAAAGGTTCGAATAGTCGGTCCGTCCAATCTGTACAGTGACGGATCTCTCGTGGGACCGGCGTTTCTTAGCGTGCAAGCGGTCGTAATCCATGGAGTCATTCGACGCCTTGCATCGCTCAATAGGCAGACTTCAACTATAATAGTATTGAGAGTGGCTGAGATAGGCCCTATCCCAGTAACGCGAGATTCGCCTACCGTCTGAACGACACCGAGATTATGTGGGCCTTGAAGCACAGTCAAATCCCTTTCGAAAAGCTCCATTTGGTCGCACCCTGTGTCAAACCCAAACTTAAACTCACTCCACCAATCAACGCCTGGTAGCTTTACAGCAATATTGTACTAGTTGTTTGTTAAGTATGTACACATATAGTCAAGAGAGCAGGCTAGTTGTTTGTGTTTAGAATGTCTTACCGTAGCACAACTTAAGCCCATTCCACCTTGTCGTATGATTAGTCTTGCGTCAGTACGGAGGGTCCTGGCTCCATGCAGCTATTGAAGTACATTAGCATAGCTTGAATGTCTTGATATATTGCCTTAATACGTACTCCTTCAACCCAGAAGCTTGTAGTGCCGTTATGGTGATTATTGATCGCCAAGCATTCATCCCAGTCAAATGGGCGAGGTTGGCTAATTTGCGTACCTCGCGACCAATACGTTACCAGACCATTGATTTGTATCCTTCCGCTCCTGTATGCTAATATAATAGCTTGGACATTGGGTAGCTGATTGTTTCTGTCCCCATTTGTCTACAAATCACCAGATATGGAGTCAAAAGCTTCCAATCGATTTAAAACATACCAGCCCAGGATTGCAGGCCACCTAGATGAGATTGCACTATTAAACAGAAAAGGGAATATTAGTGGCCACATTTCACTATTAATCCATGTAGAGTTTATAAAATATCCTTACTCATTTCGAGTCCTGATCCCTGTATAATAATCTAATTTATGCTGAAAGGCATGAGGCATAATGTTGTCCGTTATCCGCTCTCTTGCCCGAGCAATCTGCGCATCAATATCGCTACCCGTCATGTCAGTCTATTTCATATGTAAAATTATCTTTCGAAATGCTTACTTTGGGTCTAAATCAGGCTCATCAGTGTTCCAGCCCTCAGGCAACTGGGTACGATCCGTTAACGGCCTCCCAACCTGGGTCCATCTCTGCTGTCTTGGGGGCCTCGCTTCCGGCTCAACGGCCGGCACCCTGTATTCTGGGTCATTGGCATATGTTCTGTTCAAGTCCATATCAGCAATTGCCAAATCTCTGTGCTCGGGTTCATCCCATGGTGATCCCTCCCAATAAAAGGGGCCATGCTGCCGGAGCTGGTCATTTATCTTTCGTCCAGCTGAGCTCAGCGTGGAGCGAATGCAGGATGTGTATTTCTGGATCCTGGTGGCATTGGCAATTCTGGTTCGAAGAATTGGTGTAGATGACATATCGTTGATTACGGATTATAGGCAAGAGGGAAAGGTGGTGGGAATATGGTTGGAGTCGACGTGAGACCAATTGAGGTATCGTATTGGCTTTATGACTTCGGCAACAAAGAATGTAGTCGAAGATAGTTCTTTGATGTTGATATAGCGATATTTTTTGGGTTTGGATCAATTCTATCTTTTCTTTAAGTCATCGCGGTTTCTTTCACTAAGGTAATTCGATCTTAGTAGTCTATAAAGAGTTGGACTTTGCATGGCCTGGTTTCGTCGGATTTCTATGTTCGAGGATCGAGTTTTCAGCTGAACAGATGTGGAATTTCTAGTCAGTTGGATAGATAATCCTTTACCCAGGTGGTCGAGTATCTCCAACCATGCGTCTTTGCTGGATGTTCAAGGTGAGAAGCGAGCGCAGCAGATTCCTAGATTTCGTAAGTTTTAGCTTAGAATAAGCATTCCGTAGAGATAAAATGTATGAGAATGTATTGACCACTTCAAAATCATTTTTAATCCTAATAAATGGCATATCTGGATCACCATGTGTGCGGTAAACATAAGGTCTAAGCTTCAGGCGTAAAGTGTGCCGTGCGGCTCAACCGCAGTGTCTTCACTTCAACCCTCCATCTTCATCCTCGAAGCCCCACCATCGAGTGAGCTCCAACTTCGTTTCCATCGAGGCTTTCTCTCCTCACTCTGTTTAAATGGGTCAACGAACAGCTTCCATTCTTCCTTCCTTTCCATCTCCCCGCCTGGAACTTCAATAAATCTCTCGCCATGATCTGGACCAACTTATCGCCGATGCCTTTCTGTCTTCAAAGCTTGATTATCCTCATCATTATAGCGCAAATGAACCTTGTGTCTGCATCAGAAAGGAGTGAGTGTGTCTCTTGAAAGAATCATCGAACCCACGTCTCTGACCAATCAAGTGTTACTGCCCATATTTACTGGGGGCGATGACAGGAATAACGCCGTCTCTCATATCGATACGAAAGATCCATATCGCGATGCGATCTTCACCGAGGCTGCTCAGCTGCTAGATTCACTCAAATCATCTCCTTCCTGTCATCGCGTCGCAGCGACAAAACTGATAACCTCGTGCCAAACATTGGATGGGAAGGAAGCTCATAACCGTGGAGAGTATGAAGCGCTGGATCGCACACGCTCAGTTTATGCTGCAAGACTGGCAATCTGTGAGCTCGATGGAGCAGGGGCTTCGATTCCACCTGCCTGTCTTCCTCTTACAGCCTCGCCACCCCAGCCAAGATCCCGTTTCCTTTTCAGTATGAAGTCAAGACCGCATGATCCCGACTTCGACGACTATCCAAAAGAGATCCTAGAGCCTTGTCTCAAGACCTTGGAGTCACGACCTCAGTGGTGGACTTCATATAGCAACAACAGGCAAAACGCAATGGTCATCTGCGAGGCAACACGAATGGAAACACAGAAAGACGAACTGCTCAACCTCCATCGATCCATTGTTGACAGCAGCGCTAAATTAAGCAATGGGCTTATCGCCGCGCTGCAAAATACAGCCATGGATTCAGCCCGAAACCAAGAGTTTTTGGAATCGGTTCAGGCGCTACAAAGGAGGTTACTTGTGGAAATGGAAGAAAGTGACCTCACTTTACATGATACCTTTGTCAGGCTATTAAACGAGGTCGAAGCTGGTATTGATACAATGATGGCCTTATTCACATCATCCTTGAGTAATCTCCAGAATGAGACGGCTAACCTTGGAAAGGTGAGTGCAGCATCTTTAACATTATCCAATTATACTAATTACGATTCAGAACATTGCGACCATTTCGGGCCAAGTCAATACCCTTCAGCAGAGTCTCACGGAATCACATGAGGCTGAGATATTGAGGAGTAAAGAGGTGCTCCGAGTTCATGAAGAAAACTCTCTTGTATCTCAGCAACTCGCATTAGATATGCACCTTGCAGTGGAGTCCAATATGAATACAGACTTGACGCTCATCTCCCAAAGGATGGCCAACCTCGACTCGTCATTAGTAAGTCAACGGTGCACCATACACATTCCATAGCAACAAAGCTGACCCTGGTAGGAATGGTTGACGAGTCGGCTGAATCACGTTCTCAAACAAGAAAATGAGTTAGCATATGTGAGTATTGTCTAATTCATCTTGTTGTATTTTTTTTGCAACTCAGGTACTAAGTCAAATAGAAACTTGAAACTATGGAGAAGTCGGTCGAAATATCCACAAACAAAGCCAATGAGCTGCAGGCGGCTCAACACGAGCAGGTTAAAGCACTTAATGCGCAAGTTCAAGTACACGAAGAGATACAATTCGCTGCTCAGCTTTCTAAAGCCTTGATGGAAAAAGCTGCAGCAACTGCTGCCAATCTACAAGCGACAATTGAAGATGCAGCAGTCAAAGCGAAGAGTATCCTGAATCTCCAACTAGGAGGCTTTTTAACCTGGGCGACAGGTACCGGTGCTCTTCTTCTTATCGGTACAATGAATGCCACAGCCGCGATAGGTATTTTCTTCATGGTATTGGGTGAGTTTCAACACCAGCTCTTACTGAATAATACTGACATCAATGGACAGGAGGCAAACTCGCATTTTCTTACCTTCGGTATTTCTAAAATTCGCTATATTGTTTTTTTGATTCTTTTTTTCTTGCGAAAGCAGCTCTCTACGCAGCTTTTATGCTGGGCTTATTCCCCACGACTTATATTTTCACTCATTGATATACATTCGAATACATCTATTGCGTCATCCATCTATACCACACTCAGACTCAGCATCACTATCGAATCGCATAGAAATCACTTCGTCAAGATATGCGAGGTATGTTTCTTCAATTTATAAAATCTGCAGGATCAAGTCAAATCCCGTTTCAACTATTCAAAGGCCTACTTAGTCCTCGAGGATGACCCCATGTCAAGGGTTCGAATCTTGTTAAGTATCATAATAGAATTTAATTTAATTTAATATTCGTCATTCAGTTGACATTTGCTACCAAACACCTGTTGATTTGTTACCAAAGCCATGTTAACAAGCAACAAAAACATGAAGGTCCCGAGATCACACAGAATAATTGATGAGAATAATAGGTACTCGGGTGGACTAAAGTAAACCAACGCTGCGTGAACTACAAAAGTTATGATAGACGCAGCGATTACCTCCACTAAAGCCCCATTAGAAACATTCTCTAATAGTTGAATTTCAGACTCACGTAGTTTAGAACCGTCATTGTTTGTCCAGAACGCCAATAAGACCAACAAGGCACAGAGAATATTGGAGGATCTGCCGATGGCTTTCTTATGTACTAGGGGCTGATATGTCTCGTAGTTCGCAGATCAAGGGTAAAGTGAAATACTTGGTAAATATTTTTGCCATGCGCTGGAATATGCATCACCGCGATTTAGAGCCGCGGGCCCGGATTCAAGGGACATGGCAATGGCAATGGCAAATCACTTTTGACTGCACAAATCGATAGTCAAAGGGACCTTGTTTTCTCCTTGGGTCTTTTGGTTGAAAACATGGAGCCCGACGAAGAGATTTAGAAGAGAAAGTGAGAATAAGGCTGCGCAGCCACACTTGGTAGTATATCTCATCGCCGGCTACGGGGGACTATAGCGCCCAGTGGGAGGTAAAGCTCCCATTTCACTTATTTCTACACTGACAGAATATGAAAGATGGTGTTTGAATTGCTTTCTATTCATCTTTTTATTCGTCTTTCCAATCATCTTTCTACTTGATTTTCTATATCTATTCAGAGCTTACAGTACAGATAGCGGTGTTCTAGGCGTCAAAGGTTATATAGGGTCAAGGGGTTTTTTCCCGCTGGCCACTATATATATTCCCTCGTATCAGGCGTGGCATCGGCATTCTGAACAAAATCTTATTCTATCATCGATCATCACTATCGTACAATAAAAACAGGATATCCTCCCAATGTCGAATTTATTTTCCAGTACAACGACGCTGTGAAACATAATTCAGAAAAGGCAAGCACGACCAAGGTTCAAGAGGTCGGCTCACCGGCTCACAACACTCTGGACAATTATCATTGAAAGAACACCACCCGGAAAGACACTCAGAGCAGTACCAGTGCTCACAGGGCAGAAGAGGAACTAAAGTCCCCGACGACAGCGCAATGAAACAGAACCGACAGAGCGCCATTCGGCCCTCTGGCACCAACTGATCCACCGGTACACGGGGGTGCGTGACAAATTTGGCAAGAAATTCCTCTTGCGGTGTATCACGCTCTAGCAAGCCATCAGTGGACAGCATAATTCCTGCATCTTTGATTTCGTCTGCGGGATGATCGAAAAAACGGTCTCGATAGGGCAAACCGGCATCTACGAAGGTAACGCCGACGCAGCCCCGTCCTCCGTAGTAGATGTTTTCGAATTCTTGGATTAGGCCGATGTCACGGAGAATGTCGATTCCTCGTTTGAAAAGATGGCTGCCGAATAGAGAGAGGTATACTATTGTGTCATCTCGGGCTTCTAGCATGCACCGTCCAGCTTCGAGGCGCTCCTCGTATCGCTCAACGAGCAGGGTAGGGAAGAGGTAGCGTTGTGGAATGGTGCACATCGCGTCAAACCTCAGTACTTGGCGATATGTATAATGGGTCTTTGGGCCTTGGGGTGAACAGTCGAATGAATTAAGCGTTTAAGTCGAGTACAATAAGGTAAAGAAATGAAATATGAAGATATCGAGGCTCTTTATATCTCAAGGGTTAGACTTCGAGTTGACAATGGATTCAATACAGTGCATTATATAAGTCCTTCAACGTTTCTATTCTTGCTTCAAAGATAAAGAGGCTATACATGTTGAAAGCAAGCGGGTTGTTAACTTGTTTATGGAACAGACAATGAATGGCTATTTATATTGGCGTTGCTATTTTAAAGTACAAAGAAACCGCGATGCCGAATTTACAAGGGTTTCAAGATTTCTTTATATAAAGTAAGCGGCAGACCTGTGAACTTGAACTGATTAACTGGTACTATATTAAGCGACATCGATCGATAGCTCGGATTCGATATTGGTGTATGATGGTGTCTAAGTTTACTACATCATAACAAATAAAAATAGCAAGGTACTATCTGCATACAAATAACTCGAAGTTTTTTCAGTACGAATGTTATAAACGGCTACTTTTCTACCTGTAACTTGGAAAGAGGGGTTCAAATGGATACTAGTAGAAGCACGTAGCCTCAACCTTATAAAACTTAATGATTTCGTCCGAGGATAGCTACCTCATTGCGCTAAAAAGGACTATATCAAAATACGCATATGGATTTCACAAAACAGGGAATCGATCACAAAAATGGAAACAAACTAATAAGCAATCTGTTGGTTCATCCAGATGTTAATCGCCAAAGTCTTCAAAGCTTCAACATCGAGTACGATACTCCATTCCCGAGGGTAGCTAGCGGCCCTTAGCAAAAGCTTTTCAAAGGGAATCAATAGAGACGGGCCTGAAACCGAGCAGGTCCCATTACCTCCTGCGAGTTCAATGTGCTGGACCACATATGGCGTGCTTGTAACCGGATTCCACTCCCATTTGTCGATTTTTATAAGCGGTTTGGCTTGGTTGATCTTGATTGTGATAGCAATATTTGCCTGGCCCCCTGTGGAATCAGTCCACATCGTCGCATCTCTTCGAAGTTTGGCCTCCGTTTCAGTAACCCCCACTTCCACGACTACCGTAGGCTTGTTTTTGACCGAGCCCATAACTGTCGTGGGCGCCCATCCCTCGTCTGGGATTTTTTTGCTCCTGGAATTCACATCGACTTCAACACCAGCAAACGATGAAACCCGTTCGCAGAGCCAGTATTCTGGCCACAGCTCGGTGCTCCAGAGTGGCTATTCTGATGATGAGAATTTGGGTTGACGAGTCGTAGTCGTAAAAATAGCCGAGTGGGCCTTTGTCGCTGCGATGAAGAAATTCGTGTGCAAAAGAAGAGGGGTTCATCAAAAAGATGAGACAGTTAGAATTTCCGTCTGATATTGGGTGTAGGGTATCACGATGTTGGATTTGAGCCCCAGATTGAGTATAGAGGTAGTTACCTGATTCTCGCCGAGTATCTCCCACCCCGCTGGCGCCCGCTCTTTCCCCTTGAGCACCAGCTTGGCTCTGACGAAACGCTGCCATGATTTTGTTCGAGTTGTGAAATTTTGTGGTCTCATAGTTCAAAATAATGAAACTGTTGGCTTCCTTGGTAAATATACCTAGGGACAGGTGGAGGCAAAGCCTCTAGAAAACCCTCTGTAGCATCGTCATATCTGGAAACGCGAGATTCGGATTCGGCCATGATAGGGTCTGGTTCTTTCTTGCTTCGTTTCATTACCGATATTGTTAGCGTCTAGAATTGTTTCCTGGACATGAACGGGTTTGAGGGTGAGTGGGTTTTAAATTTAAGCTTGTCCCCATCATAATGACGTGCTGCTAGTGGTATACATATACTACTGATGAATATTAACCTTTAAGCTTCTGTCACAGGCTCCCTTTTCCAAGCATGAAATTTGAAAATAGGTAATATACGCATTTTCAGTGTGTATTATCGGTATCCACGCTTAAGAGCCTACACAAGAACCTTGGAACTTTGGAAAGGTATCGTGTATGTATTCCGATCGTTGGTAAGGTTGAATTTCAATAAAGGGCCTAGGGTCACGTTTTTATTCATTCTTGTTATTAGCAAAGGGTACTAAAAGAAATGAGTTTCACTTGGCGTTTCAAGCCTCCGCCCATTAAGACCGAATTCCAAGGTTCAATACCTTGAGTCATCTTTAGATGTCCATATTGTACGTAGTTGCAGTAGTTGCAGTAGTTGAAAGTTTATATGAAGTAGGTATTTGCACCTGTTGATATATAAAAGCAACTTTGCTAACTAAATAGATATATGCGGGTCATTCGGCTCATGTTCATTGACTCGATTGCCAATATCATTGGGGTATCTTATAAAAGCTCACACTGCACCAATCAAGAACGCAAAGATCTAATCATCCCCCGCCGAAGAAGCACCATCCACATCTATCATGGAAACATCACCACCAGCTGCAGCCACGGCTGCCGCCTTTTCCTCGCGGGCCTTCTGCCGACGTTTGAGCTTTCGCTCGCGGTTTTTCCGGGTCCGCTTCTCAGCATCATTCTCCTTAGCTACTTGAGCCGCCGCCACACGCTTCCGCAACATGACCCGGCGCTTCTTCCCAGGCTTCTTGCGAGTTTTCGGTGACTTGGATGGCAGTGCGCCCTCGACCACATAAATGGGTAAATCTTTATCCTTTGGTGGCAGTTTCGTCTGGTGTCGCTTGAGATGGATTACTCTCCATGGGAGATGGCAGCCAGGCTGACAAGCAGCATTAGTTAGAAATACATGAGTATGAAATCAGTAAATCAACTTACCCATGGCTGCGATTTGGTCCAAGATAGCACATGCTCGCCCGTAACGGCAGTATCTTCGAATTGCTTCTTTTTCTCTGCCTGATCCGCTTCTTCTTCGGATTTGTCTCCGCTGTCGTTCCATAATGAAGATGTTGAAAAATAGTACTGCCATCCACGGAATGCCTTGACGAATTTACCCTCGCCTGAGGCTGCTGTTGGTGAATTCAATCTGATCCGAAGCTTCTGTGTTCCCGAACTAGGTTTATCTCCTCCTTCCGAGGGCTTGCCATCAGAATTCTTCTTTCCCGTGGTATCTCCAGAGGTTTCAGTGGTGGGTGTTGGTTTTGTCGGGGCGCTGAATAGCCGAAATTCGTACTCCTGCTCCTCGTCCTCATCATCGGCACCTGGGGCTAGCGGTGCATTGTCCGCATTGTCTGTTGGCGCATTGATCCCGATCAACTCATCGAGATTGAGCAATTTCCCCAGGCGAGCGTGGGCATCTTCAAATTCCGATTGATCGACCGGGGACGGTGAACGCGACGAAGCGGGGGATTGGACTTCATCCCGGCGTATACTGTAGGAGTGATTATTAGTGAGTATAAATCAGTAAGAGGTTTAGAATCAATAGGCATACCGTTTGGCTTCGGGTAAATCAAACATGGTGGTTACGAAATAATCGTGTTCGTGCAGAGAGAAGTGCAGAGAGGAAAGATCACAAAAAAAAGAGGTTTAAAGAATAATGCCACGCCTTGCGGCCACTACACAGAAGCCCTGGAGGTCATAATGGCCAAAGATCGTCTTCGATTTCTGCCTAAAATATAAGGTCGAAAAGAGTCACCGCCCTTACGAATAAGTAATACAGCACTTGACGGGGCCGGCTTAGGTATGCCGCGGCCTTCGGTACACGCCTTCCAAGGTTGCGGCCACGCCCAGTTGCTTATCGATGACATCGCACGGACACTTTCCCAGCCTCAATCTCCGACTGCAACCTCTTGCAACATTTAACTTTTTATTATTCTCTTTTCACCCCTCCTTCGATCGCAGCGCCATTTTTCGTCTTCGCTTTTCATTCTGCATAAACCACACTCCTTACTCCACATCTCTCGTCAACTCCATCTAGCCCACCCCATTGAGGGGGTTCGCGGGTCCCACCTTTGCATCGGTCATTGGGAGGCAATTAATGCCTCGTGCTACTCGCATCGTGCCCCTCCGAACACCTCAACCCGTCTCCGTCCTTTCTACCACGTCCCTATAAATGGGTGTCTGTGCCTCGTGCCTGGGCGGTAATCGCCACGAGTCTCCTGAGGTGAGTCAGGCGTGGTCAAGATGTTTAATGCGCATTATCTGGGTCTTATGCGCGAGACATGGAACGCGTATCGCAGGATAAAGCATTCTAACGATTCTTTCTTTAAGCCGGAGTCTTCTCGTTTATTAGAGGATGACCCTTATCAGGCTGGGTATGGCTATGGAGCACTCAGCCATGCTCAGCAGGCTAATCAGCCGGATCCGGAGTACGTGAGGCGTGAGAGGGAAGCGTTGGATGCGATCTGTCAACGGACTTCTGAGTGAGTATTTTCCCTTTATATGTTAATATATTCGCGACGATGCGATTCTGGTTGGGATGTCTTTACTGATCGGGCATTCTTTCGTACTGCAGTACTGTTATTGATATCTGGTCCTTGCAACCGCAACCCCACCTCCAACCACAGGCAACTCTTCAGACTCCTCGATCTGATTCGGCATCACCTGTTACCAATGACGATAAAAGTCATCTTGCCGTTACATCTGATGCAGCATCGCATCATAGTCGCCCTAGCACGGGGGGAACTGTGCCCAAGCATTGGGGAGAAGTCGTTCTTAATCCCAGCAAGAAGCGATCCCGTCAAAACATGAAGGCTGATAGTCGTGATGTCTTTGGGGTCCTCAAAGTAACCTAATTGTTGCAGGGCATTGGCTCGGCGACGTTGCACTCTCACAGAACACGATGAATCATACGAAAAGAGTCTAGAGAAACCATGGTCACCAAGGAGGAGTCAAGAACTCTGGAGTTAATTGATACGTCTCCAGGACATTAACCTGTATCTCTGTATTTGTTTTTCTGTCTCTTGCGCTGCCCCTTTCTTTCTGTTCAGTCTTGATATTCTTTTGTTGTCTTTGCATGAATCATGGATCGCCGGTCGATTGTATCGCACATACATAGCCACTCTCTTTGTGTCTCCCCTTTTTTGTCCTGTTAATACCCAAGGTGCAGGCCTCCATTCAACAGAATGTTTCTTTATGTGCCTTCTTTGTTCAGATTAGAGTTTCGTTGGCGATGTTCTCTCTTTTTTCTCTTTACAATCGTTGAGTTTTCATTTTTTTTATGTTCGGTTCTTACTGTCTAGAAATGTAAATTCAATGCAGGATATGTGAACTCGGAACTTCACTGGATTAAGCCAAGGGTATATTTAATATGCTACAAATCAGGATGCCAAATCAATCAATTGAAACAAAATCCATTCGAGTGTCACAGACTGCTTGACACATAACTGCTAATCCATGATAAATTCGCGCATCACCTATCCTTGACTCCACCCGAGATATAGAAATGCATAAGCTGATTTATCGAAATTCAAGAGGAATAGCAGGAACGGGAATCGAAAAGACAAGGAAATAAAACCATAAACCTCGATGTGAACGAAACGCCCGCTGGTCCTGTCCGATGAGTCAAACAAATATAATATAATAGTTCAAAAAGTGGGGATGATGCAATATGTTTGTGCAAATCCAATCTCAGTATGAGATGGTAAAGATAATTTCAGAGTAAAGAAGCCCACCGATCAAACATCGTCCATTGCTCCAGCTGGTTCTTCACCACCGGATTCATAGCTTCCAGCTGAGCTGAGCTCGTCTTCCGACTCGGTGTCTTCTCCTGCATCATCGACTGCTTCTTTGCTGGCATACTTGGAGACGTATTCTATTTATTGTCAAAAATTGGTCAGTGGCAGATATGGCACAATCCACGTACCCTTTACTTTGGCCTCATATGCCTTGGGCTCCCTCATCATCAACGCTGCGGCCTCGCCGTTGAGCGGATCAGATGGATTCGGGTAGCGGAGAAGTTGTGGTAGAAAGACTTCGAAGATGTTGAGCATGTCGTACATGGGCGACCATGTTTGGTTGATAACGTCCAAACAAACTGATCCTGACCTGCAACCGAAAACGGTCAATATCAAAAAAGGGAAATCGGATAGAGCAGGGCACTAACAGCTCATCAATATTTGGGTGGAATATGCGGTTGACAAATCCGATGCTGGGACTCTTATAGGGGTACTGGTCTGGTAATTCCACGTGGATTTTCCAGTGTCCTCCAGTGAACGGCGCTAGAACGGTCAGTAGGTATTCAACCGACATTCAGTGTGTTGATGGACAGCATACTCTCTTCTGGTCCCTTGAAGCGAACATAGAATTCTTGCCTATAGCGCAAAAAATGTCAGCTGCTTTCGTCGCGTTCGTGCGTTCGTCCCTGGTCCGATGGAGCATACACTAAATTCCAGTTAGTATTTGGAATTTTTGATAATAGAGATAGATCATGGAAAGATTTACTGTTATCATTGACTAGTGTCACTTCATAATCACTCATCAACCTAAAACCATATCATCAGACAAACTCTCGGAATCCAATGTCTTGTACGGAGGCCGATGGAACCTCTTTGTCGCGGCGATATCGGTGAAGGGAAAGGGATCGATAGGCATACATCCTAAACCATAGTTAGTGATCATGTTCCCATATTTTGTAAAGACAAATTTTTTTTTTCATTCATACTTCATAACCTGCAAAGTATAAATATCACGTATTAGCTAGTGCGGGGACATCGATGTAGTTTCTATACATCCAAAGGGAAACTCACGTCGGTCTCGATTCTTCGTTTGGGACTGCTCATGTTGGCGATTTGCGGGCGAATACGCTAGTTTCTCGAAGCTCGGATTGAAGCTATCTGATAGCTAGTTTCGGGGTTGACAATGAGGTAATTTCGGGGTTGACAATGAGGTAATTGAGTAGCCGATTACCTCCAATCGAAGCGGGGAAGTATGAGGCGGGGCAAAATTGTTGGGAAGAAAGGACGGCGTAGCGGATTGGAATACTGTATTTATAAGGGGCCTGAGGCTTTAAGGTAGGGAGGAATTTGAACGATATATAAATTCACTAGTAGCCCAAAAGTTGGAAGGAAAGAAGACGAAGAGTGGACGGAGGAGGGGGAACTTGGTGACAATGATGGCCCGATGAGTCAGCTTTCTGGTGCGGAGCCATGGAACCCGGATGTCACGATCACCATCTGACCCAAGTGCGACTCTCATCATGTCTCTATCCACTTTCCCTCCGGACGATGCGGGTCCCCGCCAGGTTCGACAGTACATTGTGGACCACCTCATGTCCAAGCATGATACGACATTGGAATTTGCCCAGAAGGCCGCTGATCTGTGGCCTCTGGGTCGTGGACGGGATTTTCGCAAGGCTACGATGACCGTGTGGGAGAACGCAGTCAAGGCGTACAGCCCTATTTTCGGAGATGCAGCAGCTCCTTATGTATTACAGAGTGTACGCGAGGACTGCTGGAATAATTGGCGAGCCTCTCCACTTGGTATCATGAATCTTCGGGCAATCATCGCCTGCTTCACTTTATCAGTGCTCTTTTTCATTTGGACTCGCACCAGCGCCCGGTTCGCAAAGGACCCTATTCCTTATATATTTCGGAATACTTGTTGGCCCATTGGACCTCCATTGTTGATCTGTGCATACCTTGAGCATGGGCACTCAACGGGGCTGCCTGTGTTCTTTTGGATCGTAGGGTTTTTTGGCACTTTTATGGCAATATCTGCGACCGCCGTCCTAATTGCGGATGGCGAGAAGCCAAGATTTGATGAAAATGCCGAGGAAAAGTTGAAGGGAAAGCCATCATAAAACTTCAGTGCTTTAAGATTCATCAACAACTTGAATAGCACCTCCAGGGCTGGAGGCATGCGTGCTCTAGGCCGAGATGTACATTGTAGGATAGGGCCTATACTTTCAGGGGATCTGAGCATAGATGTATCATCAAGAGAGCCAATAACACACTATGTATTATCGAAGTTCCTAAAGTATAAAAGATGATATAATGTCTACCTAGTGCAACATTTGAAGTCACCTAAACTTGAAGATAACCTCCAGGCTTGGAACTTGATATCTGGAACGACTTCATGGTCCTGACTGATAAATACATAATACATGTATTGTCACCTCCAGGCCTGGTCATCTCACAAGAGTCGCAATAATACAGCGCTAGATCAAATACGGTATAGCGGCGATTTGTATATAGGCGCCATCTGGTTCCTATTGCTTGCCTCGAAGCTCGGCAACATACTCACCTGTCCATCATTCTTCCAGTCCTAATCTACAAATTCATACAACGAAGTCAAACTACATCAAGCATGGCCGATGCTCCAATCCCTGACGATGAGCACGGTGCAGATCTCCAAATGAACATGACGGCATCGGTGCTGTTGACGGGTCTGCCCCGCGATGCCCATCAGGCACTTGCTGATGTGGAAGCTATCGACGCTGGAAAAGGTACGCCCACGACATCAAAGAGCCACCTTTATGACATCGGCTCTTTTATCTATTCTGCATTTCATAACTGACGTGGCTCCAGTCACTGTTCGCTTTCAACCTTTACCCTCTGCGCCGATTCTCAAAAATCGGGTGTTCAAGGTCAGCGCGTCACAGAAGTTTGAAACAGTGGTTAAGTTCCTTCGCAAGAAGCTTGACTGCAAAGAGACAGACTCGGTGTTCTGCTATGTCAATAGCGTCTTTGCGCCCGGTCTGGATGAAGGCATGGGCGGCTTATGGAGGGTAGATCATTCCTCGTTCCCAGTTTCATTCATTTATCACATCTAACTTGGTACAGTGCTTCAAAACAGATGATCAATTGATTGTCGCTTATTCAATGACGCCAGCATTTGGCTGAAGGGCGTTATTCTACCCTGCCACCCAGCGCAAATTCAACAATGGTCTTATCTTATGTACAGCTTATGCAGGGTAAAATACAAAAAAAGGTGAGGCAGAGAACATGCAAGTTATCCATGACCCAGAGACATTATACATTTCGTTACTTTCGATATTTTCCCTCAACCGCCTCATGGAACTTCGCCAACTCTTCTTTTGTGATGGGGTATGTGTACTCCTGTGAAGGGAAAGCACGGCTCTTAACTTCTTCGCGGTATTGAGTGATGCCCCGAGTAGCTTCACCCCACACATCGGCATATTTCTTGACAAATTTGGGAACGAAGCGGCCAGGCTGAAAGTTTCCGGTCATGTCAATTTGAACGAGTACTTGCCCTGAACACCCGTTTCCAGCACCGATTCCAATCGTTGGAACCTTCAGCTTGTTTGTAATAAGCGTTGCAACCTCTGGTGGCATCGCTTCAAGGACGAACATCGACACGCCAGCCTCTTGCATTACCTCGGCATCATACAATAGCTTCATCGCACTGCTGCATGTCTTACCCTGCACCCGGAAGCCACCAAGCGCATTTTGTCGTTGCGGTGTCAAGCCCACGTGTCCGACGACGGGGATACCAGCCTGAGTGATCCGTTTAATTGTCGGGCCTAACTCGTCACCTCCTTCAATCTTCACACCATGTACACGACCTTCCTTTACGAGACGAAGTGATGATTCAACCGCTTGTTCGGGGCTGATCTCATATGATCCCATGGGCAGATCACCGACCTAACATGAATGTTAATTCTCAAATCTTATATAAGTCATGGGTATGTTGAGCCCGGGCTTACAATGAAAGCACTCTTCGCACCGCGGACGACGCTCCGACAATGCATGATCATTTCTTCCATCACAACTTCCGTCGTGTTTTCCAGCCCCATCGCTACCATGCCCAAACTATCTCCAACCAAGACGACATCGATCCCCGCCGCATCGGCTACATGTGCACTGGGGAAGTCGTGGGCTGTGAGCATTGTAATGGGCTCCCCCTTCTTATAAAGGTTCTTCAATGTCTGGAGAGTGACCTTCTTGCGCGCATTGGGTCCAGGGTCGGAGGAGGAGTAAGAACTATGTCGGATCTGAACGCAGGGAAGTGGCGAGGATGAGGTAGACGTGGATGTGGAAGCGGAAGCGGAGGTGCAAGGAGAAGGTGACGAGCGCATAGTGAAGGTATTCGTGCGAGCTGTTCGAGAAGCAATGCGCAGGGTATCATTTCTCAGTCCCCTCGTTGCTGTAGAGAAAGATCTCGAAATAGGCCGCAAAGTCAACCGCGGCGCAGCCATGATGTCGGAGTGCCGGAGGCGCGAATAATACAAATATGCAGTCAATCGAAGCTTTAAAAGTGTGTTATGTTTTGTGTTAGAGTAATAGACCCCGTATTGTACAGGTGAGGTATAAGAGATCAAATGTGAGCAATGACCTCACTCTGACCCGAGGCAACTCGGCACGCGCCACTGGGAAGGAAGATGATGAAAGGAATGAATGGAAGGGATGCTCTTTCAATAGGTTCATCTGGTATTCGGTACAGATGCCTGTTATATCGTTTTAGATATCCATTTGTCCGGACGTACGTTCTGGGTTATGCAGCGTAGACGGGAGCATCTCCATAAAAAAAAAAGAGGAAGTGAGGGCGTTCAGAATGGTCTGCCGCACCGAAGCTCCGTCAGATTAGTGGAGCTCGGTTGCTCGCGGTACATACCAGTGAAAAGTGGAAGCTAGAGTGTTTATGCTGAACACCACTACATATTTTCATGATTTGTACCTCTTAACACCGGTATTCCTCGGCTCAGTACTTCTATGAACTTGCTTAAAATCATTTTTTTATTGCGTAAAAGCCTCTTAGTTGTTGAATCTGACAGCTCTGGCGTATGTATCTCGGCGTAAAATATACACTCACCGCCTCCCGTTTACGTGGCCGAGGTAGCTTCCGTTTTGGGCTTAGTGCGAGGATGCCAACTGATCAGATATAAGATACTTCATATTTGTTTGTTGATTTTATTATTGTTCGTTGATAATTGTCACGGATTGTGTATTACTTGCTGGATATGATGTAGTGTCTGGGCTTTTGTGAATTATGATCAGTCCGTGATTCGGCAATCCGGCATCAGAATGCCTTGGTAGCCTTCGGCACGGCGCAGCTAGACTAGAGACTACAGTGCAGACTCGAGGCTGAGCGTCACACGGCATATTCAAGCCTTCGGAGCAAAGGATGGCTTTTCCACGTGGGTGTAAGGTGTCTACCAGGTACTGTGCCTACATCCCTCGAGTCTAAGCCCTTGCATAGAGCGAAGATCGTAATCCAGCTTAGCCTGCGATCTAAGGTGCCCTGGCATAAGAAAGGAGTCTAGACCATTTACATGAATAATGAGCCAATATGCAGTATTCAGGAACACGCTAGCTTGGTCTAAAATATGGTAAGTGTGTTTGATTTGATTCAATACTATGGCAAAAGAATAGGATTCAAAAGACTCCAACCACCTGCGCCGGGCAAGAAGCCCAGGGAAGAAAAGGAATACAACCACCGAATGAAGAGAAAGAAAGGAAAGAGGGCAGATGAGCGAACAATTAGGCCCGTAGGCTTGCGGGGGGGAATGTGACCATGTAAACAAACAGGGTGTATGACGCAAATTCTCGCAATGCAATGAGATGAAATGGGCCCCTCCAACGATGCTCATCGCGCCCCCGCGCTATACCAGCTGTATACACGAAACTGTCATTGATTTCCATATTTGGGGGGAAACAAAATGAGAAAGTAGGGAAGTCGTTGTTGACATGAGAGCGCCCACGCTCCGCCTCCTGGGCTCTTGATAAACTGGGGGAAGGGATCATGATAAGGTCATGTCCTGGGTAATTGATGCATAGACACGTAATCGTTTTGTTTTCCATAGTGACGGTGCTGATGCGAATTCGGAGTAAAAATACATTGAGACGGAGAAGGAAATGGGGAGATGAGAAACGAGCGGACGATCTCCACCAACGGAGATCTAACAGACTGCATGGTTGAATCGGTGAGAGCCATTAAATTCGTGCAGCTGTCGATGCGATGGAAAAAACGAAACTCCACATTATGCAAATGTGTCGATGCTGGGTATTTGGTATTTGTTATGCTAGCGAGCCAATGTTATTTCCAATGGCAAGACATGATTATCGAGATAAATGAAATCGAGAGGCTGAAACAGAAGGCCGTGATGGGTGTGGAACAGAACAAAGGAGAAGGCCGGAAGATATTGGTGACAAGGAAAGCCGGGTTGAGATATTCATGAGAGGAATCGATCGACGTGGATAATTTACTCTTCAAAATCGTATTCATGCTTGAGAGGACGTTGAATTTCATGTAGCAGAGCATCGAGCTCAGCCCAGTTAGACGCGTTCTGTGCAAAACGGCGATGCTTGCGAGTCAATGTATGCTCCTCAAAGTCGTCGAATTTATCCCTGCAGTTCTCGCAGTATCCAGGCTTGGGATCTCTTCGCCGTTCCGATTTCTTCTGCTCTGCGTCGCGGCTGTCTTCCCGGCGGCGTTTCGTACCGCCTCCTTCTGACTGATTCGAGTCAACATCATGAATGTTACGGGCCTCGGGTGCAGATTGATTCGAATCATAAGTGTGTTGAGTCTTTGGGTGCATCGCTAACCCATTTAGTGGACGCTGGGGAGCAGCCATGGATCCAAGGGCAAAGCTGCCCGTCCCCTTTTCAAGAACCTTTCTCTTCAAGCCGTGGACTTCTTTGCTTAGACCTGCTTTTGCACCGGGCGCGGCAGCAGTTGATGAGATCATTTGGGATCGGATGGCCGACGTGACATTGGACGGTTGTACACCGGATGCTGCTGGCTCACGACCTGTGTAAAAAGGCCCAGTGCGAGGGAAGTGAGGTGGGATGAAACTTTCTGAGCTCTTGCGTTCATGAGTCTCATCGGGGAAAAGCTTGGCGGATATCTCTGTCTTTGAAGACACCTTCTCGTCCTCCGTGGATTGCGGTTTGATCTGCTCTGTGTCGTCAACTTTGGCATCAACTGTCTGATCGTCAAAGTTGTGTGGGATCTTGGGGCGGGATTCCTCTGCAGGTTGTTCACGTTTCTTTTCCCTCTTGGCCTGTCGCATCCGCTGTCTATCGTACTCTTTTCTGCTTGGGGGTTCATCGACGAACGGGCATTTGCCGAGTGGTGCACTTCTGAATTGCGGCCAAGTTCCATCCTGGCGTCTCGCCACACGTGAGTATTCTCGAACCATTACAGGCTTCGTCTTTTCGTTCATGTCGTGAATGTAAATAAAAGGACCCTTGAACATGATCATCTCCATCGATGATAAAGGGTCACGATCCGAAGGGCCATTCAACAACTCCTGGCGGAGAACACGCGACAGGTCATCGCCCCGGGGGTTGGCGTGATTTCCAATGGCGACCTTTCCTCGAGCTGCGCCATCGGCCTGGGCATACCCGCTGTCATTGATGGTAACTATCATACGTTGTAGTTTTTCCAATGCCCAAATTTTCATGCCCATTTGTCGAGCTCTCTGGAGGACATCCATGCTTCCTTGATCACGGCGATGGTCGTTCTTCAATGATGCAGGTAGATGGTTGTCGACATTCTTCTCAAGGAGAGAAGGGTTAACGGTTTGCATATGAGCATCGCCATTGGCCCCATCTGCCTCTAATTCAGTCGGGCTAGTGGCAGCAACCTCGACAGGGATCGGACGGGAGGTCACAACATGAGTGACGAGTCGTGAAAAGAATTTCTCTTCGCGCTGAAGTAATAAATATACCAGTTAGCATGAGTAATACAATCTTTCAAAACAAAAAAAAAAAAAAAAATGCATCTTCCCACTTGTGTGGCAAATTTCTAAAGGCTACAACAGGAATGAAAAGGCTGTATAGGTGGTCAAACTTACAGCTCCAAGAGCGATAACCTGTCGAGAGAATTTGCGGCGAACATCTTCTGGGATAGTGTCGAAGTAGAAGACAAACTGCGGGAAAGCCTTGCGGTAATGCCGTTGCCATTGACGAATTGTATCGATAGTATCTGCAGATTGCTTCTCGCCCTTTGCACTCTTCACTTGCGGCTGACGATCCCTGTCCCTAGCAGCGACCAGCTTCTTCTCGAAAGCACTGGGGTTGGCATTGTTAGACCGGCGAGCAAAAAGCTTCGAATCGGGGCCCTGGAAGGTAGTCGATCGGCTTCGAGTTGGCGATCGCATATCCTGCTCCGCTGCTTCCATCACCTGCTTCTTTGGTGGTGGCTGGCCATAAGGAATCTCTATCTGATTAGAGCGAACTCGTTTGGCCGGCACGAGGCCGGCTCTATGGGGGGAGTTGGTTGCATTCGGCACGTTGGCGAGTGGACGGCGAGTGGACATGTTCAGGGAGGTCTGGGGGGACGGCGGCACGAATACAGCAGCCATGTGGGAAGATGATTTCCCAGTAGTTGCACGCGTTAGGAGCTTGTGTTATTGTGGATTTGGTTGTCTTCGAAGAGGGGTATTCGAGATCAAGCACGCGACGTGCTACACGTCTTCGCAGGTCGAATGCGGTCAGAGAGAGGTCATGGTAACACAAAGAAATGATGAAAGCAGTAGTTTGTTAGAGCCAATCCAAGTTTCTCAAAGAAAGTACTTGGGGTGAGAGGGGGTTGGGTGGAGGATGAGTTGGGGTAGAAAGAAGGGAACAGGATTGAAGGGCAAAGTCGTGTGGTGGAGCCTCTCGCCGTTTGTTTTGAGCGTGCGCCGGACAACCAACAGCGTCGCGCGAAGCATGAACATCAACAACTACATTCTTGCTATGGGCGCGACCGTGTCATAGATTTCGAATTTATTCATTTTATTTTTACTATTTACTGTTTTTATTGAAATTTCACTTGTATATTTTATCTTTCTTTCAATTTCTTCTACGTACAATCAACTTGTATGGAGTATAAACAATGCCTTTGACTACGCCATTGCCAGCCACCATCAACCAGCCACCTACTAGTACGGAGTTATTATTCAACTCACTAACTCTGTATTTAACGCAAACACGATTGGGAACCGTTTCTTTTACAGAATATAAATGTGACAGTTGGTAATGTATAAGGACAATTATATTATACATGGGATTTTCAGGGTATCTGAACTACTAATACATATGCTATGGCTATCTAACTGCGAAGTGCCTCGATATCATCAACCTATAAAACTCAGTTAATACTGCCATGTCTCACAATAAGACCACCATGGAACTCACCTCTTTCACAGCTTCAGGAGTCAAAACGATCGGGTGCTCATCTCCAACACAGACACTGTCTTCGATGCGAATACCAATGCCGCGGAAGTGAGCAGGCCACCTCTCATCATCAGGAACATAAATACCACTATGATAAGATTAGCATCCATCTATGGGATATGAGATGTTTAGATAACGAACGGCTCAATTGTAATGCATTGTCCCGCCTTGAGATTGTATCCTCTTGAGTATCCAGGACAATCATGGACATCCAGGCCGATGTAGTGGCCCAGATGGTGTGGGAACAGTACGTTCATGGCCTGGTGAAAGTTAGCAATTAAATCATGTTAAGAGCATGTATATCAAGACATACGCTTCCAGAAACATCGAATCCAAGTTGTTTGAGTTGGTCCTTCAATCCATTCTCGGCAATGCCATGCAACTTATCCAAGGACAAATTGGCGCTTTCGCGACAAAGGGCCAGACAGCTGCGATGCACATTCAATACAGCATTGTACAGGTCCCGCTGAGGATCTGTGAACTTGCCATTTACAGGCCAAGTTCTTGTGATATCAGAGATATAACCTCCAAGCTCACCACCGCCGTCAACAAGGACGAGATCTCCATCTTTCAACACATCGTCATTCCGGGTGTAGTGGATACTCAGAGCATTCTGGCCACCTGCAACAACTGGAACAAAAGCGCTGCCATCAGCGCCATTGACCTTGAACTGATACTCCAAGAATGAATTCAGGTCTCTCTCCATAGAGAACGTTTGTCGCATAGATTCTGTAAATGATCTCCCAGAAGCCTGTCCCAACCGACGCAAGTGCACTACTTCATTCTCAGTCTTGAATACCCTCATCTCATTCATTATGTTCTTTAAGGGCTTGACCTTGCGGTGGTCTACGAATTTCTTCAGTTTCTCCGACGCAACTGTTGGTCCGTATAGATATCGGTGCAACGATGATCTCGATCCATCGAAAGTAGGGATGTCCGAATAAACCTCTGTAGCCCGAGCCACGATCTTCGGTAAAATGTTTCCAATGTCCTCAATATTACCCGTCTGCAATCCATTTTGTTAACTTGTTGTTTCTTGCGTTGTCCTAGGGAAGCAAGCAACTCACTTCATCCGCGTTGAAGACATCCGCAGCGGCCTGAGTGCCGGATCGTGCCCCATCCCATAACTCTGCCCTTGGGTCCTTCTCGCGAACGTATAAATGAAATGTATGGTTATCGCCCGATCCGTCGTTGACAATCACAGCTAGTGCGTTTGGTTCGTTGAAGCCTGTAACCGTTCACAGCCGACTTGTTAGCTGAAGTTCCATCGCGAATTCTTTGTAGCAACATACCAGTCAGGTAGAAGAAATTTGACTCCTGTCGGTACTCATGAAAGATCCCTGGTGCGCGATATTTCACTTCTGACGCTGCAAGAATCGCTACTCCTCCCTCTGGCAGCTTGTTGGCGAGTCGCGATCGACGCTGGGCATATTCGATGGCGGTAATTCCTGGGGTGACTATACACAAGCAGGTCAGTAAACAGGGATTTATAATTGAGGAGAATTCGAGTAATAGAGTAGCACATACGCTCTCCGGGGCTCAAGAGGTGAGGATGTGTTTCATGTAACGCCTGTCCAAATTTCAGGTCTGCGGCGCCGACGGAGGTGGCGTATGTCCTACGGAGAGGAACTTGGGTGCGGCTAAGAGTCGGATAGGAGGAGTGAGCCAAACGAGATGAGCGGCGCAGCTGAAGAGCGCATTGCCGAACAAGTGACCTGCAAGTGGCCATACTCAAGAGTACCAAAAATCACGAAGATCTGGAGATTAGTTTTAACCTCGGAACGTCAATGTATTCTTGGTTTATTTCACAAGGTTCCGGGCGGTGTGAGCCAATCACCACCTACGGGTTTGGCATTGCTAACACAAATACCGTAATCGCCAACAACAATTAAAAAATGAATGTTGCAAGTTGACAGGGACTAAGATTTAATTGCAAATCCTAGATTGAATTAAATTCCGAACACAATCAGTAATAAAAAGTATATGGTTAAAATCCCGAGGTCTCAAGTTGGAAAGATATTTTAGATGATATCTAGATGCGCCCCCGTTTATAGCAGGATATACATCGGCACTCGGAGGTACCTAGTATCTACTACTATACTATGTCAACATTGAAATTGGAAAATTATACCAACCGTCTCTGCCCACACCCTTCCGTATCGTTACGAATGATCAATTTAAAGGGTAAGTCGCTATCATCAAAGTGTGGCTCAGCATAACCCTCTGGGACGAACATGTGCACAGTAAAAAGCTTGGGTTGCTTGATCTGAACTAGCGGCCGAACTATAAAGGCCGCGGCGTTGGGACCAAGATTCTCAGGATGAAGGTGGATTATCAGCTCCTCCAAATGAGACAGCTTAGCAAGAACCTCACAGGCAGAGCAATATCGCCGCCAATCAACATAAAGGTCACCAACATAGCCATATGGATTGTACGGGAAGTGGTAGGTAAAGCGTAGGGAACGTATTTGGTCCAAGCGTTTTGGTAGAAGTGTGTTTGAAAGGCCAATTATGCTGTCCGCGTGATCAAAGCTAAAGGTATTTCGATTGTATATCATGTCGATCGTCTCTGAATATCTATACAATAGGTCAACTGTTAGCATTGGCTGGACAAGAGAAAATAAGGGCATCATGATGTATGTGGAGACGTGACGGAAACTCACATAAGTCGACATGTCTGGAGCAAAGCAACAAATCCAACTTCTTCCATTTTAGAAGCTTGACACTCGTCCAGGTACCATCTTGGATTCTTGGGAGAAACTGCATCATGGAAAGTTCGTGTGCAAGGAATCTTTCCCCAGCAGAGATGGTTGCAGAAGGATTCCGCCTTCTCCGACCCTCGACCTTCTACACACTTAATCGCAGCAAGTCGCGTATTTAATGCTCTTGAGTGACCCCGATCTATACGAACAACATGTATCTGGGGCGCGCAGAAGTAGTATTTCCATATCATCCAACGAATCTCTGGAGGTAGTCCTGCGAGCGAGGACTGATATTGGTCCAGTGAACGACGAAGCTTAGGTTTTCGCAAAACTTTCCTCCAACCCGATGGTGGCTCGACTTCGGAGCATTCTAATGGGGTGAGTGATCTTCTTATCGCGGGCAATGGGTTCGGAAGGTCGGAGTCTGGGTCTGTAGCAGTCATTTCCTCTCGATGAGGTCTCTTTCTAATACCACGACAAGCGAAAAGACAGCCATACATGGTATTCAAGCAAAGAGAGCTTGAAAAGAGAAAAAAGCATTTTCTCGTGGGCGATGAGAAGATGAGGAGACATTCAACATTCGTAACTCGTAACTGAGGTAGTGGGCCAATCGCAAGGCTTGACCGATAAAAGCGTAGCTCCGTGTACAATGATCGGCATTTGCCCCCACAGCCCCTCCGTGTTGTTTGCTCTTGCTTTGACAGACAACAAAGAACTCTCGGGTTTTTTTATAACGCCATTTCGCATCCTTCCGTTCCTCCCATTCCTTCAGCCCAGCTTCATCGCCTCTTTTTCCAGATTAACAGAAATCATTAACAAAAAAAACAAGAAGAAAACAATGGGACAAGACGCGAAACCGGCGGTCACCCCGCCGGTTATCCCTACCGCGGATTTAGAGTCGTTTGCCAAACATCTCAAACGTTCCACCCGAATCTTAGCTTTACTGGGAGCTGGTATCTCTGCATCCTCGGGGCTCCCCACCTTCCGAGGTGCTGGTGGATTTTGGCGTTCATATGATGCTACGGCTTTGGCCACTCCCGAGGCCTTTGAAGAGAACCCGGGCCTAGTGTGGCAATTCTATAGCTACCGCCGACACATGGCTTTGCAGGCCAAGCCCAATAAAGCACACTACGCCCTCGCCGAACTGTCACGAATAAACAAGGAATTCATCACGATATCTCAAAATGTGGACGGTGCGGAACGCTATTTCATTTGGGCCCAATCCTTGATTATTCTGCTAACGTCTCTCTTCGTTTCAACTTTGTAGGCTTATCACCAAGGGCAGGACATCCAGTCAATAAGCTCCATCTACTCCATGGATCATTGTTTAATGTTAAATGCACCAATTTTACTTGCGACTATGTTGGCAAAGACGATTTCACTGACCCTATAGTCCCTGCCCTGGACATTCCCAAGACGGGCATCAAGTTGCCTTCTGCAACCGATAACGATAGTAAGACAGCAGCAGCAGCACAAACGGCAGTACCAGGATCAGAACCAGATGACTCAAAATCATCAACTGAAGTCGACATTTCCAATGCAGAAGTGCCCATTCCGAAACTAGAACCTGCCGACCTACCCAAATGCCCTGAATGCGGCGGTCTTCTTCGACCAGGGGTCGTTTGGTTTGGCGAGCCTCTTCCTACTGTTACTATGGATACGGCCGATGCATGGGTAGCGAAGGAGAAAGTAGATCTCATGTTGGTCATCGGTACTAGTTCCCAGGTCTATCCGGCTGCAGGCTATATTCATACAGCTCGGGCTGGTGGTGCCCGAATCGCGGTTATCAACATGGACGAGAATGATCTATCTGGTCGGAACTTACGAAAAGGTGATTGGTTTTTCAAAGGGGATGCTGCGACTATTGTCCCGGAGATTCTGAAGAGTGTTATCGGAGAGATTTGATACATTGATTTGAGCGTTTGATGGATGGTCATACTTCAATTCACTACGGTATTCTTATTATCTCTCCTTTTTGTTTTGTTTTTTAAAAGACCGTATTGATGCACTCTATTATTTCAAAACCAGCCGAGTGATAGATCTAAATAGACGAGTACCTCTTCCACTGTGTCCACTGTATCTAAGATGATCGGCGTAAGTTCAGCCCGTTGGTGCCTTAAAGCGGGCACATATCGTTGCTGGGGAATCCACCAAAACAAATCCCATATCGATAACGTCGCCGATCCCACCTTTCTCTCTCATCTCCACCCCACGCTCCCTTTTTACAACCGACACTGGATGCACAGATCAGAGGTATGTGAGAAGATCCATTTCCGTTCCATACCCAGAATACCTGTCAAATTCTCTTCCCCATTCCACATTATCGCTTGCCCGCGCTCCGATCGGAAGTTCTGACCTCATCTCGATAAGAAACCACATGAAAGCTTACAATTGAATGTTTTCCAGGTGCTTTCGTTCCAATTACACGCCCAGTGACACGAAAAGTATACACCGACCATCTGATATTCGAATTTTATTATATACAAGCGCGTGCTGACGCGAATACCAAAGAATATTTCAGCTTGTGGATAGTGATTAGCCTTCCTTCCCATCAAAATGGCTAGAGAAAGTGATGCTCCAAAGGAGCCCCTCACCCCGCGGCGCCCACACGAGGACCCGAAAAAAACAATCTCCCAAGAGCCAGAATTTGGCAAGCCTTCCCCTCTTGGCCGACCCCCGCAACAGCCACAACAGCGGTCCAACTCGAACAGTCTGTTCAACATCCCCAAACAAAACCGGGCGCGACCAGAGCATCATCGTCCTTACCAGCCGCAGCCGCAGCAACCGCAACAACAACCATCCGCAGCCCAACAGAGTTACCCTACTCACGGTTACCGACCACCAGTACCAGCAAACACTGGATCAGCTGCACCCTCCGCGCACCAGAGCAGGCCATTTGATCCCTTTAAGCCCGTGAGACCATCCGCCTACAATGACTATCGACCAATGGTCCCTCCAGGCGCAACCCCGATCAAGCGCCCGGGACAAGTAGCTTCTGACACCCCTCGGGCCCCGAGAACACTTTTCTCATCGAAGCCATCGGCACCGAAACCCTCCAATGCCAACAAGAACCTTCAGGCTTTCATTGATCTCACGAAGGATGATCCAAATACAAGCTTCCAGCAAAACACCCAGCGCTATGGAGAGAAGACAAGCTCGACATTCGGCGCGATGGACACGCACGGATATGTGGATATGGCTCAGGCCAATGAGAATATTAAGGCTTTGCTTGAGGGTGCATTTGAAGACGAGGAAGAAGGTGCTAAACCTAAATCCAAGGGAAAGAAGAAGAAGGGCAAGAAGGACAAGAAGAAGCAGTCTAAGAAGACCGAAACGACTGAACCTCCTTCAGCCCCAAAGATTGATAAAAGCGATGATCTCGATGACTTGGCTGCCCAACTTCAAGGTGTAACAGTTAATGATACCCAAGAAGAGCAAGTAAAGACGGCTGAAAATTCCGAGAAGAAGCATAAAACTAGCCTTGAGGATGACACGGATGACGAATCGGTCGTGAAAAAGCGTGACACCGAGGAGGAGGACGAGGAGGGGAAAGAAGAGGAAGAGGAAGAGGAGGAGGAGGAAGAAGAAGAAGAAGATGAGCTTGTTGTAGATGGGTTGAAAGTCACTCTCATGCCCCATCAGGTTGAAGGTGTCCGCTGGATGTGCGACAAAGAAAATGGTCGACGCTCAACGAAAGGTATCCATCCAAAAGGTGGAATCCTTGCAGATGATATGGGATTAGGAAAAACTATTCAGGCTATCTCCCTAATGCTCATGAACCGAAAGTCAGACGACGACGAACACAGCGAAGACGCCGAATCTACCAAGAAGAAAGTTGACGATGCGCCAGCTTCTACTCGCTCGAGTGAAGCTACACTCGTAGTTGCTCCTCTGGCACTTATCAAACAATGGGAATCCGAGATTGCCGACAAAGTCGAAAGGACACACAAACGCCGGGTGTGCTTGTATCATGGAGCGAATCGTGCAAAGACTGCAACCTCTTTGTACAACTACGACGTCGTAATCACCACATACGGAACCCTGACCTCAGAATCGGGAACAGCGGCAGCAGACAAGGCTAAAAAGTCGGGCATCTTCTCTGTCTATTGGCACAGAATCATTCTTGATGAAGCACATACAATCAAAAATCGAAACGCCAAGGCAACTCAGGCTGCATGTGCTTTAGATGCTAGGTACCGTTGGTGTTTGACGGGAACGCCCATGCAGAACAACCTTGACGAACTGCAATCTCTAATCAAGTTCCTGCGCATCAAGCCTTTCGATGAACTTGCAGCCTGGCGTGAACAAATCACTAAACCTCTGAACAATGGGCGCGGTGGTCTTGCTATCCAGCGACTACAAGTCTATCTAAAGGCTTTCATGAAACGGCGCACCAAAGACGTTCTCAAAGAAAACCAAGCAGATTCTGACGATGATGAAGCCGACAGCAAAGGAAAGAAGTCCAACGGGTTCAAGATCGTCAAACGTGATGTTATCCGAGTTGAACCAAACTTTATGGAAGGGGAGCAGAATTTCTACGATCGTCTAGAGAAACGTACCGAAAATCGCTTGAATGAGATTATGGGAGGTAAGCAGGTTGACTATGCGGGAGCATTGGTTTTACTCTTGCGACTTCGACAAGCATGCAACCACCCTGAACTTGTGAAGAGCGATTTAGTGGTCGAAAAAGATGTTTTGTTACAAAATGGCAACCCTGGAAGCAAATCTACCGAATCGAAGAAAGACGACCTAGACGATGTCGCCGATCTATTTGGCGGACTTAGCGTGATGACCAAGAAGTGTGATGTGTGCCAGAGGGAACTCAACCAGGTAGAAGCCAAAAGCGGTGCTAGTCGCTGCGGCGAGTGTGAGACCGACTTGAACACCAACTTCATGAAGAAGGACAAGAAGAAGAAATCGAAGAAAACCCACAAGCACCATGAGGTCACTTTGAGCCCTGTTTCAAAGCCTTCCCGGGCTCGTAAAAATCGCAGAGTGGTTCTTGATAGCGACGACGAAGAGGAGGAAGATGGTGAATGGATTGTCCCCGAAGATGGACGCAAAGTACCCGATCTTGGTAAAGCCGGCGGATCAGACGACGAAGATGCTGAAGGTGGAGGCGACTGGATTGGTCCTGACGATTCCGACACAGACGATGAGGAGCCGAGCTCACCCACTGGTAGAAAGGTCAAGCCCGTCGTTCTTAGCAGCTCTGAAGATGAGTCTGACTCGGAAGAAGATATGGACGAGATTTCCTACAAGGGCGAGAACGGAGAGCTGCCATCGACAAAGGTCCGGCATTTGATGAAAATTCTCAACAAAGAGTCAAGAGACTACAAGTTCATTGTCTTTTCCGTCTTTACTTCGATGCTCGATAAAATTGAGCCATTCTTGAAAAGTGCAAACATTGGTTTTGCTCGCTACGATGGAGCAATGAGGAATGATCATCGTGAAGCCAGTCTCAACAAATTGAGAAACAATAGTAGCACTCGAGTTTTACTTTGCAGTTTGCGCGCTGGTGCATTGGGCCTGAATTTGACAGCTGCCAGTCGTGTCGTGATTTTGGAGCCATTCTGGAACCCCGTAAGTAGCTAAGCCCAGCTCATACAATCGCTTGAAAACTTGAAAACATGCTGACCAATTATTACACAGTTCGTGGAAGAGCAAGCCATTGACCGTGTCCACCGTCTTAACCAAACCATCGACGTCAAGATCTACAGACTCATCATCAAGAACACTGTAGAAGAGAGAATTGTCGCTCTGCAAGATCGCAAGCGAGAGCTGGCGGGCATGACAATCGAGGGCAAGTCTGCCGCAGGAAAATTGACCATGCGTGACATGATGGCCCTTTTCGGTCGTGACGCCGAGTCAACATTCACCGATAAGCAAGATACTCTAAATTTTAACAAGCCAACTCGTATACTGGCTTCCACCGAAGACTCTAACCCGAATGCTTCCTCTCAATCTTCGGGGCACTCTGACACCCGCGACCGGGATCATCGGCAACAATCTAACCGGTCAACGCCTGAAGATTCCGTGTATGGGCGGCGTTGGTAAATGACATGACACGATGATGAAACATGATAGGTGGCTCAAGAGAGATAGGCTCTCTTGTCATTTTTGGTGGGCGTTAGGAGTTGAAGTTCCACTTTTGACAGTATCTAGAGACTAGTGGGAGATTATTTCTTTTATTATTGCACCTACTTTTGACAGGTTTTTCTCAACTTATTTTGTCATTTTCATTTTCATTTTCATGTCTATATTTCTTTTTTAATTTCAATGTTGCTTGGGACTTGAGGAAATCAAAACTAGAGACAGTACTATCTATACCCAAGATCCAAGGGTTACTACCTTTCGGCTCACGGTTTGATAACGTCCGCCCGAGATTTCGGGAAGCATGCCCGCGAGTCAGATTTTGGGAGGCAATTTTGGACCATGTTCATGCTGTGATATGTCCGGAATTGAGCCCCGAATAAACTGTGCGCTGACCCGTAGCCTGAGTAATCCCAGACATGTAAGTCGATTGCCAGGCCTATATCGCATTGAATATTGCGGTTATGCTCATTCAGAGTATAGCTTTGTACTACTTAGATTGTGGTAATATGCGAACTGTCAGGCCATTTTGGCAATTGGCAATGTGAAATTGCAAAGTGCAGTGGCTACTGCTACAAGCTAGAGATTCCGTTGATCTACACCAGAACCATGGGACGGAGGAAAGCATACCTGTCGAGACCAGCCATAGACCAGGGGCAATGTTCTGCAGACGAGTGGGCAAGATCCCCATCCCCACGATTAGGTCTTTGAAGCTATGCGGCATTTCTCCATGACAGGACAAGCTTTCAAAGATGTGACCTGCTAAGCAACTCAAGCTGTAAGATATGATTACACCCCGAGACGATAAGGGCATCATGTGGAGTCCCACGAAATCACAAACGAAGAGTTCACCTTAGATAGGCACTCATAGCAATGACAGGCCTGAAATGAGCAATCCGTACGTTTATCTGATTGTTTCGGTACCGGACTTTGCGCTCGGCAGATTCAGTCTAGACGATACCTGGTGTCTAACAAAACCCACGGTTCATGGAATTTGGTTCACGGAATGCATGAGGATTGCCGGTGGGAGTCCCTGGCGAACCGGACGAGGGAACCAGAATACTTTACATTTTGGAAAACTTGTGATAGGTCTACAGAGTAGGAGAAAGGAGGAGACCTTCGACTGTTTGGTACGCAGAGGCGAGAGATCTAGCCATCTCTGGGGGAACCAGACACACTCCGCAGCTTTTTCCCTCATTTCCTCCGACTCTTAATGCTACTATTTTCTTGACCATTTGACTATCCTTTTTGTCACTCATTTTGCCTACCGTTCAGCCCCTGGAATACATGGTGAGCTTGGAAGTTTAGGTAAAGCTTTGTAAATTATCTTGATTCTGGAGTTTAAAAAGCTAACAGTTTAACTTACTTCAAATCAGGTCTTATCAAAGCGTCTCGTTTATCTCAAAATCCAAATCTCCAGGGGACATGGGCTCACTATGGTCTGGCAATGACAGTGAATGGAAGGTCATCTATGATGAGCAGGGGGACCTCCATAAGCACTTGTCAGGTGGCAGGAAAACGCTCGCGCAAACACTGTCAATACCCAAATCGATGTGTATTCTCTCTGACAAAAAGACAGAGATTTCAACTGTGAATGAGCTGGCCTCCAAGTTGAAGCTTCCACAGTTAAGAAATGGGACCGTGGAAAGGGTATTCCCAGTCCGCTCCGTCGTCTCCTTGGACTCTACCCCCTCATCGGCACTACAAATACCTTCATTGGATAAGTTCGAGAGCCCGGCACCCCCTTGGGTGGACTCACCTCGGAACAACACAGATGATGCAATCGGAGGTCTACCCAAAGGCTCAACGACAGATACCGATGTTCGAGACAAAAAGCCACGAAGACCAAACTACTTAACTCGCATGCATCATCAGCTTAGCCTTTCCAATATATCGCCGTCTTTATTGAGAGTTTCCGCTCAAAATAGAGATACATCGGGTGAGGAGTTGAGTCCTTTCGCCCAGTTGCAGAACATGATACGTGATGGCGCAGATGTCTTGACGAGAGACGAATTGACAAAAGGTCAGGGCTATTTTTATGAAGATGAGACAAATTTGGTTATTCAGCCCTTTGGTGCACTTCTTGTTGTTTCTGCTTTGAATGGTAAGACTATTTTTCAAGCTGCTAGCACCAACTCTGGAGACATTATTGGCTATACTCCTGATGATTTGTTCAAATTGAGTTCTATCGACAGGATAATGTCTGAGTCTCAATGGAGAACGTTTTTGGGACATGCAAAGTGCATTCTGGATGATGAGTATGATGTGGAGTTATGTGGGCCGGAGTTGTTTTCTCTTTCGATATCCACTCAAAGTGGTGATACCAAGCATCTTTGGTGTACGATGCATACAAGCAGAGTGTACAGGAACTACATAATCTGTGAGTTGGAGCCTGATGCTATGAATTATGAAGCTTCAAGAGAACCTCTTAGTTTATCACGCTATGAGCCATTTGTCGACGACGTGAAACTTGAAGGCCCAACCGCGTTCCCTTCAAAGGGTGATTATCAAGACGCTAGAGCTTTTCAGCCTGAAATTTTGAACTCTCTTCCTAGATTTATTCGGAAGATCTCAAGCGCTCAAACTCTTGAGTCGCTTGTTCATCATTCCATGGCTTACTTCCAAGAGCTGAGCTCCTTTCAACGCATAACAATGTACCACTTTGACGGTGATCGGAATGGTATCGTTGTCGCCGATTCGCTTGATGAGTCTTTGGGCATAAATCCCCTCGAAGGGGTTGAATTTCCCGAGTCTTCATTTTCGGAAGATATGAAGAAGCAATATCTTAGGAATGCAGTTTCTTTCGCCTACCGCAAAGGCGAGAATGTCGCGCAATTGGCATATCGGGCATCTACAGTCAAAATGGGCTTAGATTTATCTCATTGCTATCTTTTGGCCTCCCCTGGGTCTTCCGATATTCAGTCATCCCACCTCTCTCAGGAATGTTTGTCAATGGGTATCTATGTGTTTGGAAAGCTATGGGGCTTGGTTTGTTGTCAGTCCTACGATGAACGCTCGCGGCTCCATCCACTTGTCCATCGGACATGCTGGATGCTAAGAGAAACAATATCCAGCAATATCGAGCGTCTGTCCTACACTTTGCCGTTTCATGTGGGACAACTGGATCTCACCAATGGATCTGGAGGGGTTAAAAAAGAGCTTCCGGTGCCTGTTGGTGACTTGCTGAGTCTATTTGGCGCAGACTATGCAGTGGCCTCTATTCTTGGAGAAACGAAGATTCTAGGCAAACCACCCGACTCGCAGGAAGCGTTGGCTATATTAGAATATCTTCGCGTTAAGGAGCTGAGTACCGTCTTATGGTCTACAGACATACTTTCGGATTTTGAAGATCTCGATTATTCTCCTGGCTTCCGCAATCTCTCCGGTTTAATCTATATACCGCTAGCAGTTGATGGTCAGGATTTTATCGTTTTCTTCAGAAGGGAAACTGGACCAGATCACAAGACACGCGGTGCTGGTTCTGATTGTGATATAACCACTCTAGCTTCTGATAAATCTATCGGGGTCGATAGAAACGGCGACACGGAATGGTCAGCTGCAGAAATTGGCAAAGCGTCAATACTAGCCTTGCTATACCGCACATTCACGGAGATATGGCAAGAAAAAGAAGCTACAATGCAAAATAACCAGCTCATGCGTCTACTTCTTGCTAATTCCGCCCATGAATTTCGCACACCACTCAACGCCATAATCAATTATCTTGAGATTGCACTTGATGGAAACATCAATCAAGAGACGCGCGATAACCTTTCCCGATCACACTCGGCCTCCAAGTCTCTTGTCTATATCATCAATGATTTGTTGGATCTCACGAATGCAGAAAATGGTCAGAGATTGATCAAAGATGAGACCTTTAGCTTATCCGAGACTCTTTGCGAGGCTACGGATATTTTCTGGGAAGAAGCGAGACAAAAACACGTCGATTTGCAAGTTGTACAGCATGCTGCTCTACCTGCTGTTCTGGGTGACCAGCGACGAGTACGTCAGGTTATCACGAATCTAATCAGTAATGCGGTTCAGCATACCTCTACTGGGGCTGTGACCATTGAGTCGTGTATTTTGTCTGAGTCCTGGGAAACGGGTCACATTTCTGTGGAAGTGGCGATCCATGATACTGGGTCAGGTATGTCTCAGGAAGCAGTGGAGGCACTATTTTGTGAACTGGAACAGGTGTCTACTAAAGAGTATATGCAGAATCCTCGGTCTTATGGTAAAGGCTCAGAGACTGCTGCTTTGGGGACGGAGAGTGTTCTCGGTTTGGGTCTTGCTTTGGTGGCGAGGATTGTACGTAATATGGAAGGTCAACTTAGTCTTAAGTCTGAAGAAGGGCAGGGGAGCTGTTTCAAACTTCGATTGAAGTTTCCATTGCCTTCTGGTGAAAATGGAGCTTCGTATGTCTCTCAGAATGCTACGGATTCTGATGTGCGGTGTCACATGAAGGGATGTGATGGTCAAAGACCGAATGGAAGTAGTTGTGACAAGCAAGAGACGAGCGGCTCGGACCAGGACGAGAGAAGAACAGTTGAGGGAAATGATGGTATAGATTGCAAATGCGGTGATCCCATTCTATCTGGTTCAGCTACTGGGAGAGTGGACAGTCCTTTGGTGGATGCCGATATTTCCCTAAAGAATGGAGAGTCGCGAAACCTCACAATTCTCGCATCGGGCGTAAAGGTGGAAGACGTAAGTCTATCTATATACCCTCTCGACTTGATTTCAGTACTAACCTATCTCTTTCCTACTTTAAAGAAGGTTCCCCTGAGACCTACCAAAAAGGACTCATCGACCAAAGCTACAGACCCAGAGCCATCTAAACCAGATGAAGCCAAAACCTCCACAAAACCACCAGAAGAACATCAACTACACGTTCTAATTGCAGAAGACGATCCAATAAATAGCTCAATCGTCAAGAAACGACTAGAAAAACTTGGCTACTCCGTCTACATGACAAGTAACGGCAAGGAATGTGCATCTGTCTATCGCGATAGTCCTATCTCATTTGATGTGATTCTTATGGACCTCCAGGTTTGTATTGGTACATCAGCAGAACATCTCAATCACATTCTAATACTTCTTCTTTTTAAGATGCCCATCGTTGATGGCTTCAATGCTACCAAGATGATCCGCGAGCATGAGCGGCAAATTGACACCGAGAAAACTCTTATCCACCGAGGCACGAATCATAGCAGAACTCCTATTTTTGCTTTATCGGCTTCACTTGTTGAGAAGGATCGTCAGGTCTATTTCGATGCTGGCTTTGATGGGTGGATTATGAAGCCTATTGATTTTCAGCGTGTGCATGTGCTTCTTAAGGGTGTTTTATCGATTGATGATCGGGATGATGCTCTTTATAAGCCTGGAATGTGGGAAGAGGGGGGCTGGTTTGAAAAAAAGGATTTATGCGCTATCATGTCTGGGTGAGAGATTGTTGAGGAGTAAAATTGCAATTGCGCAAAGGGTTCTGCGTCGAGGAGCTGTTTCCAAGTCAGGAGTCTTGTCGCCGCGATCTATTTGATCTCATTATATTGAAATCGTGTATCATTTATTCTCGATAACACGAGAGATTTCATTCAAAACTTCCAAAGTTTGTTGATAAAATATGATTAGTAGATCATGGGGCTGGATATCCCTGTAATGGTGGTCTATCTACTGTCTGAGAAGATAGGACAAAAAGAAGGAAAAGAAAAAAAGAAGCGAATGTTGTTATTATATAATAGAGTACTTACGTTTCTACTAGGATGGAGAAAGGGTACAAAAACAACGAATAACAATATTGAAGAAAAGGAAAGAAGAGAGAGAGAGCTATATTACGAAACATGCCCGACCTCCTCCATGCCCTCCTCTCTATGTAGCTATACTACGGAAACAGTCAACGGATAGTATAATCAAAAACAAACAAAACGAAAAGAAACAAAAAGAAACGTAAATAAACAGTCCACATTCAGTATAATCAAGTAGAAAAAAAACAACATTAAGTCGTTAACAACATTCAGTATAGTCGAATGATAGAAACTATGCATTCAAGTCTCTCAAGGTATCTGTCACCGAACTAACAAGATCTGAATCGTCGTATCCTTTGGATTTACCTAAGTCCGTGATGTCTGCTGCCAAGGTCATTCCAGCTTTTTCATCTTTCGTAGAATCATTTGACTTCTCGAATGTTTGACTTTCGATTAGGCTGCTCGGGATATCACAGCCGGATACACACCGTGCTAAAGTTTTCAAGGTCGACCGGTGAAGGTATTCTCCGCCAGAGGGCCAGAACTTCCTTGCGTCAACATGGTCGCTGATACTAGGGTCTTTACGCCGTGACCACAGATATGACACAATAAAGCGGAAATACAGGTATCGCCGCCGGGGACGATTGTCGTTAAGGAATTTGAGTTCGCGATTGTCAAGTTCCTTTAAAGATTAGCAGTTGCTCTTGTGTCAGTTGCTACATGAGGGAATGTATCGTAGACAAGACTTACCCAGCCATAAAATGTCTTGAATCCATCGCTACTATCGTAAACCGGAATTGAACAAACGGTTTTGTCTAATATTGACGGATTCAAGACGATACATCTGAATTTTCTCGGAGATGTCATCTCTCCTTCAACAGGGACCACCGCGATGTCACCCAGATCGAGAAGTTTCTCGATGCTCTTGTGAAGTGACGATACTAATGATTTATTAGTCATGTCTAATCTCCAATTAGTCAACTAAGATCTGTGGACTAGTGAGGTCTTACCGTTCTGCGGAAGTGTGGTGACAACGTCCAGGTCGCCGAAAAGGTGCGCGAGTTCCTCCGGTGACATACTCTTCGGTACTAAGTGGGAGGCTCTCGCAACGGTTGACGAAATGAACATTCCAAGAATATGACACCATGACAGGTCAGGATGCAAGTCAATCCCGTAATATTCCTTGACGGCCGACTTGAATTTAGCCTTGTTGAATTGTTGGGCAGGCTGTCTCTTTGACGCGGCTATGACCCTTGTGAGAATTGTGTCTCGATACGCTCTCTCCAATAGGCCCTCGTCGGGGGGCGCATTCGCCCTCTGGCGATTGTCCAAATTGACTAGGCGGTCATCGATATCTTCGATAAGAGCTCTTCTCTGTCGTTTTAGAACTCGAATTGTTGTCTGGTTCGACCGGACCCTCCTGGTCAACGGGACTATTTCTTGCCTATACTGCTTAGAGTCAAACGAGCTGATCTTGTCAAGCTCGGCTTTGATTTAACTGATGTAGGCCTCGTCGTCTTCAATGGCTCTGATCTTTGCTTCAAGAAATTCGGAAGTCGTCGACTTCACCGAAATTTCTGAGGATGCCGAGCTGACCGCTCGGTTTTGGGCTTCAAGAAGACGGGTGTAATTTTCAGGGGGCACAAGAGATAAGATTCTCTCAGGTATCTTGAAAGGAGGAGTTGACTCCATGGTGTGTATCACTTCGAAGGTACTAGATGGTGACTGTGTACGTAGTATAGATAACGCATGTATACAAGGACAGGGTTCGCGTACAGGTAAACCAGTAGTTGGAGGTGATGAAGTGAAGACAGAGCAGAGAAGGAGAGAAAAGTAGGTATACAGGGGGGAATGTACAAGTATTAGGAACTAGACGTTAGTTCTTACCTATCTTAACTTGGAGCGGTCGCCTTCTTTCGGAGCGGTCCGAGGCGTCGACCCAACGTCATGAACGGGAGACAACAGCGATCGTCGGGAAAACATATACCGATGTGAGCTTCAGCGAGCTCCTACAGCTCTCGCTCTCCCTAGACGCCGAAGTCGTCGATATGCGCCGCCTCTACAGTAAGACGTGTGATATGATTGTGTCCACGGACCTGGACGACGGCGAGCGCGCCACCTACGAGCGATTGTTGACTGGGATCAGGTACTGCTTGCCAAACTTGATCCAAAAGTAACGGCCGACATCTCTTGCCGACTGCTGATATGACTTTACGTCGTATGGTTCCGTCGTTTTCCTTCCTATTTGTGTCCGTGTTGACGCTGGAGTCTTTTTTCTTTTTCTTTTCATCTTTTATGCGGCGTTCACTTGCCTTACGGGATTCTGCCTTTCGCGTCCACTTTCTTTTTCTTGCGTGTGCGTTCTGCTTGCGGCGTTTATCTGCCTTACAGGAGTCTCCTATTTATGTACTGTCGAGGGCGAGGGCACTGTGGCGTGCCAACGTAACCATGTCACGTGTAGACGTTAAATAGCTGCCGTCATTCGAGGGCAATGCTACACACTGCAGTTCTGGCTCCACACCCTCAACAACCAGTGTGCCAAGCCCGTGCACGGTAATGGAGATCCTCCGTAAAATTCACCTTCCGTTTTAAATTCTAGATAGCAAAGCTCGATTGTTGTGGTACAGCATTTCCGGAAATCGGTGTCGCCACCTACACTCTTTCATTGCTTTCTGGACCATAGTGCCAAGAAACGCTAACCTTTATTGGGACGACAAGAGTAGTCGAATACAGGTTATTTCATTACGAATTTACGAGAAGTATCACCTGAGTGCATGATGAATTTTTAGATATTTACTTCTTATTCTGACCTAATGTGATAATTGTGAAGCACCTAGCTGCGGGCTATAGTATCAGCACAATATTGATATACACTGAGATGGCAGGAAATGGTGTCCCCGGAACAACTACGATAATATACCGAACAGCACATGCTGGTTACGTGCCGGTGCGGGACACTAGATAGCGGTAGCGGTCTAGTGTCCTTGGCACGGATACCAGTCTCTTGTTTTGCGGACTTTCTTGATTGCCAAGGCCCGGTTTGTTCGTGCTGGGATTTTCCGGATGACCCATGTGGTTCCAATGTGTCGCTGAACTACCCGTATCCGGCGGCGGCAAGATATAGAGCAGGTTCTCGGAAGCTTAAATTACGAGCTAATTTCCATGTTACTTTATACTCTATATGTTGAGAATGGAAGCAAAACTTGGTATCATATGGTCATGAGCTAAAAGCCACGAACTAAAATTACGTCAAAATTTGACAGAGCAGGCGGACGGAGGAAGTGTTTATCTGTCTCCACCATAGAAGATCGGCTCTTGAGTCTATTTGTTCCGTGGTTGAAGTCGTTTACAAGATCTGGCATAGCTCTTCTGACCCTTTACCCTGGTTATGAGCTAAAGGTCTAGACTTCTATCATCGTTTCTAGGAATATAGGTGAAGCTCGTCTGGATCTATCTCATCATAGATGACGCCTAGAGCGAATTCATGCTCTGTTTGATGCCGTCCGTGACTGTAACACTGTCAGAAAGTAGCTCCTCCGTCCTTCCATCTCAAAACTACATAAATACCCCCAGTATCCCATTTGTTTTGTGATTTCAGTATAACTACCAACTACTTCTATACACACATCACGAAAATAAAAAGGATTTTTCTATCAAAGCTGCAAAAAGTAGCTCCACTATCAAGAATAAAATGAAGCCAACACTCTGGTTACTTGGTCTTCTGGCGGCAACAGCCTCGACTGCCACTGCGGCCCTCGTAAATATTCAGAGTACATCTCTTACGCGAACAAATCGCAACTGTGCCGGTGTTGCTCAAGGAGCGCTACAGGTACCAACTTTTGGCACCGTCCAAGTTGTTCGATCTGTTAATCAACTTGTTGCGGTTCCTGTCTTATTAAAGGGATCCCCAAACACTGCTTACAGTGTCCGCTTGATTCAGATCAAGAATGGAGCTGCAGTGAGCTGTCCGAGCTGTCCAAATGGTCAGACACTGACGACAAACAACGCGGGCATTGGATACGTGACTGTTCAGCAGACTGTGACTGCGGGTGCAACAGGGGCGTGGGTGGCCGTTAACAAAAAGACCGACTGTAACGATTTCTTTACTACTCCTGTGGTGCCAATTAATAATTAGGATGATTTTGTGAGATACGTTGACGTTCTTCCTAAAAAGTTTCGTGTTGGCTTATTTGATTACTTGTGGTTAAATGTTTGAGTAATTTTACCATCGTCACAGTTATGATAATGCAAGAATCTTACGATACATGAACAAAACAGTGGAGAGTAAAACAAACCATTCGAAAAGTAGCTTAGTGCTTCTTGGCATTGTGCTCGAACAACAACGAATTAGTGTAGGTGGGGACACCGTTACGCTGTTTTTTACAGTGGCCCTCAACTTAGTGTGGCCTGGCCATTATAAGGCCTGCACTAGGGTCTTGGCAGTAGGGCCTCGGAGGAGAAAAGCAGTCTGGGGGGTAGAAGCCGTTTACGCTATCGACTATATCATCTGTCACCCACAAATCATTTTATGAAGCCCACCTTTTCTCAAATTGCGTCCTAGATACTCGACATTCACCTGTCTCTAAAGGGCCACGCATTCTTTAAGATATTGTGGCTATCTTGCTACTGTAAGAGCACTCTCTCAATCTAGCGCTTTCGGCAACACAAACTTATATCTATAGGCGGGTAGCCAGATTCTGGCCCATGGGCCGCCCGTTGCACAGGTCTAGTTAATACCGATATCGAGGTTGCGAGGTTATACAACAGGGTTACATAACCTACAACCCGTCTGTTCTCCTATATAATAACGCGTGGGAGCCTTCCTCCCTTCTTTCCCTTTCTTATCTTTGATACTCTAGTTAAATCATAGGAAAGTTCTTCTGTTTTCGAGTCCTTACAGATGGTAGTAAAGAGTGTAAGGTTTAATGGGGTGGGTTTGAAATATGGATCTTTGGTAGTTTTACATGAGCAATACAAATCATTCTGCCATTCTATTTACAACTCGAAGGAGTAGAATTATTTATCGGGGTGACTGTAGTATAGATGCATAATGTAATAGGTATACGAAATCTCCACTGATGACTATCATTTACATTCCAATCGTGCAGCGCACCATCTTATTAAATACACCTAATTCGCTATCAACCCAAATCAAACAAGCTCCAGTCCGTTCTAGTGTATATGTGAGAAAAGAAGAGAGAAGTCGTGTCCATCAATGAAGCAGTATATGAAAACTCCGAAAGAAATGAACATGATTGAAAACATAACATCGAGACAACCCCCAAAATTGATTGAATGCATCCATCTGTACAACTTGGAAAAATGAAAAGAACGATAATAAAGAACAAAGAGACTGTCGATGAGTCAGGGGAATCTAGAAGAATGAAACTGAGGTCATGCCATGGGAAGCTCATCCCTTCTGCAGGTATGGATGCAGGGAAAATAACGAGGGAAGAAAGCGCATCAACGAAGTGCGGTCAAGCCTGATTCTCTTATGCAGGCGGCATCCGGGCCGACTGAGAGAAATATCACGGTGGAGGCATTCAGTATATATCAGCCCCCGCAGAGGGTGTCAAATATGTAGCATCACCTATAAATGCAGTGACAGTTTGTACTGGTTTGTACTCAAATCGGCGGAGAGAAGATCTGAATGATGGGCAATGCCCAACAGTCACAATGCCTTGGCGAAAAAGCATGGAAAGGAAGGGAAAGTATTTTCATCGCCAGTATTTCCAACAACTAGCCTGAGCTAATGATTTGCCGAGCTCCCTCTTTGCCCAGGACACCTGGTTCTGTGGGCTTGGGGCTACGATCACGGCCCTTTTTGCGACTGAGGAATGAGAGCATTCCGCTGTTAGAGCCCTTTCCTTTACTGCTGTCACCCTCAAGGCCTTCTGCAGGAAGAGTATGGCTGTGATTGGCGAGTTCACTCCAACTGCCAGCTTCTTCTAGGACCATTTGGACGCCTCCCCCTTTGCTCGGTTTGCGGGTGGCGCCACGCTGTCGAGGTACAGGGGGTAGTGGGCGATGGAAGGAGGGAGGATGAGGCGGAGGAGAGGTAGACGCGCGAGTGGAGGGAGAAGGAGGTTGACCGATCGATGCGGAGTCATTTGGATCGAGATTTTCGCTGAGAACTGTTGGTGTCCCTTCATTTGGAGGAACTCGATGTATGGAACCTTCAACTAAAGGCGAATTGCGAATAATCGACTCAGGTTGCGAAGGCTGGCGAGAATGGGAAGAATGAGAATGAGTAACGATGGGGGTGGCGGTACTGGCATTAGCACCATTAGGGAGGCAGTCCTCGGGGTTTCTAGTAATCTGTTAGCATAAATGGAATCGCGAGGCAAGGAAGGAATCGTTATAACGGTACGCACGTTGACGCGGCAATGGCCTCTGCGGCACTGACTTGGAAACTGACGGTGGTGTAGTCGAAAGGCTCGAACATAGTTTCAATCAGGCGATGGAGCTCATCTTCTCGAATTTCCTTAGCTGTAGCATCTTCACGTAGTTCTGCACGTGGCTTCTGTCGACGGGCCCGAGCCTCTAGAGGCGCCTCCTCTAATAACAGCTCCTCGAGATCGTATGTTGCATCGAAATTCGTCTTGTCGCTGGATGGTAGGAAAACGGGGGGAATCTCTTTGCGCTCAAGAGCCTCGAAGTCGATATCTGCGAAGAATTGATGTGAAATGAAGCTCTCCCAGCTAACGGCGCCAATTCGACGGCTTCGGTCGCGCTCCATCAATGCCCCTAGAGCTCGCAGGCAAGGAACTGATACTGCGGGATTTGTGACAAAGTACTTGGGTTGTGCCCTTTTGATGTTCTCGCTCAAGGTGTCCTGGCTACGGCCTTCAAATGGACGCTGGAGAAAAGTCAGCCCTAACAAACTTTATTTCCCGTGTGACAGGTTGCCGTACCTTGTTGTAGATGCACTCGTAGAATGTGACACCCAGCGACCACCAGTCGACTTCAAAGAAATATCCACCTCCTTCGTACACCTCGGGGGCCAAATAAGCTAATGTCCCCGACTTGCTCGTCAGAGGCTTCCCCGGTCGGAAATCCGATGCCACGTTCTAGGTCGTTCAATGTCAGTGACCCACTCCAAGTTCCAGATCAAAGGTGTCAGCGCTTACAAAATCAGCCAAGTGAACATGTCCTTCTGAATCCAACAATACATTATCCGGCTTAAGATCCCGATGAATGATGCCCTGCGAATGAATATACTTCAAAGCACAGCCAAGTTCAGCCATCCAAAAACGAACTGCTTCCTCCGTGAAGCATTTGCGGGATATATGGAACCGAAGATCACCGCCATTCATAAGATCAACAACAATGTAGCTGGGAAAGAGTTAGTCAACTCAAGTCGGTCTTCAAAGGTTTAGTGGAACGTACATATATTCCATATCCTGGAAACTGTATCTCAAATTACACAGGAATGGATGATTAAGATGTTCGAGCATTCGGCGTTCACGAATTATATTGCGTACACTCTCCGAACGAACAACTATAGGGAGCGATTAGCATATTATCCAAGCTACCAAGGGGATAAAGCGACCTACCCTCTTCCTTTCGAATGTATTTCAGCGCAAATGTGAGGCCTGTATCCTTCCTTTCGACGATACGGACTTTACCAAATGCACCTTTTCCAACCACACGAAGGAGGCGGAAGTGATTCAGATTGACTAGTCTTGAATTAGTATACATCGCTTTGGTGCTATGGAGGGGCCAGTATACCCCTCCCAACGCAATAAACATGGTCGGACAAGACTTATCACCTACCTGCATCATTGCAAGAGACAGGCTTCCCCTGGGAGTTTCCCATTGTGGTGGAAGTGAATGGGGACGTAGGTTATAAGAACTAGTGTCTACCCAGCAACATTACACTGGCCTGAGGAGTCTCGGATCGGTATGGATCGAACGAAGTTGAGTCGGTGAAAAGGTCCACCGATCGTAAAAAGAGTATTCGTGACGTAGAAATCTCAGAGCACGTATTCCATGAGAGATGATGAAATGCGGCAGAATCGCGGAGCGGGGGTGTTGCAGTGGAACGCGGCGGGCAAAGACGGGAGGTTCGCAGCAGAACAAATCAGGGATTTGGGGATCGAAATGGCCGAGGAATCGCAATGGTGTGTAGGAGGTTGAGTAAAGCCAAGAAAAATTACAGACGTACTTCTGCAGTGCAGCAGGGTATGTATACTCTTGCTTCTTGGTTCGAAAAAAAGGTGAGGTCAGTGTTTCGGGGGGCCAAAACAGCTAGAGGAGCCCAAAGCGCACACGCGCAGAGAGAACGAATCACGGGAAGTAGCAAAATGCTGAAACAACAATCTTGCAGGTCTGAGATTGGAGAAATTGGAGACGTTCTGGAAGAATTTGGTCTTTTAGTTCTGCGAAGTTGAAAGAAAGGGGAGAGAAGAGAGTGAGCGGTCAAGAGAGTCCGGCAGTAAAGCGGAGCCAATCAAACTCGCGTGTCAACGGGGAAAGGGGGTCGTCGTACTTGCATGATCGACACTATCTTAGCCGGATTGCGAGTGGGAAGTGGAGGATTTAGGGAGTTAAGTCCTTGTCTGAAGGTCTGTGATGGTTGCAAGATTAAGTTGTGGTAGTCACCTGTTGTTTTAGATTTTTATTCTATTGGCATGGTGGTTTTTAGACCCTCACGTATGTGTCTATAGATATAGCCTCTGGTCGACAAAGAATCTACATCATCCTCCAGGAATGAACCGCATTACCGAGCCAGGGACAGTCCACCTAGGAAAGAAAATTGGGCTTGATGGGGCGGAAAAGGAAGAGGAAGGAAATGACACCACGAAGCCAGAAAAAAAGTAAGCAACCGCATCAAACCCAACCATCCACGTCGGACTGCAACGCCTATTATTTTGGAACCCAATCTACCCAGTGAGAGATCCAGGGAGAGGCCAGAGAAATGTGGGAAGGGGGGCATGCATCGGGTTTTTTGGCCAGACTGGTGCTCTCCCGCTGCACATTCCTTCAAAATGCTCGTCTCCGAAACCCCCGTAGGACTCTGACCTGTCAGATAAATGGATCTAGCCCTTCAGATGTCAGTATTTCTGTAGCCGTCAGAGAAAATTGGGGTCTGCAACAAGTCCATTTGCTCGCTTGGATATAGACTCAAATAAGTTGCAAGGGTTTCCAATTTACTGCTTGTCCGATAGAACCAACCAGAAGTGCTGATCATGCAGATACATGGTGTATCGGACACCTCACACTTCGCCACGCGAAAGGCTGAAGACTAACTAGTCTCTTTTTTTGGCTTTGCTCATTTCTCGTGGCCGCCACGTTATTGACCGCCCTTGCTGAGATGCAGGCATCGGCTCTGTCCGTCGCACAAGAACGGTCGTAGAACACCTGCAGAACATTCGAAGAGGGCTCGACCTGGTGACCAGTCAACTGTCCTTACAGCTGCCGACTCCACTGGGAAGTCAAAGGCCCAAGTCTAAGTTCAGCAAGCGGGTACCTTTCTTACTGATCTGATAATTGCACCACTCGCATTTTGAAACAAGCGAAACAGTGGGATTCCCTGTATCGATTGTGGAAGCCTGATCCACTCTGTATAGGTCAAAGAGAAGTTCTTTCTTGGTACACTTGGCGCATGCTGATTAGGTTATGAGGCCGGTAACCTGTGGCCCACACTAGGCTGGAAACGGTCTGATCCTGGTCGCATCGCTGTTTCATCTGCAAGATGACTAACGGAAGGAGCCTAGGCTGAAACTTGAAACTGGTAGGTGCAGATACGGACTTTTGGTCTCTGAAGAAGGCTTGCTTATGTGACGGGATTTTAGACTCCTAGTTCCTGGTCTCATATGAGGCGCTCAACCCGATTGGTGCTGTGTCCGCAATCCTTGTTGATCACTATTATACCCCCTTTGCTGTACTTTGTATGGAATCATCTAATAATTGCCAGTGGGCTACTTGGCAGGCATTTCGAATCGACAGATGATCCTTGACTTGTTATACTGCATTCCATACTAAAGCTGACAAGGATAAGGGTACTCATGGAGGGTTGACAGTCTCTTTCAGCTCGGAGGTGGCTTAGAAGAATAGATAACGGGGAATGTGATAGGTTGTATTGTTCCAAGATTCAAGCAGATAAAATAGTATGATGAAGCTCAGATTGATGAAGAAGAGCAAATCTGAGCCACGGGTGTTGTAGAGTGCGTGCCTTCCAGATTGGGAAATGTGCTCTTTACTGGCAAACTCGGACCGGACGCTCATCTCATCCTTTCTCCTCCATCCTGACAATTACTGAACTTCACATAAACGAACTCCTTCCGAAGGGAGCTGATGCAAAATGGACCAAGAGAGTGGCCCAGTGCCACCAAACGCCCCATCGCTTGGCATGCCTCCCCAGAATCGATCAGCCTTGCCATCTCAGAACCAACCAGGCAACAAGTCAACATGGTTCATGCAGCGCCCAAGGATTCTTGGGGCTGATCTGACACCATTCTCCTTTGCTAAGCCAGCCAGTAATCGACAAGGATTTACGTTACGAAATCTGCCTAAACATCCTCCAATCAATGTAGCAATTGGAGAAACCACAATGTCTCGAGAGAGTCAAAATGTTGCGGTACAAGATTCGATAGAATCAATTGCTCAATCAAGGTACACATTTATCTATTGCTATCAGATTCTTTTCTAATTTACCCGGTTCTTTCCAGCACTCCTTTGGCTCCTGTAGAGGACTCTCAGATCCCTCCTGCCAACATCGCATCTAATGAAGTGAACGGTACATCTAAAGAAGGCTCCCCAATGGCTTTGTCTTCTGGTCGCGACCTCGTCTGCTTCACAGGATCCAAAACTACAAACGTGAAATTAAACCCCGTGCTAGAGATAGCTCGGCAGAGACCCTCTAAGCCTCTAAAGCCGATGGATGATCCAGTGTTTATCGTGAGCCCCAACACTGATCCCAAACCCGAGGTAGAAAAACCAAGCCACTCTATTGTACTTCCACTCATTTCTGCAAAGGTCAATACCTCGCCTCAGGCTTCGGTGAGGTCAATCCACACCCAAGACCGAGGAATGGACACGGTCACTCCCATAAATCCCGCGCCTCAGATTCAACTGCCGGTAAAGCACGACTTTCCAAGTCCAAAGCGTGCCACTCGAGTTCGAAAGGTAAAGCCTGCTAAGCGACAGAAGTCCTATGAAACTCACCAGTTTACCGAAGACAAACTCTTCGAGCTTCTCATTGGCAAAATTAAACTGCGGGAAGAAAACGAAGCCTCGGCAGCTTACTTACAGCAGCAACTCGAGGCTCAAAACATTCAGCTGAGGGATGAAAACCGGGAACTAGAACAGCAGATGCAAGAACTTCACCTTCGTCTTGAAAAGAGGAACGAAGAATGCAAAGCAAACATTTCCTTGCTCGGCGGATGGAAGACGAAAGTTCGGAACATAAAACAGATTGTCAATGAGTTGGGACACGGTTATGATGAACTTCGAGATGAGGCTGACCAGCTGAAAGAAACAGTTTCATCTCTCAGCAAAGAGAAACGTAATTTCACGAACATCATTAACGACACGAAAGTGCGTATCACTCAAGCCGAAGGGGCCATCGAGTTCCAACGGAACAAAAACTCCAATTATGAGAAAACCATTGCTTTGTTGGAGCAAGGACTACAGAGCTCACAAGATATGGAGGAGGCAACAAAATCAGAACTCTTTGATCAAAAAAGACGGACAGCGACTCTAGAGTCATATATACAGGGCCACGCTTCAGCTCAGTCAAAGCAACTTATTGTGATAAAAGAAAATCAAGATCTCCTGCTTGGGCGGATTGCTGCAGGCATCACTACCATCACTGATGGTCTCAACACTGCCAATAACAACCACGCATTGGCAGTTAAAGATGCCTTTGAGGAATGCCGTTCTTCAGTCCAAGTCCTGGCCGAAAGGTCTTCGGAGGAACAGATCAATACTGCAAGGTTTACCCAAAAAGCTCATGAAGTGGTTGAGAGGTATTACTTACTATGTGGAAACCTTATCGCACAAGTACACTGACTATGAAGATCAGCATCGACTGTTTATCCTCTCAATTCACTTTAAATGCTGAGGGGGTCATCAAAATCAATAACGAAGTTTCAAAAACAATGCAAAAGAGGTTCAAGGAAGTTGAGTCTCACATTGGCCCGGAATCACTAATCATCAAGCAGCTTGGTTGTTTTTTTGATACTTGCGGGTCTTTGAAGGAGAAGCTTGAGGTCATGGGGCCAAAGCTAGGCGCACTGAATACCTCTGTGGAGACAATCACAGCTGCCGAGGGCAGCCTTATTCATCAACTCGAGGACGTGGGCAAAAAAATCTCGGAAGCCCAAATTCCAGCAAACAATGCAATTATGGATAAGGAGTTAGCAAGCAAATTCGCCGAAAATACGCAGTTGCAAATTAGGCTCCACGATATAGCTTCAGAGATTGACAGTCTCAACAAACTATTAGGAGAAAAGAAAGCAAATATTGAGGACTTGCAAGGGTCTTTGCTAGAGGCAACTGACAAGCAGCATTCAATCGAAGCCCAGAACAAACGATTGGCGATCGAAAAGACAGACTTGCAGTTAGAATTCGAATCAACTGAGCGAAGTATTCGACAGGAGCTCGATGAGAAAAACTTTGATTCTTTGAATCAAATGAAATTCGAACATCAAATTCAAATTCAATCTCTTCAAAAAGAGAAGGACGATATCGAGAAGGTTGCTGGGGAACTTGTTGCTCAGCTTGAACTCATTCAACAATCTCTGGTAAGTATCAACTAAAAAAGGAAAGAAAACTCATCAATGTCTTGATCCATCAATTGATGATCCGTTTTAGGTCGAGGCGAAGGACCTCGTCAGTGAGCAAGTTCAAGAGTCTGAACTCCAGGTACACCCCCTCGTAATTTACAACCCTCTTGAACATTTTGTTAAGCCCAACAGCTTCAAGAAAGACAGCATCGCATTGAGGAACTGGAGAGGTGTTATACGGAGTCCATAGCCCAGCTCGCAATTCAAACCGAAGAAATACAAAAGTTTCAGGAGCTCGACGCGACGTCTCGTGTCGAAAGCACTGGCTTGCGTGACCGACTGGAGCAAGCTCAACAGAAAATCCTTAATCTTGAGCAAAAGCTCAACTACTCTATTCAGACAGAAGGTACACGATGTCCCCAGACAACTGATATATTACCATTTTCAGCTATTTCAAAACAACTGGTGCCGCAGACAGGCACGTCACAGTACGGCGAATCGTGTGACTTCGCAATGCTCTTTATGTCAGACGAGATATGTCCTTCTACTGTCGCCAACGATGTTCCTAGCCCAAAGCTGTCTCCAGGAAGCCCCAAAGATGCTGTCAGAGATGACGACGGATATGTTCCACCCCCTGAAAGCATTGGCACATCATTTCTCAGTCCCAAGAAAAGGGAGTTTCCTGATCAATATAACAAACGCGAAGCAGTCATGTCAAAAGCCCAGCAAAACAGAAAAAAGGGGAAGAAGCCAGCCACGGTCCAAAGAACAATCAGTAAAGCTCAATCCGTCGCTAGTCAAGTCCGCATGGAGTCTGAAGAGCGCCCGGCGAAAGTAGCAAAACATACCCATAAGTGGACCTATAGCCGTATCCACAGTGCGACTTCGATGGTTCAACAAGAACAAGCTGTGGCTCCTCCTCGTACTTCCACCGCTGAACGGCGACCTAGTCCAAAGGGTCTTCTTTCTGCAAGCAGTGCGCAAGCAACTAACAGGCCAAAGACGCGAGCTCGCCTCCGGCGTCGCTCCCGAGGTATGATCATAACGATTCTCTTCATCGCCAAATCTAACCAAATATCCAGGAGAAAAATACGACGCGCGCTTTCAGATGGGCTGATTTTTGACGTTTCTGGCCGTCTAGGAGAGATGAGCATCAATATGCCGATGACTTGACAGGCGATGGCGTTTCTGTCGTTCATGTTCAATGTCAAACACGATCTAATTTAATCATGCAGGTTTAATCGGTTTGTACCTCTTATGTCCAAATGGTGTATTTCCGGCCCACGTTTCTGCTCATTTGTTTGATTAAGCTTCCAAAATTATACTCTTATTTCATAGCGATTGAAGCGGTTGAAATTTTGTTCGGACGCTAGAATATAGCATACCCCAATTTGTGAAGATCAAGATTTAGTGAAATGAGAATTTTTTTATTTTCAGTTGAATACCCAAAGCTGTAAGGATCATAAACGCCAAACACAATGCTCCATCAAAAGGAAGGGGCCTAGAGAGGATTCGACAACAGGTGCAGTGTGCCAATCCATTGCTCTGCGGCGCAACATCCCAGGATATAATGTACACGGAAAAAAATACAAGCCTCCACATTCCCCAGAATCAGGAACATCAGAAAGCACCACCATAGCATCGGTGCATTTGACATATCACCAAAATCGAAGTTTTCAGATGAGTGCGGTGTCGACGAGGAGGGAATATGTAGAGCGGCATTGCCGCAATCCCACTCACCGTTTCAGATGGGATTGAAATGATGCCGGAATCATCGAAGGTATCGCGCGAAAGGTGAGAAGAGCGGTAGGGATCGATAATCGATGGTAAGGCCCGGATTTCGGAATCGAAAGATCTATTTCGCCTTTCCACCCTTGGTCGCCTCAAGGAAAAGCACCTGCCTCTTCACGACGGGGTCGTACTTCATCATGCTGAGCGGACGGTGGACACGGGGCCGGATCATTGTGCGATAGTATCCTGTCATTGCCATGGAGATGAGGCGCACAGCAATGGTGCGAGACTTGGCTATAGGGGAAATGTTTGTTAGTGACTGCTTCGCAAGTTGTTCCCCGGAGGTGCTGGATCAACCAACGCCCTGAGTATGACGGGATGGGGAGAGATGGGGGGTGGCAATTGGGATTTTTATCCTGGAATCGAAGTTAAGTTTATGGTGCTAAACCAGTGCGAAACTTACATTTTTTGGCCATTTTGCTCGACGTCCCGAGTAGACTTGATCGGTGTTCGATAGGATGGAAATTCGAACGCGGAGTCGGGCAAAATCGCGGCCGTGCACGTGATGTGGTTAGTCAGCGTGCGGTAGTGTGGTCTAAGTTTAAATCTCCCAATTGCATTGTTAGAGCTTCAGAATTGGGTTTCAAAGAGAAATGTTCAGAACTTTTAAATTTAATGCTGACACCTGGTGATTGGGAGTTTCCGCTTCATGTAACTCAGATGGTGATGTGATTCCATCCAACTGTACTTCGCTAGTGTGTTCTCCCGAATGTTTTGGGCTAATAAAGGAGCATCTTCCTTTCTCCCTTTCGACTTGGAGATGATTGAGTTGCTTTCCCACGAATTTCGATCAAAAATCAATTCATTTCCTGAGCCTGCTACAGGATGTTAGAGCTTTCCCAATTTATCATTTCAAATCCCATATATGTTCACAATTTATACTTGGTGCCGTACCGAGGGTCCTGGTCATGATCCATGGACTGTTGTTGAGTCTCCAGAATAGTAGCGGTTGATCATGACCTACATCTTACCCTATCCACTCCGCGTTTGGAGCGGAGTACATCATATTTAAGTATTCTAAACGCGACTTCTTCTTGGAAAAGCTCCCACGTAAATTACCAGGAGAATTGTTCGTCGCTATTTGCCCCCATCTCTACAAAAGAACTGATATCACCAAGCCTTTCGGCTCTGTTTCTTCGAGTTCACCATTCAAACCTTCTTTCTGAGTATCCTGCACAATGCCTTTCCAATATTATTCTTTTGCTGCATTCATAATGCTGCTGGCCCCAGCTCTGGCTCAGAAAGTCGAGGGAGCCCAGTTCAACAACCCCCATGCAGGACCCCCGTCTAGCTATTTCGCTGCTGGTCCCAATATTCCTGTTGCTGCGCTACAAAGGGCTGTGGCGGGGGCTAATACTGCAGCAAAAGATGCAACATATCCTGTCAATAGGAACGTCGACGCTCCCCAGGTTACTATTCACAGCGACTGGACAAATTTTAAGGAAGTACGTCTGGCTTAGACGATTTTCCACTCTTTTTTGTCGTATTAAGAGCCCTGACTGATGATTTATAGGGAGCTGCCTTTGTGTGGGTTGGCGATATGGATGTCGACTGTGATGGTATTGATTGGCAATGCCAGGTAGGACAGTTGCAAAAGCGAATCATAGTATAGAGATTGGGCGAGGATGCTAACATAACGACATAGGGTAATCAATTTGGGCAGCCAAACACTAATTTCGGCGCGCTGGCTGCATACGAAGTGCCCTGGATTGTGATTCCTGACAGGTTCGGTACTACATATAAAAGTGTCCTTCCTGGGAACAACGTCGGAGCTGTCATCTGGTAAGTTATTCATGTTAATGTGATCCTAGTGAACTTTGATAACAATCTGAAGCAATGGAAAAATGTTTTACGGCATCTATGGCGACTCCTGTGGGGTCGATCCTCAAGTGATTGGCGAGGCTTCATGGCTGATGGCCCGGGCATGTTTCCCGAACGACAACATCAGCGGATTCAACGGACATGTTAACGTTGATGTGACTTGTTAGTTTGCTGCCATTTGACTGTTCTTAGATAGTTTACTGATATATGCCAGACATTCTGTTTACTGGTGGTAATGCGGTGCTTCCAGGCAGCGCATTGAACAGCAACTTTTTGACCGATTTTGGTACCCTGCGGTCGATGGGAGATAATCTTATGACCAGCCTTGCCAAGAGCTTGGGTCTTGCACCTGGGGCACACGTTGGTAGTCAATTATCTGAGCCAGACCGAAAAATGCCAGTGAATGGTGCGCGCCCCTGGACTGAGGATTGTGCCTGTACGTTGTTATTTATTACCGTAGGGTTATTATTTATGGAAATGACAAACGTTATATAGGTGCATCTGGCTCTTCTGAAGATGATTAAAATGGTATTGTATATAGCAGTGGTAAATGTGCTAACTTTTGATTTACTGCTTGTGCTAAAACATGCCCGATGGTACCTATTCGAGACGTGGCCATTATGGTCTGACTTGTAGCTTCGATGTGCTCGCGGCTACAAATTGCTTTAGAGATTAAATATGCTCGAGATTGATTGAACAATTCAGATGAGGCTCTTTTGTTTGCCACATTAAGTTGCGGTGAGAAGATTATCCTGATTCATGTGCGATTGTGGCTGAGGATAGTTTCTATTGGTATATCGACTGCAATAACTTTTTCTTCCTTATCAACACGCAGGTGTACATCTTCAGTGCTAATCAAGACCATGCATGTTCGATTTTCAGTCCCCACTCTGACTTGATTTCTTTGAGAACGCGTGCTAGAATAGCACCGTGAGATCATATTGATGTTCGCCTATTTCTTCTGACATGTCGGTCTGGATTCAAGGCCATATCGCTTAACTGAATCACTGCATAAAATACATTATGCATACTAGATTCATCAACCTTGCATGTGAATGTATTGAAGGAATTATAAAGCTCCAAGCGAGAAAGACCACGGGCTGGTTACTTATTTAGGAACTTTCCTAGTTGGGTATTGCCTATTTAGGAAATGTATGTACGGTTAGTCAGCCTTGCATATGCACGCACCTCAAGGTAAGTTTTCGCTCCAAGCGAACTGCCGAGCAAAAAGCAATCTTCATAATTGTCATTTCCGAGCAGAAAATATTCTTTAATTCTTTTGGGGTATGCGAAAAGTATGGAAAATCCATTCGCAAGCGATAGATACCAAATTTGTTGACGCTGGATACCTTTGAAGGGCTAGAATTGGCGCAGATGATTTGTAACTACCATGAGATTAAGCTTAATCAAGGGAGGGGTAATATATCAACCTATCAATTCGTCTAGAGTCAAAGACTTGATTTTACAGGCCAAGCGGCCCAAGCCTAAATAATGGACATAACCAATAAATCTACGCTACTGCACATACTTAAAAACTAGCCCCATGATGGATTAATTGCCACCTTAGGTAACATGCATATCACACTGCACTGGATACATGATCAATGTGGCTTAGATGTTAATTTAGGGCATAATGATGAGAAATGAAGTTATTGTTTGTTAATTAGATTATCTTTATGACAAGACAACTTGAATCATGTCTTCCTGTATGTCTTTTTACCGTTTTTTTCTTACCAATACATAATTCAAGCTTGGTTGTCACTCTCACTGGCAGGAAAAAACACTACAAAGAGTCTCTAGTTAAATCACCAGCATCTATGGTGATGGAGTTCCTAAAGTCCTGAAAAGACTATCATGAAGACATTAGTATGCACTACATTGCATATGTTGAGCTGAGCCTCCCAGAAACTTGAAGTTGTTAGGGACTCGAAAATAGTTCCAACGTCAGCCAGCAGCGAGATATCCATATCCAAATCCATTCATTCCACTGATGGCTGCGATAAAACCAAATCCCACTTGAAGTGATGTCCAACCCCACACTCGGCACAAGGCCAAGACAGCCATATTAAATCTGGCAGGTCCACGCATCATGAAATTCAAGTTATTAACTCATTCAATCTCGCCCAAAGTAAGTGCCATGTTTTGATCTGTATAGGGCATTCACTCACATATCAATATAATAACACCCTAATCCAACATTGAATGTTACAAATATAAAAGTTTATATTATCAGTTGTTATAATTAAGATGTTCACACACAATTAAAGATAAAGTGTCCTTGACGTTACTCAGAAAGACGCACTGAGTGCTTTGCCCCATAAAAAGTACGACTAAGGTTAAGCGTCGAAGGTCAAAATGCGACCTTACAAGACAACTTGAACTCCTTTCCTCGGCCTCTCCTCGGCTATTGATTTATTCTACTGAGTCATTCAAATTAGACTAGGAAACGGAAACATAGTCCCGAATCTTGGCACAAGAAGACCTGCAAGCGAATCACGAAAGCATAGAATACGGAGTCCGGCGAATTGCACACAGTCCGGGGATAGTTGGCTCCCTAGCGGAGAGGGGGAGGGAAAATGCGGGGCCCCGCGGAAGCATCCCAGACCCTTTGCGGAAGGCTGTCCCCACTTGATCAAGCACTACAAGACTAGGGACCAGCTTCTGGGAAAACATCGGTTAATGTTAATGCGGGGCTCGGTTACGCAGCCGAATTCTTGGAACAACCCTGATTCCACAATGTTTATAAAGCGTGGGGAAAAGCCAGACTTGCTTGCTTTCAGATCTTCGAAGCTGACGGACTCCTTGTTTCCAAGATCTCATCGTTTCTAATTTGAGAGCAATTGATGGAATTATGCATTTGTCATCATCTCAATTGATAATTCTGGGGCTGGCCGCAACTTCTCATGCTGGGGTTGTTAAGCCGAGAGCCTCGTCTGCAGTTCCAGATTACTTCCAGACAAGCTTTGGGCCGTATGCGGGTATGTTCCAAAGTTGTTGAAAGAAGGCTTGTATTCCAAAGCTGATGATTTTGATTATAATGTTAGGTCCTACAAAGGCTGGGGATGCTCCGTTTGTGGCGGCGGAATCCGCTGTCCCATTTCTTGGCGGAGATTTTTACCTTCCCAATACTCCTGTGGTGACCAATGTTCCTATCTCAGGAAATACAAATGGTGGGGAAATATTTAAGCATATGGGCAATTTATCGTACGTTTGCTTGTCCGATCGCCGTGGCTGCCTATTATGATCTCAATAACTGACCCATTCAAGGCCATATATGCCCAATCCATCAGGATTCGGAGTCAATGAGTACCCCTTACCACCCGGTACTAATATTACTCAAATGCATATGATTCATCGACATGGATCCAGGTATCCTACCAGTGATGCATCTGTTGCCACTGTTGGCGATCGCATTAAGGGACTCTTGGCAAATGGCACTCGTTTTACGGGTGACTTGTCTTTTCTAAACGATTGGACATACCAGCTTGGCAAGGAGGAGCTAACAGCTCTTGGACGTCAACAACTTTTCGACAGCGGCGTCCTAAATTGGTTTAACTACGGGAGACTATACGATTCATCTAAGCCTCTTATCGCTCGAACGACTACTCAAGTACGAATGCTTCAATCGGCTGAGAACTTCCTGAATGGGTTCTTTGGTCCTAATTGGACGAAGAACGTTACATTGGAGGTTATCACTGAAAGTCCTGGTTTTAATAATTCCCTAGCCAGTGATAAAGAGTGTACAAATCATAATAACGGGAAATCGGGCGCGGGTGATGATGCCTCGAGTCAGTGGCAAGAAATCTATCTCAAGGATGCAACTGAGCGATTCCGGGAGTCTATGACTGGTACTCCAAACTGGACATTTGTTGATACTTTCAACTTGCAAACTATGTGTCCCTATGAGACTGTTGGACTTGGGTTCAGTCACTTCTGTTCCCTTTTCACCTGGGAAGAATGGTTAGGCTTCGAATACGCTAATGATTTAAGTTACTATGGAGGAAACGGATTTGCATCGCCGACAGGTCGTGCTGTTGGAATTGGATATGTTGAAGAGCTTCTCGCACGACTGCAGCAACATTATCCTGATCCAGATCAGAGCTCCATTGCCATCAATGAGACACTAGATGGAAACTCGAAGACATTCCCTCTGAATCAATCTTTGTACCTTGATTTCAGTCACGATACCAATATCTTCTCGATGATGACTGCAATGGGACTTACGCAGTTTGCTCAGTTCCTCCCGACTTCTAGTCCACCATTTGATCGTCAACTTATTGTTAGTCATATTGTTCCTTTCGCGGGTCGGTTCAATATAGAGGTTATCAAAGCGCCTCGACCTGTGCTTGCGAAACGGCCTCATGACTCGAGAGACTCGGCGTATGATAATGGGACTGAGACTACATATGTTCATATGGTTATGAATCAGAGGACTATTCCTCTGGGTCGCAGTATTAGCGAGTGTGGAGCACGCGATGACGGGTGGTGTGAGTTGGATACATTTATCAAAGTTCAGAAGCAGAATATTGCGAAAGCAAACTTTTATGAGAGTTGTTTCGGTGACTATTCAACCCCGGAATACGGAAGTATCAAAAATGGTACTGTCTAAGGGTTCGCCTAGGTTGCACAGGAGAATGTGTTTTCAAGAGTCCATCTTCAGTACATATACAAATTTTAAATGATTTTCTAATAAGAAGAACTTGAATCCAATTACATAGTATGATCCATACGATGAAAACGATGGACCAGATGTTGTCATTACTTACATTAGATGTTGTCAACACTGTTTATTTTCTTTCCTTTTTGAGTGGTATACGCCCTTGGCTCTCTTGTTATTCCTTTCGTTACTTGAACTCGAACGTGGCTATTCCATATTATACACACATTTGGCTTTCGAAGAATTTCCTATATGAATTGCGACTATACTGGAATACAATGATCATGACTCAGGTTTTACTTCGTGGGACACACGGACCTTAGGCTTCACAGCCACACTTAGCAGCATAACATGCCGGGTAACATTTCAAAGTAAAGAATAGCCCGGCCCCTAACAAAGAGTTTAAAGTGGCCCATGCGCAGATAAAATAGTATAACACAATATACTAGGTAAAACAATTAGTGAGTAAAAGACAATAGTTACCTCGGAAGTATAACCAAGGTCCAAACCGACCCTCTATTCGCCTTTCTACTTGTCTTTTAATTCGTCTTTCCATTTACGTAGAGCTTACAGTAAAAAACTCTTGGCATCAGAAACATTTCCATTTCCTAAATAGTACTAGTACTAGTACATCAAGACAAAAAAGCCCATAAGCTGCAAGTTATGATAATTTGCAAAACTAGCCCTGAATTAGGAGATGGTGACATTTCGGGAAATAAAGAATTTGAATTAGGACCGTGCAGTGCAGATTAAGCTATACCAGAAAGACATAATTATGTGTTCCGCATGTTGGTCGATTATAGTCCCCGGCCCCGGGGGCTAATACAATGCCAAGGTGTTGACACGGTGTGCATGCTGAATTGGGAAGCCGACGGGGGGCCTTGCCCCACGGTAGATCATGACCCCGCAGTACATACATAGTAGTGAGTCAGAGTTAAATGTGTGGACTTGAGGGGCTCAAATTAGTTAGAAGGAATAAGATAAGAATTTTATTTTGGATATGGATCCTTTGGTTTTGGTTTTGGTTTTGGTTATGATTATGCCGAGGTGTGGCCGATCATGACGAGTTAGTGGATCGGGATTTGTTATTATTTACAAATATTCAATGATAGAGGATTACTTTTACAGTGGGTGGCGAAAGGATTCAGAGTGAAATTCAAATTCAAATTCAAATTCAATAATTCAAAGCCTCAGCTATCAGAAATCAAAGCATAATAACTTCAAGTTCATAACAAAATTCATAGTAGACACACATTCAAATCATTCTCATAACGAACAAAGGAAAATTCAACCTCCAAACATCAGATAGACATGAGTCACAATCTGAGCCAATAAACATGCCAAGATCAAATCTGCATGCATGAATCCACTTCTCCTCCTATTGGATACCACCGTTAACCCGCAGATGAACGGGCGCATTCACCAATAATGGACCAGCCAAGCAATAGAACTATAGACTCTAGCTATTCCAAGTTCCGCAGCTTCCAATCTGGGATTCCGATCAAATTCAAAAAGAAAACCTCGATGACTGAATAGGTGGTGTTGGGGCGGGCGCTCCAGGCAAGCCGCTTTCCCCGGTTCTGGATTTGAGACCAGATGATTTTTGATTTATTCTCCCTCCTGGGGTCTGATGTGGTGGGTGATGAATAAATGAAAAGACTGACTTGCAGTCTATACCCGTGAGATGGGGGTAAGCTTCAAAAGCGATTGAGCGATAACCGTTAAGGTGCATATAGTAGATAAATCGTATAACCAATTTTTTTTATGGTTTATTGTTTTTTATTCAGCGGTGGTAGCGGTGGCCGCGAGATTCATATCGACGTTCCTCGCGGTCAAGACGGTCATTAACGTATAGTGAGCCTCTGTTCGAGGGGCTTCGGCTTGAATTTGAAGAACGAGAAGAACGAGGGTAAACAATAACATGACGCTTGCTGCTAGAGGGCGAACGCTCAATTATCTGATGTGGCATTTCATTGTTCTCCGGTGTCCGGGAGCGAGGACGAACTTGCTCAATAACCGGACGGGATGGAGTAGTCGGTGATCGAACAGGAGGAGCACGTCCCCGACGAGGTGATGAGAGACGAAGACCATCTTCCACAGAGTTCAGTAGATGGCGGGTATTATTTGAGTCGCGGGGTAGCTTGACTCGCATGGGCTTTCCGTTCTCCTTATCCACTACGGCGTAGTGCTTGTTGCTCTTTGTGTAGAGGTATTTGGATACGTCGAGTGCGAGTAGGTGGCCTCGTTCACAGAAAGTGTTGTCGGATGTTTCGAGGGAGAGGCTACAGGCTGTGCAGCGGGAGACGTGGCTTTCGAAGTCGTCGAGGACGAGCTTTTCGTCATCGTGTAGGTCGCGCACGACGGTGGGCTCGATTACCAGGGGGGCGGGCATGGTGAGTGAGCGACGGATGGGGAGACGTCGCTGGGGAGAAGAGGAAGATCTTTCAACGGTCGACAGGGTGTCGGGGTCGATAAAATACTTGGTTGAGCGGTAGGGCGACACTGTGACTGATTTCTTGGATCACGCGTAGAAAGGGTGGTGATCTGCCCGGGTGTGTATGTGGTGTGGAGGTATGAGGTATGCACACGGGTTGATAATGTGATCAGGTCAAGCTGGATACTTGATGTAGATAGCAGATGATCTGAATTGTAGTTCAAATGTTGGAATTGTAATGTGAAGTGGAAGGAATATCAGGAATGAAGAGGGGAAAGATAGAAAGTTATATAGTTTTGACTGAAAGACAAGGCGCATTCAACCTGATTGTAGCCTGGCGGATCCAGTTCTCATGCAGCCTGCAGCCATGCAGCCCACTTCTCGCAGGGAGATCAGATGGTCTAACCTGATCTGATAGTGACTGTTTCTGTACCCGCTGACTCCACTGGGCTAGACTAGCCATGAATGTAGTATCATTGTAGCCGCTAGTGTGGCTCAGTCGTGTTAATTAACGCTAAGTTCGAACTAAGTTAACACCGCCAGGTTCAGGGTTCAGTGGGTGTTGATTGGTGCAGAGAGGTTCATCCACGGTGACTCTCTCTCTCTCTGTCTCTTGTCTCTATGGTGATGTGTGATGCTGGCTTCTATCTGACCATTTTTTACTGTGTTCTTCTTCTTTTTTTCTCTCCGATTGTTGAACTAATTTTTAGTTTCTATTTTCAATGTTTTATTTTTATCTATCTCCCCTGCTGCCTGCGATCCTAAAATTTGATTTCATCATTCCCTCTGTGGCTTGAGCCGCTCGTGTTCCTGCGGGTCTCGTGCACTCGAAACACAACGCACGTCACTAGGGGATTCTGTGGACTTTGACTCGGGTCCCCGATCGGAAAATAGATTTACTATGATTATTCAACTTTCATCCACAGCCATTACATCGTGCAGGTCATGTTAGACCTGAGGCTCCCCCCGGTGGCAATCTGTATCCCCATTTGTTCCCCGCTGCCGCTGCCCCAGTCCAGCGTCTACAGAAACAATCGACTTCGACTTGGAACTGAGCCGCATCTAATCCTTGTACCTTTCAAACAGTATGGCGTCTACAATCTCGAATCTCGATTCTCGAAGATATCGAAAAATAGAAACTTTTGCCTTTCTCTCTAAGAATAGGTCTCCAGACTCGTCGGTCGGGAATAGGGGCACCTGGGAGATTTGGACCCCACGCTTTACCCTCAGCCTCCAGCCACATATTTTCAGAATAAGCAAACATTGATCATTCTCTTGGCCATAACTCACTCTAGGATTGATTCCAGCCACAGTTTCTAAGCAAATACGAGCTAGGAAGACTCAGCCTCAGCCGCAAAAGCCAATGCTGCCATTCGTTACTCAGGCATAAGCCACTGAGGCTCGTGTTGAAGCACGCCAATGCCAATGCCACGATGCCACTAACCCCTGAGGCATTTACCATTTCAAGATACTGCCAGTGCTAGCGAGCTTGACTGACGTACATAATCATGACGAGCATATCCTGCATGCACCAATTATTCCGATCGTATTCTCCGATTGCCTTGTCCACGCAGGTCATACTACTAGTCATGGGATAGGTCACGGTCATTCTGGACCTTGTTGGCCTGAAGGCACCCGTCAATATATACTTCCAGGTGCGGCGCACCTGTACATTGACTCGGGTGAATCGTGCAAAATACTCCATACCACATTACTGGTCAATGGCAATCCCTCTAATACGCCAATACGATTTACCTTGTCCGATTCTGGGCGATTCCCGTTTACTTTCTACCTAACTAACCTCTCCACCTGGGCAGGCTCCGACCATCATTATGGGGGTACTGAATAACCCCACGCTCAATGTGAATCAGTAAAAGTGATGCCCTTCAACAAGCCCTGCCGGGCTAGCTCAATCGGTAGAGCGTGAGACTCTTAATCTCAAGGTTGCGGGTTCGACCCCCGCGTTCGGCTATTCCTACAAATAACCTGAGATATCTTTTTTTTGTCTTTTGGTTCTGTGCAGATTTTTTTTCTTCTTGACGTTTTTCGAGGATATGAGTGGTTGAGATGAGCAGATCGGGTCCACTGTGGAACCGGGCCGTCGACAGAACAGAACTGTTGACCGAACTGAGAAACTGAGACAATATTTCTTTTTCTTTCAGCGTCAGAGGACGTGCACAAGTGATAAGATCATTATCGGAGTCAACCGCTTCTGGAAATCTTTCCTATCTTGCCTGAGACCTTGACCTTACACTTGACCCGTTCATGTGGCTGATGCTAGGTCCAAGCGCAAGGCAGAGTATGCTATTCCCATTACAGATAAAGGTTCTTACCCAGGTATCTAAGTAAGTTCCAAGATAGTTCTGTAGGTATTATGTATACCATCTCTAGATCTGTAGTGCAACTTGCCCGTGACGGTATTTATTCCGCACTGAGCGGGGAATGCGGAGAGTCACGTCCACGGATGATTCGGATTTTCGATCATCGGGAGAAATTAGAGAAGAAAAGTATCTAATTACGAAAGTCGAGCCGAGATAACAAACTCTTCGAATTGAATTCGGGACATAATCTATGTGATTGTTTCTCTATTGGTGGGGCTTGCGAGGAGGGGTATGCGTCCTGAACCGAACGAGCTTAAGCGCTTATGTCCAGAAGAACAAGCACAAGCATACGGCAATGAACACGGGTCTGAACACCTCTGTGCAATGCCTATGCAGCATAAGCTGGTTTTCAACAAAAACCCGTTGCCACTCTCTAGAACCGCTCGGCAAATTATAAACATCTCAAACACTTCTTAACTATCCACTACCCCCCTTCTAATCTTTCCAACAATAGCTCAACCTTACCCCCAGTATCCTGACCTATAACCATCCACAATGACACAAACCGGTATAACCACCAACCTATTAACCATTTCCTTCCGTTTCATCTAGCGCTAACACGCAATTCAGACCCCTCCCCCAAAGATCCAAACCACTTAAAAGGTCTCATCAACAGATACAGACCAGATCTGAAACCCTTCGAGGAAATCTATCGCCACATCCACTCCCACCCCGAACTCTCAGGCCAAGAAGAACAAACAGCCAAAATAGTCTCTTCCCATATCCACTCTCTAGGTCTAGATGTCCACACTAAGATCGGCGGCCACGGCGTCGCAGGTGTCCTTGAGAATGGACCGGGCCCTAAAATTCTCCTTAGAGCGGATATGGACGCCCTCCCATTGGAAGAAAAGACCGGGCTTTCGTACGCAAGCACCAAGACTATGAAAGATAGTACCGGTGTTGAGAAACCCGTCATGCACGCCTGTGGACACGATAGTCACGTTGCGACTTTACTGGCCGCTACTGAGCTGTTAGTTAACGCGCGCGAATACTGGAGCGGGACTGTTATTTTTGTTTTCCAGCCTGCGGAGGAAGATCTAGATGGTGCGAAAGCTATGTTAGAGGATGGGCTTTGGGAAAAAGTTCCAAAGCCGGATCTTGTTCTTGCGCAGCATGTTATGCGCATGAGGGCGGGAAATGTCAATCTTCGCGCTGGAAGATTACTTACTGCTGCTGATTCGTTTGATGTGAGAATCTTTGGACGCGGGGGACATGGATCTTCACCGCAAGCTGCTATTGATCCTATTGTTATCGGTTCTTCGATTGTGGTGAAGTTACAATCTATTGTGTCGAGGGAAGTCACACCTGGTGAACTTGCTGTTGTTTCAGTTGGAAGTATTAATTCGGGGTTTGCGTCGAATATTATCCCCGATTATTTGGATATGCAAATATCCGTGAGGACTTTTTCAGAAGAGGTCAGGAAAAGAGTCCATGATTCTATTCGAAGAATTGTGAAAGGGGAATGTTTAGCTGGTGGTGCTGTTAAAGATCCCTCTATAAATCTTGTTTCTTCGACGCCGGCAACTGTTAATGATGAGGAGACTGTGAGGGTTTTGAAGGGGACTTTTGGGGGATATTTCGGTGATAGGTTGATTGAGATGGAGAGGCCTAGCGCTAGTGAGGATTTCTCGCTTTTGGCTACTGATGTTGGGGCGCCGTATGTTATGTGGATGTTTGGGGGGATTGAGGAGAGGGTTTGGGATGATGCTGTTAGGAGGGGGAGGGTTGATGAGTTGCCTGTGAATCATTCGCCTTATTTTGCGCCGGGGGTGAAGACTACGATTAGGACTGGGGTTGATGCTATGGCTTTGGGGGCTTTGACTTTTTTGAAGTTGAAGTGAGTTTTATTTTAGAAGTATGATTGATTTTAGATAGGTCAATGTTGCTGTTTTAGGTTCAAAAAGTGCATATGATATTATTATGATCAGTGTACAGAATAAACACTCCGAAGTCTGCAGGTTAAGGCGAGCCATCTACTCTTTAGCTACGCGAATAAGAACTTTCCCTCTAGTCCTATCCGAGGCCAATCTATCAAATGCCTTAATAGCGTTCTCAAACTCATACTCACTATCCACATGTACCTTCAAAGTCCCCTTCAGCAACATCTCCCCAATGACAGCAACGTGTGCTTGCGTATTAGCAAAGAAGAAAAGACGAAACTTCCTCCGTCCACCACCAAGTATCGAAGGCCACCCAATCCTCCCCGGGTAAATCGACTTACTCAACGCCCCAATCTGCAAAAACACACCATCCTCCTTCAAAAAATGATGACAATGATAATACAGATCCTTCGGCAGTCCAACATGATCAACAATATGATCGAAGACTACCCCCTGTTCTCGCAGAGTCCCAGCTATATCGTCCACAGCCGTATAATCAATAACCTCATCAGCTCCAAGACTTCGACATAGCTCCACATTCCTCGTCGAACAAGTAGTAGTAACATGACACCCAAGAGCCTTAGCTATCTGAATAGCAAATAACCCACACCCTCCAGATCCACCCACAATAAGCACTTTATCCCCCTCTTTCACATACCCGTTTAACGATTGATAGGCACTTTGTCCTGCAATCCCAATCGCACCCGCTGACTCGGGAGATACACCCTCCGGTACGGCAGCGACAAGATCAGCAGAAATAGATAGGTACTCTGCCAAGCTACCGTATTTCATTGGACGACTGTGGCAGCCGAAAACGAGCTGTCCCGGGGAAAACTGCGTTACTTGTGATCCGGTCGCGAGGATGCGACCGCAGAAATCCATTCCTGGGGACGCGGGTAGCCCTATCACTATCTGGGCTGCGATCCCGAAGACCCATGTTGGGACTTTGTAGTCGGCTGGGTTTAGGGATGCGGTGAGTACTTGGACGTAGATCTCGTGAGGAGCTGGGGACGGGGGTGTCCGAGCGGAGGTATCGAGATAGAGGTTTTTAGATAGATCGCCGGATGCGCTGTTGTAGAGCCATGCTTTCATTGTTGTGGGTGTGGGGGCCGAATTGGACATTTTGACTCGATTGGTTTGAACGGGTCAAGGGTGGGATTACGGATCAATGATGCTGATCTCTTTGTTTTTGCTGCACTTTTTATTTTTGTGCGCGCGTGGGTCCGCTGTTTCGTGTTTCTATTTTCTGCTTTTTTCTTGGGGGATTTGTTTCGTGGAGTTCAGGTTCAGGGGTTGTTTTTTGTTCTTTGTGATGATGTTGGGCAGAATGACGTAGTTGAGATTGATGGCGTTTTTAGACCGTTCAACTGGCGTGATATCGTGAACTTCCCTGTAGAATCCCTGTCGACATGGGTTTGACGTGTTTTTATGGAGTTGCAGTTGAGCGATGACGGAAGAACGACTGGGATCATTCGAGGTCCTAGCTCCCGCATCGGGGCTGGAATTTGGGGCGGGGCCCTTTGTTCCAGTTGGTGACTGCATAGCGACACGCACTTTTCGATATTTCAAATGTTGTAATATTGAGCCTAGATAGGGGTTTTCTTTTTGTTGATCACGATACTTCAGTAAGATTATGTTCTATCATAACTTCCACCTTTGCAATACCTGTGGTATCGCGCAAAAAGCGAAGCATGGCCCCAAACCACATGACTCGGTGCTTATACCCAGGCTCCTTCATCAAGGTGCTTTGATAGGCCACAAAGCTGGTATATGTGGACCATAAAATGCAGTATGCATAGAGCCCCGGCACATGCTGTGGAGACTTAGGATCGAGCGAGCCGTCCTGTGTGAGATTGATGGAGTAAGGTATGGTCTCGGCGATCTCATCGATAAGAGTAACAAGTAGACTGAGGCCTCGCACTTTGATTTCCGAAACATCAATTCGTGAAACATCGCATTGGAAGAGAAACTTGAGGATCTGAATCCAGAGATGAATGCGAATTGCCCGACACATATTCCAGTCACTGGCTGCGGAGGGATTATCATATGTACGGAAATGATCAGGCGCGCCGGGGACCGTGAGCAGTTTCTTGCTCCAATCTGGTCGATTTGTATGGCTGAGAGGTTTGCGATCGACAGGCCTCCATCCCCTAGGAAGATTAGCGGACCATTCATGTAGCTGGCTCTCCATGCGGAGTGCCTCGTCGAGATCTAGTAATCCAGAATCGATTGAATCTGGACCTGGAGCTACTTTTCCGTTGGCTCGTTCGTTTAACCTAACACAAATTACTGCAGTTGTCGACATTAACTCGGTGAGTTTCTTTTTCATCGGCGAGTCGAATGGAATCTGCTGGACCCAGCTGGCTAGGTGTGCGGGCGGAATCTTAAGGTCTGTTATATACCAGACGATCTGAAACAAGGTTAAGATCAGCTTAGGCATGCAGATCACAGAATTATTATGATCGAAACACTTACCATATGCGTGCATAACAGGGCCAGGTGGTTGTTGCCATCCTGCAGTGTGGTCCCGTCTCTCTGGGCAATAACGGACTGTGTACCATGCATATGAGCAAGATAAGAGCCATCTCGTTTCGAGGAGGTCAACATCTAGGATTTGGCTATCAGTCTCATTCCGCAGACACAAATACAAATACAAGAAATCTGCCCAACTCACCTCATACATGCTCATAAGGAAGATAACCATCAAGTTATCATCTCGTTGCACCTCGATCGGATCAGCCATTTTGGCTGCAAACTTTTGCAATGTTTCGCCATAGGAGACATTTCCTGCTTCTTTCGCTTCTTCAGACTGACATCTACTATGATAGTTGGCATATGCGACAGCCGCGACCGCAGAATAAAGACACGAGTCAGGAGCATTCTCAAATAGCAACTGGGGCAACTTGCTCAGAGCCCCCGGGAAAGGCGAGATAAAATCATAATTGAAACGCCTATAAGCCTTCTCATACAAAGACACAGACACTCTTGCATCAACTTGAATCGGTAAGGGCTTCGCAGCCATTTCCCTTTTTGGAAGTGGATCTGCTCGCTGCCGCCATCGCGTCTCTGCGGCTGCTTTGGCTGAACTATTTTGGTCTCGATGCAGCCGGTCAAAATTGCTTTGATATTTACATTCGTGGAGTCTTTTGCTGCATCGTAGACAGGATGGCTTGGTTTCATCACACTGCATTAGATTCATTTAGTATCTGCTGGTTGAGCAGGGGGTATGCTCAGATGTTTGGGGGCGTAAAACCCACTTTAACCTTCAACTCCCGACACCGAGAACATCCTTTACTCGGGCCACGAGAGTTCGATCGAGAAAAAACCATGATTACGATGATTGGTTGGTTTTATTTCCAAATATTTGTGGAGAGAAAAGCGCCGGACTTTTGTTGATTTGAGTGGAAATGACATATGTTGTGGCTAAGCTTCGGACTCATTGCTTGGACGAGTGCCGATCCGCGGACGGACTAAGACGTACTAGTTGATACTGGAATCAGTTTAGCTTACGCCCCCACAGATCTGGAGAACAAAATGTCGGCGTGTACGTGACGCCCAATCATACTATCGCCCCGGTATCAAGCTCCCTGTCGAGTGATTTCTATGGAACACACCATTTTTCTCTCGCTCCACTTCGGACTTACCGCTATGGGCTACCTGCGCGGCCTGCATGCCCTACATACATGGGGCCGGCAGTGCACAGGGCTGAGTGTCACCATTGCGCTTTCACGATGTGGGTTTACCTTTGGGCCCCAGTGCTTCGTTCCAGTCGAATGCCTGTAGGCCATTTGTACCAATGCCAGATCTGTATTGGATCGACAAAGTCCAGGCAGGATCAACAGGGAATAAAAGCTAGAAACCCCCAAACGTGTATCCACCGAAAGCAAAAAGAAAAAGCCGCTAGGAGCCTTGTAATTATAAGATCGAAGTTAGCCCCCAGGTTAGATTTGCTTTTTATTACTTTTTCAACTATTTGTTTCGTTTCTTTGTTCTGTTTCTCTTTCTGTTCCTGTTTCCCTTTTCTTATCTTTCCCAGCGTATGTGGGTTTGAACTTTGACTCCTTGAACACTTGACTGTATTATTTCGTCTGAACGCCTTTTGGTGTTCTATACTCTACAGCCATGAATGCGCTCAACTACCTGATGCCCCGGTCGGGCGTCTTTTCGAAGTTAACCAATTCTACTTGTCCCATGCCGACAACCTTATCAGAGGGTGCGTATTTCGATATTCTTGATTTGTTGACAGTATATTAATGATTATTGCAGTTGAGGAACCTTTTCTGGGGAACATGACCTTCTACCATTTTAACATGATCCTCTCCGGAGTATGCACGCTTTTAACTTGTATTATTATTTTTACTCTGAAGATGCAGCATGCCACCCATTTCAGTGTTCCAAATGAGCAAGTCAAGTAAGTTGAGCGAAGCAAAACATTGAACTAGTTAGATGTTCGAAATTCGAAAATCCTAACACTTGGGTCTATAGAATTATGCGAATTATCAACATGTTGCCCGCCTACTCGGTTCTTTCGTTCATTTGCATCTGCTTTCCCAACTCCTACGTTTACTTCCAGGGATGGACCGAGGTTTTCCAAGGAGTTGCTCTCTATGCCTTCCATATGCTTTTGATCGATTTCTTGGGACCAACCGAGCGCAGGAGAGATGAATTCTTTGGCAAGCTTAGGGTCAAAAAGAGCTTCCGAAAGGGACAATACAGAGAAGGTCTTTCTTGGTTGAAGGTTAGTAAAAATTTCTCAGATGCGCCTGACACGGCCCAATCTATACGCATGGAGATTTTATTAACGTTTTCGAATTTAGCTCAGCTACTACTGCACATTACAATATCCGATCGTCATCTTCTTTTGCGCTATCGGTCAATCTATCGCCCAGGCTCTCGGCCGTTATTGTCTTGATTCCACCGCTCCAGCATTTGCTCACATTTGGGTACGTATGATATGTCCCTGCCAAAAATTTCGAAAACTGACAAATTTTCGCAGCTCGAAATCATCCAGAACGTCTCGGTCACAATTGCCATTAATGCTGTCATTCGATTCTATGCCAACACGAAGAATTACATGAAAGAGCACAAGCCACTCATGAAGCTGCTTTCTTTCAAGTTGATGGTTGGTCTTATCTTCTTGGAACAGGTAAGTGCCTATAGCTACTCCCGAGTTGAATGCGAAGAGTCACAAAATCTAATGATCCACTATAGATTCTTTTCCTGATTCTTCAGGGCTCAAAGGTCCTGACACCAACCAAGCAGCTCAGCTATGCAGATGTACACACTGGTCTACCAACAATGATCATTTGTGTCCAGATGGTTCCATTCGCAATCTTCATCCACTTCGCCTTCAGCGTCAAGCCTTACCTCATCAAGAAAACGAACGACTCTATCGAAATGCTTCCCGAAGCTGATGCAAACGGTCGCCCCGTCCCCCGATCTTACCAGGGTGGTACATGGGGCTCTCATGCATGGGCCGCTTACCTCAACCCAATCGAGTTGGCTATGGAGGTCAGATCTATGTACCGCACTCTTCACCACATCAAAGTGCGAAAGCAGGCTAAGATCTACAAATCTGATCTTGAGGCTGAGAAACTCACTGGCCCTGATAATCTGGACGAGGATGCTCAGGAAAGACGCCATTCCTCCCGCGACTCCCATGACTCCATTGGTTATGAGCAGACTCCACATGATATGACTCACCATGGACGCAATGATCCCTACCAGCAGGCTTTGGAGCAGTCTGAGCCTTTGATGCCCCAGACGGCGTATGCGCCTCAGACGCACCAGGTGGTTGAGCTTTATGATACAAACCAAAGTACTGAGTATTCTGCTCATCCGGTTCCAGCTCAAACTGCTCCGTCGTCTCACGAAACACAGCTTTATGATCCTCCTATGAGTGATGAGTATCAGCAGGGTCAGTGGGGACAGGCTCAGTACATTGTGCCTCAACATGACCAGTCCCCGCAGCACTCACCACCCAATGGACAATCTGGCCACAATGGGGATCCATATCGCTGATTTCTAAGGTTTCTTTTGATCTAAGGATCTTTTCCTTACTTTTGTCTTTTATTAATGACCGTTTTTGAGCGGGTTATGTTCAGATTTATGTTTTGTTTATAACGTCCACACGATTTTACACATATAGGAAGCTTGTAATGAATTGAATGTTGACCATTGATGCGTCAATTAAAGCTTTACCCCAGATTGTTCTTTCAACTTTGATAGATGGGAAACCTTGAAAACCCGATCGTAAAGTCTAGATGTTTGACTATGGACCAGTTTTATATTAAAGAGCCGAATGCTTTCCAGGCTGATCTGGGAGTGGCGCAGAGTAGTCTTCGTCATCTAGATCCAGCATCTGGATTCGATGTGCCATGTTTTCCCCAGTCTGGGTATCCACCTGCTTCTGCATCCGCGCCCCTTCATCAAACCCATCTTCCTTGTTGACAGCCTCACGTGCAGCGGAAGAATCTCGATCTTTCACACCTGCTTTCTCTTCATTATGGAGACGCTCATCCTCCTGCTTCTTGTCTTCAATAGCGAGAGCAGCAATTTCGCGCTCCACCTCCTTTGCATCGATGTCTTGAAGCCCGATTGAGGAAATAATCTTTCCAAGCAAGAATTGGTACCGAAGATGGCCGCTGATACTCTCGCTCACGTCTATGTTTTCAACACCCTGAACATTCTCAACCTTTTGTAGACCTGCGACGCCTAGTTGAAGACTGCTGGTGCGATATAGAAAAGCGAGGACAGAATCATTCTCCGAGAAAACATTGACAATTCGGCCGCTCACGACACTGCGAATACGGTGCCAGTATTCGGCGTCGGATGGTGTTGGTGATCCCATTAAAATGACAGATTCAACTAGCCCGTATGCTTGTCTCTTCGCTAGATTCTGAAGGCACGCAAAGATAAGCCGAGACCCCAGAGAGTACCCGATAAGGGTGACAGGCCTCTCACCCTGCGCCTTACTAATTAATGCGTCTGCCAGCACTTCACCCGCTTTGTCGGCTCGTGCCTTTGCAACGCTGAAAGGGTTGTCAACGACCCGTGCAACTTTCATGAGACCCATTGGCAGCATGACGGCGCTGAGGAGTGCAGAGAAAACGGTATGGGCCAGGACCTCTCTTCCTGCGACAGACCATGCCGCACTAGTTACCAGTGAAGAAATTGCATTCCCGAGATTCATCAAGGTTTCTGTCTCCCAGCGCAGGGCGAAGACCTCCGAATCAGGTCCAATAACTCTCCAAGGAACGACAAAGTCCGATTCCTCCTTGACCCAGCCAGTGACGCCGATAGTGACTCGCAGCCGATGATCCTGCTGAGCGGCATCCTTTTCTTTCAATATTCGCTTGCGAGACCCCCGGGCTGGGATAAAGGCAAAGTCCTCCACTTCCCGTGCATACTTATCCATCATACGACCGGTCATACGGCCTCCGTAAGCACCGAAAAGCCCGCCAACAATCACACTGCTACTAGCCAATACACCGAGATATCCAGCAGCGGCAGTTGCTCCCAGACCAAGTCCGCCCATGATCGTTCCAAGACCTGCAGCTACCAATGGTGCGGCTAGACCGCCAGTAAGACCAATCAACGCGGCGCCGGCTACTGATGCAATGCCGACTTTCCATTTACGGGAATCGTCGCTTTTCTTAGGTTGTTTGGCTTCAGAGTCTGAGGATAGCGCCAACGCTGTATCGAGAAGTCCACGAGCTACCTTTGTTTCGTTTTCGTTCAGAATATTAACATCTATGCTGAGACTGGATGCAACGTGGAGCATCAAGACGCGTGAATAGGCATTGTAATGTTGTAGACTGAGCAATAGCAAAAGTAGAGAATGTAGAATCAGTAGCCGTTTTGCCTTGGGCAGCTGTGCTAATGGAGATTCAACAGGATGATAGATCTCAGCAAGTTTGTGCATTCGCTCGAAATCTTCGTCCAAAGGAAGCTCGTCTGACTCTGCAATAGGGTCCTCCTTGTTTTGCGTTTGGCCTTCATCGTCTTTATTGACCACCTCGCCGATTCGTAGCAGGACAGAATCTCTCCAATCCTCAAAATGGGAGAGCGCGCTTTTCTTTTCTCGGACTTTTGACGCTTCCTTTTTAATGACGGATTTAGAAGGCTGGGGGATTTTATCATCTGCCTGCGGTGAATCAGAATCACGTTGCGGCCTAGGAGGTAGAGATGGCCTGGCCTCATCACCATGCTCATCATTTGTCGGGATCTGAGCCGCGTTCGAATTGTTTTCCGGGCTCTCATTTGAATTGTCGAAAATTTCGAGAATTTTAATTCTCATTGATTCCACAATCTCGGCCACAAGTACTGTGAGGTCAGCGCGCTGCGACCGGTCTAGGATTGACGTCAGGTCTTGGCCGCGGTCGCTGGCTGATGCTGATGCATTGGATTGCTTGGATTCGAAAAAGTTGGCATGTTTGTCCTTGAAGTTTTTGAACATTGTCTCAATGTTCAAGGTATCATTGACTTGATATCGAATAGTATGTACACGATTGGAAGGAGAGAGATGGATTGGCGTCGATGAGGGGTGGTGCTTGGCTTTAGGAATGATGCCTCAGGCATAAAGGTCATATGGAGAGAAACAGGGAAAGTCAAACGAAAGGCTCAACATTATGTGGATAATTTTATATAATGAAATAGTATAAAGATTACATCAAAACACTTCTTTGCTTTCTATATGAAACTTGATTTGATTGGAATGTGCAGCTGATAATTGCCGCAAGAGACCTTCACATTGCGGCTCTGCGAATGAGGTCATATTAACTATAGGTGCTTCATACTATTATGATCGTCTCTGTACTTCGGACCTTCAGTGAACTTTCTTTCGACGTTGTTATTTGCCGATTTGTTACCTCACAACCGTTTACTATTTCTTTATTCATACCATTTACCCCGCATACTCAGACCCTATCTGTCGCGACTCTTACTTGCGTCCCTTGCCTACCATGCATCTCTTGCAAACGGCTGCCTGTTTGACCAAGCAACCCCCCAAGGAGTCGATGCAGACTATAGCGGAAAATCTGGAGAAGACCTAAAGTAAGTTGCTGGAGTTTGAATATGACACTCATAACGTTTCACCATCTAACGGCGATAGATTTCTTCCGTCAACCGGAAAAGACGGACGCAAAATCGAATGCCGCTATCTCTGTTACACCTCTGAAGATGTAGATGTTCCTGACGGCTTGAGTGGCCAGGGCTCCTGGGGCGGTGGAGGTAGCAAGAAGAAGACCTGGGGCAGTGGTGATAATGGTGATGGTGAGAAGACCTGGACTGGTGGAAATGACAAGTCTGGGACAGCGGTGGCGACGATCAAGGCCTCTGGATTGGATGTAGGTGTCAGTGGCCAGAAGCCTTGCAGCGGTCGTGGTCGTGGCAGCGATGGTGACGACCGGAAAACCTTGAGCGGTACAAACGACCCTGGCAGGGCTAAAAGTCCGCTGGATCAGATAATGGGTGGCTAAGACCATCAAAACTGATTTGAGGGGGGTGTTATGCCAGAGAGAAAGGAAAAAAACACGGACTCCGTGAGAAACAGTCTGCTGGAGCTGGAAAAACTAGATGAGCTCTACACACTCAAAACCCGAAGGAATAATCATGAAGAACTTATTACTTACTCATATGCTCAATATTTAAAAGATTATGCCCTTTCATTTGCGTATTCAGTATAAAATTGGGATGATGGCATATAACTAAGTTATATCTCGAGATGCAATCAGCAGTCTTCTCTAGACGGGTCTTATATATGGTGATCAAAACTACTAGTACTACAAGTAATGTAAGAGGCTCTTAACCTTGGTATACAGCTCTGTAATGAGTTGATGTCGACCTTTATGCAAGTCATATAGAGAACTTCATACTCACTGAATTCAAAAAAGCTGGTTTGATATAATCTGTTTGGTAACTATGATAGATATGAGACTTCCAAAGTTATCTGCAATTCAAATTTATTCCCATTTCATCCATGTTTTCCGGCACACTGACAATAAAATGGAATATCAAAAGCCCAGGACGTACATCGAGAACTTCTGGAGGTTCTACCTGCGTCGTACTCGTGTCTCCAACACTGACTCCTTTCCTCGCGGGGAGCTCCAGATTTTGACCAGCTCCAAGCCTACAGTGCCAAGAAGATTTTTCCATTGAGATACTGTTCTTTCAAGCCCTGCTGTGTGAAGCCACATGAGAATATCCATTTCAGCCGCCCTGAGGTCGGCTCCCGTATCAGGAAGAACATAATCATCAATTATCAAAGTAGAGTATTCGGGATCCATGGCTGCCACAATCCTAGAGAGGATCTGAGTGCTTTTAGCATCGGACCAATTGTGCAATACATCTCGCAGGAAGTATAGCCGAGAGCCTAGAGCTGTAGTCAGTATATTTCATTTTGCAGGCTCGCCTTGGGGGTAAAACCTTTAACTGGCTGAGGGGTAAAGAAGTCATATTCTACAGCCTCAATACCAGAGGGTAGCTTCTCGATGCGCTTCAGTGTCAGTGGGAGGTCTTGCAGTACAAATCTGCCCGGGAGCTCAGGATATCGCTCCTTGAATCTCGACAGCTCCTGTCCTGGACCTCCTCCTACATCAACCATTAGAGTTGCACTAGGGTCCTCTCGAAGGGAGCCCAAGCGCTCCGCTACTGGGAAAATTTCAAACCATTGTGGCATATAGTCGATACGGCGTGCGGCCATGTAATCGTCAAAAGCTTGTTTTTGTTCAGGATGCTTTTCCAGAAGACCGAAGATCACATCGGTTCCATGTGCATATTTGAAGAGAGTGACGGCGCCTGGGTCGTCTGCGAATTGCTGTATTCCAGGTCCACGCATGTAGTCAACCAATCTTCCTCCCTATTACCGATTAGACACTGGGTTATCGAGCGAGGTTATGATATTGATTTACCATTCCAAAATCCAAGTCAAAGCTGCTCCAAGGTTAGTTGTGGCTTAAAATGAGCATTGAATTCAAAGAAATTACTCACTGATGCTTCTCGGCAGCGATTGATCCTGGAAGGATCTTGAAGCGAGTTTTATCGTTGGCAGCGTAAAGTTGGTTACCAACTTCATCGCAAAGACCAATAGCCGATAAGACGCGCATTATTCGAACTAAAAGCCCCTAGTTAGCTTTTGAGGTCGGTCAAATACTCCAGATACTAAGAAGATATGATCACCCACTAATGAGTAGAAGATCTGATCCCGTCTCTTTGGCTAACTCTGTCGCAGAAACTGGATTTCCATCCTGAGCGACAAGGACATGCAGGAATTGATGCTCGATAGCGACTCTAGTTGAGATATTTTGCATTATCTGTTGATACAGTTGTCATTAGCTGCCAAAAAAACAAAACAAAAGAAACGGATACTATGTGGTGTATTTATTCTTACCTGAAAGTTGAGGCGAGACGTAGTCTCAAGGGGTGTCTCCACAGTCAGCTGCAATTCATGAATTGCTTTGAGCAGCTCTGGATGGGCATCTTTGTTTCCTGCCGATTCCTCTGCAGCAAGTAGTTGAACCTTCGCAAGTGCCTCGGAGACGATCATTTTGAGGTTTGAGTTGGTATCAAAAGTTTGATGATTCGATTTGTTACACTCAATTGAAATGGAAGAGGAGACTTGCTATTTCTGAGGAGGAACCCCTTGCAGTATTGATTGATCCTGGCAGAAGCCAAAAGCGCAAGCTAATGCACATTTGTACAGAATTGGGCCTCCACGACTCGCAAGGCTGCCACTGAGCGGCCAGTGGGTCGGTGCAACGCGAGTGACCTAAAGGTTAAAGGGCGGTCGGAGCGTACGGCGTAGGCTACCTAAGGGCTAGGAGACTATTTACACAATCGCTGTGGGTAAACATAAATGCCCTCCAGTGCTCTTTATTTCAAACTGATCTTTCTCTATCTCTATATACGTATAATACAAGGAGTTCCAGAGGCATAAGTCCCATAATTATTTAGACCAGGTCTAACGAGCTTCTAGCTTATATATTTTAACATGTAGCCGAATCTTGCTCACTACCTCCGCTCCATCATAGCATCTATTTGCCTCAATACTCCTCTGAGATAACGGTGGTCTTTTTTGTCACAACAATCTGCTGATTGTTAGGCTCAATCGCTTCAGTCGCTTCTCTTGTATTCCCCGTACTTTCAATTTCATGGGATACATTCGTCTCTGCAAGACCAGGGGTATTCCAAGGTTGCGGGCCCAGGTCGGTCAGTGGCACCAATGACTGGCGTCGTTCCCGGCTGTCATTCAAATATCCACGGCTGCTGGAACTCTTTGCCGTGTTTCGCGAAGAGATTCCGGTAGCGCTCTTTATATCTTGTGTGAACTTGACGAAAATTGGGCGGAGCGTAGGGATGGAACCGAAAATTATAATGAACCACATCTCGGTCAACACCCATGTGTTCAATCTGTAGATTGCGAATGTTAAGTCTTCGGCTTGTAAGATCGAGGCAATGGCGATGGTTTTGTTGATTCCGGCTATCCCTGCTCTATCCTTGAGTTAGAAAGTTTTCATTGAACCTTGCAAGGAGATTTCGCAAGAGACCACATACATCAGCCCCCCTCCCATGATCAGGCAAAGGCCAATTTTCGTCGAAAATTTCATCAGTTGAACTCTTCCAATAATTACCACTGGATAGGCGGCTAAAAGAAAGTCGGAAAAAGCCCCAATGCCTATTTTAATTAGTACCTGATCAATCAATGAGTGGATAAGTGCTGGCCGAGGGACACATACTTCCCTGGGCATACCCAACTTGGGAGCAAATGACAATTCCATCGCATGTTCCTGGAAGATTATTGTCCCATAGCTTGGCGGTTGGAGAGCATTGTTTGAATATCAGTCCGATTTCAATGATATTAATGATCGCTTGCGTCGCTCCAACGGCATAAAGAAGATATCTACCTCGACTCCATGTGCCACTTTGTATAGTCAACAGAAACGAGATGACAGCAATACGCGCAATAACAAGATCCAAAATAGCAGTGACTTGACCAATCCAGCTCCAAAAATTCGTCTGAACAATTCGATGAGGAGAAAGTAGGCTCTGATGTGTTCCTAGTCCGTACCAAACGCTGACTGTCATGGTACTCTGAGCCACCAGAGCAACGGCCTAAAAAGTCAGTTTCAACCGTCATTATCGCAATCCATACAGACAAAAATTTAACGTAAAACAGATGTATCACATACGAAAGCAATTATCACCCAGACAAAATCCCACCGCAGACCAAACAAGCCTGCCACCAATTGTCGCGAAGGAGAAACAGACGCAGTTTTCGCTCGAAGCACAATAAGGATAGTCGCAAGTCCCATTTCAGCCCAGGTAACTCCCAGAACTATGGGCCCTTTCTCTCCTCCATGGGACATGGACGAGGCATCTGTCATTGTCTGGACATGCGGAAAGCCCGAGGTGCGGTGCTCACGTCGGCAAACCACAGGAGCCCATGGATGCGTAAATGTAAGAAACCAAAGTCTTGAACATGGCATCGTTCGTCTGTTTTATCATGACCTGGGCCAGAAATAGTTACCCTGACACCCAGTCTGACCTCGAAGTTTGTGTTACAATAATTGCTATAATGGCTGTGACTGAGTATGATCGGACCCTCCTACTGGTCCAAGTCTCCACTGTTCAAACTCAAATATATGGGCCCAAGGTCCCCACTTACGGTGATCATACTTCATAGCGCGCGTCTTGCAGTCTGGACTGAGAGGCTGGGCCTGGATATTGCATGGAGCTACTATATTATGATTGATCTACCGAGTAAACCGATAAACCCCCTTGTGGCACTAACGCATGACTACGCATCTACGCGTTGTTTTGGTATGAATGTACTCGGTACTTTTTGGTCAAAATCAAGCATCAGCATCAACTTTGAATTACCATGGAGTTCAGGGGTTCACATACAAGGCTGATCCTTTCACTTTTCATCGAGATGGTTGGTCGCACACAGATTACCTCGACGTACTTTGCTTAACCCTCCCTTGGACCTGACTTGTGCAGGCAAGGCTCAATGCTACCTTAATCCTTTGATATATGAGACCAATCAACCAACCTACGGCCATCTGCCGCAACCAGTGTAGGGTTTAAGCCCCCTTTTTCAAATATAAAACCACTTCTAAATGTACGTCACGCCCAACGTGATTTTTTCTCCGAGTCCGAGAAGTCTGCGATTCCATATTGTCTCTCTGCGTATACACCGTACGATACAAAACAAAAGTTCTTCACTTGTGCCTTATTGCTTTTTCCTCTTCGGATCTTTGCCATTGTTCTTCGTGATGACTTTGGCCACCGCGGCCCCCTGTGAGAAACCCCTTGAAGATACTGCTGAGATAGATGAGGAAGTTGAGGCCCTCGAGGGTTATTTGGTTGATCCCAGTCATTATGCAAACAATGCATCAAGACTAAAAACCAGCGATGACGGTCGCTTCGTTCTTATCCCACAGCCCTTAGATTCGAACGACGATCCGTTAAATTGGAACAAGGGCAAAAAGATCAGGAATATGGTGATCATCGCGTATATCGCTTTATTAGCAGATTATACTGGTGGAACGTCCATCATTACTGTTATTCCCCAGTCCATGTGAGTATCGCAAGCACACCGTATTGAGAAATCACGCCCTTTGTTTGCTGACAGTGAATGTAGACAATGGGGATTATCTCAAGCTGCAGTCCAGCGCACTGTCGTGGGTAACCTGTTCACAATTGGGGCATGCGGATTATTTGTCGTCCCCTTGACAAGTTATTTTGGCCGTTGGCCAGTCACTTTAGTATTCCAATCTGTCATGCTGGGGACATGTATTTGGTCTGCAGCAGCCACGAGCTTTCCCTCCTATCTTGCAGCTCGTATCATCAATGGCTTTTTCTGCAGCGTCGGACAAGGAGGTGCCTTGATGTGGATCAAAGATTTGTTCTTTTTTCACCAGCACCCGCAGGTAATCAACTATGTTGAATTTTCGATTATTTTGAGCCCCTACCTTGGTCCTCTCATCACTGCTTTCATTGTATCGGAGGTGAGCTGGCGCTGGGCCTTTTGGGTGTGCACAATTCTCGCGGGGATAGGACTCATTCTTGTCTTCTTTTTGGATGAAACCCTTTTTGATCGCAAGAATCCGCCTGTCTCCCGAGGCTCATATGTCTCTCGTATCCTCGGGGTTAACCAAGCTCAGGGCTGGCAGCAAAGAAGCTTTGCATCTTGCATGTCTCGCCCAATTGTGGCTATCACCAAGATTCCTGTGTTGACAATTATGATATATAACTTTTTGAATACTGCTTGGGTGGTGGGCGTGAATACTACCATCGGTATTTGGCTGACGGATATCTATAGATTTTCAGCCCGCGGTATAGGTACAATTTCGCTCTGCACAGGCAAAAGGCAACAAAACTAACTTACTATAGGTTGTTTCTATTTCTTTGGGGTTGTCGGATGCCTTGTCGGTTGGTATAGTGGTCATTTTCTCCATGACGCAGTTGGTCGATTCTATACCAAACGACATGCCGGTCGCCTTCATCCAGAAGCAAGGCTAATCATCACATACCCAGCCACAATTCTATGCTGTGTGAGCCTAATAGTTCTGGGATTTGCTTTTCAGAGACACTGGCACTATATGATCATTGCGGGTTTCGCTTCAATCCAGGTTGTTGGTATCATGATCGTCACCACTGCTATCAATGCGTATTTGCTTGATTGTTACCCTGAAGGATCTGGTGAAGTCGGCGCATGGGTAACGGCGAGCCGTAGTTGGGCCGGCTTCATGGCAACGTATATCCAGATTGACTGGGTCGATCGTATGGGAGCTGCGAAGGCGCTCGGTATCCAAGCTGGGATCACTGTTGCATCACTGTTTTTCATTGGTTTCCTGCAAATTTATGGGAAGCGACTAAGAAAGTGGCAGGGTCGAATGGTATTTAATAAGATTTGAATGCTTGTTGAGTATGGAAATGGCGATGATGTTGTGGATATGTATAAATTCCATGGAAATGTCACGATTGATGAACATGTGCCCGGAGTTTCGCCCAGACGAGATAAACAGACAGTATACGATAGAGTATAGTTATTCCAAGTTCCGAGTTAAAGTGATTGAAATTCAATGTAGCTGAGGAGCAGTAAAATAGCTGCTCCAGGGGGTATAAGTATAGTACATTGTTTTGATAAGTATCGTGGTGAAGGAATAGACAGCACCATGCCTCATTTACTGCTGCTTTCAACAACAAAGTATCTCCCCTTCGTCTTAGAAGCAGAGCCAAGTGCATTTCCATCCCAAGCTGGTCCATCGGGTTGGTTATTCTTCTCGGTCTGAATCCGCTTTATCCTCCTTTGTCGCCCACTGACTTGTTCCTTGGCGAGCGCATCGCGAAGCTGGTCAAGCCCGATAGTTGTTTCTTTCACAGCAGCGGGTGTTTCATCGCGAATGATACGTAATGGCTCCACGCCAGTAGTATCAACCTGCTGCATCTCTTTCACGAAATGTATTTGTGACTCTAACGTGCGCAGCATGGATTGCTCTTCTTCTGCGCTCGAGGGTTGCGGCAAGGCTGATAGGCGAAGTAGATGGCGGAGTTTCTCCGGTGTGACTGGAGGCGTGGCTGATTGAGAACTTTCATCGGGAAGCAAGGATCGTACCGACCAGCTTGGTGTCGCAAGAATCGAATCGAGATCAGCGGGAATTTGGGAGCTGGAGTAGCTGCGGAGGATGGCTGTGTTGTGCCGCAGGGAGGGAGAGAGGCGAGAGCCCGCGCGTAGGAAAAACATTTTCAATTAATACTGATACACCGAGTTTCAAAGGCGTATCACAACGTATTGACACAGTTCTGGTCCGAGTTTCACTTCGAATTGCTGAAAGATAGCCCGTGGTGATGTTTTAAGCATTGAAAATGTAGCTCCCTTTAGTTGGAATGCGGGCAAAAGAGACACCGCCTCCGCCGATCGACACCATCGATGCGATAACCCGATTATACTCCAACCTCAACATTCCCTCTACCCAACCCCTCCAATCCATATCGAACAGAGGCGGAATATACATCCTCCTTGAATACCATCATGGCTCAAGATCCTCGAGTTCTCTTGCAAAAAGTACGCATTACCTCTCCTCTTACCCCTCCGGGTTACAGGTACCTTTAGCTAGGCAATGACGAAATAACTAACTGCTGCGGGAATATAGGCCGACAAGGCACTTTCCGGCGCTGGAGGTGGCTTTAGCTGGTTTGGAGGACGTACCGAGAAGTACGAAAATGCCGCAGATCTCTTTTCTCAAGCTGCAAATGCTTTTCGAGTCCAGAAGCTGAGTGAGTTGTTGCCCCCGCCATGGTCGTCGCCACGTTGGATGTATGTATTTTGGACGGATTGCTGATGGTATGCTGTTTTATTACTTGGACAGATAAGGAGGCCGGACAAGCATTTGAGCGTGCAGCTGCTATTCAAACCCAGAACCTTAACGAACCCGATGACGCTGCCAATAGTCTCCAGGAAGCTTTTAAGGTCTACCGCAAGTCAGACCCTGAGGATGCAGTCCGTGTGCTTTCAAGTGCGATCCAACACTACGTACTGAAAGGAAACTTGCGTCGAGCTGCTACCCAGCAGCAGTACCTGGCTGAAGCTTATGAGATGGAACTGGGAGATATGAAGAAGGCGCTGGATGCATATGAGAAGGCTGCAGAGTGGTTTGAGAGCGACAATGCTGAGGCGTATGTGTCTTCTCTTTCTGGCGGAACTTTGAAGGGTGAATATTGTGCTGACTTTCATGGGGTATTTCTAGTCTTGCGAACAAGCATTTCCTCAAGGTAGCAGACCTAGCTGCTTTGGAGGGTGACTACTACAAATCAATCCAGCACTACGAGCGCATTGCCCGGCAATCTATGAACAACCATCTCATGAAGTGGTCTGTGAAAGATTACTTCTTGAAGGGCGGTATCTGCCACTTGGCTACCAATGTATGTTGGTTGACTTTGATTCTCAGATGGCTTCAACCCATTGTTTTACTTATCATATTCTATAGGATCTGGTCGAGACCAACCGAGCGTTGGACAGCTACAGAGAGATTAACCCAGCTTTCGTCTCAGAGCGAGAACATCAACTTCTCGTGGACCTTCTGCAGGCTGTGGAGAGCAAAGACCAGGAAATGTTTGCGGATAAGTTGTTCCAATTTGATCAGCTTAGCAAGCTGGACAAGTGGAAGACTACTTTGCTTTTGCGTATCAAGAACAATATTGAGGAGGAAGAGGAGGACTTCTCCTAGAAAGATGTTTTGTTTATTTGGTTCCTTGATTCTGATTCCCCGCCTTTGCAGTGCAAGGAATTTCGTGTTTACAAGATTATCAACTCGCTTTGATGATTGTTTTTTTGCTCCCCATTCTTTTTCCTTTTCATATGTGGCCTAGATATGTGGCCTAGACTAGGAATGCCATGACGCAGCGTTTGTGCACTCAATCCAGAAATCAAGAGATAGCGAGATATGCCTAACGCCTCACGAAGGATTTATTTTCTAAGATGACGACGGAGGATCGTGTCCAGGGGAAAGGCTAGTGGGAAATCGTAATTCATTATGAAATCTCTCAGATCTATTTACTTTTGGGGGTGTATCATGATACTGATTCTTAAATACTCCAGATACCCAGAATCAGCACTCATCTCATATACTTGAAATCACATAATCATCCATCTCGTACAACAAAAAACCAACGTTAAAAAATATGCCACATTTACGCAGAAGCGCTCTCCAAAGATCTGGCCTTGCGAGGGAAAACACGCTTGTACAAACTGATTCCAACAGAGTCCTGGGGGTTGATCTTGGCATCGAAAGTAGCCTTGAAGTAACCGTGGGTACCAAGACTCTCCTTGATGTATCCACTACGTCCACGACGGGTCCAGAGTTGCAGAGCCTTGAACCAGCTGACGTCCTCGTTGTTGAAGAACATGTAACGGACTGTGACGACCTTCTTGTGAATCTTGTAAGGGTGGCCGGTAAGAATGGCACGCTTGGCAATAACACGAGCTGGATCGGGTGCGACCACTGTGCCGGTACCGATGAGGTCAAGTTGATCTAAGGCCATCGACTCTTGTTTGTCGTCATCTGCTGTGTCTAGGACCTCTGGGTCTTGCTCAGTAGGCTTGCTCTTGAAGACCAGGACAGGGACAGCGCCCCATGTCATAGGTCCAACCCAGGTGGCGATAGCGCTGCGACCTGGGTGCAGGAATCGGTCGAACTTGTGAACGTTGTTGGGGGTGTTGTCGGCGGATGAGAAGATAGGGTTCACCAAGATGCGGCGGGGACCACATTGGATGAGAATTTCCTCCTTGGCCCTGAGTGGCTGCTCAACACTTGGGCTCAGAGTCATATTGATGTTAACGACGGTTTGCTTGTGCTCGTGACGCAGCAGGGAGAAGAGAGAAACGGGCTGAGGCTTATTACGGAGCAAAGCTGGGACAGCGCGCAGGTGAACCTCAACGCGAACACCGGGGTTGACACCCCCGATCAGAGCCTCGCGGATAACCCGGTTCTTGGTTCCCTTGTAGTCGCCGAATTGCAACAGTCTTCGCCAGTCTTCAGGTTCGAAGGGACGGTCCTCGGATGTTTCCCAGGGACTGAGTTTGAGGTTCTTCAGACCTCTGAAACGAGCCAGACGCTCTCTAGCCAGGACGTTGGGGTGCAGTTCAATTTCGTCAGGGAATTCAAGATCTTCTTCCGCCTCGTCTCGGCGACTGGCACGGTAATCGGCAAGTTCTTGTGCCTCGTCTTCGGGCGATGGGTCGAGGAACATCTCTGATTGAGGGTACTCGGAGGCACCACCCTCGGTCATGGCATCTGCGTTGTCGGGGAACACACCATCCTCGGGGGCGCCTGCTGTATCCATCTCCATATCCTCGTCATCATCCCCATCATCGATGTCAGAGCCAGAATCGGAAACATCCTCAAGATACCAGGCAGACTGGTACTCAGAAGTACCCTTCGGCAGGCGCTTAGGCTTTCCAGGAACGTGTGAGTCGTCATCCGAGAAGTAATGGTGGTCATCAAGCAAGACACCCTTTCGCTCGGTTTCGGCAACAGAGTGCATGTCATCGTCATCCTGCATCTCAATTTCCTCGGGAGCAACGGTAGCCATATCATCCTGGTCAGCACTGGGGCCATCCAAGACTTGTGTCGTTTCATTTGTATCGACATTCATATCATCGTCTTTCTTGCTCTTGCTCCCAGGAAGGGGAGAGGAAGTGATCGAGCCGATCTGGAAATCTCCCCATCCGGGAATGTGGGTGATGCGGTCCGCCTTCAAGCCCTTTCCACGGACAACACCGGTGATAACAACGTCGTCAACTACTTCAGCGTTAACCTCTGGCCACTGAACATCCTCGATGAACATCCAGCTGCGCTCATCACGCCAGCGAATACCCTTAGGAGTCGCAGTGCACAGAGAACGAATAGCATTGGAGCATTCCTGTCGCGAATCCAATGACATGACTTTCTCAACAGCGGGGAAAAAGTGGTTGATATAAGACTTGAGAGAAGCAGCCACTTGAGTGCGCTTCTTGGGTGGGTTGATTTTATCCAAGCCTTGAACAACAGTTATAACATTTGAGATACCCTGGCTCTCGATCGAGCGCAGTAAAAGCTCTGCCTTCTCCTCCGCCTCAACTTCGGCTGAAAGTACCAGAACCACAAAATCGGCCATACGGCACACATCCAACGCATTCAGGAGGTCATATTTGGACGGAACGTAGAGGAGGCTTTGGCGGAAACGATCAATTCGCACACGGGTGACGCTGTCTGGGGAGACGGCGGCCGAGACATCGACACTCTCGTTTAGTGCGTTGATCACGGATGCGGCGTCGACATCAACGGATAATGGGACAACGGCGACATGGCGAGGGGCTCCATTTTGACCGGTGAAGATGCTGTTCGCTTGAGCCTTCTCCTGGTGCTTCAGTTGTTGTCTCTGGCGAGCTGTGTTGCGACGATCGAGTTTCGACTTCAATTGTTGGTGGGGGGTTTTGCGAGTGCCCCGCTCTCCCTCGACTTTGCCTGAGAGGGTGTTAATTACTGATTTTGAGGAATCTCGTTTAACAGATTTCCAGAAAGGATTTTTTACGTACCCTTTGCCTTTTCCTTTAGAGCACTCTTAGATGCATGCTTGGTCTTGTAAGGCTTGTGGGAAACCTTGGTGGTAGAGCGGTGGTGATGCACCGTCTGGGTAGGCGCCATGTTGGCACTAGACCCTTTAAAACGATAGGGAAGAGAGTCCAGATTGAAGAGAAGAGAAATCCTCCTCAGGTTCAACAATTAACTGCACAAAATAGGCAAAGACAGCTTTGTCCACTGAGGCACGAAAAAAAAGGCGATAAGAAAACAAAAATTCGATAGTGGAGAGGATAAGCGGAAGCGGTGAGAGTCGGCGAAATTTTTTTTGGTTTAATGTTCGCAGCAGAACGATCGACTCTGTTAATTAGCAGGTGGACTCGACGCCCAACAGAAAATCGAAAAATGGCTGATCCAAATTCCAAAGCCATCGTGGCTGCTGAAGAGCGCGCCGCAAAGCAAAGATTCTCTGAAGCTGAAAAGATTTACGGTCGTGGTAAAGCTGCCTCATCGAAGAATGTTCGCGACAAGAAGCTTCGGGCTACGCTGAAGACGCAGGAGGAGAAGCAAAAACAGGCAATTCTTCGTGCTAAGGATGCTGAGATTTTGCTCGAGCATCAGGCTGGTTTTCTTGAGCCGGAGGCGGAACTTGAAAGGACGTATAAAGTGCGACAGGACGAGATTAAGGATAGTGTTGGAATTGAGGCTGCGAAGAAAGGCTTTGAGCTCCGGCTTAATGACTTTGGTCCCTATCGTGCGGATTATACTCGGAATGGTCGCGATCTTCTGTTGGCTGGACGCAAAGGTCATGTTGCGACTATGGACTGGCGTGATGGCAAGTTGGGCTGTGAGCTTCAGCTGAACGAGACGGTTCGGGATGCGCGCTGGCTGCACAATAATCAGTATTTTGCGGTTGCGCAGAAGAAACATGTTTATATCTATGATCACCAAGGCGTTGAGTTGCATTGCTTGAGCAAGCACCTGGAGCCTCTCTTCCTCGAATTCTTACCTTATCATTTCCTCCTTGCTAGTGCTGTGAGTTTACTCATGTTTCTTGTCTGGCTTGTTCTTGTTAACTGACCCTGTTTTTTTTTCTTGAAATTATAGGCTATGAGCGGCTACCTCAAATACACCGATACTTCGACAGGTCAAATGGTTGCAGAATTACCCACTCGTCTCGGACGCCCAACCGCCCTCTGCCAGAACCCGTCCAACGCTATTCTCCATACTGGACACCAGAACGGAGCCGTTACTCTATGGTCGCCAAACTCTCAAACCAACCTTGTCAAGGCTCAGGTGCACAATGGGCCTGTTCGCTCTCTTGCAATTGACCGCCTAGGTCGCTACATGGTCTCGACAGGACAAGATCAAAAAATGAACGTCTGGGATATCCGTATGTTCAAAGAGGTGCACTCATACTCCACTTACCAGCCCGGAGCATCAGTGGCAATCAGTGACCGTGGCCTTACGGCAGTTGGCTGGGGTACACAAGTTAGCGTCTGGCGTGGTCTTTTCGATGCCGCACAGGCAGACCAAGGCAAGGTACAAAGCCCCTACATGGCTTGGGGTGGTGACGGACAACGCATCGAAAATATGCGCTGGTGTCCCTATGAAGATTTGCTCGGTGTCACTCACGACCAAGGCTTTGCTAGTTTGATCGTACCTGGTGCTGGTGAACCTAACTTCGATTCATTGGAGGCCAACCCATACGAGAACACCCAGCAACGTCAAGAGGCGGAGGTGCACTCGCTGCTCACTAAGTTGCAGCCTGATATGATCTCGCTCGATCCCAATGTTATTGGCCGTCTTGATACTATTAAAGACCAGAAGATTCGGGATGAGAAGGATCTCGATCGTCGTCCTGAAGAAGAACAGATGGATAAGATCAAGAATCGTGGTCGTGGTCGCAATAGTGCTTTGCGGAAGTATCTGCGTAAGAAGGGCAAGGGCAACGTTATTGATGAGAAGAGACTCAAGGCCGAGGCTATGCGGAAGGAACATGCTGATCGTCGTAAGGATCAGCTGAAGAGGGAACGTGATGATCTTGGTCCTGCTTTGGGTCGCTTTGCGAAGAAGGAGACTTGATCTTGATTTTGTAGGTTTCTTCTTATCTTTTCTTTTGCACTTGCCTTCTTTTATCTGTTGTCGATCGGTGGGAAATACTGTTTCATAGTATCCTCAGACAACCACCAGATACCCAGCCGCGGCTTTCTGTAGGATATCATTAAGACTCGGTGGCCTCTGCATTTCAGGCGTTGGGACGGAATGAACATCATGTATGTATAGAACTTTTATGGACAGCCAAAAGCAAGTTGATTTTACTCATCGAGTCTCGAAAGCATAATTTGTAGTAGATCAAAGTATATCAAAAGTGGTTGCAGTAGTATTGTTTTGTCTTGCTTGCAAGATCATGATTGTTCCAAGAGATAATATATAGGTAGATACCAGGCTGTACGCCCGTGTACTTGAGCTTCCAATGTCCCAAGAATGGATAAATAGCAGTATATCACTCGATCTACGCATCCACACTCCCAGAACCACGAGGAGCACCCTCCTTCCACCTCTTCAAACTAAGATCATAAGCACCACTCCCCTTCCAAGCACTAATAATCAAATTAACAATATGATCCATTCCCTTCCCATCCTTCACAACCGCAAAAACAGTAGGCCCCTCCTCTCTCATCTTCGCCGCATCTCTCTCCATAACCTTCAAATCCGCACCCACAGCCTCCGCAAGATCAATCTTGTTCACAACCAACAGATCAGACCCCGTGATACCCGGTCCGCCCTTCCTAGGCACCTTATCTCCACCAGCAACATCAATAACATAGATAATGAAGTCTGCTAGCTCGCGACTGTAGTTCGCAGCGAGGTTGTCGCCACCTGACTCGATGAGCAACAGATCAGTGCTGAATTGCTTCTGGAGCGTTTGGAGAGCTAGGAGGTTTGCGGAGATGTCTTCGCGGACTGCGGCGTGAGGGCAGCCGCCTGTTTCGATTGCGCGGATTCGGGAGGGAGCGAGGGCTTTGTGGCGGGTTAGGAACTCGGCGTCTTCACGGGTGAAAATGTCGTTTGTTACGGCTGCGATGTTGTATTGGTCTCGGAGGGCGTGGCAGAGGGCGAGCATGAGGGCTGTTTTTCCGGAACCGACGGGGCTGTTTGTGGGTGGGATGTTAGTTCAGGCTCAAGTTTTTGGTTTTGGTCTTGGTTGTGTTGTATCAATTGTATACTCCCGGGGAAGTTTGAGTTTGAATTGTGGTGAGAGAGGTTGGTTTATATGAGTAAACTCCCATTTCCCTGGGGCTTCCTGATATAGATGTATGTTGGATATGGTTTAGTTGCATGTACTTACCCTCCAATGCCAATGGTGAAGGCGCGGTCCTTCCAGTCTCGACCCTCAATCAGCGGCATCTCGCGGTTAATGTAGGAACCGGGGCCATCGAGGATCTCATGCGAGTGGCCGTGACCGTTGAAAGGGTCATCGTGTGAGTGATCAACACCAGCATCGTGAGAATGAGAGTGAGCCATGATCTTTGCGAAGTTTTCAGTAATGGGCTTATATCTTTGGAAGAATTTCCGTGGAAGGAATTTGTCGAGTGGGATTGGAGGGGCAGTTTAACGCAAGGGGTGGGGAACGTCACAGTTCTGATAGTGACTATCGATAAAGAAAATGCCGAGACTCGGACTGCCATTAATGGCAGGCCATAGGTCGTAACTAGTATGCCGACGGCGGAGTTCGCCGAGTCATGTCACATCGGCCATTCTGATTTCGATGAAGTTCCAGGTATGGTTATAGTTATAGTCGTAATTTTAAATACTTATACAAAGGGAAATTGATATGATGTTCACGCAGATTGTTGAGATATATATGGATTCGTCAAATAGCGGCAAAACGATGAGCCCCGAAGGGAAAGAGTCATTAAGAATCTCAACGACCAGAACCATAGGAAACCCCCCAAAATGCACACAGACGTATTTCCAGGAAACATGAAAAACCCGACGCCAGGTGCAATCGCCAACACGGATATCAAGGACTTGGCCATTTCATCCAAATAGGCCGGAAAAAGCAAAGGGCAAACACCCGCACTATGGAAAAGAAACAACTTGGAAATCGTCAACCTCTCTAGAGGCAAGGGATTCCCCTAAAACTCAAGTGAAAGAGGACATGTAAACAAAAATATTCAGGCAATGATCCCGAGCCAGCCAAAAAGGAAAGGAAAAAAAGGAAAAAAAACAAGAAGAAAAAAGGAAAAAGGGAAGAAAGCGCTGAAGAGATAAGATAGAGTACATTAAGGGTCGGAGCAGAGGTCGAACCCGATGAGGGTATGAGTGCCGCCCTAACTCGAATACCAAGTTGGTATCAAGTGTTCGAGAGAGCAGAGGCAGACAATTAAAACTCCATTGGGAGCACAGACCATATTTTATCGTCAGAGTACCGAAAGTAAACGAGGAGAGCAGATGATGACCATTTGGTATCGAATACCAAGAGGATCCATAGGGCAAATGGACAGAAAATGACGAAGAGCAGGCAAAAAAAATTGGAAATGCCGTGGTTTGGTATCCGATCGTGCGCCGATTCCCCAGCTCTTGAAATGATGAAACGTGAAAAAATGATAAATAAAAATAAACAGAAGCAATTAAGCGGCTGCTCCCTTCTGTCGTTTAGGAACCCGGGGGCTCGCTTTCACTTTGCCGGAGCCTGGAGCGTTGCCATTAACATCAACTGATCCGGCGTCCTCATTTTCTTGCTTGACAGTGCTGGCTCGCCGGCGTTTGTTTCCACCTACATTTGGACTATTGCTTATACCAGCCGGAGATGGTTGGATTTGCATTCCAGGGGGACCAGCGAGCTGGCTTTGAGCGGGACTGGCGTGAGCTGAGCCGGTCAAATGAGGTGATCCTTGGGCTCCAGGCAAACCAAGATGGGCCATCGCGGGAGACGCAAACTGTGAAGGAGGACCCATATTAGGATTACGTCCCATAGGCTGCATTCCAGGGGCCATCGGGTTCCCAAATGCTGGGTTGGGGTTGGTATTCGCGGCTTGCTGCCAGTTGTTGAGCAGACCATGAAGGGCATCTGGAGCAGGCAAATGCGGGTTCTGGTTAGAGAACGTGAAAAGCATTTGCATCTGTGACATCGTTTCGGCCACCTCCAAAAATTGAGTGACAGCAGTTGGAATACCATTGGCGTTTACCATGGACTCAGGCAATGATAGTGATGGGCTTTGTTTTTGTGCTCTCTTGGCGGCATTCTTGGCAACCTTGGGGCTTTGCTTTTGTTCCTGGGCTTCTAGGGACTGAAGCAATTGGCGAGGGATATATTCATTGTGACTGGTGACTGTTATATTCAGCATCTCAATCTTGTTATTCAGATCAAAGTGGGCGCGCAGATTTCCATGAGTGAAGACCTGAGAGGAAAATTAGTGGAAAGTCTCATGGTTTTCATGATTTTCTGAAGTAAATACCTGGGTATCATTCGAAAACCAGTATATGAAAGAAGTACGGGGACTTTCAACCACATGGCCACTGCTAGATTCTTGCTCGCGGGCAGCCTCAACAATCATCTGAATATGACGGATACCGCTTTTGAATTGCGTAAGATAATACCTGGCCAGAGCAGGGGTTAAAATCTCAAATTGTTTGGCTCCGGTCAGGTTGTTAAAGACTCCCTGACGCAGTACACCTGCAGGTGAAAAGAATCGATCAACAAAGGTCGACCAATATGATAGATCAGCAGCTTCGCCACGACTCTGAAAAAAGGAACATTGTTAAAATATAATTCTTAGACAGAACCCACAAATTCGGACGAATACATACGGAGAAACCACTCAAATGTTCGGCATAGCTATTGAGAATCATAACTCCACTGTTCTGTTGTCGGTTCATTCTTTGCATCATTATGGCATTCTGGGCTTTCATCTGGGCCTCATGGGCAGCCAATGCCTGCGGGTTTTGAGAAGCTTGTTGCTGGCCCTGGCCTTGCTGAGGTTGCTGCTGCTGGCCAGATTGCCCAGGCTGTTGACCAGGTTGCTGAGATGGCGGAAGCTGCTGTGGCTGGGGGTTAGGGGTGACCTGAGCTGGAACACCACCCTGAGATTGTGGCGGATGGGTTGATGGCGGTTGGGAGGGTTGGTTGGGCTGGGGTGTGCCGCTCTGCGGTGGCCCATGTTGAGACTGAGGGGTTCCGGTCTGCGTTTCGTGCATGTTTGGGGGTTGCGCTGAGGAGCGTTGAGGAGTGTGCTGACCGGCCTGCTGCTGCTGCGCATTATTCTGTGCCTGCTGCTGTGCTTGGGCCTGCTGTTGCTGTTGCTGGGCCTGCTGAATGGCAAACATCTGCTGCTGTTGGATGTTTTGGGGTTGACCGTGAGGCATCTGCTGTCCCATATGCATTCCCATGTTCGCTGGTCGCATTCCCGGGTTCGCTTGTTGCATAGCAGCCATCTGCACGGCACTGAGTCCCTGAGAGCCGTTGGGTAATGATACGGGTAAACCACCGTGTTGCTGTTGTTGTGCCTGCTGTTGCTGTTGCTGCTGGTGTTGTTGGATCATCATTCGCTGGCGCATATATTGGGCTTGTTGCTGTTGCTGCTGCACAAATTGAGGGTTATTTGCAACTGCAAGATCACACGGGAAATATTAGCATATAGTCTGATGAGATGGGATCATCCGAGATCGGAACTACTTGCGCGCATGCCGCAGTTGCGCGTTTTTTCCATCGCCATCAGCAGGGTGATTTCAACGAAATTACTCACAGTTCTGAGGAAAGCCTTGTTGCTGGAAGACGTGCGCCTGTCCGGGGTTCAGATGAGAGAGAGCATGAGCATTCGGCATGGGACCAGCATGACCAGCATTGCCGCCCGGGGGCATTCCACCCATCATGGGGCCAGCCTGGGACACTTGTGGTCCACCAGGTGCTGACACACCAGGGTGCATTTGTTGAACCATAGCCTGTCCGGGATGTCCAGCGTTCGGGTGTTGACCGGCCATTGGGTGGTGACCGGGAGGCAGACCGTGTTGCGGAATGCCTTGAGCGGGAAACGGTTGCGCCATCATCATTGCTAGCAAGCGGAAGTCACCGCCAACGGTAGACTTCGCGAAACAAACGCGACGAGGAAAGTGGCCAGTCGGAAGGTTTTCGATGAGGGTTGACCAGGGGTGAGGTTGTCGCGCGCCCGATAGGATTTGGAGGAGTCCGGTCTTAGCGCTTCGGAGCGGAGGCCCAGGCGACTTATGCAGGAGATGAAGAAAAAGGCCGAAGCATAGATCAGAGACCTCTTTGGTCGCCTGCCCTCAATGCAAGGCCTCTATCTCTTTGACAGCCAGTGTTAGTGGTATACAAAACTGGCGTCGGGCGGCGTGGTTGATAAGAGGGTAGAGTTCTCTTTGGGGGGGGGGGGAGAGGCGGGAACGGCGAACGGGGGTAGGCTGGTGAAGTGTAGGGTAATAGGGAGGCGTGGAGGGGCTGGGGGGGGGCAAAAGAGAAAGAAAAAGTATCAAGTAGACTCACACCACGGAAGCCCAGGACCTCAGTGCTCTTCTCTCACAGAAAGCGAGATAAACAAATCGACAAAGAAACAGGGTGAGGTGCACGATCGCCCATATATCATGAGGATGATCGCCCGGGTTGAGCGAAGAGGGAACTGGGGACGGAGTAACCGGGTCCGACGAGTGGAGGATGTAACCGAGTCAGAACAACCAGCAACTGAGATACGGCTTATGTGGTTCGGTAGATCAACGAAGTAATCTGTGTTGAGCTATATTGTATTATACTTTCAGGTCCAGCAATTAATTCATCTACGGTTGTTTCTTTCCTCCAAAATGCGGTGTATCAGTCTGATTTCCCACAATCCACGGCTTTCTCTCCTGAGGCTTTTGCGCATCCAAAACGGCAATTTTTCACAAATTGACCGCTAAGCCTAATCTGGGCAATGTCACGTGAGTTTGTGTATTTGAAACTTTTTTTTTTTCTTTTTTCCACGATTCAACTTTCTCTTCTCTATCTTCTTTACTCTTCTCTATTCGCATTGCTTTGGGATTTGAACACTGCAGTACGCTGCTCTGCATCAGATATGCTCAATTGTTCAGCTGACCCTGTTTCCATGGAACTGGTCTAATTCTGTTGCGAGATCCATGCGATATCATGATAATGTCTTATGATGCTTGGATCTCACCACTAACCCGATCATCACATCCCACAGGCACTTTTGAGTCTGACAAAATCCCCTAGGTAAGTCTAATAGCCGTTGTTTTTTTTATTTTTATTATACCTTCCCTATTGTGTTCAAGGATGTCAAACATTTTTTCTCTTCTTTACCTACCAAATCGACCATGACGAGACAGTTCGGATCTTCCTTTCCCGGTTGGTCTGCTACTTGCCAGTATACCTTGTCTGAGAACACCTTCAAAACTATATGCGATTTCACCAACATGCATTCTATGAGACATGTGCTGATTATATTCGCGTTTAGATCACATCACACCACCGGAGGATTTTGATCTTGCATGGCTTTAGCTTCCATGACTATAATATTCCTATAGCAACAATGACTTGCATAATTTATACTTTTCATTATCTACACTATACTTTCCTTGTATGAGATCTTTTCTTTTGCCGTAAACCTTCCAGGTCGCTGCATAAAGATCTAAATACGCTAAAGCTATTTGGGGTCCATTAGGTACCTAAACTTTATTGTAATAACCTTGGAATCCTAGCGGGAGATCACTCTTAGCGTAATCATAATCAGACAAGAATAAGCGCCGGGGACGAGCTTTTTACTTCAATATGGAAAGGTTAATCTCTTCGGCGCATTTTCAGCGTAGGTCGAAGACTGCTCTTGGATACTTTTCGTTAGGAGCAGAAGGTCGTGTCACAATGTATGATACAGAACCATGATTGGCCTCTGTTAAGAGATGCATGGAAAAGTCCACGGGTACTGATGTGGTGCTTTTCCCTCCTCCACTGGCTAAATTAACATGGGAACAAATATATTGGCACCGTTGAGAAAGAAATAATTACTAGGACATCCAGAAATCCATGTTAGCATTATAAATACGTCAAGTTCATATGCTACACTAGTATTCATCACGTGATCACCACTCCCGCGGAGTTTGATCAGGCTTCAAATGTTTCTCCGCATCTTTCGGCCATCTGATGCGCCTAGATCTCACGCCCTGTGACTTTGAGCTTTGACTTCCAGTGGTATCCCACACATTGGATGTTTTCGTCAATGCATCAGGTCCGGCGGTCCGTCGTGCACCCGTGTCGCTTGATTGCTCGTCGCCGCTATCCTGTGCCTGCGCCTTCACGTCGCTTTCATATCTCTCCGCAATGTCGGTCAGCGCCACCTCACGATCCTCATGACGATCCTTCTATATCACCGGATACTTCCGAGAATCACCATTCTCCCAAGACCGAGGACATTACCCCCAGAAATGAAATACCTCTCGCTAGCGTGGACAAGGCAGGTAGGCCAGCGTCAAGGCCATATGGCTCTGCTTTGCGCAGAGCCATGAGAAGCCGCCAATCGGAAGACCCACAAAATCAAAAACAACAGGAAGCATCTGCGAAAATCCCTGACTGGTTTTCGGAACAAAATATGGTGACTCGTAGTCCAGAAGGTGCTATACAAATCCAGCAAGTCGTCATCACAAAATCGAAACCAGTCCCCGATTTACCTAAACCAGAAACAAAGGAAACAATGGCTACTGGCGGTGGAGAGGATCCTTCCTCGCCTGGTGAGGAACCTTCTGAGCAGCATAAATATGCTGTGCCGGAAGAATTATGGGGTGAATTGCGCGCATCGGTCAAGTCAGGCCTGAGACTGCCGCCTGCGCAGTATGCGGCAGAACCTGCCGCGAAGAAGTCACACCTTGTTCTTCAGTACCCGGGATATGATGGTATTCCGTTTTTAGATGCCGTGGTGCGACAATTATCCAGTGATTTAAAAACAGACCTCATCACTCTCAGCGCTCAAGATATTGCTCAACTTTTCAGTGAGCAAGACCTCACGGAAACAGGTTCAACATCAGCGATCCGTTCCCTTGGTTATGAGGTTCATCGGCCCCCAGTCACAACCTGGCCAGATTCAGGCGAGGGAGAGGTTGAGGGAGATGATGATTTTGCGGATATAGCTGGAGCGTCACATGGGCGAACAGAGGTTAGCACTCCTAGATTCATCACGATCGAGTCTGGTAAGGAGCCTGGCGATGTTCCATTGCCCAACTGGCTTGGTTTGAAGTCTCTTGTTGCATCGATAAATGGACAGGGAGACCAGGAGCCAGGGCCAAGACACCTCGGCCAACGCGCGGAACAACGCTGGACCCGCCTTCTCAACGAGGTGATATCTTCGCTTGGATGTGCTCCTGAACAAACGCCCAAGGAAGCAGAGAACTCTCCTGAGACGGATCCCCCTGTTCCTGTGCTTCCTCGAGACACGATCATTCATATTCAGGATTATCGTGAAATACAAAGCACAAGAGAAGGATCTCGGGTAATAACCTTGTTACAAAAGATCATTCAAGAAAGACGTAAAGCCGGATCTCGCATTGTTTTCATTGGGAGTACATCTCAAGAACTTCGTCATGCTCCCTCACAGGATGGATCCAAGATACTACAAAATGTGTTTGATGACAACTTCTCAAAGACCCTGGTGGTCACTCCATCTATGGATGCAAAGGCTGCCGAGAAGAAATTTTCTCAAGATCAAAAAATTCGCATCATGGATATCAACATTCGCCATCTACAGACTATGTTGCGTTTTCGCTTGCATGAGGCTACGGGTACTGCTAAGGACGACATATTTGGCAACCGTGCCTGGCCGCTTGATTCATCAACAATTAAACATTCTGGCATCAAAGAAAGATTCTGGTCTTATAATCAAGTACACTGGGTTGCTACTCTGGCCCTTGGCAGTGTAGAACCTGGCGAAACCTTTGGCTTCGAACATATTCGGCGTGGAATTGATCTCATGGAAAAGGGAGATCAAATCACAAACGACTGGCTGCAGGAGAAGACTCCCAAGACAACGACAGATTCCAACGCCGGTCAGAGCCGAGAACAATTATTGAGTTCTTTGCGCAAAACGTGTACTACGCATGAAAAGAAACTTCTTAACGGTGTTGTGGATGCGAAGAGCATTCGAACTACCTTTAATGATGTACACGTCCCACCGGAGACTATCGATGCCCTCAAAACTCTCACGTCTCTTTCGCTCATTAGACCCGAAGCTTTTACCTATGGTGTACTTGCAACAGACAAGATCCCAGGTCTTCTCTTATATGGACCCCCGGGTACGGGTAAAACACTCCTCGCAAAGGCCGTTGCGCGTGAGAGTGGAGCTACCGTCCTCGAAGTCAGTGGCTCAGAGGTATACGATATGTACGTTGGTGAAGGCGAGAAGAACGTAAAGGCGATTTTCACCCTTGCTAAGAAATTGAGCCCGTGCGTCGTCTTTATCGATGAAGCAGATGCTATTTTCTGTTCGCGTACCGGTGCTAGCAGTCGCACCTCTCACCGCGAACTGATTAACCAGTTTCTCCGCGAATGGGACGGTATGAACGACCTCTCTGCATTCATCATGGTCGCGACAAATCGCCCCTTTGACTTGGACGACGCAGTTCTGCGCCGCCTGCCCAGACGACTCCTCGTTGATCTTCCCACCGAGCAAGATCGTCTCGCCATCTTGAAGATCCACCTCAAAAAAGAACAACTCGATCCCGCCGTTGACCTAGTAGAGTTGTCGAAACGTACTGAACTATACTCTGGTTCGGACTTGAAGAACCTCTCAGTTGCTGCTGCCTTGGCTTGCGTGCGAGAGGAAAATGATGCTGCGACTAAACACCAGGGTGATGAGCCTTACGAGTATCCTGCACGACGCATTCTCACCCCCACACATTTCGAACGCGGAATGGAGGAGATCGGTGCATCGATCAATGAGGATATGTCTTCGCTTGGTGCTATTCGCAAGTTTGATGAACAATATGGTGATCGCCGTGGCCGAAAGCCTAAATCTAAGGGATGGGGTTTTGGGCCTGCTCCTGATGGACCTACTACTGAGTCGGTGCGGGTTCGGAATTGAGAACATATACTACTTTGGGTTTATCTTCTTGATAACAATTGAGGTTCCACATTGTCCTCTTAATCTTATGTTTACACCCGCTTGTATTTTTACTTATACGATAGACATGTACCAATAGCTTTCAGGGTCGAAAGTAAATATACACATTTGAACCTTGTACACTCCATACTTTTTCAATTGCTACCATCATTAATATGTCTCACAGCTCCAACGCGCTCGTCTAAAAAGACCACGCGGAAATAATCAATGTACGAGGGAGTAGTACGCCATCCGCAGGATTATTATAATGTTATTCGTATAATCTTTCGGATATCCAATCCCGACGTATCACATATTGGCTGATAATCACCTTAAAGTACAAGTGCAGAACGGACTAACCCCTACGCTAGCCTTTGATTGCTTACTGGCAGTGGGGGACCCCTCCAGGTGTCTTTTCACGCAGCATCGATCGTTTAAAGCCGCTACTTTAGCTACCAATCTATATTCTAGATTAGGATACACTTACAGTTGCTTCATCCGTGTACTCGGCTTACCAAGATTGTATATTGAGTCTAATACATTCCAACCGTGGCTGCAGAGGCCCCTGAGTGAGCCGCTGGCTTCCAAGCTCAATGATTGTTTTTTGCTATTGAAGCATGGCTCTACTAATGTGTTTATGTAGATTACTTTCATCAAGCGCCACCTGTCTGTTGATTCTGCAGGTTTCGAGAAAACCTATTTACCAACCCTTGACGCAGAAGTCTACCCACTTCCCTTCTGTAGCGTGCGTTGTCTTGGGATGTGGCTTAAAATTTCTCTGCTGATCTGTAGATTCGACTCAGAGCTTCGGTAATATATGCTTCAATATCTGGGATACCGCGGGCCGAGAGGAGCTCGCAGGTCTTCAAGTTCGCGACGGTTACTATGTCGACGCGCAAGCCGCAATCATTATGTTTGATGTCTGTTCACGAGTAAGCTACAAGCATGTCCCAATATGATATAGCATGTCCATATCTTGATCCTGCTTGAATTGATTCGATACGATTACTAATGCTAAATTGTTTTATGGGCAGGAGTTCACCACCGCTACTAGCTTTAAAGAGCCCATTATAAAGATTGACGAGGCTGCACTTGCCAAAAAATGGGAGCTGGCATCTCTCCCTGACAGCACCTCGATAGATGAAGATGAACTATGCTTCAAAGTTATCCAAAAGCCACCATTTAAACATTTCAAGAAATACTATATGTATCCTTACATTCAAAAGTTGGTCCGTAATAAAGAGAAGAATAATCTAGTATTACTATAATGAAGCTATAGTATCATATGATAGGCAGTAATTACTAAGGAGACCACCTATCAAGGAGATAGAATATTACTATCTGAAATGCAATTGCTACTATCGTTAGGATAATGTATAGTAGAGTGAATACTACCCAAAAATACATCCATGCTATAGCTATTTCAGCAAATAATTTCTATATAGAACAAATTTCTCATGTAAATCTTACTCAAGGCTGCCAGTATTTCCATGTGCCACGTAAACATGAACATTTGAACCTTATACAGTTCGTGATATCTCATCGATACTGGTCTGTATTCAATATTAACAATTATTGCACAAGTTTTCCCCAGTGTATGCCGGCAAGCCATCTTGTGCTTCCAAGGTTCCAGCTCTATAATTTATTAACATGGGCCACCCCCCGTAGACCATTAGGGTACATCATTTGAGTACTACCTTGATCCTTGAAAAATAAGGGACTTCCTTTAGGGACTTCCAAGTCCGAATCAATCTGATTAACTCGACTTCAATATTGAGCTCGAATAAATATCAAAGTTTATACGTTATACTTCCCGAATCACCTAGAGTTGATTGCACTGTGGGAGGGCACGTGCCCCCCCATGACATATTATCCGTCTCCACCCGCCACTTTTTCAAGCTCATATTCTCCTCCAAACCCCGCGTGTGGAATTAGGTGGAGGTTCGTGCCTGGGCCATTTCCAGCACCGGGCGAGATCCCTGTATTAGCCCTCTTTTCCCCTCACACTGAGTCATACTCTTCTTCTCCAAAATCCCGGGACTAGAAAAGAAGAACATCCGCCCACCATGACCGACTCCCGCGACACTGCCATCCGCGACGCCAAGCGATTCGTTCGCGAAGTCGTTCGCAACGACTGGGAATTCACAGCTGACCCAGATGGCAAGAACTACATTTCATTGCCGCCTTCAACCCATCCGATCAATGCCCTCTACCAGAACCGTGAAGTTTCAGAATGGCGATGCCGAGAATTCGACAGCTCTGGCTCAGAGCTTGAACCACCATCATCAGACGACGATTCTGAAAGCGATTCGGTCAGGAACCCGGGCGACCCTGACCCCCGGCGCAAACGCCGTCGCCAGATGGATGAGGAAATGACATGGAACGAAGGGCTAAGGATGTGGATGGCGAGGCGCGATATATGGTCTGGAGCTAGGACACGGCGGGAGATTCGAGCACATGAAAAGAATCAGGCTTCTGTAAATACTCAGATAAACAATTTGGGGCAGGCTGATGCGAATAGCTTGGATTCTGGTGTTGGTGCTGGTGCTGGTGCTGATACTGCATCACCCCAGACTCCGTGCGCTGGGTCTTCCCCGCACTCGGATCACCAAAGTCAAAATGGCATCATTGACGCGTCGGGCTTGGCCAACAAAACTGAGGCATCGCTGTCAATTGCAGAGCGGGAGAAAAATGACGACCTTCAACGTCGACAGGATCAAGAAGAAGAAGAACATTCTACTGCTCCAGATGAAGAAATCAAACGCAAGGAGTCTACCGAATCAACTGGCATTACGGAACCGGATTCCCATGCCGCGAATGGCCCTGATCTGATCAAATTTCCTACTATTGACGACGACGACGAGATAGAGTCGGACGAAGAATACGACGAGCCTCTTATTCCTGTCGCCCCTCCCTTCATTTCAGCCGACAATCCTGTTCGCGCAATCATAACCCCTTCTATCTACCCCTCCATCTATACAAAAGTTGTTGTACAGGGGATGACACCTACCGTGCCCGTTAATTTGGCCGATTTGACCAAGGCAATGGTTCAGGGTTGGAAAGCAGATGGACAATGGCCACCCAAGCCGGCTGTCTCGAACATCGTCCTTGCCGACGATTGCAGCGTGCCGAAGAAAAGTTCGGACAACGCCGACGGAAACCCCCAGTCAAGGCGGAAGAATAGTATCACAAACGCTATGCGTAAAGTGTTCCATCTTGGCTCGCATCCGTTCCACCGACGTGGTTCTAGTCAGGATGCTGGAAATAGCGCTACGACGGGTAATTCTGGTTCCGTCATTTAGAAGGCTGGGGTTCTCTTTTTGTCCAGATATGTATCTTTCTGGGCTCTCTCTGAGGAAGCTTTCTATATCGATGATGAATGATTATGACATGGGTCAATGTGCTCAATACCAGGAAATATTTATTTTCCTTGCGATTTGCATCTGGTGTTCTTCACGGAAGGTTACGGGGATGTACTTCTTGTTATTTAATATTGACTTCTTGGTGTATTGGACGGGCTGTATTCAAGTATGAGCATGATTTTATTTTCATCTTTTCTTTTGGATAACACTATGAATTATACATGGTTCTCCTTCTGAATAAAACAACAAGGGAGAAGTGAGTATTCGCAGATAAGGGTAGGCAGGTTTTGGACCTGTTCTGCCAATCGTAATCTTCCATCTACAACTAATAACAATTGAGGTTTATTTTGATTTGTTGCGTATATAGGTGTACATGTCTTGATTCATACCATCATAATACCTATAGATATTTAACTGTACGAGTGAACCGCACATAATACAGGCATTGCCTAGACAGAAATTCAATAACCAGAAACATAAACGCCAATGCTAACATGCAACAAAATAAGAAATACAGTCCGCCACGTCACAGAAAATAGTAAAACCAATAGTTGTGTATATGATAAACAAACAAATCATGGATGCTCTCCATTTCTCCAAAATTTCACCCAGGGAATAACTCCAATTGCTCAATAAAGCCAGAAAACTCAATCATGGCATCATCAAATAGCTTTTCCGCTTCAGTCTCATTTTGCAGGATCAAAAGAACCTCAGGGTCCAGAGATAGCATCTTGGATCCTTGACCAGAGCGAGTATAGTAGTACTTGCCGTCATGAAATGACCAATTTTTGAGATAAGATTGATGGTCTTCGAAGACGGCGCGTCGAAAGGTGAGAAGGTGACGGGGAATCCCGGTTTCGGATCTGGATGTGTTGTTCTGCGGTGCGGGAATGATGGGAATGTTCATGGTTGATTCTGTGCCGGGGACAGAATTTTTTAATTCAGATGATACCACAGTAAACAGGTCTCGAAACCATTGAATGTAGGAGATTAGGCTGTCTACCTGGTCGGTGACACGGTCGAGGTAGTCGATCAAAACAAGGGAGGAAGAAATCATTTTAGTGAATTCCGCAAGCATCAGTAGGACAACAGGTTCTTTGAACCGTTTGGCGTTAGAACATAAAGGCCGGAGCGCGTTGTAGCATGACTGGAAGACTGTGCGAAAGATCTCCACTAAAGAAACCACGCAAGCCGGCGAGTTGGTGTCCATACTGAAAAACAAATCCTTGAAAGCCAATGAGACGGTTTGAATGATCGGTCGGCTTAGAAGCCAGGCCGCGGGTGTGCTGAAAGCCAATTCGAGGTATGGCGGGAAGCCGCATTGCAAGAGAACGGCTCTAAGGGTTGGTCGATCATGCCCTCCTGCTTCAAATGTGCCTTTCATTGCGGTGTGCATTTGATCCACCAGGTGGCTGTGTTGGCGCTCAACAGTCGCTCTTTCAACGATACTCTGAAGGAACATCATTAAGGTATTGATCTCCTTGTTAGAGCCCAGCTTAGGCTCGTAGCGTTTCAATTTCGCCACAATGTATCTGGGATCCGTAGAAGGTAGCGGGAACATGGCAGGATTCGTGAAGAAAGAATCCACAGGTCGGATGTCGCTAGTAAGTTCTTGAAGGAACCTAATTACACGATGCACAAAGTCGACATATGAACCCTGAGCAGATTCGGCGACCCCATCGCCTAGCTCCCGGTAGTTGAATTTCATGGCAGCCATCAGTTGATGAAGCAGTTCAGAGTAATCTTGCTTCGTTATCGACAAATCGCGACTTTCTGAAGCCTCTAATTGCAAAACGTGTTCACGCATATTGGACAGGATGCACGATAATAGAGAGACACGCCGCTGACTGAGCTCTGGTAGGGAAATGTGATATCTGTCATTGGTTTCGTCCTTCACAAATGGAAGATTTCCCAGTAAGGGGTGATTAGGGTTTCCGTTGAGGATTGCCTCAGTGAGACAGTGTTGGAACTTGAGCATTGATGAACGTTCCGCCAAGCATGACATCCATATTCCCATGGCGAGGGTAGGGCTTTCGACGAGGATTTGCGAGTCTTTTTCAATACAGAGAGCCAGAAAGCGGGCTGTATATTTACGAGTCTGCCCTGTTTGTCGAAGTTGGGCCCATGATCTGTCTCCGAACTGACTTAGATAGCTATCCCAGCGGTGAAGTCCCTGACGAACGAGCGCGTAGGCAATTGAAACCCAAGAATCAACGACGTTCGTGAGAATCGCATCTTCCGGAGAATCATCTGCACCAAAGCAGTTGGAGAGGAGACGGGAAACAGTTGGAGCTAATACTCGTTGTATGTACTCCATCTCTTCTTTGGGGACGTCTTGTTGAACCAAGACAGCATCGACGTCATCCCAGTCATCGAACCCCTCGAACTCTTGGCTATCTTCATCGACAGGAGCTGGAACTGCAGGAGCAGCCTTGGAAGGAGTGGACTCTTTGTTCACATAAGCAGTCACAACTTGTAGAGCCTCAGACACAACAGTGTTAACACGTGGAAGTTTTGGATTGAACAACCCAGCGATACTATCAAATGGCGTCTTGGATATCAGAGCGTACGCATGTTCTAGCGAGGGAGCAAGCTCAACGGCAGTTCGGAGTCCTGATAGACCCATTTTGAGCAATGATTCGGTTTGTCGCTGGTTCTGAGATATGAGGCTCTCAGCCAATTCTTTCGAAACAGAATTGTCGCCTTTATTCTGAGCTTCGATTTCACTTCGAGCTTGTGAATGCTGCATACGCAGCTCCACCATGAAATGGCTGTGCCAATCTGCAAATTGCTCTAAGCTTGACGCATCCTCATCTGTGGAGAGTTTGAATCTGATAAGTCTTATCCACGATCGAAGGTTGATGCTGCATGTTTCCTGGTGTGAAGTTGCTGGATGAACGAGGTTCCGAATTGCTTCTATTCGAGGTCTGGATCCATCAGGAACGGCCCAATACAGGGTACAGAGCAGATCGTGATGATTCCTAACGGCGTCTAGGTCGTCATGGCGCAAGGGACTTTCTTTGGAATACACACGACCATTGTTAGGAAGCAGGCGCCAGACAAAACCCCTCATTTTCTTCTCGTCGTATTTTGAAGCCAGAAAGCGCAGACCACTGGCGATTATTTTGAGAAAGGTGTGGAAGCATGGTTCTCCTGCTTGGATGTCCAGTGAAGGTGTCTTGTCAAGTTCGTCAAGGAAGTTAGGCGATCCACGACTTTCTTCAAGCCTCAAGTTATACCAATATTTCGGAGCAAAGAAGTCGTAGAGGTTATCCATTATGGGTTTGCATTCTCGCCAGCCCCACACATTGATAAGACGATGACAGCGCTGAAAGAGGGTTCGGCAGTAGGAATTGTAAGAAATAGGCTGCGTAATGGACTTCGGTTCGATGTCGTGCAGTACTGGGGTTATGAATCTTTTGATCAAACTCCAGTTATCATGTATTGTCTTGAAACGTAGATCGCGACGAGCGATGCCATGATGATCGATCTCGTTCAGTGGTAACGAGACGAACAAGTTATGCCACGCAGACTCTAAACTCCTTACATCTCTTTGTTGCCGCAAAAGTCCTTTAGTACACGCTTCACACTGAATGTCAGCGAGCACTCCTTTGAACCTTTCTGAGCTGCGCAAGACTTGCTCGACGACAACCAAAGCAGTGGCCGAAGGAAGTTCATCATGTATGCCTCTATCACGTCGTTCTGGCTTTTTTATCTCCTCCAAAAAGCGACGAACACCACTGATTCCAGATTTTGATGAAACTAAATTAAGGACATCCATTGCAGCGGCCTTGACCAGATTGAAAATATCCTTGCCAAGATCAACACCAACAAATCGATGTTCGGCGATTTGACGAATTTGATTAGCAAACACCAGGTTATAGCACGTCAACTTGACTAGATTGCTCTGCTGATCTTCGTCAGCGGTGGTGTAGCTAGCCATCGGTTCTCTCAGGCGAGATACGAAGCCCATAGTTCGGTGAACAAATTCCTTGCGGTCGATAGGGTCATTGAATGATAATGAATCGGTCACATAATTAATCAACGACCGATAGACGAGCGCGGGAAGCGAAGTTGAGTGAACTGGGTCGGTTTGCTGTCTGGAAATATTCCGCTCCAGCTCAAGAACCATGATATCAAACACAGATCCCATTTGGGAGGAAACTATGTCATTCCAAGAGTCCCATTGAAAACGTTGATCATCCACCAATATCGTGCATGACTTTGACCCATGATCTAAGTTTCTTTGCTTCAGTTGCAAGGAACGAGAAAACTCCCCGCTTCCTATAAACGTAGATTCATGGAAAAATAAACCCTCTCGCAATGGCACAATGCCAAATTCAAGAGGATATGACGGCTGCAAGTTGAATAATCCCCCCACATTGAAAGTAGATGGATGTGATGATGCCGCGTGAGTAATTGAAGCAGGGGGCGAGTCGGCTACACCCGTTGTAGTCAGATCATGGATTGTATCTCCAGTAGATTCGTCGGAATCAATGATTACCCGATGGGGGGTGGGCTTTTTCAAACGTCGAGTTGGTCGATTCTTCTCTGTTGGTTGCGTACGACTGGCTGTTGGGTGAGCCGTAGTCGACGATTCGGGCGCAGAAGGTGCAGGCTGAGTAAATGGTCCAGTATGAGAAAGGAATCGATCTAGCGGCAGACTGGATTTGAACGCCTGGGAACCTTTCTGATGTTGGTAATCTCGATTGAGTAGAGTCAATTTTCGGCTGAACGCAGACTTCGCCGCTATTTGACTTTCACCAGGGCCTGTCGGGTTTGTGTACGCTGGTCGTGCGGTATTCCGCTGTAGAGACGTGACCTGCATATTTCTGTGAACGATCCAATGATGTCCTTGTTTCTCAATCTGCGGGCGCGCAGCAGCAGCAGCAGCAGGAATATGCGACGGAGAGATCGTAGCTGGCGTTGCGGCTTGTCTATATGAATTCTGCTCTTGTCCAGTATGATCTTCATCATCCAACATCACAACATCTGGCTGTGTAGTAGCTAGGGTTGACGTCCGATTTGGAGCTTGAGTCTTATTCATGGCTTGTCTTGCTCGGGTGGGACCATTGAACAGGCTCGCAAGTGGCGTTGGCTTTTGCTTTTGAGGTTTATTTTGAGGTCTGGGTCGAGGACGAACGGCTTTAGACTGCCGAATTTTCCCACCGGTCCATTCACGCAGAGATTGGTTTGTATCCATCGTATCCTCCTTGGAACTGAACTTAAAGAATTTGCGAGTTGGGCTTTGTCGGCCTGCATCAGGGCGCAACCGAGCAGTCCTCGTACCAATCCTGAGGAACTGGGGTTGTTCTACCTGCGGCTTTGAGGCTACATCCGGTGCATCGAGAATGCCTAATCGTGGTGCGCGCTTTTTCGATGACTTTTTGGTTCGTCGAGTTCCATAAGAGTCATTGGTAAGCCTGGTTTGTCTTTTTAAGCGAGCTTTCTTTGCCTGCCTCTCGATATGATCGAGGGTTTCCTTAGAATTGGGACGCTTCAAACTCTTCCTCTTCTCACGAGGGCGTGAAGATTTCCGTGATGCAGTTGGCAGCATGTAATCGATTCTGTTATCTTCCATGATACCTTCGCCATCATTATGATCAAAAAGAGTTTCGGATCTTATTTCGACGATATTTTGTCGAGCAGACTGGTCGTTCACTTTTCGAGATTCATTATCACTGCTATCAGAGTCGCCAAAATCAATCAAAGACACAGTCCTAGGAGTTTGACCAGGTTTTCGAGCGATTTTTCGAGCAACACCTTTTCCATCCGTTCGCTTTGAAGCAGCATTATCATTTGATTGGGCTAACCTTTGCTTTTCCAGACGCTGTCGCGCTTCGAGCCGAACCCATGATGCAGGAAGAACACCTCGCGTTTGACGCTGAATTCTCCGAATCTCACGCTCTTCAGCGGTCTCATCAGGAGCTGCAGATGATCCTTGAGATGAATCGGAGTCATCCTCAGAACTGTTTGCCGAGCTCAGCTCGTGTACCTCGGGCTCATCTGCCGGCGGCGTGTCTGTTGTGGTATTCTGCGATGGTATAAAGCCAAGTGGAAAGCGAAAGGCTTCTGTAGCACGCGGTGTCTCTTGGGCTGATGAAGCACCTTCTGCATCTGGTGGGCTTGATGGAAGTTCAGGAAGGGCAGCTGATAGTATCTCGCTGAGGCGACTATTTGAAGTTTTTGAATTATCAATTACGACTCGAGGTTTTGATCCAACCCCACCGGAAGCATCATGCCAAGCACCAGAATGCGATTTTCTTCTCCTTTTGGCAGAATGAACTCGCTTGAGGGGCAAATCTTCTGGACGAGAGTTTATGTTGATATTTCTTTCTCGCTCTTCCTCTCGATGCCGTTCAGGTCTTTCGGCTGGTAAGAATTCTTCGGCGGGGGGACTGGAACGAAGATTATCGGGATTGAATTCGTCATTTTCTTGGCTCTCGTCTGTAACCTCTTTCGTCCGTTTTCTCTGCTCCTCTATTATCGCGCGAACGGGCTTAATGCCTCCTTCTTTCATCAACCTTTGATACTTGGCCATTTCGAGGGCATAAGGGTGCATCTGAATGGCATTGCGTTCACGAAACCTCCTCTGCCTGGGCTGAGCCGCCTCCATTTCGTTCAGAAGGTCTTGCAGAATCTGAGCGTTAGGTACCTGCTCTGTAACGGTGTCTGGGGCGTCGACGGATATCACATCGTGTCTTGGCTGCGTCTCGTCGTCAGGGAAATGAATGGACAATGGCGGCGATGATAAAGGCGAGTCATCTTCGGAGCCTTCCATTGGCGCTTGCTCTGTCCTTTCTGGCGTGTCGGTCTTTTGTGGTGTGTTGGGTTCGTCTGGTATGTCGATCTGATTCGATGTGTCGACATTATTTTGCCGCAATCTAGTGATCGGCTGCTCAACGACATTGAGCTCGTCTGGTGATGAGCTCCGGGATCCTCCGGTGTCAGCCAATAATTGCCAGTCACGGTTCTTTGGTCTAAGAACAGTTGGATTCTGAGGGGCTTTTGTAGGTGTAGAGGTTGTCGATGTATTTGTATCAACACCTCGGCGTCGTGATTTCCGTGCAGATAAATCCATCACAGGCGGGGAACTTGGAACCTCCCATATTGACTTGTCTGGCATAGCAGGTGGTGAATTTTGCTTATTATCTTCGGATTGGTTCGTCTTTTTCGTGCCTGATAATCGTTTTCCATAGGATTTCGTACGGCGTGGCTTTGGTGTTTGGTCATCACTCGAAGCGCTCCTTGAACCACTCTTCCGATGGTCTTTCAACTTCTTCCCAGAACCCTCAATTGGCGAATCGGGCTTCTTGGTATGTTTCTGCTTGGTCGCGGGACTTGTCACGAGCTCCAAAGAGCCTTGCGGTGTCTCTTCGTCATGGTGATCTGTCGTTGACAAGCTGCTTGCTGGCTTTATACGGTCCGCGGGGGTGGCCTCGGATACAATCGTAGTGGCTGACGCGGGAACGGGGAGATATTCGAGGTTTATATCCTTGTCACTTGTAGTGTCGATAGCTTGTCTCGATTCTAGAGAGTCGAATTCCTCCTCTTCGTCGTCGGAGTCTGGGACAAACCCTCGTTTCCGCCATGGTTCCATTTGCATGGCTCGCCCATGTCTCTAAGGGATCATCGAGACGCGGAAAACGGAGAAGAAAGGTCGTGTTCGATTAATGAGCGTACGGGAGCTCTATCCCTCGAAATAACTCGTGGTCAATCAAGAAACGCGTCGATAAGCAGTTTTCAATTTGGCGACGCGCCGCTAATCAGTGCGATAACGGGCAGACCCGCATTCTCCGACCTCCACCTCTTTCCGATCAGTCACTCTCAGATTACTTTTAGCTACATACTCAGTTCTCAACTGCCAATATGAGCCGAAACTTTATTACAGCCGCTGTGACGATAGGTGTCGGTGTCTTTACAGGTATTCATTGCTTTTGATTGTGGTTTGATGTGGTGCGTTGTATGAGGTCAGTTGCTAACCTCATATTTCTCCGCAGGCTACTACGCTTTCCAACCAGCATTACAGGAGCTGGCAATCCAGCGGGCGCATGGAATCCAACCCGGGGCTTCTTCTGAAGCATCTACTTCCAAACAGAATGACAACGCTCCTCTCAGCAATGCTGCCGCATCTGCTCCCCAGCCCTCAGAGCCCAAGAAGGGCAAATAGTCGAACAGCGCATTCATTCCGGATATAAAGATCACGGCACTGTTCCTCGCAGCTGTTCATTGAGAATTAAATAGCTCAACATGCATCTTGGAGGCAAATTATACGCTGTGAATAACGACGACGGGAACTTCTACTCGCTGTCTTTCAGCGCTCTATGCTCGCCTACCATTGCAAGAGCTTTAGTGTCCGTCCTCGCGAGGCTTACGAACTACTCTGCGCCTATATATTCCACTTCCAATCATAGAATTGGTATATGTGGAATGAGTTTCAGCCTGATGGCGATCAGGAATTGGTCAGACCAGCCCCGTCTGTATACTACTGGATTGTCTAAGTTCCTCCAATTGGAATCTGTACATATAGCATGATACAACATGAAATCATATTGTTGTCCATATTTCTAGACTGCGTCTTTCAACTAACTTTGTTTTGCATTTTGAAACAATAAAAAAATGGGGAACCATAATCAACGCCATGCCTTGGATGTAGAGCAAGGGAAACTAGCTCGTCCACAAATATGACCCAGTTCAAGCCCAATTTAACCATAGACTGTGCCCAAACGCCCCTTTCCATAACAATTTTCCACATTATGCTGTTAAAGTTCTTCCACCATTTTCCCATTTCCATTGAGAGGCCCTCCGAACAGTCGGCCTGCGGGTGTACCAATCCATTCTTCGGGCACGCTCACTCTGCAGCCATTGGCATTGCTAACCCATCGAACCATCGTGGGGTCTGCCTTTTCGGGCTCCCCGGCTTCTTGGTCGGCTGGTGTAGAACCGTCTCCCGCGGCAGCTCGGCCGCGCCTCTTGGGAGGCTGCTTTCTGAGTAGTCGGTTGATTGTGTCCATCTATTGATTGTCAGTGGCTATGTCACGAGGATAGTCGAGCTATCCGCTCAGATTCTTTGTCCGGCGAACCTTTTCTTCCTCGTTGCGTTTCTCGCTCAGGTTTTTCCTGCGTCGAGCCATCTCTGTACGTCTCATGGCACGCTCCTCGGCTGTTAAATGCTTCTTGACTTGGGGCTCTGTTCATGCGTAAGCTTGTGCTCTGTTTGAGCACTGAAGAAGATTTTGCTGTCAGCTTACCCATTGGAAGTTGTAGGAAATCGTTGCCCAGATTTCCACGTTGGCGCTTGGTCTGCTTGCCGCCATCCATGGCCTCGCTATCTATGTCGTCATCCAATTCATCTTCTTCGTCCTCCTCATCCAAATCGTCGACATTGACATCTGGCACGGCGCTTTCATCCTGATCATCAGGTTCACCATCGGCGTCTGAATCTGTGTCTGAAACAGCCTCCTCATCCTCGTCCTCGTCCTCTTCTTCTTCTTCTAATTCCATTTCCTTCTCTTCAACGCTCTGAACGTTCTTTCCCCGATTAGATGCAGCTGGTTTAGCAGCCCGTCTTGCTGGTGCTTGAGGGGGAGCTTCATCCATATCCACGTCACCGTCAGCATCAGCATCTTCATCGTCTTCTCCTGGGGCATCTTCGTCGTCAACTTCATCTTCCTCTTGGTCGTCAAGGTCCTCATCTGATGTGGCAACCTCTACGAGCTTCTTTTTGGTGCGACTAGCTCGAGGTCCTGAGACAATGGGATTTTCTTGGAATACATTGACAGATCGTCGCGCTGCTGCGCGACCTCCCGTGGCCTCGCGTAACTTGCCTGTGGGCATTTTCAAAGTGAGACGAAGAGATCTGCGGGGCTCTTCAGTTGAATCTGATTGTGATAATGATGGTGATGGTGATGTCGACGGTGAGACAGACACTGATGTTGGCGCAGCAGTGGAGCGGGTTTGTCTCTTAGGTCTGGTGCGGACATTAGCATTGTGATCTGACTGATCTGACTGATCGTCCTGAGCTGCTCGCCATCGACCAGATCGCCGAAGAAGTGGCATGTTGACGGCGAAGTTGTTACGGTAAAGATTCACAATTGGGCTTTGGGTCGAGGGGTTCAAGGAGATTGAAAAAGGGGAAGTGAAAGAAAGACTCCGAGACAAAAGAAGCGGGGTGGTAATGAATTAACAAGTAAAGTGTGTGGCAGTACAGGTTAAAGCATCCGATGGGAAGTGTGGAGGGGGAAATAGACAGTGAAGCGAATAAGAAGGCGCCAATCACTGGATTGGGAGTCTAATAATGGGTGCAAGCCGGGAAGGCACAGATGGATCATGTCTTGAGCGCCACTCTGGGATATTCTCAACCAGTGCGAACAAAGCGCACTCAAGTTGCTGGGGGATCTGGGGGTGATTGCGCCTGCCGTGTTCCCCGGAGTCCGGGGGCGACGGAGAGGGAGAGAGATGGATGGGGACCGAATACATGGAGGAGCACAAATGCAGGACACAGCCAGGGTCAGGGTAGGGTTTCAACTTACAGGTACTTTTTCTTTCTAGAGTTACCAAGTCTGTTGTCGCTGGCGCTGGATGAACGAATGAAGTCACTTTCGCCCGTTTCTGCCAGGCGGTGATACGGGTGGATCCTTTACATTGCGTTATGTGTATACAACCCTCAGGTACACTGAACATGGACTTCGACGATATTAGCCTTTATTATCATCACTTGGATCGATGGCAAAACGATGTCTGATGTACTTAGACAGCCCGATCTCTCCGACAAACACGAGGTCCTCAGCCCCGATGACCCTTTCAAACTCTTGCGACGATCGATGCCCTCAAAATGTCCGCTTTCTTCCAAAGGCGGAACTCTTCTTAGAGGAGATAAAAAAACGAGAGAAAATTCGTGGATTCAATGCACTCAATGACTCTTTATCCGCCCAAATGCGCCAATCTATTGAAGACAGATCTGCATGGTGGCTTCTGTTGACCTTTTGTATTGGGATTTACTTGATGAATATTGTTGGGGACCAAGGCTGAGCATGGCACACAGAGTCCATGCAGTTACAAGTTACAACAATATCGGAGCTTCATAAAAGACTAGAAGATTTCGTTCGATTGAAAATTCACCATTTACAAGAGTATAACAAGGAGCTTGGCATGGAATATGATGTGACCTATGAACCAGAGCGTCCCCTCGAGCCGACAAGTGAAGATGAGCCAGCACCAGAGGTATAGGCCCTATCCAGCATTTCTGTATTGTCGCTAATCGGCCACATGAGCACTAAAGTTTGGCGTCAGTGTGGCTCAAAGGGTCGTGGTATGCTTTGAAGTCTCCGTGGGAGGTCCTCATAGCCAGCCAGTGATGTAGAATCCGGCTTGGTATTCCGAGGCCGAGGGGTCTTTAACAAGATACGCAAGGTTTCTCTTTTTGAAAGCGTCCTCCACTGCTCTTCTCAAGTATTCATCTGCTCATCAGATATCCTGTTACAGACCGCCTCTCCCTCTCGTCGCCAATCCTCTTCCCGGAACTCAGTCTCCCAACCATAATCCTCAATCAGAACCCGCTTCACTTGAATCTGCTCCGGTTCCCCGGCGGGAATAATATAGCCATAATCCCCTTGTGTAGGAAGATATACTGTCTCTAAATTACGAATATCATCGATGAGACCCTGGAGATAGGTTGGGGCATGGTGAGCCTTGCAGTCTTTCCGGAAGTCAAAGCCCTCCTCCCCCGATTCCTGTTCAACAATAACTTGAATAATATCTGATTGAAACCGTTAGTTCTTCCTTCTCATATATATAGCGTAGTAGAATATATAGGGTGGGAATGACTGTACTTGACTTAGTATTCAGAATAACCGAGGTCCCATCATCTGCGTGCATCCAGGAAGTAAGTGCAACCTCCCACGGTTTCAGAAAGTCCAATCTTAAATCCTCGTCGCCAATGCTCACGGGCGCCTTTTCAGGATCGCGGCCACCCCGTATCTCTTCATCAAAAAAGTATTCAAACGGCCGGGACTGCAACAGAAACGGCTTATTGGTGCCGCGAAACGTATAAGGAATCTTTTTCATAAGAGATACTACCTCCACCGCGATATGGAGCTCATGGCATAGCTTCTCATTGATGGCATGGCCACCTGCAGGAGGAAATATGACTTCCCCGTAAGGGTAATCGTCCCCGGGAGGGTTGTAGTAGCCTAGCCTATGAAGTAGGATATAAATAGTCGTCATTTGAGTAACTATTGTCTCTTCGTCGTAACTTGAAGGTGAAAGAAAGGAGGTGCTAATCATCGTTCCGGAATTTTTATACCAGAGGCAGAGCAGAGTAACCAAAGAAGGAAAAATGACCCAGGTATATCGTGTCATTGAAAACTTGAATTCTCGAGTAGAGGAGATTTCGGGGATTGTCTCCTTCAAGTTTCTTCTGGGGTGGGGAGAAAGAGAGGATCATAATGTGGATTTTGGTGACTAGAATGGGCCATTTATGGACGGAAATCCTTACTAGTCCAACCTGATTTTCTCTAGTCGCCCCACCAGTTAGCCATGCGGCAGAAAGTTTTGAAGTAAAAATACATATACATCTACTATCTACTATTTGCAAAGGACTATTCTACATGAGTATTTAATGTTATGCATAGCTACGAGGAATGTAAATCCAATTTGACGAAATCTCCAGTATGTACTACACAAAGAGCCCATAGGTCGCAAAGAACTTCAGTTTTTTTGAGATGGTCCATCTAAGAACAAAAGAACCTCGCTCGATAGTTTCAACAGTATCTATCTTAAATTTGAATTAGGATGCGACCTATATCTATGCATACTAGCTATGAAGATATGTGTTATACTAGTGCTATGCACCGTAGCCCTGCACTACACCGTGTTAGGCAGGTCGGATGTCTATCAAGGGGCTCTTGAGCAGGGCTCTAGGACATTAACCTGTAGGGTCAACAGGCTATACCAGGGGTGGACCTGAAAGATAAGATTGCTTTAGGATTGTTTACTTTTTCCCTATCGAATGAACGAACCCGTTTCACATGCCCGCCAAAAAGCCTAGTCAAACTCTCCAAACCACCATTTAAGATGGGATTTCCAGAGATCACAGTGTCTGGAACTGGTTTCTTGAGATCTGGAAAACGCTTCCAAATCAAAGGCCAGATAGCCATCGCTCTTTCTCCCAAGCTAGGCTAACCAGTTCAAATAGGCGTTGGGTACATTGGAGATAGCTCCGGGTCAAATCCAGTTGATGTTTTGGCTGACTCTCAAGCCGAACAATGCAAGATCGATGCTTCGCTGATGAAAGATCTGGGAGCAAATGTGGTCAGTGTGCAATTCATTGACTCAACTCATAATCATGATAAATGTGTGCAAGCATTTGCGGACAATGGCATATACGTTATCGTTAAACTAGCGACCCACGAGAACGATGGGAGTGAGCCAAATGATCTTAGATGGGACAAGGACGTCTTCTCACGATATGCAGCTATTTACAATTCTATGGCAATATACAAGAATCTCATGAGCTTTAACCTGGGTGACGGTGTGTTTAAAGACTGTAAGTAGCAAAACTCAACAAATGTTTGCCGCCTCGCGTTTCAAGCTACCTACTGATCTTTTGAGCCCAGGGTCTCAACTCGCGGTAACCCCGGACCTGAAAGCAGCTGCCCAGTATATGAAAGCATACACTGCCGCTCGACAGTATCGAAACATTCCCATCGGATATTTTGCAGAGGTAATGGAGCCGAGTCTAGGATCCCTGGTAGAGTATCTTGCCTGTGGAGACAACAGCAGCGAAGCCATTGACTTCTACGCAATCAAGGACTCCAGCTTCAGTCTATGTGCGGAAAGAATTTCCAGTTCCGAATATTCACTGTTGGCCTCTCATCTACAAAATGTGTCAATTCCAATAATTTACTCGCAAGATGGCTGTTTCATGGATAAGTCTCTGGACTTTGCCGAGCAGCAGATCATATTTGGATCGAATTTGTCAAACATCATAAGTGGTACGATAGTTGACAACTGGCGCGAGCAAGACGGCGAAGAGGGTTATGGACTAGTCAACTATACAGCAACTGGAGCAGCGAGCACACCGACAACGCTTAAGGACTATGTAAATTTACAAAGTCAGTGGGACGAAGTAACTTGGAATACTGACCCTCCTTCGACGATAACGCCAACCATCATGCCATTCTTCAAGCAGTGGAATCTGGCCCGTCAATGCAGATGCCACATTGCCAACGATTGCCGATCTCGATTTCGCGACCATAGGCAATGCTCCTATCAGTGTCGCTGCGACTGGCACTAGCATCAGCTCGAGCATTAGTACTGGCAGTTCTAGTGCTAGTGGGGGATCTGGGCTTTCAACTGGAAGGAAAGCCGGTGTAGGTGTTGGCGTTGCCTGTGGTGCTATCTTGTTTTTGAGCTTGGTTTTCTGGTTTATTCATCGTCGATAACAGACGAGCCGGGGGACTCCAACGGTGTATGTCCCGGTGACAGAATTACATGGGACTGCTGTGGCTGAAGAGTTACCTGATCCTTCTCGGGGAGAAATGCCTGACAATTCTAAGAAGGAGTTACCTGGCACATCTATCAGTCATGAGTTGAGTGCAGTCCCCATTTTTGAAGCAGACGATGGGGTAAGGGAAACAAGAGCTGGATGAAGCAGAAGAAGCCAAGAGCGAGTTCGGAGCATTGATGTATGATATAAAAGTATCGAGCGACTTTGTATTTTATTGCAATAATATGTATAATCAGACAATAGTCGAAAATAATATTCAAAAAGCCTGGGCCATTTTCTCGGTGTGAGTAGATTGGATTGGATTGATGTATGACGGACTATGCCGTGTCGGCGGAACAGCCGAGGTCGGCTCACATGGCAAGTCCCAATTCCGGGGAAGTCCTGTTTCAACCTCTCCTCTTATCACCATCTCCGCACTGGCACAGTGTGATCTCTAGTTCACCAACAAGTCAAACGAGAATCTAGAAACCATGTCAGATCCTTCAAAGCCTTCATCAATCCCCGCCTGGCAGCGCCAGTCTGCCTCGTCCTCTACGGATCAGTCATCATCACAATCTACCTCGTCGCCGAGCTCCGATGATGCGCCCGCACCCACCTCACGAGAAGACCTCCTCAGCCAAGCAACTCGATTCCTTGAAGACGAATCAATCCGCAATTCTCCCCCAGATCGCAAAATTGCCTTCCTTGAATCCAAAGGTCTCAACTCCGACGAGATTCAACAGGTCCTCGGCATCTCCCGAAACCTAGAGGCGACCAGCACCATCCCAAGCGCAACCGAGGAAAAGGCCGAGGAATCACCTGAGACTTCTGCCTCCTCTCCCAGCAAAGCTCAAGCTACGCCTTCATCTTCTACCTCTACCACTGCACAGTCTCAATCGTCATCCCAATCGCCTTCTACCACCATGTCTCAACCGCGCTCATCTACCGCCACCACCGACCCCTCCCCAATAGCAAAGCGCGACGAACCCCCAATAATCACCTACCCCGAATTTCTCTTTCAGCCCTCCAAGCCTCCACCCCTGGTATCAATGCAAAGCATCCTCTACACACTCTACGGCGCAGCAGGTCTCGGCGCTTCCATCTACGGCGCAAGCGAATACCTAATAAAACCAATGCTCGAGAACCTTGCCAGTGCGCGTCACGAGTTCGCCGAAACAGCACAAGACAATTTACAAAAGCTAAATGAGCAACTCGAGAAAACTGTCTCTGTCATTCCGGCCCACCTCACTGCACGCAAAGATAAGTCTTCCGAAGAAGATACAGAGGAGGATACCGATAGCGTGACGTCTGACCCTACGGAACTTTTTCACCGTGACGTCGGCACTCAGACTACACCTGATGTCTCGTCATCTTCTACATCCCTTGAGTCGACGAAAGATGAGAACGCGCCCGATGCTCCGTTGTCTGCTGTGTCTAACCATATGGCTCGACTTAAGGCTATTCAGACGGAGCTGAATGAGGTTAATGATGTTGAAGGAGTGTCGAGCTCGTGGGATGAAACTATGCGCAGTAGTATTAGTGAATTACATCATTATCTCGATGGATTGATGTATTCCACACCAAGCTATACTGTTGGAGGTTCTGGGCTATATGCTAACTCTACTTCTGGGAGTGGGAAAGCAACTGGTGTACGGAAGGGGGAGGATGATGCTATTACCAGCTTTAAGGCTGATATTCGGGGAGTGAAGGGTGCGTTGCTGAGTGCTAGAAACTTCCCTGCTAGTCGTGGTGGTAGACGTGGAGGGTTTACTGCTGGTGCTAGGTGATGTTTTCTTTTCTTCTTTTTTTCTATATTTCTGCGCTTCTTTCTTTTACTTTCTATTTTCTCTTGGATTGAAAACGGTGAGTTGTTTCATATCTATGGTTTGGATTTATACAGTGTACATATACATTTAGAATGGAGTGAATCATTTCAAGTTGCCTTCTATCTAAATAATACTGTACGGAATACCTGAGCATTTAATAGAACGTCTCAAACCTTGGAATCTGATAACATTGGGACTTGGAGTTCTTTCGCTCTTTTATAATCCAATCCATAGGTTTTTCTAAAAACATTGTATATTTCGAGCCATGAAAGCTATTTATCCTAACCGAGTCATCACACATAGCATAGAAACTGTAGGGAATTTTTATCTCACGACCCAGGTTTATCAGACTAGACCCGCAAAAAGCAACACAGAAGGAAGAGAAGTAAAACGCGAGCATTAATGGTAAAATGAACAAGAAAAGGTAACAACAAAGGCCAACCGCTTTATATCAAAGACTTAACCCACTCGTAACGGGAAATACAACCTTGTAAAGGCCTCGTTAAATCCATAGAAATCTTAAAGAATCTGGGACTGAGAAGGGGCCTCTTCCGCTCTCCAGGTAGCTGAGCACATCTGGATGAGGTATTTCACACCGATCTGTAATGATGCGTTAATTTGAATACTTTAAGTTCGAATAAAGAATTGAGAAATGCTCACCTGCAAGCTGTTGAATTCCTCATTGTTGTTGACTAGCAGATCACTGTGGATCTTGGTAGCAACATCATAGCGACGGGCCTCAACGGCTTGAGCCAGGTTGACTAGCTTCGATACGGTGTCGGGCCTGAAAGACTCATTGTTGATGCGATCGAAAATCTCATTCAATGAGTTGGCGGATCTTTGGGTTTGTTTCTTGAACTTCTCGGGGGCGCGAGGCTCGAGGAATTGAATCTTAGGGTTCAGGATCTCGTAGATTGGCAACGCGTCGGCAGGGATGTGAGAACGATCACCCGCAGCTAAAGCAAGTTAATGAGAATTCCAATGCATTGAGGACTAGCGTGACTTACGGTACTTCGGTGCCGCTGGAGGAGGAGGGGCAGCTGCCTGGGGAGGCTGAGCTGCTCCAGGGCGAGGACCTTGGGGCGGAGGAGCAACCGGAGCCCGAGGTGGCGGTGGAACAGCAGCAGCCGGCGGTGGTGGAGCGGATGCGTAAGGGTTGGGCGGTGGGGGTTGAGCTGCTGCCAGAGAAGCGTACGGCGAGGCGACGGACTGCGGAGGCGGTGCTACCGGGGCTCGAGCCTGCAACTGCGGGGCCGGAGCCTGAGCTGCCGGGCTGGGTGCATACCTATTTGTTGGTGGGGGCATGCTTGGCGGAGCGTTGTAAGGCGAGGGCCCCCGGGGGATAGAGGCAGCAGGAGGAGCCATGTTACCCACCGGTGGGGATCCAGGGAGAGATGCATATGGGTTAACAGGCGGTGGGGGAGAAGGACCAGGGGCGACGTTTGAAGCCAGAGGAGATGTCACACGCTGTGGAAGACTTCCAGCCTTGGGTGGAGGAGGGACAGATGGCGCACGTTGGCCAGCCGCCGGCGGAGGGCCTTGAGCCAAGGGAGGAGACTGGTGGGGAAACGGTGCGCTAATAGCAGCCTGAGATGCAGCAGGGGTGCCGCGACGAGATGCAGGCTTGGCAAAGCCCTCGGGCAGGTCATTCCACGCAGGAAGCCCAGTAGCAGTTGTGTAGGTAGTTATATTATTAGCCGGCGATTGGTTAGATGCACGGGGTGGAGGAGGTACTCCGCCAGCTGCAGGCTGTCCACCGAAAGGTCCTTGCGGGGCGTAAGCTGGAGCAACAGCCTGAGCGGGCTGGTACCCGGTCCGGTTATAAGCACCGCCACTAGCAATAGAGGCATATGGGTTGGCAGGCTGGGATGGCGCAGTAGTCTGAGGAGCGTAGGGATTCACAGGTGGCTGCTGAACGGCGGGAGTTGCTGATTGAGGAGCAAACCCCTGGACCGGAGGCTGAGTTGGAGCGTACGGGTTCTGTGAAACAGCTGCTGCTCCCGCTGGGGTAAATGTTTGTTGCGGCGCGTAGGCACTAGGCTGTTGGGGGAGGGGCTTGAAGCTAGATGATCTTGCTGTTGTAGCAGGCTGGGCTTTCTGCGGTGCTTGTCTCATAGCAAGTCTGATACGGTTGCGAGCGACCTCGGCTTCGGGGTGCTTCTCAGGTACGAGGTCGAGGTACTTTTGAGCGACCTGAAGACGGCCGTGGGTAGCCACAACATCGGCATACTCAATATACTTCTCGTACAATGTTCCCAGGCGCCAATCGGACTCCTTGGTCCGCTCCACATCCTGGAAGTTGGTGACTTGGCGGAAAATGGTGACCTTCTCGATCAGACCTTGCAGAGCACGAACGTGGATAGAGAAAGATGAGTTGTCGTCATTGTTCTCAATGCCCTTTTGTTCATTCTCACGCAACTCTTCGACCCAGATGGCGACAACCTTCTCAAGCTTAGAGCCAGCAAGATAGCAGAATGAAGCATCTTTACGAACAACCTTATCATCAGTACCCCGGACGAGTTCTTCAAGACGGTCTCCGAGAGCGTCACAAAGATCAGGGAACTCTTTCTGGTCAGCGAATGTGCACAGAGCCGCCATAACCTCCTTCCAGTTGGAAAGTTCAGCATTATGCACAACGTCCCAAAGATTCTTCCCTACGATCGAGGCAAGCAGACGCATGTAGTTAGGTCCACCAGTCTGCTTGGAGAAGTAGTACTCCTGGGCCTTCTCGATGCACTTCTGACCGCCACAGATAGCAATCATGAAGGCATCGGACATGCGGTCCTCCTGAAGAGCCACATCCAGAGCCTTGTCGAATTCACCGAGAAGCAACGAGCGAGTGATCTTCTGCTCAGCCTCGCTCTCAGAGCCATTAAAGATCTGGAACGGGTTGTTGGTGCGGGCACCCTTTGAAGCAGCAAGATCCGAAAGGAAGTTATCACTATCAGGAGTGGCATCGAACATAGATTGAAGACGCTTGTGCTTCTTCGCTCCATTCTTTGGCTTTTGAGGAGCTCCGTTGGTTTCCTCGTCATCCTTCTTATCCAGACCTAGCTTGGACAAGCTGTCGGCAGCTTCGTCAGCAGACTGGTCCTGGAAGCCCAGATACTCGACTAGGCCCTTTCTAGGGTTTTCGGAGAGGAGGGCCTCAATGACCTTCCAGTCGGCCTTCTCTTCCTCATTCGCGGCACTGGTGGCACGAGTCTCGCAGAGAGTTCGGAGGTCACCTTCCTTCAAAGCTGCCTCGAAAGTTTCCGTCGCATTGCCAACGCTCTCATCAACCTCGAAGGGAGTGATCTTGATCTTTGATGCGCGAGAACCATTGTCAGCAAGGCCAATAGATACAACACGACCACCAAATCCGAACGAGGCACCACATGGACGCTCTAACCAACGAGGAGGCTTAGGAAGAGAGAACTTGGAGACTTGGGGTTGTGTCTGTGCCTTGGCGAAGAAATCCTCGCCGTCCAAAGCTTGATTCTGATCGTCGATGGCCTGTGCACTATCCGTCTTGGTGTTCTGGAGGGTCTGGACCGAGATCTTGCCATCGAACGAGGCAGTGGCGAAGAAGTTGGGATTGTGCGGGTTCCAACGAGTCTGGAAGGTCCAGTTGGTAACAACAGGGAATTCGCCGTATGCCTGGCCGGTCTGTGGGTTCCAGCAGATGTTGCGGTTATCTTTGCCAGAAGACAGGAGGAGATCGGGGTCATGGTCACACCAAGAGAGCGATAGCACACCGGATTCGTGGCCCTTCAGGGTACGTTCTGGGGCGTGGGAGTTACGCAGATCCCAAACGTAGATCATAGGGTCTGAGTCAAGAGGTGTCGATGTGATCAGCTTGGTAGGCTTCTCGGGGTCCCATGCGACTGCACTAACGGCCTTCCGTCCCATGTTGTTAAGGGTCAAGCTTTCCTTCTTAGTTTTGACATCCCAGACGGTCACAAATCCAGCACTGCTACCAGTAACCAGAATGTGAGCGACCTTCTTGTTCCAGTCCAAGCACTCGATATCATCTGTGCGGGCCGCATTGTTGCCCAGACGAAATGGGTTCTCGAGATTGTTCAGATCGGAGAGGAACAGCTCGCCTTTCGCGCCACCGGTAGCAAGAAGGTTGGAGTGCTTGGGGTTAAATTGGAGAGCCTTGATGGCGCCGGAGTGTTTCGAAGTCCTTGACATCAAGGAATCACTGAGTAGGGTCAGTAATAATCCTTTTATAAATCCGTATACAATGCTCGACTCACCTTGATCCTGAAAGCAGCTTATCGGCGCTCCACAGATCCAATGAGCCATTCTCCAGACCACCCGCAATCACGCCACGCTTGGTATCGTCGAAATCGGTCCATGCTAGGTCGTTGAAACTGCAGATTCATATACGTGAGCGAATGATCAAAAACAAATAATAGATAGTTCAGAGCTTCATCATACCCAGCATCGGTTTCGATCTTAGCTAGCGGTTGTAGCTCCTCGCTAGCGTCCTGGCGGTCTAGACCAAGGTCCCAAAGCTCAAGGCAAGTCTTGTTCGAGAAGTCAACGTCGACGGCACCCGCCCTCGTTCCGGTGGCAATCAATGGAGATGCGGCACCAGGAGACCAGGCAAAGGTGGCCGTCCTTGGGATTTCCCGCAGACGGACCATGATGACAGTATGTGAAGAGTAGTGGTTAAGGGGTAGTAGTTGTGGGTATTTTGAAGCAAACAAGAACGGATTTCCAAACAGTCATCCAATGGAGATCAACAATTCAGCTCCCACCCCTGTACATAAATTGGGACAACGGGGGGTGCGATAATCAACAAGTCAATACCAAGTGGCCTCCTGGACTCTTTGGAGGGACCGGGGAATACGCGCTAAACCCAATCGGGTACTCGCCAAAACACCGTGGACACCCCGAGGCCTGTGGCACGTGATATCTGTACCTACTCTTTCGCATTGTAACGCCGGGTCTAAAGCTTAACCTCACTTCCTTGTCTACAGTAGACACAATATTTCTTCAATCAGTCTCATACATTGCATGTTCTTGTAGCTTGCATATTTATATACACCAGCTACTCAAAATCAGCGCGCTCAATCCGGCCAAAAACTAGACTTGAAATTCTCCACGAAGCATAATGAGTGAAAGCACCCGCCTCAAGAGCACCATCTACGTGGGAGGCCTTGACCAGGCCGTCTCCGCGCACACGTTGGCAGAGGCTTTTGTGCCTTTCGGCGAGGTTGTCGACATCTCACTCCCAAAGCCTGATCAACCCAACTCAGCCGATACTCACCGAGGCTTTGGGTATGTCGAATTCGATCTTCCGCAAGATGCCAAGGAAGCTATCGACAACATGGATGGTAGTGAAATCTACGGACGCACTATCAAGGTCGCTGCAGCGAAACCACAAAAGGATGCCAATGAGGGATTGGGTAGTAAAACAGCTATTTGGGAACAGGTATGTGGGATATCTAGTTTTTTGAACTGACTTCATGTCGCATTTGGCGCATTGACACTAATTCGATACTTTTTCTTTCTCTACAGGAGGGCTACTTGGCCAAACATGCTGTCAGCGAGGAAGATCGCCAAGCAGCGGAAGAGGCTCGGGAGGCAAGCAATCGACCCCAAGACCCAATGGAAGGTCTGGAACAACTAGATGTTGCGGGGCCTAAGGCCGAGTGATAGTGATGCATGCTATCATGGTAGCTATGACGATTATGAACCAAAAACTACAGTACTATTTGCCGAAACGCATCAAAGATCACTGCGAAAACCGGACTATGTACACACGCTCCGAATTCGAGCACGTCTTACTTTTCCCGCCACTACTTTCTGGCTTTCAGCTGTTTCAAAACAATACAGGCGACGAAGAAGTCAAAGGAAATTGGAATCGCATTCTTGGAGCTCGAAAAACATCATGGTACATTTAATGCTCGCGGCTCTCGGGGCTGTTGCGGTATAGACGCAGGGTCTTGTCGGAGGTGAGCTTCTTGATGCTGGAGTAGACGGCGGCACCGACAGCAACACTGTCAAAACTTGTTAGTTGTGGGAGATCTTGAACAGAGAGGCGAATGTGTAATATCGGGCGAAAGGGAGCAGTCATATGGGGAAGGGCCAAGGAAGTTGTGCATAGACTTCGCGGATCGACCGGGCGATTGGTATTAGAGATAAACATACCCAAGGACAACACCTAAATTCAAGATTATTGTTAGCAATTTGTTCCGTTTCTTGCAGATTCACATGCCATAAAACACGTACCGAGAGGAATCAACTCTGGGGGACACTTCTTGATCATGCGCAGACGCTGAGAGATAGTGTGGGCTAGTCAAATTCAATCAGTATCGGCGTATCATAAAAATAACCCTTCAACTTTGAGACCACATGGCTCAATGCCTCGTGCTGCCCGTCGCGGGTATAGTTGTACGACGTACCGGAGTGAGACTCCTTCTGCAGACAGGAGTTAGTATTAACCGACACCCGATCGTATGATCCCGGGGGATGAGAGAAAGAACTTACAGGGGCCGGGTGGAAGAAGGGCCGCGAGGGCTGCATGCGCATAGCCTGGGTGGGGAACATGGTGGGTGAGGGTGGAAGGAGAGAGCGTATAGAACGATGAGAAGTGGGAGAGGATGAGGTTGGAGTCGAGCTTTCCAAGAGCGTCGTTCTGAGTGGCTCGGGTGTTTTGGGAAAAGCGAGACTCTCAGTGGCTCTCGCTTGACCGCCCGCGGTCATACCCGGCACTTCACAGCTTCGATCACCCAACGTCTCTCGTCCCTTCGCCCTCTCCCACCCTCACTCTCCTCTCAGACCCCCGAATTAACTCTCAATTCTTTCGTGTTGTTCAATTGAACCGACACATCGACAAAATGGGTGCCATTCCTGAACACGACCCCGAAGAGCCCCAGGAGACTAAGCCCTTCAAGTTCGTGACTGGTAAGTTCAAACCCGAGCCCCCTCTCTCCCTTATCATAAGAGGAGTGTATCCTTTGTTTATATGGTCAATTGCTAATTCCCTTATAGCTGGTACGTTTAAATTTGATTTTCGTCGTTTCTGAGCGCTCTGCGGGATACGTGGATATGCGGTTTCCGATCGGACGGGATATCATGAGATTGACATTTTTCGATGCGACTATAGGTTACGATGCTCGTTTCCCCCAGATGAACCAGTACGCCTTTCCCTATTACCAATCGATACAAATTGAAATCCACTAATTCTCTCTCTCCAGGACCAAGCACTGCTGGCAAAACTATGTCGATTATTACAAGTGTGTCGAGGCCAAGGGCGATGACTTCCGCCCCTGCCGCCAGGTACTTTCACCTCGACTACCCGTTACTCTAATTCCTCAGTATCTGACTTCTCGAACAGTTCTACCACGCCTTCCGTGCTCTTTGCCCCAAGGCCTGGACCGACCGCTGGGATGGTCAGCGTGGTACGTATTCAGACTGCCCCTGGAAATTTTTGTTCTGCGCATATACTAATGCATATCGTCATTTACAGAGGCTGGTAACTTCCCCGCTCACCTTGACCGGTAAATAGCCAAAGAACGTTTTGTGTTGGTTAGTTGAGCTCTCTCAAATTTTTGTGTATCGACAATTATGTCAATGTACTTTACCTGGTCATGCGGGGATACATTTCCTTTCTTCCTGATGTAATCCGTCTGGTTCGTTCTAAAGGAATATTTTGTAAATTCACCGTTTCGCAAAGAGAAATGTGTTTCGTTATATGCCGTATCATAACGTAGTTTTGGGACACTTGAACTTGAATCTTCACCAGTAACATGTAAAAGATCAATTTTATTCAATATTGACAGCTTCTTGCCAGCATGTCTTTCGATTAAGCTGACTAGTCTCTCGATTCTACAGGGATATATAGGTAGGCATTGGTTCCTCGCGGAAATAATCCAAATATGATTCTGGTATATCTCTATGTCTATATCGCTGGGATGGGCAGGCCGAAGCCCACCATAAAAGAAACATTCCAACCGGAATGCAATGTATGTACAAGCCCAATCTGCTCCAGGGCTCAACAGCAGCTTCCTGCTTGCCCAAAACAATCATGAAGAAAATGACAATATAAAGTCATACAGGGGCAAGATAAAGCAAAATCGAACGATAAAGTGTCTCGAGAAAAGAAACAACCAAAAAATGAGTAAAGACTTGAAGGGGAAATAAAATATCACAAACCTGCCGCGTATATTTCGTTTTATATTCTAGTTTAGATCCCCTTCAACCTTCGATATAACTTTTTATGTTCTTCAAGGAAGATAAAAGTAGCAATGGTATGAGGACCCAAACGAATAAAGCTTGGTACCCAACCACGGAAAGTCCATGAAAGGCCTTCTTTGCGACAAATATCACGAAGCAAGGTAACCATGCTTTGTCCCTGGCCATCGGCATGTGAAGCACTCATAATACGAGTCTTGATCACGTCCACAGGACTGCAGACAGTAGTAGCAACGAAACCAGCCATAAATGAAGCTGTGAAATGTGTGCCGAGGTTATCCTTCATGCCGACCTTGTCGATACACATTTTCTTGAAGGTATCGTATGAAGCTAGCTGGGAGGCTGTCATAAGCACAGCACGGGTTGAATTAGGCCAGACACCGCGAAAGAGGGATTTGAAGCCTTCGGCACGGGTCATTTGTACAAGGCCGTGGAGGGCGTTACGGTAGTTTCGGCGTTGGTGGGGTGGCAAGGCCGCGTCGGATTGCATACGGACGTTCATGACATCGGCTGGGTTACCGGCGAATCCACCGATGAAGCCTGAGACACTGGCCATTCCGATTAGGGTGAGGAGGCCCGGTGCCGCGGCGGGGGAGTCTGAGTTCTTGGTGATGCGGGATTTGAGTTCTTCGTATATACCAAAGCGGGTGGTGGAGTATGTTATCTGGCGTAGAATTGCAGCGGAGAGCTATAGATCCAATTCAAGTTTGGTTAGCTTATCTTGTTCTTGATCTGGATCTGAGGTGGATCACCAGGGTCCCGTTAAGGTGGACCCAGGACTTGGAATTAAGACTTGGTCGCACATACACCACTGTATAGACCGGTGACTCCATTATGTCTCACGATATGTCCAAACGTGCCCAGCATCGTCTTCGGCGCATCGGGCGCACGTGTTTGTAATCGAACCTAGATTGCGACGAGAAACCATGATCAGCGATGAAGGTTTGGCGGCGGGTAGAGTCGAGTTGAGTCGAGTCTCGGCCTGGACTCCGAGAGGCCTTGGGAAAAAATACCTTGACTGGAGTGGCGCAAGTCAGTTTTGAACTCAAGTAGCAACAATCACATAGCAAAAACACATACCTAGATCTAAAGGGTGTGTCACAGCCGCCGCAAAACATGATGCAGACCCTCCAAACCAGAAAGGGTAATGCAGTATTTTGGGCGGAGGAGGCGGCGCCGCCGCGAAAGTCGATCCCGACACAGGCACCACCCGCGAATGAGCGACTGGAGCGTCCATGAATTTGCTCGTGTCTGCCATATCCTGTTTCTAAGAAACAAGATGGAGAGCTCGAAGCGAGAAGAGGGGAGCTTGGGAGGGGTGTAATTAAAAGGAAAGGTTGTTGTGGAAGGTCCCAAGAAATTCGGCTTTTTCGTCTTGACCGTGAACCCTTTTGACGTAATTTTTGATTTCCTAAAATTGTCAAATACCGAACGGACACAAATCAGGGCCCCGAACGCCTTTCTCGGTAGCCCCAGCCGACGGCACCTTGGAGCCAATCACAGTGATGGAATGGTCGGATTCTGGCGATTCCACCCAATCATAGGCTCGGTTTCGTCCTCTTAATCCCCTGGGCTTCTTCCATTCTGTAAGGGACATACATACCCGGCGCCGCTGGTCCGCGAGTATCGTGACCTGCTAATCTACTAATCAGCACAGCTCGGAGGTAAATGTAGATGCCGAGTGAGCTATGCATTTCCTGTTGAAGTCAGCCGATTTAGTCTAATCGGCATATCTACGTCAATAAGATCTAAGTAAGATCCAACTCATCTATTCGCCTGTATGCGGGTATCTTCGGTGGATTTGCGGCCATACGGCGGGAGCACCAGATTACCGAGGGAGGGGCTATTAAGCTTCACCGTGACCCCTCAATACGATGATCGGAGGGGGAGGACTCTGCTAGAACAGATAAGCATTGTAGAAGATCTTCATATTGGAATCTTGGAAAATGCTAATTCTGGGTGCTAGTCTATGCAAATTATTCTAAATTGTTATATATAGCTGCGAGTATAAGGACAATCTTCGCACTGTACATGTATGCCACTTTCACCCGCATTTTCAAAGCAGGAACCACCACTGCAGTGTGCATCACACTCATCAAAACCCGAGTAGCTTCCTTCTTTGCAAACTGGCGTTGTAAGCTCGATCACAAAGCCGCTACATACAATGGTTGAGTTTGACGAGCTTTGGTCGCATGAGCTATTATCCCTGGAGCAAAATACCATACACTGCTCCATATCTTCGTATAAACCGTCAACGCAAGACGCGAAGGGCCCAATTGCTGTCAGAAATCCCACACCTGACATCATCGTAATATCGGTCATGTCCGGTTTGAATGCTTTGGGGGTGTTGGCAACAGGTGCCTGCCACCATCTTGGAGGATCATCGAGATAAGTTTCCAATATCTCTGTTCCGGCAATCGATACAGATGAGTTTGAACTAGTACCGTACCCCTCTGGAGTGGGAGGACTGCTGAGGTGAAATACTTGCTGGAGATATATGGCCATAGCGGCTTGCGTGTAGTATTCTGCGTTGTTACTGGCTTTGGTTTGATCCTTAACAGCCAAATCGACAACGTCCTCAGCTTGGTAAGTGTGGTCTCTGCATCGTGGGTCTGATACAGTGTTCTTCCAGTGGTACGTCTCATGGTACATGGTTTGCGCTCTCACAGGCCTCCAATAGTCCATTGTACGCTGCATTTCCGGGTCCCCATCAGCCACTTCAACCTTTTCAGTGAGCGAGGTCATGCGATCGCTAAAAAAAGCTGGACAGAATACAACATAATGAGCAGACTAGAAGGTTCCAAGGTCGTCCCATGTGTATGCAGCTGTGTTCTTCCCGCATTCTGGCTCAAAATCGTCTTTGTCGGCGCCGGGGGTTTTGCTTTCATCGCAATAGAAATAACCGTAAGTAAAGGTCCGGGGCTGTGTCCACCAGCCCTGATGTACCAGAAACTCCCTTTCAATGTTCTCTGTAGATAACGGGTTAGTTCAGATACCAGACTATTCTGAGTTGAGAAAATTCGTCTTACCCATCAGGTGTCCTTTTCCAGTGAGCCAACTATAATCATCCTTGGATTTTGATCCTAGATAAAGGGTCATGGCATCTTGCCCTTTACCACCCGGCCACCACTCGTAATGCCCCTTTGCAAGTTGGTCAGCTTCCTCCCATGCTTGTGTAACCATATTTTTCTGCTCATCTGTCCAAGCGTAGAAATAGGGATTGATTGCTCCGTCAATACCAGCAGTTGGAGGTGCAGATATGGAAACCGCAGGTGGATTTGAGGTTGGGAGCGAGGTAGTTGGGGTACTATCCACCCAACAGGGATCTGAATCCTGCATCGGCTGAGATACTGTATCGGTTTAGTCTTCTCATCCTTCAAATGGGGTCCGCAGCTCGTCTGAAGTTCACAATACAAGTGTCAGCGTCTGAGTAGGCTGTAGCTAGAGACAGACGGAGAGAGACGGTGATACGACTAGTTGGGACTAGAAGGAGATAAAAGACCGAAGAACTGGGGAAAAGCCACTGAATTGGTGATTCGTCTGTGTTCTGAGGTGAACGATCAAGTGAAAGAGCTATCTAAAGATCAGATGCCTTAGGCATTAGGATCACGTGACTACTGATTCCTGACAACATGGATACCAGGGCAGTTGGGCATGAGTGACTAGAATTTGCATTTGCTTTGTTGGGGGCTATTGTGTATCTAATAATGTAAATGATGTGATACATGTAGGTTTCATGACACAGAAATGACAGAGTCTATGAGAAACAACGGGTGGAGAGTACTGGGGTTGGCGTATCTAAAATTCTCTCACTGTTACGTTTTGTTGTAATACATCTATAGGGTACGCATTGGATGTGCAACTACCTACTACGCGTAGACTATCTCCAGGGTCCTAGATCAAATTTCTAGATAATAAATCTACGGGAAAGAACGTAGAAGCTTAGGGATATGAGGCGTCTCTAGCACAACGGGACAAGTTGCACATGTGTCTCACGTCGCTTGCCAGAGACGATGGCTTTTTATTCTTTTTGCTTTCTCCATTGAACCTGAAGGAAATTTGTAAGATTTGAGAATTGAAGCCAAGGTATTGAAAGCCCTGTTGATTGCAAGTACAGCAATGTTATGCAAATAATATGTCCTTAACTAATAATTGTAGTATTTAACCACTCCTTCTGGCTAACAACGTAACTGGAAGCCAGTAAAGCTGACTGCCACTGGGCTTGCAGCTGTCTTTGTGCAAGGTCTCTAGGGCCTCCATCCATTCCTCCGAGTTTGGTACAGACGGATCAACCAACTTTAATTTGCCTAGGATTGCACCGCTATTCTCCAGAGCTACTAAAAATGTATCCATAACCAGCGGAATATGCGTTGACAACCACGGCTGCTTCTGGAAGTCGACTACCTCCAGCTGAGCATCCGCGCACTTCACGCGCTGATCAAGCTCCTCAAGCCACCTAGATTCGGCCCAGGAAGAGCAAGAAGTCAGTTATGTCACGTTGTGGATGGCGGTATATCTTCATGGAAGAGGAGTGGGGGAAATGCGTCGTAATGGTTTAGCATACAGAAAATTGAGCCTTGCGGCATTGCTCATCTGTCTCATCATTTGCCGGAACTGAACCGCGGGTTCACCTTTGACCACACTGTTCTCGAACCGAGCATCTTCCCACTGGATATAGCCCCCAGGCCCTTGGAAGTAGGAAATGAAATCAGCAACACGAGGGCTTGAGGTTCTTTTTTTCTTTTCATTTCTCGTATGGAGTAGACTTACTGAGCAATTTGGCGGCATGCTGGATCAGTGGATTAGGGTCATCATTACGGACAACAAACGCCCACATGCGTAGATGAACCACATCAAACTTTCCTAATAGCTCCGAAGAAACATCACGCAGTAAATCGAGCAAATCGAACTTTGCGTTGGAAGGCCAGTATTCTGGACTCGGGAAGTGAGTGTCGGCGACGTCGAATGCCGTTACCTGCGACGAAGGCAGCTGATTGGCTACCTCGATGGCCCAGATTCTGTGATTAGAATAGTATATATTAGCCTTGGCACTGATCTTCCAATCGTTTTGAGTTGACCATGATTACCCTGTGCCTGCCCCAATGTCCGCAATCTCCATGCCATCCTTGATGGGTATATTAGGATCCAGAAGATGATTCAAATGCCGTTGCCACGCTAGATGCTGGGATCCAAGTCTAAATATGCGACGGATACCAGTGAGTATTTCTTGATAATGTGAAGGGGCTCAGCGTCAATTTACGTACCTGATGGCTTCGACTCGATCGCGCCTTAGTAGATAAGTGGTAGGAGGGGCAGCCATAGCGGTACAGGCAAGCTCAAAGGAAGCAATTGAAATAGATATTGGCAAGAATACGTCTATATAAGAAGGTATAAGCAGCCAGTATAACTACTCTTGACACAAAGAAATCTAGGGGAGTTACATTCAAAAGACGCTTCAACCTTGGGGGCCGTTTTACCGTCATCCCCTCAAGCCCTACAGCCTCATGATCTAACTGCATCTTCTGCATTTTCAATATTACGCACCCCTCAACGAGTGGGAATTAAACCTCGTGACTGCTGGGAGACGAACTTGCCAGTTCATGAAAATCCCCTTCAGCCTGGATCTCTGCCACGTGCACTTGATCATCGTATTCATCTTCCTGAGAATGCTTCCGTCGGCGGATAGCCGAGGGGTGCATATGGGCCCACTCGCGTGAGTTTGCGCCATCCGAAAACACGACCGAAAACGCCATTTTGTTTTAGAGTACGTATAAATCGGGCGAAGGCACGGCAAGCAAGCTAGACCAGGACACTAGTGTGAGTTTCGGGCCTTGAAAAGAGGGGCCACGTCCCGCACCGACGTCAGTAGGGGGGGGGGGGGGGGTTTACCAGCGATAGTGCCAACATTCAACTCCACACACGTCCAGATCAAATAGGACACAAAGTTCCAGGTAATATCTTCGGAGCTCAGTTCAATGTGGAGCAGGCAGACCAGTCGAATAATGGAGATAATCGTAACGCTAGTAGTCGTCGTCAGCGCACTAAATCGTCACCTGGAGCCAAATACGCACAGGCCACCTATTAGGAAGGTGAAAATGAGAATGATCTTCTGTGTGAGAGTGACGTGTAGATGCCAGATCGGATAAAGCGGAATCACCAAGATGAACAGATCGGTTACTGTATCAGGGATGGATTTTCCTAGGAAATAATCTCTCTCATTCACGCCGCATTTCGCTGGAACTGATTTATCCCAGTAGCCTCGCAGGGGAATGCATTGAAGGCAAACAATCAAAACCTATGAATCTGGTAAGTGGGTTGAAGATCACAAGCTAGAAAGTGGGGAAATGATTTAAATCACATACACAAGCAACAGCCCAAGCAACAGCCCAAGCAAAAACCGCAACCGCTGTTGCTATCGTTGCTTTCTTGACATAATATATTCTATCGAGCTCTTTGAATGTTGTATAATTCAAAATATAATTCAAATCACATAGTAAATTCTTCAACCTGAAGTCCATCGGCTTTCCTTTCGCCCAAGAAATTGTGTTTGAATCTTAGCTGCCTTCGATGGGTTTGACAATTTGTTGGATAATGCCGGCAAGTTCCTCTGGGCTGGTAATGTTTGGGCAGTGACCTGTCTCTATGGTAAAGGTCTGTACATTGCACCCGGCCGCCTCAATAGCCTCCACCATAGCGTGCTGGTAGTGAATCGGTGTCGTCATGTCGGTCTGAGTATGAATATAAGCCATTGGAATCTCGCGCCAAGCGCAATTCTTTACAGCCTGGTAAAGGCCCTTTCCATTCCAACGTCCTAGAGCAGCCACGTAGTTCTCTAGTTCCTCGTCCGAAAGCCCAGGTCCTACTAGTCTCCCCTTTGGATCGGAGTTAAAGCAGGTACCATCTTCAGCGAAGTCAAACAAATGAGGCATAATATATAGGCGCCCAAATTTCTCAATCAAGTATGCCATTGCTTGGCCTTTATCATTCGCCTGTCCACAGATATAGACAAGGCGTTCCACACCACCAGGTAAGCCCTGCTCTTTACGAGTCTCCATGCCTAATCCCGCAAGAGCATCGGTACCAACTTGGCCACCGTATGAGTGCATAAGGGCAATGACAGAGCGACCAGAATCAGACAGGTTGGCCACGAATTTGTGAATAGCCTCAGAATCCGTATACAAATCAGCAGTCGGAGGTCGTGCACCGTTCATACTTGGAAGTGGAGGCACATGAACCGTATGGCCTTAAGATTCAAGACAAACACGAAACCTGGCATAGCATTCAGGATAGTGCCATCCACCACCAATAAGGACAATTTCAGGGTTGGAGGTGGCCATGGTAAGGTGTAGCACAATATAGCTGATACGCGAGTGTTTTAGGAAATATTAACCCAACAGATAGAGATGGAAGAGATGAAAGAGTTATATTCCAAAAAGGAGGGGTTCTGCCCCTTTAATAATTTTCATTTTATTATGAGTAGGGATTGTCTTTGCGATTCAGAGCTAAAATGTGGGGGCCCTTCTGGAGCGCTGAAACATTGAACCTGTACTTCAAGTTTTTGACGTACTATTATGATCATTTATGACCGGAATATATCGGGTAATCTTGCATTATGCATCCTGTGTCTCGATGGAGAAATGGCCAAAGGAAAAAGCAAATTCCATTGCTTCATTGTACAGTAGGAACGCTTGTCGGCGCATTAGTTGCAGCATTAAATGTCAATGAACGCGAAACCTACGCATATGGGGCACGTATATGGGGGCGACAACGACGTTTAAAGCCTACATGAATCCTGCAAGCCCCAGCTTGTAAGAGCCGCATCTTCATGATCCTGTTTTAATATGCCTTGACTAGATTCAACGTCATGCCTCTCGATGTTTTCTTTTCCCTTATCGTAGAGAAGGTCTCGGGTAACCCGTTGAGGTAAGGTCTCATGCAAGAGCAGCTGGTATCTTCAGATATATCTCGACGAGATGTAATATTTCTTTCTTTTCGAATAAGCTTCCCAGTATAATCTAAAAGATTCAGGGAAAAAAGGGAAAAGATGTTTCTCTACGTACTTTTCGATATATCCTTCCAACTATCTTTCTACTTGTCTTGCTAATCGTCTTTCTAATCATCTTTCCGATTGTCCTTTCAGTAGTCTTTTCATTTAAATCTCTATGTGTCTTTCAACTTGGTTTTCTATCGATGTAGAGCTTACAGTATAGGTAGCGGTGTAATAGGCGGTAAAGGTTATCTATGGCCCTGGGGGTTTTTTCCTGGAGATCGCTTCAGGGGTTAAACGGGAGACGAGAGGAGAGAGGCGAGAACTTCAATGGAGGCCAAAACAAATCGAGCTGTTATGATGCAGAAATTGTACTAAATAATCCATTACAAGTAGTAGGGTGGGTTATTCAAATTTAAGCTTCCAAGGTTGAGATCGAAAATGATGGAACGGAAATTGGGTAGGAAAGGGTTTAGGAACAGATCAATTGTTCGCCCCTACGAATTGTAACAAACTGGAGGCCTAACACCCCGCTGGAATTATTATATCTTCAGAATAGTATGGATGAAGGATTGGTCAATGCATGACCACAAGTTAAACGATTACAATATTACATCTAATTTAGCCAAGGGCCCTAAGCCGGTTTGGGGCGAAGAATTTTGCGTAAAGAAAAGCGTCACGGTCATCCCTATAGTTTGAATATACACGGAAATAGATGATTCTTGTTTGAATTCAGTTTCCGATGTTCCATTGGGGGCCGAGCAAGGGTCTTTTGACACCGCAGTACCCACGAGTCGGTTCAAGTTATTACATTCGATAACAATGGCGGCTATGACTATGAAGGTGTCACTACACTGTATCGTCGAATGCATCGATACTACAATATATGCGAGGAATTCGTCATCGTACTGTGATCCACAAAATGGCCCCCTATCGATCTCCATTCTCAAAGAGTCTAACCTTATCGCTTTGGTTCAAGATCTTCAGCCTCCTTTTCGGATGCGGCATGGCGCCTTTCCCGCTGTGGGGCGGGATGACTCCGGTCCGTGCACAATCAATACATTATTATGTAGCGCTATGTACGCCATGGGCTGGAGTTAATGGTCCAATAAATGCGGCATATGACTGAAGGTTTTTTAGGGCTGCGGTCTGTGCGGACAGTATGCGGCAATCGACTTTCTGATGACCTTGCATTTCCAAGTATAGTATTCGTACGCATGTACCTGATCTGGATGGTGAAAATGATCGGTCCACGGGTTGCATCTACATATCCAAATTCCATCGGGCCAACGTTATCAAATACTGCTAGCCTACGTATAAAGTAGTTTGAACAATGGCACTCGAGGGGCGCGCGCACAAAGGAAAAACAGTCATTAATGTCAATGACTTTGATGTTGACCTCTTTGTTGTGCATTCGGTCGAATGGCACAAGAATTTGCCGATTATAATAGAAAAGTACCACCAAAATCTCAGCAATGGGAAGATCTTCCCTTTGGGGACGCATATGCAGGAACTGCAGATCTCAGTCATGCCGTGGGCCAGGCATTGGCAGGAGAACTTGGTGACGACCTGAAAAATGCGTGGGGTTTTATTGATAATACTGAGATCGTGCTTCGAGAGATAGACTCTTATTAAGCGAGCGCAGTGTACATATATTACATTGTTCAATATCGGGAACCGAAGCGCTCGATTCAAAGCAGTGCGCATATTAGCCGGTCAGAAACTCTGAGTATAGATTTTTCTAGTGAGAGAACCGTGACACAGCCTAGCGCTAATGCACGGGGTTTCACGTTGGGTCTGTGCTATGATCCAATGGTAATTGACAGTTTTGACCTTTTCATGCTCTGAAAGTAGCTATTGTTGGTGAAATGGTCATCCTTTTTCTGAGAACCCAGTTATACCGGCGGCTACGCCACCTGCAGCTTCGCCGTCATGCTGAGATTCGGAAGGTTATAGGACAAGTGGGTCGAGCATTAAGGAAGCGAGGGCTTTGCCTCGCTTATACTTTATTGAAACCTTGATGAGGGTATGAGCGCCAAATGAATACTTAAAGACTATATATCGCTTCTTTATCCTGAGAATATCTATTCTACCCTCGCTCCATCAACTGTTGCATTCCTAACCAAAAACTTCTTTCCAAGCTGATTTCTATTATGGCAGTTGTTGTAACTACTCCTATCGTTATCCCTGGCCTTATGTTCTTACTGCTATCGAGGTCATTGTACAGCTATCGCGAGCGTATGTTAATCTTGGTGACTTGCGATTAAATTGGCCTTGTGTTGACCTTGCCGAAACAGTAATAATCTTCTCCCGGACGATGGAGACCAGCTACAAGTGTGGAGGATTTACCTTCAGAAGCTTACCTGTCTTTTCAGAAGTCTTAACGTACAGAGTGTATTTGGACTCCACCTCCTCCACGGGCATTTTCAAATTAAGGAAGACAAAATTATGCTTGGAACGCTCCTTAGATTAGTTCGGGGATGCTGGACCTAGCCTACTAGTATTAAAGATATCAATCTGGCAGAGATCCATGGCCATATCTTCAAGCTGACAGCTAGCGGCGAGATTTAAGTCTATGAATTTCGCTAAGGGCTAACAACCAGTATGAATGGCGTCGATCCTGCGTTCTTCTCGGAACTGGTTAAATACCTTTAAGCTTATTACTTAGTCGATCTCCTCGGGCGTCAAGTCATTAATTACTAATGATGTGCCGGCGACTATGAGCGAGTTTGTTATCGCGGACAAGGGCACCGTCATGCTAGATGAACGAGATGTGAAAAATTCGTGGGCTGCCTTTCTGTATCACTAGGTTCTTCCTTCGCGAGCCAGACATGACTGAATTCAGTGACGGAGAGTCCCATGCACCAACTAAGAGGTACGCACCAGGTCTTTACCTTGTCCGTTCGAATATCAACATGCATGTATGCCGTAACAATATTCCAAAGGAATAATCATCGAACGAATATGCAGAGCTTTATATCTGATTGGTCTAAACCTGCGCGTCCCCGTTATTATAGTAGCTTTGTTTTATAACTATAGTTAAGAAGTTTATAAGGCTTATATAACGGGCCCAGGCCCGAGGATATATATGGTGTTATATTGTAATGGTTACTAAGTTGTTAGGCTAGAAACCTGTGACTAGGCAAGGATAAGATGGGGGAATCGGGAATAGTTGCTACCTGCAACCTTTCCTTCCTCATAGCAATATTATTGTATTCACGCACACTGCTTCCTGGCAGTTACGCTATCTAACAAATATAAGGAGTATATTATTTGAAACTACTCGCAACACGTAGCTATATAATATGCAAGAAAAAATGGGGATAACATCAATCTCCGCGACCGTATAGACCATTCCTGATTGGATGGCGGCTTTTCCCACTACAGTATGTAGGACTACATAGTGCTGTACAAGGTCCCAACTTGAAGTCATTATTACTTACTAGTAGGTACAGGGCATGATTCTGATCTGATACACTCGAATAAGAAAACACCAAAAAAGAAGAAGATATTATTGAAGCATGAAGGCCAGCAAGGAAAGAGATTATCGGAATACTTCGGCGACTTATTTTGCCGATCCGGAGATGTTTTTAGAAAGTCCGGAGCTACAAGGAAGGAAAGCACGACCGACAGCGGAAAGCCTTCCCTATTAGCAATGAGATTACTTGCCACAGGACGAGCCCTGCGTGCCAGCAGTGGCAGATGGTCCATTGCTGTATCCCGTCCCAGACTCCCAATCCCTCGAGTCTATTCCCTCCAGACCATCCCAACCGTCTCAAGAAATTGGAGCTCAACACCAGCTCTCCGCGCATCAGACAACGCCAACACCCAATCATCGACCCAAGCCAAACAGTCACCGCAAACTAAATCGAATCTCAAGATCGAAGACGAAACCTATCCTCCAAACCAATGGACCAATACGACCGATCAGATTCTCTCCCATGTCGGCCGACGCCTTTACCTCGACGAAAACCACCCTCTAGCAATCACTCGCAAGCTCATTGAAAGCCAGTTCCCCGCCCCGGTATTCGGAAACCATTTCGAGAAGAATCCCGTCGTCACTACTCATCAGAATTTCGATGTTCTTGGGTTCCCGCAAGATCACCCGGGTCGCAGTCGCACGGATACTTATTATGTCAATGACAAGACGGTGCTGCGTACCCATACAAGCGCGCATCAGCAGGCGTATTTCCAGCGGTTAAACCGGAATGAGACGACTTGTCCTGAGGAGGTTGGATACACTGTTATCGCTGATGTTTACCGTCGCGATGCTATTGATCGCAGTCACTACCCGGTTTTCCATCAGATGGAGGGCGCGATGCTCTGGAAAAGACCGGATACTAATCCCCTTGCAGCATCTGCTGAGACTGCTGCGAAGATCAGGGCGGATCTTGAACTGATCCCGGCTCACGATGTGGTTGTTGAGGATCCCAACCCTACTATCCACGCTCAGCGGAACCCGCTGCAGGCTGAGCATCATAGTGAAGAGGAGGTTGAGGCCATCGCGGCACACCTTAAACGGTCACTAGAACGAATGGTTATTAAGATATTCACGGAAGCGAACAAGGCTGCTGCTGTCTCTGGCGGCGAGGAGCCTGAGCCATTGAAGGTGCGCTGGGTTGAGGCATACTTCCCCTTCACTAGTCCCTCGTGGGAGCTCGAAGTCTTCTGGCAGGGTGACTGGCTTGAGATTCTTGGATGTGGAGTCATCAAGCAGGATCTTTTGATCAATTCCGACGTGCCGAATAGAGTTGGTTGGGCGTTTGGATTGGGCATTGAGCGTATTGCTATGCTTCTATTCAATATTCCTGATATCCGGCTGTTTTGGTCTCGTGATGAGCGATTCCGTTCGCAGTTCCGCGCTGGCACAATTACTCGCTTTGAGCCTTTCTCTAAGCATCCTTCTTGTTATAAGGATGTGGCTTTCTGGCTGCCTCCTGCTGCTGTGACGGGGGGTAGCAGTGCTGCTGGTGGAGGTGTTCCTTTCCATGAGAACGATGTCATGGAATTGGTTCGTGGAATTGGTGCTGATCTTGTTGAGGATGTTTCGTGCATTGATGAGTTCACGCATCCCAAGACTGCTCGTAAGAGTATGTGCTATCGTATTAACTACCGTAGCTTGGAGCGAACCTTGACGAATGAGGAGACCAATGAGATGCATGAGAAGGTTCGGACTAAGCTTGTTGAGGATTTGGGTGTCGAGTTGAGGTGATCGATGTCTATACCATTGTACCATACTAATTCTTGTTTATACTATCAAAAATATGTACTATATCAATCTCCCACGGGCTACTATCCTTTCCTCTTCAGATTCTGTAACATGGAACTTTGGCTTTTGAATCATATTACATATGCTAGATGTGATTTATTATTGGTATTCCAACATGTATGAAGCGAATTTTAGCGATTGAGGCGAAACCATGGCCTCTAGAGGTTGATGTATTATACAAAAAGGTGAGGAGAGAGTTATCAGGGACAAAGATTGCGCGAAAACAAGGGACAAACCACCCGAACACGAGACAATCCAGACGCCTTCAGTCGCATGCAACAAGTGCGTGTATCATACAGATCCAAGAGGAGCAGATATCAAGATAGTACAAGTTTTCCGAACTCAACAGCCAGCAGAATCCAAATGCCAATCCCTATCGTGGTCATAACGTATGATATATGGTACAGAGAGAAAAGAAAAGAACACAGAAGGGAGAAAAATTATAGTAGAGGGAGGATTTAGGCATTCTTAACAACACCGACCTTGGCAGCCTGCAAGAAAAAGAAAAAAATTAGCACATGTCATCTCATCTCAATTCAGTAATCGGTAAAACATACCCGGATAGTACGTCCGTTCAGACGGAAACCCTTGCTCTGGGTGTACATGACTTCACCATCCTTCAATTCAGTCGAAGGAGCCATGAAGACAGCCTCGTGAAGGTTGGGATCGAACTTCTGTGCCGCACCCTCAACCAGCTCGCTGGGATCGAAGCGCTCAAGACCGTGCTTCTGGAGGGTATTCATGAGAATGTGATCGGTCATCTTGAGACCTGCGACAAGGTCGTGGAGAGCCTTGTTCTCCTCGGTTTGCTCGGCATTGAGCTGTTCCACGGGCACGGCCAGCAGCGCGCGGTCGAAGTTGTCAATGCTCTCCAGGAGATCCTTGGCGAAGCGCTGAATAGCGAAGTTTCGGGCACTGTCTTGATCGCGCTTAGCGCGTTCTTGAATGTTACGGGCATCGGCGACGGAGCGGAGGTATTTATCCTGTGAAGAAGAAAAGAGCATTAGTATATGCAGCTATTTGGGGAACTAAGACTAAGCTGCAGATGCGATGCGATGTACGTACCTTCAACTCAATGATCTGCTTCTCCTGCTCCTCGAGCTTCTTCTGGACGGGGTCCTGGGCCTCAGTGTTTTCGGACGCCTCAGATTCCTTAGAAGTTTCTTTGTTCTCGGTGGAATAGAATCGGGAGGAAGGTCGGGGAGCAAATGGCCGCACGGCAGCGGGCAGACGTGTTTGCAACTGTGATGTGCGGCGGAGAGCAAATGCAGATGTGGAAGGGGAAGCTGCGAGAGCCGACCGGGCGGCTTTTCTGAGAGTTTGTTGGAACATTGTGAGGGGAGGGGAATGGGAATTAATTGAAGAAAAAAGAAGAAGGGAAAACTAAAGGTAGAATCAAGATGTTTAGTTGACTGCTTAAGTTGCTCCGATGCGATTATCGGGCAAATTTGATTGAGAATCACCTGACCGCGGGAAAATTAAATTGCTGGCCCGAAGTAAGTATGCTTGCCTTCCTACGTACTAGATTTCCACTCCCACTTCTTGACTTTCTTTTTCCGAAATAGTGCTCAGTCCTCGCTGCTTTTTGCTCGCTGAGTAAAACTGAGCATGCCCCTGAGCGCCCTGATCCGATCAGGGCAATGCTATACACACCGCAGTTTTGGCTACACACACCGCAAACTGTTTATGTAATAACTTTAATCACGTTTTAATCACGTGCAACCCCTCCATGAACCTATCATAGGTTGAAGGGCTTTCATGCCTTTATTAAACGTTATATTAAGACATCAGAATGTGATATTTTAACCCTTTGGTCCCGCATTTGCCATGGTATAGATGGTCAACTTCGGACCATGGCATTTCAGCCGGGCAAACAGAAGATGAATAGCCTTATATTCACCATCAACTATACAACTTTATTCGGCCGAATCACAGACAAAATATCACATTTTGCACTCAAACAATTCAAAAATCAGATGGATAGAGCAGCTCGATGCACCCCTGGGGCACCCCTCTCGCTATACACTTCCGCTTTTACTAATATAATAGGGCTTCTATGTGCACATCAGATCAAAGAGAAATAGCTTAATTGGCTTCATACAAATCAGCCAATACCCCTATCAGCTAATACCCCTATCAGCTAACTATCCATCCGTTTTGGATTATTAATTTAAGCTCAGCCAATGAGCTACCGTTATACATGCCGGGAATATTAGTACACGATTGCATCCCATCTGAGTCGGTTCACAATCGATCCCCACTCAAAGATCGACAGACTTCCTGAACCAGAGGATTTTACACTCCGGCAACAGCGAATTCTACAGGATCGATGATCGTTTCTGCACGCAGAAACATCAGCACTGCTTCTTCAATCTTATGAATCCATCTCTCGGAACTGACTTCCAAGCTCTCGGCCCTCGGCTTGGCGGTGGCTACCCGCTTTACAATGCGCTTACACACCTTGATCTTAGCACGAGCAAGAGCGAGGTATACTTCCCCGGAAAGACTCATTTGGTTCAGGAGCCCGTGTTTATTCCTAGGGCGGGCTCTGATATGGAGGGTGATGGCTACCTGCTGGCGTTGATCAACAACTACGATTCTATGAGCAGTGAGTTGCATCTTCTTGATCTTCATGATTTTGAAAAGGCTCGGGCAATCATAAAATTGCCAGTACGGCTCCGCCAAGGCCTCCATGGCAACTGGGTCGATAGCAGCGATATGCTCCAGACGCATTAACTCTACGGGAATGCTAGTTTAGAGATCTGAATAGCTCGAGGGGAAAAAAAGAAGAAGAAAAAAGACTCTGTAGGAACGATAGAGAAATCGGAGTTCAAGAGATTATAGGACAACGCAGGTCTAGGACTCCAGGGCCTCAAGCCATTTATAAAGATGACATGAGATTTTTTTGTCTTGCTGGAAATAACAGATATAACTTGGCGCGGGGCGGTATACAAAGGGCCGAAGAACGTAGGGATCGTTGCCGCTTTTAAGTGGGCCATTTGGTTAGATTATATGTAGCTGAATCTATTAACCAATTAATAGGCGTGCTCAGCTCTACTCAGTGAGCAAAAGCGGCGAGTCAATGAGCACTAATCAGGAAAGGGCAACCAAAAACCGCCAGGAGAAATCCAGTCCATAGTTCGGGATGTGGGGTTGAATTATGGATGATGAAGATGCCCGCATTTCTCGACAACAGACAGTCTAAAGCCTTAAGAGATAGCTTTGCCTCGTAACCCCAGGAAACTCAGAGCTCATCGAGTATTATTTGCAGACTTCTATTCATCCATGAGAAAAGACAGCCCATCAACAGCAAAAAAACGCCTCCATCAAATCAAATCAACAATCACCATGACCTCCCAAACCCTATCCGGAAAAGTAGCCATCGTCACAGGTTCATCCTCCGGCATCGGCGCAGCAATCGTACGAGAATTATCCTCCCGAGGCGCAAACACAGTAGTCAACTACCCATTCGACAAGCTCAAGCACGAAGCCGACGCAGTAGTATCATCATGCCTATCTCCATCTATAGCAGTGGAAGGCGATATGTCTCAGATCCCATCGCCTCAAAAGCTAGTAGATGCTGCACTGGCAAAATGGAATCGGGTCGATATTCTGGTCAATTGTGTTGCGTTGGCTGTGAACAAGCCGTTCGAGGAACAAACGCTTGAAGACTGGGATCTTCTTGTTAATATCAATGGGCGTGGAACCTTTTTGATGACGCAGGCTGTGCTGCCACATATTACGAAAGGCATTGGGAGAATTGTTAATATTGCGAGTATTTCTGCGAGAGGGCCACCACCTAATCAGACTATTTATGCTGGGACTAAGGGGATGGTGGATTCGTTTACGAAGTGTTGGTTCGTGATATATATATTGTATTGCTTTACTTGGTTCTGGTTCATGAGGCTGATTTGGTTTTTTTCTAGGGCAAAGGAACTTCCTCCGAAATATGGATGTACTGTTAATTCAGTCTCGCCTGGTCCAACTATGACGGAAGGCTTTGCGGCTGCTGGTGAGGAACAGATGAAGATCTTGCAGCCTATTATTGATCAGACGCCTGTTGGGCCACGTATGGGACAGCCTGACGAGATTGCTTATGCGGTTGGGTTTCTTTGTGAAGAAAGGGCGCGCTGGGTTAATGGTGTGCATCTTATTGCGTCGGGTGGCTTGTTCATAGATTGAGACCGAGTAGTTTTTTACTGTCTAAAGGATGAGTTTGTCTAAACTTGAAATAGTATCAGATTTCGAACACAACAGAAGGTCTATTGTAAATGTCCTTTGACATGGAGTATGTCTTTGTAGATCCCCGATCAAATCTACAGGATGTTTCATGTTTCATATCGCTAATTGTCCTTTTAATAGTAGGCAATAATAAATATGGAGATATCGCTGGCAGTGACCTGCAGAGAACCAACATGCTGAGCGCCCCGTATACTCGTAAAAGAAGGGAGGTTGGGGGTTAAAGCGATGCGAATCCAAAAGGGTTCGTTTCAAATATCCGTTAGCCTACGGACTACTAGTAAAAGGGGTTGAAAGGCAAGGCAGCTGTCAATGTAAATTATCTTCATAACCCCTCGTAAATGTGGCATTGTTAATATCTACACGCATAGATTATACGAGCCCGATTATGGATCTTTTATCTATGGATTGTGGCGAAACCTCGCATCGTTTCAGCATTGTTGATTGAAACGTGGCTGGTTGCGCATCGGGTATCTTCAGGAATCATAGGCCCCATGGTAACAAAGCGACAAAGCCTGGAGGTTCTTTGCTGGCCCCGCCCGTAGCAACTTTAGAATCATCGTATTCCGCATAATGATGATGACACCTTGCCACCAAGGAAAAGGAAAAAAAAGAAAAAAGGAAAAAAAGAAAAAAAAAGAAGGCCCGAACCCGGAATTGAACCGGGGACCTCTCGCAATTAGGACAACCCAAAGCGAGAATCATACGACTAGACCATCCGGGCTATTGATAATGATCGGCATTGTATTGCTATATATTAATTGTCTCCTATTTGGAGATGTGAATGTGGACTCAAGTTCTGAATAGACCTAGCTAGGCAGACGGTCGCCTTGTTCCTCCTAGCAACGGATGTACGCGGAATTGAGATTGTCAGTGAATTCGACCATTGCCATAATCCAACGTCATGCTTTAGACCATGATTAGGTTTTGTGTGTGTGTGAGAGAGAGAGCGTGTGTGTGTGTGAGTGGGGAGGCGATCCAATTTTCCGCATTGGGATATCAATAAACTGGCAGTGCATTAACTTATTGTACAGTTGAGATTACCCGGCAGTTTAGAGCTTCGTAGCACCGGTCGCAGCTAATTTCTCATCCTGGTTAAGTCTGATTGTTAATCGTTAGATTATGGGGTTCTACACTGCCCGGGGAAGAGGCTAAGAGCCAAGCCTCCGCAATGTGTACTCCGTAGGCAGAATAATATAATAATCTGGGCTGTATACCGGACAAGTCGGTGATGCCGGATGCCGAGGGCGACACTAGCACTAGGACGCTAAGACTAAGACTAATACTGAGGCGGAGCGGAAGGGGGATTCGCCCCAGACTGCATAAGTTTGGTTGCGCGGTAGATCGTGGTCCAGAGGGGCGGAGCTCTGGTGGAGGCGAAACAAATGGGCTTAGGACGTTTGCGTGGATTGGGCTGTGCAGAATACGCCAAAAAATTTGGATTAAAATTTAAAACATGCCAGGTGCGGAGTTAAAGAGGGATAAATAAGAATACTTTGGTCCCTGCATTGTCTTTGCTTTATTCCAAGCTTCTCTCATCTTAAGTATTAAGCATCTCATCTGGTGGCAATAAACAGCCCCCTTATCTGCTTATCAACACCACCACTTTTGCCTCTCAAGTACATTCCACCACTTGCACCTTCAACGCATCTACATCTACATACACAAAGATGCTTCACACAATGTCTCCTCCAAACTCTATCCCCGGCTCCCCAGTCCAAGCCGCGAAATCGAAATCGCGATCCAAACCTTCACTATCAATCGACCTTGCCAACATCCCACTCAACCTCCCATCGCCCCCCTCAAACACTCTCCTAATCACCGAACTAAACAACCTCATCCTCTTCCAACCCTCCTCCCTAGACAACATCCGCAACCAAATCACCGCAATCGCGCCTTTGAACTCTTTCTCCCCACTCCCTTCTCTCCGACGAATCGTCTGCTCTTTCCTCTCCGCAACAGACGCTCTCACAGTCCGAAAGACACTAGAAGGCACCTCCCTCCTCAACCATGTCATGCCAAGAATCTATTTCGGAGAAAATACTCCCCTGCAAGAAGAGGGACCGAAGCTCCTACAGGCTCCACAGGCAGATAAGATGTTCTTTATCTCTCCGCCTCCTAGCCCGCCGCATGGATGGATGATGCGCAATGAGGATCCCCCTAATAAGGAGGCGCATGCGAGTGATCTTGCGCATGCGCTTTCAATGCTGAGGACTGGCGCTGATCAACCGGAGCCTATGAGTGTTGATGCGGCGACGCCTACTTCTATCTCTGAGGGGAAGAGGACGCCTAGCTGGCCGCTTATGGGGACGCAGCGCAGTCGGAGCAGTACGGTCATTTATCACCCTGAAGACCATGGGCATAGTCCTAATCTGCCCGCTGTTATGGTTGAGGATGTTAGTATTATGGGTGATGATGATGAGGATGTGGATATGGATGCCGATGCCGATATGAGTCCTATTGAAATGGAATCGGTGAAGAAGATGCCGCCTAAGACCTCGAGGCCTCCTGTTGAGCTGATGTGATTGCCTTCTACGATTGTTTCTTTTTTTCTTCTTTGTCTTCACCTTATTCGGTGGTTCTTACAGTTTGGCGCTGGGGCATCATTCTATCATCTGCATCGCGTGGTTATGGGGTCATACTTGTTTCTTTTATTGCCTTGGTTCGGTTCATGTTCAAAAGTGGATAATACAATTCACTCTACTTGTACTAGATATTATATATGTCTCGCATAATCATTTGCGCCGGCTCAGCACGGTGTTATCGTCATTCATTTCTTTCAAGTCTGTAATCCTGTCAAACCTTTCTGAAAGTATCGATATAAAAATATTGAATAGCATAATAGTATCAACCAATATTGATATACATGAATGTGTGAATTCTTATTTAGACCCAAAAGTTCAATGACTCCAGTCAAGATCATATGATAACCCTGGAAATAAGCCAGACCGAGAAACGGTGTCAGTGTCAGTATCAGTATCAGCTTCCATTCCCACTCCTCCGAGTCTGGCATCCGATATACCAGACAAGGAACCCGAAGTATTTCCCATCTTAGCAGCCCTTGCTTCAACAGCACGCCGCATTAACCGACCCAAAGGTTTCGCCATCTCACTATCCATAGTAGTAGCCCCGCCTCGCCACCGATCATACATCTTCGTAACCATTTCCCACGCATGATTCGATTCTGAATCTAGCGGACGATGGCAAAGCTCAGAAATAACATATGCCATCGCGTGCCACTCCCGATAACTCTTCCATAACCAGCTCCAGCCTGTGATGAATGTATTTGTTTGGAGAAGGTGTACGAATTCTAGAATCTCAACGCCGGTACGAAACAGAAACTCATTGAGGGTATGTGGTGAGTCTGAGTCTGAGTCTGTTGCCAGTGGTTCGAGCCTTTCAGTTTCGCCGGACGGGTTTGGCGTCAGATGAATGAATAGCCATGCTCTTGATAGATGGAGTCGGGAGATGGTGGCTGTCATCCATTGAATTGGAATATTCAAATCGAATTGGTTGAGATATTGTTCTTCCATATCTCTTCCTAGCGTTTTGACAATCTCTTTCCTTTGTTCAAGTTCCAGTGGTATTGTGTCATTACCATCTTGGAAATCCCGTAACCAGTGTAATCCTCTTATAAAATGAGCTGTAATAATACAAAGTGTGATGTTTGTAAAGTTGTCCCTCTCAGCCGTAATTTCCTTCATATCTGGGCCCAGATCATCATCGTCAATATTACTCGGAACTGCAGTATCGAATGTATTCGGATGAATTTGTCGTGGTACATCCTGATCTTCCGAAACAAGCATATCCAAAATACATATATGCCACCAGAGCCTTCTTCTCATTTCGCATTCAAATGGAGAAAATCCTAGCTTTTTCCCGTCGCGATGAAGATTTTGGCTCTGAGCTACTCGAATTAGAATTGAAGATTCGGCCCAGATTCGTCGTGAATCACCGTCTAGACGAGAACTGAGAAGATATAGTACCCCGGCTTGGAGGGTGCTTGTGTTTTGGGATGTGATGAGTTTGGCTTGGTTTAGGGCTGAGGTTACTGCTGTTTCGAAGTTTTGGCGAGCTGTTTTGTATTCGTGACCGAGGCTTAAATGGCATTGAGAAGGTGTCATGCTGATTATTGATGCGAAGCAGGCGGAGAGGAAGAGGGCTTCTTCATGAGTTTCAAGTGACAGTGTGGACTCGGAGCTAGTATTTGATGCATCGATGAATATCTTGGAGAGATGAGGTTTGTGTATTATGGCGATCACTGGGGCGACTTGTGTGAGGTATATTTTCCATAAATTTGTGATTTGTGAATGTTGTAAGTAGTCGCGATGAAAGGAAGCGCGAGACCAGGTTTTGTCGGGAGTGTGGAAGTCGAAAAATCCCGATGGACTCGAGTTTATTATTTTTGAATTGGCGTTGTTCATTACCTGCTCTTTATTGATCTATAGTGACGTTGGATTTCATGAGTACCAGGCGAAGATATGGATTGATAGCGGTTTCATACTTGAGGCGCATCATGATTGTGTCGGCCTGGGTCAGCTTCAGGCGCGGAAACAGAAATATTCACGCCGGTTGTGTCCTGAAAAGGCTCCAGGTCGTAAGCATCGACCGCGAACCTCGCAGAACGAAGCACCTCAACCTCATTTTCTAGTTCTCGCAAACGAGCAAGTAATTCAGGGACTGGGGGACGATTCAGTGTCCTCGGTGCTCGCTGAGGAGGTGGAAATAAGCATTCATCACCTGATTTGCAACATGCACCACATGGATTTGCCTTATTACATCTGATTTTCCTTTCATTGCATGGGATGCAACTACGCTTTTGTCGCTCTGTTGAGGCTGACGAGGCATTCATGTCACCATCACCATGCCGAGAGACCTTGGGCATAGCATGTGTCAAATCGCAAGTTTGTAAATTGAACTTTTTCTAGATCATCTGGAGAATATCATGGATGAAATTCGTAACCTTGGAAATCCCCTGGAAATAATGTAAGGAGGCAAATTGTAAGCAGTGAAGTTGTTGGTCTGCAAGGTGAACGTTAGCCTATCCGGGCGCAGATCAGATCGGGTCAGACCCACTTTCTCGGGATTGAACTCAACCCCGACGATTATGAATAATGACGCAGATTATGAAGCCTCGCGTCTTCGGTTCATCAAAGTTGGAAATTCTTGAAATTTGAACACGAAATGTGAACTATATAAGAAGGAAAGTATCTTCTGTACTTTGGATAATCAGATCAATTATTTCTCTGTCATCTTTTACTATTCTATACCAACTTCATACGACCATGGCGAAAGTTATTCTCGTTACAGGTGCCACTGGCAAGCAAGGCGGTAGTCTAATTGACAAACTCCTTGAAGAGAACGCGGATGTGGAGATTCTAGCACTGACTCGAGACTCCGCCTCGAACAGTGCCCAGAAACTCAAGGGAAAGTCGCCTAAAATCCAACTCGTTCAGGGAAACCTTGACGACCCGAAGGCGATTTTCGCCAATGCCAAAAATGCGACAAAACAGCCGATCTGGGGCGTGTTCAGTGTTCAGGTAAGACATATTCACTCAAAAATTGATAACATAGAAAAGGGATTAATTCAATTCTAAATCTTTAGGTTCCGTCGCCTACTGCATCCGTCCAGGAAGTAGAAATGCGCCAAGGCAAAACGCTAGTTGACGCTGCGCTGGAAAACAACGTCAAATTCTTCGTCTACTCATCTGTTGATCGAGGTGGAGATGCCTCATACGATACCCCTACCGATATTCCCCACTTCACTAGCAAGCATCATATCGAGCATCACCTCATTGAGAAAGCGAAGGGCACGGATATGGCATGGACAATCCTGCGCCCTGTTGCATTCCTTGAAAACCTGACGCCGGATTTTCTGGGAAAGTTCTTCGCTACAACTTGGAAAAATGTCGTAAAGGATAAGCCCTTACAGGTTATATCTACGTCGGATATTGGGTGGTTTGCAGCTCAGGCGTTTTTGAGACCTGATGAATGGAAAAATAGAGCGCTCTCGTTGGTTGGTGATGAGCTCACATTCCAAGAAATGCAGAAGATTTTCAAGGCGAAAACTGGCCAGGATGTACCCTTGACTTTTGGCTGGCTTTGTACTATTATGTTGTGGGTTTTGGGAGATTTTGGGAAAATGTTCAATTGGTTTCATGACAAGGGGTTTAGTGCTGATGTTGCCACTTTGAAGAAGATGAATCCTGGATTGAGGGATTTTGGGACATGGTTGGAGACTGAGAGTGGGTTTGCGACGAGATGATTTCATGTTCAAGTTTCTGTCGGGCGTTCATATTGTACTATTGTACTAAAAGAATATCAATTAATTAATTTAGCAATTAAGTAATGGTATATTTTCGATTTGATAATAGGTACTACATTCTATCGAAATGGGCTAGACTTTCCGGGAAGCTACCCGGTCACCAAATTATTTAAGTTCAGCGGAAAGAAGGAATGTAGATTGGAGTTTCAGAATTCTTCTATTTAGGGGATGACCCCTAGTCCTGGAGGGATAATTTGTGGCAAATTCGCCGATGAGGCTTAGGAAATTACTTGCAGCAAGATCTGGGCAAACCAATAGGTGTCCTGACATTCGAATGAAAGTTTCCGCCACACTAAGCCTCCCGGATTGGGAGGTGGAAGGAATAGGGCAGGGATTAATGCGCTATTTTCTTTTCTTTTTCTACCTACTGCGGGAGCTTAAAACTCCAACATCATCGATTTGAATTCAGGGGCTGACCGGTGCGCCCTGCCCGGGCCGATGCCCGTCTAAGACTCTGGGGTGATTGGTGAAGGCTTCGGTTCACGGATCAGACGCCCGATACCGGGGGGGTACCCGGTCAACACAGATCATTAAGAGGCCCTGCTTGCGCCTGGGATGATTTCATGTTTTTTTTCTTTTTTTCATTGCCTGGGTTGCGGATATGCGAGCTACATGTTCTCCGCCCCATGGGAGTACATTCAGCCGAGCTAACGGAATCTCGCCGATCTTGGGCACGGGAAGAGTCATAAGATGAGACATAGTCATAACATAATGTTATCGACATCGCTATGTATCGCTATTCGTAGGAACTGCATGCTTAAATCGGAATCCCGCCATGTGGCTGAATCAAAGTTTCTGTCATATCGTAGTGTATTTTGTATCAGGCAAGCTTCTCCAGTAGGCAGGCGCCGGCGGTCAATTGTGTATGCAGGACATGTGGTATGTGGTCTACCACGGCAGGATTCCGAGATAGGACTAGGGTGATTCAGATAAGCCGTGCATCATGAGAAGCTGGATTGGAGTCGTATGCAGTGGAGTTCTGCTGTTGCTGTGCGGGATTTTAGGGGATGAACGACGTAATTTGGGGTCCTCCCCGCACTTAGAAAAGTGGATTTGTTCGTACTAAGATGCGGTTCATTTGCGGGGGAAAGGCAGCGATCTGCCAAGAGTCTGGGGTGGTACTGGGTCCGTCGGTGGGTATCATTTATTGCAGACCGCTAGATTATAATTCATGAAGAAAAAAAAAAAAGGTGTAAGATAGAGGTGAAAGAGGTCGAAGTAAACAACTCCAAGGCGATGATCAGATCAAATACGCGCATAATGACTAGTTAGGTTATCTCTCTTATCTATGCACTGTGGAGTCGTTTCGTAGTGTTAAGATAGGCAGGAAACCCCTGAGGACTCGGAAGTCTTGGCCCAGAGATAACAAGCCAAACAAGCCACGCCGTAACCTTAGGTAAGGACTGTAAGTCTTGGGGCCGCCACTAGCCGGAAACTACCCAGTCTACATGCTTTGGTAGAAGGGTTTAAATATTGCCCCATTCCCCAGTCCCAAATCAAAATGTAACCCTAACATTGGAACTTCCGGTGATTTACTCCATTCTTGTTTATACCTATATGTCTATATTTTAAAAGATGTCAATCCCTGAGAAAACAGAGAAGGGGGAGTCCTTGTCACCGACGCCTTCAAATGTCGGACAGGTCGGACAGGTCACCGACGCCTATGCCCATGATGCTGTCTTTGGAGAGATCACAGAAGATGGTCCCAATTACCGTAATGTATGGAGATTTGATTGTCACACAATACTTTCACGGATCTTGACTAACAGTTCAACAGGTAGGATGGCTTGGTACAGCCGTTCTCATGATGAAAACACAAATCGGTCTCGGTGTCCTTTCGATTCCGGTCGCCTTCGATGCCCTCGGTATTGTTCCTGGTGTGATAGTCCTCATCGCCATTGCTACCATCACAACATGGTCCGATTATATTATTGGTGTTTTTAAGATTCGCCATCGCGAGGTCTACGGAATCGACGATGTGGGCGAAATGCTGCTGGGCAAGGCAGGAAGAATTATTATGGGAACTGCCTTTGTTCTTTGTGAGTTGGTTGAGAGTCATTATGGCTGAAATTTTCCTCGCTAACAATATCCAGGGTGGATGTTCACTGCCGGCTCTGGAATGCTCGGTATCTCAATTGGCTTGAATGCCGTCTCAGACCATGCTGTCTGCACAGCTGTCTATGTCGCTGTCGCATTCGTCGTAGCATTCGTCCTAGGCAGTATCCAGACATTAGGGCGTATCTCATGGATCGCCTGGGTTGGATTGAGCTGTATTCTCACATCAAGTGAGTTTGACCAAGCACTCCAAAAACCTGACAACCCTAGTGACTATACTAACCTGGTGTTCGTTTCTAGTTCTCATTGTTACCGTTGCCGTTGGTATCGAAGATCGCCCTGCCTCTGCGCCAACAACCGGCGTCTGGGTCTCCGACTACAAAATCGTCAACAACGGCTCATTTTCCAAGGCCATTTCAGCAGTAACTACGATTGTATTTGCGTATGCTGGTACCCCTGCCTTCTTCTCCATCGCTTCCGAGATGCGTAACCCCCGACAGTACAACCGAGCCCTTTTCCTTTGCCAGAGCGTCGTTACTTGCTTTTACATCGTAGTCGGTGTTGTTATCTATTATTACTGTGGATCTTACGTTTCATCGCCTGCCCTCGGATCTGCCGGAAAGACCGTGAAGAAAGTCAGCTACGGCTTTGCGCTTCCCGGTTTAATCGCCAGCACATTGCTCTTTGTGCACGTAAGCATGCCCTCCCCAGCCCCTTTCCAATGGCTCATTCAAACTTTCCCATGCTACAAACCCAAATACCCCGAAAGCACCCGACTATAGACGTATTGATACTAATCATGACATAGATTACCGGAAAATACATTTTCGTCCGTATCCTCCAAGGATCTCGCCATTTGGTCGCTAACACCATGATCCACTGGGGCGTCTGGCTAGGATGTACCTTTGGTGTATCCCTCGCCGCATACATTATTGCTAGCGCTATCCCAGTATTCAGCGATCTTGTCTCTCTAGTGGGTGCGTTGCTCGGCACACCTATGTGTTTCCATCCCATGGCTGGAATGTGGCTGTATGACAACTGGAGTCGACCTAATAGGAACTGGAAGTGGACTGCGATGGTTGCTTGGTGTGGTTTTGTTCTTGTTTCTGGAACCTTCCTCATGATTGCTGGTACATATGGGTCGGTTGTTTCTATCATTGATGATTATAAAGCATCTGGGGGGTCGGCTGCGTGGTCTTGCGCCGATAACTCCGCCTCGTAGATTGAGGCTGTATATCACGACTTGCTTACTTTGAGCGTTTTAGCTATATCTCTCTAGATTCAAGATCGAAGAATATAAAGATTGATAGCATATTTGTGTCGAGGTTTAGTTGTAATGTAATCGGGCTCTCGATTAATAATAGCCTCGAGTGCTGGTATGGAAGGACGATTGAATTGATATTTTTGCTATGGAGAGATTTCGTAGAGGATTGAGAAAATTATCCAGAATTCCAAATAGGTGTATCATGATGTGATCATGTGTTCTGTCGGCTTCATACAAATAATTATCCAAATCCCAATTCTAAAGATAATCGACTATCATTCAACTACTCGAGATCATCTACATTGTCCCTTGAATACACTCGCAAAGATGCCCATACCCAAGAAATCACACCGTAGAATAAAACTCCCACCGAATGTCATGCTCTAAGAAAAAAATGCAATGAATCGACCGGTAAAGTGCCTCACGGTATAATCCGTCCAATCCAGACATCTCACACTGTGAAGTATTTGAAGGATTTCGCACAGTTTGAGTATCGTCAGCAAGCAGCTCATTGCGATGAATAAATTAAGGAGATTATTCTGTGTATCTAGGGCAAATTGCGCCAGATTATCATGGGAGATTCCGATGCCTTCCCAAATGCTGGGAGGGTCGATTTCAAGTTCATCATGAAGGGGATTCGTGGCTCAAATAGTTGTATTTTGGTTTGAGGTTGAGCAGAGCAAATACTACATATTCTCAATTTCATTTTCTGGTCTAAATTTCTGTACATGTCACAAAACACAAAGTAGCTACATGCAACATTGGCAGTACAAATTTCAAGATGCCTACTCTAGTATGTCACCATTATCTTAAACTATCTAAGTGCTCTACCCCCGAGGACTAATTTCAACTGGGGGCTTGAGGGATCCATGACTTGGCTCAAAGTTTCCAAGATACGGAAATTGTAAATCCAGGCCCTAGTTTGATAACGGATGTCTTAATAAAGTTCAAGAAAAGTTAGAATCGATTTCTTCTCAATTGGAAATCGGACTTAGCAATCATCATATTGATAATAATTAAATGTAAAACAGAAAGAACCGGTTCAGAACCCGGTCACCGGCACGGTGGCCGCCTCCTGATCCAGGAAGGAGCTAAACCACGCGCAAGCCCCGACACTCTGAGGACTCAAGGTCTATCTGTGTGTAATCGAAGTCCGTACCCGAGACAGATATGAGGAGAAAAAAATCCATCGATGAAAGCTTTCATGTATGAAATATCTTGATTCGCGTTAGAATGATGCGAATCGTACAGCGGGAGGGTGTCGCCTTCCAGCTCTGTTTTGTTCGCTGTTGTGACTTATGACCTGTGGGTGGGTTGTAGCTGATAGTCTCCTCGGAATAGAGTCCGTAGCGTGTTAATCATACCATTCGAGGCTGGACAGGAGCTCTCGGTCGAGATCGAGCCCGGGGGGCCGGACTCGATGTCCTTTTCCACTGTGGAGTTGTTTCATCGGGATACCATTGTCGGGATATCTTTCGTGATATCACTTTTAGTGGGTAGATGTCGGATATGGCGTTTCCGAGGCTGGAGAGGAATAAAGAGAGGGAGTCAAGGTGTTCGGGGGAGAAACGAGAAAGGAGGTGATTCATATTTTCTTGATCGAGGATTCGGACGTTCGGAGGAATGAGGAGATGGTATGAGTAGTAGCTTCCGAGTCACTGAGGATCACCAGGTTTGATTTGATGTTTCGCTAATGAGATGGATACTATGTAGAGAGTAAGTGCTAATTTGCTTCTCGAGTTTGTTGAGAGTGAAGGAACGAAGGTCTGACTGGCATCAGGTACGTAAGTAACCATAACCTTGAGTTGACCACCATGCTTCGCAGGAGAGGAAGGTAGTATCGGTTAACGTTGAACTGATCGCTGATCTTTCCAGGCCAGATCTCACGGGGATTATAACATATGAAGGCTAGCTACCAAGTTCCACCAGAACTTGTATTCTATGCTCCGTAGAGTAACGACCAACACTCATGTACGAATGGTCCAGGGTGCGATGCCGGCCGTTGATGCGGACACTTGCTTCCATGGGACGATGCCTGCGGAAGGCAAGGTGTCGATTCTACACATTGAGGACTTCAGTAAGAAAGGTGGTGAATTGCCATATACCATAAACCAAGCCTTTCAGCAGGCGACCTCGACACGACCCGGGCCCGGCCTTGTTATCATTATACTCCTCTGTTTCTCTAAGATCCATTGGAGCTTAGAAGAGCATCAAGGTTAGATAGAATAAAAACTGCGCTGTAGATCAAAACCATTTGACCTTCTTTAATAGGCTAAGTTGCTTTAACTTATATTTCAAAGAGGGACTTCTGGGAGATGACGAGATACGTGGATATTAGCGAAGTGGTCATTTACACTAGCGTATTTTCAAGTTGTTCAAGTTTGAATGGGGACATGAGAGAAAAGTCTTGAGACCGATTACCTCTGTCTTGACCTTGAAAGTAAGATGTTGTATTAAGTTAGGAGACTGTGTGGCTGTATATCCAGAGGCTCATGAAGGTAGGTAGGCGGACTGCGGACTGCGAAGTGCATATGGGGATGGATGGACGAATTCATAGATTAAGTAAAAGGACCAGGGAGAAAGATGGATATTCCGAGGTAGTCTTTCTCAAGAGATTCACGTACATCTCATGTACCAAGTAAACCATTACTCCCATGGGTCAAGTACCTATGCAACCAATAATAGACATGTGGTTAATTGTGAGTTCCTCAAGGAGCTTCGTTTCTTCCTTGTAAGGCAGGGGTTGCACGAGAGAATCCAAAAAAAGCTTTTTATTTAATATTTTAAGTATGGACAAGGCGGTTTCAAAACCGGTTGATTATCAGCTGCAACCCGGACCTACTCGATCTGGGAACTCCATAACGCCGCCAACCCGCCAGATAAAGGTCAAGCTAGAAATTGTAAATAAGAATCGAAAAGAAAAAAAAAAAGGAGAAAACTCCAGCACACATGCTCTCCATCCAATCTGATTTTGTCCTTGTCTTTGTCCCCTTGCCTTGTATGTATCCACACCTTTTAAAATCCATATGCACTTTGTCCGTAAGGCGTGGCGCCGTACGGGGTTTGCGCACTGGCGCCCCATGCACTGGCACCGCCGTTTCCATACGATGTCAAGTTCCCGTCTATACCCTCTGGTGGCTCGTAGCCATCTGCGTCACCCCCGCCCATCATATCATGATCCTCCAGGTGACCGGCTTGGCCGTCTTCGCCTTCGCCTTGGAGTACGGAGACGGTGGTGGCTAGCTTGCGCTGGAGACATACGATGCCCTGTTGGATGATCATGTCTGGTTCGAGGTTTCCGATACTTTCTACGTCGACGTAGAAGGTGTTTGGCTCGGCGTCGTAGTCGAAGGGTTGATCTGGGCCAGCGGCTGGCTCCCATGCGGCATTCTCTGAGATGGGCCTAATAAAGCAGTTAGTGAGAGTTCAAAGTTTCTAAGAAACAAGCAAGCAACCAAGCAAGCTGAAGTGCAGATGTAAATACGTACCACTCCTTGACAGGATCCGCCTCATACCAGTAATCCACATGACGCATATTATTGTTGGGATCATACTCAAATCCCACAGCAGAAGTAGGTGCCCACTTCGCATGCTCCTTCGCCGTCCCCTTCTTCGCAAGACAACTCAACTTGATCTCCTGACCCTTTCGCAACTTGCAAATCAACGGTCCCTTTCCTTCAGGATCCGTAATAACAGGATCCCCAATTGTATCGTTAACACGCTCGCCACGAATCATAAGATCGCGCGCATAAACAGCCATAATACCGTTTCCGCACCGTGCATGCAATGTCAACGTCACACTGCAACGCACACAGTGGTCTTCGCAGTCGCAGTCTCGGGTATATTCGAGATCCTGGTCGCAATTCTTTGCGTTTAGGGGGATCATACCGAGACGGTGAGCAAGCATTTCATCGGGAAGGATGGAAGAGTTTGTTTCGATTTCAATTAGATCGAGCGCTACGGTGGGGACTTCGGCGAGGATTGCGCGGCGAAGGGAATTCGCGAAGGCGAGGTCGACTGAGCTTAGGCGGAAGTCGACACGGTAGGGTTCAGCCTGTTTAGCGCGTTAGTTGGGACTAGTTTCATTTTGGGATTCTTGATGGTTTAGTTTGGTTTGATTTACCTCACGGACGGTGACTTGAGGGCCTGTTGGCTCCTCCATGCCTAACATGTCATAATCCATCTTTGTAACTTTGATGCGGGCAGCGTTTTGTCGCCGCCACTGGGGTATAGGGTAGGTTTTATTTGCTGTTCATGCACGGAGATTCGGATAGAAGAGGATTGACGATTTGTCAAGCTTGCGGGACAAAGATGCGAGAGATGTGGGGAGGTAGAGAGGTTGGATGTGTTCATTTGGTGAAGATCGCGGATTTGCTCTCGGAGCAGCAGTTTGGCGCTTTTCCTAATTGGGAACCGCCTAGATGGGTGAATTCAACTTCATAGATTTGCAGCTATGTTCTCGTTCTTGAAGTTTCTCTTTGAAAACTACAGAGATTATCTTAAATTTTTACAAAATAGAATGCTCAATTAGATGAAGGTTTGGGTGGAGAGCAATGGTTCAGAATCAGATTCAAGTGCTAGCAATCTCGGTAGACTTGGGTATACTGGAAAAATCCAGATATTGAGAAATAAGATGAGACGAGACGTTTCTCCATTTCCTTACATCCTTACAATAAGTGGGATATAAGGGACATATCTCGCCTATTAATCTGACCATGGGCAAAAAAAAAAAAAAAAAAAAAAAAAAAAAGGAGTGAGGCAAGTATGCCCTCCAACTGCTTCCGAGCCTAGTACTGGTAAAAGGGCAGATCGTCTATGAGGTGACAGGTAGCAGGAAAGCAAAAACCGAGGCTTAAATACGCCGGGAAACAAAAGGGTCGGGTGAAAGAAGCCCAACCGCGACAGCAGTATATGCGATGCAAGGTCAAGTAGAAAGGAGAATAGAATAGGATCAAAAAAGCAACAGACAAAGCCACCGATTTCTCCATCTTTTTTCTCGCGCTCTCTCTTTTTTTGGTCTGGGTCATGTCGAGTCATCATCGGGATGTAGCCATCACAGCTTCACCCGAGTTTCCATGTATGAAACAATTAGGAAGAAAAGAAAAAAAAGGATGTATCAAAACATATGTACGAGCAGAGCAGCCGTGACTATCGCTGCAGCGAACTGCGATTCAGTGCTTCTAGCAGTTCGGGTCGATTTGCCAACGCTGTGGCCGCCTGGGTATAGCTGACCCATTTGCGCTGGCGTTTGTGTTTTTCAGGCCATTCAGCTTCTTCCTTGTCTACTGTTACTTCGAAGAACTGGTATGAGGCCTTGGGCACACTGGGGGTCAAAGCATTGGAAGGGCGCATGTCGGGAATCAATCCCAGATCGCGGCGGACGCTGCAGATGACACCAGCTTCCTCCCAGGCTTCACGACAGGCGGCTTGCTGAGCTGTTGCTTCATCGGTCTCCCAGCCACCTTTGGGGAGGACCCAACCGCCAGGTCCAGCAGATTGGATCATGAGGACTTTGGTTTTATCGGCGGAGAGGGGGACGACACCGGCGACTAGACGTTCACCTTTGGAACCATACCCTGCGACGCAATAGGATGTTAGCATGCAGTTCGAATTACCCAGAGAGGTAAGGACATATGGGGCGAATATGAAAGGACAAGAGAAGAAAATAAAACATGTTAAGATGACACTTACGTTGGTTCTTTCGCCCTGTTCGGGCTTCCATGGTCCGATTTTGAGCCATTGTAATACCGCAAAAGTTACCCGATCTGGTCAACCGAGGAAGAAGTGGGTTGGGGGTATTTTTTCTTTCTCTCCCAGACACCGCCGGCGGGTGTGTAAGGAATAGAAGAGAGAAGGGGAAAAAAAGAAAATAGAAGAATTAAAGAATGAAATAACCAGCAGGATTGAAGAATTGGGGTCAGAGAAAGAAATATGACCCAGGTCAGAAGGGAGGGAAAGTAGCTGATCAGCTTCGAAGCTCCCGCGGAGCCCTTCTCGGAGGAGACGGAGACGTTGACAGGAAGCTTTTCCCAAGATGAAGCGGGTGTACAACGGTTTCTGAGGGCGGTCGGGGAAGGAAATATAATTTTTTAAAAAAATAATTTATTTCCTTTCTTTTTGATGTCGAATTGCGGGGAGTAGAGAGGGTGTCAAGAGAGGAGAGGAATTAAGTCTTCCCATTCATTCCCGTAGTGGGCGAAAACCAAGGAGAAGAAATACAAGGCATGGTGGATCAGAAGTTTAGGGAAAATGGAGGGAGAAGTTGGAAATGGACGGAGCAAATGAAGGGCAAATGGAGGGGCAGAACGGCAGAACCGGCGGCGCACGGAAACTGACTAACTGTACGGACATTACATACAGTATTAAAGTACTTAAATATTAGATGTTAAATGTTAAATGTTGACTTTGTTGTTTTTTATTGTTTATTTGCAAATTGAATATATTATTCTCTGTATCTTTCATGACTCATTGTTAACTTCTTCTTTGTCCTGTTTCCCTTTTCTGTGGTTTCTATACCATACAGGTCACATGACCCTATGGTGTGTGCCCCCACGGGGCTCACGGGCTCACAATACTAAAATAGAAGACGAAATTTGTAATCTACCATAAACCCACGATACCTAGATTATATCCCCTTATAAGACTCAATCCTGTATTCAAAGTACTGCAAAGTGCAAAGTGCAAAGTGCAAAAAATAGGAGCATCACTTCAAGCCCTAAGTAAACTTCAGTCTTCGGGTACGAGAGACCCTAAACTCCGGTACCGAGTGTTGGGAAAGTCGGAGCGATTCGATACAGATCCCCCCCCCCCCATCTGGTAACCGGGCACGATGCCTTACATATCATTCCAGGTGACCCAGAATTCCAATCTAGAGCCTAGAGCCGAGCCTCAAGAATCAGTTCTGTACCTGGTACAGATAACTTGTAATTGTACCATACCAACCCATATCATACACCTAGACAAGTGTGGCCACATCACCAACACTCATTCATCCTCTTATCCCCATCCACTCCATTTCATTCATGAGAGCAAATCCTGTACTGATCCACTTGGATCAGTTTGCCTGCATCTGACAACCAATTTCTACTTCCCGCGGGGACCGCCAACCAACCGAAGCCTACCTACCTAATCATTACTGGGAAGACAAAAAACCTACTAATGAAACCTCACTGATGTTGACGCCGAACACGCGCGACAGCTGTCGCTCGTTCGACCACTAGGTACGTCCCACTTTGCCCTGTAGCGAGCCACTAAGGTAGAGATCTGCTGCCCCGTGGCGCTCCCACTGGCCCTCATGCGCGCCGTGAGTGGGCAACTTAGTGGGGGTTATGTCAATCACACCTCGATCCGAGTCGAGATCTCCTCACGACCACGTCAAATCAATACTAAACGATAGTCTTCAGAGCATGTTACCGAAGCTCGTGCGTGAACTGTAAATTAATTAATTGACTGAGATGTGAGAGATGCCCGAGGTCCTAGATGTCATTGTTTATTTTGAGTTTCTGATTTGCGGTCCCCTTGGGGCGTTATTAGACACGTCATTGTAGGCATGTCATAGTGCAGCGGCTTTAGCTACTAGTATGTCTGGAGTCCGAGCACCTAGGCGTCATAGGGCGCTTGGCGATCAGTTACAGAATGGTCTGTCAATTCAAGTTCAATAACTTGAACTGCTTTTTCTTTAACATGGACAGCCCAATCACATCACACATATACATAACAAAATGGTCCAGCAGTAGTGCTCATAAGCTCCTTCATCGCAATAGGTCTCCCATTCGCATATCCAACATCAACTATCGTGTCAAGCGTAGTATTCCCAGAAGGCGGCTCATTCAAAAACGTCCCCGTGCCCGAAATAGCATTCTGTCTCCTTTCCAAATCAAGATTCTGCCATATCCACCAAACACGATCAATCATACCATGATGGAGCCAGAATGCAGGATCCCCAGGACTAACATATACATCGCGACCTGGATCTCCGCCCATGGAATAGTGTCCTCCACCATGAACACCGATTGCACCACTACCCGGTACACCTTGCATAACCATCTCGAAGTCCCAGATATCATTGTTCTCCAGGATAAGCGATACAATTGAGGTGTAGTTTGCGTATGATTGGAGTAGTGCAGATGTGAGATCTCGTTTTAGACATCGAGGATTGTAGTTTAGGGGGTTGCTTGCGATGCTCATGTTTCCGCCTGGTAGGGATAGAGCTGCGGGGCCGAGATGGAGTTTGTAGTTTTTGAAGGGGCCGCTTGTTATGCAGCCTCCGCCGGTTCCTCGGGGGAGAATGACTGGGGCGTAGGAGCCTAGTGAGAGGATTATGTTGCCTTCGTTAGGGATGTAGGCGCCATTTCCTGATAGTGATGTTGAGGAGCCGTCGAAAACGGGGGACTTTTCCATTGCGGAGGTGTCGGCTCCCCAGTCCCAGTATCTGATTATTTAGTAAATCGGTAAATTAATAGATCCGTATCAATTGAAGACGATTGACACTCACGGATAGTCGCCGACATAGCCGCATTCATTACGAAGAGCTTGCTCGAACTCGTAAATGAAATATCGATGCCAGGCTAGGAATGTACCCTTGATCCAGATATCTTGTTAAATCTTGTAGCTTTTATTTTCACTTGAAGACGATCTAAATCCGTACCGTGAAATGGATCCCTAATGTTTGATTGATATGAGTAGCCACAAAATCATCATATCGTGTCTTAGCCCCCGGGGCTAAATGGGATGGTGTCCGCGCCGGTTTGCTTTGCAGACAAAGAACAGAATTGATATACTTCTTCTTTTGTACTGAGGAGAATGATCTCCAGTTACGACGAACGTGTAGGTTGTTCTTTGTACATTCTTGATCTTTGTTCAATGCGCTTTTGTGAATGGGGTTTGCTATGTTTTCACTTGTGACCTCGAGGGCGATTTTAGCTAGCTTTTCAAGCTGAATCGCTGCTATTGCTATTGAAGAAGATGGCGCCGATAAGGTAGATGGTGCTTTTTGGTGAGTGAATATGTTGTTTTGTGGGTTTGTTGGGATTGCTGAGATTTGTAAGGCCAGTAGTCCGACTGTAAGAAGATGGAGGATAAATTTGTACATTGGAACCCTGTAACTGCCTGGGTGGACGATGTAGTTTTAGATTGAAAGAGAAGAAGAAGAAATTACATGAAAAGTCCAAAACACTGGAATTAAAGCTGCACTTAAAGCTTTAAATCTAAGAGATAAACACGGTCAGGTTTACCGATCTGCTAGAGCCAATGAGATCCACGATGCTGTTCACCGATATTAAGAGGGCACTTTGAGGGGTTATCTTTATGCACGTTTGACTAAAATAGGGCGATTGATGCAGCAAAAGACCTCGCTATTGGCATACAACCTGGTCAGCAATGCATGGTCTTTCCCCCTCGTGGAAGCCGCATGCATCGTGAGTTCTAGACCTCTTGGCCTAAGCTTGTAGTTTTAAGGTTGGGGGCTCTCGGGTACCAGCCTGAGAAGGTTATGGTGGACGGTAGATGTTTACATTTAAACTATTTCTCCTAAATTTTTCCATTTATTCGTGGCTCAACATAACTTCTATCCTATTTTCTAGCTTCTCCAAGCTACCGCCCCCTCTTTAGTACTTTTGTCGTGGCCCCCGCTTTTTCCACCTCGAGGCTGTAGAAGATAAGGAAAAAAGACATGAAAAACAACAAAGAGCTGAATATGTAGATCTCCCATATCTTAATATTTTCCCTAGCTCATCAGAACCTGCCACCACAAATCAAACATTCAGTACAAACAACGCGGAAATGAGATCTACCCGCTGCTAACCCTGTCCCCACTTCTGCACCGAACGACCTAGGGCTCGGGATCCGTCAGAATGGTAGGGCCGTACTCGTGTCGGCCCCCTGTCGCCCCTCGTCTCTTCCCCTTGAACATATTCATCCACACACAACCACGGGCAGTCAGATCGCCGTAATCATGGAAGAAGAAAGCATCTCCGTCGTAAGATACTCTTGGCGTCATGGGGACGGATTCGGCTTACGGTATCGATCGGGCAGGATCCCACTTTTTATAGCATGGAGAAGTTGGGAGGGGACGATGATGATTGGCAGTCGTGAGTGGGGACCAAGGTTATTCGAGAATTGAATTCGTCAATGCTTACCATTTCTGCTAATAGAGATACGGAGTCCATTGCTTCGGCTATTGCTAAGGGGAGAATAGCGAATGGTCGTCGGTAAGTATTCTTTTGATTTTATTGGGTTTCTAGATGGATTATTGACTGTTACTATTTAGATATCAAGCGCTGAGAGATGAAGAGTATTGGTTAGTTCCCCTTTGCTTTGTGTATCTTGATATGAGACTTATTGTAAATAGGGCTCCGTCTGATGATCGTCAGCTTGAGGCATATGAGACTGGGTAAATTCGAATTCGTGCTGTAGCCGGTGGCACAAGAATGATATCATGGTGAATTAAATATACTAATATCTACTACAGACATATAGTATCACTTCTGCTGGAATATCATGGCGAAAACATGTTACATCTAGCACCGATTGGTGAAAACCCAAGAGTATGCTCGTTTTTTTTTGGATCATGTTTTCCCAATTATACTAATATTATGATAGCATATTTTAGACGTTGGAACAGGCAAAGGCAATTGGGCAATGTAAGTTCAAGTCGATCTTGAAACTCGAGAACTTCTCTAACATCCACCCAGGGACGTTGCAGACAAGTATCCAAGTGGTGAATACCCTTCTTTATGAATTCTACCCTCAATTTACTAAACTATGATTAGCAATGGTTCGTGGCGTGGATCTATTCCCACCTCCGATCAGTTGGATGCCCCCAAACTGCAAAATTGAGGTAGACGACCTTCTCGAAGAATGGACATGGAAAGAACCATTTGACTTCATTTACATACGCCACCTATTAGGATCCTTCAACGAAGAAGGATGGGCTACATTATACGACCGATGTTACGAGTCAGTTCCCATCTTCCAGGTTGTAAAAAATCCACCTCAACGATCATAACCTAATACTTGGAAAACTTTAGAAACCTCGAGCCAGGCGGCTGGATAGAACAACTCGAATTTGATGTCCGAATACACACAGACGATAACTCATTACCAGAAGACTGTTCACTTGCTGGATGGGCCGAAAACTTTATTGGTTGCTCTAATCGAGCAAATCGATCTCTAACAATTCAGGAAACTATGCGAAAATCTATTGAGAAGGCTGGATTCACCGATATTCAAGAGAAAGTATACAAAGTTCCTCTTGGTCCTTGGCCGAGAGATAAAGTCCTTAAGGAACTTGGGAGACTTCATCATGAACATTGGTCGGCGGGTATGGAGGGGTATGCGATGTGGTTGCTTACCAAGTTTGGGGCCCCGACGCCTTGGACTCCGGATGAGGTACAGGTTTATCTTGCTAAAGTTAGGGGGGATCTGAAGAATCCTACGATTCATGGGTGGGAATATGCGTAAGTTGACTTGTCTTGGGGTATCTTGTTTTCTTGTTTTGAGGATTGGAGACGCTGATATTTTCGCAGACGACGAGTATGGGCTAGGAAGCCTTCGGAGGATGAAACTTATGATGAACGTATAGAGCCTGGGTTTTTGCCTTAATCTTCATTGGAACCTCAATAATAGCGGATCAGATTGGATCAGGCTTTCCATGTTGGATTATTGTCGTGAAATTTGGCGCATTGCTTTAAGTTCTGTGTTGGGATGCTCTCAAGTAATAACACATTGGCGGTATATTTTGTTTTTGTGACTTTGATATCTCAAAATATTCAAAATAATAAGTTCAATTAGTTCTTGGTAGAGAGTTGGTGACTAGTGATCTGAATAATAATCTGAAAAGCAATATTTATTTTATTTATTCTTATTTAAGCTCGTAATTCAAAGTACTATAAATCATCATAAAGGAGCGTTTACCGGTGAAAATCACCTTTCCTCAACGTGACATAACATAATTATCATCCACCGAAAACAATATCTCTTCTTGTTCCCTGTCACCTTCCAATAAATGAATTCGCAGTCTCAATATCAAATTCCAATAGGTTTTGGATCAAGCTTCAAGACGGACATCTTCCTCAACACCTCAAATGGGGTGACCAGCTCCCTTGACTACTTCTTAGTCTTTCCGCCATAAAGTAGATTTCAACTCAGGTTTGGCGGACTCTTCACATTTAGTGTCCGTGACCACCGTGGTGGGGAGGGGGAGGAGGTGGGTGTCGGTGGTCAGATTCATCCGAGGTATCTTCCTCGCGCTTGTGTCCGTGGCCACCGTGTGGTGGAGGAGGGTGTCCATGCTCGGTCTCAGCTTCAGTAGATTCTTCACGCTTGTGTCCATGGCCACCATGGTGAGGTGGAGGAGGTGGGTGTCGGTGGTCAGATTCATCCGAGGTATCTTCCTCGCGCTTATGTCCATGGCCACCGTGGTGAGGTGGAGGAGGCGGGTGTCCATGTTCAGTCTCAGTCTCGGTAGACTCTTCACGCTTGTGTCCGTGGCCACCGTGGTGAGGCGGAGGAGGCGGGTGTCCGTGCTCCGAATCATCTGTAGAAGCTACCTCACGCTTGGGATGATCCTTTGGTCCGGGGTGACCGTTGTTGGCAGGTGGGTGCGAGACTTCACGCTTTGGGTGGCCGTCACCATGGGGACTACCATTGGGATGCTGGGGAGGAGGACCGGGCTTCTCAATGGCGTTTGATGCTGTAGTGTACATTAGCATTTTATTTCGTCTTTGGAATATCTAGAAATATAGACACGGATCATGATATTGGTGCTGACATACCTGGTTCAGCAATAGGAGCTGCACCGACAAGGCCGGCGACCATCAAAGTGGAGAGAATGACGGAGAGCTTCATGGTGAAGTTGAAGTTGAAGTTGAAGTTGACTGAATAGATGAATATAAGAGTGATAGTCTGAAGAGCTTGAAGTTCAATCTCAATGTAGATGAAGATGAAGACCTTGAAGATTCCTGGTTCCAATGCTCCTTTTATATATTTTCTCCCGAGCTCTACAGCCTGAGCTCGAGCTCAAGCTCAATGTCTGATACCATGAAATATCCATGTCTCACCCGAAGTCGTCGTCAGCTTCAAAGCTTCGCTCCAATTCTGCAAGCTACAAAGCCACGATGCAATGGCTTACGAACGCCTGCAGCTCAGATGTAGTCATATTGTAACTGTACTCCGGAGCAATTGCATATGTGACCTGGTAGTAGATGAAAGAGATGTAAGATTGGAAAATGTGAGATGTCGATCTTACTGGAAATCTATGCCGATGATCTTCGCTCCTCGGACAGATTTAGTAAATTCTTCCTTCAAAGAAAGCGTGACTTCATTCTAGGAATGCAGTGCATGTGGCCACGCGTGCTCTGGCTGGGATTGATGGTGAGGGAGATCCGAGATCAGGGATGCAAGGGGTAGCTGCAGTCAATGGCGTGCATTGAGCATTAGCTCGGTTTATAACATGTATGTATCTGACAGCCGGTTTGATGCATTGTTATCGAATCGGTAGTTGGTTCAGACTGCTAAGCAACGCGTAGGTGCAGCGGGCGGGCGGATCTATCTATTTGTTTTCTGATGCTTCATTGTGGAGACCGTGGTTGTTGTAGCTTGAATGGCCACGAAAATATAGACGAAAGGACTTTAAAAACAGCCATTACTATCCGGAAACGATAAAATTGATTTATTTTAGATAGATCATGATACTCTATCAATGTTAATTCAAAGGTTCAGTTGCTCGTATTCCTCGTATTCCTCGTATATTCCACTAGTACAAGAATCGGTTCCGCCGCGTTATGGCCTTATCCCCAGCGGGATCCCCAGCATAAAAAACCCCCTGTAAGAGATCAGTATTGGAATAACAACCAGTCCTTAGCTCGAGCCACGTAAGATCACCTGCAGAAAGACTAACCATTTCCGCTAGAAGAAGCTTATCCTGCATTGCATTGTGATCTCCTTTGATGTCTAAGACCAAAAGAGAAAATAACACCGAGTTATAAAAGTCCGAGAACTTGAATCAATAGGCCAGTCTTAGCCACTAGCTGCAATCCTGGCGATCAGGTACAAGGTTCAAGTGTCTTTTAGGTTATGGAATGTTTTTATTGATTGGTCTTAGCCACTGGTGACAAAGTTAAAATCTATACAGTACATTTGGTGTCACGGTTTGACAGGCTCGTCAGTTGTGTCTGGAATCTCAAGTTCTACTTCAAGTTTGCCTCTGCCGATTTATCCATGGAATGGGATGGAATGGAATGCTCCGTGCACGAATATGAAATGACTCGAAGGTTTAGCCGTTGGCTGGATTGTCATTGCGAGGCGATCTTGTTCGCATTTTGCCTGGCTGGGTGTAGTCTCAATTGCTTACTAGTACATATGCGAAGGAGAGAGTTCTAGAGGCATGACAGCCAAAGGGAGTGAGTCAACGTAGATGGATGCTCCTAGCTCAAGTTCATTGAAGCAAGGACCTTGGCTCGTGCAGGAATAAACTACATTGGGCATTCAAGTCGTAGAATGTGTCGAACCATTGCTATCATCTCAAGCCGTTAGGTAGTTAGGCTTATGAATCTGAGCTGATCGGATATATTGAAAATGTCTCAATGCATTCCTGATGCTAACGCGTCCTATCAAAAGACAAACAATAATCCAAAGAAAGAGAAAAAAGATGAACGATGAAACAAATGTTAAAGAAATAAGCAAAATTGTCCATATGTGCCACCATCCATATATCTATCCCTTTTGTCTTGCATGCGCCAGAGCCTTCCGTCCCCCGATTCGCCTAGATATTGAGTTGTATTGTATTGCACCGAAAGAGACAGATCAGCAAGGCCAAGACCGGGAAACGCCGTAGTCAGCTGTAGTCATCGAAAGACCATAATAAGTAATGATTATAGTTGTGTTCATTAGATGACTTCGAACCATAAGAGCCTGTGAGCCAGCCAAACGCCAGGTACATGTGATGAATAAGAAATGACACCGAATCCCATGCTAGAACTGCGGGCCCTGAAATAGGGGAATGATGGTACGGTGTTATTGATGTTTGTTGATGTGCGGAGATGAGAATCCTTGACCGCCGTTCATAGTAGAGGAACGTATTCGCATTATGGCTGGTAGGTAAGGAGAGAGGCAGGTAGGTAGGTACGTAGGTAAGTGGCTGATTATGCGCCCTCAATACCAATGTCATCTTGTCCATCTAGTCCGCCAAACATAGATTGTGGCTGTTTTCGACCAGACCCATACACCATCTCCATAAGTTTGGCTTTCTGTCGTTCACGAACAGATCGTAGATAATCGTATGTACCCTCCAATCCACGAATCTGCCCATCAATTACAGACTCGACGGGTCCAAGCATCCGACCCGCAGCGCCAGAGCTGTGAGGTGAACTCGAACTTCCATCTACACCCATGAAGCTGACGGAGTCATTTCGACGAACGAGCGGGCTAACGAGTCTTCGGCGTAGGGTTTCTAGATTCACCTTTAATGTTAAGAGGCGGCCGCGGTGGTCGACGAGGAGATGCTTGTTCGCGACCGTGCGACTTCGAACATTGGCGAGGAGACGCTTGTTCTTTTCGTATTTGCGGACGGCGGCTGCGTCGGGTCCAAGGACGCGGGTCCAGAGTGAACTGAGCATTTCGCCTTCTGCTCGCTCTTGGGCATCAGATTCTCGGACGACGGTTCGTTGAAGGTTGAGGAATTGGCGATCGATTGATTCGAATAGGGCGAAGAGGGCGGTTGAGTGCGTTAATTCGCTGTTAATGGACTCTTCGAGTACGGAGAGGAACTCGGTGAATGTTCGGGTTATGGTTGAACGGGTGCGTTGAGCAGATGTTGGGCCTAGGACGGCTAGGACGAGATGCCCAAGTGCTGTGGTTGTCGTGGCTGTGGCGGAGACACTGCCGTCTGATACTTCACCGGTTCGTTCTAGGGCGCCGAGTCGTGAGAGCATGGTATGCACATTATCGAACACGATTGTTGGTAGGGTACTCGGTGGTTGTGCTGATAGGAGTTCTAGTTCGCGTTTGGCCCAGTCCATAACTATGAGGATTGAATCGATATCTGAGTCGACGTTGGCGAAGAACCGAGTCAGCTCTAAGGAGAGAGACTTTAATGAGTCTGATAGTTCATCGAGCTGGCGCACGATTATTGGCGCGCTGGTCATGTTTGTGCCACGCACTGACTCGCTCAAGTCCCAAACTGCTACTCCTGTCTCTTGGAGGGTGCCGATTTGTTGAACGCCATTTTCAGAGTAGTAGATCAATGGCTCGAAGGAGCGTGCAAATCCAGAAAGCTTCACGAGGTCGGGAATTGCTTGTGGTAGGCCAGGTAGGAACAAGGCGCGCATGAGCACAATCGAGAGGAAGAATGTGAGAATTGACAGCGTGGTATTGGATTTGGAGCTTGTGAGGCGATCAAAACTATTGCGCAGGTATCCGTATATCGCTGCGATGGGTTCACGATGTTGGACTTCTGCGCGCACTGCAAAACGGATATCTTCAGGCCATGCGCAAGAACAAGTTAGTGTTTCCATGTCTGTAGATATAAACAAACAAAAACAGGGCATAAAAATTCATTGAACACCGAGACTCAGGCAGTGCCTACAATTACTCAAGTTCTCTGTTCCAAATCCTGTTCTATCATCCTCTGCGCCGGTTTGCGCCGTCGTATTCGGCGGCGGACAGGGACTAGGTGATCGTCCTGTTTGCGGGGTTCCTGCGCCCATCGGTAAGGGCACATTGGCTGCGGCTGTGATATCGGCCGGGTCGAAATCATCATTTGTCTTCACTTTACTTGTATCCTCGAGCGCATCTTCATACTGTGGACTTGGCTCGCGCGATAGCGACGGCGACATGCTTAGACCTATGGTAGGTCGGAGCTCTGGGCGCTGATTGAAATTGCCTTTGCGCCGATAGGGCTGATGACGATACCAGCCGCTCCCTTGGACATAATCATGTTGTCGCAAGCCTGGAGGTGACCAGCGCTCGTGGGGACCTGGTTCATCGATCTCACCATCGGATTCTTCGGAACGGAACCCTGAGTGCTGCGATGGCATGCCGAACAGTGGGGAGCGGTGCGCATTGCTGTTATTTTCAAAGTCTTCGAGCGACGCATCTAGCGACGGGTGGTCGTCAAAGACGTTGTCTAGCTCGTCCAACATGGCGGACGGCGTTTGCTCGGATCGGCACTGCAAGTCGGGAAGTTGTCGCAAGGACGCAGCGTATAGCGACGTCCTGCAATATGTTGTTTACTAGGTTTTGCTGAAATGGAGCGGTTAGTAGAAGCGAAGCGATGGATGTGAATCGCATGCGCTGATACAGAGTGGATGCAAGTAGAGAGTAGAATAGAGTACGATCAAGTTGGAAGAGGAGAGACAATCGACCCCGCGCGCGGCAAGCGAATGCGATGCGACAGGTTGCGATGCGATGGAAAGATTTGGGCACTGGATTTTTGTATTGTTGCGCGAAATAGTAGGTATGAAATAGAAACAGGATTTGAAGATCTCGCATGGACAAGTAGCATAGAATAAAAGTCTTTGATTGTTCTGGGAATTTCAGGAAATCAGTACGCCTCGAGCAGTAATGTGGGAAAGAGAAGTGAACTCCTCTTTGCAGGAGGGGGGGGGGTAGAGGAGGCTGGGCCAATCCCATTCATGAACTGAACACCCGGTCGATCATGGTATCGAGGATGTCTTCGTGGTAAGTACAGTGGAAGTAACCATTGGTGGAGAGTTGGTGGAGAGTTGTATGTGGATGCAAGTCAAAGCAACTTCCACGGTACTTAGAGTTGTGCCTGACCGCCCATTGCCGCCCAATCGATTCTCGTCCAGACATTCTGAAACACTCCACCAATACAATCGTACAATTCCAAGATACAAGCCATCGTCATGAATGTACATGTCCGATGTACGTGTCCAAGGCTAAATGATATGCATCACATTCGAGGTCACTTCCATTCTTTCTCTCTTAGCCACCCCCTTCCCCATCCCGGGGTTCTACCCAGACCAGATCTGCACTGTGAAAATCGTTCGTACCTGCAGCCAGTCGGAACTACATATGAAAATGTGCGCAAAATCAAAAAAGATCAAAAACGAAAGTGATATTTTTGTGGAAAATTTTAGAGATTCAACATTGAGAAGAGAGTTAAAAGAGATTCTATTGCGGGTCAACCATGATAATTTGAGATAATATTACATGCCCAGTCCCTCAGATGCCCGGAAATCAGCCCACGGCGCCAATAAACCAATCCCAGACGTCTATGAACTCCAAGAGATAGGGTTGTGAGAACGAAAACGAAAAAGCCGTGGTAGAAAAAATTAATCATGCGTCACGTCATTTATGCGGTGGACTCCTTGAGGTAGCTGTATCATAATTTGTTAGTCTGTTGCTCAGAGTAGATTGTGCATAGAATTGCAGGATTGGATTGGAAACATACGTGATGAGGTCGTTGCGCTCCTTGCCCTTCTTGAGACCACCGAAGGCCATCTTGGTACCGGGGATGAACTTCTTGGGGTTCTCGAGGTACTTGAACTGTAGCGCAATGCAGGTTAGTCACTGTCACTGTCACTGTAACAGGTCGGGATTGACCAATGTCAGAATAATGGTAACTTACGAGAGTGTCCTCGGTCCAGGTAACCTCAGCCTGCTTGTTGGCGTCGGTGTAGGCGTAACCGTCAACGGCACCGGTCTTACGGCCGAAAAGACCGTGCAGCTTGGGGCCGACCTTGTTGCCACCGGCCGCCTCGACGGTGTGGCATTGAGCGCAGCGAGTCTGGAAAAGCTTGGCACCCTTGGCGGAGTCACCTGGAGCAGATATCGTATTAGCTTCGGCTTCGAGTTCGAGTTCGTTGGTTTGTGTTAAGTCCTCGTTTCGCGCATGCTGAGACCGATTGATGCGCAGAGCACACCGTCGGCCGGCATGGTGAGATGTAGGAACCCGCGGCGACTGGAATCGAATCGTGGCTGAGAGCAGCTGGATGCGATGCAATTGCGATTGGAGAGATTGTAGTAAAGACAGCCGGGTGTGAAGAAGAGGCGACATGGCGAAACGAGTCATGGTTTGATTGGGAGCCGAACTGAGCTGAGCAGGGGGGGGGGCCTTGTCTCTCGCAATAAACAAGCCGAGAACCGGTGGCTCATTCAAGAACAGCAAGCTCCAGATCGCATGCCAGTAGACAATGTTCATAACCAGCTTCCCATTGATGTATCTCATTCAAAACTCATTGTCCATGTCTCCTTGAGGCTCTGTCGCGCATGCCAACATTTTCTTTTGCTCTTTCCGCGACACGAATACCAGCGCTGGTAGGGAGGCGAGGAAGAGGGTTAAGCTTACCGGGAGCGAATGAAGCGTCCTTGCCCATTGTGAATGTGAGTTAAAGAGGATTTAGAAGGGAAAGTGGAAGATGTGTAGCTGTATAGAAGAAGATTCGAATCTTTCAGAGAAAAAAAAGACCAAAAGCAAGATTTTCCCGCGTTTTTGTACCTGGAGCCCGTCGGCTCCCGTGATCCGCCCATCCACCAATCAGGACGCGGTTAATTCAGCGCGACGGGCGCAACCGGGATTGTCTCTTACTTCTCGGTGAGACCACTTCAATGTTCCCTTATGACAAACGCCCAATGCTCCTGGGATTCCGGGGTCAATGGTTGGAATATGGACTTGATGCTCATGTCCAATTCGTTTCTTACTTGTTTATCGAGTTTCTACATACTGGTAATGTCGGATAGAGGGCTTAAGCGGTGGCTAATATTGTTGGCCGCCACCCTGTTCAACGCCTATGATCTCATTGTCCATCATCTACCCCCAAATCGTTTGGTTCCTAGCATTCTATTTTGAACTTCATCTGAAGATATATCATCTTCCAATGCTACGTTCCGTAGACTCGGAGTTCTTCGATTTATTTATTTATTTGATTTGTTGCGTCGAGTCCTGACTCCGTTGCGAAGAACTCCTTTCTTCCCCCTTAGAACTGGAACTGGGGGTATCGGCCCACTGGGGCTTCGAAATGCATCCGCTATCATTCGTGGAGGCTCCATAAAACCTGATTCAACCAGCCCCAAGTGGATCCTGAGGCAGAAAATTGACGTGGGTATTGTGGATTTGTGCTCGTTAGTCAATTTGAGTTGTCCGGCCGACACAGGATAATTCATCGTGGAGCGGATAAACGGCTATGTAGGTACACAGCATCGTACAATAGGGAACCGTCTAATAGGGAATCGTCTGGTTGTGGGAACCTCTTTCATTCCGAAGTGACAAGTCTGAGACATAGGCAAGACATCCACCCTTTTGTCAAATCGGCAGGGAAATTCTATGGAAACTCGGTAGAATGTGATTGAAGCTCAGAACCTGCAGGTCCGCCGGGCCGAGTTCACTGGTGCATGTCGTAGCGCAATTGTTCCAGAATCCGAGGAATCACCTGACTCGACTTCAAAATGGATAATTATGTGTGGGATTATGTAACCATAATCTGTGATGAACATTAATGACAGGCCAGCTGGCCTAATGGTTAGGGCACCTGTTTCCGGTTAAATCGTTCGCAGGAGGTTGCAGGTTCGAATCCTGCGTTGGTCGTCTTTTTGCTTTTTCACTTTTAGTGACGAAGTAGTCTGTTTTTTTATCTTTCTTCTTTCGAGTTTGTTTCTATACTCACCAGGTCAGCGAGTCAATCGACTATATACCCTACAATCTTGTTGTCGTGATACTCCTTAAGAGCCGTGGAACATCTGATATCCACATTCCAATGGCAACATACAATTTTGCAAACTTTGGTAGTATGTCAATGAGCTACAGATAATGACCTAGTTGCACCCTTTTCATACAAAATTCAATCATAAAACTTGGTTGCGCACTCTTAGCAATTTGATTGATGACCAGCTCCTCCCCGCGGAATGATCATGCTACGGCATAAAATTGCCCCGGTGCGTGGTATTTGGTTTTTAGTGCTTCGTTAAATTTGTTAGATTTGTTAAGTTCTCTTTCTATTCCAATATAGCTTAGTATAAACTGATATTTCACCGGCTTGGGTTCTATCGGAGATTGCCCAACTCAGGTTAGTCGCCGGTATTAACTGGAGGTGCCGAGTAAACACAAACTCGTCGGTTCCCAAAACAACTTTATCCTACATTCAAATGCAGCTCGCGATTTCGATATTCGTTAACAATGATCGAGCTCTTTCCTAGTGATTCTTTTCTAAAATCAACAAACTGCAAGGTACATTGAAAAGTTCCCAATGATCACCATGGCCGTACCGTCGGCACTTCATCCATCCTTCTGCATGGTCCCCACTTAGGGCCCTCGATGTCTTTCTTCGAAACGACTATCTTTTTAAACCAATAGTAGAACAAGCCTGATCAGCCAACGTGTAGCTAAGAAAATTTATATTCCCTCAGAGTTTTTCCACCACTCGTTATCTTTAATTTCCTGTATGTTTATTGTACCCCACAAACTTAATATCGGGTTCGAAAGTGGAATAGAATCCATAAATCCCGATATTACGCTCGAAGCCGACGATAGGATTGGATCAAATGGTGGCTGCCTATGTCCACCATGTTTCTGCAATCTCCCGTATAGATTAATTGGTCCCTGGGCTCGTTCGTTGGTATCTGACGACCTTCAGGGTTCTGGAGTATAAGAAGGGCCCTGGTCATGTTTTCTGTAGAAGATCATCCACTACATTCTTTTCCTTTCTTTTCCTTCTTTTCCTTCTGAAATTACTTTCTCTCTTTTACTTTCCCTCCCATTTGGTTATTTTCATTCCTTAAATCATGATTTTCGGTCTTAAGCTCGGCTTGATCGGCCTGATCGGTACTACCGCCGTTCACGCCGCTCCAGCTGCTACCCGTGCATCTGAAATTGAGCAGCGCTCTTCCACTTGCACTTTCTCTGGATCCAAAGGTGCAGCATCGGCCATCAAGTCTAAGACGTCTTGCTCGATCATCGTCCTTGACTCCGTCGCCGTCCCCGCGGGAACTACCCTTGATCTGACTGGTCTGAACAAGGGAACTACTGTAAGAAGTCCGGGCCAGTAGATCCAATATCTGAATCAGTAGCTGATTGCGAACAGGTAATCTTTGAAGGTGAGACTACTTTCGGATACAAAGAGTGGTCTGGTCCCTTAGTCTCTGTCTCTGGAACAGATATTACCGTCAAGGGATCCTCCGGGGCTATCCTCAACGGCGATGGATCTCGCTGGTGGGATGGAAAGGGAACTAACGGTGGCAAGACAAAGCCCAAGTTCTTTTATGCGCACAAGATGATTAGTTCTAAGATCGAGGATATCTATATCAAGAACTCTCCTGTTCAGGTCTTCAGCGTTAATGGAGCTAGTGATCTCACTCTAAGCGGTATCACTGTTAACAATGCCGATGGCGATGATAACGGCGGCCACAACACGGATGCTTTCGACGTCGGCGAGAGTACCGGTGTCTATATCACCAACCCTACCGTTCACAACCAGGATGATTGTTTGGCTGTCAACTCTGGCTCGGTAAGTACTACTTTAAGGACTGATAGACATGGACTTTATTAACACTACCATTCTTAGGATATCTCTTTCACTGGAGCTTCTTGTACCGGAGGACACGGAATCTCCATTGGTTCTGTGGGTGGAAGATCGGATAACACTGTTGAGAATGTCACTATTGAGAACTGCAGTATCAAGGATTCTCAGAATGGTATGTAAACAAAATTATAAGGATCTGCACCATACACTAAAAATATTTTTCTACAGGCGTTCGCGTCAAGACGGTTTACGATGCGACTGGATCCGTCAAAGACGTCACCTATAAGGATATCACTCTTTCTGGAATCTCGGACTACGGTATTGTGATTGAGCAGGACTACAAAAATGGTAGCCCCACTGGCACTCCTACTAGTGGTGTCCCTATCACTGGTCTTACAGTGAGCAATGTGAAGGGAACTATTGATAGCAGCGCCACCGATGTCTATATTCTGTGCGCTTCTGGTGCTTGTTCTGATTGGACTTGGAGCGGTGTCAGTGTTTCAGGTGGCAAGACTAGCAGCAAGTGCAAGAACATTCCTAGTGGAGCTAGCTGTTAGGGGACCCGTGCTGAAGCTGCTGTGTATGGGTTTCGTATACCGGGACTAGATACTTATGTTCTTGTATGTGTGTAGTACTCTTCCGGATTTGCTTTGAGTGTCTCAAGGCTTAGACAAATCTTCCAGTTCGGGATCAATGTAATACTATATCATACAAGTTCTCAAACTGGCCGAACATTCATTCGAACCTCGGACTACTGCTTTTCATACGCCGTAAAAGACCAATCCTCCCATGATATTCTAATCTATCGAGTACCAACTGAGTATAGCAAGCTACTACAACAATCCTGGGAGACACTTGAACTAATTTGATCAAGAATCACCCTGACCTTACGCTTGCGGTCTGAGCGAAAATTCAATTGAAAATTTTTGACTCTATCGGCATATCCATAAAGTTAAAAGTCGAATAGTAAAGCGTCTTTCGTAAATGAAACAGTTTGAAGCTGAGTATATAATGTGATATTCAATACTAAGTAGCTTTGGTATATTACCTAGCTTTAAGATCAATGCTTGCCTTGCTTCTCTGAGGTCTCTGACCCCGAATCCCACTCGTCATCTCCTCCGGCGTTTTCCTCCTTTGCAGCAATGATAATCCACAAGATCTTCTTGGTCCCCTTCGCCTTCTTATCTTCTTTCCTGTCTTCCCTCCAAAAGCTGTCCCAGATCTAGTCCCACGTAGCAATGCCCATAGAAATAATATTGTGTCATTCTCCGAAGACCTAAAGGCGACAGTAATATTTTTTGGGGAGGTGTAGAGCTTGATCGCCCGCAAATTGAGCTAAGCGTCCCAAAAAGCTTCGATCAAGCGCGCACGATCAGCAATAAGCAATTATGCCATGGTCTTCAGAGCTTAGTTAACTCCTAACCAGTATCAGAGGGTCCAGAACCGGGGAATATGTACAGGTATTGTCATAGGGCTGGCCAATCGCCGTTGGGGCATCTGATAGATCAGATAAAGAACAGACATGATCTCCGTGCGAAAGTACATCCCATAATTTACTTCAGCATTGGTCTTTGTGATTGCCTTTAATGCGCAATTTGTGGTTAGCAACACACGTGAATTTGAGTGGCTGTGATTAATTAATCCTCCCGGTTTGCTCCATTTGAGAGACCTTGGCAATGCAAATTGCCAATTAAATGACCATTTCCCATTGGGGATCCATATCACATTGCTTTAAATGTAATAGTAGAGGATTCTGGTAAAGAATGAACATTTTATGTCGAATCAGAACCAATTTGGTTATTATTTCGCCGTAACGAAATATTCTATCATAGTATAGACTTCAATAATGATGAAAACCGGTTGAAGTTGTCCGGGTAGAGGCAGTTGCGTAGAAGTGTCGTTTCTTTCAACCATTTGGGGAGGGTCATCGCTACCTGGGGGCTTAGGTATAACTCGAAGAACCGGGGATTGTCAGCTGAATACCTATGGAGTGACAGATTTTGGATATGGATGTTATGGGCTTGCAGTTCTGTCAAGTTCGACCGTTGTTAGTATTGGCATCGAGTGCCATATTCAGTATGGCCAAGACCTTCAGAAAATGGACTGGCATTGTTAAGGGTCGATAGCGATGAAAAAGTAGAAGCAGGACTTGAAATTGTCGAGATAAAGCGAGAGACAATGCGGAGGAAGTCAGTCGTGTTATGGAGAGCCCGCTTACATACATGCAGCATTTATGTAGCCACAAACACTTATTTTGCCAGCGGGTCGCCAGCCATATTTATCAGATAGGTTGGAAGCATTTCAGGATATCTAAATGTTATGCAGGCAGCATATGAAGTCGCAAAATCACCAAAAAACGACCAACGCAGGATTTACCTGCAGCCTCCTGCGAACGATAAACCGGAAACAGGCGCCCTAACCATTAGGCCAGCTGGCCTCGCATGAAGAGAAGAAAAGCCTCTCGTTGATCTATGATCTAAACAAGATAGATGATGCTTATCCCGTGATCAAGACTTAGTCATCGTGGCTGGAATACATATGTGGCGCAGTAAGTATCAAGCCACAAGTCCCGCGGACCTAACGAACACTCTGATTGGTTTTCAGCTGGCTTCCAACCTACCCGGCTCCAGTTAATCCGATAATCAAAAAACATCAATTCTGTTGTCCCTCGAACATCTGAACCCCAATCTCCAATCACTCAATTGATCTATACCTCCCCCATTCACCTCACTTATCTAGAGGTGAAATACACCTAGGCAAAATGCCAACACCAATTCCTCCCTTCCTCCTCCCACGAGGCCTCCCAACTGCCCGGACCCTCCGCACCCTCCAACAAAATCACCGCGCCTTAAGCACCACCTCCGCCCTCTCAGCACGCAGTAACAGAAAGCCTGAAACAAACAAGAACCGCATCCTTGAGAAACCGGACAAGTTCCGGCCCCCTTCGCATCCGCAGCGCGCTGTTAATCCGGCTACTCGCACGGCGTCTGGCCAGCCGATTACTTATGGGCCACGATTGACGAGTGCTCAGCGCGAGGAACAGAATAAGAAGCAGTATCCTAATATGTTTCCGCCAGAGGGGACGGTGATGTTTAAGTTTTTGACTAGTCGATGGATTCATATTTGGATTGCTATGGTGCGTACTTTACAACCTACCTACATGCTTGTCAACTTGCCTACTTGCCTTTTTGCAAGTAGCATGACATGTTGTCAGCTTAAAGAAACAACTTGCTAATATTAATTAACAGAGTATCCTTACATCTCTCGCTACTTTCACCTTTACTACAAACTTCAAGGCTACTTCGCCTTTTGCTCATCTTCTTCCTTCCTGGTCGGGACTGTTGACTGCGCCTTTCGATACTATTTCGCAGGCTTTGTCGGTTTATCGTATGCATGTTCAGCATGAGTCGATGCGTGTACGGGAGCAGAGACATCGTAGAGTGGAGGATGCTGAGAAGCGGAGACAGTACCGTGTTGCGCATGGGTTGGAGGAGCCGAATGATAAGGAGAAGGAGAATGCGGCGGTGGATGATCAGAGTCCTATTGCTCCTGCGCAAGGGAGTGATGAGTATGTGGATTTTGATGGGAATAGGAAGCCCGTGAAGAAGTGGTTGGGTATTTGGTAGAGCTGTCTACTGCTGTTACTTTTTGCTTATGGCTCTACCTACCTATTGTACTTCGGTTGTGTTACTATATACTACACTTCATTCGGAAGAATGGATGGATGAATAGACTGTGTTTACTACAGTCATATTGTTTGATAGAACTTGTACACAATGTATACTAGTGTTTTGCGTTTATGTTTCTTCTATTGCGTTGTAGAAGAGCTCGGGATTATGGATGGATGTAAGTAGGACTTGATAGATCATGACTCATGAATCCCCTCAGATCATTTTAGTGGTATAAATGCAACCCTTGAAACCGTGACCTCTAATATGTCACAAAGAAAAGAGAAAGTAAAGTATTACAATAATCATGAAACCTCAACACCCTCCAATCCCGAAAGAACATCCTCACCAACGCCACCCTTCTTCAGCACAGTCTTCACCATCCCCGCAATAACGCTCCGCTTAACACCACCACGTCTAGGCCTCCAAACACCAGGAACTTCCTCCTCACCCGTCGCAGGATTGAGAACAGCCATATTCTCGTTCGGAGCCGGAGCACCGAGCATATTCACATTCTCCGAATTGGGAATTCCAGGCTGCGTAAGTCGGGACGGGGGATCAATCGTTCGGATAGAGAGTAATTTCAGTGGTTGCAGGCTGTTTGCTTCGTTGTCGCGCGTGACGGATATAGCGAGGACAGCGTCTGCAACGGCGATTTCTTCACGGGTTGGATCGAAGATCACATTTTCGCCTACTGAGATCACGAGGAGGGTTACGGGCGGTCGAACTTGGGATGTGTTGGATGCTCCTGAGACGCGGGGGTAGATGTATTCTGCGACGGCCCAGTCGTCGTCGAAGAATGGGTCTTCTTCACCCTTTGACTTGAGCTTGGGTAGCTTGGTGGATAGGAGCGCGAGGTGTGTTGTTAGAGAGAGGAGGGGGAGTGGGTATGAGAGGGGTTGAGAGAGGAGGAGAACCTAGATCATGGTTAGTCACATACATCGAAGGTGTAGAAGAAATTCATGCATGCAACTCACATCAATGTACAATCTCCAATGCCACCGTTTATTAATAACCAATCTTCCCTTCAATCCACCAGCCATGTTATCTTCTCCATTGTCCTTCACACCAACGGAACCAACAAGACTTTCTCTCATCATCTCAGCCAAAAATACAGGTAAAGCATCATCGTCCCGAAATCCAGGAATCTCAATAGACATCTGCACCCATGACCCATGTCCACCCGTCACAGCAGATGAGGATCCCTCACTACCTTCTCCGTTACCATTACCAGTTCCAGCCTGACCCTCATGTTGCACGTCAAGTGTATCAGATACAAGAACTGTCTTCTCTACTTCAGCCTTGACGCCGACGATCGCCTGCGTACCGTCTGCGAACCCGATGCGCGCGCTCCCATTTGTACCAGGGAGAATGTTTGTTTCGGCGCTTAAGGGTCTGAATTGGGTGGGTGAGCGGCCGTCTGGTCGGATTGGAGAGTTGGGGAGAGAGAGAGAGGTGTAAAGGTAGGATAGTTCGGCGGGGGAGAGGTGGGGGATTTGAGCGGCTGAGGAAGCCTGGCGTTGGGATGACATTTTGGTGTTTTGGTTTGACTTTTCGAGGGTATTTTTTTTCTTCAAGTGTTTACTGGTATGTGTGATTGCGTTTTTTGGAGTTGTGCGTGGTGAGCGCGATTGAGCTGAGTTGAGTTGAATTCAGATCGAGGCGAGCGAGGTCGTTCACAGACAGGTTTTGCAGCAGACACCTGGGTGGTGTTTGTTTGGTGTTGTGTTTTTGGATATTTCTTGACCGCTTGGTTTTCTGCGGCTTGAGACAAGTAAATATGCTGATCACAAGACCTTGGGAGGTTGCTTGGATATCAATTGCTTGAGGTTAAAAAAGGTTAAAGAGCTTGCTTAATCGGGAAATTCTATGATGGCGGATCATTGTCGGGCCGGGGGTTGTTGGTGGTTCTGCGATGGCACATGGTGTGCCGATCTATGTACAGTATGTACAACTCAAAGCAAGTACGATCTTCAGCTCTTGGGGCTTTATTTAAATACGAATTCAATTATTTGGGATGCTTGTAATGCGCATTGTCAAATGGAGGAATCAAAACAAGTACAGAATGAGTATTATGCATGTCAAGTGTATGTAATTGGCAGTAAGCCGCAAAGTCTATATTACAATAGGATAGGAGACCGGAAACCAGCCAGTCAGAGCCAGAGGATAGGTAGTACATGAAAGAGTGAAAAGCGGCTGGTATGGACTCCAGGGTGTATCGATCGATTAGATCGTGGAGAGAGAGAGAGAGAGAGAGAGAGGAGTGGACCCAAGGGGCCATGATGAAAAAAGGAAATGAAAATGAATGATGCGACAGGATAGTATGGCAGTAGCCAGGCAATGTACAAGAGTCAAAAATATATGGACAAAAGAAAAATGAGACACCGTTAATGGGTAGATGGCTGGGTGAGATGCAAAATGATAAGGGATCAAAAATGGGGAATGGTATATGATGCGACTTGCGCGTGGTATCAATTAAGCAGAAAATGGGTTGAGAAATTTGTGCAAGTGTTTTCTGCAGCAAGATTCAAAACGACAAGAACAAAATTGACAAGTGAAAGGACTCCAAGATTCCGAAATGAAATGTTAAAAAAAACCAGGGTGCGAGGCCAAATCCATCTATCAAAAAGGCCTATGGGGGTATGATGATGGGAAAATTGAAGAAATGTAAAAAGCGAAAGCGAAAGAACCACACAAAGCAAAGTAGAAACCCATACCCATACCTTACGTGGAAATGAAATCAAAAACAAAACCACCGCACCGGAAAGATGTAAAAATAAAATGAGAGACCGAGACCAATGCGCCTTACGCAGTATGTATCAGTTTTTGGCGCGTTTCTGCCAGACTTTTTTGAGATTCACTCAGATGGATAGAAGATGCGTCATTTTTTCGAGATTGTAGACCGTCTTCAGAATGATTGGACACCCCGTTTAGATGTAGTTGGGTCCAGAGGTCAGATACTGAGAAGATGTCTTGCTGTTCCACTCTGATTCCTCGTAAGGGGGGGTTGGCCATTGACGATTTGAGTTCACAGGATCAATCTTGGATACGTTCTGGTTGATGGGTGTATCAAAGTAGCTCTCACGGTGAGCTGCAGTGGGCGATGGGGTCGGGTAGGGGCTTGGTAGAGCCCGAGATTGAGCAGCCATAGACTGAGTCTGGGCTAGACGCTTAGCAGCTTTGCTGGCAGAGTGCAAAACCTCATCCAGAAGCTCATCTTCCTCCTCTGGTGTCTCGTAGCGATGAACTGGGTGACTTGTCATCTGCAATGCACGGCGAGTCCTGCTGGAGATTGGACTAGGGTTGGAACTAGTAGCTTGAGGCATGGACTGGCGTTTTGTGATGTGATTTTCTGAGCTCAATTGCACAGGCACGTTACCGAGGGTGGAAGAGTCCAATGAGTACTTCACGCTTTGAAGGGCCTTGTCAAGTTCACTCAGGTCTGAAGACTTAGACTCCGAGAGACCGGTTCCATCAAGAGCCACAGAAGACCGGTTGGACCATGGGATACAACCAGCGTTGGCCTCGATATCGTCAGGAGCTGCTGCCTGGTTCCGTCCGGACAATCTGCGAGCACGCTTACGCAGGTGCGAGAAGAAGCTTTCTTTGGTAGTGGGCGTAGTGTTGCCGGAACCATTCAGCACTCTCTCGGCTTCCAGGCGGTGGGCGTCAGAGTAATGGTTACCATTGGAGTTGACTGATAATTGGCGACCAATCTTCTTGCTGGCCTTGCTCGCCTCGCTTTCGGTAGGCTTTTGTGCCTCGTTATGCGCGACGGTCGCGTTGGCTTGGGCAGTGACAGAGGCTGATAAAGGAGAAACGGGACGGATAGAGGGGAGAATAGGCATCGGGGCGCCATTGGCCCATGTAGCCCGCTTGCTGTTTGCAGGACGAGGCTTCACGGGCTGGATTTCGGGTACACTGGTGTAGGAAACAGCTGGTTGTCTAACAGGGCTCTCAATCTCGCCAGGGATGGGACTTTCAGAGCGGCCGATTAAAGATCTGCGGAACCATGAGGGCTTGGTGGAGAGAGTAGGCGAATCACAAGGGGAGAGTGTTGGGGACTTGAAGCTACGCTCCGATTGCTTGCGACCAAGTAGTCTTGACGAAGTCGAGGACTTGGGTCGCAGGGGATCCGTAGCGTCGGCAAAGTACTCGTGGTTCAATGCTTGTGTTGAAGTAGGGCGGTTCTTAGGATCCCACATTAAACACCAGGTAACGAATTCAGCCAGAGCGGCCGGCCACTGAGGCTGTTGGAGAACAGTGTCCATCGCATGGGGCGCCATTTTAGGGAAAGTGAATCCCAGCTTGTGCGCCAAGCGCGATCCTTCTCGCCATTCACCACCGCCAATCTTCGCACCAGCTTTGCTGTACCAGTTTCCAGGGCTACCCATAATTTCACACACGCGCCAAACCTGATCCACCTCATTTCCACCGGGGAAGAGGGGCTTCAGGGTGGCAATTTCCACAGCCATGGCGCCAATTGCCCACATATCAACGGGGGCAGAGTACTCCCCAGCGCGGAGAAGTACCTCTGGTGCCCGGTACCAACGAGTAGATACATAGGTTGTGTATGGTTGCTTGGAGTGTGTTTCACGGGCGAGACCAAAGTCTGCAATTTTCACGGTGTATGTTGGAGGGGTTGAGGGAGGAGTGACGAGGTTTGAGTAGCGGCTGAAGGTAGAGTCATTGGGAGCGGAAGTAGAGACAAGGATGTTTTCGGGTTTAATATCGCGGTGAAAGAAGTGGTGGGCGTGAATGTGGTCCAACCCAGACAAGATTTGGTATAAGATGCTCTTGACATGCTTGCCCTCGAAATACTTATGGTCACGGGCCTTCATCAATTGGTACAGGTTGCCGTCCATGTACTCCATACAAATGTGCAGTTTGCGGGAAAGAGGGTCGAGGAAAATGTCGAGAGCGGGTACGAGATGAGGATGTAATGGCAAGGTGCGCAAGAAGATAACTTCACGCAACTCCAGACACGGTGTCAATGAGTCGAAAGTCTTCTTCATTGTTTTGATAGCGACCTATATATCATTCAAACATTTATTAGTCTTGTCATGTGTGGGTTTGGTTGATCAACCAATTCGCTACGTCATTTCAGATCCGTACCATGGTGCCTCGCCGCGCAATATGGGACCCGGCGGTTCGTACGCGCGCAACTGCGACACTTCCAAAGCTTCCATCGCCAACTTCCTTGATGACTTGAAATCGATCTTCTAAAGTCGCGACTGATGTGTTGGTTCCCTTTGAAGGGGGAGAGTCGTATGTGACCGTCATTGTGATGTGAATTCTCCGGATCTGCCCGCAGATAAAGAGAGAATGTGGGCTAGAATGTGGGAGGTAGAAGTCAGGAACATATTCGAGACCAATCGTGACATCAGGGATATCTTCCCTTCCAGGTTCACTCACATTATTCAAGAGGGGTAGAGGGGGGAGGGGTTTCAGATTGAACTGCCCACAATATATTCAGAGAGGGAGGGGGGATAAATGTGAGTAAGTCAATTGGGGCGAATGGTCATCATTCGCGTTGTGATGTGGTGGTGAGATGAGTAAGGAGCAGGCCGCTTTCCCATTTGATAAAGTAAGGAGTGACAGAGTAGTTGGAAAGGGAGTGTAAGTTGAGGAGGGAGAAGGAGGGGGAAAGAGAGAAGGGCGATCTGAGAAAGACCGGGCACGATGCAATAAAAAGGAATTCCCACTCGAATAGGAGAAGACCCGTATGTGGATGATCAGAAACCGAAGCCCCTGACGCGCTGACAGCTCGAAGCTCTGGGAGTGGAGACGGTAAATTAACCCACGTTAAGACCAAAAACGCAGATCAGCCCACTCTGGAGGCGTTGGATTGGGGATATAATGGGTTAATCCCGTAATGAACCTGTGGATATTGGGTTCTGTGGATGAAAAAGGGGTGTGGAGGAGGAGGAAATGAAGATGAGAAGAGGAAAGAGACATCCAAAGTTGGCCGTTGAAGCAGGTATATGGGTATTATTATTATTATTATTTTTCACCAGAGCCAAATGTAAAAAAGAAAATGCAGAGGGGCCAGGACCAACGAACGATTTCAATAGTGAGAAGAATGAGGTGGATGAAGAAATTCAACATCATACAGGACATTACATAGTTTACAACGTGTTTACATCTATTTTGAGTGGCTTGGACTCGAGATTACCAGTTGATACAGTAGATACAGTAGATTACTAGACACTGCTTAGTCTCACTGTTAGGGCACTGCATCCCCCCACAGCCGGTGGCCAATCACCCACTCTATATGCCTTCCCAAGTGGATCTATTCGATGGCTGGGATTCGGAGCCCCGTTCCTGGTTCTTGTACTGTATTTAATTATGGAGCAGTTTCAATTTCCGTTTGTTTGGGATTTTCTTTTTCCGATTTTTAGGGGATTTCGAGGCGAAAAAAGAGAGAGCGAGAAAAGACACTAAAATGTACAAAGATATACCAGTATTTATTAATATTATTCTACCTAATGTAGACTATAGAATTATGGTAAGAAGAAGAATAATAATAATAATAAATACAAATCAAAGCAGAACTGCACATCACCCGATCATCAGCTGATCCCAAGCATCCTTTTCCAGTATGCAGACTCTTCATAGGGTAGAGTTCACTATGCACGGCGCCTAGAAAGAGAAAACCAACACAAAGTTGGGCAACAACATTTACTTACAGGAAGTAACTAGGGGCGGTCCCTCCCGTAAGAACCAACCTTGGAAACGGTTCACCCTCCATTAACTCCAGTTGGGCCGCGTTGCCCCCGTATTTTATTTTCTTCCTCCCAGGGTCTCTGCGCGCATCTACCGTGTCGCTGGGACCTCGTCCGCATGACGTTGCGAAATGCAAATTGGCTGGACCAATCTATCAAATTTACCCATCCTTCGAACAGGTCACTATTCTACCAAGCCATCTATATTCTATACCTATATACTCCGTAAAATGTACATTTAGATTCGTATTCACCTGAGCAGCGTTGATCAGTTGATGCTTCGAGTCCATTTGCGATCTATGTATTTATTGATATCGCACAGAGAGAAGGTATTAATAGTTTATACCGGCAAGGAGAGCCCGAGTCCGGATCAAGTCGATCATGATGTCTGCGATGTCATGTCCTACGTCGGACTAGTCGCAAGGAAAGCCCTTTTCTCCCTTCTCCGAGTCTCTGTATCCATTCATATGGGCCAATTTGATCAATGAGAAAGAATTTCCCCCTATTTCACGCGTCATTGGAGGAGATCAATGTATTGATTTTCATTAATCGCGCTCGTTGACCGGGCACCCTGTCTTGCCACCGAATTTACTGGATCCGAGCTTTCCTCAAAGGAGGACGGAAGGAATTATAAACCCTTTTCTATTCAGAGATGATCTCCGAGTGGTCCGAATTGCTTTCTTACTGCCTTATTCGTCATTAAGAATGGGTTTTAGGTTCGGGTGGCCGGAAGCGTTCGCACCGGATTGCGAAGATGGAAAATTCCATACAGACTCTCTAAATGGGGGGGCAAACAAGCAAGTTTAATTGGTACTTTGATTTCTTTTTGGTTATTTTTGCTTTTGCGAATTTAAATTCTATTTGATTTGCATTCAAAGAAAGAAGGATTGTCCACATGTACGATGGATATGGGGCATCCATTATCTCGCATATGATCAGTATGTGGTTTCCTCCCACAGGCTGCCTTGCTTAATTCTTCATGTAAATTTCCAGCCTTTTATGTTCCAGTTACGCCCGGAGCACTCGCTGATTGGGAACAGATGGCGTCTCATGATTCACTTTGGCTGCGCAACTCAAGGGAGAGTCCAGGATTTTTCCCGCTCTCTTTTCTTTGTTTTATTATTTCTGTATCCGTTCAGTCCCGCGTGGGAAATTAATAACAACGGCCGATCGACATCCCTGCTCCGGGGAACCCATCCGGGACAAAGAGAGGTCCTTTTGGTCAGAAGTCTTCGGACCTGTGTGGTAGGATCATGATCCACTTGATAGACTCCAGGAACCCGAGAGACAAAGCCGTGGGAGAGTTGATCTGTCTATCATCACCTCAATTTTGGTACTTTGCTAACTCCAAACGAATCTAGCCACTATTTTAAATACGATACATGTAATGTTTCATCAACCCTCTGATTACCTGCAGGAATCGCACCTGTCAGACCGCGACGAACCCTGGGGCGACCGTTTGGCCCGCAAGGATCCAGGATTAATGCGTCGCCCCCATCATCTGTTTCGCGTTGAATTCTGTTGGTTCCTGTTGGAGTAGTTTTCATTTCGGGGCGTCTAATCAGCTAACTGGGGGCGTTTTTTTCATTTATCTCTTCTTGTGAGGCTTTGGATATTATCCTAGAATTTCCTCAAGCCGCGCAATCCATGGCGGATCTCTCCTTTCCTCCGGAGGGGGCGCCTCTCCCGGTCTCGTGCGCAGAAAGACGAACCTCACCCGTTGGGGCAGTGGACTAAGGGCCGTACCGACGTTACAGCAGTGGGCCGAAAGGGTAACTCGACAATCCCAAAATGTGTCCCAAATCGTGAGACCACCCCCACTCACCCTTCATGGTGTGGACAAGGTGGGAGAGACTTGGGCATCATCACAGACAAAAGATAAAAACAAAAACGGGGCGTGGACTCCAGGCCGGCGATACTCCGTACCCAACGCGCACCGCATTATGTGTACATGTACCAAACACCGATGGGGTACACCATGCCCGCGTGTGGAAAGCCTACTTGTTGGAGGTGGGGGATCCAGGTACTCCGCGCGTACGGAGTACCAAGGATGTACCATACTGTACTAATGGACAGGATATCCTCATAACACCTATTCTCTGTGCTGGAGCACGAGTCGGTCTGTATATTTTGTGTACTGTACGGAGTACGCGCCGCCAATGGCATTCGCATTGGTGGATGCACAACACAGATAGTGGACTCTACAGCACTCCTTTGCATTCAAAAACTGGTGCTCACCGCACGCGTTCATTGCTCGAAGCGCTCGCGCATGTGGATCTAGCGCAGAGACGGTCTCTTCGGGGGACGACGGAATACCCACCGCGTGGACCTCGTCCAGGCCCGTCCCTCCTACCCGATAGCAGCGTTGCGAAGGGGGATCGCCTCTCCTCGCCACCAGGAATGACACTATTTGCACCAGTCGCCAAACTACCGGGTACCTCCGTCATCCTTCCAAGGTCTTCGAGAAGGTCGCCTTAATATCGCTCTGGCCCTGTCCGGGATCAATAACCTCATCATTTGCCTACAGATTGCAATTTACGAGAGTCCCTTTGCGGAAATTATCACCATCCATCCCCTTTTTTGTAGAGTGGTCCCTCCGAAGCAAGAGCACCCACCATACGGAAGACTCCCACCTGTTCTTTTTCTGTCTCTTGGCCCCTCCTCCCCCTTTCCCTTTCCCCTTCCCCCTTTTATGTATGTATGCACTCTTTTCCCCAGGGGAGGGCTCGTCCCACATTGTGCCCTCTCGAATCCACTCCAAATTCTCCGAAAGGACTCCTACCCACCATGGACGAGGATCAATGCCTGGCAGAAGCACGTTCACGGTTCCCGTGAATGACCCGTGGACTAGCCAACCAACTCCATCTGACTATTCTCAACCATTCAATCGACAAAGAAGCAAAATAACAAACCACCTCGACCCACATCAGACCCCGATCATAATTTCTACCTACTTTAGCGTGCGCTTTTACTCTGGTCGCTGGGAAACCTGAAAACAACCAACGTATCAGAACTTCAAATGGATCATTTCTCCTTTTCCATATGCACCCCATTGATCCACGATCAAGATCCCAGCCCGCTCCATCCCCATTTAATCTACCCATGTAGCTGTATCTACCCGTAAACATGCACGAGGGGGAAGGGGGCGCGCACGGCACCTAACCTTACTAAAGTTCTCGATGAACCTTCCACCGTTAGCTTACCCCCTCGTTTTAGTTTAGTTAAATACTTAACTCGAAGCTTCTTAAATGATTAATATCCACCATTTCAATCATGATTGCTCCGGATCCTGGGTTGATCAATCCGGCTCCACTATCACTGGAGTAACACACGCCTCTAATAGCACTATGCGTTTCTGGAAGGTGATAACCGTGGTTCTATTTCTTCTATGGAGACCGGGATTCAGCCCGCGCGGCCCCTAATTCTGAACCGATGAGCGTCTAACCGCCCAAAGTACCGGGATTGAACTTGATAATCTAATTCAAGGGGGATTTTGTCTTGGCTGTCTTTATGTGAGGCATATTCGAATCGGTTTTTCTCTCTATAAGGTTCTCTGTACTCCGTATTTCCCGGGTCTCTGTCATCGGATGCACTAGTCCTAATTAGGGGGTGTTTCCGCTGGTCGCACACTTGTGCATGCCCACATAAGCAGGTGGTGGATGTACTCCTGATGAGTCAGCTTAAATTACAGTAATTCCTGACCAGTTCTCTCGTGGTGGTTCTACGTATCATCTGCTCGCCGCAGCCCTTCAAGACTAATAGTAAGCAAGAAAATCAAAGCAGCTCCGGAACAGGCTATTGTTCAAAGAGCATGACTACATTTCTCTTGGCATGGTGCCTTGGCAAAGGATTAACACCCAAGTCGAACCATCGATCATTCTAATATAATGGCCAATAGAATGTAAGGATCTGCTTTCGAATCGATTTATGGAACTGCATATCCTGCAATGCTATATGAATGCTGAGCTAGATACGCCTAAGTCTGGCACCTGTCTCATATTGACCATGAATTAAAGATCACGAGTGGTACAACTCGCGATCTAGATGTGGATATTTATATTCTGGGATTGAAGTCATAGGCTTTGTGAGCGCTACTGACGTATTTTTTGCTTTCGATGATTATGGACATTTCTATAGATGGCCCTTGGCATTGTGGAATGACTGCTTGAGTCGGTCTAGATCAGTTCTTCTCCAGTAAAAATAGAAGCATGAAGCCATTTTACTCTCGTATTTCTTCTGGGTCATTACTTCATGATCACTAGATTATACCTTTGCATGAAGTGACTTGTCTCTTAACCTTGAACTTTCAAATTCTACATATAAAAAGAGCCAAATTCCATGCATACTACAAGCGTTTCTCTTTGGAATAACAACTTGAACGCTATCTCACTACAATTCACTACAATCGAGACCACAGACCTGCTTCTTAATTCTTATTTTCTTCTTCTTCTTTTGAACTATCTATCTTTTATCTTTTTTGAAATGAAGTCGTCTTCTTATCTACTTTTTGCACTTCTGCCCCTTGCTACCCAGCTGGCAGTAGCATCACCGATTGCGGACCCGGACCCTGATACCCTTGAAGAGCGCGGTGGAGGCAATCACGGTGGCTATGGAAATGACCACGGTTGGAATGACCACGGATGGAATGATCACGGAGAGAATAACAAGAATCCCTGCGAGGTCAAACAAACTTACCCATACTATAAATATCCTTGCGGGTCAAGTCCCTCAAACGGAACATCTCTCCTCGGAGCAACCTTTACCTCATATTGCAAGTACCAGTGAGTGTCCATAGAAGATTCCTTAACTATATCGAATAGGTTTACTGATAGTTGTCTTAGGAACGGAGATTCTGGAGTTTGGTATAGCGCCCCAAAAGGGTGGGTGAAAGAGGGAGACAAGCCTCGAAGATGTCGTATGTGTTTCCATTGCCTCGGCTGCTTATGACTGGAGTGAGAGACTGGATTGACTGACTTTTATGTAGCTGGGGCATCGAAACCATGTCCTGTCTAAATCTGCGATACTAATTGAATCTTTTCTGATCGTTATGCTTTTTTTCTGCGACTTCAACATGAAAGGCTCAAAAACATTACTTTGTGTTTTGAAATCTTGCTTTCGATATCAGTTATATTCAGGACGAGGTTATATACCACTATCTGTCTTTACTATCAAATCCGAAAATATCATAAAATCCTCTGATTTCTTCAGGGAACCCCAAAAAAAATCCAGCCTACGAATAAGCGTATTCAAGATAGTAAATTAGCTTTCGGGCGTATGTAGCTTTGTCTAACGGTACATTCATGTTAAATCTCATCTACAGCCATCTCAAGGTTCTACTATGTAGATCACCATGCTGTGTGATTCAATCGACTTTGCCAAGTACTTTTTAAATGTTCAAAAAAATCTGGGAGGGCAAAACTGTGAGAAAAAAAAAACTTAAACTCTATTGTTATTTTAATGTACGGTACATGCACAGCCGCATGCCAAATATTTGATGGACCAAGATGCCAAGGCTTTTTGGAGCGGACCAGCCAAATTTTGAGCGCGGAATCTAGCGGGAAGCTTGGCATTGGATTCAAGTTAGCAAATATTAAAGCGAGAGCGGGAGCGGGAGCGAGAACGATATGAAACAAGTTTTTGGGCGTTGAAGAATTCTGTTCTTCGGTACTAGCATTTTGAGGGAGGGATTGTGAATTGCTCAATGGTGTTGTGAACAAGGATGAAAAGTAGCGGGCTTATGAGACGGTAGTCGCCTGTCGAAAACTTGTCTACTTTGGCTGTCACTGAGAATATCGCTAGGTAGTTTTTCCCCGCTCGACGAGATCCTTAGCATCTATTTTTGGAACAAGGCTTGTTGATTTGATTGATATAATTTGGCTGGACTTCTCAGACACATAATGACGTGGCGAGTGTATCGAACGTGATGTTACTGTAATTTATGCTGAGTAATGAAAAGTACATAGCCCATTTCCAAGGTTTGAGATTGGCGGGAGAATCTCCTAATACAGACTAGTTTGACCGGTGTGGAGCCTTGGAAAACAGAGAGCAAGAGAAAGGAGGTGAAAACTAATTTCAATTATTACTGTGGTAGTTTACCTCTGACGATGTTGTACAGGCGATGGATCATGGATTTCCCTGCCTGTTATGGAATAGTTGGACCCTCTGTTTTGATTATTCCTTCGGTTTTCTAGAAACTACAGGTGGATGTACAGTACAGTCCCGAGTAGAGGGATGGCCAATCATGTTCCTGAAGAGCTGTGTCAAGCTTGAGCATTATTTTTGGAAGTATTTTCTGTGGGCTCGGCTAGGCTTCAAGGTTCGGCTGTGCTTGAGATGAGGATACAATTTGTCAATGTTTCTTCGGAGGGGAGAATAAGGGGCGATTGGATGGAGATTGGAGATTGCAGGTTTAGAAGATAATGGAATTTCGGCTTTGACCATGTACGGACTCGGAGTACAGTCGATCATTGGAATGTTTGGAGGGGCTCTGGGGACTTTGTTGGATTATTTGTTCAATGATTTAGCACTATGTTATCTAGTACTCAATGGTATGGAGCACAGGTACTGACATCGTGATAAGTCTGTATAGATTAAGGGATGCCAGACTATCGGGGTTCCAAATCAACATTAAAATGGATATTTAATATCTGTGGAGTGAAGACCTCGGGATCTGGTCAATATAAATAGCCTACGTAGACTTCTCAAAGGGGGCTCTTCAAACGTAGTAAGAATGAGGCTATGTGCGAGATAGAGTGCTCAGCCTCGTTAGATGATCTCGTGGGCCTCGGGATGATGCTTAGCGGGCTTATCTGAGTGTATTCAGTGTTGAGTTGCGATATACGATAGATTTGGAATAGACTTGTCCCAGACTACCTGGAAGTTTTGGTGGTACTCAACTGACTTCAAATGTTTGTTCATGCATAGCATATGTAAGTGTAGATTTTGGGTACTCATAGTTGTTCCTATACCTAGCATGGAACAATGGTGGCACTGGCAGTAGTCGAGATAAATCTTCAAGTTGGAATTGATCCTCTGGTACTCAGGCTGTACTTTTGATAAATGACCACTGGTTGTCACTAAGTTAATCAGATAGCCCGGTGGTACATACTATGCCTTCTAAGGTTTTCGGAGCTTGGTCTTGAGTAGTAGTAATTGTCACGTCACGGCATCTATAGGTCACTATGTCGGCGAGTCATGTTCATCACATCTATATTCTACTACTATCCTCATACGAAGTTTCTCTAGGGTTAAGGAGTCATTCTTTATCTCGATCATATACAACCAGTCTGCCTTGTTCGTGTGGAGGTATTAAGATATTGGAACCAACATTTGAAAAGGCTAGAACTGGAGCTTCAAGTTGTAGCGAGGTCCGAGTATCAGGCTACTACTAGTATAGTAGTAATACTATACTAGGTAGACGAGGCTCAAACCCGCTATTGATACAGGATGCTGCTCCCACTGGCAGTACTATAGTACTAGTAGTAGCAAACTGATTGTACATAATTATATTCTAAAATAGAGTTCACTGAATTATATGCTATCTTATAACTAAGCATTGGAAAATATTGAAACTATTTCTTATTAGGTGTTTTTGTTTGCAAAATTCGAAGCTTGCGATGGTATTACTGATATAGCAAATACTCTCGGGATTGTTACAGTCACAAGTAAGTGGACAAGCACCTTCCTCATATCAGCACGTGCATCTGTCAGTGAATCATGAACACTCAGCGTCATGTCTCTTCTTATATCTCTCATATCTTATAAAAACCAGGATTCTCCTTCCTTTCCAATCCATTCTCTCACCATCTGATTGAACAACCTCCCATCTATCTGGCAACTCCTTGTCTGATCAAACCCTATCTGAACGCCTTTATTCCGCCCACAAAACATGGCTCCCAAAAAGTTCTTCAGCACAAAGAAGCAAAATGGCTTCAGCGACTCGGGGTATAGCCCTGCCCTAAGATCATTGTGAGTACATACTATGCTATGCAGTCATTTTAAGGATCTGTTCTGATTCTCTTAGCATCGAAAAGCTTAAGCTTCCGGACGAGTGAGCGAGATAATAACTCCACAGTTTAGGCTTCATCACTAATGTGTCGGAAAACAGAATAACCTGTGCCATCTGTCACCAAATCTACCCACAAGGACATTACTCCAAAGGTCAACTTCTTAGCCTTTGCCGCGCATTTTACTCCCAAGGAGACACTGTTCTCATTGACCAACGCTTCGCAAAGTGCTCAACATGCTGCTGCGCTGCCGTTGTTGAGAGCAAGTGTCGATTCTGCAGCCACTGGAAGGGTATTGATAACTTTGCGCGTACCCAACGTACGCTAGAACAGCCGGTCGGTATTCAGCTTCACGTTACTCTTTGAACTTGGTCGATCATTGGGACTGACATCTCCGTCTTATAAAGGCTTGCAAGAAATGTCAAGATTATTACCAAGAGTCAGCATTCGCCCTGGATTTGCCTGCCCCTACCGAGAAGAATCTCATCGAAGCTGGGGATGAACCGAAGACTCGACTTCTGCTGCCCTCAAATGAAGACGGGTCCAGCCATGAGCACTCCAACAATGAAACCCTGGCTGAAAGCAATTCTGATGCCAATGGCCTTGGTGATATTGACGATGAAGGGGTGAGCTCTATATCATTTGTGAGCATTATTTATGGTTATTGCATATCTGACTCGTTCGCATAGAGCATCCCACCTATCGTAACCTTGATCGGCGCTGGCGAGACCGAGTCCCCTGTGACTCGACTTGTACCGTTGGCAACTATGCCAGCCAAGACTCCTAGGTTTCTCAAGGTCCGGGTCAGTATATATTGAATTCATGTGGTATTTTGTCTTTTCCTGCTGACTAAAGTTTAGCCAACTCGTCCTACCCTGTCAGAGGTAACTATCGCACCTCCTGAACAACCACACGACGACGAGTCTGAGGATGAATGCGCTGCTGATATGGATACATGGCGATACCTGTAGGTGGTATCGTAGATCGAACCCGAGGTCGTATGGTTTCTTGGTATTTTTCGTTTGCCCTTCGTTCTTTCGCGGGCTGTTGGCGTTCTCGAATCTTTCTCGTGATGAGCGTAGCTCGTTCCGGGTGACCGCATCATTGTTTCATCCAGAGGTGATTCGAAAGGGGAGTTTCTGTTTTGATTTTTGATTTTTGACTATTTTTAGTATCTTCATTGTTTTTGCCCCTCCAATGTCCATGGTGTTTTCTCTGTGTTCCTCGGTATGCCGTCCTATGGTTTGGGAGCATCCAGTACCTTGGTTGTTATCTCAGTGGTACCCCCGCGATTTTCAATAAGATCAACAAGAAATTAAAATTGGATATCTGCTTCTGATTCTGATTCTGATTCTGACATTTTGTTTTTGTTTTTGTTCTGCTGTTTGTTCTGCATTTGAAGTGCTATCCTACCATTATACTAGTAGTATGATATTGAACAAACTGCGTCCACGATACATTAGATCCGCTAAATTTGCAAAGACATAGATGTATTTTTAGATAGCTCCACATCATAAACCTTCTATATATCTAGCGCTCATAAGTCTCACATCTTTCGATCCTGACAGGGCTTACGCATGCGCATTTGAACACTTGAGCATCAATTTCCATTTAATAACTTGAATCCAAGCCCAAGAAATATCTCCGCGATGGCGTTGGATGATGTTATGTTATGCAAGTCTACTAGCATGCACCATGCTAATGATTCGAAATGCAATGAGTGGAAACAGGTGCGAGCGTTTCAATATTAGCGTTGATTGGACTTGAAACCACCCGAAGAGGTGCCAACTGTCGGATCAATATGCATACAGCATCTGGCACTTACTAGTTGCATGTCCATGCATTGCACCGAAGTTGAAACGTGGCAATAGCGCATCCTGATAGGTTGTTAACTAATGGTAATCGACGCAAGGCATGGGGTTAAATAGATTAATCGCCGATCATGACGATATCCGGTCAAACCCAACAGATATGACATCCGAATATTCTTGTTTCTTCTTGGATTACTATGGGTACTCCGGGTGCTTTGTGGCACTTGAATATATTAAAAAAGCGCCACATCGTGACGTTGTCCCCCTGGTCTTCAGTGTGATAGCAGCTCGGGAGAGTCAACGGTCACACCAGAGAGGCCCAGTGACGCCAGTTTCAGATCGCCACTGGTAGTTCTCCACTGCCCCGCAATGGGAATTTCACTGCCTTCAACTCCCTCCACTGGGCTTACTTTGTGCCTTGTTTTCCGTCATATTCGTGTCCTGATTTGCAAGCCGAGAAATCTCTGATTATCTTTCATTCTTCTCTTACTAAACACTACCGACGTTTGAACCGCCCATGGCATACGATGGCTACCAGTCGTATCCTAACCCGGGCTATCAGCCGGGCAACATGAACCCAGATCCGAACGACCCCCACGGCTACTCATCTGCCCCTCCATACCCCTCGTACTATGAGTCGGATCATGTCAGTATGCCACAGCCGCAAATGCATCATATGCCCCCCTCTGCTCCTCCAGCGCCGGGCTACGAGCAGTATCCCGAGTCATCCCACCCGCAAAACAATCACCCCGCCCATATCAACGAAGCTGTCAGTTCGGCTGTATACAACAACAACCAAAACGCAGATCCAGGCTCCTATATTTCTCCTGAAGTTCTGTCGCAGATCACTTCAACCGTTATCCAGCAGCTTAAAGCGTCTGGCTTGAACGATACCTTGGGATCCCCGCAACTCCCACAACAACACCAATACCCGCCTCCACCACAGCCCATATCGCGCCCGCAGTCACAGATCCACCAACCGCCATGGTCGGCACCACCAACGGATTTGCCTCAACGGCCACACACAGAGTCTCCACAGACCGTTGCCCATCCGCAAAGAAGTGGATCGATTCCACCCGCAAACACAATGCCGAACGGCTTTGAGATACCGCACTCGCAAACTTTCCCTTCTGGCTATTCGAGTGACAGACGACCTAGCCCTAGCCCGAAACCTAGCCCGAAACCGTTCCCGGAGTCTGTTTCGCGGAGAACAGGCTCTATGTCTAGCCAGGGTAGCGTTAAGATGGAAACGAGGCCTAAACCCCCGGACCGCGACGCGACGGTTATGGAAATGACGACACTGGAGAGGATCTGGGGCAAGCTGTTTGAAGATGACAAGCCGACTAAGAGGCTTGGACAGTTCTTGAGGGGAATAGCTATGCATTTGGTATGGACACTCGATCTCCGGGTCTGCAGAGGTAAAAAAGGATTATATCATTGACTTGGTTGTAGATTGAGGACTACCCACCTGGAAACACGCTTGTTATTACACCCCAGAAGCTGCAGAAATTCTATGCAGACACTGGCGTAGAATGTGACCCTTATCCGTGGCATGGTACGTCCTTTCGAGACCCCCACATTCGGTTTCCTGGCCAATCTTCTAATTCTCTTTGATACAGATATCTTTGACGACCGCACTTCTTCTATCTCGAGATTATTCCGAGAAGTGAGGGCAGAGCACCACCTCGTCCAGTTGGATGATCTTAACGAGCGACCTGATATCCCTGGTCTTACGCCCAAAGGCTTTGAAAAATGGGCCACTTTAATGATCCAAGGCCATCCAGATCGCGAATACGAACGCCTTCAGAAAGCTGTACTTAATATGCCAATCAGCAACCCGGACGACAAGAAGGAGCGATTCCCCAAGGACATCCCAAGACGACTATTCCCCGAATTCGCCGATATCAGCCTAAGGGAAGAAGTCGAGGAATACCTTATGAAACACTGCGGTGTCGACCTCCCTCACATCACCGAGGAAGAGCGAGAGAAAGCTCGTCGCCCGAAGAAGTCCTCTCCTCCCCCGGGAACTACATTTGCCAATGAATCTGCTACGAGTCAGCGCACCGGCTCGACAGAGCGAAGTCGATCATACGAGAGAGGCCGTCCCCCGACCTCGGCCAAGTCATCTTCAGCCATAATAGACGAAGACGAGCCCATCTCCCCAGCTCCTATTGAGCGCGAGCGAAAGCCTTACACAGCCAATCCAGGAAGTGGGAAGAAATACGACGATTCTCATAACCCGCGTGCTAGCAGAGACTCCTTTACTACTTCGCGGTCGGATATCCCACCCGTGGCGCCGCCATCTTCGAGCCACCGCTCCTCAGCCTCTGTGAAACCGCGTTCCCCGAACCGTGACAGCCTGTATGCTCGCTCTGATGCTCGCTCTGGGTCCGGACCAGCTCCTTCTCGGCGGTATTCTAGGAGCTCGCGCAGTTCTTCGCGTAGCATGGGCCACGAGTATAGACATTCGGAAAGTGATTTGTTGAGCCGCGATCATGCGCCTCGATATGCTGGTATCTCTGCAAATGAGCTTTATATGGAGCCTTCTTCCATGACTAGTCCTGACCCGGAGGATACTCGTCGTCATCACGGATCTCATCGTAATAGTCGGACGGAGGAAGAATACTACCGCGGCATGCTTGGTGGACAGGGCGGCGGTCCCGCTCATGATTACAAGTATTATCACTGATTTCTTTCTAGCCCTTTGAATGTTCTCTTGCGTCCTTATTGCCACCCTTTAGGCGTTTGCCATACTTTCTGTTGTTTTTTTTTTTGGGATATTTACTGGCTTTCGTTGCTCTCTTCAGCTTGGCGTCTTTTGTGGCATGAAGATGCCTCTTGTCTGCGGCTTACGATGACTACGACTCTCATGTCCAACACCATTCTATGTTTATATTCCAAGTCTTGATTCGTTTAAGACGAAAATATTCCGCATTAGAGAACCTAATGACATTTCGATTCCCCAATAACCAATCAAGGAACGCGGAATCAAAAACAGACTCCCATCTATAGAACCAGACACTGGGGGTAGTATATGTAGCAATTCAATCCTCAAAAAGCCTCTCGAGAAACCCAAAGAGATACCACCTTTCCAAAAATCCCAACAAGTAATTAATCAAGTCCAAGCTTCACCTTCTTTTTCTCCGAAATCTCCTTCATAACCCTCGCTCCCTCCTGCCTACAAACACCCGCTTCCTTCTCCCTCTCCCGCTCTTCATGTCTATACTTCCTCAAAATAGACTGAGCATCCTTCTCCTCTCTCTCCGCCCTCCTCTTAACTCTCCTCCTAGCTTTCTCTCTCTCCTCCGCAACCTTCACACCCCCCTCCACCACCTCCCGCCTTAACCTCTCAATCTCCTCCTCAGACAAAACCCACGCTGAAGAAAGTACCTCAACAAGAAACTGTAATCGTTCCTCTAAGAATATCATCTCAGCATTCGTATCTTGTAGGATAGTGAACCGTTCCAGATTCAACTGGACTATCCCCCGGAACGAATTTAAGGTCCCCTTGATTTTCACAAGAGTCCCCGGTACCAAAAGTGAGATGTCAATGATTGATTCATCTGTTGCACTGATGTGAACTGGTTGAGGTGGGATGAGTTTGGATATTGATCCGGTTTCTTTCTTTTTTTTTTTTGCGGTAGAGGTCGATGGAGTTTCTTCTTCTGGGTCTTCTTTTTGAGCTTCGGTGTTTATTATGTTCTGGAACTCTGGGTTTGATGAGTGGGGAATCACTACTTCAATTGTGGACCCGCTGCTGTCATCTATTGTTATTATTGTGCGACGGTATATGTCTGTTCTTGACACTATGAGACCTGCTATGGTCACGAAACGGATTGGGTGGTTCTTGTAGAAGAAGATTCTTTGGCCTAGTTCAGTGTTAGTTTGAGATGTATGACGAGTTTAAATGGATATTGGAGATGGGGTAGAGTGAACATGAGGTAGAGCTTTGGGGTATAGGTTTGTATTTTGCATGTTACCATGCGGGGGTCTAATAATAATGCTTGATACCATGGTGGAGTGTTGGGAATCTGGACATCTTCCATGTATAGTGATCGCAACTGTCGAATAGGGAAGAATTGTAGAACAACGATGAAATATCATTGTCAGATTCCGAGAGTCAACATACCTTCAAAGTTCCTTGGTTTCTGTAGTCGATGCACGTCGGCGACTGCCATTTTCACCCAGGTGAAATGGGTAGGCGAGGCCTTGAAGCAGTATGCAGGGTAGATGATAGGTTCTGCATTACCACGTGTCGCCATTGGATCATCTTTCCGTTGGGAGAGAGGTATATTGCTCTGAATGGAGATACGAAGTCAATATTGACGTTGTTCGTTTCGTGGAATCTCAAGGCCGGCGGTCACGTGAAATATACCGCTTGTATGTAAACCGGATGTGTAACGCTGACTTGAAATGATTTGTGGGCTTGATGTCAAACTTCAAAGTTAGATCTTGCGTATGGTGAGTTTCAAGGTTGATTCGGACGAAAGAGATGACTTTCCCATTGTTAGTATGGTCTTGGCTTAGCGTGACAGGGGTGTCTACGGGGATTGTTGTAGAGCGGACTTAGCCATAACAACTTTTATATGGGGAATATCGCAAAGTAGCTTCAAGGTAACTTGAAATAGTGAGATCATATCTGTACTATATCATTGCACATCATTCATAAAATATCTAATAGATTATGTTCTCACCCTCCATCATCCTCTTCTTCGGGTTACGAGGTTGTGCCTGCGCCTGCTCCTTCACACCCTCGCCGCCAGCACCCTTCATCTTCTCCAATGCCTCCTTAACCTCCTCCGCCGGATTCTCATGTCCAGCAAAAGCAACCTCCAAAATCTCCTTCTCAAATCCAGAAACATGCTCCCATTCAATCCTCGCCTGAGAAAGCATCTTACACCCCTCCGATTCTCCAACAAAAGTCTCCGGCTCCTTCACCCCAAGATAAACCTTATGAATCCCCTCCCGGCCACCCTCTTTCGTTCTTGTAATCCGCTTCGCACACGGGTCATTCCCCGATAGTCTCTTCCCACATGGCTCCATGGATACATACATGATGAGCTTGCGACCAGTCTCTACGGGGAGCACCGAGCTGACCTCGTCGTCGGGCACGTTGTGCACAGCTGCAAAGTTGGCAAAACAGCATTGTTCTGCATGTGTGTTGCCTGCTAGTTCCATTGTGTATCCTGTAGAGAGGATGCGGTCTCCGCTGAAGGTGGTGTCATTGTCGGCACGGGAGAGGAGGATAGCGCCGACGCGGAAGTTTGTTGGTCGGGGAGGGGATTGTTCGGCTAGGCTGATACATTTTCGTAGGTATGTTTGGTGGGTATTGGCCATTTTGAGGGTATAGCTAGTAGGTCTAGCTAATGTAAAGGTAGGAGGGATTGAGTGGGGTTTGGATTCTTGAGGAGTTATAACGATTTGCAGCTTTTTGATCTCTAGCTCGATGCGGTATATAGATTGATAGATCGAAATTGGATCAGATCGATTATTGAAATGTTTTCAAGTTATTCGGTGGAATTCTGGGTTGGAGCTGAGGTTCTGTTCAAGGTGGGGAAGAGAGAGCTTCTTAATGGGTTCTTGGCTATGACGGAATGCGGTCCGGCGCGTCAAATTCGCGTCAACTTCGGTAACCGCGCCGATTCTTTCTCCGACATAGCTCTCTTGATCGACAATCTGGGTGTGTTTACGTAAATATTCCCATCAAACCGAGCATATTCAAGCATTTATCATGGCGAGAGGCAAGAAGACCGAGGAAATTCCCGAGGAGCCACCCTCCGTCCAGGAAGATCTCTACAAGATTCTCGGTGTCGAGTCAAGCGCAACTCCCGAAGCAATCAAATCCGCTTACAAGAAGAATGCCCTGAAACATCATCCTGGTAATTATGATCCTTTCGAGAATTTATCTGGATTCCAGACCGCGAAGATATAAAAGAGACAAAAAGCTAATAGTCACCAGATAAGGTCAGCGAAGATGCCCGTGACGAAGCCCACGCAAAGTTTCAACAAATTGCCCTAGCCTATGGTGTTCTGTCAGACGAGCGACGCCGCAAGATGTACGATCGCACCGGCAGCACTGAAGAAGTCCTCGGAGAAGATGGCGATTTTGACTGGATGGATTTCTATCGCGAGCAGCTCTCCGCCATGCTTGATACACGCGCTATTTCCGATTTCCAGAAGAAATACCAGGGTTCCGATGAGGAGAAACGCGATATTTTGGAAGCTTACGAAACACACGAGGGTGATATGGATGGGATATTTGACTCTGTGATGCTTTCTAATGTTCTTGAAGACGACGAGCGCTTCCGGGAAGTTATCGACAAAGCCATTGCGGACGAAGAAGTCGAGAGCCATAAGAAGTATTCTGAGGAAAGTGAGAAAAAGAAACAGCAGCGTAGGAAGCGTGCAGAGAAGGAGGCCAAGGAGGCTGAGAAGTTGGGTAAGGAGGTTGAAGAGAACAAAAAGAAGAAGGCTGCGGCTTCTTCTAAGTCTTCTAAGAAATCTGCGAGTGGTGAGGATGATCTACTTGCGATGATTACCAAGAGACAACAGCAACGTGGACAGGGATTCATGGCTCATCTGGAAGAGAAGTATGGACAGCCTAATGGGAAGAAACGTGGTGCCGCTGATGAACCTCCTGAGGAGGCATTTGCGGCGGTTGGTGCTAGGAAGACAAAGATGTCGAAGGATACTAAGCCTAAGTCGAAGAGGTCAAAGCCTTAGCTTTATTTCTTTGTATAGGTTACTATGGATTCTACGAGCGCTTGTTAGTATCTTCTTTTCGGGGAGTTTGGTTTGTGAGGCATCTGGCATGGGAACAGCAATGTTTTCCTCTTTGTTTATATGAAATAGCATCTTTTACATCTTGTCAATTATACGTCTGGTACCTTTAATATTGCCTGGTTCTAGAGGTGTATGTAGTTGCCTTAAAATAAATAGCTGGTCATCAATGCTTGGTGGCTCAAGAGCATTGCACCTTCTCTATATCGACTACGTGCTCAGGTACTCACCTTCAACTTCAACTTCAGGGCTCATGGATTTGTTTTGTTTACGACCTTGATCGAATCAGCTGTGAATCTACATCTTTCTTGGATGTCTCCATCTTTTAATTTCTTGTAAGTCAATAGGTGAGTCATCTTTGTCTTACAAATTCTTTTACGCAACTTTCTAATGCTAATGGTTTAGATACATTCCTAGCATTTGTGGAGGAACATCAATTGTCACAAGATAGTCGATCGCTCCACATTCCCCTGGTACGGCATCGTCGTTGGTCAACACCTCACCCGAGTTCTCCACAATAGTATTCACTTCCGCCGCCGCAGGCGGAATCAGCGCGAGATGTCGTACCACTCTAAACACACCTCCCCCACACCTCCAGAAACTCGCCCAGAACCTCGCATAGAAGAACTCCCCAAACCCACAGACCGAAAGTCCTTGTCCACAACCTCATTGACCGAATCACTCAAAGATCAAGGCCAAGCATTCAGTCGCGCCGTCCAAAGCCTGCTCAGCACCCCGCAATCTGCAAGGAGTGCGGGCACCACTGTTAGCGGGACTGTCCCTTCTCCTCGAGGTCGCGGGAGTCGCAGCCCGGTCGAACCCCTCGTTTCCTCGCCGTTACGTATCACCTCATCGATTATGCCGTCTGCCCCGAGCTCGCCCGAGAGGCATAGGGCCGACCCTGATGATATGCCGCGGAGGTCGTCAGAAGAATTTGCTAGGGAAGCAAGCCGGCGCGCTTCAACAACGGGCCATGGATTAGCTCCGGAGGAAGATTTGAAGTTGGATTTGTCGCCGAATGCCGATCAGACAGGGTCGAAGAAACACAAAACTCAAGGGCGGAAAGCGATGGCTGCTATGATGTCTGGGTTGGAGTCACGATTGTTTCCGAAGAGTTTCACGCGTGGGCGGGATTCGAGTCGTGGCTCCAGTCGGAGGGGCTCCTCTGTTGATTCTAAGTCTCCAGCTGCATCGCGGTCTAGTCGCTCTGCCTCACCCGATAGCCGTGATAGTCGCGATCGTCAATTCGGAGCGTCTCAGTCTCCGGCTGAAGATAAACGCAGGGGACTTAATTATGATTCAGCGTTGAACAGGTCGGATGAGGGTTTGGCAAAGCCGTCTAGCACACCCAGTTTACCAGATTACGTCAAACCAACTGAGGAGGAGCCTGGTGTGCGGTTAGCTAAAGACGTGTTCGATAGCGACAAGAACATTATCGAAAGCAGCGAGGAAGAGGACGAAGTATCGACCGATGACGACAATGCTGGAGTACACTCAAGAGGTCGCAAGAAGAGACCCACTGATATTAGTTCCATAAGCCAAAGTGACTTCAAACCAAAGAAGGGGAACAAATCCCCAGTCACAGAAGATCGTATGTGGCTGCTCATTCTATTTTATTCGGATATCCGCATGCTAACACTGTTTTCTAGAGAAACCAACGGCCAAATCTGGAGACAGTGGGGTCAAGAAGCCTCGAAAGTCGGCATTGAAACCGGTGATTCACCCCCAGACAAGTTTCGACATCCCAACACCAGCTACACAATCGGCGGCCGGTACGCCATATGGGTCGGAAGATGAAGCTGAACGAGATGATATCCATCGTGCACAACAACTCGGTATCTCAATGTCAGCAATCGACAATCGTGTTCCCAACCGATCTATCCGTACAATCATTCGTGGGAACTTTGCCAGTCTCCAAGAAGAGGCGGATGGTGGCCGCCGTCGCCAACGAAAATACTTGGTTGCCACAGATCTGAGCGAGGAATCAGTCTATGCTCTAGAATGGACCATTGGTGCTGTTCTTAGAGACGGAGATACCATGTATGCCCTCTATGTCATACACGATGATGGGAATGCTTCATCTGTACAAGTTGGTGAGGGAGCCAAGGCCATGCAAGATGCCGCTGCCGTTGTGGGCAGTCAAACAAAAGAAGCCACCCTAAACCCAGGCCGGAACCTATTAGGTCGTTTAGGCCCAGGGGTTGCGAGCAAATCTGGCTCTGTCGATGCCAGGGCATCATCTCTTGCGGAAGCTGAGCGAGTCCGAGCAGTTGAAACTGTGTCTGATACGTGCGTCAAGTTGCTACGGAAGACGGTTTTGCAAGTTCGGATTGCCGTTGAGGTTATCCATTGTAAAAGCCCGAAGCCTATGATCACCGAAGCTGTAAGTTCACACTTCACCCACTATCAAGCTATCTGATCACTAACCAACCCTTCTTCAGATTGACGAACTTGAGCCTACCCTTGTGATTGTGGGTGCCCGAGGTCAGAGTGCCTTGAAAGGGTAAGTCTCATTAGCTGCCATTGGAGAAATGTGCTATGCTAATCCAAAATCCCTAACAGTGTGCTCCTTGGTTCATTCTCCAACTATCTACTTTCCAACTCATCTGCCCCGGTGATGGTTGCTCGCCGCAAGCTCAAGCGACACCCTTTAAAGGGTAGATATAACCGCGACCTCCGTTTGACCAACAATCTCAAAACGCCAAAAAGCCTCACCCAAGCCAAGGTGGACTAGACCAATACGTTCGAAGGCCCTTGCTTTGCGCTTCTCGCTCCATCTTTTCTTTTGCATTTTCACCCAGCATAGCACGAGCACGCTCTGGGTATGGCTGTGTCATGATATTCTTAGACGACCTAGCTCTTGATACCCTGGTTTTCTTCACGACCTGATGACCCTAGTTTAGCAAGCCCTTGTCCATGAGAATTATTAAGGACAATTCTAACTCATTCGAGAGCTATTAGTGTCCCAAAACGTATATCGTATGATTATTATCGGATAGATATGCGTAGAATCCAATGTGTCGCTACATAATAGGGCGAAGAGGAATTATCCTAGAATTTCATCAGCTAATCTACTTCAACGACGAAGTGTGGGAGTCGTTGGGAGAAATGTGCGGAAGGAAGATATGAGGCAAGAGAGTTACTCTCGCATTCTGTTCTGAAGAATTAAAAGAATTACTGTCCTTATGGATGTGAAAATTGGGCTAGTTTCACTTGCCAAGTATCTTTTCCGTTTCCCAAATTTTAATCTTCTTGTTCATGCTGTGTACCTTGATATTTCCTAGTAATATTGTATGGCACTTTCCACAAATAGATAATCCTAGCACATGGTCCTCAAAGGATTGGCCGGGCTTGGTCCAAATTCATTTCTATCTTTTCAGTATGAAGTATTCTCGAGGAAATAAGCATCATAAGCGACCTCGCCTTTGGCTCTAGTAGCCCGTCCGACGATGACTCGATCGTTCATCCACTTGTACTTCTCATGGCCCGTCTCGAGCTTGATGTGCAGATGGAACCAGTACTGGCTGGACTCTACCGGCCCACCCTCCATCAATGCTTGCAGCACCTCCGGAGGTCCTGCGCGTGTGCCTTCCGTACTGGTCACGTTTAATTAATTGCGGATCTTCAATCGCGAATATAGGGCCGGCTTACCGGATGTAGATGAATGCGCCGTCGTCGCTCTTGATAACATAGTTGGTATTTACATGTGTTGTGTTGTTTTCCTCGACTAGCCTGGTTTAAATTAGTCTCTCAAGACCAAGAAAGATGATCCGAGGTTCAGGGTGTCCACGTACATGAAGTCAGCTCCACCAGGTACAATCTCGCCGTTCAAATGGGGACCGTGCACGGAGCCGGACATGATTGGCACGCAGCGACGTCGACCATAAGGTCCATGGCCGATTTCCATTGGTGGATCGACTGCACATCGAACGGTGAATAAATGACTGAGTGTTGGGGGTGGTGATACTGTCTCCATGTTTATATGTGTTGTATTGTAGTAGATGAAGATAAAAGCTATGTTTGGGCTTGGATGAGGAGACCTGAGGAGCTATGACGTGTTCGACACTCGTGACTTCACTAGAACAAAGGTCAGTGAATACAGGCCGTCTGGCGGTGGATTTGGACGTAGAAGTTTGTTTTTTCCTGCTTTGAATAATCTAGGCAGTTAGCATTGTGGTCAAGTTGTGCTATGAAATTTTCTAGGTGGATCCTCTGGCCCACGTTGACGTGTTCAACATGCCAAATTTGGAAGAAGATTGTCAACGCAGATTACTATGAATCGTCATATTCTGCGAGGCAGTAGGGAATTCCTAACGAAATTCAAAATTTGTCTTTGTTTGCTTGTCTGCTGATTTGTAGTGAGTGCCTTCGTGTCAGGTTTGTGATGATGTGCGGAATCGATAGTCCGAATCGGGGACAGCAAAGTCTGAGGCTAGTTTGTTTGCGGGGTACAAATGGTAGTTATGAGAAGAAATTCCGAGGAAACATGGTAGGGAAAGATTATGTAGTCCTTTTCTGTGAAGAATCTTGGCCTTGAGCCATATTGTTTAGTCGATTCTTTGCATATCTCCGAGAATATGTGGAGGGGGCGCCAGCATGAAAATGCCGACTGACTACGTATTATGTAAAGATAAAAGCTTTACAACTACCAAGGATAAATTCAGATGCACAAGTACAGTCAGATGGATGCATGTTGCTAAAGACGTATGGTGGTACAGACAAGACAGATCGGCGTCAGATAAAAAGAACGCAAGAATGCCTCCACATAAATGAACAAAATCACGAACATGAAATAGGTACACACATTTGTCCATCAGAGATACAAGCACGAAAATGCGACGTAGAAAAAACAAAGATTTAACAGGCTAAATGCAAACCATTACCGCTTGCCCTTCTTGCGGGGAGCGACAACTTTGAATGCAGCGCTACTAGCTTCTTCCTCACGCTGGGTGGCAGCAGCGGCTGCAACGCTGGCAGTAGAGCCCTTCTTGGCGACTTCACTCCAGCCGCCAGTGCCGCTTTGTTCGGTGCCGAAGGCGCTGGGGGAGACGGGTTCAACGACACCCTTGTCCGCGAGCTTGCGGCGGCGGATGAACTCGTCAGCGAAGCGGCGGCCATCGAGTGTTTGGGAGTTGGCGTAGACAGAGTCGGAGATGATCTCGGCTTCGGCGGGGAGGAAGAGGAGCTGCTGGACGAAGTCGTCGACGTTGATGTTGCTGTTCAGTCCCTTGCCTAGAGATAGTTTGGCCCACTTGGTGAACTCTTCAACTGGGCGGTTGGGGTTGGATGACTGGGGAGCACTGCCTAGTGTTACGGTGCGAGTTGTGGTAACGGGGCGAGTCTTGGCGATGGCAGGAGAGAGAGGAACAGATCCACTGGCGGAGCGGGGACCGAGAGGGGCGGCAAGAGGTGTCTTGGCCTTGCCGCTGGCACCGACGGTAGTCCAGGCGCTGGCAGCGCCTGAGGGAGCGATAGCAGCTCCAGCGGAAGCTGGAGAAGGAGCAGCGACCTTGCTAGCAAGATCGGCGTAGCGCTTGCCAGCAGATGCAGGAGGGCTGGGAGTGGCTGTCTGAGCGGCGGCAGCAGCTGCAGCTGCGAGGCGGTTCTTGCGAGCCTCCTCTTCCTTTTGGATTTGGGCAAGAGTCTTCTTGGTAGCGGTGTTGGTGGGAGCAGCTGGAGCCTTGGTGGCCCACGCAGATCCAGTGGAGGTAGGTGTCGCAGGGGATCCACTGCTGGCCCAGTTGGCCGAGGAGGGAAGACCAGGGACGACCTGGGCTTGGGCTTGGCTAAGACGTTCTTGTTCAGCAAGAAGTTGAGCACGACGAGCGGCAGCGGCGAGTTCCTCGCGCTGAGCGGCGGTGCGGGCTTCGGCTTCTTGGATCTCCTTCAGGGAAGGACCCTTGGGCAACTCGTTAGCATCCTTGGCCCATGGCGCGACAGAGGTAGGAGGAGCATCGATGGGAGTCTGAGTTTCAGATCGAGATCCAGCTGCCAAGGCGTCAGCAACATGCTGGCGGTTGCGCTGAGCAGCTGGGGCAGGCAGGGGCGAGGCGGATGGAGGAGGTGGGAAGGGCTGAGGCATGGCATGGTCCAGCTTGGTATTACCCCACACGGACTCGGGGATTTGCTGCTCTTGCTCTTCCTGTTGCTGCCGTTGGGCAGAAGCTGCCTTGTGAACTTGCTGGGACAGAGTGAGCGTAGGCTCTTCGCCGATAAGCTCTGCCTCTTGAGCTGCCTCCAACGCAGCGGCAACTTCTGACTCGAGTTGCTGAGAAGCGGCAGCTGGGTGAGTAGGAAGGCCATCAACAGTGCGCATGCCCAACTCTCCTTCTTGGGCTCTCAAGGCATGGAATTGACGAAGGCGCTCCTCACGGGCCTGCTGGTCGAAAGGATCATTGGCATTAGCCTTGTCGAACTGCTCCTGCTCCTCTTGAAGTTGGGCACGATCCTGTAGCATGGAAGCCACTTGCTGAGAATGCAAGAGGCCCTCGGGCTGGCGGCCAGAGAACGACGAGCTGCTACCGAAGGCGAAGGGGTCCTGTCTGCCTACGTTCAAGCGGTCAAGAAGAGCAGGGAGCTGATCTTGTCCACCCCCAAGCTCGGTGCCAAGCATACCCGGGCCAATACCGGACAGGCCTCCCTGTCTGAGTTGAGGGGCACCATCGAAGAAACCAGGAACTCCCTGGGATTGCCCCTGCAGCGCGGGCTGGATGGGAGAAGGCTGGTAAGCACCAGGGGAGGCAATGCTGCCAAAGCTGGGCTGGCTGTGAAGGCTATGAGCACTTGACTGATGCTGGAGCTGGGGCTGCAATGATGGAGGTGCACCAGGAACTCCGATGTTCTTCAGCAAAGCCTGCTGTTGAGCAAGGTGCTCCTTCTGGCGAGCCATAAGATACTGCTCCTCTTGCTTTCGACGCTCAAGAGCATTTTGCTGCTCAGCAGTCAGAGTCGTGCCGAAACTAGGAAAACTACCAGGGAATGGAGGCTGGGCAGATCCCTGTGTTTGGGTTGTCCACGGGGTGGCATTGGGCTCAGGACCATGTGGGATGCCAATCTGGGGGACAAGGAATGGCTCGCGAGAGTTCCCAATACGACGCACGAGCTGTGCAAGGGGCTCGAATTCTCCATCCTCGAGCTTCTTAATTTGAAGATCGGGACTAAAGAATCCAGCCTTAAACCAGTCGTGCATTTCAAGGCCAGTCCAAGGTCCTTGGATGTTGCCCTGCGGGTCGCGGTAGATCCAGCGCATCCGGTCTGGCATAACCATAGTACGTTGCTGAGAAGCGGGGATAGTTCCTCCGGGAGTCTGAGCCTGTGGAGTCTCATGGCCCAAGTTGACTGGGATAGCACCTACGCCAGACACAGGTGTTTCAGATGCAGAGTTTGATCCAGTCTTGCTTGCTTGACCTTGAAAATCAAGTCCAGCAGCGTCGCCTAGGCCGACGGAATCTGGTCGTCCCTGCTCATCTGGGATGTTTGAAAACAGAGCTCCGAGCTTGCTTCCTCGGCCGATGCTTGCCGTGCCTGAAATTCCAGCATGAGGGCTGAAAAGACCACCGCCTCCAAGGCCAGACAGGCTGGGAGATTGCAGGTCGCCCATGTTGCCAAAAATTGGATCTCCGAATCCACCACCACCAAATGCAGAACGCTCACGAGTTGGTGTGCCGATGGCACCTCCAGAGGGCCAGCCGGAGCCCCCGCCAAGGGAAGGAAGACCACCCAAGCTACCAAGGCCAGAGAAAGTTCGGTTAGCATTAACACTCGAGTTCTGGCTGCGGTCGACTGAGGGCATGTCGACTCCTGAACCAGCTCGTCTCAAAGATCCGAACGGGTTCGATGGATCGCGCAATCCACTGAGACCAGGGTGTTGAGGGTGCTGAATATCTGAACCATCAGTATCAACGTCCTCGGCCTCTCCACCAGTTCGGTCACCATGGGGACTTTGGTAAGGATTGGTGTTGGTTGGGCTGGTAGGTTCGTGGCCTTGCAGCAGACTGGGAGTGGGGTTTCTCGAATTCTCCTGACTATGCATCAACTCTCGGAAGCCGGGGATGCTCGAAGTCATGCCAAATGCACCAAATCCAGCATCTTGACCAGGCGCCTCGACATCTTGAGATCCACCGAGAGCAGCGCTGCCACTGCGAGGCTCGTCAAATGGATTGGTCTCACTTCGTCCGACCCGGTTCTTCACTGCATCACCCCATGGTGACTGCGCGCGATTTCCAGCATCATCCTCCACGAGTCGTTCAAGGCTGTTCAAGTTTTTCTCTCGTGCAGAAGCGGCAATATCCTCCGAGCTATCCTTTGAAAGTAAACCCTTGAATCTGCTTTCACCCCGCAGACTTCCGTATCCGGGCTTCTTTTCCGCAGTGGGTGTTGTAGCAGAGACGGAGCCCGATCCAAGAGAGAAAGCACCAAAAGCTCCCATCGGAGAGAAATTGGCGCTCGCTGATGCGGATGCGGGTCCCCAGGGCGAGCCTGGTCCCCCCCCTACAGCCGTATTTAGAGGATTGGTGGAGCTGCGTTTCAAAGAGCCGAAGGGAGAGTCGGTATTACCACCGTCCTTAGGCTTCTCGTCCGGTTTTGCGCCTGGATCTCTAAAATCGGTCTTCCGACGGAGGAGGGCGGGGGGAGGGGTAGAAGTGTTCGCCTCGTCGCGGAAAAATCTGGAGTTAGATGCAGTAGGTGACATGGGATTTCCCACCGAGTCTCCCGTCTCTCGACGTCTAACACCGGGGCGGCTCGCATTAGGAGAAGAGGTATTGTAGTTATTAATGTGGCCTTGGGTGTAAGAAATTGACCCTTTGCGGCCAGGCGTCGGAGCGACATTCTCTTTCGCGGCGTTGGTTGGTGGGGGCTTCAGAGGGGAGTTAACAGACGCGGCAAAGAACTAGAAAAAAAAATTGGCCAAGTCAGTTGGGGGGGAAATCCTCGGGAATGATGCCATCTTCAAAAAAAGAAAGAAACCCACCTCTCTCTCGCTATCTGTCATATCATCCAGGCTCAAAGGTTCAGCTTGACCACCGTGGTCCCAACACACCTCAGGCCCCGCGGAGCTCTTGTGGTCGTCCCGCTTCCCCCATGCTCCATTCACGGCAGCAGAAACCGTATGGGGGTCCCAGTCGCCCATGAAGTAATCCTCCACATGTTTACCCAAGGAACCCGACTCTCTCTGTGCCTTATACATGTCTAAGAGTTGCTCCTTGGAGTATCGGGCTTCCCCATTCCGTAGGGCATTAGACAAAGTATTTGAGCTCATGTGGGGAGGAACATAGGCTCCCGAGGTAGATGTCGAGGCAGAAACCGGTTGGCTACTCTCACGAGTATGCGTGGGGTTAGTAGCAACAGATGGGCGGCGGAAGGTCTGGGTGGCTCCGTTGATGCGGGATCGAGACCTATTAACGAGGTGGGATTAGCATCGGATAAACTTGCTGATGGCGAATTGAACATCGATTTTGGGAATAATGAATCCGGTCACGCCATTCCTCCACGAGAGGTTGGGAAGGAGAAAGGAAAGAAGAGAGCATAGAGAGAAGGAAAAAAAAGAGAGAGGTTTCGAGGTTTCGAGGTTTCGAGGTTGGGAGTAGTTTTGCATACCATTCTGCACCAGCACTTCCATCCCCTCTCCGACTAGGGTCTTGGGTGTTGCCAGCGGCGGCGGAAGCGAAACTCGAGGGCAGTGGTGTAGGCATTATGGCAGCTATTTTGGGATGGACGGTAAGGCCGTACAAAATGGCTGGATCGGAAACAGTTCGTCGCGAAGTTTTCTGTGGCGGGAGTGAAGTGTGGGATTGCGAACGAGGATAGGACGCAAAACACGGATGAGTTGAATGGGTAGAGATAGAATGATAGCAAAGAGCTAGTCAATGGACGGAACTGGAAGAGGAAAAGGTTTTTGCAAAGAGAGGGAATGCAGAATGCGAGCGCCTAACAAGGTTGATGTTCAAGGTCAAGAAACAGAGATCGAGTTTCGACCTTTCGCTTGCTTCAGCAAAATTGATTTAGCGGGCGCGTGGCATTAATCACGCCCACTTGGTAATATTGGTTATTACCGTGTATGGAGCTGGTGGTGGAGTCGCGTGCCCGCCAAGGTAGTATGGTGGTATTATGTATTGTGATGTATCCACGTTACAGAGGGCATCTGCAGCCAGCCACGAGGCCACAGTACACATCACACAGTCTTAGTATTCAGACAAAGGGATTTTATTTTTTATATTTTTTATTCATTCAATGATTCCTTCACCGAAATCCCAGCAGCACAAATTAGAGCAAATTATGAAAGTCATATTTAAATGTCATCTCAATTTTGTGGGTTTTGTGGGGAGATGCCTTGGTGACGCATAGAAAATGGAGTGGTAGCTCAGTCTTAGTATTATGAGTATTATGCATGCGGTGGCTTATTCAAGGTTCCGTGGCAACATTCTAGGATAGACGTGTATGGTGGGTTGGTGCCACGCTCCCTTCATGATTGGTTGTCCACTCTGGGAAGGTGCGATGCTGCTAAAGACTGTAGTGAGCTCTTGCCTCTTGCCGCGAATACGTGTCGATTCTGCCTCTTTCTTTACTCCCTTCCAAGCCTTTCTGAACAATAGTTCGTTGATCAAATATTAAATATTGACCATTCATAAGGAGATAGACACCTGCATACCTACGCCTTCACTCTGCTTATCCCTTTCTTACACGGCTATCCTGTTCCAGCCACCCCGCAACATCAAATGCTGGATCCCACCTTGTTGAAAGATTCGACGTGCATATCTTTTTTTAAGGCTCAGACCAGTACCAGATGCAGCTGGGAATACTCTTTATCTTTTCTTGTCGCGATTCATACATAGAAATCAAAGGTTTCAAGGTTCATTCGCATGTATAGATGCCCAGTCTGTGTACGTTCCCGACTGGTCCTACACCGACTACATGATTGCTGCAGCTTGTCTTTTTCAACAGATCGCAATGTAGACTATTATGTCAAAAGGATCATTTTCAATCAATCATTGCATCAAAGATTCAGACTTACTTCTGTGAAACTAGAAAATGGTTACCTCAAAACTTATAGAGCTTCATCCGCTCGCCTCACTCTGTTCTCTACTACAACACACAACCGCACTCTATAGTAACGCAGCTGCACTTTACATAAACTACCCAAAGAGATTACTTTAAGAGCTGATTCAAAGCATTTTCATTGGAACTTGCCTCGCTCCCGACCAAAAATGCGGCACGTCAAAACTGACATCCCCTACGCTTGGTTCTGGCACGGCAAACCTCTTCGAAAAGGTCATGAAAGGGGCGAACACATCGTCCCCGTCCAGCTAGTATCTCAAAATCATGATCTCCAAGATCACTCTTATCATTCATCTACAGACCCTTCTCCCATGAAGAAACCCAATCATCCTCAACGCAAATGCGGATGCGGATGCGAATCCTACGAGCAAAGACCACCATCACCACCGATCACTACAGTATTCGACAACAACCCAGCCCAGAGTAACTATCTAGGCTGTGGCTCATACACCTGCGTGGATTGTGAAACAAATCTACCTCCATCAGTGAAAAGGTTTTCCTGCAACGCATGTATCACGCCCCCTCCTCCTCCCCCGACAGCAACATTCAGCCATGAATACATGGCGCCGATGCCGACGCCCCGTTCATCCAGAACAACCACACCAGCTGAGCACTGCAACAATGAATGTGCGGCGTCAAGCTCCCGGACAGTTTACTGCTTGTCCTGTCTGGATTATCATCATGAGTGTCAGTATTTGGCTGCTGTTCCGATGAGTAGTGGCCAGCAACCGGTTGAGGCACTTCCATCTCGGGCTGCGCCAACTGCAGACCCGATGCATGGATTTGCGCCTCACAATAAGATGACTCAGGTAAAGTGTACTTGTCCAAGCTGTATGGCTGCGTCTGTACCGGAGGTTGAGAATCGGCATCAGGGCTGTTGCCATTCGGAAGATTCTCGGTTTCAGAAGCATGTTGCTCCTACTGTGTCTGAGGGTACTGCTTCTTTGGCTTCGGTTGATTTGGCCGGGAATTGTAGTAAGTTTGCGGAGAATTGTCAGTGTAGTCATCTTATTTTTGCGGTTCCCGTGGATCACCAAACTGGGGAATGATGTATTCCTCAAGTTCTCTTGCTCAATTTCAAGTTTGATTTTTGTTCTAGCACGTTGCTAGATCTTAACTATAGACGTTCTATCATCATCATGATAAGTGTTTACCAGTGATTTCTTAATCCACATTTTGTATTCGAAACAATTTTTGAGTAGCGCAGAGTTGATGCCAACAGCCCAGCCTTCTTTGTAGAGGTTGGTGTTGGATCCGTAAATTTCGTGGACCGAAGAGTAAGGAATTTAAGTGAGGAGGTATCATTAATCTGTACTTAGATGCCTACTGCAGAAGAGGCGATCGTAGTCAAGGTCCATGGTGGCTTTAGTTTGTGTGAAGATTCGGCCGTATAACGCGGACAGACGCCCCAAGGCACATGTGCAGTCAATTCTATTTTACGAGAGTCAAGTTACAAGGTTTACAATTTACAATTTACAAGAACAAGGAAGGAAAACATTTGAAGAAGACCAAAATATATGGTTTGAACTCAAAATAACAACTAGATATACTATAGGCTCGTGGCCATTTCCCAAACGCCCGAACAATGCTAAAACAATAAAGGCCCTCAGCTCAGAAAAAAAAAGTAACAAGAGACTCCCAATATTAACCAGCAAGGAAGAGAAAGCAAGTTAGAAAGGTAAACACCTCCCAAGCCGACCTCAATCTGCAATGCGCCGGAAGTATAAAAAAAAAACACAACAGAAAAGGCAATAGCCAACCAGATCAGACCTCCCATCAAAATCAAAATCAAAATCAAAAACAATATCCAAGTCCAAAATAAAAACCAAATCTATCCAATATCCGTCCTGCGAATGCATAAGGAATGACTGCAGCGCCCATGCTATGCCAAGTACTAGTACAGTAGCCCAGAGTTGTGTATGCAAAAAATGTCAAAAAAAGGAGAGGCACGCCCAAAATGCCCATAGATGCAACCCAAATGAAAAGGAATGAACAAGACACCGTCTAAATAATGCAAGTGTTGGGTGTAGGGGGCATTCAGGCATAAATGTTGTAAGGAGAGACGTAAGATCGTGAAAGTAAGTATAGTCTGTGCTGCAGGTGGGATCCTGAGCGACGGACGCCGTCTGGGCGTGGCAAAGGAGTGACAGGAAGGAGAATAGTGTATCTTCAACAGAGCAGAGGGGAAATATAAAAATAGAAAGAGAAAAACGCAATCACAAAATCAAATCAAAAATCGATCCAGAAGTAGAAGGTTCACTTCACTGGCCCGTTTCGGAGTCGGGGAGCGGGTATACCGGTTCCATGTAGCTGTAGCAGGCGCCATGGGGAGCAGCGGTAGAGGGTGCGGGGTGTCCGAGACTCTGCATATCCCATGCTGACCGGGGAGCCGGAGCGACCAAGCCATGGGTACCATGAGGCTGGCAAATGGCTGGGTATGGATAGGTACCCATTCCCATGGTGGTGTATGGCTGCGAGACAGCAGGCATCACTGATCGAAGATCAGGAGCAGCAGTTAGCGAAGCACAGTGGTCCGATCGTGTAGAGTAACAAGGGGCCATGCTGGTGGCATAACTGCTGGTGGGGCCGGAGTCTGACACTGAATGGGGAGAGGGAGCAGTGTGAGGCTCGGTGCCTGAGTCGGAAGCAGTGCCGTGGCTAGCGTAATTTGTCATCGGGGTGTGCAAGGAACCAGCAGTCGACGAATAGCTGGCAGACTGTGGAAAGAAGGAAGAGTTAGTGCAATCCGTGATTGGCCAGTTCAGGGGTTGACTTACGTATTTTCCAATGATCTTCTTCAGAGCGAGGCTCAGGATTCTCCAGGGGAAGACCTTGACGTCTTTCTCAATGTTTCTTGGCTTCGGTGCAGGGAAACCCATGATGACCTTGAAAAACTCTTCGCTGTCGGCCTTGGCTTTGGAAACAGTCAAGGGGCGGAATCCCTCCAGGTTGCGGCGAATGCGGTTCTTCTCCTCAACGGTGAATCGGACACCGACTAGAGACTCGAGCAGGTAGATGGTGTCCACGCTGGTGACGTAGCACTCACTTTTTCCTTCCCAGGAGATGCAGCTAATGCAAATGCTGTTGGGTGTTCGCTCCTCGGGAGTCACAGGCTTGAAGTCGGCGAGGATGGTACTTCCTGTCTGGTTACGAGTGAACTGTACCAGACGACGTTGAGTAGTGCGCTCTTCCTTAGTCCATCCCTCAGCCATGCTATCCAAATCACCGTTAAGCTTGAGAACAGCCTTAGTAGGGTAGATAGCGTAGGGATTGAAGGGTTGGCTGTGGCTAAGACCAGATTGCTGAATCGTCGATGTTCGGATCAAAGTAGGGTTGGAAGAGCGGACTTGAGAAGATCCCTTGTGCTGTGACATTCCATGGGCCATGGGAATACCCGAGGGGTAGCCCGATGGCCGGCCATCGATGCCAACTGAGACGAAAGATGGGCTCCAAGCTGGTGTAAGAGGAGAAGGAGCTCGCATGGCATGTTGGGGTGTGGCGGAATACTGGCCCATAGCAGTGCGGGGAGACGAGGCAGCATTGTAAGGGGCCGCGAAGCTAGGAATTACAGGGAGCGGCTGCACGTATGGCGAGAAAGAAGAGGAAGTGGAGCGGCTGTGGCTGTGGTTATCCCGGTAAGAGTAGTTGTCGTGGGACTCAATCTTGGGCATCACAGGGCCAGTGGAGCGCTTGACAGGCGCCAGCACAGGGTTTTCGTTATATGAAGAAAACTTTCGCTTGTGGGAACTTGTGGTCGATGATGCAGTGGAAGGCACATGCTCGTATGTGTAAACGCCGACTTGGAGGGTAGCAGACGGGTAGTCACCTTGGCCTTCCAGGACAATCTGGACAGGGACAGCAAACGAAGGCGAGCCAGTGGAAATAAATTGAGGGGCATCTGCTGAGAGCGCATATTGAAAGCTTGATCCCTCGAAACCCAGGAAAGTTGGGATACATTCACACTTCTTGGTGCCAAAGACCACATACAAGTCGTATGCTGAGTTGTGCAGGTCATAGGGAGACTGGATCTGCACAACCACTCGAGTTCCTTCGCAGCCACGCTGTGGACTGTAGGTGACAATCTCAGGTAATTGTCGAGAGCGAGAAGCCATCAGTGGGGACTGCGACTCTTCATATGAGCTGCCGTAGTCATTACCAGGGATGTATGGAACACAGTCCGAGATTTGACTGGCCTGGTCGGCCATGGGAGAAGGAACAAGAGATGTGGTCACGTAGGGGGATTGGGCGTAGGTCGTGAACGAACTAGCATCATGCAACGAGCGCGTGGAGTAATCTGAAACTGCGGTATTAGAATCAAGCTCCTCGATGTGTGTTAGAAAGTATACGGAACATACCAAGTACAGCACCAGCTCCCGGCTTTTGGAAACCAGACATAGACAGAATATGCTCAGACTTGGCCCACAGGCCGTCCGAAAATGCACCGACAAACTGAGATTCGTCAGAGTCCGAGAAATCCAACGATTCACCTAAAATGAGTGGTGTTTGGAAATCCGGGTCGAACTATAATAGGGGGGGGGGAAAATCCAATAGTCAGCTTAGGATGTTCCAAAGGGGAAGGGTCGATGTCCCTTCAAACAGGACTTGGGGATGGGATTGAAAGACCATGCAAAACCTGCGGGCATCCAGAAGAGAAACATGGGGGAAATGGGACGAAACTCACCAAAACACCGTGTGTCTTCGAATAAGCCAGCTTGAAGGTGTTGCAGAACCTGCAACAAGACAGAACCTTCTGAGAAAGCGAATGACAGAGAATTTATTTCCTTCCAACGATAACTACGTTGGCTAACAGAAACGAGAAAAGGGGAACAAGCTCCGAGACAGAACGAGAGACGAAACCAAGCTGGACTGTCGGTCTCACGGAAAACGTCAGTAGCTACAAGCCTCGAATGAGCATTCAGGGATGTGAACCACTAAGAACTGAGACTGGGTAAGGCTGGCTGCAGCAAGAAGAGGGGATTCCAGATAAAAACGTGCCCAAGATGGTTCATTCAGAGCGCAGCTGGGATGAAGAACCTATCGCATAGGAAGTCACAACTGACACAGAAAAGCCACCGCTTGTTGTGGCGACGGGGAGATCCGAGATGCGAGATTGGCGAATCCACGAGTTTGCCGCAGATGGGTTAGACCAGGTAGCGTGGTCTGGTCAACGCTGACTGGTGAGGTTCTTGGGGAATTTCCTTTCTGATTCGTCAAATGCCGTGCGAGGTTTCGGGAAAGCTTGACGTTCGATTGGGCACCAAGATTATACGACCGAACTACTCCAGTAATGAGTATAAACGAGTCTATTTTTGTTTTTCGTTTTCTTTGAATTCCTCTTAGGGCTAGAAGCCAGAGTCGGAATGGTGCATAGACGAATAAAAGGTCTTAGAAGGGCACTCACCGAGTGAATCAAACTTGGAGGAGAAGAAGACGATTTGTTGGTCGATGTCGCCTAATATGCAAGAATTTGGCCGACGCAAGAGTCTAGAAAAGCATCCGATGTCAATAACAAACAACGCACGTCAAATTCAATAGCGGGAGACGGGGAACGCCATCCGGAAGGATCCATCCATAGCTCTAGCTAATCTTCCTCTTTTTTCCCGTTATTCCCTCAGTGCATGTTCAATCTCCATGACGCTCATCATCTCCCGTGGTGGGGGAGATTGAAGCACGACGTCTGTAGCTGCAAGGAGATGCAACATCCAAGAAAAAAGAGGCCCAAAGAGGAAAAAATGCAAGGCACGGGGGAAGTGAGACCGTGGGCGAAGGGGGCGAAGTGGATTCTCATCTTTGATTTGCACTAACCTTAAAGCTGAGCAATATCTGAACTCCTTGACGGCTTTGCGCTGAGACCTTGCCAAACAGATTGATGCTTTCCGTACCGGGGTCGAGCGTGGGTGCTTTCAGCCGAGACACTGAAGGGAATAAATTGATGACCGATGTAAATCTAGAGCGAGCACTCCAGAGTGTTTTCAATAGTTATATGGTAGATCAAAATCGAAAATCGAAAATCCTAAATTGACGGTCCTCGATATAGTTCAAAACTTTGAAGATCGTCGGGAAGAACAAACGGGGATTCGTTCTCTTCTACTTCAAGATCGAAGCCGAGATTGCGCAAACGCCGTACACAATCTCCGGTTGAAATGAATAATAAAAAATGAAATTAATTCTCCACGGGAATTTCTCCTTCGGTCGATAAATTATCGTGAAGGGGAGAATCAAATCAAGGGTGCGTCCAGCGAATCAACGCGGGGGCGCAAGGCGTCGTGGAATTAAATATTAAGAATATTCGGGATATAGCCGGTCCTTTTTCTCTCTATTCTTTTCTTTTTCTTGTTTCTCTTGTTAAAAACAAAAAGAAAAATAGAATAAGTAGAGATATAAATCAAATAATAGTGCTCTTTTTCACTCCAGGTAATTTGGGGGGAAGATGGTGGATAATTTGGGTGTTTTTTGTTTTTCTTGTTTCGATGTCTTCCAATAGAATGGGAGATTTCCAGATCAAAAACGTAGCGAACGTGGTTCTCGTAGCAGGAACAAGCGAGCGTAAGAGCGAACGTGGGTGAGCGAATGTGGGGACCGTTCAAGGTGTCATAATAGTATCAAGAAGAGTGAATATCGAGGAAGGGGGAGTAGGGGAGGAAAAGAAGATAAATCATGCAAGGATGGAGAAGGGTTAAAAGCGAACGGTCATCTACGAAGATTATTATTAGCAGTCCCGAGCAGGTCAGAGTGCAATTCCTCCGGCCTAAACTGTATAGGGCCACGAGCGTGTGGAGTCGCCTCCTACGCTTATGCACTTTGGGAAAATGACCAGGTGAAATAATTCAAAAATGATTAAAAATAAAAATAATATAATATAATATCATTATATTATTTATAAATGGATTTATTTTTCTCTCTGGGTCACCCTTAACCCCAATCCGTCCGAGCTAAGGGGACTAGTGGGAAATCGTGGCGGGGGATGCACAGATGTCGAGGGAACTGGGGCCACGGAAACACTGGTAGAGCTCATGGCAACACAGAGAATTTCAGATCGTCACACGGAACCAGGGTCTCGGGGACAATTTTACACAATAAATCGAGCAGATAGAGAGAAAAAAGAGAGATCATGCGGGAGTACAATACCCATTCTATCCCGGACATAGCTCCAGCGAGAACATACCATAGATACCGTCTCGATTGGAGAGTACAGAGACCTCGGGACTTTTGTACAGGTATACGGTACATGTACGACAGTGGTTAGTACCTTGAAAGCTACATTCTCTAGGAAGTCCCATACATCTCGGATGCCAGTTGATTTGATCCGAGCTGTCCGGATCTACTTGGATCTACTCGGACATGCTACTGGTTTAGAATCGGCTAAAAGGAATTAATACTTTTGTGTGCTTTTTTTATTCACTCGCTCTTTTTTAACCCACTCTATCGAGGGAGCTCCATTTTTGATAATCCAATAATTTATGAACCTTGGAGTCTATGGAGTATAAAAAAGCCAATAATGGAGACTGGGAAGTAGACAGAAAAGTAAAATTACAACAAAAAATGTATTTCACAATTATTTTTCTCTGCATTTCGGGGTTGGCTTACACGTGGGTCATAAATAGGTAATACGAAGACGAGCGCCAATTGGTGTTCAGCGCTCGGAATAAACACCAATCTGGCGGCTTGCACCGCGGTAAAAAATAAAAGTGGAGTCGATCAAGGTTGAACGGGCAAGGAAGAGGAATGGAAATCAAATAGAATGGGAATTTTTATGCAGAATAGTAAGGACAATAGTATCATCCATGGAAAGCAACATCAAAATCCAAATTTTCAGCCCCGAAGAAGATGACTTCATCTGATGGGAAGCGGGGGTTAGATTAATGGAAAGTGTAACGGGGAAGGAAAAAAAGCATAGCAAGATAGAGAATGAGAGAGCAGCAGTGCACAGCCGCTGCAAAAAAAAGTTGGAAAGCTAATCGTCACCCAACCACCTCCCCCCTTTGGTTGTAACGTGCCCATGTCAAGATCGAAGATCCAATCATGTCTGTGCTAGCCATTGATTTCCAGCTTCCTGCTTTTCCCTTCCAATCAGAGTCTACTGTTCATAAAGTGTTTTCAACTCGGTATAATTAGCTCCCGCCCTGACTTAGTCTCGGAAAGGGAGTGAAGCCATGACCCCCAGTTAATTTCACTTGTTTGAACCAGTAAGAAGCAGTGAAGAAGAATAGAAAGCAAGAACCAAAAACGAAATAAAATAAAATAATCATCATCATAATAATAATTAACATACAAGTTCCAAAATAGAAATTAAATAGCTACAAGGTTGAGACAGCCAAGTCCCTCCAGTATCCTCAAGTGTCCACCCCTATACCAAACATACCAAAGGTGCACCAAACTGGTAGAGGATCTCACCAAGCCTCTTTTCTACGGCTCTACCCCTAAAAGGGACAAGCCAAGAAGACCCCGTTTCCAAATCTTTCTCTAGAGATGCCAAGGAGCTCCACCCGCGGATCGCCCTGAGCGCAGTAATTGGACTATAGTCGCCGGTTCGGCCGTACAATTCTTCAGCCCCCCTCATGTGTCATTATGCCATCATGCATTCCCCCTCGTTGTACTATGCACTCAAACTGGGTATCTGTATTCCACGGAGTATGTTTGGCAGATTAGGATTATGTAGTGTATATGTTGTAGAATCACCCGAGGGGTTCCTGATGTACCCCGTACACGAGGTGGCTGTAGGGTTACGGATATTCGTACTCGCTACACATGATCCTTTTGAATTTCCTGTACACTCAGAACTTTACAGTAGATATTCCCGCCGATTCAACTTCCAAGGTATGAACCTTGAATGGGGGCCCATCTGACCCAACCAACCGTTGTCCCCAATCGCCATATCACACGTATCGTATTAATCGTATTGATAAATATGAGGTTTTTTTTTTGATATCTGTTTCTTATTTTTATCTTCTTTTCTAGATGTAGTATTATTTTTCGATCGAGTAATCATGTAATCATGTAATCATGGAAAGATAATCTCGAAAAAAAACGAAAATAACCAAACCTCAAGCTAAGTAAGCTTAGGGGGTTGGTTAACCAGTACCAGGACACAACGGGCAGCTCCATTACCCAAATGAGCTAAACATAGAACACCTTGCATCTCAGGTGACTCGGTGGCCTGACAATGCAAGGGTATTGCTCGCTGATTGGTTCAACACCTCTCCTACACTAATCCCGATCTAGTCTAGTGTTCTTATGGTGTGTGTGAGTGTTGCCCGAACGGAGTTGACTCTGACTGGAGCTAACGTGAACTGACCTGAACTGACTTTCTGATGAATCCCTGGCCAACGTGACGGTGTCATCACCATCGTCACTCTGCACTGTCACCTCGCTGGTCTGCAACTTGTTGTTTCTATTTCCAGAGGCTGTGGCTGTGACAACTCATTCTATGGTCCCGGTAAATCATAGCTTGATTTCTTATTCCTTAGTCTTTTTGTTTGTTTGTGCTTATCCTGTCTACCGAGTACTCCATCCCTGCACCGTCATTGGTTTTTGATCGGGTTGAACCACAACGTTGCAAAATGCTTTACTACGTCTATATGCCGGGCCCTGTCGATCGTGCTCTTCTGCCCCAAACACTTTCCTGCACCAGCCCGACGATCATCGTGGCGGGACAATCCCGAGCTTTGTGACCCATACGCACGGGTACACTGTGTACGCAGTACATTAATTTTACCTAGTTCAGTAGTTTCCCCCCAACTCTATTCGTAGCAGTTAATCTTAATACAATTGAAACCCAAATTTTAATAACTTGCATGAAACAAAAAGTGTATGCAAGTGTGCAAGGGTGTTAAGCAGAGGGGAGTGGTGCTGGGGTAGATCATATCTCATTTACTAAAGGCAAGGATCGTAGATCGCTCGTTCCGATATGAACATCCTCCCCCTTTCTTCGTAGATATATACTCCGTACAGTGTCGGAAGTCGATCCGTAAAGGTAATAATCAATATTCTTAAGACAATTTCTTATTATTATTATTTCTAACGGTTCGATTGCATACCTTCCCTCCCTTTTAGAAAATTAGCCTTTCCTGCACGTAAACCAGCCACCCACGATGCTGCAAGTCACCAACCTCTCCCCCAACCCCAAGAAGGGGGAATCCTAGTACATACCACAGAAGATCAGAATTTGATTCCGATCCGAATTGCACGATCGGAAAGCCTCAAGATCCCAAAAATCAGGTTGGAATTCCCGGGACTCAACTCCGCGATTTACCACGTTATAGACATTTAGTAGTAGATAAGTCACTATACTCGTTTGAGGGTACTTGGGTATCGGAATACCTCACTGTGGATTTATAAGAGGGGCAAGGGTTTACTGAACCATCCGGAGTCAACGGGAGGTCGGGTTCAAGCGACGGTGGATCGAACAAATGATCAGCAATCTCTTGCAAAAGCTTCGAGATGATCGCCACAGCTTCCGGGTCAATGTTAACGGCTTTGAACGACCAATTGAGTTTACGATTCCCCATACAATTCAATATATTCTCTTTCAATTTTCAATTAATTTCCTACACTTTTCCCCCTGCAATCACCCCGTGCAAGGAGATCACGAATCCATACCCTTCTTCGTCTATCAGATCGTAATTATCCCTTGGATTTCAACTCCACCGGGTCCAAACTGTGGCGTTTGCCCTCTCCCAACTGGACAATGGATCGGTGGATCTTCGGCGAATATCCACCACTTCATAACTTGGATTTGATGAAGCCAATAGAGAAGGGGTTAAAATAAATTTTATCGAGATAATTAACCGCAGTTGACAGCCCATCATCATATCAAGATCAATAGCATAGCTTCAATTCTCGCTACGCCAGGAACAGGAATCCTCCGATTCGATCCAAGATTTCAAATCCCACCAGCTTTGAAGAGAAAAAGCGGAGCCGCGGTGCAAACTCAGGGTTTCGGAGCTACACTTTCTTGGGCAGTTCTCCGTATTATTTTCCAGCATCTCTGGGGCTCAGTTTTTATCGGACTCTTACCTATTTGCCAATAATTCTCATTCGTGTCTCCACTCTTCCATATTAACTGTGGTTTTACGGAGTACTGTCTTCGGTTTGCAGCCCCCAAGCCCTAGCTTACCCATAGTTTTCTTTTCCGCTTAATATTCCGCGCTACATTCCCGTAGTCCATACGGTAGTCCCCATACATCAGGGTCTCATTATTTGAATTTGCATTGGCATTGGCATTCGGATTTCCCGATACCCAAAGTTCGTAACCTAAATAGAAAACTTAAACTAAAAACTATACTGTATTAGAGCTTCTACTTCATAATCGCTGACGCGGCAATGAAATGATATCAGCGGCATCGTTCATGTCAGGGCCCTTAGGAACCTTGCATTGCAATCAAACTCGATCATCTTGTTTGATGTGAAACCTCCCCTCTCCACCTCCTCTCATCATCAATCCTTGTCAAGGTTAGACCCTTGCGGCGCAGTTTTACCCGAGTCCATCCTTTGTCTGTGGGTTGATTTCCCCCCGTGCCAGGGGTTGGTTTGGATACCTTCAAACGCCCACATGGTCATAGCTGCGATACGCCAAAACTTGGTTGGAGTTGGAGCTGTGGAACCCCCCCATCTGCCCGACGCCGTATCTTGCTCAGCCACATTGTGGCCCTTTGGTGGTATCTACCGTCATGATGAAAAGAATTCAATCTTGGTTCAGGCAACTGTTTATTGTACCCTGAGGCTAAGAAAAAAACCTGCGCGAATCACGGAGCATTGTTTCTAATCGTATACGCAAGATTTTATGTACGATATCCATCAGATGTCTATTTGTATAACTTACCTTCTTTTTTAGGTATGACTACCGATCGCATCCGATCCTAGAGGAAGGATGGTTGTACGGAGTACTATTCGGATGCATGATTGTTATCCAATTAAGAGATGGAATCTTTTTTTTTCTCTCTCTTTTCTTTTCGTGCCTTGGCATTCGGTATTAGTTTTAACCTTTCACTATCTCGTCTGCTTATCCGAGAATGTCGTTATACTGGGTCTAATCGTGGTACTTAGGGTATTCCTATGGACACGGCTCTTCTTCCAGTGCTTTTTAGTGCCCGTATATGAGAGCCACCTTTTCATGGCAAGGGCGGCTACCGGCTAGTTAGTTACTTGCCGGTTATCAGTGCTCCATCGCACGGTCATTGTCCGTTATTGCTCGGTCGCTCCCACTCCATATCTGCCAGGTTGACGTAGTTCCTTTCTGCTTCTGGTGCTAGTCAAGGTTCACTAGCAGAACAGCGGTCAGGCTTATTTTGAGTGCTAGGAGTACGAAAGGACTCGATGATTGGCTTGTACCAATTTAATATATTCTTGGGTATAGTACTTTTGTTGACGTACGTCAGTGGCATCGTGCGAACCAACACGTGCGGTATTTGACATTTGGATAGAGGTCTGTTCTTCCCATACCATACTACTATCAACAGAGCAGAGTGAGAGGAAAGCGGGCTACAAAGAGTGATAGGAACTCGTGGAGAGAAACGCACAGAGCACGAGTCAAGAATTCGGAATCAAATTCCAATTTCAATTCCAATTATCCCAACATCGACTCTGATCATCTTCTCATCTACCTGATTCTAATTCCTTCCTAGCCCCAGGGTGCATTGATAGCCCCAAGAACACACAAGCCGGCTCCTGATCCCGCTCCGAAAGCCTAGTGACCGCTCATCCCGTCTGGTGTTTCAGTAAATGGAATATCATAGGAAAGGTTTCACAATACAGCTCACCAGACCGACGTGGTGATTAAGCCTAAGTAAGCGGACCATCACCTCTTCCGCGATGATCACGTCCACAAATAGTATGGTTTCGCACGAGAAGCAAGCTCTATGCACTTTTAGCGTGAATGGTGCAGGCAGTCATTCTCCATATCTCCACACCGAAGCGTCTCCGTTGGTAGATCTTAGCTTTGTCCTAATGCTAAGCCTAAGCTTGTCCCACCTCCGGTTAGGATCCATGATAGACGGGAGAAGTTTAAACGGAAGCCTTTGGGTGTGTTGAATTAAGCACCTTCCTTGTCAGGTTATCTGGGGAGTCAGCATCTTGTTGCATCTAAGGTTGTTTGTGGAGTGGTTCCTTTTTTTTCTTTCTAGGTTTTGCGGATTAGGTTTTGTTTTTTGTTTTTTTGTGGCCTGCTTTTCACTCTTTTTTTCTGGGACCCGTCACTCAGGGGTTGTGAGACAACCAGCTCTACAGGATTATTTTAATGATTTTTTTTAACTTGTTGTCGATCGGGCTCGGAATTGGTATCGGATGGTGTGAGTTTGTTATTGAAGCACAGCATTTACCCGTATCTACTAGTACATATCTGGAGAGATGGGGATTGCTTCATCTTTTTCCATGATATCGCTCATAAATAGATCAATTTTTCAAACACATTATTCTACGCATATACATTCCTTTATAAGCTGTAACAACGCTAGCAAATGACGTCCGACATATATAATATTTACCTTTTGCCGGGCGGCACGAGGAATTCAAGTTAGCGATCGGCAGCCCACAAATATATAGTTATAGTCATGCATGCGGAGTAACTTTGTCCCAACTTGAGCTGAACATCATGTAACCTTCATAATTAGTCTTTTTCATCATTTATTTTATTTAACCGAACTAAATTTACCGAAATACTTCCCTTCACACCTAGGCAATAAACAATTGCTAAAATAACAAACATGAGTCGCAGAAAATAGCAAAAGTGTACCCGCATTCCGTAGAGAAAACAAAAACCCCCCCTCCCCCCAACGGGCCCCAGCGATCGTCTCTGATCGTCCATGCTTGAAACCTCCGCCGAACTACGACCGTTTCAGCTTTATCCACGGACCCCCTCGTGGGAAAATATCAAGATGAATCAGTCAAACAATCTTGGAATCTACTACTCCGTATGTAGCGAGCCTATCCCGTGTGAACCCGTGGACTCCACTCGCACCAATCTTGGAAAATTTCTATTATCGATGATCTGCTCAATCAATCGCTCACGTCTCATGCAGGGACCAATCAATGCCTTAGATCTCGATGCCTTGAGAGGCATTGAGGTGATTGTGCATCTATACTTGTGTACAAATTCGGCATACAAGCAGTCTAACTTGAATATATCCCGCAAATATCACCACCTCAAAGTGGATCGTTTTCCCTTCATCCTTGAACATGCACGCACTAAAGCGATCCTCCGTAAACAAGGTGGAGTGGAGTAGCTAGGGACCAAGGACAAACCACAACGCCACAAAGCTCCGGATCTCGGGACCCCGTCTGTTCCGACTTACCCTTTGCGCGACTATATTCATCTACTAAGCCAGATCGAGCGGATACGGAGGTGCGTGCTATTCTTGTTCTCCAGTTAAAGTTCGGGGTTTGCCTGGTTTGCCTGGTTTGTTTCTTGGATAGATACATTTCTCTCGGTGACTACTCCATTTTCATCCGGATCCGAAGTGGTCCACTTTTGTGGGTTTTCTTTTTCCTTCTTTTTTTCTTGGAGAAGAACAAAATCAAATATTCCGAATCTACGGAACCTTCATCCACAACCGATGAGAACTGCGATGAGAACCGCTTAATCCTTTTTGAAGGAAAAGATAAATAAGATGTGGGTCTTACCAATGACCCATGTATCTCTCGTTTAGACGTTGTGTATAATAGATTGCCAAGGACCGCCAAGGGTAGGCAACAGCCAATTGAGCCTGAACCTCGGATGTTGACAGCAGTCAGTGTTTTGATGGCATAACTCAATTGCAATTTCTATTCTCCAGATCCACTGATCTTAGTAACAGGGACTAATTAGGTAACTTCGTCTCGAACGGTTCACCTTCTTATAGGTCAATGCTTCTGGCGTTACGGTATACTCAATAGGAAAGAAGATATGAAAACTTTGATAGCTCGGTTAGACAGAATTATCTAAACTGCTTCTATCGTCTTCTATCTTTGTCTCTCGTTTAGAAAATATTGGATCATTTGAGTTCGTTGCCCATACCCCATACGAAGATTTTGTCCGTTTTCTGAATGTGGTCAATTGTGGTACACTTGGAAAGTTTACTGAGGCACCATCACCGAAATAGCTAGAGGCTCGAAATCGATAACATCATATATCATATTTCTTTGCTTGAGATGTCGGAACCTAACCGAGCCGGGACGAATCGGGAGACAGATTTAGACCCATAATATGCCCAGTTTCTATTGGTTAATTCATATTCCTCAGCTTTTGTCAATTCACCAGTCGACGACTGGACAGTCCAGGTAGAATCCTGGAAGCTATGATGTGAATTGTTTCACTTTGTTTCTACTGGAAAAGCTGCACAGAATACCAAATTAGGACAGATAGTGATGCGAAAAAGTAAAAAGCTATTCTTAGCGACCAGGAACCCGATTTTTGGGTCGGTTGTGGCGTTGACTATTGATCGACTGTTACAGTAGGTGTTTCGAAACCCTAGATACCAATTTCTTGATTCAGATTTAAAATGCTGATGAAGAGAAACCGGTAGTTTGGACGGAGAAGAGCGTTCTTCAGAAACCTGGCGACTCAGAAGTCGACGTCGTAACAACACATCGCTTTTTCCAGTTGCTGTGGACTTTTGGCCCCATTCTCGTGTTCAGTTCAGCTGGCCACGTTAGGTTTGCTGGCCTGATCTACACACCCAGTAGCCCTACGTAGATAGAGATTATCAGAGGGATAACTGCCGTTGGCGGCTGTGTAATAGGGGTAATTCCGAATTTCTAGCGGTCTGCAATCTTTTTTTCCTTTTTTTCGGAGTGCAAGGGTAAGGATGATGCTACTGTCGTAGATTATTTGGGGCTTGTCTGAGTTGGCGTGAGATGGCGTATGTCAGCTACCGGACTTGCAGGGTTGGATTGCAGATGGCGGTATGGAAGCTGCCCAATTTTCAGGGATCTACCGATAAGATGCTTTGGGATTATCATTTTGACATGGTCGGCATGGGATTTCAGCCCTAAGTAATAGCCATACTGGTATGTTTGATGTTTTTTAGATGTAAAAAGGAGGTGTGAGAACTTCAAGCTGAATGAGCATTTCAGCTAATTCAATGAAATCCATGCAGATAGTCAAATGGAATTCAGAATTCTAAGATCCAATCCATATATCCTCATCGCTCGAATAAGATCATTATACTCAAGCCTTAAAGAGCATTGAAGCTCAACATAATCCATAACATCGTCGACTCATCTTGTTGCATAGGCCACGCGACCTAAACGGAAGGAAACGCTCTCCTCAATGGACTAGCATAACATCTGGGGAGATAGAATGCCAGCACAGATATGCCAAAGTTCTGATTCTTGCGTGAAATCACATTGAAGGAGGTCGCGACCGGTAAAAGCATGGTCGGGAGCATTGTGTGGATTTACAACTTGCTGCTCGAGGTATTTCCAAAATCGATCACCAGTTTGCCAAACTGTTTACCTTGCTTCATGTCCTCAAAGAGCCCATCAAGCCCGGCGAGATCATCAATCTCACTCTTAAGTGTACGAGAGACAACTGGATGAATGCTCTTGGCTTTGACATAGTCCACCATTTCTTGGAACTCCTTTCGTGAGCCCATGGTAGAGCCACGAACATCGATGTTCTTGAGCACTGCTTGCATCGTGAATGGCATCTTCGGAGAGACAGTCATTCCATATATGGAAAGAACACCACCGGCCTGCAATAAATGTGAGTGAGCACCTATATGACCAGCATCCACCACGACGAAAAGAAAATGGACAAAACACTTACCTTCAGCAGCTTGACAGACTTCTCAATAGAGTCCCCACCCGCACCGTCGACGACCGCATCGAAGTTTTTCTTCCCAGAAGGAAGCATGCTCAACAGCTTCTTATCCCATCCTTCCTCCTTATAACTCACACCACCAGAAGCACCAAGATCAACAGCCTTCTGAATCTTCTCCTGACTGGAGCTGGTCACAAAGACATGCGCGCCCCTGGCTACCGCAAATCTGAGTGCCATCAAAGCCACACCACCTCCAATACCAGTAATCAGAACGGCAGCACCATCCTTCGAATTCCTCTCCCCCGCCTTCGAGACAAGAGCCCGCCAAGCAGTTAGCCCAGTCAATGGCAACGCAGCCGCTTCAGCATCAGACAAATGCGCCGGTGCCTCCTCAACCTCCGACTCAGCAATAGTGATATATTCCTGCAGGGTACCCTTGTCATAGACCTTGGTACCACCCATAATCCGGTACCCAGTTGCCTCTTCAGGCCCATCGGGGGAATCTTTCCATCCAACACCGGGATTCAAAACGACGCGCTTGCCGTCCCATTTGTTGGCTGGCACTTCTGGACCAGCACCGACTACTAGGCCTACACCGTCGGCTAATAGTGGCACATCAAATGTGACGCCGGGGTATAGGTGCTGGCGCAGAAAGAGATCACGATGGTTCAAGGAGGCCGCCGTGAGCTTGATAAGCAGCTCATTGCCCTGTGGGGTAGGCTTTGGCAGGGTTCGGACAGTGAGTGGGTAGTAGACCTGGCCTGGCTTTCCTGGTTTCCCATCAATTGGGGCGATGTAGACTGCCTTAGACATTTCTTCTCTTTTGAATAATTTGTGGATTGGTTTTGCTGGGTTGGGTGGTTGGGGTTGATATGCTCATGCGGGGGATGTGAGCTCTTATCGATAACCGAGGGCTGGGGATACAAGCAAGTATCTCCGACAAGAGTAGGGTGATCCTTGTTAAGCTCTGTTTGCCTTTCAAAGATTAAATTTAGTCAGTTTCTTTGGTGAGTTACAGGGAATACTGATATATCTAAAGGTTCAGGTTTGAGAGGAGAAAGTTGCGAAGAGCATTGCGTCAGGGACCTCGGCCCACGGGAAAAAGCCTTACTAATGGCTGCGATCAGCATGAAGCATATCTTCTCCAATTTGGAGATATTGCAATCTTGCCTACTCGGGATTTGGGGCAGATTCATGCCCATTAAATTGTTTGAATATTCCAAATATATGAGTGCATCCTAGTTCTTAGGCTCTGCTCTGTGCTGCTGAAAGAAAACAGCAGCAGCAGCAGCATCATCATAAGCTACTAAATCAATCATATTGTCTGCTATACAATCTAGCTGTTCGGATTTTCACCTAAGCCTTCGTGAAGTGTCCGGACTCCTCATTTCCAAGAAATTTATACTTCAGTTGTGACGTGGATCCAGAGATAGTAACATGTTGCACATCACCAGGTACAAGGTCGAGTGCATTATCACTTAGTCGAGTTCCGTCTTGTTCTTCGAACGCAAAGCATTTCACGGGCTTGCGCACAGATATTGCGACTGTCCATAGATTTGCATCAACATCGGATGCTGACTTCACTGTCTTGATCTGGATCTCTGGATCAGGGAGATCGATATACTTGAACGGCTGAGGCCAGTCAATATCTCGGGCAACTATCTGATTCTCTATCCACAAACGAGCCGCCAGGACATGTGGCTCAGATTCCACAGTGTGGTCGATGACTCCATCGCTGATAATGTCTGTTGTACCGTTTGGAGTGATTAAAACGTCTTCCCGTACAATGGGAGATCGTAATTCAGCCCCGGTTATGATGGAGATGAAACGCAACTCTACAGTTGCATGGAGAGTATGTGGCTTGTTACTGACAACCCACAGTTGATACTTACTTGCAACCGGTGGCTGTGCATGAACTACACTCCAGTCATGATGTTCTCGTTGAACTCCCACTGCAATAGGATTGAGAACCCGCTTCACGGCGTAGTATGCGAGTTTTGGTCGTAGAAAATAATCGACAATGGCCCAAGAAATGGTAGGCCAGCAATCGTTGATCTGCCAAAGAAGGGCCCCTCCACACTGGCGTTCATCTCCCCATTGTCGACGCCAGCCTCGGTATCCGAACATCATCGTTTCAGCCTGCATAAGTTGTGTTTGGTAAATGTATCCCTATAGTTGTTAATAATTTGTGTTTTTAATGATCAAGGCCATAGAATGTAGAGACTATACCTCGAAAGTATGTGGAGACCGAAAATTTTCAACCAGGTATGTTGCCAATCTTCGCTCATGACCGTCTGCTTTGTTATGGAAGTCCATGACTTGCGATTGCGCGTGGTGATCATTTGGATTTCGAGAGAAAGATTCAATGGTGGCCATACTCGGGAAAGCCTCCATACCAAATTCACTGTTAAACCGGCCACCGAGAGTTTCAAAGATCTGATACTTCTCCTGAGTACCATGCCATACTAGAAATCATCAACATTTTTTTTCATCTTTTGTCCTAAGTGAACTTACCATTCCATTGATGCATATCACCGACTGTAGTATCTGATGAAATTTTCCCATCTCCCCACGGACTGCCAGGGTGATAGAAGATCTCCGGTGAGTGCTCTGCAACAACCTCTGGCAGTAACTTTTCATAAATATACCGTGCTGGGAAATCTGTTTTGAGCCAACTCTCGGGATCTTTATCCTCAAAATTATAAGTAAGACCCACAGACTCCTGGACTTGATAGTCTTCGTTATTGCCAACGTAGATGACAATGGCTGGATGGTGACGCAGTCTCTGCACATTGTACACAGTTTCCTCACGCACAGATTCAAGTAAAGCAGGCCATGTTGGATAGTTACCGCAACCGAACATGAAATCTTGCCATACCATGACTCCCAGCTCATCGCAGGCATCATAAAACGCGTCATCTTCGTAGATACCACCACCCCAGACTCTTAATTATACAATCCAACTGTCAGCAAGATCCTTCAATAAAAGGTTGTGATCCATACCTGACCATCACTTGTCGGCCCTCAACCATCAGCTGAATCCAACGACGATAGCGACCAGGTGTGATGTTAGTCAAAAGGCTATCTGCAGGGATCCAGCAAGAGCCACCACAAAATATATCCACTCCATTAATGCGGAAAAAGAATGACTTCCCATGCTTGTCTGGTCTCTGAATAATTTCTGCTGTACGAATACCAAATCTTTTGGTTTGTTCATCTATGATTCCGTTTCCATAAAGCAAGGAGACCGAAACTTCATAAAGAGCCTGGTCACCATATCCATTTGGCCACCAGAGCTCCGGTTGATCAATCCGAAATGAGACTCGGGCTTCATTACTAGCAGTGACAGAAACATCCTGGTTCACGATCTCATTTCCGTGAAGAAGCAAACTGAATCGAGCTTTATAATCGCTACTGCTGTTTGCGTCGACTTTGATCACTACAGTCACCTCAGCAGTCGAATGATCATCAGCCAGATTGGTTTGCGGCCACAGGTCGATGATTCGCGCGGAGTATACTTCGAGTCGAACAGGACGCCAGATGCCCGCCGTCATAAGCACTGGGCCCCAGTCCCACCCCCAGTGGTATTGTGCCTTTCTGACAGTAAGACGGGACATGTCACCATTGAAGCCAACCCACTTATGAATCTGATCTTGCTTCTTCAGTTCACGTGCCTTTAATTCGGCACAGTCAAACTCGATTTCCAAGGTGTGCTCGCCTTCTGCCTCCATGGCCTTCGTCACATTGACTCGGTGACCTAGAAACATGTTGTCGGATTGTAAAATTGTTTGGCCATTAAGTTTGACCGTTGCGAAGGTATCGAGGCCGTCAAAGACCAGGTCAATGTTGGCACCGACGGGGATAGTTGGTTTCTCGAAGGTATTGCGATATACCCACGACTTCTCATTGACCCATCTTGCTTTCAGCTCATTAAACTCAGTATACGGATCCTCCAATCTGTCCAAGTTAGCTTCAATAGTTATGATCTCGAAATGTACTCATTGGCAAAGATAAGCTCACTTTTTGTTGGCAATGAGATCTTGCTGAACAACTGAAGGTACCGTAGGTACTGGCATCCAATCTTCAGCCTCCCGATCCCTAAAGGTCCATCCAGTGGACAGTGTGTGCCGGCTCAGCTGCATGATGAAGGGTCTAATTGAGTGAACAGTATTGATTTCTAGAACAGACAAATAGCTACTCTCCAAGGCTATTTAGATGAAATGGGCCCTGTGCTTATCGATAAGACCCCACACGCTCCTGCCTATTTTGGCGCGGAGTGCCCGCGGTCACCTGACTATGATGTCTGATAGTTAACGTTAAACAGGGCATTCAGGCCTCAGGCATCAGAAGTAACGTGATCTGAACGGGGACAGCTCATTGGGATTATTGTTGAGAGCACCCTGGAATCTTGGAAGCCTTGCAAGTGTTTCGACTGTGGGGATGCAGAGTACACATGTCGAGTCAAGATGCAGTATCTCTCACCGGGCAAGGGTCAGGCTTGCGCCTGTCCCGATTCGACACGGAGCTAACTCCGCACAGCTCAGAGGCTCATCCTCTCCTTATTATGGTGGACAGGCCCTTTCACTTGTTTAGGCTATTTTGTGCGGTAACAATTTATTGGAATATGTCCCTCTGTCCTTCTTGTCTTCTCTCTTCCCCTAGACACTGGCCTCGATCAAAGTGGCGAAGCCGTTCAATCACAGGGAACCAGCATGACGACCAAACAAAACCGACGCTAACGTTTCTACCCGGCAGATTAGCCCCTCATCCCCTTAACCGAGCCAATGGCCAACCTTATATCGGAGTCAGGAATGCAATGGCCCCAGGTCATTTGCTTTGTTCGTCCCGAATAGACTAGAAGGTGTTCTTGGCGCTTCAAAGTTCCTCCCAGGTATGTACTCCGTATCCCATGAAATGCCTGACCCTTGCAAGCCATGCGTATCTCGCTTCCCATGCAACATGTAATTCCCTATTTTCCTCTCCCGGAACTTATATCCATGCCTCCTATTCTTGCTCGGCATTGGAAGTTAGTGTTGAAACTATGACTGCCGTTTCTTTCTTTCCCGGCCCTTAACTCGAAAAGGACACTACGGCCGCTATTGAAAATGTCTCGGCGTCAGCCCTTTCACCGTTAGCTCTCCTACTGATTGGACCGAACCCTGCCCCGAATCAGCCCCGCCTGATGAGCATTCAAGCGGTCTGTGTGCTATTCCTCCGCCGCTTAATTTCCTCTGTTTCGCCTCAATCTCGTGGTACCCCCTCTACCTTGATTAGCCATGTAATGAGGATGAATCCCAACGGATTGCTTTGGTTATGGATATAGTGACCCTAGATAAAATACCAAAGCCTAGTTGTGGCCAGAAAACCACGACTGCTGTATAGTACCGACGGCATAATGAATTCCGGCAAGAGATGGCATCGTACGCCTGCTCACTCCCGGGCAATCGGTGGATAATCCACGGGACATGGCAATAAGTACCGTTGCAACCTCAATCATGCAATGTCTCTAGCTAATTTAGTGATCTGGGGGATTTTCTCCTCCGGGGAAATTGTGACAGGGGCTTCAGCGCGTGGAGATGAGCCAGTGGCGTGTGAAGAGCATGCGCTCCCCATAATATCCCTCAGTGATATCAATACCATGAACCCTGGTCCATCTAGCGTGTGGCACTGCTCGGCAAGAAGGACAAGTTGAATGGTCTTGGGATATGTACTCTCTCGCCCTCACTCTCCCACGCACATGCACATAATTCAAACTTTGACTATGTATCTGTGTCTGGCAGTGTCTCTCTAGATATATCCAATACTATACCACGAGAGTAGCATGAATAAATAGACTGATGACTAGGAACTCGAAGCATAGTATGCCTTCTTTCAAAGTTTTATTATAGTATATTAATCCTGCTAGTACTTTTAGTCCCGAACGCCATGTCTGGTTGCCAACGAGCCACACCCAATAAGCGAGACTGCACTCGGGAACCTCGGAGTCTAATTGTGGATATAAAAGAACCCCGGGCTTATTCCCTGAAATGCGGGGAAGAATTAAATTGCACTAAAAATTACTTTCCCAGACTTTTCCCACTCCATCTGAACTGCTGCTCATCATATTTTTGGGTTCGAGCGCGTTGTCTGTCTGATCATCCTCCGAATCCTTTCTACCTCTTGATAGTGGGCCATTCAGACAAGCTTTTACGGCAACATGGCCGCTATTCTCTGATTCAAGCACTTTCAACTTCATATTTTATCTTTCAATTGCTTATTCAGCTCTTTGAACCCCCTATTCGTGCTATTGTGAAATACCAACATCATACGACTCCTTCTGTTCCCCCGCCAATGATGCTTCCACGATAACTTTCAGATACCCGAACTATGTGATCCGAGACTTTTATTCCGTCATTCTGTGCTACAACCATGTTTCATACATTTGAAGGGTTCGAGAATCCTACATCCACGACACCGGCCAAAACTCGCCCTGTTACTGAGCGTCGCGAGTCAGTAAGCCGCCGGGTTACAACTTTGCGGGCATGTACATCGTGTCGACATCGGAAGATCAAATGCGATGGCGAAAAACCATGTGAGGCTTGCAGATGGTACAAGAAGGCCGACCAGTGTCATTACTCTGATCCTCGACCCTCTAGAAGGTTAGTATCAATATTTTCCATGCGCAAAGGGTACGTGGATCGCTAGCTAAGCAAAGGACCTCTCAGACATGTCGAGAAACTTTCCACGACCTTAGATGAATATCGGGTTATCTTGGGAAGGTTATTCCCCAATATACCGCCTGAATCACTTGTCAATCTTTCTCGAGAAAAACTACTTGAACTCACATCAGCATCTTCGTCGTCTGTTCAGGTGCAAACTCACATGCAACATGCTGCTTCGCCTTCAACCTCTGGGTCTATGGAAGCCCATGTATCCCCATTATCCCATGAAGATGACAACCTTGAATCCCTTCAAAGTATGCCGGAAGAGCTGGAAGGCGCCCGCCATGGACATCACATAGACTTAGTGGAGGGCGTCTCTGACGACGTAAATGCACTTTCCCTATCGTCGAGGCAACCTTCATCTTATCTTGGAGTTTCGTCTATTCAAGCTGTCCTTAAGGTCATATTATGGCTTGATCCAGGTTGTGCCTCTTTCTTTGCCCGAACACCACCCATTAACTCGCGTGATGACATCCCTCTTGAATTCGACTCTCAGAGTACATGGCCGCCTCAACCACCAATGACTCCTCCTCAACCCTCTATCGCACCTACTGAAATGCAGATGTTGGATGCATACTTTCTTTACTTCCATGCGTTTGCGCCGATGATTGATGAACAGCGCTTTCGCGAAACCTATATGACTGGCCATCGCAAAGATGATCACTGGCTTTCACTTTTGAATATCGTTTTAGCACTGGGTAGTGTCGCTGCCACGAGTCCCGACGACCTAACCCATCGAACGTACTTCTTACGTTGCAAGAGTCACTTGGGCCTAAGTTCTCTTGGCAGCTCTCACCTGGAAACTATCCAGGCTTTGGGTCTAATTGGTGGATGGTATTGTCACTACATTAGCCAACCAAACCTGGCTTACTCCGTGCTTGGTGCAGCTTTGCGAATGGCAGCCTCACTGGGGCTACATAAAGAGTTTGCTGAAAGCCGACAGGTTCCAAGTCAAGCTAAATTAGCATCGATGGATCTAAAACGGAGAGTGTGGTGGTCTCTCTTTGTGATGGATACCTGGGCAGGTATGACGCTGGGTAGGCCTAGCATGGGGCGCTTCGGTCCGTATATCACGGTCAAGCCCCCAAACTCACGAGACAAGGTTAGTAAGTCCATGCACAGGGAAGTTATTTTTCTTTTACTCACTCTACCTGTAGGAAAACTTCCTCGACATTCTTCCGCTCGTGGAGAATATTCGATTTGCAAAAATTGCAACCCAGGTTCAGGAATTACTGGCTGCTGCACCACTGGTCAAACATCATGAAATGTCTCATGCTGATACTCAGCTTCTTGATTGGTGGGAAAACTTACCTCCTATTCTGAAAGATCACGAGCCTTGTTCCGACTCAATTAGTACAGTCCGCACAGTCATGAGGTGGCGATACCATAACCAGCGCATGCTGATATATCGACCTACACTCCTAAACTATGCTATGCGGCGCGTCCCATACATTGCACTTCGAGTTGAAGAACGCACGGCCATTGAAAAGTGCCGCGAGGTTGCTGAGCTATCCATCCAGAACATAGCCGCCACAGCACAGCTCAATCAGCTATGTGGCTGGAATGCCGTTTGGTGGACATTTCAGGCTTCCCTAGTACCCCTTGTCGGATTGTTCCTTAACGACCCCACATCTGATGATCCTCGGGCCTCGATAGAATCTTGTCGAGCACAAGTTGAAACTGCGATGGCCACTCTAGCGCAAATGTCCTCCATTGGCCATACAGCAAAGCGTTCCTTAGATGCCGTGTCGCGTATATACGAAGCTAGCAAACGTGGTGAACATCTGACCACTTCTAACGCGACCGGACCTGTCTTGACGAGCATGTATCCTGCTGGACGGGATTTGAGTTCAATGTTCTCGTCGTCTATGCCTATGGGAGAGAATGGCATGTCGGATTCCCTCCCTGCTCCTTTCGTTGACGAATCTGGTCAGTATCTATGGGAGTATCTGAGCTGGAGCGATAATAATCTCTGGCCTGGTATCGATCTTGATCAGCGTAGTGATGCGATGGCTGTTTTGACGCCAGATCACGAGAAGGGTCCGAAACTTGGAGCAGAGCCGTATTTCGAGCCCTTCCCTGACTCCTATTTTGTCAACCAACCTTTATATTATTGATGTGGTTCCAAGGTTTTGAGGCAGTCGCGTACCGCATATGATGTTTCTGTTGTGAATATTCTTGAACACTCATGGAAAGACTACACATACATGTTTGCAGATCTCGGAGTTGTAGCATACATGTTTATTTAACTCGTCATTTTTTCAATATCCACTTCCTTCTGATGTTCCAATAATTCAGTGTTGCAATATTGTAACGTTAGGCTTTTGATCCCTGGGTCTAGAGTATTATACTCCATATTAACTGGAGAACGAGGTAAAAAGAAATGTTGAAATTGATAGCGTGCAGCTTGAATATCTGCAGCTTTCTTCAGACCCGTTGTCTTGGATCTTGAAGTATATAAATTATATTTTTTGGGCTACGTACCTGTATAATGGTGGGGGGTGCAAGCGCTATGAGCTGAAATAAAAAGTAGGGTATCTCCACATCATTCAATGCCCTCCGCCATATTTTTTAATGCAAACCACTGGCGTAACCTTAAATTCTTCTTGAGAAATCTACATCGCTTGTCGGCCAGCGGTTTCAATAGGCAGAAGACACATTGCCACAAAAGAGGCCAGAATGAGAGCTCCAGCCGCATAGATAGGCGCAACAGGATCGGTACTGGCATAAATACCAATGATAGGAGCCATCAAACCCGCAATGCGGTTCAGGCAACTGGCAATACCGGTTCCAGTACCTCGGTTAGGAGCTGGGAAAAGCTCAGGCGTGTAGGCATACAGAACGCCATACATGATCATCTGGAAGAATGACTCCAAAGACGAGCAGAGAAGCTGAATATTGGGATCCTTAGTGGCAGTGAAACAGAAAAGTAAGACACCGGTGATCAAGGTCGAACCAGCCATTGTGCCCTTTCTGCCGACATATGGGACGTCGACCATATACCATCCAAGAAGAGGGCCTGGAATTCCGCAGACAGCTGTGATGGCATAGTTTCGATAGGTGATGTATTCCGAAGAGTTTGCACTGAGATACTGAGGCAGGAAAGCGTTGAAAAGGGTGTATCCCATACCAATACAGGTCCAGCAAAACCAAATTAAAACGGCTTCATAATGTTAGTCATAGTAGCACGAATGTGGGGAGTGGAAAACTGACTGGAAACAGCAAGTCGCTTAGTTTTGAATAGCGGTGCAATTTGTTGATATGAGAATCTCTCCAGGGACCGCTTGATAATCTCAACGGTGGACAAGCCTTGTGTCTCGTTCTCCTCTGGGTATCCACCAATCTCGTTCAGAATTTCTTCGGTGAGCCAAGTGGTGGTCTTGTTCTTGTGGGCAATTCCTTCAACTGCAGCTACAGCTTCATCTTGGCGACCGCGGGAAATAAGGAACTTTGGTGACTCGTACAGAGTGAAAAGGAAAAATCGGCATAGGAACATGCAAAAGGTGATGGCACCCAGTGACAGCACAAGGTATCTCCATCCCCAGTTGTTAGCCTTGGTGCAGTCCGCATATGTAGCGCATGAGAAATTGGGGATGAAAGCCCAGGCCAGCATACTAGTCGCATATTAGTTGCTATTTTGAGACATTAAGCAAATTATACATACCTAGCAATAAGAGTGCCAACGGACCACCATGTGGCAAGTCCACTCAAAATGTTGCCTGAGTTCGGAGGCAAGCATTCAAGGAAAATAGCCGCATCTACGGGCAAGTTTCCGCCAACGCCCAAGCCAAGACAGGCATACAGAGCACATGTGCTAAACCTCAAATTAGTACATAGATAAATATTTGTTATGTCAAAGTAGTCTTACCCGACCCAGCTAGAACCGCCACCAGCAGCCAGTCCAAAGGCTCCACAGAGGAGTAGTGTGCAGTTGAAAGCAGGACGTCTTCCAATAGTATCGGAGGCAATGCCCCAAAAAGAAGCACCAATAGTCAACCCAACAAAGAGCGAGACTGTGGCAAACCTCGAATCGGTCTGAGACACGCCGAACTCCATGGCAAGTTGGGTTAATGTGAGAGCAACTCCCTACATTGTTTAGCAAATTAGTATGAAAAGAGAGTTGGAGCGTAAATGTTGAACTAGATCGTACCTGCAACCATAGACTATCGAATACCATTTTAGCAAAGTGTTTTCCCTTCAAAGATTCGAATTTACGTACTTATCGGCAACCCAACCCATACCACAGAGCACAAAGAGACCCCATTGATAGGAACCCATGCCAATATCCTGAACTGCTCTATTGATGACCTTGGCCTTACGGTCATAAACAGAGTCATGGCCCGTAGCAACAAGATCGGCCTCGACTTCAGCTCGGAGAGATTCGACTGTTAGTTCTTCGCCCTTTTCCTGCTGGGGAGCACGGTCTAGGCTATCCTTCGAGTCGTCGGACATGCCATTTTTGGCGCTTGATACAGAGCCACGAGGAAGAGGCCTCACACATTCGGGAAAGCGTCGGCGTTCCCGGTTAGTAAACAGATCTTTCAAATTCATTTTTAGCTGTTATGAATGACGCAATAGGGCAATTGTGTGATATGAGGTGCGCGGCAATATTATTGTCGTGATGAAAATTTTGGATTTGGTGCTCTTCGGTATACAGCCAATGATAAGTCTTGCGCGAGGGCTTGGCTGTTCTGTCGGTTCGAATATGCTGCTCGGGTTTTGATCGGTGATGAAGTTGCAGACGGTGGCGCAATGGATGAAAGATTTGCTGGTGCCAGGGCTGGTTTCTTTTTTGATGTCCGGTCAATTGCGGCGTTACTCCGAAAGTATCGCGAGGGGGGATCGGTTAGTATCGTGAGAGGCGCAACGGGACTGGACTGCAACTATTGGCTGCTATTATCGATGTCTTGAGATTTGCCAGACTGCGATAGGAAGATCAAGTTTGTTGGACTTCAAGCTATGTAACAGAGTAGCCGATAGCAGTAAATGTGCAGAAATTCGACCCGTGAATGATTTCTCGAATGGGAAATCGGTGCGGGAAATGACAGGGATCCAACCTGGGGGAGGATGGTCCATAAATATTCCTCGAGAGAATTTTAGTCCCCTACACGAGCATGCGCTCCGCTCCGTAAACCGGGCAGCCAGTCCCTGAATTAGATAATATAAATTCCTGCTCGAGGACTAGGTGGTGGGACTTTGAGATTAACCAACTATATGGCGTCGCAAGTGCAGCAATGGGCCCACATGTGGAGCGCCACAAGCGACATCGTGCAATATCATTGTGTGCATTTGGTGGACCCATCATCCCAGACTCAATCCTTCCTGCATCCGGACAGGTCGGCAATTCGGGCTGGCCATTATTATGCCAAGAATTAAGCGACAGTACTGTAAGGTACCTTTCCTTCTTGTAAGGTTCCACCGTCCAGGGCGCATAGACAGGGACGGAGTACAACAATTATCCGTTGTCATTTGCCTCGTGGCCAGCCAATAAATCTGCCTCGGGATTCTTGCCGAGATGAAGTATAACATTATATCATGGAACCCAAGGTTGTTTGAAATTGCTTTTGACACATTCGTTCTCAACCATTCACTCCTCTCCCTCTCGATCTCTCCTTTCGGCTTGATGCTTAATACATGATGCAGAGCGTGTAAAATCTGTTTTCAACTTCCCGTACTTTGAGGGTTCAGAGTGGAGACGTCGGCGGGAACTGGCCTGAACGCGGGTTTTCCGGTCGGGAAGTCGCGCATTACTATCGGGACCTTCCCGAGGGCGGATAATAGTGCTCCCGGTGTATACTATCTGTAACAAGCGGGCATCATGAGATGGTCTTTCTAGTTTTAAGGTTTCTCAAGAAATGAATTAAAAGATTAACTCGACGGGTTATGTGAGAAAGTACTTTTGATCTCTCAACCATGGGAAGATTCTCATTAAGTGCATGGGAAGTCGAGAAGCCTTGGAAGAATCTATGGAGTTGCCGCTTGCATTTGTTATGGTAGGGTATAACTACTATAGTATATATACAACTGAGTATACTGGCACCAGCTGGAAGATACATGTTTATACTATTCCCAGGTTCTCTAGTGCTGTTATCATAGTGGATGGCCCTGCCAATCAATAAAAGCGGCATTTAAGATTACTCCAATTGTTAAGGCAGCACCACACGCTAACCTATAATGGACAGCCACTAACCAGCTGACTCAGCATACGGTCCCGCCAGATAACATTTCATGAGCTTCAACTTTGGTTTACATGAACAACATAACACATATTCGTTTCAGCAAATGAAAACTGTTACTCCGGTTATGTAACTGGGACTATTGATTTTCATACCAATCAATACTACTTGGCGCCTCAATTGCTGCCGAGGCCAAGCCATTCAATCCCCAACAACCAGGCCAGCCGGAAAGGGGAGTCGCTTGATCCATGTAGATCGTCTCTCCTTTAAATCCCAGAAAGTGTCATCTTCCGCAGTTTGAATCGCGATGGGCATTTTCGTTTCAGCTCCCAGAGTGTTCTCTGCGGCGATAACATTGCGCCTAGTGCTGCTTGTTTACGGTAGCTGGCAAGATGCCAACTCCGCCGTGAAGTACACCGATATCGACTATATGGTGTTTACAGATGCTGCACGCTATGTCTCCAAGGGTCAGACACCATATGCCAGAGATACATATCGCTATACTCCTCTCTTGGCATGGATGCTTCTCCCAACTGCATGGGAATCTTCTGCGCTGTGGTCAACTTTAACATTTGCGTTTGGCAAGATTCTATTCGCCCTGGCTGATGTTCTAGCCGGTTGGTTGGTGGTGCAACTCCTGATTCAGTGCTACAGATTTCCCTCTGAGAGAGCACTACGCTATGTGGCGGCTGTTTGGCTGTGGAATCCCATGGTCGCCAACATCAGCACTCGCGGCAGCTCTGAGGGGTTGCTGGGCGTGCTTGTTGCAGGCCTACTTTGGGCTTCTTTAACAAAACGTGCGACTCTTGCAGGCTTGATACTTGGCCTAGCCGTCCACTTTAAAATATACCCTTTTATTTACGGCGTGTCTATCCTGTGGTGGTGGGACGCGGAACGCGATGGTGCTGCTCCGGCCACCAACCTCGACATCGTGTCGCGTGTCGTTCGATTCATTACCCTCTCACGCGTAAAGCTGACGCTATCTGCGCTGACGACCTTCATTCTTTTGAACTTCATCATGTACACTCAGTATGGTGTGCCTTTCCTCCAGCATACTTTCCTTCATCATATCACTCGTATCGACCACCGACATAACTTCTCTCCATACGCCACTCTACTCTATCTTGTTTCCGCTGAGAATACGGAATTCCAATTCGAGACCCTCGCCTTCTTGCCACAACTACTTCTTGTGGTTTTCGCTATCCCATTCGTACTAGCTAAAAAAAGTCTGGCAACTTCTATGCTGGCTCAGACCTTCGCATTTGTCACATTCAATAAAGTGTGTACCAGTCAGGTTCGTATTTTTGATCTTCACAATCCACCCTCTATGATTGACTAACTGGTTTCCAGTATTTTCTCTGGTATCTCATTTTACTACCATTTTATCTCCCATTCTCTGAACTTATTCGCAAACCTATTCTTGGCCTCTCGGCCGCTGCATTTTGGGTTATTGGACAGGTCTGGCTTCCGCATCATAATCTACTGGTCTCAGGACATGGTACTGACTCTCTTATAGGCTCTCTGGCTCCAGCAGGGCTACTATCTGGAGTTCTTGGGCATCTCCTCCTTCGTCCCTGGGCTGTTTCTCGCCTCTCTCTTTTTTTTTGCTGTCAATATATGGATCTTAGGTATTATTGTTCGTGATGGGGGTGAAAACCCGAACTCCGATACTCAGGACAAAACAGAGTGATCTGAATGGCCGGAATATTTTATCTTTAGACAGTCAAGGCTAATCTACACATTTGAACTTGAATGCTTCCCTGCTTAATATATATGATAGAGCACATTATTTGAGTGAAACAAGAAAATCTTACAAAGTAAAGCAATTCGTTCGAAACTTGAAGAAAGCAGAGAAAAGAATAGAATACTACAAGGGAAGGAAGAGAAATTTCAGTTCATTATCCTCAAACGTCTCAACTTGGAGATATTTGTAATCTTAAGTAAGGTCTGGGCAGGGTATCGATGCAGTAGAAAGTACAAAAATCACGCTAACAACCTATGCAGCACCACGGGGGACAGTAAAAACAAATGCTTGAGGTTAGCGCTTACGCCTGAAACGGAAGCGAAGTTCCTCGTCACTATCAGACCCCCGCACTTCACGGGGGCGTTTTTGATTGCGACTGCGCGATGGCACCGGTCGGGGATCGGGAGTTGGTTCAGGACTTGAGGTCAGATCCACTGGTGGCTGGGAGGGGGCAGCGGCGGATTCATTGCGGGAATTGGATGATTCATCTTCCTGCTCTGCTATCGACTCCTCGATCCTGGCGGGCGACTTGCGACTAGTAACCCAGTAGTGCTCACCAATTCCAAAGTCTTTTCTAGTCACCTCTTCTAGGGGAACAATGACACTTTGAATTCGTTGACGTGCATGGCGAGGTTCTCCCTTTCGTCGAAATCGCTTGAAATTCTTGCGACCATTCCACCGATCATCCCATCGATCAGAGCTTTCTTCCTCTCCAGTGAATGGTTCTCGAACTGGTATTTCCATCTCTTCAATGATGGCCAAATTCTTGAGCTCTTCGACATTAACATCAGGAGAAGGGCGAGAATTCTCATCAACCCTCCTTTGCTCTTCTTCCTCTTCGCGGTATTTACGAGCTGCTTCCAAAACATCTAGCTTTGCACGCTTTGCCTTTGGGCGAGGTTCAGGCTCTGTTTGTGCGGTACGGGTCCCATGTCGTCCTTGGTCAATTTCCTCTCGGCGACGTTTCATGGCTTTGGCGCCAGGAAGTAGACTTTGAACAAGATCATCTGCGATATCTTCATCCTTTTCCACGGTTTCCATGGGCTCAATCATTTGAGAGGGCTGAGCCTCATCCTCAATCAGAGGCACACTGTTGCTTTCTTCCTCATCGTCATTGTATACTGGGATGGATGCCATATCAAAGCCATCGTCAAATGTCTTCATCTTGCTGACGAATTTGCGTACCCGCGAAGCCTTGGGTTTTGAAGAAGTGGGGGCTCGCTGTTCTTGGGCAGGAGATTGGGATGGAGCAGGTGCTTCGTCCACATCAGCAGATCTAGACTTGGAAGGAGGTTCTGGAGCAGCCGCGACGATCGATTCCTGGCTTGATCCTTCCTCGCGGGGCAGAGGGCGACAAAGCGGAGATGCATCATTGCCCAAAATAGCATCCAAAAATTCCCTCTGCTCAATCACCCGCCGATCGGTCATGAGAGCGACTTCGTTGCTTACCTCTATGGACCATGGTTCTAGTTCACCTTTCGATCGAAATCGCACAAGTACAACCTTTTCTGGTTCATCTTGTGCATCTGTGGTGTCTAGCTGGCCTCCGCTTTCTCTCATGAATCGAACAATATCATTCGCTGTGGTGACGCCGTCTTCGATATCATACAAAAGAGCTTTTCCTTGTCCATTATTGATCGCAGCTTGGAGATTCTCAAATTGAGTAGGATCTCCAAAGACGAAAGTGTAACCTTCGAACACGTTGATTCGACTTGGGTTGGGAGCAAAGGAGGCAGCCGGTCGCGATATTGGTTCATTTCCAGCTGGCGGTAAATAATCATTTGGGTTTGGCCATGCAGCATCAAAATCGGCCTCTAGTGGGGACAAGGCTTCGTCACTTTCGAAGTCGGTGGGAGTTGTTGCATACACCAAGGCGTCGATATAAGCGTTGTTGACGATTGATTTCCCATTGATCAAAGCCTGAAGGCCTTTGGCTGTATTGCGCTTGCTCTGAACCACATGAGTAGTATGCTCGACCAAATATGGTATAATTGTTTTGATGTCCAGGTCCTCTAATTTAGAGCGATATTTGGCCAGAGGATCTTCCGACCTCATTTCCTTGGAAGAGAAGGAAAAGCTCAAAACCACTGGCTCCCATCTCATTCTAACGAAAGAAAAGTCATTATTAGCGGGGCTGTTTGACATCCCGGCACAATGCATACGAACCGTAGAGAATGGGCATATCGTCCCAGCTTGATTATGTGCTCATCACCACCCAAGACTTGCTTATTGCCCTTTATTTGTTGACCATCCACAGTTGTTCCCCTCGAAGAGTTCAAATCGGTTATGGTAACTTTCGTTCGTGTGCGTGGGCGAGCCTGTTTTCCCTGTTAAGTCGTGCGCTTCATTGATACTCAATCGTGAACTTACTCCATCTCGGGGAGTAACACTAGATACTTCAATCGTCATATGTTGTCGAGATATAGTACTAGCATTCTGCACTTCTTTGGATATAGCACCATGGACTGTAAATGTGAGTCGTAATGGTCTACCACTGCTACCACTGAAGGGTCTCACATACCGCCATTGTGCGGGGGCCGGCCAAATAGGTATTTCTTCCCCGGTCGCAGCCACACTCGCTTCCCTATAGAAACAGTCAGCTAGAAGTCGCTTGCACTCCAATGATGAAACATTACCGTCTAGGAAGCCACCTGTTGAATCCAAGATCCACATCGAGACTATTGCTGAGGGAACAATGAAGTCAGTTTCGATTCCACGTGAAAGGGAAACGCGTGAGCACGTGACTAGGCGTTACTCTCCCGTCGCTGCCTGCTGCTTCAGTTGAACGTGTACTAGTTTCTTCTTCTAACTCACATCACTTTCAATGAAAGGCTCATGGAATTCAATTCATGATGGAGTCCCTAGGAGGACTTGCTGACGACAAGCAATCGACATCGGCGCAGGATGAGGAGAACAGCGACACATTAAAATATCAACTGCTGGGACCCTCTTTAACCAAAGCGGGACAAGATGCCGTTGATCAGCAAAAGGTGCGGTTTACAGCACCACAATCTGAGTTCCAGCCTCTCTAATAAAAAAAAACACTCTAGGTTTCTGAAATCATCTATGAAGCATCAAAGGGCTCTAAGTTCTTCAACCACGAGCAAGAAAGAGATCGAAACTTAACGGTTAAGATCGAGCGCATCCGGAAGGCAAAAGCTCGGCTGGAGAGCTTGGATCTCACCCATGACCTCCGTCGGGCAGATGAATACCTTGCCGAGTTAGAGTCAACTCGGGACTTGTCACAATATGTAATACATGTTGATTGTGATGCATTTTTTGCTGCCGTCGAAGAACTAGACCGGCCGGAATTGAGGACAGTTCCCATGGCTGTTGGTAAAGGCGTCTTGACGACTTGTAATTACTTGGCGAGGAAATTCGGTGTGCGCAGTGGCATGGCATCCTTCGTTGCTATGAAACTCTGTCCACAGCTAGTACTTCTTCCCCAAAACCATGAGAAATACACAGCTAAGGCTAAGGAAATTCGCGCGATCATGGCAGAATATGATCCCCTTTTTGAAAGTGCCAGTATCGATGAAGCCTACCTTAATATCACCTCCTACTGCACTGAGAATGATATGGGCCCCGAAGAAGTTGTTCAACGGATGCGCGAGGAAATCCTAGAAACCACAAAAATTTCGGTGTCGGCCGGCATTGCTGTGAATGCAAAGATTGCGAAGATTGCATCTAATCAAAATAAGCCGAACGGTCAGTTTCGAGTGGCCAATGACCGGGTTGCAATCATGGAATTCATGCGAGAGCTACCTGTGCGGAAAGTTAATGGTGTAGGCCGCGTGTTTGAACGAGAACTAGGCTCCATTGGCGTTGAAAAATGTGGCGATATCTACCCACAGCGGGCATTTCTAACCAAGTTGTTCGGTGAAAAAGCGTTTCAGTTTCTGGCACAATGCTACTTAGGCCTTGGGAGGACGAAAATCGAGCCGGTTGAGACCTACGAGCGGAAAAGCGTGGGTACGGAGACTACATTTAATGAGATAGGCGACAAAGATGAGATACGCGCTCAATTACAGTGGGTAGCGCAAGAATTAGAACAGGACATGTCTCGCACGCAGTTCAAGGGTCGAACGCTCGTTCTCAAAGTGAAATTGCATACGTTTGAAGTGTTGACCCGCCAAACATCTCCACCGAGGGCTGTTTCTCTGGCCAAGGATCTCTATACTTTCGCACTTCCCATGCTCACTAAACTGGAAAAGGATATTCCCGGAATGAAGCTGCGACTGCTCGGCCTGCGTTGCACGAATCTCGTCAGCACAAAGAAAGCTGGTATCAACTTCTTTGGTATATCGGCTGTGCAGCCGGAAGCAATATCAACTGCGAAACCACATACGACTGCTGCTGATCATGAAATTGGGGCAGAGGAAGCATTTGAGACTGCTGCTCGCCAGGAGATCCAAGACGAAATGAACGACTTAGAACAGCTCAGTCAGGAGGCCGGGAATGCCAACGATGTCGCCGAGACAGATGAATCAAATGATACCAAACAGGCTCAGTGGGAATGTCCTATTTGCTGCCGAGCTCAGCTAGCCGATGACCGCATCTTTAACGATCATGTGGATTTCTGTCTTTCTAGGCAGACAATACGCCAAGTCGCCCAAGACACACGAGAGACCCCAGCACAAACACCCGCGCCTTTCAACCGCAAGCGTAAAACAACATCACAAACTTCTTCTACCTTCGAAGCTGATCCGCGACAAAAGCGTCTCTTCTTTCAATGAAATTGAACGTCGTGACATTTGAATGATTTCAGTTGCAATACTTTGCTGGCGAAGTATAGACACCTAGCAAAATATGCCTCGGGGAACCTCCCTTGTTGATCTATCTATACTAATTTCTTCCTTGCTCTCTTTTTTCTATAAACCCATTGACTGTTCCTCCATCCCGTCTTTGAATTGCGCTCGGTTTATATACAGGTTTCCCTCTATTCAGTCATGGTCACTACTAGCTAGTAAGACATCAGGTGGAGCCTCAGGATATACGGGTACCCCATGCCAGAACCATGCATAGGGGTCACGTCACACCCCCTGTCAGCGGCCCCCAAGTCAAACAATTACTTCTGTATAAACAAAAAAAAAGAATGCTTCAATTCCAAGTCATTCCACATCACCATTAAACAAATTTCTGCCCTTGTATTTATGTCATGTAATTCCGTGACGAGAATTTTAACGTGGAATTCATGATGCGGTGAAGACGGAACTAAACCCATTTGGGCTCCAATGTTGTGCCTTAGTTGACCTCCCACCATCTCCACCACCTTGAAATAACTCTCCCCTCAAAAAGAACAATACACCCTCCCCCAAAAGTCACGCCACTGAGTTTTGACTGGGTCTCCAAGGATCATATGTTCTTGGTGGGTTAGTGCCATCATGCTTCATTGCCCGCGGTCGCAATGCTACTTGCACCCGTGCCGCAACTATGACCTCCGATAAACAACAAACAACAGGCTATCCCGCCAAACCGTTCACGCCCACGCTCAGTGCGGCCTTCCACCGATCGAAGCAATCCCCATTAACCCCGAAGCTCGCCAGCCCAAGTCCAGGAAACCCTGTGGCTCGCCGACTCGCTCAACCCGACCATGCTCATCCCTATTCCACACCTTCCAAGGAGGATATCCCCGCCGGCCCACAAAGCTTCCTGAGTGCCAATATTACTCCTCGCTCGGGCTCCCGTACCACTCGTCGTGATGTCGGCTATACATCTCCTACAAATACGCCTCCTGTATTATCTCCACAACCGTCTTATGCCCAGTCCACAATAGGTCTCGGCCTTAATGGTGTACGACGAACAGAACGCAGTCCGGCTCGCGGGGCCAAGCCGGAGCAACCACGAAGCCTAAGAGCGAAGACACTCACGGTCGATGGACAGCAGACGTCTCGTCCTAACTCCTTCTCAGATGTGACCGCTGGTTTCCCCATGTTTTTTCATGCTTCTGATGCACGATCATCCAATGTCTCCGATGTCGAGTCTTCCCGTCCCAAACAGGGGAGAGTATCACCGGCCTCGAGTTTTCTGTACGCAAACGGGGATCAAGAACGACATTCGTCAACAGACGAATCGCATGTTTCAACTGGCTCCCGCCGCCCTGCAACTCTTCCTCGTCCTGCACCTTCGGCCAGACAAGGCCCCATCCCGTCCCCTCGCTTGAAGTCTCCCCGGGTATCAGACGTGACCTCTCCTCCTATCCTTGAAACACAGAACAATTATAGTCCGAACTTGGAGCCGGGATTTGAAAGAGTCTTCCAACGTTATGATTCCTCTCCCAGCATCACATCCGAGAAATCACAGCTCCCTTCAATTACAAAGCACCGAAAGTCTTCCAGCGTGGACTCCAACAATCAGCCAGTGCACGCAAGAGACGGCCTGCGTGCTAGCCCATTAATTATGCCCAATAATGTTCCGACTGAAGAAGCCAGTCCTGTTCCTGTGCTCTCCGACCAGATCCCGACGCTCCGACCTCGCGTATTCAGTAACGGTTCCTCTGTTTCCACCGATAATCACCAGCCTATTCCAATGAGCCCCGGGAAATCGGACAGCGGCGACATGGCGCTTAATGCCCGGACCGAACGCAAAATCTTGGATTTGGAAATTAGCAATTCTTCCCTGCTTGCTATTAATCGGACTCTAGAACGAGAAATGCGGAAGCAAACAGCAGAACTAAGGCGCTTTCGCCGATTAAGTCGTTCTGGTCGTCTCTCTATGGCTCCTTCAACGCGCTCATTTTCCGGCATAGCGTTGTCAACCACTAGTGAAATCGATGAAGGAAATAGTGAACTTTCCTCTTCACGGTCCCAAGACGACATGTCAGATTTTAGTGATGAAGATTCGATCGTCGAAGATGGTGTTCTCAGTCCAAACACTCTAGCCGAGCATGATGCAAAGCACCGGGATCATGATGAGAAACGGTTTATGCTTGATCTTACCCGACACCAAACGCTTTTGGTCGATAGCCAAAAAATGAATCAAAGTCTCAAAAGATGCCTCGGATGGACAGAAGAACTCATAAAAGAAGGCCAAAGAGCCCTTGAATATAATGTTTGCGTCCAGGATATTGAGCTAGGTGGCCGTGTTCTATCCCCCGAGGAGCTTTGCGAAATTGGTGAAAGTGGACGATCGCTTCTCAGTCCCTCAGCTGAGTACGACTATTTTCCACCCACGCCCAGTTCCCCGTTCGAGGACAGCGAATTCACCGACCCGGCGTCTCTCCCCTTACCATCGTCTCCTGGTGGGACCGATTAAACTTCTAATTCCCTCGCTTGCCCATTTGCTCTTTATTCGTCTGCTAAATACCCCCTTCGTCATACTTTTCCGTTGGATTTCGTCGTATTTTTCAACACGCCATATACACTTTATGTTCTATTTTGGACCTCCTTTCTTTTTCGGATATTTGTCATCCTTTATGTATTCACCCACCCTCAAGCCTTCACTCTTTCTTTCTTTTCCTTCTTCTACCTTGGCCTAGATTCCCTAAAATCTCAAGATATGACTGATGGATTCGGCCATCTTGGTATACTTGGCTATACTACTCTAGATACCTACTTGTGATTGATACCCTATGTGTATATCCTGTCTGATTATGTCGTTGTACTGCCGAGCTCTGATGCCTTGTGATGTTTACCAAAGAGAATCATACGATAGCTAATGGTCTTACATGATCGCTAATAGAAATCTTGAAATAATTCGATAAAATTGCACTGAAGAACAAGAACCAACCTAAAATATCATTCAATTCAAAGTTACAATCAGGGAAACGGACACAGGCCCATTCTCTGCTCTTTGAGGCTCTCCTTGATTGTCTCCACCTCCTTGTGCCCTTTTCCTTCGAAATACTTTGGCCCAAGGTCAGGTGTGTAGTATCCTTGAGGATAGTATTTATTACCATCATCGCCAGGCAAAGGCTGCCCCGCTGCCCATTTCAACCAGGCAGTAGGGCCCCATCGATTCCAGATCGTGGGTTGCACATAGAAAGGCGCGCCTTCATATGTTAACACAAAGTTCCGTCCATGCTTATTGGGCTTCTCAGTGAATACATCCAACCGCATGAATTCAGGTCGCGGTAGAGCGAAATATCGCAAGTACAATTTGCGAATTTGGAAGATAGATGCGAACACAGCAGAGAAAAATGCTGGAGGGTGATCAATCCTAGCGTGGAAATGTCAGTGTCTCTTCATAGTACTCACTAAAGATTTTTCACGTACATCATTGCCTCGCGAAGTCTATCATCCATCAGAAATGAGACAAAGTATACCCCCAGTGGCTTCATAAATCCTGGTAGGTTATATACCAAAACATCGATTGTTTTGTCTGCGATCTCTTTATTTCTTGGATGTGGTTTCATATGCTGTATCTCGTACTGCTCGGCCCATGCACTAACTTCCTCTAACCAGTGAATCCCGTCTTGAAATCCGTTCTTGCCTGATGGAAGTACCTCGTAGCTGATCCCCAGGGCATCTCCGAGACTCTTCCAGTATGTGCCTACTGCGCAACGTTCCATTTCTGTCATCTCGCGCCATTCGAACAATTTCACAAAGCGGATTGGTTCCAATGCAAACAGACTTAATGTATAGAGCATGTCATCTTCTAGAATTTTGCCGCTTGCTCGGTATCCTTTGTGGAGGTACTTTGTGCGCGCGATGGCGGTTTGTGATCTTTCTGAACTGGGTTCGAAGGCCATGAACTCTCCAATCAAAGTACCTGTGTCCGCATATCTTTTGAATGAGGTTGTAGAGTCGGAGAGTTGTGAGGTTTTTAGAAGGAGAGTTGAAATTGTGGGTATGCCGTATGTCTACATAGTCAATGTGTAAGCACCAGTCATTGCATGCGTGTCTGGTTCGTTGGGATAGTTTAGCTTACTCGAAATAATGCAAATTGAAGCGACTTCAAAACAATAAATGGAAATTCCATTTGTAAAATTGTTTTCTGGATTGCCCAGGCATCGTGGTTTGTCATGTGTACCATCGATTCGCGAGTTTTGTATGGGTATTTCTTTTGGAGACCTTTGCTTCGACGAAACCGAACCGATGATGCCAGAATGATATAAACTGTTATTCCTAGTAGGCTGTATATGCCTTTTTGGTGTGGCGATGCATGTACGAGGGCATCGGCTATGGTCCTCTGCTGCGACTCAACGTGGGAGAGGGCGCTGGTGATGGCCTTGTGTGCCATGGTGGCCTGGGGTGAATCTAAGTACCAGGTCATGATGAAAGACAAGACTGTTGGGTATACTGATGGCTTGAAAGATTGAAACGAATGTTTATCAGGGCCACAGTGCTTTCAATGTCCTGTGTGAACTAGATACTTCTTTACTAGTGTATACATAAACTCTTCAAGGGACAACCGTGACACTTTATACTACTCGCGGATATGTACATTTTATCTTATTTCCAGTAAAATTCCATTTCTTGTCAACACGTGGTTCAATTTCTTCATCATCTTCATGTATCGTGCTTCAAAACCGAATGTTGAGGGTTCTTTAAAAGATCGCGCGGACCGAGGCAGCGAAGAGCCCCGCGCCGATCCCCCGGAACCATTGTCCAACGTTTGTGACAGGAAACCAACAGCCAGCTCGGTGCAAGAAAAGCATAATGATGTTACTGGGAGTGACTTATTCGTCCATCAGCAACCCGGAACCTCGATAGAAGCAGATCCAAAGTGGCGTGAGGATTTTAAGATGTACAGCCGAGGCGTAGCATGTAGCCTAAATCACAAATGCTGGGAGTGTATTTGTTATGCACAGGTTCCCACTGGATCCATAAGACAGGATATCCACATTGGGAGCATAATAAACGCATAAATATAAAATCCCATAGATGTACAGAGGAATCGGAGTCGGAATTCAGCTCGCCGACATCGTATGAGTTCAATCCATCATCCAAACTCGGGAGATTGTCAGAGTAAGCGGGGGATCGTCGTTCTCGGGGACCAATAGCTTCTTTGCATTTCCAAATACCGCAAGTCTATCTATATCATGATGTTGGTATGCGTATGGATGACGCTATACTTGGGTCTCTTGGTGTCACGAATTCACTCTTTAGAAGCCAGGAGAGATTTTCGGCTATTCAGTATGGAAAATATAACCAGTTTTAAACTCCGTAGGTTCAAGTCGTAAGCCATAATAGCGACATCAACTCGGATATGAGATTCACCGAGTCAGTCGATCTTCACATGTGCAGAGCCCCAGCTTCGGATGCTGGAGAATCCGGAACTTCGATACGAGATGCACCACGGTGGTTTCACGATCAAGATGGTTCGGTTGTTTTATTGAAGTTCCAGTCTATTCACAAAACGACCGTTTCACATCACATGGAAAAGGATTGGCAGCATCATGGGCCATGCTGAGGTGTGTATATGGACATCTATCCAGGCGAAATAGAGATGGGAACCTTGGAAATGTTGTTCCAATTAGCATGTAGACGTGTACATAGCCCCTTCTTATGACTCCCCGGTCGCATCCATGTCTGCTCATAGTAGTTCTGACTTGATATAAACCGACTTCATATTGTGAAACTTGATTAAAGTAAAAATAAATCAAATATTCCGTTTGAAAGTCAAATCATTATAGCCCAGCGCGAAGGCAAATCGCCATGATTGGTCTTTTCCATTTCACCACTCACTTAAGGCGCTTCAACAAGAAGAGACCGGATCCCTTCCTCGACATTCTTTGGCTCTGCACCCACAATCTCCGTAACCTTTTCGCCACCCTTGAAAAGCATAAAAGTTGGCATGGCACGAACATCGAGCTCATGGGCAACCTCTCCGACCTTCTCCACGTCGAGCTTGTAGAATTTGATTTGAGTGTATTGGTCACTCCAGGTTTCCATCTGGGGGGCAATCGTTTTGCATGGACCACACCATTCTGCGTAGCAATCGAGGATAACAAGATCTTGGGACTGTAAGATCTTCTGCTGGAAGTCCGCAGTGCTAGAGTTCACGCGCTGCGTGTCAGTGGTTTTCATCAAGCGATAACGGAGAAGAAAGTGAGAGGAAGAGAGAGAGACTTACCTGGTGACCTCTAGAACGGGCATGATGAATTCAAGTTCGGAGTTGTTTCGTGGCCTGGAGATGGGCTCAAAGCCCCAAGTTGTTGAAGACAAGTCTTCGGATCGTGATACGAGAGAAGAAGAGAGAGAGGGAGGGGGGCTTTCGGTGCTGTCAATTGATGAGGAAGCTGTCAGAGAGAGAGAGGAAGGGAGATGGAGAGAGTGAGGTTGGTATGATGCTGCCTAAGATAAGCCGAGGGCTTCAACTGTGTGACATCAACAACAAGATTTCAGCGATGTGCAACGGGGTAAGCCCGCCAGGCAACCCTTCAGTGCCCATTTGAAACCCTTATATGAATTAATATCTGAATTACATGCTTGGTTCAGTATAATTAAATATATATTAGGTGAGTAGATAGACAATCTCAGCCTTACTATCTATAGATGATAGTATTAGTATTGATCTCGGAGCCTAGACAGACTACTATCACATCCATACTAAATGAGCAGAATGGGCACATAAAGAGAAGAGAACAGAGATGCTGGAGATTTTTTAACTAGAGAGGGTCACAAACTGGCTTCAATATTTGAAGGGGGATCTATATAAACTACGCAATAAATTCAACTAGGGTAATTATGAATACATGTACAAGTTCCATTATGAGATGTGTAGTACATGAAGCCAGATGATAGCCACTGATAGCCAGTTGATCTTTGCCTTTCGTCGAGCCTTGGACCTCAATCACTTCTATGACTTGGGTGGCTGACCATTCCCAACCTGAACGGTGCTGGTTGAGCTGTAGGCGCATGACTTGGCATACTCAGCCTGCTTTGTCAGTTCGGGAATATAATCGATAAATTCCTCCAGACGACAAAAGCCATTGACTGAATCCTCGCAGGGAACGAACCCGTCAAATGGCAGAGGCGCATTGTTCAACACAAGTCGAATATAGTCTTTGGTATCACGGTCAGATGAGAGATCTGGATTCTTATACATTTGCGGCTGTAAGTTTTCAAACGAGATATCGGAAGGACAAGTCCATATTTCTGAATAGAGACGTGCGCCAAACGGCGTTGCCTTGGACATATAGAAATTGCGCTCCTGGGGCGCATTTATGACATTGATGGGTAGTCCATGGGGTCCGTAGTTGAAATATTCCAATCCCAGCGCTGTCAAAACCGCAACAATGGTGTTGTCGTGCGACATATCCATGTAGAAATTTTGATGGAGAGGGAAATCTTTGAGATTATCGTCGTATGTGTAGTTGATGCTGGAGTGGCTGCTCGTAATAAGTCGATTTTTCAAACGAGCAGCTAGCTCTTGCACATATCCAATTCCTTGAGCGCGACCACTGGGACTTCCAAAGCCATAACTGCCATAATACTCGATGTCGATCCCATATTCAAAGTTCCGCCATTCCTGTTCTGTAAACAGGGAACAAAAGGATGATTGGCCTAGGGTTGCATACTCATATGGGCACAGGTTAAGGAGCCCCCAAGCATCAGACGCATCAAGGCCAAAGTCTTCAGGGAAATACTTGGTTAGGCGCTTAAGAACACTCTTGGCCAAGGCATATTGGTAATGTTTGAGGCCGGAGAAGCTAAAAATTGGTGAGTAATTGCATGTCATACGGGGTTGAACTTTGAGCCCAAGACTTACCCAGCTTCCTGTCCTCCAGTGCATGAAGACGAGGGGGTGAGCGTGTTGTTGAAACCATCCTCTTCGGGTATTATGACAAGATTGTAGTCTTCATACGAACTCTTTGCGCCCACATTTGAGAAGAAACCGCCTAAACTATAGTCAGTCGCTGCTCTCGTATATTCGTCAGGATGAACTTACTCAACCACCAACGAGCACTCTCTAGGATACGAGGGTAGGAAGTTGTACGAAAAGTAGGTTTCTCCCGAGCTGTGCCATTCGGCCATACATTCAAAGAGTTGTTCCAGTCCGCTTGACCGCGACCAGCACGGTAAAGCAAGCGGCCATACTGGCTCCAGAACGAGGCACCTGCGTTCGCCTCAGTGGCAGCGCCACTAGGAAGTAGATCATTATAGCCCAAAAGGTATTCCCAATCGTTCAGGAACTCTAGTGGTCCTGTGGCGACCGGGGTGTTGGGATTCTTCTTGGCGTAGTTGGACAACTTGGCAGCAAATTGGGTCATATTTGCACCATCGCTTGAATAGTTACCAGGATATCGCTGGGCATGACGGTGGAGCACGTGGACCTGTGAAAGTTCACACTTTGCCGGGAAGCCCTTTGTGACATTAAATCCTGGGGAGTCGGCGTATGGACTCAAATTGGCCCAGCTGGTCTTCATGTCGAATCCATCGGGGTATGATGTACCGGTCGGGGCTGGGACAACATGGGAGGTCGCACTTGGAGCTTGCTTTGCTGTGACGACATTGCTTCCTGCTGCAAGAGCAAGAAGTGCAAGTGAAGATTGTAAGATCACCATTGCGAGAAAGTCGGAATTGAAGTTTGCGGGGAATCTCTCTGGGGAAAGAAACCGTGACTCTTATATAGCACAGGGGTGAGGAGATGCATGTTGACGTATATGCATGTTGATGGGTGGTTGGGGCGCAAGGATGGATCATGATCGTCCCTTTTCTTGCTGTGGTGGGCACCTTCGAGGCTAGCATATCCTAATTCTGCCCCCTGACCCATTGAAATAAGGATCACCATGGTGACTGTACTCTGTATGGACTAGTCTGATGCGATTTCATGAATTTGGGCAGTGGGGCTCCTAGACGATTAAGTCTCTTGCAACCGTCCATGCAGTTTGTGTGACAAACATTGGACAAACACATATGCAGTAGACATACTGTACAAAATCATAAAGTATTGAGGTGCAGCGACCCACCGAAGATCGAATTTGAAGATCCCCCGGTTCTTGTTGAATATGTAGGGCTTTTACTTTGCTTTGGCGGGGAAATCTTGGCTATTTTTGGTTTAGAAAAAAAAAAAAAGGTATTCATTAGAATCACTCACCGGTACGTCATTAACATGTTCTTATATTCTAAAAGCTTCAAAATTCAAGACTGATGGGACGTGGTACTTCCAAGGCTATCTCACATAAGCTCTATATCCAAAACAACATCTTTTGGAACTTGAAGTAGTCGCATTTCCAGTCCCATTTTCCCCTCTTGACAGCTGAATCATGAAAATAAATACGAAGTCGATGTTCACGTTCAGAAACCTAGTTGCTATGAAAATCCTAGACAATAATTCTCGGCCTGAGGGTGAAAAGAACCTCGCAGATAATCTCAGGAGTCAGGACGTAATACGGCGCAACATTCCAATTCAGGTGGACACAGCCTATACTAGTGATCAACACAGTAATTGATTATGTCGATCTCCCATTCCATCTCGTTTTTCATTGCCATTTTTGGAGCAGAACGAGACCCCGAGCCCCACGCGAAATCTTGTTAGCCGTGCACCTTCCGCCTCGCCAAGGGAATACTGACGGCGATCTTGGCAGAGCTACATTTACATGCACGGACGTTTGTTTGTATGCATACTGAGCAGGTCGAGAGAATTAACGGCCAAATACATAAGTCGCGATGGACCTTTTATTGACAATATCTCCCACAATTATGATTCCTCACAAGATATCACTCTTATGACCTCAGGCTCCGACTCGTTGTAATAGAGGCCACTTTTTTAGATACATTCCGATTTGAACCAAGCTACACATTTTCTCTAATATATCCATTTTAACCTTGGAACATTCTGAACTTGATTACTAGGTACTACCAGTTGATTCTATATTAATGTCATATTGCAACTAGGTAGTATTTGATATACTATACATTATGATAGACGAACGTGTATAGTGGGAGAACATTGAACATGTAGTAGGAAACTCGGAATAGCCCTGAAGATCTTACATACGCACTCTCTTTGTAAGGTTCGAGCTTATACTTCGATTAGCTCAGCCGCTGGGTTAAAGTTTCTTGGTGAAAATGGGTTTAATGAAAGGGATCGGATCTGTTGCTTCCAAGGCTGATTGCAGCATTTCCAAGGATATCCAATACGAGAGCTAGTCTCTTCTCGGTTACATTGACGATTGTTTTCCAAGTTTAAGCAGGATTCAGGATTATTTATAGATCCACTGGCGCAGCTATTATGTTAATAATTAAGGCAGGTTAGGAATCTCGGAACTTGTAACAGTTTGAAGAAAAAAGAGGTTCTACTAGATTATACCCCTATGCAAGGGTCTTAACGGGTAGTCCACAGACTCCACACACGCCTTTAAAGACCGTGGACTCATCACATTAGGCCAGTGATATCTCAGGAAACCGGGGAAACTTTGAATGCAAAGCCACAGTGATTCCCCTAGCTCGAAGATAGTCATTGAATTACTCAAGAGCACAGCTTGAACCGAAAATTTCGAGCCCGCAAGTCTTTCAATCATCGAACACCGCCATGTCTGTTTAGTTCGTGAGTATTTATCTCGGATCTGACAGGATAAAGCTTCCTGCTCTGCTGAACGCAGTCCCACGCTCCGAGTGGCTCGGTCCGAATCACCACTCGCTTACCTTGCACCCTTTCGGGTCAGGGCGAACGCCATCACGATGGGGGGTGGCTCGTATTCAACGCTCGCGATTGGAGCCAAGACTTTCCGATTGTGCCAGTCATCCACGCAACTTCAATATCGAGAAACAGTAAGGCTGATCCCTAAGGAGCCGCTGCATATCTCTTCGTGTTCCGATGCATCACACGTGTGAAGGGGCAGACAATAAAGAGCCAGGGCCCCTCCCCTTGGACACCAGCGCACGCATTTTCATCTGATTTGAACTTCTAAATATCATCTCGGGGTTGGAATCCCACTCCTCGTCAAAAAAAAAAAAAAGAAACTCAGAAGTATATCTTTCGTCAAATACTCTTCCAATTCTATCCTTCCTTTTACACCATGTTGGCTCTCCATATTAGCCTTTATGCTCTGCTGGCTACCTCGTTGGTCTTCGCTATCATCGAGTTAGGTCTATCTGGATATGTCGCCTCTGTCTGGGGTGGTACCACCGAGGAGCTTTCTGGAAATTACTACTCGGGATATTATTACACGGATGTCCATGTCAGCACGCCGGGGATTTTGGACTTTCTGATCTTTAACTCGGTCTGGACTATGCTTGTCACCGTCGCTGCGGCTGTGCTGTCATGGTTTTATACTCGCAAAGGTGCCGCTTCAAAGCTTAATACCATTCTGGGGATTGCTTTTGCGGTCGTCTATTTTATTACCATGGTCTTTTGGTTGGCTTGTTTTGCCGATATTGCTTCCATGCTCAACGGAAGCACCAGTACAAGCGACTACTTGAATGCTGTCATTGCCTTTGCTGTCATTCTCTGGTATGTGTCTCATTATACTCTGTTATCTATTCTATGTTTTTACCTACCTGTTATACTAAGATCAGATCGCACCATATAGGCTCCTATTCGTCGCTTTGTTCATTCTCGCCGTCCTGGCGCTTTGTGGTGTGTTGGTATCGGATTGGGTAGGCTATCAGCCTCTGCGTAACACGCATAGCGAAAAGGGACCAGCTGCCGCTACCGTTCATGAGGTGCCGATGAGTACGAACCCCGTTACTTCTCCGTCAGAGCTGTCTAGTCGGGATGCTGAGGGTCTATATAACCAGCCGAACAACCAGCCCATTAGTCCCTCATCTCGTTCGAATGTTGCTAGCGTCGAACTCAGTGGCGATAGTGCTCACGGTCACCATGCAGGCTACGCATGACCGAACGAAGAATATAACTCGAGGGACGCGTGAGTTCTTGCGCCATGCTGGCTTAGTATTGGAACGCTGTAATGTCTGTCATTTTGAAACTTCAAGTTGGAAGGGGGCATGTAATGATACCCCAAGCGAAGAGATGGATATGGATACCCTGGACACGTTTTCGACTATCGTCTGCGTTCATAATTATCTGAATTAATTGTCTATAATTGAATGATTTTGAATGGAGTGGATATTTGTGTAGTCCCAGAATCCACAGGACGTCAAGACCAGGTATATAAGGCAAAGCAATCTATAACCAAAACTTATACGCACAGACTTACTGCAGCAGAAACAGAGGCCTCGAGCTTGGGGGTAAACCCCTAATCTTCAAAAGGCACGGATCCAACAATACATGTATGTCCAAATCAACATGTAGGAAAATAGAGAAAACGAAACAATGCAACAGTAAAAGAAAAGACTATTTAAGCCATTATAAGATATGAAGGTAGCCGATGGACGCTTAGGCCGTTGGCTGCTCCTCTGATTCCTCGTGCTCGTGAGACTCGTGGCTAGCGCCCTTCTTGTCCTTCTTCTTCTTCTTCTCCTTCTCCTTCTCATCCTTGCCCTTCTTCGTCATGGCTTCAGCCATGAGCTGCTCGAATGCCATGTAGTCTCCCTCTTCCTCGGGGTCACGCTCGGCCTGCGGTTATCAATTTAGTACACGACGATCGTTGCGTGAATGTTAGTGTAGGGGATCATACCTTAGCATAGATATTACCAGCCAGGACCAAGGCATGGGCGCGCTCCACTCGCTTCTCGAGACGAATGCGCTTATCACTGAGGATTTGATCGCAAACTTCTCGCAGGACACTCTGAATCTCGAATTTGCTGCCACGCCATGCGGCAGCCAAAATCTTGCCAGTGACCCTTTTCTCATACTCGGCCTTCTTTTCATCAGTCCAGTCTTCACCTCCGCGCTCCTCCAACTTGGCCATCTCTTCCATAGTCATCTGGGCATCGATAGCGGTCGAGATAGTCGTCCAGGTTTCCTTAGCCAGTGTTCCCTTATCCTTCAAGCGTGAGAAGAATCCAGAGATACCGAGGAACTTCTGAGACTTCAGGAATGAAGTACCCTTCTGTACGTATGTGGCACCAACGGCGTGCAGGATCTCCAGACCAAAAGACTCCATTTTCAAGTTCTCGACCTCGAGACGGATCTTCTCTTCGAACGCGTGGGTGACGTCCTTGCCTTTGTCAGTTTCAGTCCAGACGCTGAGACGGTCGATAAGCTTATTAGCCAAAGTGGTGACTCTTTCCTCGCGAGCCTTTCTCCGCTCTTCTTCGAAGGCGGCGAGGCGCTCTTGTTGCTCTTTCGACAGACCCTTCTTCTTCTCCTTCTTGCGAAGCTCTTTCTCTTCTTGTGACAGACCAGCTGCATCCATGCGTGCCTCTTCCTCGGACCGGTCCATCAAAGCTTGTTGGCCCAGGGGGCGGCGGGGTGTACTGGCTCCGGAGCCATGACCGGAGCCTTCCGAGGGAGCGTGGGCAGGAGCGGCGGATGGGGACGCACTTGTCGCGGAACCTGCGGTCGTGGAGTCTGTCACTGGTGTGTCTTCTTTTCCAGCGTTTACCTCTTCATCGTGGATGTTGAGTTTCTCTTCGGCAGACTGGGCTAGTTCCTCTTCTTCCATTTGCTCCATCGTGATATCCATCGTAGCGGTCAAATCTTTCATGAGTGAGATCTCTCCGATAAGGTCGACGAATGCTTCACCTCCAAAAATCATGCTGAAGAACTCCGACGGGTCCTCTGTTATCCATTGTTAGTATCTCTGCGATATAGAGTTGTTGCCTGTCTACTTTGTGACTGCGCTGGATTGACTGACCGAAGCCTCCGCCGGGGACCGACTCTTCTTTTCCGAATTTATCATAGCGCTTTCGTAAATCCTCGTTGCTCAGGACTTGGTAGGCCTCGCCGATCTATGGAGTTGAAGTTGGTATTAGTCGAGAAACTATCATGGTTAAAAGTGTGGGATTCCGGCATACCGCCTGGAACCGTGCGTGGGCAGTTTCATCGCCTGGATTCTTGTCTATGTGGTGAATATTAGTATGAAATGCGATCCATATGGTTCAAAGAGGATCATACCAGGATGAGTGACAATGGCAAGCTTGCGATATGCCTTCTTGATCTCAAGCTCCGTGGCTGTTGGCGGCACGCCCAAGGCATCATAATAGCTGGTATCAGCGACCATGGTGGCAACAGAGTCAAGGACTCTTGGGTGTTAAGCAGATAGAAGTCCGCAGTAGAAGGCGACAAAGTTTTAATACAGTATTAAAACAAAGAAAAGATAAAGATGTAGTGATAGCAACTTTGCAACTACTTTTTTTTCCCCGCCAAACAATCGTCGCTCACCGCGTCAGGTGCTGCTCACCTCCGGGAGTCACGTGGCCCTCTCGCTCTTTGTTCGCTTTTACTTTTCTTCCGCTTCTGTGACCTCGTTCTTCCCCCTATTCCCTTTTGCTCCCCCGCAATTTCTGGACTCGATTTCCTTTTTCCTTTTTGCTTTTCTCTTCGATTCTCTGTACAACTTTTGATAGTTCTTGTCCCGATTCCTCGAGGTTCATCTCGTGGTTTGTGGTTCTATTTATCGCTCTTGGCCACTCGAAACACACGTGTCCCATATCTACCTCTCTCTCTCCACCCAAGATGGGTCTCGTTGGCAATGCTGTCTATTATACTTTCCACCCGATCCAATTGAGATCGATTATTCAATGGTTAGTACTTATTTCCGCTGCTGTAGAAAGTTGCTTGGTGGAATCTTTGACCTGGACTTGTTAGCTAACCAGAGTGATTTTGGTTTGTATAGGAAAGTTTGGCATAACCCCCCGCACGAGCGCAACGCGACGAACGACACCGAAACCCAGAAGGCATGCTTCAAGTTCTTGGATCTGACCAGCCGCAGTTTCAGTGCTGTCATCAAGGAGCTGCACCCGGAGTTACTGTTCCCCGTTTGTGTTTTCTACCTGGTTCTACGCGGTCTGGACACTATCGAAGATGATACCTCCATCGATCTCAAGACCAAGGAGCCACTACTGCGCGGATTCAAGGATATTCTGGAGCAGGATGGTTGGAACTTCACCGGAAATCGCCCCGAAGAGAAAGATCGAGAACTGCTGGTTCAGTTCCAGAACGTGATCGCCGAGTTCAAGAATATGAAGCCTGCCTACCAGGTGATCATCAAGGATATCACAGATAAGATGGGTAACGGAATGGCCGACTACTGCGTCAAGGCTGCGACCGATGATGCCAGTGTAAAGACCATCGAGGAATACGATCTGTACTGCCATTACGTCGCCGGCTTGGTCGGTGAGGGTCTTACTCGCCTGTTTGTCGAGGCGGATCTCGCCAACCCGGCTCTCCTCAAGCGCCCTAAACTTCACAAGTCTATGGGCTTGTTCCTGCAGAAGACGAACATTATTCGCGACATCCGAGAGGACTTCGATGATGACCGACGGTTCTGGCCCCAGGAGATCTGGTCTAAGCACGTCGACAAGTTTGAAGATCTCTTCAAGCCAGAGAACCGGGACGCAGCACTTGCCTGCAATGCCGATATGATTCTCAACGCCTTGGAACATGTCGAGGACTGTCTCTTCTACTTGGCTGGCCTGCGCGAGCAAAGTGTGTTCAACTTCTGTGCCATTCCTCAGGCTATGGCCATTGCCACTCTGGAGTTATGCTTTCGCAATTACTCAATCTTTGAACGCAACGTCAAAATCACCAAGGGTGATGCTTGTGAACTGATGGTGCAATCGACGCAGAATTTGCAGGTCTTGTGCCAAACTTTCAAACGATTCTCCCGTCAGATCCATAAGCAGAATACCCCTAAGGACCCCAATTTCCTGAAGATCAGCATTGAATGTGGCAGGGTAAGACTACCCAGACCCTTTCTCATCAGTCCATGATCAACCAATCTAATCATATTTTATTTATAGATCGAAAAGTTCATCGAGACCATCTTCCCAACCCAGAAAGCCGAGGACGCCCAGCAACGGGTCAAGGGCGAATTGACTGTGGAGCAGGCAAAGAAGCGCGAGGAGGATGCTGAAAACAAGGCTGACATTTGCTTCATGATGGGCCTCATGGGTGTAATTATCCTCTTCGTCGCTGGCACCATGGTAAGTCGACTTTCCCCGTTTATGTGAGTTCTAATATCTAACTAAAATTTACAGATGGCCGTAGCCTGGTGGTTCGGAGCCCGTTTTGATCTTGCATGGCAAGAGATCACATCAGGGCACTTCCGTCCTCCCCCTCATGTTGCGGAGAAAGCATCGCGAGTGGCTGCTGCCGCCGCAGCTGCTACTGCCTCTGCTCGCGATGAGCTTTGATTTCTCTTGTTCTAACTCCACGGCGTTACGACTTGTATTCCTTAATATCCGATTCCCCCATGCCGGTGGCTTCTTGTTCCATTATTCCCACATGCCACTTCACGCCACCGGCGTCTGTGTATTGATAATAATTTACCATTTTTTGCATCTTGATCCGAGCTCCATTCATTCCTGTCTTGGTGGTTCTATTTCAATATTGGGTTGTACCTTACCTGTTAGCACGGATGTCAAATTGCGATCCAGCCCTTTCATGGCTGCGGTTGTGCCGAAGAAGTGCTTATATTGACGAGATTAACTTCTCTTTAGCCCAGTGAGTACTAGATTTGTGTCCAACGGCGTTTGGTTCTGCCAAAGAACCGAGGTGGCACACATCCATTGAAGATCTGGGACATTTCCGTCAAATTACTTCTCGACGTCAAGATAAACGCACGTACTAGTAGTTATATTTACTATTTAATACATAATTTTACTCCGGGGCATTTTATAATAGCTTTCCAAGGTTCCAAATTATATAGAGCCCTAGTAATATATCTATTTAATATCAGGCTATACAATATATTGATCATACTACAGCTAGTCTATACTACAATTTACTATTTAGAAGTAAAGCTAGTATAATTATTTCGGTAGAATAGTTTTTTAAAAAAAAGGCATCGCAAGTATAAACACGGGCGCGGGAGAAGGTATTGTAGTCATACGTGCGGGCGTACTAGACGTAGACGTAGTAGAAGGAGATATTGTAGATGCGGGTGTAGGTACGGGTGTAAATACATGTATAGGTATAGGCGAAGATATTACGATTCCTAGACTATAAATCTTTAATAGTATTAAAACTAGTCCTATTAGGATTAGGAATAGTCTTGTCTTAGAATCTGTAAGACCATGGAGCGAGGGAACCCCCACAATCATCAAGTCACTAACCCTTAGGCTAAAAAGACTACTGTATCTGGCTTCTGCCTGGTAATACTCCCCAGCCCCACTATATATACCATACTTAGTACATATCTTTCCTGTAGGCCACCCGGCGTTGCGGCGTGTCCTAGTAAAGACGGCTAGTTATCTCCATCGCCACGCAGGGCCCACTGCAGCGTGGATGGGACCCGAGCATCTCCACCGAATCAGAAATCTCTGCTTTCTCATCAACCCCAGATTCTCCTATAAGACTGTCTTTACTCTCTGTATTGTACTTTACATTGTTTTCTGTTATCACAAGACTCCAAGTCGGCAGTGTCTTGCATTCAACTGCCGTCTCATGCGTGGCTTGCGAAGAATTGTATCCCCACTCTTGTCTCGGGCTCCCATCGCTGCTCGTTTATACTCTTCTTCCTCCCCTCCATTCTTTCCAGTGAATACAGAAAGTCACGGAAGCAACATGGCCACTCCAGAGAGCGCTGGAGAGAATCTCCCCAAATTATCACCCGGTGATTTTCGAACGTACAACCGGATGGCAGAGCAGATGGATGCATTTGTAAGCTCTGATTAATCCGCCACATAGTGGCCCCACGGGTTGAACTTGAATTATTTTGACTAACGTACAATCAGCACAACCATTTCCGAATGACATGGAATCAAATGTGGGATGCCTGCAATGCGACAGGAAAGCGCCCCGGTGGAATCTCTGCACGTCAAATGATCACTATGGGACTTCAATTTTGTTCTCAACTCGATTTCCACCACTCAATTGAAGAACAACATATCTTCCCAGTGCTAGCGAAGAAAATGCCCGAGTTCAAGAAAGAGCTTGAGCTTTTGAAACAACATAAACAGATCCACGCGGGCCTGGAGAAACTCGAGGCTTATCTTGAAAGCTGCCGATCTGGCGAGGAAGATATGCGACGCGAAGAAGTGAAGCGATTAATGGAGGGATTTGGAGAGGTCTTATGGAAGCATTTGGATGCGGAAGTCAAGACGTTAGGTGCTGAGAATATGCGCCAGTATTGGTCGCTTGCTGAGATGCGTCGCCTTCCAATGTAAATTCACGCTCGACTCTTCAATTCCGTCATTATCCTTGGGCTGGTTGTCAGAGGGCACTTCATCTCGGGCAGAAAACATTATTGATATAATTACATTACTCTTGTATTGCTGTATATATAGCTATAAATTCTTCTCTCCCTTTCTCTTGAAATTCACCTTTTTTCATATCCCTCCCTCTAAGCTAAGACTAAAGTCTCTAAATTATCTCTGGAGTCTGTTGTTGCTATCTCTACTACCTTGTTTTTCTCTCTACGATTCTAAGATAGGTCAGGCTATTCCTAATCCTAATAGAACTAGTTTTAATACTAATAAGGATTTATAGTCTAGGAATTGTAATATCTTCCTCTGTACCTACACCTGTATCCACAACTGTATCTATACTAGTAATACCTCCGTACATCTACGCCCGCGCCTATGACTACAATACCTTCTCCTGCGCCCGCGTTTACACTTGCGATGCCTTCTTTTAAGACTGTCCTACCGAAATAACCCAAATATTAAACTGTGGTATATAGCCCAGTATTAAATAAGTGTATCAGGGCTCTATATAATTGAGTAAGGTGACGCTATGTATGGAATTTACAGCCTCACTTCTAAGGCGGTGGAATAGATCGCCAAAAGGATCTCAATATAACAATTTAGAGTAAATACTAGGCTAAATCGGTCATTCTAACATATAATTTTGATTACCAATCACTCCTCTGGCGTAAATCCTTCGAATGTTAAAACGAATCTGTATTATTAAGCGTGAGCTTAAGAAAGGGATTAACTTAACTCCATGGACCGGAAATATTTAAAAAGTGATTGAAGTGCTCGTTTTCTGCGAGAATAGCTCAGATTCTGTATTATTTGCATAAAACCGAGCCATGCCAGAGCAAAATATTCTTGTGATTGGAGCAGGCGAGTTGGGTCACCAGGTTCTTCGTTTCCTGATCGCGCATCCCCGCATGAAAGGAACTGTATCGAGTCTACTACGTCCTGGCAGCATTTCATCCACGAGCCTCGCAAAGCAGAAGGAAATCGACGATTTACGCAAATTGGGCATTCAGCTTGTCGCCGGTGATATTGTGCAGGATTCCGAGACAGCACTGGTATCTGTATTTGCTCGATTCGACACTGTGATTGGATGCACAGGCTTTGTATCGGGACGCAACACCCAAATCAAGTTGACACGCGCAGTTTTGAAGGCCAAAGTCACTCGTTTCATTCCATGGCAATTTGGAGTAGATTACGATGTTATCGGGCGCGGATCAACACAAGATATTTTTGACGAGCAACTTGATGTTCGCGATCTGCTTCGGTCGCAAAGCGAAACTAGCTGGCTTATAATTTCGACTGGTATGTTCACCAGCTTCCTTTTCGAGCCTTCCTTCGGTGTGGTCGATTTGAACAATGATACGGTTCAAGCGCTGGGTGGTTGGGATAATCGGGTCACCGTTACCACGCCAGAAGACATTGGAAAAATGACCGCTGAGATGGTTTTGGAGGGAGAAGTTGGTGATGTCTTCCCATGTAAACCTGTCTTTATTGGGGGAGATACACTTACCTATTATGAGGTTGCACAATTGGTTGAAAGAGTTATTGGGAGGCCGATGAAGCGAACGGTTATGAGCGTTGAAAAAGTGAACGCCGCCCTATTGAAAGACCCTGATAATGGATTGTTCAAATACTGGGGGGTGTTTGGTCAAGGTCGTGGGGTAGCATGGGATCTCTCTGAAACTTGGAATCAACATCGAGGAATGAAGGCTGTTACTGCAGAAGAGTGGGCAAGACAGAATCTTCGTTGATTTATGAATACCAGACGATAGTTCATCTGTCTGTTCAAACCATTCCAGCTTGTTGAACCTGATTGTAAGATTAAAAAGAGAAATGTCCCACTCATCCGAGTCCTTCTCGGAACGATATCCGAGAGTATGGGGATTATTTAGATGATCAGCACCGTCACGCTGAACCTTATGAGTCACATCATACCATTCAGAATGAGTAAACTGTTTCAAACCTTCAAGATTCACAATTTTCATCAATTCAAACATCCAGTTTTCTTTCTTTTCATTTTTTAAGATGCCAGTTTCCATTCAACCGGCATGCTTTCCTCAGGATTTCGAGATAATTCAAACTTTATTTTCTGGGTACGCAGCCTCCTTGGGAATTGACCTCACATTTCAATCATTTCAAGCCGAGCTTGATGACCTGCCTGGGAAATACGAAGAATCACATGGCGGTGCAATTTTACTAGCTCGAACACATTCAGATGACCTAGAACTTCCGAACATGCAGCCTCTTTCTTCATCAACAAATACTGTCGCTGAATCAGCAACCCCGCAACCTGTCTCTGTCCTGGGCTGTGTAGCGCTCCGACAGAGCTCAGACAACTGGTGTGAGATGAAGCGCTTATTTGTTCTCCCAGAAGCACGAGGTCTTCATCTGGGAGATCAACTGGTGATCACTATTTTAGAGAGAGCAAGGGCTCTGGGTTATCGTGGTATTCGTCTCGATACGCTTCCAAATATGACCGCAGCACTGCGACTTTATCGCCGGCATGGATTTATCGAAATTGAAGCATATTATGAGACACCTATCGACAACACAATCTTCATGGGTTGCGAGTTCTCGCAACTTTGATATTTATCACACGCCGAAGGCCTTGTTTAGGGATTTGTTGCTGGGTTGAAAGAGGCCAGTCTTTTGGTAGTCAATGAAATTGTTAAGAGCACATGTAGAAACTGGTCTGCAGAATAGCCAACATAGAGATGACCAGTATTCAAAATGTTGAGGGTACAAAGCAATACGGCTAAAGGGAGGGTTCTTTTTTTCTTTTTTTCTTTTTTTCTTCCAGTTTGCAAGTCTCCACAGGGCTCTTCATGTCCTCCGTAGTATAGTAGGTCTCGACGGAAGTTGTGCCAGCCGAGCCATCCGCAGGGGAAGAGGGACCGTTCCGCATCCTAAAGCCGCACGTATCACGACTTGAGAGAGTATGTCTGGTGGCTCCATAATTGTGCCATGTGGCTCTTGACATTCTCTTAGACATATAGACTCATGAGAATAAACGGCAAAGATCGGCTTTGGCCAAGCCAGCAAGCCTGTGCTGATGTCGGAGATAAGTCTCGGAATTACCTATTCTGGAATACCGACATAACTGCTCAAGCTATTTATTTTTCAGCAAGGGATGTGATACTGACAGGGGAATAGAGCAAGAACAAGACTGAGATTTGATTCCTTTGCCACTTTTCCCAAACAGTTGTGCAAGAATGGAAGAGGTTCAGCCCCTGGATGTTCTCATTATTGGAGCTGGCCTTGCTGGCCTTGCTGCAGCCATTGCCCTTGGAAAACAGGGCCATCGCGTTGTAGTATGTTGACGAACAAACCCGAAGGTCCATTTGAATAGAGACAATATTAAATCGAGACAGATTTTAGAAAAGTCGTCGTTTCTCAGAGAGGCTGGAGCAGCCATTCATTTACCTCCGAATTGTACTGCGTTGTTGAATTGGATGGGAGTCGACCCAAAAGAATTTGGTGGAACTTTGCTTCATGAGGTGACCATTTAATCATGAAACACAAATTTGCAAGCTTTAGACTAATTTCTCGATACAGATTCACACTTACCGATTTGATGGTGAGCTGAAATTCAAAAAGGAATTTGCCGATGTTCGTTCTACTTGGCAAGATGTAAGTGCCATCATTCCACCAGAAATGCTGATGATACCTAGTATGCTAACATCTTAACAAGGAATGGTACCTGGTTCACCGGGTAGACTTGCATAATCATCTCAAGAACCGAGCTATAGAGACAGCGGATCTCCATACAGGGTGCAAGATCACATCGATTGATATAAATTCAAGTTCCTCGCGCCCATCAGTTACTTTGAAAGATGGCCGCAAGTTTGAAGCCGATCTCTTACTTGGTGCAGATGGGTTACATGTACGACTTGGTCTCTCCAATTGAATATAATGGTTTTCTAATTCTTTTCATCTTCTTTAGTCCCAGGTTCGTGGCACCATTGCTCCAAGCGCACCAGCACCATACAAAGTCGGAAAGGCGTGTTTCCGCTGGCTGATCCCCACTGAGGATCTACAGAAGCACGAGTCAACAAATGAATTCGTCAAAGAATCAGGCATCTTCATTGAATGGGCTGCTGATGATCGTCGTCTTGTTGCATACCCATGCTCCAATAGCAAAGTTTACAATCTGTGTGCTTTTGCGCCTTCCGAGGAAATGACAGGTGACACTCAGGCAGATGGTCAGTAATGTTCAATGATTGATCTGGAACATATACTGACATTGTTAAAACTTGAATAGGTTGGCAAACAAGTGGAGACAAAGAGACCATCATTCGGGTTTTCTCCAAATTTTCACCAGGTGTTCAGAAGATCGTCGAGAGTGCTGACGATAAGCTCAAGGTATGGGAGTTGTTTGATATGGAAGGCTTACCTACTTGGACAGTTGGGCATGCTGCTCTCATTGGAGACGCAGCGCATCCGTTTCAGCCATGTGAGTTTATCCAATGGAAATTTAGTTGATCAGTTACATCCTGATGTTGAGTATCACTTACTGACGAGTCTGTACCGTCATGAAAAAGACATGGGTCAAGGAGGCGCAATGGCTATTGAAGATGCAGTGGGAATTGCTACATTGCTTCCGATTGGTATCAGAAAGAATCAAATCCCCGATCGCCTGAAGATGTATGAATCTATCCGTCGACCGCGTGTCGAGTACGTCCTCAAATACACACGATTGAACGGTCGCGATGAGAATGATAGCGCAAGCGCCAGAATCACCCGTAAGTTTTCAGGTACATAATTTTATTGGTCCTATTTATCATTCTGACTGGGAATACTAGCTGCTGAGATGGTGAGAGTTATGGGGGTTTGCTTCTCCTACAATGAGATTGATCAATGTCGGAAGATTCTGAGCGCGCAGTAATCAGCGTCATATATTTAAAATCTCATGTCACGATCACCTTGGCAATCCTCCACAATGATTAGAAGAAATGATAACTTGAAGTACATGGGCCACTCTATTTCTTACCTTGTTGGCTTCCACCAAATAATCTCCGTAATGTGCGTAGTATCATTCTGCATTTTGTAGGAGGATGCAGATTATTTCCACATGGGCAAGGGTCTCTGTTTCATCGCGGAATATTTGTTCTGTCATTGTCGATTAGTGAAACTTTGGAAGTAAAAATCAAGCTAAACAAATAATTATATAGATAACCTTGAAATTGTTTACATATGCGATCAAAAACGAAAAACAACGGATATCACTTATAAGGAACAGAATATGATTCAAACACTCATGCGGGAACGTACTTTCTCTAGCCTAAGAAACGTATATTTGCCAATCAACCCTACCGGGCGTCCAGGGCTGCAGCCAAATTAAAAATGCTCTACTGTGTCCTCGATCGCTGGTTCAACATTGGCTACCGACGGAATGGACAGAGGGGTCACGGTTGACCCAATGCCGATCTAATATGGAAGAATCAATGAAAAAAATTATGGTAGTCGCCCCTGCATGCAAACAAGACTGAAATGGACCCCAATTTTTGAAAAAAAAAACCAGACAGAGGACTAGTATGAAGTCGGATTTTTTCCCGATGGGCATGGATCCAAACTACGCCCTTGACCACGACTGAGCGAGCCCGGCGATCAAGTTTGGTATACACTTGAAAGTGAAAAGTACCTCTTATATGAATAAAGCAATTCCTACCTAGAGGTGAGTTCTTGGGTTTCTTTTCTCCTAGAAATCGACAGATCGCCCGGTCCCCACTGTGGTGATCTTTCCGTCGGATCAACACCAGCCGAGAGTTCTTAGTTGCATGCCTCGTTCCCTTTCTCGCGAGATGCATTCCTGCTCTTTTAGAAACCCACCTGGTCCCGTGCTGTCGGGTCAGTAGCGAAATTTCTACAATTTTAGAAGAAATTTCAAATGGGGGCTATTTTCTACCCCTCAAAAATCAGCTCGGTTGTTGAATTGGTCCTCCATAACAGTGTAACTCAAAATACTTAATTTAACTATAAATCCTCAATGTGAGTGTGAAAATATAGTCGTCAGTGGTAGAGAAGAAAGATAGAGAAACGGCCCATCATATTAATGACAAACCCAGCACCACAGTGAACAAGAATTATCTCCGAGGTGCTTCCCGTTGGTCGGGCTTCATGGCTTTTAATTTCTTATTGTCGGTTATTTCAGGCTTGTAACATGTTATATTGACCGCAGCTCCGGAAGACTAGTACTAGACGTTCAAGGGTTGAAGACAAAATTCTTCGGCGACGAGAGCGTGTACATAGTACTACTACCTAGTGCAATTTGGAACCTTGGAAAGGATCTACTTTTCCCGAAATTCCCCAACTCATGCAGTACAGAAATGAATACAAATTACAACAAATCCTATTGCTCCATGGGATTGCCGCCCGATGATTTCACCATTTATTCCATTCAAGTTCAAGTTTGTCGATCATTATTGCCACCGTCCTTCCCTGCCACAGGCCTAGGCGCAGGACTGACACTACAGCTATTGCTTGTGAGGTTAGCCCGGGGTTTGGTTCTAATTTGCGATTGAGGAATTCTCGCTTTCATTGGGCCCGACAGTTTGGGTGAGAATTACGATACATGCATATTGACGTGCTGCTAGTACAATACAGCAACTAGCTCATGGTGTTAGTCGAGATCCGTTTGGTTGCATTTGAACTCCTCTTTCCACTCCCGCTCTTCTTTTTCGGATCTTTTCCCTTCTTGTTTGACAGCTTTGGACACCCATATTTTTCGAAATCAATAAAAGTCAGGCACCAATTGATTTTTTATCACAAATGTCTGAGCCTATGTGGCCAATGGAGTCCAGGGAAATTGAGGTCGATACAGATGTCAGCGTAAGATTTAAAAATGCATTTGTTCCACATTACCGGTGAATGACACTTTCTCCAGTCTTCGGATGAGGATGAAAGTTTTCTGAATGATTTGACCTCTTTGACAGAGTCTGTATACTCTCACGTTTATGAAAATGGACGGACATACCATGCGTATAGCCCGGGAACCTATGTATGCTCCGCTCCCTCTCTTTTATTATCTGGATCTACTCCAAAGAGATTATGACCAACAATCGCTAGCTCCTACCAAATGATGAATTAGAACAAGGTATGGAATTCTATGCAGATGTATGAACTCTCATTGGAATCTATTAATAACCTGAGGGTTCAGATAGATTGAATATCTTGCATCACATTTACAGGCTTTGTATGAATGGAGAATTAAGTCACACGAACCTTGAGTACCCACAAAGTATTCTTGATGTCGGCACAGGGACAGGAATATGGGCAATTGAAAGTGCGCAATCTATGTCCATCGAATATTTGGCGTCAGCCCTTTGACCGAAAATTCCAGTCGCGGATGAATTCCCTTCCGCAGAGGTGATAGGTGTAGATCTTTCTCCAATCCAACCTGGCTGGTCAGACATTTTCTCTTGAACCATTAAAAGAATTTTCGTGATTGCTAATATTCTTCCAGGGTACCTCCCAATGTGCGCTTTATCATTGATGATGTTAATCAAGAGTGGACTTTTCCTTCCCAATCATTTGACTTCATTCATGTGCGAAGCTTAGCAGGGAGCGTAGAACACTGGCCAACATTTCTGCAGCAGTGTTATGAGTATGTATCTTTCATTCTAATGACTAAGAATTTTAATCCACTAATACAATTCTAGCCATCTCAAACCGGGCGGTCGTATCGAGATTGGAGAGGTTCCCCGTGTGCAATGCGATGACGATTCTTTTCCGGAGGAGTGCTACTTTCGAACGTGGGAGGTTAATTAGACATTGAAGACCATCTTGAAAATTTATTGCTTACCATCTCACAGAATGAATTCTATCGCATCGGACAAATTCAAGGTCGTATTTGGGACATATCCTCAGAGATGACGGGGCTATTACAGGGCGCGGCCTTTGAGAATATTCAACATACGCCATATGCTCTCCCTATCGGATCATGGCCTAAATGTCCAAAGTTGAAGGAAATTGGCAAATGGTTTCGCATTCAACTAACCGATAGTGCTATTGAGGGCTACTCTTTAGCGCTATTTACTCGGTATGGACAATGGAAACCATCCGAGGTTCAAGTATTATTGGCGCAAGTTCGGAAGGAGCTTAACACCAACAAAATGCATATATATACTAAATAGTAAGAAGAGTATCACCCTCTCTCACGAAACAAATCGGCTTATATATTATTTTTTAGCGCTGCCTTCACGGCACAAAAGCCGTTGTGACGGAACCCTATTCACGTCCACGGATTCTTCCCCCCTTCCAATATGCCGTCTCAAGGATAGTCAGGAACGAAATCTCTTGATATGGAACTTTTTGTACATTTACTATCTAATTTGAATGTTTGGCAATGACCACAGCTGCAGCGAAAAATGGATTTTTCTTTTCTTGGTGAAAAATAAGCCCCTAAGGGGAATCTCGACAAAATTGCTGGAAAAGAAAAGAAAGGAAGAGAAAAAAGACGCCCAATATTTATTGAATGCAGCATGACTCATTGCGAAACTCTTCATTAAAGGTAATTTGAGACGATGACTTTATTTCCCTTAACGCTCCGAGTCTATTCCCGACCGTACAAGTGTATTGGGGCAGCACATTGCAGGACGCGCCCATTTCTTGTAAATAGCAGCTTCAATTTTCTGCTCTCGATATATATCAATGAATAAGAAATTCAACAGCGACTACTAGAGAATTTTGGCAAGAGGGAGACTAGGGATGGACCGAAACACATATCTTCGGCATTGTAAATAACAGGCTCCACAGCGATGTATTTAACTGACAAGCCATCGACTAGAAGACAGAAAAGGCTTTGGTCGTTTTCGTCTACCTGGCTGGTTATCCATTTTGATAATGCTTTGGTTCCTAGTTATAGCGGACTTTCGGGGAATCTTAATTACATCGAGAGCTGATAAGATATCAACACGTGCAGAAACTAGGACAATCCACCCAAAAAGAAATTATACTATCTTCTAGAAACCGATCAGAGGGCGAAAGACGAGGGGAGGGGACTATAGCAACCGCCGTAATGGAAAATTATTTTTCCGAAAGAACCGATCTATCTCGGCCAGAGTCACGTGACTCTGAATTTTGCGGGGCAATATTAGAAGGGCACGGTCCGCCGGGTCCGCCGGGTCCGCCATTGACGTGCGGTTCGAGCTATGCTGCTACCTCGCATTTCCTGTAGAGTATGGCCTCCGCGACCTTGCGGCCAGATTGGCCACCGGATAAATTCAGCATAAAACGGAAACCACTATCGAATCCCAACTTGCGACAGACTGCAAATGTCCAGTCTTCAGGGGCCCTGGGGCATGCCGCAACCTCCCCAGCTTTAGTGGCACCTTCTCCAACGCATATCTCGCCATATATTGAACTCTATAAACCAAGATCACAGCTTCAAGTCCCTGAAACACCCATCGCAAGACCAAGATCTGCAGGTGAAATATCGACAGTGAAATTATCAACAGAACAACCACCACCAACCCCTGTCCGGAAGGCTTATGGTGAAGCATGCCACTTTCTTGGAGGGCTAATCAATCACCCAACTGAGTCTAACAGACATGTTACTATTTTGCGTCATTCACATGGCCTGGTGTTTTATCGTGGAAATACTACATCTGTTGCCGTTTCGATATTCTCCGATGCACCCCTGCCACTAGACCGCACCCTTTGGTTACAAAGCAAAGGGTGGTCTGGTAAAACTGGGATGCGCACGAAGGCACTGCTGAATCTACGAGACAGCTGGATTAATGTAACGCCAACTTTGCCACTACATGCAAATCAAACCAACCCGGATGATGAACGAGCTTGGCAGCGTGACATCAAAAAATTCCGTAAAAAGGCCCCTGCGCGCCCGCGAGACTACCATCACTTGCGCGAAACAGCGGTCGTGCGAATTCCCTCGGAGGCTGGCGATGGGTATTTCCAGATTGTCCTCTGCCAGGGACTCAAGAAGAAGGTGCTTGGGAACAGCCCTGTGTTTCGTGTGCTTTCGACATCGGCAAGCCCGAGCTCTCTTCGTGGTGCCAGCCTGAGCACCCTGCCCCTGGAACTAGGCGCAATGATTGCTAGCCTTTACGCACAAACGGCCGCGAAAGCCGTGATTTCACCCGCTAGTTCAGCTGTGAAATCCAAAGTCAACCCATATCGTCCGGCATGGTTAACTCAAACTGCGGCACAGACAGCCTATTCGGCCAGTGGCGCTCAGTCCAAAGTTGCAGGCATCACGACAGGACTGGCCAGGCCGCCTGGAAAAGTGTCGATTGAAGAGGAAGTTAATCCAGTGACCTTTGAAAACGGCTTTTCATCTATCGAGCTAGGTCCCCAGCCGCCATTTCCGATGTCCTTCAAGGCTCGCGCCGATACGTCATGTTCAAAACAACATGCCATCACTGGCGATAATCTAATTCTTGTACTCAACAAGGTACCTGACTGGGTGACTCAGCAATTACGAGGCTATTTCTTTGGCTGGGCTCGGTTCGACATTGGCACAAGTAAGGAATCCACATCTGGTCCGTGGTCTGCAGCCATTCTTTCAATTCGCACCGTAGATCCCCTACAAGCCGCTCGAGTGGATATGGCAAAAGTTGCGAATCTTGTCGCTCAGCTACGTCTGCTGGATGATGTTCCTATTGAAACAACGAAAGTGGAAACTCGCATCATGGGATTTCTCCGAGTGGATGTCCCGCCTCCGATCGGTAAAACATCTCAAGAATTAGTAGAAGCCCAGGCAACTGCGGCTGAAGCAGGTGTACTCGCTGAATCTTATGATGAGTTTATTGTACAAAATACCTTGGCCCATATAGCATGGTCACCAGATTCGCAGTCGCATGGGAATATTCAACGACAGGACTCCGGCTGGATTGAGCGAACCAAGGAAGGTTATACTGATATCCGAAACCGTGGTCAGAAGTGGGTGGAGCAAGTGCCATTGCATCGGCTTGGGGTTCGTTCGGCAACAGACCAAGTCAGAGAAAGGCAGGTTGCTGTCAATGGTTTCTATATTGTCAGGTAGCGTTTCTGGCTCAACCTAGGTGGCAATTTTGCTACCGGTGTATACTTCGATGTGCGTTGATTAGAGCTATTCATGGGTATAGCCTTCTTATTCAACCCTACCTATACTGTATTAATATTCATTTTGCATACGTTCATCTTATGTGGCGTCATAATACTCGTTTTACGAATCAATTTCTGTGGGTAGCCGGAAATGAATGCCTGGTGTTCGATTTATTCATAACATGTTCATAATTATGAAATCTTCTCCAAAGGCCAACCAAAGGCTCAAATTCAACAAAGCCCAGCCCAAGATATAACCGTGAGGTGTTATACCGAGCCTCGCAGGGTAGCGACTGACTGGCTTATGGACCAACTGGGGTCTCAGACGCGGCCAAGTTGCACTGCCTAAATATTCGTACTTCATCCGGTTTGAACGCGCCAACAACCGAGTGAATGAGGCCACGATTGTTGAACAGTACTAGGTCTCCTTCCTCCCAGTCATGCGGGTATACATACTGGGGACTGATGGCCGGTCTTTGTAGTTTGTAGACAATATCACGCACACGTTCCAAGTCATCTATGATAGTGCCATCGGCACAGTGGATCCGACGAACTGCCGACGGGTGAATTTGAAGAGCAAACTTTCCGGTCACTGGATTCTTCCAGGCCATCGGATAAACCATAATCTTTGTCTCTTCAATAGGTGGCAGGTCTGAGTTAGGTAGCTCGAGCCCTTCCGAGTGCAAGCCTAGACCCGTTGAGCGGGAATGAGCAGAACTCATCCATATGTATCTGTTAATAATAGTCAGCTATAGGCTCTTCTGCAGCAACAGAATGAGAAGAGATTATCTTACGGGTGTGGCGAGTATTCCATCTTGCTTGAAAGCACAAATTTCTGGTCCTCTGGAGATAGAATCTCAAACATTCTCTCGCCACTGACGAAAGCTGTCGTGCCGAGAGGCACGTCTAATGTTTCTCCTGTTCCATCGTCGTATAACAATGTCTGGCGACGGCCTTTTGGAACTGCAACCGCCAATAATGTCGTTACTTGTGGTGGGTGCAGCCCATACAGGGCTGCATCGATGTGCCATCGGTAGAAACGAGTGAAATCGTAGTCTTTGTCGTCTGGGATGTGATCTTTATGAAATGTGCGGTGATGGGGATGCCTCAACTGGATGTTTTCCAGTCCTTCATACGATGGCACAAATCCATTTCCAATTACCTGTACTTGTGGTTGGTGTGGAACTGTCTTCAAATCGGGGTGAAGTATGCTTCTCTTCGCGTCGATCGTTTTGCCATGTCCGTAATTGTTCGATACAGGGTCGAAACGCTTTGTAAGTTCGTATTGTGCTTTGGGAGATAGCTTATGCTGGTTCTTGAATACAACGACCTGATGCCGATAGAGAGCATCTCGAATAATTGCAAAGTGGTCGTCTGTTGGATAATGTTGAGCTCTTGTTCTTTGTTCGCTTTTGGAATGGTGCTCGTGAGTACTCACCAGTCAAGTTCTCCACGTCCACGCCTTCAATTTGAGCTCCAAAATCAATATCTGATCCCTTCGGTGGCTGCAGTGACCGGACAGTAGGAGGTAAGACGGCCATATCAGATGCTTTGGTCGAATACAGCCTTGATGTTCTTGGAGTATAAAGCGAATGTCTGAGGAGCATGGGGAAGCCTTTATAAAGCAAGAATTGAGATCTTTCTAAGTGCACAGCCCCGATAAACTGCAGTCGGTATGGGGATCAATTGCCGGAGATACCGAGAGAAATGTGGTCCACATTGGTCACCTCGCGAATCAAATCGTCATCGCTACTGGGTTGTGAGTTATCAAGTGCGGGTGAGTGCGGGCGAGTGCGGATCTTGATAACATAATCTGCTGCGGGATGCAAGGCAAAACAAGATATCCCGAGCTAAGAATATCGGGCCAACTCCTTTAGCCCCGATCGGAAAGTTTGTCGATCTTTGGGAAGCCGACCTGGGAGCCCCGATTTAATCGTGCTAGCCGGAAAAATATTATTTCGGGTGCTATGGTGTGTGCTCGATCCCCTACTCGGAATTACGCGGCTCGCTACCTCCAGCCAACGGCACATGTTTAGCCTACGTCTACTAAAAAGGTATACCAAGTCACTGGTCTGAGGCCCGAAAAACTATCTTCTGCAGTGATAAAATTATATTTCGAATGAGGGCAGAGAGCCATACAGACAAATCCCATAACTCGGTTCAATAATTCGAAATCGAACTACTGCGAACCCATAGTTGCCGATACTATGCCATCCCGGTAATGCTCTACCAGAATTTCCACCATGGTCCTGATGATCGAGGAGGTAGTTCAGCATCGATGATTTCTTGTAGTCCTGTTTGCATATCCACTTCTTCAGGACGCCAAGCCCAAGGATCGCTCCAGAACAGCACTCTATGCCCAAAATAGAGAATCAAGAATGCAGGGATCCCAATGTAGGCCGTAAAGAAGTTGCTCACTGACCATTGCGATGGAAAGAAGACAGTGAAACCGTTAATCAAGGCCATGAGCGATGCACCCGCCATTCCGAAATAAGCTCCATACGGCTGTAATCGCGATCGGTAGGGCTGTTCGATACCTTGTGCTTTCACGGCCTTTCGGAATCGAAAATAGACAATGCAGCAACAGATCCACGAGAGAAAACCAGAGGTATTAGTGAAGTTGACGAACCAGTTGAACACTATGGAGCTGGAGCTGCCAACGGACAAATAGGCCAATGCTGAAAAGCAAGCCGAAGCTCCAACTGCATAATACGGAACACCCCATCGGTTACAAGACTTGAAAAGGCTGGGTGCGTTGCCAGAGACCGCTAGTGAGTAGAGAGACCGAGATGACATGTAGAGGAATGAATTTCCAGCAGACCAGGCGGATGTTAATACAGCCGCATTGACGATATGATCGAGAACTAGTGATTTGTGAGCGTTTTGTCAACGTAGAAAAGAATATTTTCGGGTCATGCGTAGTTAGTTACCTGGAATGCCAGCATTTTGAATCCCGACAACAAACGGCGACGAGTTAACAGTGCCATTACTCTGAGTAAGTCGTGCAGCATTTGACGGGCATATAACACCAATGGCAAGGACGCCAAAGATGTAAAAGAATACTAATCGGTAGATGTACGCTCGAGCCGCGCGAGGCACATTGCGACGCGGGGATTCCATTTCTCCACCGCTAATAATGATCAGCTCAGGTGCGAAGATGAAAGCAATTGCACTTGATACTGTGCACTTCAAGAGTCCCACAAAGCGGCCGGTGTCTCCATTTACGAGATATTGATTGAAGGATCCAGGGTGCTTCCAGTAATGGAATCCAAGTAGTTGGCGGTTGGGTCCACCACCCCAGAATAAAATGAAGGACACCATAAGAAGACCGATTAAAGTGATAATCTGATGAGAGGTATTAGCATACTAGAATTTCCTTGGGTGATTTTCAGCGATATGGATCAGGGCCATAGTACTACTCGCCTTAATCCCAGAGAACCAAAATTCAGATTCTCCATAGAACCGCACAGGCAGGAAGTTCAAAGCAATAATCACTACCATCATTATGGAGATCCAAACAGCAACATTTACAGTTCCATTTGGATCCCAGTATCCGATGACCAGCGATGCGGCTGTAATTTCATATGGCACCAAGATGCCCAGGGAATACCAATACAGGTAGCCCATGGCAAATCCCAGGCTTCGTGAAACGTATCGAAAACCATGATAACTCATAGTACCTCCATGTACGGGTAAATAAGCTCCAACCTCTGCAATTGCTGTGACCAGACTGTATACCATTGCTGATATAAACATATAGCCCAGAAGCAAAGAGGCAGGCCCCCCAATTGCAAGAGATTGGCCAGAAGATACGAATAATCCTTTTAGACACGCACTGTCAGTGATTTGAAGTTGAAGTTGAAGTTATGGATGTCAGATTGAAGTGAAGGGACGTCAGACTGCATGAGACAATCGAAACTCACCCGTTCCAATTGTTCCTCCTAGCGCCATGAGTTGAACATGACGGTTCTTCAGCCCTCGCTGAGTGGTCGCATATCGATCATCCAACAATTCTGCTTCTACTAAGCTTCGGACTGTACGAGATTTCTCTGTTATAGCCTCTTGGCCCTGGGCATCTGAGACATCCTGTGGGTTCGCCATTTCGAACGGCGGGCTTTCCCATGAAGAAAGGGTGGATAATTGGGGTGGGGGTGAAAGGACGATCGACAAGAAAGTTGGCTGTCTGGCTGCCTGATGAGGTCCACCATATAAAAGAAAAAAGCTCGTTTAAATACAACGCAGGAGCTTATCATACCACTTATGTCTTCTTGCTTCCCACTGGCCAGGATAGGGTCCGAGATTAATGTGTGTTAGCGGATAATTTACTAGTCCAGCCCCGCTTTTGTCACATCCTGGGGTAACCACGAGGCTCCGCCTATCAGTGAGATGCGACGCAAGGGTGGTTTAAACGTAGCATCAACCCAAATATATTTCAGTGTAAGATTCCAATCACTATTTTGTCGAATGATTGATATTTTCTCTCCGCTCCTATAATTATTTGGCTGGCAAATAGTCTCTATGTAAGCGTACAGAATGAAGCATGTTTGTTATCTTTCATATCCACCCGCTCGATTTCACTTTTTATTGGATCTTTCATCATTGCGGTTTACAAAATTTCATCTCGCAATATTAGCTCTCTGTCAGTGCTCTATCTCAGCTAGACCGGCAGACAGCCGGTGAAACTTCGTTTCTTGGACACTTTGAATAGTGGCAAAAACCTAAAGAATCTTGAACGCCTAAGGCTCTTTAATACCTTGCATGCCCGGACCGGCGACCGGACCGGCTATTAAAAACAGAAGGATCGAGCCGTGTCTCTTATTATATGAGCAAACAGATAGGCTGGGACTACAGATATTGTCTTATCAGCTTGTGACCAATCTTTTAAGCTGTAAGCGAGCAAACGGAAAAGCCGAGGTCGGTAGGGGTACAGTTTAGACTAGCCTAAGAAGGTATAGCTCGTTGCCCCTACTAACAGTCATATGGCAATTTTAAGCATAGCACCATTTTGCTGCTGGGCCTCATATGCGCGCCAATTTATCAACACTCAAGGAATCTGTGGTGGAAGTAGCTTTCATGCAGCAGCCACAGTGGAAGAAGAAAGTGTAAAGTAAAAAAAAATTGTACCGAAAAAGGTAGCAGTGGGGAACAGCTATTTGCACCATCCAGGACTTCCTATGTATTGCAGGCAAGCGAAAAGATGACATCCATACATGTGCACGAGCTCATCAGAAATCCCCCGAATTGGTCGTTTAACACTGCGTTTCATGTTGAAGTTTAGCCGCTTTTGTTTGCGTGCCACTCGTCTTTCATAAGCTGATAAAACTCCGTGAAAGTAGAATCGCTGTTTGGGGTGAATCTATCTTTTGCTTTAGTAGACGTTTCGATGAAACGGAATTTCTCCTCGTGGACATCGTTATCCTTTGGATATTCGTAACACTGCAACGTGATGCAGGTTTCATCATTCTTGTTTTCGAGGGCATGGATCTGATACTGGTTCTCTCCTAGCCAGGTGATCTGATCTTTCTTCAGAGCCACCGGCTGGCCAAGCATGATTGGATCAACGTTTTCGACGAGGGTATCATACCAAGTACATTGGATTGTCCCGGAGAGAACCCGAATAACTGCACAAGCGTCACCATGGTCGTGGATGGGAGATTTATGACCAGGGGGCCAAACTTCCATAACATACGGAATTCCAGGAGAGTTGCCCTATCCGCATTCAAGTTCTTCTCGTTAGTTGTAAACAGGGTTGAGAGACGGTAAATGCGATGAAATCACCTTGTTGGATCCAATGGTGATGCGAAGATATTTATATACGAACTCCTTTGGATCAGGGTTTGTAGGATTTTTGCATTTACTTTTCAACTTGTTGTGGCCCCAAAGCCCTGGCGTCGTAACGCTCTTGTGAATTGCCTCGGCGAGTTGTTGGAACTCGGGCTCTGCATCAAGTGAAATCTTTTCCCCTGAAATATTGTGATAAAGATTCTGACAGGCATTCGGGAGATTCACCCAAGAAGTCTCAGCCAGGAAGTCTAACCTCCGGAGCGTAACGGCTTCATTCGAAACGACAATGGGTGGAAGGTCCAACGTGACTGGAAGGCGAGAGATTTTGATATTAGGATCGACTCGGACGCCCATGACACGAGTCGGCTTCTGGATGATTAGTTATGAATATAATAATAGGGTTCGGCGCCATTCACCTTGCTGTCATCGACCTTCACAGTAGTCAGTTGTTCTAACCATTCTCCTTTTTTGTCATCCAATTTCACCTCTACCAATGTCAACCATTTGGAGGTGTAGTATTTCCCATAGCGCAAGACCCAGTTGCTTCTATCTATAGAAAGCCAGTAGACCGTTCCATCCTTCGGGGAGGTACTGGGTATAAAGCGACTACTTTCCGGCCTCAGATCAGTACCCTCAAGCAGTGTTTCTTTTGCAGCATCTTCCTTCTTGTAAAACGTAGCGCTGTGCTGGGTAAGCTTCAAGATCAATTTTGGATAAGAAGTGCCTGTTGATACGCAAAATTCGATGCCGTCCGTGGTCTTCGAGTTCACTGCGATGGTTCCCTGGCCCACGATTGAGAGCTCTGCGGTCCCCATCGGCATGGAAGAGATTGGCGCCATCGCTATGTTGTCCCAATGTTGAAAGGCATTTTTTGGAGCAGTATCGCTAGGAGGATTTTCCCAAAAGGGGTCGGCGAATTGAAGATAGTCTGCCATCTTGCTAGATCGGATGTTTTGTAGGCACTCGAAAAGATGGTGGTTATCTGTTCAAGAAATCTTCGGGATAGAAATTTCCGGAGACTTGATAGTGTACTTATAGCTTCTCAGGGCAATATAATACGATGATGATAGGTTTGAGAGCAAGCAATGATGTAATTGATACGATGCGGCACGCTGTCTTCTAGATCTTGTTCTATAACATCATGTATGTATCACGGTTCCACTATGCAAATCGAAAGGCCCATCGACAATAGGTACGTACGTAATAGCAAGAAAGCAACTACACCGCTGATAAGGGTCACTGATGCTCGTGGTTGACTTGTAAGGGGGTTTTGTAATAGGCAGTCTGTCATTGGCGTACATTGTGCCACGGCATACCCCCAACACCTCCACAGACCCCACACGATTGCAGCTTCAAAGTTGCACAACAACGCGTGCCAGCGCATCGGCCATCGGTTGTGCAACAAACGAGCCGGCCTACCGGCTTGATCGGCTCTAAAAATACTTGTTCGGTATTCACCGACTCTGTAATCTTGGTTCTAGCCCTGGTCGGCATTCTGTAGGCCTACGTGTCTGATTGATCGACCTGATACAACAAAAAGCGATATCAATTTTCAACATTTGAGGGAGATGGTTCGTAGTCGTGACCGTACTTACAATCCATCTATTTGGCCTTCCCTCAGTATTTGAGGTCTAAGCTTGAGCTTTTTCTTCCCTTTTTTTCGCCCATAGCAGAAATATACTCAAACAGACTGGAAGAATTGTGATAATGGATAGAGCATTGAATGGACATAGAAATAGAGACCATGAACCTACGCTACTGACAGACTCAATACTTCTAAATGGGCGTAGTGCTGGAGACCCACTGCGCCCCTCACATTCTGAGAGCTCAATGCTAGACCTCCGAGCCTTACTCCGTACTTCAAATTGCTACCCAATATCATGTCGCGTCACGATCTGCGTCACTCCAGCAGAAGACGGGGTGTGGGGTGCTAAGTTGCGCAGTATCGGTGTCTATATACAGGTGGTAGATGGCAAGATGAGTCGCGACCGCAACGCGACGCTGACTAGTATCAGCACTTATGAGGTTCTGCGAGTACGCATCCGAGCAGAAGCCCGGGATTTTACGGTGGAATCGCACGAGATGGATATGTAACGAATAAAGAGCGAAATTAGAAGCGCCGACGGGGAATTGTGGAATATGCGACCATGGCTGCAGAGGAGATCAACAGTTCTGTGGGGATGACATGGGGTCATTCACCTTTGTACTCAAGTATGAAATACCAATTTAGACTTCGTGTACCAATTACCCTACACTCAAGTTTTCCATATGCTCTTCCCCGTGTGGATAATTGGCGTAATGGAGTTGAGAACAGAGATCTGGGGTCTCCAAGCCTTGGAGACAGGATGACGATACATACAATCATTGGACGTATGTGTCAGTGAAACACTTTCCCTCCTTCCAAGGTTATCGTCCCCGAGAATGCTGGACTAGTTCTCATGCTAGATTTTATATGTTTTATTAGGAAGCTGACATACTAGTATTAGTATCTCGTTGATGATGGATGTGGGCGCCCCCACAACCCCCGCACGCCACGGCCCGCAATGTCCATGGAATTCAAGTTTAACCCCACGATCTCCAGTTGGATCGGTCCATCCCCGATGCCAGTGAGAACTCGTGCTGACTTTGAGAGACCATCGCTTTGATCCCCGCTCTTCCCTGATCGCCCTCGAGACGAGTTCTCCGCTCGGCCCTGCTTTGTGCAACAGAGAAAACCCCCGAGATCTAATTTCGCTAGTTTTTTTTCTCTTTTACCTCAACATCCAAGTCTTGACGCTTACATCTAATTTTGAGCACATACTTTGTTCTTTTAATCTAGCACGTGCCATTTGAGATATGAAAGCTCTTGTATATACTGGGCCGGGCACCGTTGAAGTGCTCGAGCGACCGAAGCCGAAAATCCAAGACCCGACCGATGCGGTCATACGCCTTCTACACGCCTCAATCTGTGGCACAGATTTACATATTCTCAAAGGAGATGTGCCAAGTGCAAAACCTGGACTCGTTCTAGGGCACGAGGGAGTTGGTATTGTGGAGGATCTAGGCTCCGCTGTACACAATTTGCAAATTGGCGATCGCGTGTTAATTTCTTGTATGACTTCGTGTGGTGCGTGTCGGTATTGCCAGAGAGGAATCCCTTCTCACTGTCAGACTGGTGGGTGGGTTTTGGGAAATCAGGTCGACGGCACCCAAGCAGAATATGTTCGAGTGCCCCATGCGACCCTTTCCTTACACCTCTTACCTACCTCTATCCCGTCTCGCGCTGCAGTTGCGGTATCTGACGCGTTCCCAACTGGGCTTGAATGTGGTGTTCTCAGCGCTGATGTCCAACCTGGAGGATCGGTGGTGATTTTCGGGGCTGGTCCAGTAGGAATGGCAACTTTGCTCACAGCTCGCCTGTATTCGCCATCCCTTATTGTGATGGTTGATATAGATGACGCCCGTCTTGCGACCGCGCGTGTGCTTGGTGCTCATGCGACGGTGAACTCCTCCAATCCAGATGCTCAGCAACAACTGATGACTCTGAGTGGTGGGCATGGGTTTGACTCTGTGATCGAGGTTGTGGGCATCTCGCCAACATTTGCTTTGTGTCAGGCGGTAACCGGCCCCACAATTTTTCTTTCACAAAAATAATGAACCCTCGCTTACGAGGGTCCGCCACCCATATGGAACAGATCACCCATATGGAACATTTTTGCTAAATCGTACTACAACTACTATTTACCACACCACCATATAGTTAATTAATTAACTAAAAATAATAAACAAATCAATCAGCCATTTTAATATTAGAATACAAAATCAAGTTAATTTCCCCGGCGTTTTTTGGCTCTTCCATGCTTCCTAATTTCAACCAATATCTTCTTCCACTTCCGCTTCGTCTTTTCTTGATCGGCTTTTTCAGTCAATTTATATTCTTTTAGCTTCATTTCTTTGATCTGGCTTGAATTGATAATACCAGTGATTTGCGTATAACGGCGAGAAGCATCATATCTAGCGTGACGTGCTCCCATAATAGCTTGTGTAGAATCGAATTCCCGTTGCAGTTGGACAGCCAACATTGCCTGAGTCTCAGCACCCTTTACAAGCTTTGCTAGCCCTTCTTTAAAACGTTGAGTAGTAGGATCATATTGATTAATACGATCGCTAATTCTTCGAACTCTCTCAGCGGTTTTTGGGGTGCTAAACTCAGTATTTTGTGAGTTAACTGATGGTGTATCTTCCCGGGATATATTATCATAATATGGATCGTACGAATCCAATTCATCGGTAATAAGCTTAGAATTAATTGGCCAAAGGCCAGTTAATCTAAACCCAAGCTTGATTGTATGTGGCCGGAAGGTTTTGCGTCTGATTTCACTGATTGAATGTAGGAATTCATCCTTTGAAAATTTACGGCATCCAGTCATTGTAGCCGCCTCAACTGCCTCACTATGCCAGTGTTTATATACACTAAACACTCCAACATCGAGAGGTTGTAGTATATGGCTAGTATGTGAGAGTAAGAAGAATAGAATGATATCATTCTTCTCACAAAATTCAACAAATTGACGCGTTAAATGTGATCCAAAACGATCGCATAAAACTAGCCTCTTTTTCCCAATGGTACGAGAAATTGTCCATTTATGAAACAGCTGAATCCATTGATATGCTAATGTATCATTGATATAGCCAGTATCAGTTATAGCAAGATGCTCGTCGTCTTCAATTTTATCAAACCAACGTAGTAATGCTTGTTTAGCGCTTAGAATAATCAGCGGTGGGCATGTAAAGCCATCAGCCGAAACAGCCTCTAAAACAGTGACAGACTCGCGATTGGTAACTGAGCCATTAAATAGCTTCTTTTTTGGATGTCTTGTGATAATAAATTGATCGCGACCGACGCCAATTTGGAAGCCAGTTTCGTCAAAATTGTAGATATCTTGTTGACAGATGCCATATTTAGCCACTATACGTTGATAGTCTTGAAACCATCTCTCTATAACGGATTTATCCAGTGCAGTAGCTCTTTCAACATCAAGAGCTCGCCGACGTCGTATATAGTACTCAGGATACCGTTTAAGAAAACGCTTTAGCCAATGGTCGCCAATTTGTGGGGGATCTGTGGTGGTGTCGGTATGATCTTCTTCCAGAATTGAATCGGCAGCAATAGCAATTTGACGGCGATTTATTGATGCTCCGACCGCATCAAAATAATCAATATATTCACATAAAGCCTTCTCCTGTGCAATACTAAGCTTCCGGCCATTAGGTTGTCGTTGGAAAAGCGATTTTCCACCTTGCCAGCGCCGACGAAGACGGCCTTCAGGAACCGCGAATTCTCGCGCAGTCTTCCTAATATTAGGCTTAGATTGCTCAGAGAGAGACTCTATTGCCAGCTGAATCTGGTTCTCTATATCTTTATTGGTTTTAGGCATTGTTGGTGGTGTGGTAGATGATAATAGTGGTTGTGGTAAGATTTAGAAAAAATGTTCCATATGGGTGATCTGTTCCATATGGGTGGCGGACCCTCGTAAGCGAGGGTTCATTATTTTTGTGAAAGAAAAATTGTGGGGCCGGTTAGTTGCTATCGGGGGAAGGATTGCCAATGTTGGTGTGCATGGCACTAAAGTAGACCTCCATCTAGAGCGATTATGGGATCGAAACATCAGTAAGTGCATACGCGCGGAAGGATTCCGATATCTCGTGGTTTACGGAGTAGATCCGTAAAGGGTGCCAAAAAAAAAGTGGCATGCTTAATATTGATTTCACGCAGGTATCCACATGTCCCTAGTGAACGCGACGACAACACCGCGTCTTCTACGCTTAGTGGAGTCCGGTATGCTTGATATCGGTTCTCTGGTCACTCATCGTGAGTTTTATTCAATTTCTGTTCTTGGGTGAATCGTGAAATATTTTTGTTTTGGCTGTTCTTTTAACTATTTCAGATTTTTCTTGTGACGAGGCTACCAAGGCCTATGAGACATTCCAAACCGCATCACAACATAAAGCGCTCAAAGTGGCCATTGACTTCTAACGTGAGACGTGAAACAATCTCGGAAGAACGACGAAGAGCGGATGAAAGACCATGCTGATCTCCATAGCTTCTAACTTGAATCCATTATCTTTTCTTTTTTTCCCTCCATGTTTCTTCCCTCTTTTCTCCTATTTAATTACGTTTCAGCTGGGAAAGAAAAAAACCCGCATGCGCCCCACTTCCAAACGTGCGGGAAGGCCATAGGCCCTGGGCTGCACGAAATGGAGTCACTTTCGGGCTACCATGGGGCTTGGCTTATCCTAGAAACCCCATTTCCCCTTGATTTGACCGGAACCTGTTTTCTTTTAGGCTGCGGGACAATATGCGAGTATATTATCCCTTCTCCGGAGTCTTGCGGGTGATTGGATCCAAGGTTGGCAATTGCTGCCATTGGATTAAGTGTGCATGTACCAGGGCGAGACCCTCAATGCAAAATATCATCTAATCGGCCCGATAGAGAAAAAAAAGGGGAAAAAAGGGAAATAAGGTATTGGGGGCAATCAATATCGTCACTACAAATTAGAAGCGAGAGAATGTGCGCGATGGCCTTTTCCTTCCTACGCAAGCAGTAGTTCGACCCGATCTCGTCCGCCCATTATGAGACTCGCCCCACTCTCTCTGCCTTCCCGAGAAGGTGAATGGCCATCTGTGGCGGGAGAGAGGCTCGGAGGAAACTGGTTAGTGGCTGTTAGTGGCTGTTAGAGGTGGTTAGAGGCTTCTGGGAAAGGTTTTCCACGGTGATGCTGATTGGGTTCCGTGGCCCCCCAAGACCTTCTGTTCCTCCATCCAGAAGAATTTCTTCAATCGCCTCGGTGATCCCCACTCCCAATTGACTTTAGGCATTTCTTGTCTTTTCTTTCCTTTTTTCCTTTTGGTTTTGTATTCTTCTTCCTTACCTTGTATCCTTCATTTCCGTCCATTCTTTTCTCTACCCTCGAGGGAAATTTGCTTTTGACGTCTGCACTCGGTTCCATACGCGACTTGCATCCAACGCCGCAATACCTGCCATATGCAATTCGACTCGCCACTTTAAACCATTCCAATCACCATGGACTCTGAGGCAGACTTTCGCCGCTCCTCACGGATATCCGTGAGCAATGCTGAAGCTGGCACCGATACCAAAAAGGCCGATCGAACGCTGGAGGATCTAGGATATACCCCGGAACTCGCTCGTAACCGTTCCATCTGGCAAGTCACTTTTATGTGCTTTATTTTGTCTTCCGTTCCCTATGGATTGTCAACCACCCTTTACTACCCGCTCGCTGCTGGTGGTCCTGCCAATATTATCTGGGGCTGGGTCCTGGTTTCGTTCTTGATTCTCTGCGTGGGGATTTCGCTGGCCGAAATCACCTCGGTCTACCCAACTGCTGGTGGTGTCTACTATCAAACATTCGTTCTATCTCCGCTTTGGTGTCGTCGTGTCGCATCCTGGATTTGTGGGTGGTCCTACGTCGCTGGAAACATCACCATTACTCTTGCCGTCAATTTTGGAACTACTTTGCTATTTGTCTCTTGTCTGAATATCTTTGAAAAGTCCCCCGGTGTTGGTCTTACCGACGACTTCCAGGCTTACCAGACCTTCTTGATATTCTTGGCGATCACCTTCTTGACACATGCGATCCCCGCCTTGTTAAACAAGTATTTGCCTTACCTCGAGGTATGTGAAGACAGACCAGTTATTGTGTCCCCTCTTTCTTTCTTGTCTTGGGAGTGAGATAATGACAGGCTTGGCGGAAAAATCTCAGGGCAAGACACAATCAGCCTTGCCTCTCAAGTCCCTTTCAAGTCCCACCTGATCTCCTTCTAAGAAATTGCTCAATTGCTAATTACCGTGTTGATTAACAGACATTCGCTATCTTCTGGACTATTGCCGGCTTGATTGCCATCGTCGTGTGTCTTCTGGCGATCGCAAAGCAAGGTCGCCACAATGCCTCTTGGGTTTTCGGTGAATTCGTGCCGCAAGCTGGCTGGCCGGCTGGCTGGTCGTTCTTCATTGGTCTTTTGCAGGCAGCTTATGCCACATCAGCGACCGGAATGATTGTCTCGTAAGTCTTTCAAATGATGGATCAGAGGTGTAGCTGCTTTGGACGTCCAGAATGGTGCTAATAAAATTGTTGAACAGCCTTTGCGAAGAAGTTGAAGAGCCCGCCGTCATGGTGCCCAAGGCCATGGTAGGCACTGTCTGCATCAACACTATTGCGGGTCTTCTTTTCCTGGTCCCTGTCTGCTTTGTCCTTCCTGATTTGGAAATGTTGGCCAACCTCGCTTCAGGTCAGCCCACGCCGGTGATCTTCCAGAAAGCGATTGGAAACAATGTTGGCGCCTTCTGCCTCATGATTCCTTTGCTGGTTCTTGGGCTCATTTGTGGAATTGGATGTGTCACTGCAACTTCCCGTTGCACCTGGGCGTTTGCACGTGACGGTGGCATTCCTGGCTCCGGCTGGTGGCGTGTCGTTGACAAGAAGCTTGACATTCCACTCAACGCCATGATGCTGGGTATGGTGGTCGAGATTGCCCTGGGCGCTATTTACTTCGGTTCAACCGCTGCCTATAACGCCTTCTCGGGTGTCGGTGTCATTTTTCTGACCATGAGCTATGCCTGTCCCATTGCTGTGTCTTTCTTTTTCCGCCGTCGGGAAGACATCAAGAATGGAAACTTCAACTTTGGCATTTTTGGTGCGATTGCTAATGTTATCGCTCTCTGTAAGTTTCTATGTTGCTCTTCATATCATTCATACTCTTTCGTCGTTGTTGGAAAGCGAAATTTCCATCTCTGTGTTTGCTAATGCTTACAATCCTTCACCACAGGCTGGAGCGTGCTTGCCATTCCATTGTTCTGCATGCCAACATTGAGTACCGTTACCAAGGAAAGCATGAACTACGCGTCAGTGGTGTTTGTTGGTTTTGTGCTTATCGCAGCTGTTTGGTATGGTGTCTGGGGCTACAACAACTACCGAGGCCCCCCTACCGATGCAGTAGAGCACGACAGCGACTCGATGCCCGAAGCGACTGCCGATCTTCAAAAACCAAAATCCCGCTAATTCTCCGATTGCAACACCGAGCCACCTAAAACTCAACTCATTTGCTTATCGCCCACTTGCTTCTTCCCGACCGCGCATCACTTCCCGTGTCCCTGATTCTCACCATTGCAGCATCATTCCACACGCATTGCCCCTTTCTCGTCACCGATAACGCCCGCGACTCGATGGTCCATTGCAGCTCTTATTCATCCTCCTAGAATATCCACCGCTGACCTTGCGCCCAAGAAATAAACTTCCACACGCAACATCGCTACCCTGACGCTCGCAGAACTCGTTGATTTTCCAAATGCGCCTTCGTAAGATTTTCGGGACTTTTCACTTTCCACGCAATTAGATGTATATACAGGGATGGTCATTTTGATGTGTTGATGATGGGTCTTCCCACTTGTACATAATATGAGCGATGACTGGGCATAGTTGGACGTGATGCTTTCCTATTTATCTATTCGCTTGATACCTATCTCTCGGTTGATATCCCGAGTTATAACTATTTGTGGAAATATATACTGATCAATCCACTTGATCCAAGCTTGTTATGATCCAAGTTCCATCTTCCTACTATGTATAAAAAGATAAATGATTGGGCGCGGGGCGATACTCACTGGCAGGCTCCATAGGCCGAAATTATACCTAGTTTTGGTTAGGGTGAGGGTTAAACCTATCCCACCTGGGCACCACCTTCAAGTTGGCATCTCACCACATGCTATGGTCACCATTGGCAGGGTTCGAATGCTCGGAAAGCAAAGAAATTGGGACTGAGCCACTTAGTACTACTACTACTACTACTGGTTTGCGCAAGTACAATGCTCTTCAACTTGAACATTTGAAGGTATTATTACCAGATCCCGACCAGATTCCATTCTTCTTTGGCGGGGAGTGACCCTAGGCTGCTTTGATCAGATATGATCAGCATAAGGCTGCGTACGACTTACAATTTGACTTAACAGTGTATCTTGAGAGCAAAAAAGGCTCATTTTCTTTTACTTGAATACCATCATACTCAATATTTGGGCATGATCAAAGCTAAAGTTTTTAAAAATTAATGGATAAAGAAATTGAAATTCGAATGTGCTTGATTTATGCATCGTGGCGACGTGACTGATAAGATGACAAAGGTATATCTATAAATATGCGACTTTTGAGACATTATATGCACATGTAAAAAATGAAAAATCTATATAATAAGAACGAAAAAGTTTGGGGTATTCAGAGTCAAATAGGGTTCGGGCATTGCTACTAGGCATCCTCCGCATGGTAGGCCCCCTGCTCCTTTTTGCGACCGGCAGCACCCTCGTCTTCCCAGTCGTGACGACGAGGAATTTCGTAACTGCTGCTCTTCCAAGGCTTAACGTTGTTCACGTACATGTAATCAAGCTCCTCCAAGGTACGACCCTTGCCTTCAATGACGAAGAAATATACCACAAAGACCGCAACAAAGAGGCAACCAGCAAAGACATAACCATAAGCAAAGTCAATGGCACTGGTGATGAAGGAGGTAAAGAAACTGATGAGGAAGTTCCAAGCCCAGTTGGAGGCAGTAGCCAGAGCCATACCCTTGGCACGGTACTTGGAGGGGAAAAGCTCTGCGACAATAGCCCAGATCATAGGACCCCAGGTCATCGCATAACCGGCAATGAAGAAGCAGGCCACAACAATCATACCCTTTCCAGCACCAGGGGTATTTTCGGGATTCTGACGATCAAGTACGAAGTGGCCGAGGGATGAAAAGATCATGAACATGACAAACATCCAGATAGCACCGAAAATGAGGGACTTGCGACGGCCAAAGTTCTCAACGACGTAGAGACCGCCGAATGTAGTACCGAAGTTGACAGCACCCAAGATGACCTGAGTGATGAAACTGTTCGAGATACCAGCACCCTCGAAGATAGTAGTGCCATAGTAGAAGAAGTAATTGGAGCCAGTAAGCTGCTGCAAACTTTGGAGAGCCATACCCAGGACAATACGATAGAACATCCGCGGGGCTGTGATGAATTCGTGCCATTTCTGACTTTCCGATTCGGCCTCGAACTGTTCACGAATCTCATCCATTTCTTCAAGAATGCGAATGTGGTACTCAGGGATACCATACAGCTTCGCCAGGGTACTTTGGCAGCTTTCAACCTTGCCGTGGCGGAATTCAAATCGTGGGCTCTCTGGGAAGAAGGCCATACCGCCTCCGAGAACCAAAGCAAACAGGAAGGTAAGTCCAAGGGTAATACGCCACTGGGAAGTCCCATCCATGGTATTGGTGCCAAGGTTGATACAGTATGCCAAGAAGATACCCAAGGTGACAAAGAGCTGGTAGCAACTGATCATGGCACCACGGATGTGACGTGGTGCACTCTCACCCATATACATGGGGACCAGAAGGGAGCAGGCGCCAACGCCCAGACCAGTGACGGTACGCCCGATGACCATCTGATACCAATGGCCAGAAGGAGAGGAAATCTGAACGACAAGCCCAATGATCAAGATGATATTCCAGAAGCTGATTGACCACTTTCGGCCGATGAAGTCTGCCAAGGGAGCACCGACCAGGGCGCCGACCAGGGTACCAATAGAAAGCATACCGACAATCAGACCGGCACGGACATCAGTCAATGACCATGATCCGTCGATGTATTGTCCATATCGGCGGAGATAGTTGTCCATATCCTGAAAGCCGGAGATCTGACCAGTATCGTAACCAAACAGCAGGCCACCCATGGAGACGAAGAGGGCCATGACCATAGATCGAAGGGTGATGCGAGGGATCGGTGTGTTAACAACGGCATTCTTAGGCCGTTGGACAGGACTGTTGGCGTAAGAAGTCTCTGCACTAGTCTGGTTGACTGGGGTGATAGACTCCCCATTATGGGTTTGGGAGTTGTTATCCATGGTGAATCCTGAAGATGATTACAGTGGGGGTGGGATAGTAATCAGGATAAGATGAACTCAAAAGTAGGCCGAGATAAAAGACCAAAAGATGAGATTGTAAGGGTTCAGATGCCCATGGGGAAAAAGAAAGGAGAAAAAGAAAACACCACAGATCAACTCCAGGGGAAAGCAAAGCCTTTTTGTAATTCCCCAGGGACAAGAAAAACGCAGCCGTCCTCATTCGCCGAAAGATTTGAGTGGAGAGATTGTGGAGAAACGGTGCACGCGGCGATGTAATCGGTATGGAGAACATAATATTCCAAGGCAAGCCGAGAGCCATACGTATGTGCCGGCGTATCCCCAGTTCCTTCGTAACGACAAGCAGGCAAAGCAACCGGCCGAAGCCGACTCGCACGGCCCCAATGAACCCACTTGGACAAGGGGATAGAGCCAGCCATGATAGGTTCCAGCAGCAGATTGGCCGTGGTTCGCTAGTTACAGGACGGTTAGCCGAAGTGGCCGGCCATAGCATTGATCCGGGTTACCGTAGGATAAGTGGCAAACCCGGCCTTCACGATGCCGATAGTGACGTTCTTGGCTCGGGATCTGGGTCATTATTGATCGGGTCCGAGATTTCTCATTTCGAGAAGCTTTCTAGAATTCTTCTTGTGGTTTGTAATCAAGAAAGGATGTGTCTCTCACGGGTAAATATTCCATCACTCATTTTATTTTTGTTGGTAGTTTTATTTTTCTTTTACTAACATAAAATCTCGGATATATTCTGGAGAAGCTCGGTGGGCCTATTGGCCGTAATAGAAGCCGGTAGTTCCGACCCCAGGCAGTTCTCCGGATTGTTCCCCCAATCCATACCTAATATGTGACTCGGTGAGTCGCACTGCCCCGGGACTCTCCACGAAAGATGAAGAGCAGGAAAGTTCTCCTGAGGGGTAATTGCGGAGTCTGGAGAGCCAACAAGGCTCCTGGACGTGTGATATCCCTGCATTTCTGACATCAGGGTCTGTTGTGCACCCAAAGTGGTCTTCCTCCAACCCGTTACGCCCGAAGGTCATAATTTCCCATCCCCACCCAAACATCCTGCGGTCCCCCAATTCGTGCCCGATCATTGGAATATCTTTTTCCCTTTTACGCAAGAAATTCACTTGCCCAAACACTAACATTAACTTTTTGATTTTTTCTCGGGCATTGGCCGCCAGTAAAATAGTCAGTGGCGCCGCCACACCCGAGACGTGGGGCTGGATACGTCACTGCAGAGTTTTCTGACATTGAAACACCAAAATCCCACGGTCGGCTCTTTGATTCACGATTATGTATAAACGAGATACTTATACTTAGAGTGTTCATACTAAAGGAGATCATATACAAATTCCCAATCTGTCTAATGCCAGCCGTCAGGAGTCGTTCCTGCGCAAAAATTGCTTTAATCTCACCAGTTTCATTGCTTCTATGTTTGTTTTCGTTACTATTCTTTTTGGGAACGCGTGAATGTCCCGCTGAGTAATCCCGGAGTAGCTCTTATCCAAAATATTTTGGCGTGCAGGTCGTGTTCAGCGCGGAGTAGGATGAGTGTCCGATCGCTTCGGCCCCGTTACGAATTTAGCGAACTGCTCGGCTGGAAGAAGCCGGTACCATTATTGGTGCTCCCATTTGCAAAGCCAAAAGAAGTCTAATTCGGAGTTTGGCCCGGATAGATCCTCAATTATGTACGAGAAGTATACTAGCCAGGCTAATCGAAGAAGATTAAATTTCCCGACGCGATGCATGCATAGTGTTTACGGAATACACACTGTTCAGGACAAAATGACGTAGCTCGGATTAAGACGCACGACATACAAGTCAACTGTTGACGGAGATACCATGCTGATTGAAATAAAATTTCAAGACTCTTTGACTCGAATCATAATCTTGCCCAAGGACTAGATATATGTACTTAGAATACCCCATGCCAAGCATGTGGGGAAGCACCCGACTCTATAGTATACACTAGTCAATTTGCAAATGCAAATATATTGGTCCTGATGCTTAGACATGCATATTACAGGGCGAGCAATAAATGCTTGATTGGAATTTGGAATTTAAAATACGTTGGCTCCAATAATTGTCTTCCAAGTACATGGAATTTCCTCAAGTTGAGTGTGTTTCATAACCCCCGTCATGCATGTTCAACAGAACCCTCGTATTTTCGAACTAAGCTACTTTGACGCTGAATCGAAAGAACAGGGTCTTCAATTTGGAGAACACGATTATTCGTTCTTCAAAATTAAGACTCCATTTCCCACCAGTCACAGAGATCACATCAAGTTTTGCAACCCCTCTATCTACCTCAAACACACAATGCACCTTGGCTTCCCCGCTCTAATTTCCTCAAACAACACGGAGCCACGGGTGTTACAGGCCATTCAACTGTGTCAGTTTAATTTGCCCATAATGTCGCGGCGCCGTGTCCGTTCTGTTTTGATGAGTTATATGGAGGTCTTTTATAAAACAGAGTCATGCCGGCGATTATAGACAGAAGCTAAATTAAGGCAGTAGATCGGCATAGACACGAAGTATGAAGGCACTCACAGTATTGTCTTTAGCTAGTCTAGCATCCGCTCAAGTAGCGCCGTACGGACAATGTGGAGGGAGTGGATATACAGGTTCAACTGTTTGTGAGACGGGGTGGGTTTGTCAATCTCAGAATGAGTGGTACAGTCAATGTGTTGCAGGTAGGTATTTCACCGCGAGAATGGTGGTGGTGACAGAAGAAGCCGAAGTAACCCCCTTGCAGGATCTTCCTCGTCTACTACACTATCTGCAACTACGACAAGCACCTCAACCCGCTCTTCGACCTCTTCAACCAAGACAACGACCTCTATAACTTCATCTTCGTCTTCATCCGCCATCGTGTCCTCCACTGACTTCCCCAGCGTCACGGGCCTAAATTTCACCATTGATGGAGAAACAAACTATTTTGCCGGGACCAACGCCTACTGGATCGGCTTCCTCACGGATGATGATGATGTCGATCTTGTGATGACACATCTCAACGAATCAGATCTCCGTATACTGAGGGTCTGGGGATTCAACGACGTTAACACTGTGCCCTCTTCAGGAACGGTATACTATCAACTTCTCACCGACGGCACGGCTACAATAAACACAGGCTCCGACGGGCTTGAGAGACTTGACTATGTTGTCTCATCGGCGGAGAAACATAATATCAAGCTGATCATTAATTTTGTGAACAATTGGTCAGACTACGGTGGTATGGCTGCGTATGTTACCGCCTATGGTGGTACTCAGACGGGTTGGTATACAGATGATGATATTCAAGCTGCCTATCGTAATTACATCTCGGCTGTTGTTTCACGTTATATTGACTCACCAGCAATATTGGCGTGGGAGCTAGCCAATGAGCCTCGTTGTCAAGGTTGTGATACATCTGTGATCTACGACTGGGTCAAATCCACCAGCGCCTATATCAAATCTTTGGATTCAAATCATCTCGTTTGCATTGGGGATGGTGAGATACTTCTGAAATCATAACTTGCAGCTGAAGAGACTGGATCACGCTAACTCTACACCGACAGAGGGATTTGGGCTAGATACCGATTCTGACGGAAGCTATCCATACACCATTGGTGAAGGCTTGAACTTCACCTTGAACCTGGGAATTGAAACTATTGACTTCGCCACATTTCACTTGTACCCTGACAGCTGTAAGTTTAATTATACGAATCATCATTAGCTTACGAATTTGTGCAATCGACTAACCTTTTACATCCAGGGGGCACTACGGATGCATGGGGAGATGGATGGATCACGGCACACGGAGCTGCATGTGCAGCTATTGGAAAGCCATGTATTCTAGAAGAATACGGTGTCACCTCTAACCACTGCAGTGTGGAGGCACCATGGCAAAGCACAGCCCTCGACACCAAAGGTGTGACTGCGGATATGTTTTGGCAGTACGGTGACACCTTGAGTACTGGCGAGACATCGGATGATGGGAACACTATATACTATGGCTCTTCTGATTTTACGTGTCTCGTGACAGATCATGTCGCTGCCATATGATCTGAATACTGGGCTCTATATCCGCAGTTACTTACTCTGGCGAATGTTCCTCGTGTTCAAGTTATCAAAACACAACGATATTCTCAGGATTTATTCATATGGTGATACAGGATCGCAACACTGTAAACCCATCTATGTGTGGCTTGGATAGTTACCTATATCGTTTCAAAGTTCTTTTTATTATCAAAAGATGTCCTGCTTGCTTTCAAAATTTCCCTCTATCCTTAGTCTCTGAATACCATTTAAAATCATCTTTCGAATAGGTCAAAATGATATCGCACTACGCAGAGCCACAAGTAAACAAGGTGAAGTTCATGTTTATAATTTCGAGCGTCCCTTTTCCCTGGCAATCACTGCTCCCTTATTTATACCCGTTCGCTGCTCGTGTTGACGTAAAACCCGACGAATTATTTTCCCGCTGGCGCTCTTTGGAACTTCTTCGATCAACTCGACTTCCTTTATCCATTTGAACCGAGCTTTGTTATCCTGAACGTATTGGATCAGGTTATGCAGCAATGAAAGGACAGTCTCCGAGTCACTATTATGCAGAATGTCGGGCTTCAAGACAACATACGCCTTTGGACGCTGACCTGCGTAGTCATCTGGTATACTACCAACGGCCACATCCTCAATGATTGGATGTCCTAGGAGCAGGTCTTCCAGCTCGGCCGGAGCGACTGCAATGCCCTTGACCTTGATCATTTCTTTAATCCGATCTGTTATGGTAATAAAACCTTCGCGATCAATGTAACCCACGTCTCCGGTATGCAACCAACCGTCAAGGTCAAAGGTCTCACTTGTTGCTTTGTCGTTGTCCAAATACCCCATGACTATTTGGGGACCTCGTGCAAGGATTTCGCCGGGCTCATTGTATCCAAGCTCACGTTCCGTGTCAGGATCCACGATCTTAACTTCAGTATTAGCAACAATAGCTCCAACCCGGTGGGCATAATCGTAAGTAGATTTTTCCACGGGATGGGCGGTGATACAGCTACATGACTCTGTCATGCCGTATCCTTGCTTAAATCCGGTCTGTGGGAAGCGACGTTGGAGTTCTTGAAGGACCTCTGCCGAAAGTGGAGCAGCACCGGAGGAGAATCTGCGGACATGCGACAGATCGTAATTCTTGACAATTGGGTCACGAAGAAGGCGAATAATTATTGGTGGAACAAGAAGTAGCTCAGAAATCTGGTACTCGACGACTGCATCAAGCATCGTCGCCATAGTAAATGCCGGGAGCATGTACACATCAGCATTTCGAAGAACAGGCAAATGCATTTGATGGACAAGTCCCGTTACTGGATTATATTTGATCAGGATAGCTCTTGCTAGTTCAAGGTGAAGCTGACTTACTATGAAACAGCGGTAAAACGGCCAAGACCTTTTTGTGTTCTTCAGGAGTGAGTTGGGTGACCTGTAGACATTGCGCAATCACATTATGATGGGATATCATGACCTGAATCTTCTATTAGTACAGAGATAGTTTAGATGGGAAGATTGAAAGATTCTAACAGCTTTAGGAAGGCCTGTTGTCCCACTGCTGAAACTTAGAAACCCACAGAGCTGTTTATTGCTCCGGCCACTTTCTAACTTGAAAGATGAAACCTGACCATCGGGTCCGAATTTTCGGCCAAATGTGACAAGATCTTGGATTGTATGAAATCCATCTTGGCGCCCACCCAAAAGGATGATGCGCTCTGGTGGAATTCCCGCTTTCTTTGCAGCTGGTATGGCAACTGGAAGGGCGGAAATAGCTGTCATAAGAACTTTTGCCTTGGACTTCTCTAATGCGTACGTCATCTCTTCAACATTGTAGGCCGGCGATGCGCCTGAAATTATGCCTCCTGATAGGGCACCGTCGACGCGTCAGATACTTCTATTAATTTTTGAAGACATACGTATTTCAGATTGAAAGACGTCACGAGGAGCTTATTTCATACCGAAACGGTTTGTTGCAAACATTGCGATCGGATACCAAACAGTGTTTGGACTGAAGAGCGCTACGGTGTCACCAGCAACGAGGCCAAGGTTCCGAGTCAATGCAGTAGAAATGAATGTCGCATACTCTTTGACTTGGCCATAGTCAATACGTTCCTTTGTTGCCGCATTTGTGAAGCCTGCGAGGCCCGAGGAAGTCTTCTCGGGTAAAGAAGAAAATGGGGCCTCAAAAAGCCAATCCCATGTCGTGAGGTGCTCAGGTACTGGCAGAAGTTAAAGATTGGTCAAGATGCACATCATCAGATTACGGATACTTACCTGTAATTTTCGATTGAGTGGATGTAAAGATCATTTTGAGACAAATCGAATGGTATTTTCAAGCTTGTGTGCCAAGGACGACTGTTGGTGAATTTGGAAAGTGAACGGAGCGTGAGGCTTGCTGAAAGGTTAGTAAATACATGTAATTTGATGAGGACTTCCTCCTATTTAAAAAATCAAAAAGCGGGGATTTATGAAGGCCCACACCCCGGCATCGAACTGCCAGGCATAAATCCAAGTGGAGGAAAATGAACCTCGGTTTAACACACTTGAAATCCATAATGTTTCTACAGGAGAGCCATAACCACACTTCCCTGCTGCGTACTAATCTGCAGGTTTGACCATTGTTACTTAACCACATCATCGTACACCATAGATCAAATTGTAGCCCCCGCGAAGAATCATCTCAATATTTGAGAATAAAATACGGAGTTCTTTTACCAATGCTCATTGTCCTGATATTCGGCTATTCGGCTTTGAAGTCGAAATGCGGGGATTGCGGGGGAATTTGAACCAATGTATACATATAGCATATCTTCCAATGATTCAATATTATTGGACTTTGATTTTTGTTAGTAAAAAATTAAGAGTAGTAGTAGTAGTAGTAGTAGTAGTAGGGCTTTTTTGCGTTTGTTATGACTTTTGCATCTGAACAAATTCTTTGATAAGACTTGGCTTCCAATCTGAGACAGGTACTACGCTAGTTTCAGCTTATTCATATGGCCCAATTGAGATGCTGGACCTTTCCAATGTGACCTGCTGTACGTGTACAGTGAGAAAAGTCTTAACAGCGTCTTGTTTATCCAACTGCACACGTCTATAAATCTGAACAACACATAATATTCGATTTTGACAATTGTATATAGTATTGAGGGGCGTTTCCCCAGCCCCATTTGAACTGGGCCATTTCCAATGTTGCATACAGCAGATAGCCATTGCCATTGCCATTTGATTTTACTTTGTTTTATTTGAGAGTGGGGTTGCGAGTTTAGGAAGGAAAGCCTTCAGTATGTGGTGATCAATATGCGTAGATGAAGAAGAAGAAAGCTACATGGATATGTCTAGGCTATGAGTAGAAAGAGACGAGTAATGACTTAAACTCGTGAGTATGGGGCCTTAGGCCACCACGAGTCGACGATGGAAAATCACAACTGGGTCCACTTACTTAGGTTTTGTCTTCTCAGGAAAAGTGTTTTTGATATATGTACGGAGTACCTCTTGAAAAGAAATGCAGAATAACCTTGGAAATGTTGGTATGCAAATAAGGCGTAACTCTGGTTTGAAAGGACCAGACTGCCCCATCAAGCACTTAGGGGGGGGGCTGCAAATGACCCAGCTTTGTCCTAGCCACCTCGAGGATCATTTGCGTGACTCGAATAACTTACCTTGGATAGCCATTTCCAGCTTGTCCAAGTGTCCACCATAGAGCTGAATTCCCAATCAAAAGCGGGCAGCCGATGGCACATAACCTTACGTAATTCACCGAATATCGGAACTATCGGAGTTATCGGAGCTATCGGGTTGCGATCTCGTGATCTCCGATTGTTTCAGTTGAATGCCACCAGACAATTGGAAGTGACCTCTAAGAGCCAAGAAAACACTCTATTCCCACCCCAAAAGAAGTGAAAAAAGGATGAACCCGTCGATGAAGGCGATCCGAAAACGCCGGCGACCAGCTCACTCGTGTTTTGAATGCCGACGCCGTAAAGTCCGATGCGACCGAAACAAACCTTGCGCGCAGTGCAGTGCCCATCAAGTCGCGTCATGCGTGTACACGCAAGGAGAGAATATTTCTTCAACACTCAGCGATCTACCGCCAAATCAAGTTGTTGAGTCAGAAATCGAAAGCGAACGACCATCAGATAATCCAGATGCTGGGGACTTCTCATCACACAGTTCATTCCCAGCTCCGGCTAGCCTAATACATGGTACGCTATCGAAGACGAGAATTTATGGCCACAGTCACTGGATGAATATGGTTGCGATGGTAGGACTTTTCTTCGAAACGACTGAGTATTGGACATTAATGTGAGGTCTTGATAACAGACTTCGGAATCCTCAATTTTGGGCCCAATGACTAAATACAAAAATGGTGTTTTCCAGCAATCGGATAACGAAGGGAATGACTCAATCTCCCAATTAATGGCCCAATGCAAGGAAATCGCTCGCGATATTAAAAAAGAACGGCCATGTCGGCGGCATCTCCCAGCAGCATTGTTCCAGACATTCCCCGCTCGAGATGTCATTGATCAACTTGTACGGCTTTACTTCGCCACAACTGAGAGTTGCTACCGAATTATTGATTTCTCCACATTTATCACTGAATATGACACATCGATGACTAACTTAGAGAACGCCAGAAGCTCGTTCCTTGTTGAGTTACTGCTTGTCTTGTGTGTCACGGGTCCAATGCACAGCGATGAAAGCGTTCGCAAGGAGTTGGCCGCAAAAAGTGCCACATGGCTTCACATTTCCCAAACTTGGCTGTCCGCACCAATAGAAAAAGACCGTTTGACAATCAAGGGCATTCAGATACATTGTCTTCTGCTCCTTGCCCGACAAGTTAACAGGCTGGGTGCAGATATAGTGTGGATATCAGCAGGCTCACTTATTAGAATGGGCATGCAGATGGGACTACATCAAGACCCAGACCGCCTGGGAGATGTGCCAACAAATGAAAAAGAGATTCGCAGGCGACTTTGGTATACTATTTTGGAAATGAATGTCCAGGCTGCCCTAGACTCGGGAATGGTCCCCATGATCACACCGCAGGACTACAACACAAAGCCGCCGGCTGACGAAAGCATGGGTAATTCTGAAAGTTTGAGAACTGGAGAGAATGACGAATTAAGCTCTACATATGAACAGCCGTTATCATTTCAGCCTTTATTGGCCGAATCTCTCCCACTTAGAATACATGCTACCAAAATCATAAGCAGCCTCCAGGAAGAGCCTGAATATGGCCAAGTTCTAAATTTAGGAAGCGACCTCTCAAATGCATGTCAGAAAGCTGCTTTGAACGTTCAACGTCAAATAGGTCGCTCTCGGAGTCCCCAAAATCAATTTGCTCAGAGCTTTTGCAGTCACCTCCTCAGTCGCTTTCTTTTGTGTTTGCATTTCCCCTACGCCGTCAAAGCCCCGGCGCATCAAGTTTTTGCTCACTCACAGAGGGTCTGCCTGGAAATCGCTTTGGAGTTGGTTTCTCTGCTGGATGACAATCTTTACAGCCGATTGTTGACCAATGGAGGTGGCATGTTCCGTGATCTCATCACGCGGGGCGCGTTGATGTTATATTTGGAACTAAATTCGCGTCTCGCCAATAACATTTCAAGCCTTGCCATCCGTCGGCATCGTGCAAATCAAGATCTACTAATCCAGGATGCGCACCGAATAGTCCAGTACGCGAAGAACAGAATGTCTCATGGTGAAACAAACGTGAAAGGCTATGTTTTCCTCTCTATAGCCACTGCTCAAGCCGAGGCTTTGCTGAATGGGCTCTCTGCAGATGATGCCTCGAAAGGCGCCGCTGAGAAAAGCTTAATCGAGTGCCATGCTATCCTCACGGAGCTGGCAGCCTCCAAATCTTCTAGCAACATAGACCCGGATCTGGAAATTTGGATGCATAACTATTCCCGTACCCCGCCAGACGGACTAGGGACTGAATTTGACATTCTGAATGACGATTTGTTTAATTTTGACTTTATGAACTCGGCCACTGTACCAAGCGGGACAAATTTCGCTTAGCTCCATGATTTCAATCGAAATAATTGATTTCTAGATGTCCATGAGTTTAGCTGAACAAAATCGATTGGAGCAAATAGCCATCGAACATACTCGGATCAGATTTCCAGTATATAATTGAAAATTTTATACAGAATAATTCACTGTAACGCGGACTAAGAATGAATTTGCCTCTCTTTCGAACCCCGATTACCATTATGTATTCTATCATGAAGACTCAGTCGTTAAAATTGCGATATTTCCATGGCATCAACCGTAGCTATTTGGATTTGGTTGAATGAATTTGGCACATGCGCCCGGAACTTGACACATTCCATAAATCACTGCCCACGCCCTTTAAGACATAAAAGAAGGATTCTGGATCCCATTTACGTTTCACCGAGAGTAGGGGTGAGTAGTTGCTGCCAAAGAAGGTGTTTTTCCATCTGGGCTGGCGGAAGTTGGCCTCATTCTGATAACAACCACCCCCTGGTGTCAGAGCTTCCAGCTGTGGAACATAGTCATTGGTGATTTTGTACTGATCAGCAATCATTTTTGACCACGGCGCAGTTTCATTCCATGTGGTACCTATTTGCATGGTGATAGCGGCTCTCCGCAGAGCTGGAAAAACAGCATTGGAGGTATTTTCTGGATGAGAGACATCCATTCCAACACCAACCACAATGACACCTTCATCTATTAAGCCACGAAGAGTCATGGCTAGCCCCGTGGAGTTGTTTTGAAGGACCTGTCGCGGGATTAAACGCCCGCCATATTGGTAGGACGACACGGCGAGATTGCCGTAAGGTAGAGGCCCCATATATTTATTGTAATGATCATAATATGAGTCGAATTGCGTGTACCCGACCTTCGAAGTTATGTTCAAGTCGTCAAGAACCAACAAGAATGGCTGAAGAATGGATTTGATATCTTTGGACGTTTTGTTATAGCCCGTGACCGGACTAATTGCAAAGACACCCGACGCCATCTGGTAGATAACAGTCACGCCATTATCAATCATGCGCGGAAGTAGACGGTGGAAAGCTGAGACTGCTTTGACGAATTTATCCGAGCTTGTGCCGGTCGTGGAAAATTGAAGGGCGGCACCACCGATGATTGTGTCGGGATGCGCTTTGACTGTCATGGATATAACGACGCCGTAGTTGCCAGCACCCCCACCACTAAGTGCCCAAAATAAATCAGCATTCTGTGAGTGAGATGCAACAACTAGTTTCCCAGATGCAGTGACGACTTCAAACTCCAATGTTTGATCTGCGGCGAGGCCAAAGGCCGTGCTGAGAGCCGAGTGGCCGCCGCCCTGGGTATATCCACCCACTAGCCCGACCGTAGGACATTCTCCGGTGACTACCACGAGACCTCGAGAGGAAGCTGCCTCAAGAATTTGATACCCGAGTACACCGGCCCCGACTTTGAATGCAGGCCCATTGTATGTGGGGTTCGACCACTTCCGATATTCGATCTTGTTCAGGTGGTGCATCCACGCAGAGAGCGCGCCAGCACCGGTGGACCGGCCGAGATAACTGTACTTGGTCAGACCTTTCTCGACAGATATCAACTATACTGTTTCCGAGAGACTTACTCATGGCCGGTATTGCGAATAACGAATCGGATGTTCTTTTCGCTGGCAAATCGAATAGCGGAAATGACATCGTCACTGGACGAGACATTGACCGCGTAATTGGCATAATTCCCAAGCAGACAAGGCTTGCTTGTGGGGGTGAAGGGGTCGCAGCTTTGATTGGCAAAGTACGTTTGCATCACAGATGAGGAGGACTCAAGGCTGGTGAAATAGTTAGCATATGTCGGATGAATTGGATCTCACGCGTTAAAGAGAGATGGATTGGGACATTGGGATCTCGTACTGGGTTTCTGGTAGTGTCCAATTGGTTTGAAGCGCGGCGCATGCAGCGGCATCATAGGTAGGATTATGGCAAGGCGTTCCAATGGGCAAAGTTGCGATTAGGCGACCGCCAACTGTCTGATTGAGCGCCGACCAATCTGAAAACGAGGGCCAGCAACTGTCTCCAGGAAAGCAGCGACATTGTGACTCAGAAGCCAGCGTTGTGCAAGCAAGAGCCACGGCGCTTGCCAACCATGTCTTCATGGTGCGGGGTTGAGAAGAAGAGGAATGGCCGTGGAGAAAGATCGCAGATCATCGAATTCTAATTAATGACAGGGGGAAGGGAGAAGCTTCTTGGTTTCCAAGCCTGAGATTGTCGTATAGTAACCGCGGTGGCCTAGTTAAATCTGCTTCAGGTGGCTAGGTATATCGCTGCACCAGTAGTAGTGACGGATGGGACGGATGAGCGCCAAAGGACAGGGGGAGACATGAATAGTCGAGAATGATGAATTTTAGTGGATCGGCCATGGGAAGAATCTGAAGATGATCTGCAGATGATCTGCAGGTTACAAAGTGCAGTACCCTGGCTAGCCTGAACCGAGCGCCCAAATTTGGGCTCCGCAGCAATCGGCGTGTTAACCGGTCAATTCGACAGGTATCGGCACATGCATTCCAACCAGAGCCGAGGACTAATCTCATGTCAAGCGCCAGCCACTCCAATAATCACAATCAGTACGCTGGGATTAACCTTTCGCCACTGTAGTTTGGGTTGAGCATCATTTCAAGCGTTAGCGCAAGATCATCTGGAATACACATTGAGATAACCAAGGATCTGGTTGATCGGGGTTCTTATCGGCAGAGTGTCGAAAGATCTCATTCGCTCTCGGCTTCATGATGGATCCACAATTTATTCAATCACACTCGAGTCCGAACCCTGATGACGCTCCATCATTTTGGTTGGATGTGACGGACCCCGTAGCCCACAAAATCGGCTGTTGTATCCGGGGAAGCCAATGCAGATCATAGAATTAAGGGAATCTATGAACCCATGGATTCAGATTTTGAGCAGAACTCTGCCTGTCGGAACCTGACAAGTCCCGATTTTGAGAATATGTTAGTTAGGGATGGAGGTTTTAATGGCGAAGAGCGCAGGGAACATGACAGAATTGAAGAGGAGCAGAGGGAAATATTTTGATTAAAAGGTTCCACACAATCCGCACATATATACCTCGAGGACTTTCAGCTTGAAATCACACTCAAATTACTCACCAGAATATGCACAATAACTAAGTGCATCTAAGACGACCATCGCTCAAAGAAAAGGCTTACAATGTCACAATCCGCCGATCGCGGGCCATCCCTTGAGGGTGGCATCTGGGCTGCCGTCATCATCGCTGCGCTTATAGTGATCTTAAGAGTGTTCGCCAAATTTAAGATCAAAAGGTTCAGCATTGATGATGTGCTCATGATCTTTGCCGAGGTTTGAAATGTCTCTGCCCTCAAGATCTCTCATGGATGCTAACAAGCTACTGTCTTGTCTAAGGTCCTCGCAATCGTGTCAACCGTTTTCTTAACACTCTCCGTCAAACATGGCTTTGGAAAGAAGCTGGGCGCACCCTTTACACAAGATACTTCTCTGGTCCTCAAGTATATTGCCATTCAAATACCGATAGTTACGCTAAGCACTACGGTCGCCCGCTCCGCCTTTATAATATATCTGCTCGGCGTTTTGGGCACGAATAGAGCGTACAAGATTGCGTTATGGATGGTATTGGCTATTCAGCTAGCAGGAAATATTGTTTCCGCCGTGCTACCGTTAAGCATCTGTCGAAATGTCAATATCCTATGGGATCCGACCGTCAAAACTTCATGTGGAGATGATGCCGCTATCATCAAGTTTGCATATTTCTCTAACAGTACGTTTGGTCGAGTCTGAATAGGCTATTGAATCTTTACTAATGACTGTTTACAGCTTTCAACTCTGCAACTGACTTGTTCCTGGCTATATTTCCTACTGTGGTCTTTTGGAACCTCAAACTCAAACTGCGCATCAAAATTAGTCTAATCGTTCTCCTGAGCCTAGGTGTTATGTGAGTCACGCTGCGAACCGATTGAAAACCAGAAACTAACAAAAACAGTGCTATGATCGCCTCTATCATCAAGACCACAAAGCTCGACCAGGTTCCCAGTATTACAAATTTGGGAGCTACGGGGGCGATTGAATTGATTCGCTGGGGATACGTGGAGAACGCCATTATAATCATAACATCCTCGATCCCTTGTATTCGACCACTGATAATTTCATCAGTGCGAAAGATTTCAAGTGGTGGCTTCTCTGGCTCGTATGAACTGAGTGGTCCATCTAGCCGTCGCCACATACACCCAAATAAATTTGGCCAGTCTCAAGAGATCGAGAGAGTGGAAAAGAGTGATAGCGCAAATAATGATAGTGTTGAGCGAATTCTCGCACAGAGCACTCACACAAGCACTACAGTTGGTCGACCGGATTCTCCAACCGATACACACAATGACGAGGCTGGAAATTCAGGCATAACGAAACAGGTTGATATATCTGTTGTATCTGGCCAATTCAATTCCCGTGATTCGGGAAGCCTAGTTTAGTTTTGTGTGTCGTTTTGAATACTAGATCCCATAGAAATGAATACTATGAATTTCTCTCAACAGTCAAGATATCAGAAATTGACCGTTGCACCATTGATCTAGATCTATTTGCATCCAAAGTAGTAGTATATACCTCAATGTCGACTGAGAGTCAATCAAAATCATACTCATAGTATACTATGTATGCGATACTGAGAGTAATAAACTGGCCTCGCTGGTCTCAGAGGGATTTTTCATATTAACCAAAAGGGAAATACTAGAATGAAAGTCCAATACTTAACATCAAGAAGACTAAAATAAAATAAAATATTCTGCAAAGATGTGTGTGTGAATTGGGGAAATATATCGCAGGTACTAGAAGACAGATGTTGAGAATCAAATTAGTTCATTCCTCCTCGATCCGCTTTTCCTGGCGCCACACCCCGCAGAGTAATAGGAGGAATGGAATTGTTCCCAGAAGAATAAATGCGACAAGTGTGAATGCCCATCCACGTCCCATGGCACTCAACATAGGATCAATAGCAGCGGAAGCGCCTGCAGAAAAAAAAGATCGCACCATATTATTCGCCGCTGTGGCAGCAGCAGGATGACTGGTGTGCAGATCGACCAAAAGCGTAGACGTGGAAATAAAACCACCTGTCTGCCCTACGCCGATGAAAAAGAGCAAAACTTCTGGGGCTGCAAGAGGTGCACCGTATCTGAGAACCCAGCCAAAAGCGAGTACAGTCACACTTCCAATTGCCACCAAGGGAATTGTTATCATACTGCGAGCCTTTTCCACGGAGACAGAAGTAACCTCTCTCTGTTGCTCCCCAGAGGATTTTGTTGCAGCCATACGCTTATAATTCCAGTCTAATAAGCGTCCAGTAATAAATGATGCGACAATGGATCCAGTACCCAATGTGATATAGCAGAGTCCAATCTCCAGCTCATCAAGGCCATATTGTGCGCTGTAAACCTCAGTAATTGAGGAAAGAACAGTCATGTTACCGCCCATGATTACTCCTGTCACCACAAGAATGATGATGGAATTAGCATGAAATACAACGGCAAGAGGCTCCAGGGGGTTGGGGAAACGAAGTTTTCCTTTGGGTTCGGTCGCAAAGTCGTGATTTTCTTCGCAATTGATCGAAGACGAGGCTGTGGTATCAAAACCACAAGATAAATAGGAGACGAGGGGACGATTCCATTTTTGCGCAGGAATCGAACCGTCACCCACCACACTTCGTGCAGTTTCCGGTAAAAAGAGAATCAGAGGCAACAGGAAAGCACCTGATGCGATCGTCAAAAACCAAAATATAGACCTCCATCCCAAGTACTGAGCTAATAGCCCACCGATAATGGGCCCAATCGCTGGCCCCATAAAGTTTCCAGCCATAACAATACCCATTGTTGAGCCTCGCTCTTCTTTCGTGCTCACATCGGCCACAGTGGCAGCGGACAATGCGACAGTGCTACTGATACCAGAAGCTTGCATGCATCGTAGAACAATCAATGCAGTGTAACTGTCTTGCAAAGCGAGTCCAATGTTGGAGGCAATATATAAAATAAAACAGATGATATAGGCCGGTCGGCGACCAGTATGATCCGCAAAGCTTCCAATGAACATGGGTGCGATACCTTGGAAAATCTGTTGGCCTCGTTAGTGAATTTGAATTATCAAAGTCCGTGGCATGCCTTTCAAAGAGTCCGCGACCGTGAGTGAACAGGGAAGATATTTACCATATAGCTTGTGACAGTCAAATTTATCAATGACGTCGAAACATCAAGATCCTTCGCTAGTGTGTTCAAGGCCGGGAAATAGATTTGCGCAGATAAAGACGAAAACAGGCCCGCCCCTGCAGCTGTCCCAACAATGTATCGTTTTTGAAATTTGCTGAAGGAGCTGTAAGACGGAGATGTTTTCTCCTCTTGCGACGTCTCAGAGTCCATTGCCACTAGAATTCCATGTGCTAGAGACTAAAGAAAAGAAAACAATATGTTGTATAATAACGGGGTGGCTTCACAAAGGTTTTGTGAGCTCATAGATTTGATGGAAAGTAAGTCTAAATGCAAGAATGTGTTCACGATCGAGTCAAACTTGGATTTTTGGGTTTCTCCCAGGTCAATTAGGCATTGAGACAAGGGAGTTTTGATATGGTAATCTGCATTCAAAGGTTTCCATTTAAGTGTTATGATGTGTCAATCTCACATTCGATGACAAAAAGAAACTAATGATAAATGGAGCTAATATTGGCCCCTGGAGTCTATTCAGGGTACTCCATGCCGGAAATCTTGCTGAAAGTACGTAGTACGCGTGTACGGGTTTTCACGAACAAGCTGCCCAAAGCTTATGATGATGTGATTTCACAAGAATATCCAATAATGATCGACAGGAAATCCCAAAATTGATCAATTTACATATGTCAAAGAAGCCGAGTGCATTGAATCTAGAGAATTACGTACATCGTGGCGGTGAAGTCGCCGCGTGCGCGTGTTTCGGCTTACTGGAGGAGAGCAAGTCCCCGGGCCGACGGAATACAGGGGTTCCAAAGATGTTTGTAGGGGGCGAGTGTGATCGCCGAGACCCATCTTGTTGACTTTTTGTGTGGGTACCAGTGCCTGGCCCCAGGGGTCCTGCAGGACCCTGAAGACCGTTTTAGACTCCTGCTTGGCAGACATGATACTCGTCATTGGCTGCCATGGTCTTCTTCGGCCCACTTCTTCAGCATTGATCTGCCATGATCTGCCCGGGAGCTATCGTTTCCGGCGACCACGGCCTATCAGCTGATTATCAGATGGGCATGTTTCGATCTATGTCATTGTTTGGTCCACCTTTCTTTTCGACGCGCAGATCATTGAAGCCTGCACTGGGTCTTGGTGGAGAAGCCTGTCCATCTAAGACCGCTTGATACTTTTACTGTACTCCCTACTCTGGACGGTTTCAATCGACTGGAAACATTCCTTGCATCATGTCGATCTCCCAAAATAACCAGCTCATTTATACATATCATAATGTAAGATCTAAAGTTGAATGTATATCTGTAGTAAGACCGGAGAGAGGCTACTCAAAATCCCACTGCAGCCGGAATAAGCCATAGTACTACTAGATCATTAAGGAAAGACTCTAACTGAAGCAGAATGTTGCAAACAGCATCATAAACCCACATCGACGGGAATTCGACATTTCAAGCATAACAAAAAAGACATCAGATTGTGCGGATCATTGAACTCAAGCTACGTACAACAGGAAGATCCTTTATTATTATGGAACTGATTACCATAGATCGAATGGTCTGGATTGAGCGGGTATTTCTAATTTCAGATTCTATTGAGTAATAAGCTCACACTATGTGGCCAATTACGTTCGCGAATGAAGACATGGACGCACAAGATCGTAGGAATATGCATGTCTGCCTCCGGGAAGCCAATTCTGGGATACGTAATTAATTGAGTTTCGATCCCAAACAACGAGAAAAGCACGCCATGGTTGTCGTGTACTCGAAATTATTGGAGGCCTGCAGGATGCGACAACTATGCCTGATTTTGAGCATTTTGAATGTTCCGCTATCACGACAGACGCTCGGGAAGAAGATGCAATAAGGCCCCACGCGCTCCGTACTTAATGTTGATCTACCGATGTTTACAGGGGAAATGCCACCAAAGAGGATCTTCACTTCATTTAGATCGTCCCTCGGCATATTCAGTAACCGTATAGAACTATAAAGGCCGCATATCGCTCAAGTCAGACGAAGACTAAGATAATTTTCGAGACACGAAAGATCCAACATAAAACATTGCCCACTCGCAATTCTAGCTCCCCCTTTGTCTATTACAAATCATATACCCATCATAATGGCAGCAAATACAGCCCAGTCAGTACAGTCAGTGACTGTCATTGGAGCTGGTCCCTGTGGTTGTGCCTTCGCAGCTGATCTTGCCAGCCGAGGAATGTCAGTCCTTCTTTACGGACATCCAGACCATAGAGGGGCTCTTCCGTTGATTGAACGCAATGACTGCTGGTTGAATTCAGATGGCGAAATCACTGGTAAATTTCAGATCAAGACCACGAGTGATATGTATCTGGCTATTCAGCACTCACCTTTCATCGTGATAACGGTGCCTTCTTATGGACAAGATACCATCGTGCGAGTTTTGAGCCAATTTGACCTTCGCCAACATACCATCATCATGAATGCCGGCAACTTTTTTTACCTCGCTGCTCGTCAAAATCTTAATGCCCATGCTATAATGGAGACGGATATCTCGCCGTATGCCGTTCGCATTACGGGGGATACGGTGTTTGTTAAGGGGACAAAGAAAAGTCTGGCAATTTGGATGGAGCCACCCACCAACCAAATCGAACGTTTAAGCCCACAGTCGGACATCATTCTCCGTCGCAACGTTGAGTCTCTATTCTCGCTTAAACTTGTCTGGTGTCAAAATCTCCTCCAGGTTGGCCTCAACAACATCAACCCAGTTGTTCATTGTCCAGCAGCTTTGATGAATACTGGATGGATTGAATCTACCTCGGGTGACTTTTACTTCTACGCCCAGGGTATGTCAAGCTCTGTCTCTAAAGTCAGTGAGAAGATCGATCAGGAGAGACTTGCAATCGCGCGAGCTTACGGTCTTGACCTGGTTGACATCAATACGTATATGAACAAAAACTACAGTCATGACCGCGAGTTTCGCGATTATCATGATTTTGCAGTCGGATCAGTTATACACAACAAAACAAAGAGCGCTCCGACCAACATGAGTCATCGATATCTCTTAGAAGATATCCTGTATGGCATGGTGCCGTGGTTCGAGCTTGGAATGAAATGTGGATTGACGTCGCCAACCATTAGGTCCCTTATCGAGATTGCCTCAGTCGTGAGTGGGTTTGACTACTTTGAACACGGAAGAAGCCTGAGCTCTGCTGGCCTAGGAGAATCCACGAAAGATGATGTCTTGGTGGCTCTTGGAGGGCCCATCGATAAGATCCCGTCCAATCCACTTCCTGTAGCCGACACACCACCCCAACGACACTTTCTATCGCATCCGGCAATGCCGAAAGCTCAGATTGTGGCATGAAAGGGTCGTTCATCATATCGCCGTAATGGCTCGTTCCTTTTGTTTTACCGTATTCTTTAATACAGAGAAGCATTGTTGTTTGCTGTTTTTGTGTTCTTTGGCTTCCGGAGTAATCTATAAAAAACTCGATTTCAATCTTAACACGAAACTATCTTAGTCACCTACTTCGATTGTTGATTGACCGTGCAGAATAAAATATACCAATCAATAGAAAACTTGAACTTACGGTTCCTGTTTATTAGACCGAAAAGAAATGCCGCTTTCTAGTTCGCAGAAGCACTTGTAATCCAAGATAACTACTAGCGACGGGTTGTTGGGCGCTGTTTCCTTCTACTAATCTCATGCTTTCAAGCTGGAAACTCTGGTCCTCTCACACCTATATCGTCTTTTCCATGCCACGCAGTGGAATGTCGTTATGCTGGGCTAGAAGAGAAGCTCTAATGCTCTGTTCTATGTTCATTTACCAAATTCTCAATATTACCCTTCTGCCTCATGGGCTTATGGACAAAGATAGATACTTTAAAATTGTCTGCTTGGGTGTTTTATTCGTGCTCAAGATCAGTCTGATCTAAGATAGAAGATGGACATTTAATCTAAAGCGAGGATTGGTTTGAACACGTGATACCCGTCTTTATAATGAACCCGTGTGAGGACACACCAAAGGAGGTAATATTGAGGGCTTCTCCCTTCATGCGTGGTACTGTAGAGGTAAGGTGATGTGGGCCAAGGGTGAAATCAATCGTCGATAAGTTGGAGTGATCCATGGCCTTCTACTTTGTCAAGCGCATCCGCAATGCGGGACCCGTCCCCTTCAAACAGCATCGCGTCATAAGTCGTTGCGCCAACGATACAGCCAAAAATAGGCGCGAACAATGGAACAAGAAAATAGTTCTTTGCTGCCGTAAACACTTCTGGGCCGTAAATGAAAGCCGAAAACAGCCTCGGGCCAAAATCTCTTGCTGGGTTGAGAGCCTAATGATATTAGCCTTCCTTCAAGACCTCGCAGACCTGTGAAACTTACATAGCCAGTTTGCCAACCTAACGCTGCTCCAATCATCAGCAGAAGCAAGAACACAGATAAATGCGGGGCGGGGAATCGAGATGCATTCCTCGGGTCTGAGATACTAAGCGAGCCGAACATGAGCACGGCCGACCCCAAAACCTCGGAAAATACAGCCTCCCAATTCGATCCGAGAAAGTCGGATGGGTAAGTGGAAAAAATGCCTGCAGAGTGATGTCCGCGCGGACTTAAGATGGATCCACCAGGAATTGTATATTCGGGATCCCAGGCATTAATAGCTGAGCGGTAGTTGACGTACACGATAGCTGCACCGACGAATCCGCCTAGGAACTGAGCAAGCAGTTTGATAGGAATTGATTTCCACTGCCTCACAGATGGCCGTACGAGCGCGATGCAGATGGTGACAGCCGGATTGATGGTTGGACTAGGGTCAGACAAATAACCTGAGAGGCAAACCGCTGAAGCCCATGCCAAGTTGATCGACAACCAGGTGCCGTATTGGTAGTCAGACAAGAGACATTGAGCCACGACACCATCTCCGATCACGATGAGTAGGGCCGTCCCAAGAAATTCAGCCAGGAAAGGTCTCAGTGTTTGTCGAGACATCATTATGGTTGTGAGGAGTTATCTACCCCTCAAAAATGCGAAGGTGGCAGTTTCAAGTTGTTTATTTAAATGAATCTGTGGGGCCTCATGCAGCCTGATGTCATGAATCGGACCTGCCTATTACGGTATACCGCCCCACACTACGGAGTCTCGTCTACAGTTCAGCCGTGCCGATCTCAAGCCGATCTTAAAGATCTTCAAATCACATCTTCTGACGTTATCAACGTGGCCATACCGAGTTTATCATCTGGTCAGTATCTGTGCATGATCAACCTTGCATCGGTGGTTCAATGATGAGGTGAATTTCTCACTAGTAAAGACGAACAGAGACTTTTCCTACGGTCGGCCATTCATGCATTCACTATATCTAAATAAAAGGTAAGATAACAGAGCTGGGGTACTCCCGAGGTCTTTGCCACGATTCAACTCATGCTCTGGTCTTGGTTTCGAGAATGTTTTGATTTCTGCAATACAGGGGTATTTACCCCCCCCCCCCCCCCAATCTGAATCAAATATGTGTTAATACGAGGCTCATAGATTGTGATTTGCATAATAAATGCTATCCATGTGAACTTACCTTGATACTTATGGTTTCAGCCTCATCGAAGTCTACTCCCATGGCCCAAATGCCAATATCCAGTTTCACAAGTGTTCCAAGTGGGATCTTTTCTTCGGTCTTGTGGGGATAGAAGGGGAACTGAGTTGGTGGATCGATTTCACGGTGCGAAGCACGCAGAATACCGAACGATCCTAGGTGCAGATTCAGACAAGCTTGATCCTTCTCTGAGATCTCATCGATGGACTTGATCGGTGTTGCATGAAAAGGGAAATTAAGATGCATCAGCTCTTTCCCATTCTTGTCAGTGGGCCTTCTACCTATGAATTTTGCGAATATCTGATCCAAAAACCAAAAGAATTGACCACAGAGCTTCATTTACTCCCCCACACTACAGCCGCACGCGGTCACGGGATCACGGGATCACGGGTAAAGAGCCGCCCCTGTCTCCATCCACCAAGCCTCTTCGGGCTGGCCCCGACAACGGGATTCGTGTGCAATTTAACATTTGCATTTTAACGCGTCGCCCCTGCAACCTAGGAAATCGCCAAGTCTCCCGACAAAGCCCCCTCCCACTTGCTTGATTTCCCACTGCATGGTGCCTTGACTGTCGAGTCGCACAACTGCCGCCCCAATTTTCGTCTCTGTTTATTGCCAAGTCCAACGCCCCTATCGTATCAAACCGCGCGCCCGGGAGGACAACTTTGCTCTCATCCTAGTGAGACAGCCGACCGCGCACCCTTCGGCCTAGACTGGTTAATTCCCTAGCCGACAAGCCCACGATGTCGCACAAGAAAAACGAAGATCTGGAAATGAGGAGGATGGCTGAGCCAGAGTCCGATGAGCGAGAAAACTTCCTTCCCAAGCCTGCATCCAATAATTGGGCTCACGGGGATGGTGGCTCGGATAGCATGTTCTCCCAACTTGAGAACAATCCTGGCGCCGCTGTTCTGGCCTATTGCTTTTCCTCGATTAGCATGACGGTCGTGAACAAGTATGTTGTGTCGGGCTCGTCTTGGAACTTGAACTTTCTTTATCTGGCCATTCAGGTATGCGCCGCAACAACCTTGGCACCCCAAGCAGGACATTCAGCTGATATCTAGTTTTTCAGGCCGTTATCTGCACTGCTGCAATTCTGGTCTTGAGACAGATGGGGATGATTCCCAACCTCGCCGCCTTGGAAAGCCGAAAAGCCAAAAAATGTATGTCTGCCACAATAAACGGACGCACGTTTCACCCTCAGCCCTGCTAACACCACAATCAGGGTTGCCTGTGTCGATTGCCTTCGTTGGCATGATATATACCAGCACCAAGTCCCTGCAATTCCTCTCCGTCCCGGTATACACTATCTTCAAAAATTTGACCATCATCGCGATCGCCTATGGTGAGGTTCTCTGGTTCGGTGGCAAGGTCACACCATTGCTCTTGTTGTCGTTTGGCTTGATGGTGCTCAGCTCCGTTGTTGCGGCGTGGGCTGATATCCAGTCTGCTCTTAATGGCGACGGGCACTCGGATGAGACTGCCGCTGCTATCTCAACTTTGAACGCTGGTTACGCGTGGATGGGCCTGAATGTCTTTTGTACTGCCTCGTACGTCCTGGGCACACGCAAGTTTATCACATCGCTGAATTTCAAAAACTGGGACAGTAAGTTCTTGATTGACTCCCAAACGCTGTACCTCAAACTAACCCTAACCTGATCAGCTATGTACTACAACAACCTGATCTCCCTTCCTATTATGATCGTCTGCTCTCTGGTGACCGAAGATTGGTCTTCGGCCAACTTGGCTCGGAACTTCCCTGTCGAGACGCGCAACAATCTCATGATTGGCATGCTCTATTCTGGCTTGGGCGCCATCTTTATCTCGTACTCGTCTGCATGGTGCATTCGCAAGACCTCGTCGACTACATACTCATTCGTCGGGTATCTGAACAAACTCCCACTCGCTATTAGCGGTATTGTTTTTTTCGGTGCCCCAGTCACGTTTGGTAGTGTGACAGCTATTCTCCTGGGATTCTTCAGCGGCCTTATCTATGGTTACGGTAAGTTGAAGCAAAAGGAGGAGCCCAAGCAGGTTCTCCCTACTTCTCAAACTCCCAGTCGACCATGATCAAGTCTTGGACTTAGGAGGATATATATAAACCCATAAGTGGCCATGTCTCAGGCCACCTCGAAGTGGTGAGATCAAGTCAATGTGTTGGAAGCAACACGTACTTCAGTGGGCCCTAACAAATCGATACCCAAATCCCCGCTGGCAACACAATATTTTACTATACATAGAATGATCCGCACACTGAACATATTTACGAGGGCCAGTGCAATATTGAAAAGCCAACCCAGATATATGCAGGTAAATCAATATAAAACCTGCACTTGCAGTTACTTCATCACTGAGGTCGCCTAAAAATTGACTTCTATGTGACGGAGAATGACGAATGATGGAACTGCGTGAAGATCCTGCAGTCATCATACACGATAACGCATAATCCCTCGAGGGTTTTCTAGATGTCTCAACGTTCGTAGTATCGAATAAATGATCCCCAGTTAATTCATTGACAATACTACCTGAACAGTGTAGGAAGTACTCCAAGTGAAACTTAGAAGGTATATATGCAGCTAGTCAATGTTGGCCGGCTTTACTAGTATTGATTTTAACTGCAGAACCGAGGGACTGACACGGGCTGGCATGAAAGATTTGGGGCCTGGGCTCTGAATATGACAGGATTTGGGGGCTAAACCTAGTCTAGCATGATCTACGAAGTACTAATATGGTGCTACCCAATGAGATCCGACCAAAAGAGTTGCATTCTGTATGGGCACTCGGAGGAGTTTAGGGAATTCGATCCGACCGCGAAAAAAATCATTGCTGTGGGTCATATCACATCGATCTTCAATGTCTAATCAATTGATATTCCTGTAGCTCCGCGATGTTCAAGGTTGCGCGCCGATCACGGTATCGTCCCGCCCATACTGCGCACCAAAAGGGAATCTACTGCGGAATCATACATGACTAGTCCAGCCGCACGGACGCGACGAGCGAACAGGATTCCGACGATTGTATGCAATCTCCGCTCACTGCATCGACTTAAAGGATTGTCTCGCACGGTCAGCTCTCTCTTCAGCCAGTACAAAATGCCACGCTCGGCAGTCTTTTCCTTCTTCAGTCTTTTTCGGGCTTGAAACGCACAAGAAGAGACCAAACAAGAAACCCCTGTCCGCCGTCAAGCTTGTCGCTTGTGGTGCTCACATATTTGATATTTGGCTGACTTCGCTTACTGCATTCCCTGCCGCTGTCGGTGTTTTTCTTCTCACCTTAGAGCTGTATTTTCTGACACAATTCGATCGCGTCGCACAAAATGGGGGTGACTTCAGGTTTGTATTTCCTTCGCGTCGGCTTCGAATCCTGACCCATTGTCACTGACCATCAGTAGAGCATAACAATATAGACCTGATGGGGGGTTCAAGCAGACCAAGTGATGACGATGGCCCTACCCCTCGGCCCAATCTCGACGAGGCTGCTCTCATTCGCAAAATTGATATACATGTAATGCCAATGCTGTTCGCCATCTACTTTGTCGCGTTCTTAGATCGGTATGTCGAATGTCGAATCTGCTATTTTCCCTCCTCCCCTTCCCATTCTTGATCGACCCACGGCCGAAGAGTTTCTTTCATCCCTAGATTTGATGCTAACGCCGCACCAGAGTCAACATCTCCAACGCGCTCACGATGAGCATGCCGGATGATCTGGACTTGTATGGCGACCGGGAAAATGTCGCTCTCCTGATTTTTTATATTCCCTACATCATTTTTGAAATCCCGTCTAACATTGTGATGAAGAAACTGAAGCCGCACATCTGGCTGTCAGGCTGTATCATTGCCTTTGGTATTGTCATGCTTGGTCAGGCGTTTGTGAAGAGCTACAGCGGTCTGATTGCAACTCGCTTTTTTCTCGGACTTGCGGAGTGTGGCATATTCCCGGGAAGCTTCTATTTGATCAGCTTTTGGTATAAACGTGCTGAAGCCCAGAAGCGCTTCACCATGTACTGGTCCTCGGTCATCTTTGCCGGTGCTTTTGGTGGCCTTCTTGCCTCTGCTATTGCCAAAATGGACGGCATGCGCGGTTTAGAGAACTGGAGATGGATATTCTTGCTGGAGGGTATTGCATCCATTCTGGTGGGAATTGCCGCCTTGTTCCTCTGTGCCGATTTCCCGCAGCAAGCCTCCTGGTTGTCGGAAGATGAAAAGGCCGCGGTGATAGCGAAAACCAGCAACTACGAGGATGATAACGCCTCAGTAACGAAATCCGATTTGTTCGAATGCTCTAAAAATCTTAAGATGTATCTGGGTGCGATCATGTATTTCTGTAAGTTGACTCGTGAATCGTGCAGTTTACATGCCACTAACGCGATGAAATAGGTATTGTGGTTCCAATCTACGCATTCTCATACTTTGCACCAACCATAATCAAGGCAATGGGATACGGAACTATCCAGACCCAATTACACAGTGTACCGCCATTTGCTGCTGCTATTGGACTTTGCATTATAACAGCCTATCTTTCTGACCGATGGGGCATCCGCTACCCATTTATTCTCCTGGGTGATCTACTGATAATTATCGGATTGGCCCTCATGCTAACGATGCACGGCACAGAACACTTTTCTGCCGAGTATCTTGGTGTTTGCTTCATCACTATGGGCGCATTCAGCTCCGGCGCCATTATTGTCTGCTGGGTTTTGATGAATATGCATGGGCACAAGGAACGGAGCATAGGATCCGGCTTCGTGATTGGTGTTGGCAATGCGGGTGGCATTGTTGCAGTTTTCTGCTTCACCAAGGATGACGCGCCATTATACAAGCGTGGATACTGGATCCTCATGGGAGTGACGCTTGCCGGTATAGTGATAACGATCTTATACGGCCTAGTGGTCGCTCGTGAGCGCCGTCGTCAACTTCGGGCTGAAGACAAAGCCGACAGTGAAAAGATCCTCTCCCTCTAAGCTTCACCATATACCGTGCTACCTGCGTTTCGTTTTTTTTTTGTCATTAGATCCATAGAACATCGTTGATCAGTATATTTCTAATACAAGCCTGACGCGCAGCTTTCACGGATTAGCTAATCTTAAATCTTGGCTTTGAATTCTTTCATAATAGATCCATTAGTTATAGTATTAATCTTATAGTATAGCTACATAGAGAGAGTAAACAGGGACTATGTTTGCATATTTATATATTTGTTCGGCTTGACCCACTCTCGGGTACAGACCAATTAACGGATTAGTCCGAGAATAGGAGATACCTATATATACACAGTGAAGAGGGTGTTTAGGCCTGTATTGGAAAACTAGTCAGAAAAACCCACAGCAAAACATCAATATCTTTCCCTGGTCAACGCGGGAAATCAGAATCGCAGAACGTGATCAAAAGAGTGTACGAAGTGTGTTATTCAGAACTAATCGTAACGCGATGCTATATAACCGGAAGGAACAAAAAGGGGATAATAACTCCACGACCGTAGGGGTTATTCTTAACAGGGCGGAGGCTTTCCCCACTACAATAGGTAAGAGACTTGCATTGCTCATCATCAACTCAGGAAGGGGAAAGGGTCAATTCGATAACGCATGAGCACAAACCCAGTAAACTCCACTTCCCCAAATGGTATAACTTCGACATGAACCGGCCTGACGAATGATCATACTTTGCTAAATCATACAGTGGAAAACTAAATAATGTGATTGGGTGGCCGGCCCGCTTACTTGACCGGCTCCCTTACTGGTTACGTTAGTTAACTAGTTAGTTAGTTGAAATGCGGGGTAGGCCAATTCCTCTAGGCCCCTGATCTGCTTTCCCTCAAACTCGAGGAGCCGATCAGAGAGTCAAGAATGCGTCACTCGCAAATATCGATATGAACAGACATCGATGGACAAAAGCTCAATTGTCTCGAGAACGACAGCTGGACCGGACCAAGCACGAAGTCGAGCGAGAGCAAGCCAAGTTCCAGATGGAATGCATGGCAAATAAGGTTGAAAACCTGCAGCAAACAGTAAACTTGTTATCAAATGACTTGCAGAACCCCAAGGAGCAGCTTACACCTCGTGTACGAGAAGCGAGAGTCAACATGGCTGTAACGCACGGAGTGAAACTCAACGAGGTAGGTTATCGGATATGTCTTTTTCAGTGTTTGGCTTTAGTTTATAGAAACGTCGGTATAGGCAAGCCAATGTGTACTTATCGTTGATTGTCGATGTGGCATCGAGCATCAATTTCGATCTGAGTGCCTCGAATATGCTACCTTCTTTATCTTGTCCGACGCGCACAGGTCGTTAGCTGGCAACTTGGTCCCTTGCAACCCTCGTCTACCTCGCTCTCCGTCATTCATTGGCATATTTCGCCCGTTACTTGTAAAAACCCAATATCCTCGATTCTGGGTTCTTTCATGCAGAAAGTACACCCCCGGATGTACGGACGCTTTTCGCCATGTACCTGATCATGTACCGCTTTTTGCGAGTAAGCGATCCTGATATTTTACTTTGAAATAGTACTGAAAACTTATGTCATCACCCAGTGACGCCTATACCCGGATACAGAAAGCTACGAGGACGTCCCTATATGGCTTTGCTTTACTAGATCCCAGGAAACGATCCCGCACCCTGTGTGTATCGACTTCCTTCATTGGCCCTCGCTGCGCGAGTATCTCGTTATCCATCAGAATCAAGATCCAAGACATTGTGTCAAACTGTACATGCACTCGATGCGATTCCAGTGGCCCGCAAATAAGGATTTTGTCACCTTGTCCCCGCACGGAGAGCTTGTGCGCAATTGCGAATTTGAGCGAGGGGTCTACTGCTATGATAGGTTGTAACTGAGTGAGGAATGGGCTTCCCAATTTCCTCATTTGACTGGTTTGATCAACGTGGAGAGACGCTGAAAGGGAAACGGGCCAGATTCCGCTTTGTTGTTTTGTATCACCAACATTAATATATTATTGTTTTTATCAGACAGAACAAAAAGGCCCGTCGTACTTGACCTTTTTCCTCGAGACAAGATTCAGTCAGTCAGTTGATTAGTTACTCTGCCTTACAAGCCAGATATCAACATGCTTATTTCCTGCAGGATAATGTCAGTCAGACATTCCCAACCGACAACAAAATCGGGAACATCATATACAAGAGATGCCCGACATATTAAGTTCCTATCACCGCATGCGGGGGTAGATTGACCTAGACTCCATTGGTACGGTCGCGACCGCTACCGCCTTCCATGTTAGACCACAGAGACGTCTTTCAACCCCAATCACATGATATTCCAATCCAGATATGAATAGCTCGTAAATAGTCCGTCTTGTACCTAACCAAGTGGTCAATACCAGAGAATTATAATACCAATATGGAATATACAAGAACCTAGAACTAGAACCCTAGACGACTGGAAGGTTCGATCAGTCTTTGAACTGGAAATCTGTCAACAATTTTCATTTGTATCTCGCAGTTGCCTTCACTGCAGAGAACCTGGCGCTTTCCTACATCCGTCCTCTGTCAAGTTGATAAACAAGGCTCGACAGTGACTCTTCTTTTCAGTAATCTCGCCACTGCTTATCTGCATGCCGCGATTTCGTATCGTATTAGGCTGGGGATTACTGGCTAACCCCTTATAATTCGTTGTACTTAGACTTCCTTTGGCGCAACGTCATTCACAATGACCAATAGACATTTCGGTAATGATGACTATTAACCTCCAATGGTCCACCTATAGGACGTGAACTTATGGTATGACCCCAGTCCCCCGTTACTTTGGTCAGGCACCTACCCTGTGTTCTCCTAGCCCTGCCTCGGCCTCGACTAGTACTAGGGGGCGGGTATTCTGATTATTTCTATGTTATGTGTTAGGTCTAGAGCCTGATTTTGACCGCAAAGCGAAAGAAAAATATTACTTCTACTGACCGACCCGATGACCTACATGTGAAGTTGGCCATTTATATCGCCGGAAAGCGATCATGGCCAAGTGTGTGGTGTCTGACCAAACCTGACGGTCCTCTCCACAACGAGTCCTAAGTCGTGCGGGGTAGAAATGCCCCAGGAATCAGGAATACAGCGCAGACAGGGGCTACCCCGTAGTGAACGAAATATTTTCGCCCCATTGATTATCCATACGGTTTGTCTGGGCATGCAACACTTCGAATTTACCCCAGAGAAATGACTGCTTCATCGGCATATACCTGTATACGAAAGGAACATGAACCAAGACTAGACACAATTCATTCCTGTTCCCTTTGACTGGCTACATTTCTCAAAAGGTGCAACAGTCAGCGTACAGAGAAGCTGCCTCGGTAGGATGAAGTGATCAGCATGCAAATATGCTGCCTCGGTAGGATGTGTTTATCATGCTCATCGTGATAGCCTCTTCGTATATCTACATAGGTTCCCATTCCGGTCTGCCGATACTCTACGGCCCAATACCTGGACCCTTCTAACTGTATGCCCATTATGGCCTCCGTCGCTCGCTCAATCGATCGCTTGGCCCTCATGGCATGCATGGCCTTGATGATTGCAATCTCCTGGGCTCGTCAGGCAAGAGATACTCGTGATATTCCACATGATCCAAGTACTGATCCTTTCTATTAGCCTCTAGTGGGTTACGTATCCGAGGTTTACGGAACAATCCTGTGCCAGCACAGCATCAGTGCATCAATACTGGGCCTAATCCCCGATCCCGTCGAAGCACACCAGCTGTTATATCGGACAACCGCTATCAATGGCACGCCCATTGCAACAGTGACCACGGGTTTTAAGCCTTTAGTGGGCACGAAGAGGGATCGATTCATCTCCTTTCAAACGGCCTATGATAGCTCTGCGGCCATCTGTAATCCTAGCTATAATTACCAGCTAGGCGCCGCGCGGACCGACCTGATCTCTTCTGCCGAGATGTTGATCATTCAAGCCTATATTTCGCTCTAATACATTGTCGCCTCGCCCGACTACGAGGGACCAGATGTGGCTTTCGGCCCGGGACGCCTTGAAGGCATGGGTGCTTTGGATGGCATGTACGCGGTATTAAATTTTAAAGACACTTTGGGTCTAACAAGCGACAACCCAATGGTCGTCGGAATCGGCGACTATGGCGGTGCCCTTGCCACAGGCTGGGCTGCCTCTTTGCAGCCGACGACCTATGCTCCAGAGCTGGAAATCAAAGGCTGGGTGCAGGGTGGCACCCCATCAAATCTCACAGGCTCACTGGTCTTCATCGATGGCACAAAATTCGCTAGTTTCTTGCCCACTGCCGTTGTTGGAATTTCCACCCCGAGCACTTACGGTGCTTCATTGGCCCCAGTCATCGATAGGGTTTTGACAGCGAAAGGCAGAAAGATCCTTGACTTCGCTGCATTTAACTGTGCCGTTGCAAACCTGCTGAATCTTGCCGATCAGTCGCTATTCGACACTAGTCTCCAAACCCTGGGCAGGGGTCTCCTCGACGAGCCCACCGTTAGTTACGTCATGGGCCAGAACACAATGGGCGTGAACCAAACGGAGACCCCCACGGTGCCCGTCTTTGTGTATCACGCTACCAAAGATGGGATCATCCCGTATAGCAACGCGTCGACCATGGTCGATTCGTGGTGTAACAATGGAGCCGATGTCAAATTCACCACTTTCGGCAACGGGGGTCATGCAACCACCAAGGTCATCGGCCTGCCGGATGTTGTCAAGTCCACCGAGGCTGCTTTTGCTGGGACCATTGAGAGCAGCTGTTCTGCCAATACCGAATTGAATAGCCTGCTCAACCCTATCGCTCTTGGAGTCGAGCTGGAGCCTATTCTTACGATGCTGCTCCAAGTCTTGGGTGAATTGGGCAAGGGATATTTCAATATCAAGCAGAATCTCAGCGTACTTCAGAAGAATGTTTCCCCATGAGCACTTGAGCACTTGAGCACTCCCTCCCTCCCCCATCATGATCCTTTTTAAACATGGCTTCTCCTTAGCCATCCTGTTCCTGCTCATAAACGCCCTCTTCGTGAGCGGTACCGGGGCAGAAGCCTTCCCTCAACACGAACGCTTTAATTCTGGCCTCTCTTGGCCTGATAAAAGATTTGCTAAGAGAGCCTCAGACTACTCCTACGACAGCTGCAAGACTAAGGGCAATACCCTTAAGTGCGCAACCGGGTGGACCAACACCATAGCCCAGGCCAAGTTCGGTCGCAGCGTTGTCGCGACAGCGCTGACCAGAACCCAACTTGAGAGCGACGGCTGGACGATCGATGCAAACCTGACCACCGACTTTGCCGACAGCTTCGTCAAATATGTCGGGCAGACAATGCTTAACGATCTCGGGATTTCCCCGTCCAACAATGCGGTTGTGAACTGGGAGCACAAGGTATATATCTTCCTTCATCTTTCAAATGTTTCCATTTTATCTTTCCTATCCAAAAATTACCCACAGAAATTAAACTTACTTATCAAATAACCAGGGCACGGGTGCCAAATACCAGTGCTGGTATAACACCGCCAACAACGCCATAATCGTCGTCCTCGCCTGGTCCCCCACCTACACGGCGGGAGATGGAGACACCATCCCAACCATCCGGCAGCTGTCAGACGTAATGTGGATTGAGTGGCCCGCACGCGCCTCCGACCCCAGCACTATCAATTGAATCTTCTAGATGAATGTGGTTAACTTGAACACGCGGGATATCATCAACGAAGCTATTGCCACCGATACGGCGGATGACGCACCCGCATCCGAGGTGGATTTCTGGGAGTTTTCAACGCGCACGGAGACGGGCCAGGCGCTTCTAGGGACGCGAAACGGGAACCCGCAGGCTTGGTTTCTGATTAATCATAAGACGACGCTGGGGTTGAAGACAATTTCAAAGGTACGGGTTTGGACGAACAAAGTCCAGTGCTATATTCCGGATCAGAATGAGGATGGGCCTTGTTATCATAGGTTGTTTTATGTGGCTGAAGTCTAGGGTTTTGTTGTTGGGGTACGGGTGGAGGGAAGGAGGACCAGAGCGGGGGAGTTCTATCTAGCTCTAGACATGTTTTCCGCTAGGTAGGAAGTAGGCTACAGGGACTAGATTTAGGGCCAATCTCTCTGGAACCCGACCGTGTCCCGAACTACGCTATGCTATTAGGTCAGCACTAGATTACTAGTTAGTTAGAGAGAATAATGACAAAAGAAAGCCATGGCCCGTGTTCCCCAATTTAGCTTTTTTACTTACTATACAACTTCCACCCTTCTACCAAGTCCGAGTCATGAATCGACTGCCACCAGAGATAAAATGTCTGATTACGAGATATGTACGTCAACCCTTCAAGTCTTTTTTTCAATGGTTTTTTATCTGACCGTATCTGCAGATACGTGATGAATGCATTGAGAATCTGCCTACACTCTCCCTGGTGAACAAAGAATGGAACGAAATTGTCAGACCGCTCTTGTATGAGCATATCATCATACATATACTCAAAGATGATGGGTCTCATAAGCTTCTCTGGCAGCCAGAAGGTGTGCTCTATCACATAAAGTGACTCAGTATCATCGTCCCATGGTATCCAATTAGTAACCGACCGCATGTAGTGCTTACAACGGAATCCGGGATACACTTCAAGCTAGGGACTTAGGAAATCAAAGCATTCCCAAACTTGGTGGTTATTCAACAAACCACACATACAGCACCAGGTTAATTGACCCCATTCACAAGATTCCTCAACTGCAGGATATTGATCTTCTTATATCAAACAGCGGCCCTGTCAAACTTCACGAGGCTATCAGAGAGTATCATCCAAGTTGTCGAGTATCTTTTTACTTGAGTCCTCAAATAGGGGATAGGTATGAAAATAGGAGCTATTCGGTTCTATCGGCACAGCTGCACACCGTATATATGACTCTTTTCGAGTATCCGGGACGCAGAAACTTCAGGGAACACCCAGATAGAGTTCTTGAAGATGTGGTTTTTCGTGCACCGCATGTCAAGAGACTCGCATTGTAGATCATGGCGGGTGGCAAAGCCGGCCCAAAAGAAGACTTCAACGAGACGGTGGTTATTGAGGGAAGGAATGAGATTGAACCACTGTGTGCAAATCTTGAACAGCTAGTGTGGCCACTGAATACCCCAATGCCGGCTGCGCAGTTCCTCAAGTGGAATCAGCTAGTAGATTACAGCTGCCTAAAGTCGTGGACCGTTGGCTGCATCGAAGACACCCAAGTACTACGCGCTATTGCCAATCTTCGTCCCTTTCAGCAGCTAAATAGACTCGCCCTCGCTCTCTTCCCTCCGCAAGACGATGAGCTATCCTTCTACACAGCAACAGAGGCAATGTTCGACTCCCTTCCCCCGCTCACATACATCTGCCTACTGGGCAACTACAAACCAACACTCCTCACTACAGCCCTCCACAAGCACAGCCCAACACTTCTAGAACTAAGGCTCAACGTCGGCTACCAAGACTGGAATCAGGCACTCCGCTGACTCCAAGCAAAAGGCCAGAGTGTAACAGGGCCGTTATGCTCCGTCGAGAAAATCCATTCCCTTGCGGCCCATTGCCCCTCCCTCCAGACTCTATGTATTGCCGTCCAACGCAATCGCGGCCTCGAAACACCTGTACACACCACACTTGCCCTCTTCTCAGCTTTAACAATTCTCGAGGTCTACTTGAATTGCCCGGCGCTTGTGGACCCCAACGAACCGAGCCCCTCTCCCCAGTCCCACCGCGCGACCTAACAGAATTCGAGAAGGCTCAGCCCCCGCCTCCTATCGATCTCGACGTGCCAATCTGGTACATCAGAGATACGATGATCAACTCCGCCATCGACGAAGATCTGGCTAGGACTATCTTCACACATATCCGCGCCCGCCAGGCTGGGGATCGGCGCCTTGCGAAGTTAGATATCCGTCCATTGTATAATGCACCTGCAGTGGCTGCAAGAAGCATATCAAAAGCGTCCGAGAGCAATATTTCCAAAGCGCTGGCTCCGCATTGGATAATTCAGACGGATTTTTTGGCCGGCATAAAGGCCGTAATCCATAAACAAAGTATGCAGAAGCAGGATCATCACCCTGTGGTGTATCAGCGGGGTGTGCAGTTGGAGGTCATTTTCAATTCTGTTTGGCCACTGGTGGAAGGGGAGAAGGAACAGTGTGAGAATAAGGATAATTGGCTGCAGAGGCGGCGTAGTTGGCCTTTGCAGTGAATCTGATGTAGGGATGTAGGGCTAGCCAATCACGGGACCTCACACTTTCGAGGCCCTGACATTTCGAATTGCATAGTCAAAACAGATCCGCATCTTAATTACGCATTATTTCGTCGACGTTGACTTGGAGGACATGACCTGGCTGAAACGGCCCCGTGCACTTGAACCAGCCTCAGGCAATGAACGTCATGTCTGTCGCGTCCGGGAAGACAAGGGTAGGTAAAGCTCTTGTATAGCTCGGCTGGCGTCTGCACATATTGTTTCTTGAACCATGACGAAGCCTTATTTAAATCAACCTTGTTTTTGTCTTCCCCTTACAAGGCGGTTAAATACTTCGTTATGCTACTGGTCATGAATAAGCAAAATTACAGGCGTCCGTGTGGTTCGATCAAGTCCAAATAAAACGCCATTTCAATCATCGGAAAGGTTCAATCATTTGGATCCCTCTTAGATCTTTTAATCTTTCTCGCTTCGTGTATACATTCTCACGACTATGTATCTGCGAGACCCATCCCTCCTCAAAGGAGTCGACCTCGCTAACTCAAAAAACAAAACATTTTAAGAACGAGGCTGTCTTTGAAGTCGTTAGTAAAAGAGAGTTTTCCATAGCCAGACCCAACCGAGCACCAATGCTCTGGAATTTCAACGCTCGGCCAAATTTCCGGTCGCCGTAAAATCTGTGGTTTGGAGTGGAGAAAACTAGGACGCTCATGAGAACGACGCGAATCTCATGGCATGAAAACATTATCTCCATAATTATTTACTGGGGGAGAGGACGACGATGATAATCGGCTTCCTCAATTTAGCCACGAGGGAGTTGATTACTTTCGAAGTCTTGAGATGCAACTGGCCTCGCAGTATGCTCCTCTAGCGGGACAGGATCATCTTATCTCCCGCGGTTACTATACAAATGTAAAGGTTATGATTGGTGGCGATCTGTACGAGAATGTACTTCCTCCTGTCAAATGACAATAAGATAAAGATTGACACGAAAATTGATCGGCTGGTCTGTAGAACCAATCGTAAGTCCTCGGTAAGTCGTCGTTTTCCCGAACGTGGAATCCTTCCTGAACTCAATATCCACGGGCAGTGAATGGTGGCGTTTGACCCAGAATGAGAAATTCGTACCTACCCCATTTGGCTCCATATACTTGAATGCGGGGATCAGGTGGCTGTTCGGCTATAGAAGACCTCATTACTCCGTAACCGGAGTAGCCGACTACTTGAAGGCGCGGGATTATCTGATATTTAAAAGTCCAATCCACACACTGAAAGAAAACTTTTTTCCAAGGTCTCATCTTAGATTGCGTTAAAAGTCATGGCACAACCTTCAACTGAGAAGCATGAAATGCTTGAAATCGAAAAGGTTCCCGAAATCAACGCTGGGATTCCTGTCGACCCTGATGAAGGTCTCAGTGATGAAGAAAAGAAACGTATTGTGAGTATTCGGCACCCACCCCCAGCATGATAGATTGAACCTAACCCGGGGGCTAATTGCCGTTGTAGGATGGCCGTCTCGTCTGGAAGCTGGATATACGACTTATTCCGTGGCTCTCGCTGTTGTTTCTAGCTGGATTCTTGGACCGGACTAACGTGGGAAATGCAAAAATCGAAGGTCTTCAGCAAGCACTACACATGACAGATGGTCAATACAATGCATCTTTGTCCATTTTCTTTATATCTTATGCCCTCTTTGAGCCGCTCACGAATGTTCTTCTGAAGCGAGTTGGCCCTCGAATTTTCATTCCCAGCATTATTATAGCCTGGGTTAGTCCCTTCTACGATCGTCGCAAAGGCTGGATGTCCCCACTGACAGTAGGTTAGGGAAGTATTATGACTCTCACGGGTTTAGTCCAGAATTTCTCTGGTCTCATGGCGGCACGCTGGTTTCTGGGTCTCGCTGAAGCTGGCCTCCCACCAGGCATTAGTTACTATCTATCGTGCTGGTACAAGCGTTCTGAATTCGGCATCAGAATGGCTATCTTTTTCTCGTCTGCTGCATTGGCCGGATCATTTGGTGGTCTACTTGCAGCCGCGATCTCTAAGATGGATGGGGTTGATGACAGACCTGGCTGGTCATGGATTTTCATCTTGGAAGGCCTTGCGACTGTAATTCTAGGACTGCTTTCATTCTGGGTGGTGGTCGACTTCCCGGACAAAGCAGTTTTTCTCTCAGAGGATGACAAGAATCGTGTACTTCGGCGATTGGCGTTAGACCAACAGTCCAGCGCAATGCACCAAGAATGGAGTGTAAAATTTCTCTGGGCAAGTCTCAAGGATTGGAAGACATATACAAGTGTTTTGATTTACATGGGAGCTGGTGGATCCTTATATGCTTTTGCTTTGTTTCTTCCTACCATCATCAAAGAAATGGTAAGAATATATCTCTTTCCTCGCAGCTTGGATGTTAACATCTGTTAGGGTTTCACAGCAACGACCGCGCAACTCCTAACTGTTGCTCCCAATGCCGTTGCATTTCCTACCACCGTGCTAGTAGGATACATCGGCGATCGCACCCATGCAAGAGGAATGCTGAACATCATGTCGTCATTAATAGGCATGACAGGATTCTGTATGCTGATTGCGGCAAAATCCGCCGCCATTCGCTATGCTGGTACTTTCCTTGGGGCAATGGCTATATTTCCGTGCGTCGCGAATAGCATAACCTGGGCAAGTAACAATGTGGAAGGTAAGTAAGAACTCACCGACATTTTCTTCCTCCCCTTATGACAATTTTGACCAGGTGCTTACAAACGCGGTATCACGCTCGGTATCATGATCGGTTGGGGTAACCTGAATGGCATTGTCGCGTCCAATATCTATCGGGCCCAAGATTCTCCCAACTTTTACCTGGGCCACGGCGTTGTGCTAGGGTATTTGACTGTTTGCTTATTCCTCGGTTCTGTTCTCCAGACGGTCCTTCTACGAATCGAAAATCGAAAACGTCGCAGTGGTGAACGTGATGTGTGGATTCATGGTCTCAATTCTGAACAGATCGAGCTATTGGGTGACAAGCAGCCAGGTTTCATCTACACCACATAGCTTTCAGTACTTCGTAAATACCTCTCGGGCTTCGGCTCGACAAGGTTGCTGTTACCCACTTGTGAGGAGCCAATTATCCACCTTTGTCGTAGGCATGTCGACATCTATTGCAATTCAATGGGTCTGACTTTTCTCCATTCCGGGTATATAAAAATCTCCGATATCTCTTATCAGCACTTGCTAGAAGCGTATAGACTAGGGCGAATGAGACCCAGCGGAGCCAATTTAGGATAAAAGGATTCATTGATTGAATAGAAACAAGCATGAGATGGAGGGCAGGTTGGAATACCCCCTGTATGTGCGTATACTCGGTGGTTAATACACCGAGGTTGCCGGTTGAACCAATTTACTATACAAAACACAAAGAACGTAAGTCGTTTGCCAGCTGTGGAAATAGACGCTCTAACAACCCCATTTCCTCAAATAATAACTGGCTCCGGAAAAATTACAATCTTCTACTCAATAAATGGTATCTGTCCAATGATTGAGGCAATAGACACCCTGGGTATACTTATTTAGTTACTATGCCAACAATAATCAGGAGTCTATTGCCTCTAATGAAGAATATTTTTCTACTGCTTAGAAGTGTTGTGACGGTTGCGCCAACGAAACCAAAAATGTAAATTCTAGTGACTGTTCTCAATAGCTTGTGGTATCCGGCCAGCACTCTCTTGTAGATCTTGACACAGCCCGCCTATGGGCCTAAGAAGGCTGCCCGTAGCCCGCCTAATTAAGCCCGTCGGGCGGGTAGGTAGAGACTAAGCCCGCCCAGTATACTTATACAGGGCCGCCCTGGGCCGCCTATTATAGCCTATTTAGTATATAAATTACTAATTTAAACGTACTAAGATATATAAATCGACTATTTTTTATTCTTTATTTATCTTTCTTTATTACTTAATTTTAATAATTCATTTACTATATAGCTAAAAGATAACTGTATTTATTACGGCATACATGCAGATTGATATTCCAAAGGAAAGATCAACGAATGACGCATGTTGATATTAGAACGGGTATATAACCTACTGAGGGTTCTAGTCCCGGACCCCTTATATAAAGTACACGAACTATAGTTAGTATAAAATATATAAATACTTGGAAGTAGTAGGCTTCCAAGGATTAGTTTCTGTATGACTTTTTATAAAAGAACTCGATCCAATATCACTACTCTTTATCTGTCTAACCCTTTGATGTCAACCTTAACAATATCTGCTTTGCCAAATTCCATAAAACAAAGGAGAAGCTACAAAATATATCAGCATCATGCTTGAACGCCCAGTGAGGCCTTGCGGGAATTTACACTTCGGCGTGAGATCAGGATCAAGCAACAGAAGAATTTCGTTTCCTACCTAAATGGCAGCTAATGGGTTGGACTGTATTCGTTTTGGGCTTGAATCCCATCACGGATGATGAGACCTTCACCAATTGATACTAGTAAGAATTAGCTGTCCATTAATGATCGACTTGGAGACGCACCATTTTTGAGCAGGGACTCAGCATAGAAGACCTCAGCCTTTTCTGGAATGTCTTCAACCGGTATTTGCCATCCAAGACAAAACTGAAAGGCTTTTGCAAATTTACAGAAATCTCCCTTCCTGACGTGAGACAAGTCCCTATGACATGCGTCATCTTTGACTATTTGGAAGTGTTTGTATAACTCATGTGAGGTGTTGAACCAATAGTAGCAATTTGGGACAGGACATATCACTGTACAATTAGTCCTAGTTACAGTCCGATAAAATTCATCCAATTCTACCAATGATGGAATGCAGTCATCAACTCGTATGGCGGGGGGCTTGATGACTAGAAACATCATATCTTTAGCAATTTTAGTGCTTTTCTGGATCCAAATTGCCTCTCCGCGCTCCATCTCGAGTTTTTCTACTGAGCGGCCATGGCTCAGAAGGATATAGACGGCACGTAAGAGATCGTGGGGTGTGTCGGTGTCCTTAGTCGCAGATATCACAGCATACTGGTAATTCGAATTGCGATCTACGAGGTTTCGGAGACAAGAGGTCAGTTCATTCATGTCGTCATCCGGATCAATCCGGTTAATTTCCGTGCGGGTGCTGGCAGCGGGAGATCTCAAGTGCCCCCGCAAGCGATCCTGTATCTGGTCTGTCACCTGGCAGATAGTTTCCGGGCTTGCTTGAAGTCTCAATCGCCATCCAAACTCAAATTTCCTGGAAAAGGCCGATGAAAACTGAGTCAGACTAGCGCTAACTCCGTGTCTCTCTGCTGTTTGAAGACCACGATGATCCCCGATGTGGTTGATGCGCTTGAAATGCCCTGTAAGACCGGTCTTTGATCGGTAGGCAGCGTAGCAGGCACGGCAAATTAATTCGCTGTTTTTTTGAACTATAGTGCGGTAGAGCCTTTCGGAGTCGCCCAGGTATTCGTTCTGCAATATCGCACCTGGCTTGATGGCTAAGAACATGCTACCTATTGTGACTTTGGCCTCGGTTTGAATCCAAATCGTCTGACCACGTTCGATCCAGACATTGTCCACATAGCACCCTTTATCACGGCTCAGGAGAACGAAAGCGGCGGGAGAAAGGCTTCGCGGCGTTGGCGTGTCAATTTTGGAGTAGATGAGAGTATATTGCGCAACCTTAAGACCGTATCATTAGCCATATATCCTAGCAAAGCTTGTTCGAGAGGCTCACTCCGTCGTACAAAAGACTTCGAAGGTCATGAGTAAGACTGGCCAAATTCTTATCAGAGCTAATCTGGATGATTCCTGCTCCATCAGTTGTGGCTGCGGACAATCGTTCCATTAGACGACCTTGTATTGGGTCGATCATCTCGCAGATTGTCTCTGGTCTGGCTTGGAGTTGTAATACCTGAAGGTGTACATATAGGGCCATCCTCTGCGTCGATGTTTCCGGCACGCCAAAAACTTTTTCGTCAAAGTCAATATCGCGATCGATTGCCCCGCCATCCCCACCATTTCCGCGCGACCGAGTGATAGAGGGTGACCGCCCTGGCCCCATACGGCAAGATTAGTCATCGGCACACTCAGCGTACTGGCGCCTCCAGGTCACAATCCCATCAGTTTTGTGGCCCCCAAAGGTGTCAGAATGTCCGTAGAGTCCGCCTATGTGACCAACTATTAGTTAGCTAGAAGAATTGTATAATTTTAGTCGCGCAGCCCCGCAGAAGTGAAACCAAACGAAGCCCTAACTATAGTCGGGCCCGGACCCGGGGGGGGGGGATCTCCGCGTTAAGAAGTCTTGGTAAGGGGGGGGTCTGAGTGGGTCTCTAGAATAAGTGGGTCTAAGATGGACCCCCCTCCCAAATATCTAATCTTTGAGACTTTATGATAGCTCTTTTTGGAAGTTTCATAATTAGCCTATAATCTATTATTATGAAAAAATATTCCAAGATATTCAATTTGAAAGGGTAGACCCTAGCTAGTTTGTGTTTATATATTACAGTATATATAGAAGGTCAACGTATTAAGGTTAACGTCAAAGGGTTAGGTAGATAAAGAGTAGTGATATTGGATTGAGTTCTTTATAAAAATTTATACAGAAACTAATCCTTGGAAGCCTACTACTTCTAAGTATTTATATATTTTATACTAACTATAGTTCGTGTACTTTATATAAGGGGTCCAGGACTAGAACCCTTAGTAAGTTATATTGAGATAAATTTACCTAATTCTCCCTGTATATTTCATATATTACGATCTATTACGTTCGTTTATATATAGCAATATCTATATCTATATCTATTGCTATCTATCTACAGTTATCTGATCGTACGTGATCAGATATATCTATTTGCTATATTTGTTTACCGGTGTATATATATTAACTATTGTTTCCCCTAACTTAATAATATATACCTATTCGTATCTAAAGATCTTATATAGTAGTATTACTTTAAAGATAGTATCTTTTATAGCCTATTAGGAGCTACTAGGGGCGTAATATAAACATCTATATAACCCTAGAAAAAATAATTTAAAAGGTAATGAGGTCTACTAAAAGGGTCTTAATATAGTAATAGTATATAAAAGCTTAATACTATATATATAGTTTTTATCTAAGGGAATTTAGAAGCTAAAGTTTATAGAATAAATATAAACTATTGTAATTAGATAGTTAAGGCTCTAAGTATAGGTAAGATATAGTAAATCCTATAGATCTATATATATTAGTACTTTATTTTTGAGCTATTATATTATATTATATCAACTATATTATTTTAGGATATCCTTCTAAACAAAACTAAAGACTAGTGGTTAAGAACTATAATATAGTTGTTTTTAAGGGAAGTAAAAAAGGGAATATAGTAAGAACTTAATATTTTTAGAAAAACTTTACTATAAAGAAAAGAAGAGTTAATATATTTAATTTTACTAAAGAAAAGGCTAGAATATATTAATTATAATCAATAATTATTATCTATATAAAGTTACTAACAACGGATTAGAAGATTACTAGTAAGCTTTATCTATAGATAAGTAAACTATATATATACTTTCTATCCTTCTATTAGTACTTATAGAGACTTATATAAATATATAAAGTATTAATAGTAATCTAGTAGCTATATCTAAAATTATTATCTAGACTATTATTATATTTAAATATAAATATATAGGGTAAGAAGTACTATAGGCTACTTAGTATAATATAATATCTAATATTATTTATATCTAGTTAAGTATATTAGTTATTAAATAAATATTAATAAAGAGTATCTATATAATTAATAAATATAATAGTTAAATTTAGAATAATATTATATAAAAGTATCTCTATAACTATAAACACTATTTTTATAAGATTATATAGTTTATTAGAGTATAACTAGAAAAATATAATAAAATAATTTAAGTTAATAGAGCTCTTAAGAGAAGAGTAGCTTAGTTTTAGAAATATTATAAGTAATATATTATAGTTATAGATCCTAACTAGGAAGTTTATATATTTATAGTATATAGAATATAGATTAAATATAAGTTCTTAGAATATCTTAATAAAGAAAAATAATAGGACTACTTCTAGAAGTATTATTAAGGAGATTATATTTTTATTAAGTATATAATAGATCTCTAAGAGATTATAGCTAAATATAAAATTAAGATATTAGAGACTATTCTAATTTAATTCCTATAGAAAAGTATAAAAATATAATTATAGAAGTATTAGATAAAGAACTAAAATCATCTAATAAGACTTATAGAGATAATTAAGTATTTTATATAGTTTAAATAAGAAGCTATAGTTATTAGTTATCTAGAAAAGAAGAATAGAAATAATAATCTATATAGTAATTAGTATAATCTTAATATAATAGATTTAGATATTCTTAAATCTATAAATAAATTAAAGAATAACTAATAGAAAGAAACTTAGATATATTTTAATTATAATAAAAAAGTATATATTAAATAGAATTACTAATTATCTAAGAAGAGTTAGAATAAGGATTCTAGATATATTAAGAAATTAAAAAACTAAGAATAACTAAAATAATTAAAACTCTTATTAATTATATAAAAAAGATTTTAAAATTACTAGTATATATAGATCTAGATCTATTAGATCTAGTATTAGTAGTTCTTACTATTCTAGTTATTTTATAGAAGCTAGAGAATATAGAAAAATATAAGAAAAAAGCTAAACTTACTAATATTAAGATAGATCTTTATACTATAGGAGATTCCTTATTATACTATAAAGTTTTAGTATATAACTAAGATAGAAATATAGTTATTTGTACTTTACTTAATTATAATACTTTCTATATTTTTATTTTTGTTAACTTCCTTAAGAAAAATTATTTATATTCTAACTATTATAAAATAAGCTTAGATATATATATTTAAATACCTAATAGAAGAAGACTTATTATAAGATTAAAGATTTAACTTCTAATAGCTCTTAGAAACTAGTATATAACTATTTTAGTATAAATATTTAATTTATTAGAATATAAACTTATCCTTAGGTAGGATTTCCTAAAGTATTAGAATCCTAAGATCTATTAGAAAATATCTATTATAAAGATTTATAATTATAGCTAGATATATATTATATAGACTAATAATTAATATAAATATATCTTAAATAATAATAACCTATAGCTAAATTTAATATTAGTTAAATAAATATAAAAAGAATTAAAGTATAAGTCTATATAAGGAGTATTATATATTATATATCTAGAGGTAGTAGAAGAGTTTAAAATATCTAAGTTATTTAGGATCCCTATATATAGGGACCTAAAGATTTATATTATTCTAATAGAATATAAATATTATAGGATTCCTAAATCTCTTTAGATATGATTTAGGTATGATTTATAGCTACTCTATAAGTAAATCTACTATAATATATCTACTAATATATAACTACCCTAAGTCCTAGTAAGCTCTAGTAATATTAAAATATATAAATAATAGCTATAATTCTTATCCTATAAGAATTAGTTTTATATATTAACTATTCTATTTGATCTCTACTATCTAATATTCTTATCTAGTTATAGATCTCTAGTTTAATAACTTAGTAACTATTATAATTCTAATTCTTCTCTTTTAACTATCTAAGGATTAATAATAATACTCTCTATATACTAAAACCCTATATCCTTTTATAATAATACTTAATCTAAGCTTACTATATTTCTTTTTTTTATTATTAAATAATCTAAGATTAAATTAGTTCTAGATTAATATATAAACCTAACTAAATCTAGTTTAAATTAGATTAAGGAAATTATTAATAATCTTATAACTAAAAATATTAGTAGATTTAGAAGTATTACTATAAATACCTTAGAAAAAAAAAGATATAAACTAGAATACCTAGAAGAGTTCCTTATAATTTATATTTATTTTAAAAAGCTCTCTATTTAAATCTCTAGAATTAATACTAGGGCTTTCTTAGATAATCTATTTATAGTTTATAGAGGAACTAAGATTAAAATATATAAGAAAATAGAGGGTTTTAAGATTAATAAGTTTAAGAAATTAGCTTCTATAACTTAGATATATCTTTTAAGATAATCCTAAGATCTATAAGAATAAAAAGATAAAGATTCTTATAGAAGTTAAATATCTTAACTTTAACTATAAAAATAACTAGACTATAGAGAAAAAATATCTTAAAGATAATAATAATAATTACTTTAATAACTAGAAATACTTTAAGAAATAGACTCTTATCTTAATATATAATAAAAATACTTTTACTAGAGAAGTTAATAATAAAATAAAGTATTATTACTAATAAATTAATAAAGAACTAAAGGTCTTTTACTACTATTTTATAGATCTAGAATATTATTTTTCTTAGGTCTTTTAGAATAAGTAAATATACTACTATATATTAAAACTATAGCTATAATTAATACTATATATTTATTAATATATAAAGATTTCTTCTAAGACTTAAGTATAATAAGTAGAAGAAATATAGAATATCTAGGAATTTATAAAAGTAAAGATATATAAATATAACCTATTTATTAATAATTTAAATTTAAGCTCGAAATATCTATAATCTAATAACTTATTCCTAAACTAGTCTAATAATATAAAATAAGACTAAAAAGATCCTAGAAATCTATATTTAAAGGATTCTTATAGTCCTAGATCTAATCTAAATTATAATAACTCTAAGTTATATTTAAATCCCTTTTAATTTAGAGATAAACCCTAATTATTTTCCTTTTAGAATAAGAATAATCTAAATAATATATCTATTAAAGGGACTAATCTATCTAATCTATCTAATCTATTTATTAGAATTCCTTTATATAATTATTTTAATTATAATAAACTAGGTTATTAAATAAATAAATCTTATCTATTACTATAAGTCCTAGTAATAAAGATTTAAGAAGCTTATTTAAGATCTTAGTATTACTATAATAATATTTAATTAAAAACCTTAGGAAAAGTACTAAGATTAAATTAACTCTTATAAATTCTAACTCCTAGTCTTAAGTAGAAATAGTTATTTATCTTTATATC